GGGGTATTTGGAGCTTGTTCTTCTCGTCCTACGACTCTGTCTTTCGCTCACGATGTTTCTTGCACACGTCTTGTGGCGTGTCGCCATCTGTACTGCCCTATTCTGCGCCACGATTCGAGCGAGGGAAACGTCGTTCTGGAGTCAAATAGAAGCGATCGATTCGCACCACTTTCCGCCCTCACCCTCTGCTTCTTCTCACCGCTCACCGCTGCACTCACGATCACCGGTCACGAGCAATGTCGGCAGTACAGCTTCGATGAAGTGCACGTATCCCGTGTCGCGCGTCTCTTTCTACACGCTGACCGTCACCGAACGCGAATCGTGGATCTCCTCCTTCGCACAGCTGCACACGCTCCGCAACAAATCGATCTTTGTTCGCGGTGGAACGTTCATCGACGACCTCGCCATGGTTCATATTGGGTTGCAGGAGGAGATGCATTACAATGCGTGTTTTTTGGTGTGTCATACGGCGTTTTTGCGGGCATTTTATTCGTTGATGCGGGTGGTGGGGTATAGAGGGAGGGAGGCGTACTGGGATATCGAATCTGACTGGAAGGGAGGGATGTCAAACGCTCATATTTGGCGGTACCTCGGAGGAGATGGTGTAGGGGGAGCAATTCCATCCGGACCCTTCAAATCGCTCACATGCGACGTCCTACCCAACACCCGCAAACCCGGCTACTCCTACATCAAACCTCACTTCGTCACCCGCCACTTCAACTCCAATTGGCTCTCCCACCCCCTCATCCGTGGCGACATGTACACCTCCCACTACAACTCCTCCTTCCTCCCGCACACCATCCTCTCCTCCCCCAACTACACCGCCCTCCGAAAACTCCTCGAAACCTCCCTCCACGCCTGGACCCACCAATCCATCGCAGGCGAAATGTGGCTCTACAGCAGCCCCTGCGAACCCGCCTTCTGGCTCCTCCACGCCGAAGTCGACCGTTGCTGGCGAAGCTGGCAAAGCGTCAACAACAAATGGTACGACTACGGAGGTCATAGACGCATCAGACACGGCGAGCAGACCGAGTTGAAGTTGGCAAGTTTCGACGACGAGATCGATTTCTACGGCTTGTTCGAAAAGGTCAAGGTCGGGGATGTCATGCATCCAAGGAAAGGCATCCTCTGTTTCAGATACGACAAGTTGCTGGGTGGAAGACTCGATACCGATCCATAGACTTACATGTCACTCCAAGCATCTCACTATCCTTGGTCATATCACTAGCATATCTGTCATTACCACCTCAACCCCTTCCGTCAATCAAATCCCTCGCGCTCCTCACAGCTTCCTCCTTCTGTCTCTCCCTGATGATCTCCACCTTCCTCTCGTGCAGATCCAACAATCCCGCCGCTGTCTTGTACCTGTCCAGCAGTGTGATGACCTTGGACGCCTCACGCAGCTCCGCCAATCCACGGCTTATCGCCTCCATCGTCGCAAAGTGCGCGTACCACGGCGAGAACGAGTCCGCCGTCGTGGGAACGAGATCTCGTTTGTAGGGAAGCTTTGCGGACGAGTCGAGGTAGAACGCGCTCGGTTCGATGTGTGACTGCGAGGGAAGCCTCACCTCACTGTCGGCGTCGTCGTCTTCGCTGGAAGTGGGCTCGCGACGCTCGAACGGTAGGTCGACGTAAGGATCGTCGTCTGTGCGGTTCTGATGTCTGCGGCTGAGAGGTTCGGCGGGTGCACTCGTGGCGTCGGAGCGATGCAATGCCGCCGGATCCAGGAGCGTGTCTGCTGGCAAAGGGTCAAAGTTGACCCCGTCCGGCGATTCACCGCCACTACCTTCGAGCACAGCGGGTCCTTCGAGCTTGTCTGCCTCTCCTTCGACACCATGATCGTGACCGTTCCTACTTCCGCCGCCAGCATTCAATCTCGATCGCATCCAAGCATTCGGAGGATCGCGGTAAAGCACATGCTCCACAACAGAGAGCGCCTCATCCAGCTGTCCAGCCCGAGCCATGGACGCGGCCAAATGGTTCCAGTTGTCGGAGTCGAACCCAAATCCGTCGCCTTTGGCCCTGGCCCACATCTTGACGATCTCTTCATGGCGGCCTGCGGTGGACAAGAGGTCGACCATGATCGAGACAGGAAGACACAGTAGATTGCGACTGCTAGCATCCTGTCTGCGTCGATCTAACGCCTGAGAAACCGTGTCCCCGGCGTCTTCGGCGCTCGGCTTGCTGTACATGTAGACACGACGACTGTTGCTTCGAGCCGATTTTAGTGCTGATTCATAGATCTGTTCGAACAATACCAGCGCACTATCGACGTCGCCTGCCCGTCGGTACGCATCGAGAAGCGGCGTCAGCGCAGACACAGACAGTGTGGGCATGTGCCGCGACATGGTCTTGAGCGTTTCTTCAACTTTGTCCGGCTCGCCTCGGCGAGCTTGCGCGACCATCAGCACCGTATAGAGCGATTGGAAGGGTGCGCTGTATTTGGCGGCTTGTCTGTTTGCGTTGGCGGCCCGATCCGCATTTTGCAGCCTAGCCAATTGAGAGCGCGTAGCGGGTACGTCCCATGTAGAAGGCCGGAAAATCCTCTTTGTTTCGTCAGCAACGAGCTGCGACACAAGGTTGCAGGCAAGATCGTAGTTGGCCTCGTTCTCGCTGTGAGCGTAGCTGTGAACCATGACACTCCATGTGATAGCACTAGGCGTGAGCTTTCGACCCTGCATCTCGTCAAAGTAATCCTTGGCTTCCGCTTGATCGCCGAGACGCAGGTAGCCGTGCATCATGATGGTAAAGTGATAGACATTGGCACCTTGGCCCTGCCCCGATCCGGTGAGATTGGGCAATGCGACTTCCGCCTCCGAAAACACTTCCTCGGCAACATCCATCAAACCCGCATCGCATGCGCTTTGCAGCATGAGAGCGTAGGTGCTTGCATTCGGTAGAAGTCCCAGCTTGCGAACATTGTCGACAAACTTCATGACCTTTTGTACAGGCAGAGCGCTGAGCACGTACGCCTTGAGGATGATGTTGCACACCTCGATCGTCGGGCGGATTCGGACGTCGCGTTGATCCTGCATCCATCCGAACAAGCGAATCGCAGATTCGTACAGGCCGGACTCGACGAAGCAGTTGAGCAAGGCGGCGTACGTGATTCGATCCGGGGACTTGCCTGCCGCAATCAAGGCTCTGAGTGCATGAGCCGCAGAGTCCGGATCGCGTCGTAACGCGAAACCATGAATTAGGATGGTGTAGGTGTAGGTATCCGGATGCACGCCGAACTCCTTCATCTGGTCAAAGATGGCGAGTGCCGCGTCGATGTTGGTTTTGCGGACGTGCATGTCGATGACGAGGTTGAAATCGGAGGACCTGGGCGGGATGCCCCTCTCGAGCGCTTCGGTCAGGTAAAATTCGGCCAGGTCGACATCGTCCGAACGGTTGCAGGATTTGATAAGAAGAGCGTACGCCTTGCCGTCGAGCGGGATCTTGCCGACGGTGCACTCGTCCACGGATCGGGCTGCGAAATCGTACCTCTCTGCTAGACGCTCGTAGAGCGACTGGACGTCACCGCGAGCCGCAGCAAGCTCTACATGAACCTGTTGAGAAAACTCGTCGTGACCCTTGCTCGAGCGACGCTTGAGATAGGCAAGCAGGGACGTTACACGATCTGAGCGGTTGCGCTTGGCCCAGGCGAGGGCGACACTCCGCAAAACTGGGATGGATACCCGACCCTGGATTTGCGCTTTCGGATTGGTTGCACGGTGCAGCAGCGCCTCGAGGCGGGCTGCTGGAGCTTGGCCGCCACTTTCTCTGATCAACTGATTGACGAGGCTGTCGGCTACGTGGACGCCCCTCGACCACAGATCGTCGTAGAGTTCCAAAGCCGCTTCCGAGCTGATCCGAAGACGAGATCGGAGCAGCAAGTCGCAAGCGTACACGAAACCTGGCTGTTCGGGGTCGCGATCCTGGCTGAATCTCTCGAGAAGACGGTGAGGGTCTCGCACCTGCGATAGACAATGGAAGAGCATGGTTCGAGCGCTTCGGAAGTCTTTGTGCGAGAGCAGGAACGCATGCGGTGAGTCAATGATCCAATCGAGGAAGCTCTTGATTGGGTCGCCGGACTCTGATGGTGCCTCGAGACCCTTCTCGAGATCGGCCAACATACCGTCGTCCTCGAAGAAGTGAGGTTGCGAAAGGATTGCATTGGTGAGATTGCTTGCGGTCGGATGACAGTTGATTTCAAAGTCGATCGAGTCGACGATGGTGAGTAGGGTGGCATGAATTGGAGAGAGATATTCGCCTTGAGAAGACTGGTCGGTCTTGTGTCGGTAGATGTCGGGTCGCGTGCGCAGCAGGATCTCATCCATGAGTTTGAGAGCGGCGACAGGCTGTGCCTGCAGGGCGAGAGAGACCGGCTCCAGCAGCGAGATGGTCATGTTCAAATTCTTGGACGCTGGCGATGAGCGGGAGGATGGGAATCTGTTGGCGCGAACAAGGCGACAATCTTGCAGGATGGCGTGGATTCGTCGACCCACAAGGTGGCGCAGCGCCTTTGATTGGGGAGAATGCGCCTTGTTGGTAGTGACGTAGTGGACGGACAAGACGAGTGCGTTGGCAACGGTGACGCGCATTTCCGTCGAAAGCTTCTCCTTGTGAGCATGTGTCTGATATGCGCGCCACAAACGGTGGGCTGCAAGTCGGCGCCGATTGAGACCATTCGTTTCGCTTCTTTCCCTCCAGCCTGGACCGAATTCTGCCCTGTGTTCGTCGAGGGCCTGCTTCATCCGAGACCTCACATGTAGATCTTCCTGCTGAGATTTGGCTCCAGCAGGCTGCCAAGAAGACAGCCAATGGTTTGGACAATTGTGAGACCTTGTGGCGGTCGCGGGAGATGCAACGTTTTCGGAATCCTCTTGCCAATGAGGATCGGCGTGCAACGGGAAGTGGCCGTGAGAGGAAGGCGAGGGACCTGGATGTTGATCGACGTGTGTATCCGCAAGCTTGATGGCGGCAGCTGCGGTCGAGGCGCCTCGGTATTGCACCGATTGCGAATAAGGGCGGTGATGTCGGAAAAGACCGGGAGAATGCGGAGAAGAGCTGGTGTGATTTGGCGAAGGGAAGCCATGCCGTGATCTGCTGCGAGGAAAAGCATCTTGATCCGACTGACCTGAAGCTGGCCCAGTAACGGCTGGACAGAGAAAACTACAGAGAGGTGCAGTCAAGCTGCCTTGGTCGGATGTGCCGGCAGAACTGCGGGATGCCGCTGAGCGAAGGAAGCGCTTCGGGCGAGCTGCTCGATCGATGTTGTCTATCTCTGCGGCAAGGTGACATATGCGCTTGGCCAGGACGATGAGGTCCAAAAGACTGTCGCTCTGGGAAGCGCTCGCCCGCACCAGGGGTATTGGTGGTGGCCCCATGCGAGCGGCTCTACCTGAGGTCCGGAGCAAAGCCGGCCGCTCAACACGCGTGTGTGGCTATGGAAACGAGGAATGCTGCCGCCGTGAGGTGGTCGCCATAGGAAGGGAGGTGGGCGTGCATATAGCAGGCGTCGTTCGGAAATTCTTTGGAGATGGCGCTGCGGATGACCTTCGAGGTACAGATGGCCAGAAGCTACAAAGACATAGCAAGAGTGTAGCTGCAGTCTTGGATCGGAGTCGTAAGCAGCTTGGAAAGCGCCTGGTTATGGATAGTGATGTGCGCCGTGGGTCCTGTGCTGAGCCTCTGTGTGGCTAGTGTGACGATGAAGAGGGACGAGACGAGTTGGTAGGTGATCACAAGAGAAGTGTTGGTGTTGCATGTGCAGTCGAGGTTTTGAAAATCTCGAATAAGGTCAGCCGCCCTTCCGGTGTGGGCCAAAAAAGGTTTCTTCCTTCCAGCTGCCGCATTTTTTAGTTTGGCTCAGTTGAGGCGAGCGTGGTGAAGGTCGGAAGACCTGAAAATGGCCGCTTATTTTTTGGCTGCTTCTCCACTTGGCCTTTCTCGCCCGACACACAAAACGTGAAACTGCGGATGTCGGGACTGAAGCCAGTCGCGCCTTGAGACCCTGCCTCTCGAAGGTTCGCACTCCTTCCGGCTTGTTTGCAAACACCATCCCGTCACCATGTCGAACAAGAGGGTGAGAGGATTGGCCATCCACAGGCCAATACTGTATGGCTCTACGTCTACTCCTCTCACACCCGCTGAAAAGCTAGCAGCGCCACCAGACCACACGCACAAATGGACCGTTGCCGTCCGAAGCGCTGCATCCCTCCCGCTCCCCTCCCTCTCCGCCATATCGGGCGCGCCCAATGGCAGCAGCTTCGAACCGGGCTCCGAGCTAGGCGCTGTCAACGCCGCAGCCGGAGCAACAACACCGTCTACCTCGACACCAGCAACTGGCTCAGCTGCCACCATCTCCACTCGAGGTCGAGATCAGGAACACGACTATCACAAGATGGTCGGAAACAAGGACGACATTTCCCACTACATCAAGCGCGTCCAGTTCAAGCTGCACGATACCTACCCACAGCCAACCCGAAATGTCGACAAGTTCCCATTTCACGTCACGGAGACAGGCTGGGGAGAGTTTGAGATCCAGATCAAGATCTTTTTCGTCCCTGAGGCCAACGAGAAGCCGCTCACACTGTTCCACCATCTCAAGCTGCATCCCTGGCTTCAGAATGTAGCAGCTGTGGAATCTCAACCCCCTGCGCCCGCGATTCCTCCAACACTTCCTCCAGCCGGGACCGCTGCTTCCGCAGACACAGCCGACGGCGCAGATCAAACTTCCGACCAGACAGCAGAAACATCGACTTTGGCAAACGATACAAAGCAGGAAGCCGACAACGATAGCATGGACGTCGACGCAACTACAACAACGACAAGTGACTCCAAGCCGAATACAGACACGACTGCCGATGCATCTGGAGCCACCACAGAGCCATCGAGCTCGACCACAGAGCCGCCCAAGCCCGCACTGCCACCCGTAGTGCACTCGTGGCAGTACGACGAGATTGTTTTCCCGGAGCCAATGGAGAATTTCTACGACATCCTGTCCACGCATCCACCTACGCCCCTACCGGTCGTCTCAGCACTAGCTTTCGCCGACCCTGCAGCCTACCGCTCGTATCTCTACGCCAAAGCGGATGCAGCCAAAGGCAACACCACCGGACCACCACCCATCCCGCCACACCCGCTTCACACTCCCACAGGCTACCTCTTCGACGCGCTCTCGCTCGAAGCCCAGAACGCCGAAGCTGATCGTCTTGACCTGGCCCGTATCGCAGCCATTCGAGATCTGGAACAGGGTCGTGAACAGCTCATCAAGGCGGAGAAAGCTCTCAAGGATGCGAGAAATCGAATCGCCAACTTGAACAATGCTGCTCTTGCCCCTGGGAGCAGTGCCTCCGCTAGTGTTTCACTGGCATCGTAGGTAGTGGCTCTTGCCATGTGTATTTGTACTTGCTTTCTCAATCAAGAATCCACGTTCACAGGACAGATTTCAGCTAGCGAAATGGTCGGATACTTCGATTGTTTATAGACGAGCTGGAACTTGACATCCGACGAAACTGCTCCAGATAGGCAGACGATCACTTCCTTTTTCACTGAATTCCGCTTTGAGGAATTGGTCGAAGACGAAGGGAACCCAGTCTACGCCGTCCACTATGCAAGTTGCTGTGTAGGCAGAGATGTAGCTTCCGTCGGAGGAGGTAGATGAGCCACCGGTGCAGCCTGTTCGGAACTTGACGGTGGAGAGCGGGTCGTGTTCGTCGTCGTCATCGTTGCGGGGAGAGAGGGGTGGGTGTGATTTCAAGGTGCGGATGTGGTGAGAGCGGATGTCGTCTCGGAATTTGGTGCAGAACGCATCAAAGGCGGGGCAGAGGGCGGAGGCAGGTGGTCCAGGTGGTCCGACAGCAAACGTGCAGGCCGAGACGAGCGAGCCCGAGGTATCGGGGAAGGGAGGCAGAGAGCCGCTCCATGAAGGGTGGGCTGGTGGAGGTGAGGGTGTGAGGAGTGTTGTGATGAGCTGCGTGAGGGCGAGGATTGGAGTTGAGATCCACATTCTGACGATGAAGGGTGCACGGCAGAGGAGGTGGAAGAGGGGAAAGCTACGGTTGCTGGTGTTAGCGATGAAGGATGAGGGCCGCTCTCTCAGCAAAGACGATCTATCTCTCGAGGCATCTGACCGAGGTTGGCGGAGAGCAGTAGGCTCAGTATGCTGCTATGCTCAGAGTGAACCTTCGTCTCGGTTCCCAACCCACCCAAAGCTGCGGGCCGTCACTTGCTCACACGTTCGAACCGGCCCTTTGTGTCAGCGGGATTCCGAGATATGTACCCGCTGTCCCAGCATGTCCCTCTTAGGAAGCACACGGGCTTAACGACAGCCGGGCCCCTACCATACATGTGAACAACCTCTTGCTTGTCGGATACGATACGGATGATAACATCGCTTGTCTCCCTTTGCCAAGCAAACCCGAGCAACCTCGGCGGGCGGAACACTCGCTGGCGGGCTGAAATCGCCGAATCAAGGGTCCTTGCCCAGAACGCCCACATGAGATTGATTTCACACTCGCGTGGCACGACGACGCAGCTCGGTCTCACGTCGGGGATCCAAATAATACCTTTTTGGTGGGCGGCTGCTGCTGCTGCTGCATCCCAAAGATCTGCTATGCAGTTCGGTCAGGTACACCCGGTCTACGCAAAGTAGGTATATCGAGGCTTGATGCAAGCATCGACGAGGATTAGAGTGTGTGCGAGACCAGACTTTGGCGGCTAGAAGCCACAACCTGCTCACGAATGTCAGCGCACTCTCGTTCTGCATTGCCATGTCCTGCATCCTCTCGAAAACATCACATGCACACCTCAAAGTCACATGTCCCACTCTATCCGTTTACGATGATCGTCGTGTATCACATATGTCATTGCATTGTCCCTGAAACCTCGACGATACGCCTTCGCTCACCTCGAAAGGTCATACTTCTTGCCAGCCAGCATCAACCCCAACGCACTTGGCGAGAAACCGTCCAAGATGTCCTTGGTGAACAGCTGCTTTTCCAAGATGCTATCCAAGAACGCACAGCCTGCCACAAGCAGCACCGAAAACATCCAGATGCGCCGTGCCATCGTAACGACGCTTCGCTGCTTCTTCCACGATATCGGCAGAGCATCGAGAACAGCTCGCTCGATCAAGATGCCGATGCCTTGACTGAGGAAGAAAGTCATCATGCCTGGGTCGAGCATGTAGGTGAGGATAGTGGTGAGGTTGAATGGGGCTGATGGATCGGTGCGAAGTCGAGCGAACATCAATGAGCTGTCAACAGCAACAGAAAAGCAAACGGTGGGGAGATGGGTCGAGTCAGCGCGTTTGGTTCGAAGCAGGTCATGGTCGCGAGCTGCGAAAGACTTACTGTTGCACACCGGACCAGAAGAACACATAAAGCACCTGCAGAGCAGGATGGTTGGAAAAGGGTAGCATCGATGCCATGTTGAGATAGTCACGCTGAGAGGTAGCGTGCCAGCTGCGTGCCCAGAAACGTCCCAGACCAGGGGAAGTCAAAGGCTGTTCGAAAGCCGAAAGGAAGCAGGTTGCAGGAAACGGCTTCCAGACCAACAGCATAAGGCTCTCCAAGAATCCTGGGGCGAGAAAGACTGCTCCGCCGACTGTGATGACCATGGCAAATCTAGTCAGCAGAGGTAGGGCGAATGCCGATGCTGGCGCGCCCAAAAGAACAAGGTGGTGACGTGGGACCACTGCAGGCAAAAGTGCGTCCAAGAAGCTGCGACTTGATGATGAATCGATCGGCACGTAGAAGCCCAAGACCGAGATGACCTCGGATGATGGCGCAGCGACGGCGTACCACCACGAGAATGAGGTCCAAACAAATGCTATCTGCAAGAATGCTGGCAGAAGCGGCATCTCCCGCTCTCCGAATCGGCGCACAGGCGAGTGAGCTGGGATCTCGTGGGGCTGACACTTGTGGATCTTGAGATAGGAAGCCCATTCATTCAAGCCTCTTTTCGACCACTCTAACGCCCTTCCTTGCTTTGGGAGGATCATACTGGTACCTGGCCGTCTCAGGAACAGCACGTCAAGACCGTACACGATTCGACCCCACGATAAAGGTTTCGGAAAGTCGACCGGCTGCCATTGATACTGATCGTACTTGCTTGCTTGCATCTTGGCCACCGGTCCCGAGGTGTCGGGAAGAAACGGCCGAATGAGTCTCGGTCCACCCGCTGAGTACACGAGACAGATCTCGACTGCTTTGCACGTGATCGACCATGTTAGCGTTGGCAGAAGCAAGTCCCGCAACGGATTTCCGCAGGTATAGGTACGATCGAACGCAAGATGTGCCGAGATGATTGCCAAAGGTGGAAAAGACGCTAGTCGGAGCAAACGACTCGAGGTCGATGCGGATGGCAGCGTGAGGCACAGCAAGAAGAGCCATACGATGCAAAGCGTCAGACTGGGTAGCGCTGGTCGAAAGTTGGGCTCCCAGCTCGCCTCGAGGTGGCTTGCCGACATTCGAGACACCATCTCTCGAGCTGTTGGTGGACAGCTATGAAGAGATGGTAGAAGGAAGGCAAGGCAACGTCATCTAGAGATCCGCCGGACTGCTTGAGAATAACGGTGATATAGCGAGAAAGGGTTCAATGTTTCGGCCTCCACCACGGACCGCCATTTCATAAGCGAACGTGATTAGATAGTCGGAGTCGACTTTGCGATCCGAGCATCGCCTTAATAGCTGACCCTTGCAGCATCCTGCGAAGCTCGAACACCATCGAAGCAGACTGAAATCTTCAGCAAGGAAGGAAGAAGAAAGCATAATCTAATGAAGTGAGCAAAGATGATTAAGCGAGGAACGAGCATTGCGGAATGCTCCGCGGGGTTCATCTGACAGGTCTGCCCGCAAACTTGGCTAACTTCTTCTGGGCTGAGGAATCACGCTTCGGAGAAATCAAAGTTCGGAGCAGCGATACGCTGCCAATCTCGTTTCGATCTATTCGAAGTCTTGCCGGTAATGGGTCACCATGGCTGCAGTCGGTATTCGATGCGGAATCGATGTGCTTGGTCCTCATTCTCAAGTGGATGCGTTCGGATCTCGAAAGCCTGCGACAAGGGCTTTGTGAGGAAAGGCTTTCAGCCTGTGGGTTTTCCCCAGAACCCACATCTCAACGAGACCAGCAATTTGAGGCCAGAGCGAGCAATTTGCGACCAGTGTTGCTGATGACGAGATATTCGAGGAATGCGCGGTGCTAAAAGTACAATGAGATGGTGATGGTGTGAGGTCTGGTCCGTAGAACAGCCAACATGCCGCACATGCCTGCTTGTGCCCATAATGGAGCATGCTTTTGGATGAGAGGGTTTGAGGGAAGAGATCAGGGCGTCGCAGTCTAGATGACTTTGGGCGCCAAGCTTGCGATCTTTCCCCACCCAGCCGCTCGAAGCTCGTTGGCAACGACGCCGTTGACTCGTGTCCCAAGCGGTTCCTTCTTGTTATTGAGGAGGACACAAGCGTTGTCGTCGAAGCGAATGACTCGGCCGTCTGGTCTTGTCATCTCCTTTTTGGTGCGAACAATCACGGCATGTCGAACATCGCCCCTTCGTACTTTCTGTGCGCTTGCTTGACCCGGTGCATTGGAGATTGGTCGTGCTTTCTGTACGACCACCACGATCTCGTCGCCTGAAAAAGAAGAGCGCAAGGAGAGAGGGCGACAAGGTCAGTCGTCAGTACCGCCAAGTTCCGCATTCTCTACTGTACCAAAGGCTACTTACCAACTCGACCGAGACCCTGTGTTGTCTTGTTTCGTAGTACGTTTACACACTCAGCGATCAGTCCGCCCGAGTTGTCGATGATGGCCATGCGTGCTTTCAGGCCCAACATTGTGGCTGTAGTTCCTTTATTTGAGGTGCAGTCTGCGTACGACTGCTGGTGAAAGCGAAGCGTACAGTGATTCCCTCCAGAGCCACCTGTCTACAAGTGAAGCAGAGTCCGGGTAGCTGGAGTACGAGCTGCTTGTGGTCCGTCGTTGTCTTCGTCGTCGTCGTCCAGCGAAAGTGGTATGGTCTGGTCTAAAGCTTCTCAGATGCTGGCGGACCAGTTCTTCGAAAAAGTTGAAAAGGAAGTCGGAACCGTTCCCGGATCGAGGAAAAAAGTCGGCTTCATCGGGAGATTCCATCGAACGACAATTTTTGCAACGCGTTAGATCTGTCTTTCTCCTAAGCGGCAAATTTCAGGCCGAATTCCACACAACACAGCAAACGAAGAAGAACCAAGCATGCGAGGCTCCGTGTTGCGCTTTAGGCTGCTGTTCTTGCATGAACGCCGCAGGTCCGTCGTCATGCATGGCAGACAAAGGAGAAAGTCTCGTGAGGAGAACAATTGGCGACTGAGATCCGATCCACGCTAGTAAAACGAGCTTGACAACGCAGCATGCGACAGTCATTCACAGCGGGTGAAGCAGGACCGACAGACAGGAAGAGTGCTATAGCGCTGCTTCACGGCATCGGCGTTCATTGACCCGGAGCACTTGGGTACAGTATGCACTTCGGAAGTAGTTCGAGCTTGCACATGATGGAACCTAATCTCGTTCTGCGGGCCGGATCATAGACTGCCGATGCGATCACTCAGCGTGATTTGCATGATTTGTGAAGGCGCATCAAACTACCCTAATTGCTGTTGTACCCATGATCAGAGTCCTGATCTGAGCGAAAACAAGCTCCTCTACACTGAGACTATTGCATGGGCTACCAACAAGACAGCAGCTGATCACAATACCGCAGCTGAGAAGGTCGAGCGCTCTATTTGCCGAAGAAGTGAGCTTGACGTCTTGACGAAGCCAGACGAAGCTTGCCCAATTTCACATTGTTTGCTGCATGACAGCTGCTACAGCCTCCCTGAAATCACCGACGCCCCGAGGTATCCGCATGCAAGGCTGTGCAGAGCTGTCAAAGATCGCCACCAGCTGCTGCGAAACCATACCCTTTCTTCAGAGTTGAGGCCACAACGCGTGCGAATGCTTCTCCTGCACACCTCGGAAATGCGACTGCATGCACCATGTACGGAAGTGTGTTACAACTGTACACCACCTTTGCTATTTGCGCAGTCGACGGAGGCCCGCACCGAACAATGAAACAGTCGCGCCGCTTGCTAGGATGTATACGTGCGTGGATCGATCTGCATGCGTTCCAAGCTAGTGGTAGCAACTCCGGTTCAGGTGACAAGAAAGACTTGAAGCGCACTGTGCGGACATGCTTGATCGCCGGTCGTCGAGGGAGAGCACCACAGTCAGGTACCCTGTTCGAAGTGAATTGACATGAGCAGAATAAAATGTTCACTGAGGCCAGAATGCATACAAAGGCTTCTTCGGCGCCACCGCGAGGCGGTATGCACACCTGATCTACGTTCGGTCTTCATCCCACAGCCTTCTCAAGGGCTATATAACTTTGCATCACCCTCGTGTCTTCGATTCAAAGCATCTCACACATCAAGTGCTTCACACTCTTACCAAGCTCGCTCTCAACATCTCGCCTTTCTTCCTATTAGACACTAGCCATGAAGCTGTCCACAATTCTCGTCAGCCTTGCTCTCGCCCAAGTGGGCTACACTCACGCGGCCAGTCTTCCTTTCAGCCCTAGGTCGGCTGATGATGGAGCCTGTACTTCCCCTCAGGAACGAGTCAATTGGGAAGCTCTGAGCTCCGCCGACAAGCAGGGCTACATCAGTGCCATCAAGTGTATGCAGACGAAACCCAAGAAGACGACCCTCAAGGAATCGCGCAACCTGTTTGACGATTTCGTCAATGTTCATATCCACAACAATGCGGTGGTTCACTTCAACGCTTTCTTCTTGCCCTGGCATAGGCTTTTCGTCTTGGCTCGAGAGCAGGCCTTGCGCGAGTGCGGATACGCTGGTCCTACTCCTTACTGGGACTGGACCAAATCGGCCGATGCCAATGATGTGGCTAACGATCCGATCTTCTCGCCTACGGATGGATTCGGCGGCAACGGCGATCCCAACAACGGCAACGTTGTCAAGGACGGTCCTTTTGCCAACTTTACGGTCGATCTGAGCATCGTAGGCGTAGGTGCTGATCTCAACAAAACCATGTACAATCCTCACTATCTGACGAGAAGCTTCGAACCCGAAAACACGCGCGGCTTCACCACCGCCACGGTCGACGAGGTGCAGGCCGTCCCGGCATACGCTGACTACAGGTGAGTAGACCGATCATGATCAAGCCTCCCAGCAAAAACGCTGACCTTGCGGCGGTGACCCATCTCGCCTCACAGGTATAACATCGAAAGTGCACCCCACGGCGTAGTTCACGCCTATGTGGACGGAGACATGACGCCTCCTCACTCTCCCAATGATCCGCTCTTCTTCCTGCACCATGCCGCCATCGACCGTCTGTGGACCCTGTGGCAAGAGCAAGACAAGTCCAAACGCGTCAAGGACTACAGCGGGCCCCTCCCCTTCCAATACCCTGCCATGAACGCAAAGATCACCGATGAGATGCCGTCCTTCTTCGGTCTGATCGACGACAGCACTGTCGAGCAGGTCATGGATACCACGGCTGGCCGTCTATGCTACCGCGTAAGTGGATGATCATGGATCCAACTACTTCTTTTGACCTTGCAAGCATGACTGACAGTCTTTGCCCATGTTTGCATCCATCTGCTGCAGTACGTTTGAGGTACGATGGCGTGCTGAATCGAGTTCGGAAAGCCTGATCGATCTCGGACTGCGCTGCTGAGCACAAGATGCCATCAACCGGAGCGACGTGCTATGAAAACCACAGGCCGGCTTGATCGCTGTCTTTTGTTGCTTGACTCGAAATTTGGAACCAAACCTCGGAATTGGATCCACATGGCGACGTCGATGTCGTCTCCCCCTCCCTTTCAAACCTCCCGACATGTTGGATGCAATCAGAAAACAATGTTCCCCCTCCTGTAGCTAGCTTGTCTCTCCGATCTTTCGCGTTTGCCAGCTTGTCTGACCTGTGAGCTTCAGAGATGATTGGGTCACGATCCATCTATCTCCTTTCAAAAAAATTAGGTCCGGTTCGGCGTTGTTCCTCTCGGAGTTCAGAGAGTGTCGCGAATTACGCCTCTGATAGACGTGGACAGGGATCAATGCAGGCTCTAGCATCCGATACGTCACACTGCCATACCAGTCTGGGGCAGCGTAAAAGCGCCTGCCTGCCAAAAAAAAGCCCTCTCCCACAAATTCCCATGTTCTGGGGGTTCTATCCCACATCAATCGCACCTCTGCACGGGAAAACGTTTAGTCGAGATTCTAGCCGAGCGCAATTTTAGCCGAATCGCGGCTGCCGAACCGCGAATAGCAAGCTGAGCCTCAAAAAATAAAAAATCAAGTTACACCAGAGAATGGGTGAGGTCCCCTTACCATGACTGTGATGTTGTACCGCCGATGTGGGCGAGCTGACTCAACCAGTAGAGGGGCTGGGCAGCAAAGCCTTCTGCAACTGCAGCGCATCTCGGAGGAATTGCAGTGTACAGTAGACCGGTTCGGCAGACGCGCTCGCTAATGCGTTCGGATGAAAGCGAGTCGCTCCGAGCCGCTCCGCGTTAGCATCGGTGTTTCCGACGCCGACGCCGACGCCAGTTTGGTGGACAATGGAACGGTCGCGCCTTTGGAGAATTCCGAGCACGCATCACGGGGGCGGCTCCGATAGGTACACGGGTGAAAAGTTGCTACACTGTCTAGCTGTATTCGGCAGATTGGAAAAGGTGGGCTGAACCTGCTCTGCAGCCATGACGCTGAGGCGCGGTCAGAATGTCGGTGCCAGCGGTGATTTCAGGTCGCTTAGAGTAGCTTGCCATGTGCGATCTCTGGCCGCCAATGCTGGCATTGGTGAGCAGCGTCAAAGGTGGATGGATAAGCGAGCCCAAGGCGTGGCGAGACACACTACCAATCGGACCCCGGTCTTTTCGTGACAATTCCTTTGCGAAGCTAGGTTTGGCTCCTGCTTTTCACAATTTTAAATTCGATTCGGCTAGCTCCGTATAGCCTCCAGGTATCCTGTTGCAGGATCATCGTGACAACATTCGCTTCTCCTGAGCTGCAGATGGTGTGAGGAGAAAGCGTGTTAAACGATGAGAAGGAGGTTGGTCCGTCGTACAGCGGGGGCAAGCATGATTGCCGCAGGTAGAGGTGTCAGCCTTGCATGTTGTTCGATCTCGAATCTGCTTCGAGAAGCAAGATGGGAGCTGCAGCGCGGCTGGAGCCTGTCCAGACCGCAACCCTTAGTCGGCCGCTTCGAAAGTGCTTGCTTGACGTTTTTGAAATTTTTTCTCTTTCCCAATTTTTTCCTTGCATTGGCTTTGCCTGGTCCACCTCGACCAAACGCTAAAATAGCGCGGCTCCCCGACAGTGGCTTGCAGACCACTCTGCAATGTGAATCTCGCATCTGCGGCAAGTTATCCGCCTTCGCTCGCTTAGAACTTCGTCCTGACTGACACTGTGCAGGCTGTGATTCATTCAGCATTTTGTGCCTTCGCGTTGGTGTACCAGAAGAGAAGACGATCCGCAAGGGAAGCCTTTCTCTGAGCTTGCACAGCGTGAAGGGCTCGCTCATTGCATTTTGACACGATGGCCGTTGACTTCGTTTGAGCGATTCGCTGCCGTCGCCGGGCTCTAGAAGCCTTCATCCTCTATTCTGTGCTGTCCATCGGATCCCGTCTCGGTCTGGGAGCCGCTACAGACGTCTGAACCAATGCTCCAACAAAACCTCTCTCAGCCTCTTCTTGCTCCCTCCCTCTCCTTTGATCGACGTCTTCTCAAGACTCATCAAGCATCACCCCCTGTTCAGCTCTTCGACATTCTCGCGAAACCCTGCGTTGAACGCATAAGATAGCGAAGCCTCCCCACGCTTCTCGTGCTGCATCATCACCTCTCATTTGGCACTAGACTCGTCCAACGCCCCCAGGTACAGCACCCCTCTGCGAGCCTCACTACCGACACACTGGCTCATTGCGCAAACCCACTTCGCTCATAGCCTCGCTTTGCCCTCGCTTTGGTTTCAGTACTCCAAACGGCCGGTTTTCTTGTCCAGCGATCGAGCCGCCAAACGTGAAGGCCAGTTTGCATCCAGTCTTCACCGCTTGCGCCTCTGCCTTCATCCGTCTCATTTCATCTCGGTCAAAGGCTCCGTTCTCGATCGTCGACCGGCGCTTTCAGCTTTCGTAAGCGCTCGAAAAGCGACCGACCTCACCAGACCTGCTGCAATGCGACCCGTCTTTTAGTCTGCTGTTGTTGCACGACTCGGAAAGCGCAGACAGACATCATCACCATAACCACTGCCTGGAGCCGTCTGGGCTCTTGATTGGACGTCTCGTCTGACATTCGACAACAACCTGCGCTTCCAATTCGGGGCAGAAACCCTCATCTATTGGATTGACGTCGGACTCGTGAGATCTTCAACCACAGATCAAGCACCATACTCTCAAGCGACGTTGTGTAGCTCATTTAAACCCAGCCTTTCTTGTGCCTTCTCGTCCAACAAAAGCACCTCCTTCACTCGTCAGCCGCCCGACGAACTGCAGTCAAATCACATCATGCCGTTGAAGAGGTCCTATGATGTCGCCGTTCACCAGAATCGCTCAACGTCTTGCCGTCACGACAGCACCGAGGCGGTGCCTGACGGTCCAGCGCCGCAGACAACTATCAGCGATACGGTACAGGGCAAGCAGCGCCGCCTAAGCTTCGTTGACGAGAATGGAGACCGTGCATCCGCCTCGACATCTTCACGGCCACGCACGCTTCCGAGCACCTCCTCGACCGCACGCTTCGTCCCTGGTCTGCAGACGTTCGTCGGTGGTCTTCAGATGTCGCAAGACATTTCCTTGCCTCGGCCACATGATGCATCTGCTGGCTCCTCATCGCGCTCGGCGACCCGTAGCTCCATCGATGCTCCGGACGCCATGCAGCCGCTCATGATGAGCCGCAATCCCGATTCCGAGCGTCGAGCCAGCCAGTCGACGGCACGTCGCCGATCAAATGAGACGGACGAAACCCATGGCGCATTGCCTGTTTCGCAGGAAGCGGAGCTCGTGCCAGGCGTCTCGCCAGGTTGGCACGTCGAGGCTCATGGTCGTCAGGCCATGGAGTTGCAGGACGGCATCCGCTACGAGGACGAGGACGGCTGGACGCCGCTCGAGGCCTTCCCCGCCTCGACAAGACAAGGAAAGCTCGCTGTTAAAAGAGCTAGAGTCCGCGGAAAGCAGCAGCAGCAGCATCACCATCACCACTACCAAACCCAACAACCATCAGAGTGGGCATCGCTGGTCGATCCCAAGACCGTTGCTGTGCTTCCAGCCATCTCCGTTTCAGCACCCGTCATCTCTCAAGGAGGGGCCAAATCCTCGATGCTGTCGCTGATGATGCAACCGGCGACGCTTGCGCCTGTTTGTGCCCCTGCACTAGTGGACATCGACATGATCGAGGATATCGTCGATACGCTCTCCATTCCCTTGCCCAACCTTCGGCCTACGAACAGGACGCAGCAGGCTTCGACGTCGAGTCTGCGACCGACGCCATCTCCGCACAGACTGTTCTCCTCTGTGCCAAGTTCGCCATCGTCTGCTGGCGCGACGACAATTGCCGATTCGCACAGCGATCTGTGTCCCGGCCCTTCCTATTCTCTGTCGGACTTTGAGGTCCTCGAGACGCTGGGAACGGGTACATTCGGTCGTGTGTTGCTAGTGCGCCTAAAAGACCGCGACATTTCGGACCGCTCGGCCTACTTTGCGCTCAAGGTGTTGGCGAAAACGGACGTGATCAAGCTCAAGCAGGTCTCGCATATCAACAGTGAGCGCAGCATCTTGGCCAAAGTGGATCACCCTTTCCTTGTCAACATGATCGCCTCCTTTCAGGATAGCAAAAATTGCTACATGTTGATGGAGTACGTCGTAGGTGGCGAGATCTTTTCGTACCTGCGACGCGCAGGTCAATTCTCAGCGGACGTCGCTCGTTTCTACATTTCGACCATCGTCCTCGCCATCGGCTACCTTCACAAGAACAAGGTCGTCTACCGAGATCTCAAGCCGGAGAATCTTTTGATCGACTCACACGGTTACACCAAAATCACCGACTTTGGATTCGCTAAGGAAGTGGAAGACCGCACCTGGACCCTCTGTGGCACACCGGAGTATCTGGCACCCGAGATCATCCAGTGTAGCGGACACGGCAGCGCCGTCGATTGGTGGTCCTTGGGCATTTTACTGTTCGAGATGCTGGCCGGCTACCCGCCATTTTACGACCCCAATCCCATCTTGGTCTATGAAAAGATCTTAGCAGGCAACCTAGTGTTTCCCGAAGGGATTGACCCGCTCTCCCGCGATCTTATCTCTAGTCTTCTGACCGCCGACCGAAGCAGACGACTCGGCAATCTTCGTGGCGGCGCAGACGACGTCAAGAATCATCCATGGTTCCATGGTGTTGACTGGAAAGCGTTGGAGGAGGGCAGGATCCCTCCTCCCATCGTTCCCTTCCTCGGACGTCCAGGCGACACGTCCAACTTTAGCAAGTACGAGCCGGCCAGACCAAGCGCCATGCCTGGACTCTTTGGCACCGATCAAGGCCGCATTGATCTCAACGCCGACCTCTTTCCCTCTTTCTGAGCTTGTCAAAGCGCTCAGTACCATTTCGCGACTCAAAGCGCTGACAGCTCGCTGTGATACCCTTCCCATTGTTTCTGACGTGCCTGGTCCTCGCATCTTTCCCACTGCATTTTCACATTTGTCCTGTTGCATTCTCTGTTCTCGTTCATTCGCTTTAGCAACAGCAGTCGTAAAGGCCCAATCCGTCTTTTCGCTCCTTTTGCTACTGCCTTCGTACTTCTCTCTTATTTTGACTTGCTAATACACAGACCCCTCGCACGTCCAGACTGTCGACCTCCTGAGACGCTTTTGTGGGTTTCAGATGCTTGTTGAGAAGCTTGATTTTATTTTTGTGATTTTATATTTTTTTTGCTGCCCAGATTTTTTGTGTCAAAGTGGAGCAAAGACCGTTGGAAGAAAGCAAGACGACAAATTTTGAAAGACACTTTGACAAAGAGCCACATCTTCGATTCTACACCTACACCTACACCTACACCTATACTTTGATATCGTCGGAAGCAGGACGACGCTACGAAAAGTATCGAAGAGGTATCAAAGTGGACGAAAATGCGCAATCTCTCGATTTTGTCACATCGAGCGATACCGCTGGCCTCGGAGTCTCCGCTCAGGATCGAAGCTACGACGACCGACCTCGACGATGGATCCGTCTATGCAGTTGCGACATCACGTACATCTGCTTCGGCCGCAGATGTGACCATACGCTTCCTTCGTGCAAGCGATCGGGGCGGAGCGTTCACACAGTTCAACTCGCTGCTCGTGCCTGGCCGCTTGCAGCCCTTGCCAGGTTCTTCAACATCAGTCGCTTCCACGTCCGGTCGCAGCGACAGGGACGTGATCGACTTCCACTACCTGTCTGACGGCGGGCAAGAAGTTCAAAATAAGCCAGCGCTCTGCACAATATCGGCCGGAGGGGATCTACTGCTGCTGCCTGCGCCGGCTGCGGATGACTTCCAGGACAACGTTCCCGCATCCGAGCCTGCTGTAGTGGGCACCATCGAGCAGGGCATTGCAGCCGCATGCTGGAGTCCAGATGACGAGCTTCTCGTAATCGTGACGTCGGAGACACCGGAGAATAGCTCATCAACAGGGAGGAGAGAGCCCGAAAAAGTCCTTCTCATGACTCGCGACTTCGAAGTTCTTTCCGAGCTCAGCTTACGCACCGACAACTTTGGCGAGGATGAGGCCGTCGACGTTGGCTGGGGAAGCAAGGCCACCCAATTCCACGGATCCGAAGGCAAGGCCGCAGCAGCAGCAGCAGCTGCTACCGCTGCAGCGGCGAAGGAGAGCAAGACCGACACTCGAGGACCAAAGCTCCCGGATGACGACGGAAGACCACGCATCAGCTGGCGTGGGGACGGCGCATTCTTTGCCGTCAGCTCGCTCGAACCGTTCCACCCATCCGTATCCGACAGTACGATAGAATCCATCTGGCACAGGATCATTCGCGTCTACTCACGAACTGGCGCACTGTCCGCTACATCGGATGCTTCCGTAAGAGGCATCTCTCAGACTCTTGCCTTTCGACCCATCGGCAACCTCATTGCAAGCACGCAGAAATTCGGCCCGTCAGACGTTCAGGGGCAGATGTGGAGTCAGGGCCGCAAAGGTCGTCACGATGTCGTCTTCTTCGAACGCAACGGGCTTCGTCACGGAGAATTCAGCCTTCGCGAGGAATCGGCATCGCAGCCGCAAGGCTCGCAGATCGGGTGGACCGATGCGCAAAAGGAAGGTCCATGGATCAGAACTCATTTGGTTCGAGAGCTTGCATGGAACGCCGATGGTTCAGCCCTTTCTGTTTGGCTCATTCGAGGCGACCAAGCCGAACCAGCACACGACGTGGTTCAGATCTACACGACGGGCAACTATCACTGGTACCTCAAGCAGGAGTTCGTCGCGTCGACGGATAGCGGCGTAGAGCAAGTCAAATGGCATCCAGAGGATCCGTTGCAGCTATCTGTCGCTCACTCGGATCGGGTAGAGCAGCTATCGTTCACGCACGAGACGGTGGCGTCCGGTGGCCGGCCTCCTGTTGACGTCGCTTGTGTTGCTGTTGCCGACGGCGCCGCGACGCTGCTGACGCCTTTCAGGATGCAAAACGTTCCGCCACCGATGTCGTCGCTCAGCTTGCTGACGCCCCCAGCTGACCCGGCGATGCGAGCGAGCGCAGCAGCAGCTGTCACGGTGCCTTGCCACACCGCTTGGTCGCAGCTGCCAGGCCGTTCTCCAGATGAGGCTGTTGGCTTAATGGCCGCTGTCTTTCAGAATGGCTCCGTTCAGGTTTGGCGCTTCGACTGGGGTGTGCTAGGTGGTGAGCTCAAGGTGGGCGGGAGGTCTGTAGCACAGCCGAAGCTGATCGCGACCGTGCGATTGCCGGAAACGCAAGGCAAGTTCTTAAGCGCCTATCAGATTGCTGTCGCAGGATGGGCATCTTCTTCTCTGACAGACGGCGAGGAATGCAAGATCTCGATTGCGGTCCTGAGCTCTGCTTCGCACGGTGCTCAAGTGGAACGTCTCGACTTGACCCAGACAAAGGGCGCGGATGTTTTGCAAATCACCCGACAATATCCAATTGAAGTCGCTGGACACGGCAAGAAGCGGGTCGTGGCAGACCCGTTCGTTTCCGTGTCAAAATCGTCGCCAAACTTTTACGTGGAGACCGAGGACGGCGAGGTACAGCTAATGGATGAGACCGGTCTACAGCCGTTGACCAAGCTGGAACTGTTCTGCTCAGACTTGCGTGTCCTCGCAAGCGGCAAAGCAGCTCACACGAGTAAGATCATCGGTCTTGCCTCGAACGGTCGATTGCTGGCCGAGGATCAAGTCATTGCTCGTGACGCAACATCATTCACGTTGGTAGGCAGCTTTCTGGTGTGGACCAACACATCACACGAGGCACGATTTTTGCCGCTCACGTCGCTGTTTTCGACGGCCACGAACGAGGCAAGAGAAGGACCTGTAGCAGAGGCGGTAGATCTCGGTCGACGAGTGGAGCGTGGCAGTCGTATCGTCACCGCTGTGCCGTCGGCCATGTCGCTGATCCTACAGATGCCTCGTGGTAACTTGGAGACCATTTACCCCCGACCGTTGGTACTCGAGGTGGTTCGACGCAACATTGATGCCAAACGATACGGTGCAGCTTTCCGCATCTGCCGCACGCATCGCATGGACGTCAACATTCTTTACGATCATGATCCACAGGCCTTCATGGCCAACGTCGCTACCTTCCTTCGACAGGTGGCCGATGTGGACTATCTGAACCTGTTCCTGTCCGGACTGCGAGATGAAGATGTTACAACAACGCTTTACAAGCCTCTCACGTCTCAAGTTTCGGCCGTCGATGCACCTTCATCGGCGCCTACTCCTGCATCCACGACCGGCAAAGTAAACAGCGTCCTCGACGCGATCCGTCACGAACTCGAACATCTCGATCCACGCCGATACATCCAATGCATCCTCACAACGCACGTCCGCAAGGTCCCTGCCGACTGCGAATCCGGACTTTCCCTTCTTCTCCGACTCAAAGACACCGATCCGGTGACGACGGAAGAAGCCGTCAGATACATCGTCTTCCTCGCTGATGCGGATAAGCTCTTTGACGTTGCGCTGGGCATGTACGACTTCACTTTGACGCTCATGATCGCCCAGCATGCCAAGAGGAAGGATCCACGCGAGTATCTGCCTTTCCTGCGCGAGTTGAGGAGCTTGCAGCCTGCCGAGTATCAGAAGTTCCGAATCGACGATCATTTGGGACGTCGGGAGAAGGCATTGGGTTGGCTGTGCAAGGCTGGGTCGGAACATCATCAGGAAGCGTTGGAGTATGCGGATAAGCATAGGTTGTACCACGAGGCGATCGAATTGTACACGGCAGAGGGTGGGGCGAGGTTGAGGGACGCTTACGAGCTTTTTGGAGAGTACCTTATGACGAGGAGAAAATTCGATGATGCTGGGACGACGTTTGAGTTGGCAGGGAAGAACAGGAAGGCGCTGGATGCGTACAGGGAGAGTACGAATTGGACACAAGCCATCAGACTGGCGTTTGTGGAAAAGCTGTCTCCAGCAGAAATCGTCGCCATGTCAAAGAGCATGGTGGACGACTTGGATACATCACGTCGATACACGGAGGCCGCTCGTATCGCGCTCGACTACATTCGCGACGTTGAACAGGCAGTGACTTTCCTCTGTCGAGCTGGCGATTTCGCCGAAGCACGACGCATCCTCACCACGTATTCCCGACTCGATCTCGTCGAAGTCACCCTCCACCCGATGCTCATCGAAGCTGCCGCGACGCTCACGGACGACCTCACCGAGATGGGCGAACAACTGTCCAAGCAGTTGGATCGCATCCGAGAGTTGCGAGAGAAACACGCTCTGAACGACGGATTCTACGGAGAGGAGAACGATCCTGCTCTCGACAACCTCGACATTCAATCCGACACCTCTACTCAAATGACCCAATTCACCCGCTACACCAGAGCCGCCTCGATCGCATCGCAACAATCCTCCCTCGCCACCTTCAGCACCAAATCCGGCAGCAAAAAAAAGTCGGCCAAGCTGAAGAAGAAAGAGGAACGTGCCAAAGCCGGCGGCAAGAAAGGAACTGTCTTCGAGGAAGACTACCTCTACACCTCGGTGCAAAAGCTGATCAAGGAGAGACTGGCTGCAGTCCAAACCGAAGCTGCCAGGCTCCTGCCTCATCTCATCTGCGCCGCATCGACTCAGATTAGAGCGAAGGCCAAGGAAGTCAGCACAGCTCTGACACACTTCGAAAGGGACGCCACCAGCGCAGTTGATACCCTCTGGAGTTACAGCCAGAAGGATGACGATGAACGGTTTGAGATGTTGGTTCGATTCGAACAGGAGTTGCTGGATAGCAAGGTGGCGGAAAATCCGATGATGGCGGCAATGGCGTTTAGAGGTATTGCAAACAGGAGAATTCCGAGGAGCAAGTTGGAGGTCGCCGAGAATCGATGGCGGTTGGTAGTGTTGGATCGGGATGCCTGACGTACAGATCACAAAATACGGCAATAGAGCGAACGAAGACGCCCTTGTGGCGATGCCGTCAAGCACAGTTGTGTGTGCGGAATGCTTTGACGCCAAACGGTGCAATTCGTCTAAATGTATCGATCGCCAAACGCTAGAGCTCAGCAACGACGGGATGCACGACCGCATTCTCGTCCAACCATCCCATGTAGTTCTTCAAAAAGTCATCCGGCAAATCCTTCGCCCCGCTGATCGTCTCTGCATCACCCACCAGCACCAATTGTCTCTTGGCTCTGGTCATCGCCACGTTCAATCTCTTCTTCTGAGCCAAGAATCCCACCTGCTGTTCAGCGTTGCTCCTCACCAAGCTGATGATCACCACATCCTTCTCCCTGCCCTGCATCGAGTCGATCGTGCCCAGTTCGATCTTGTCTGCATTGATGACGGTTTCGTCGGCGCGATTCTTTCCGGTGCTGGCGGGAGGGCCGCTGAATCGATGTGATCGGATGGTGGAATGCAACAGTGCGACTTGCGCAGAGTACGGTGTTAGGATCGTCACCTGTGAAGCGAGGAGTCCTCGGACGAAGAGTGACTCGAGATGCTTGACGACCAGTTCGACCTCGTGCACATTGGATTTGGAGTCGGCGAGAAGAATGCCTTCTTCAGGCGAAGGCGATGTCTCGTGAAACTCGCAGCCGGACGTATCGTAAAAGACGACCGGAGCGAGGAGCTCTTGCTCGTCCTCATCGGTTGGGGATGACTGAAGGGAGAGGTCCGGGAGGTCGGCGAGGCGGATGTCGGCGCACGATGGGTGAGCTGAGAGCTTGGACTCGTACAATTCCGTGTTTGGGAAGGACATGATCTCGTTGTTCATGCGATACTGGATCGACAGTAGGGATTTGATGCCAGGACCGTACATGCCGAGCGCTCGAGAGAAGAGCGTTGTTTCGAGTGAACGTGGCAGACGCAGTCGTGTGGGCGGAGCTTTCTCGAGCGAGACGTCTGAGAACTTTTCGGCGATTTGCGTATCATCGACGTCAGCATCTGCATCTTCGTCAACATTGACATCGTCTGTCTTTGCTGCGGGTTGCGGGCCACCATCGGCGAAGTCTTTGCCTCTGACACCGCCCGCCGTGTCCTTCCCGGAACTTTTCTGTTTACTGCTTTTCTTTCGAGATGCAGCCAGCGTCGACTTGACCGTCGGAGGGAGCTGCAGATGATCACCAGCCAGCACCAGCCTCGCGCCCTCTCTGGCCTTCAAAATCGGGATCCAACATGCAACCTCCAACGCCTGACATGCCTCGTCGATGATCACCCAATCATACTGTCTGTGAGCCAACTGCTTTCCACCGGCCGTGTGACACGTAGCCAACACGACCTGTGCTCGATCCAACACGCTGCTTGTAACTTGGCGGTCGCGTCGTCTATACTCTTTCCGCAACTCGCGCACTTCTTCCCATCGTTTCTTCCGATCGGACCCACGGATCTTTGGCTTGCCTTTGGTCGACTTGTTGCCAGCAGGTGCAGCGGTGGGCTTGAGCTCGCTCATGATGGACTCGATCTCCTTGCTGATATCTTGAACCAGTTGTGCTTCGGCTGATTGCGTACACTGCGCATCTAGAGTGGAGCCTTGAAGGTTGGCGACGACGCGAGCAGGGTGGCCGATTCGGGTGACGCCTACGCCCTTCTTCTTGAACACATCCCGATGCTCAGGTACGCCGACGAGCCGTTCGAGGATGTTGTCGACTGCCAAATTCGAAGCTCCACATACAAGTATGCGGACCGGAGCCCCAGCTTCAGCTGCGCCGAAGTTGGACGCGACGATCTGCATGATGAGCTCGACGATAGCTGTCGTCTTGCCAGTACCTGGAGGTCCGTGAATGAGAGAGAAGTGGTCGGCGGAAAGCGCATGCCGAATGGCGTTGAGCTGCGTGTCGTTGAGATTTTGATTGAAAGGCGATGATGGAAGGTCGGTATCGTGCCATGTCGGCTCGGACAAGCCGAACAGGCCGCGGGTCAGGCTTGTCGCGTTTGCCGACGATGATGACGACGGCGAAGGCTGTGCGGCCTCAGCCTCGTCGGCAGATGTATCTGCTTTGGATTTGGATGAAGTGGAGAGCGTCAAGCCTAGTGCTTTGGCCAGTTTGTCGAGCGTCGCCTCCAGGCGATCGTACGTGCTCTCGTTTGCCACCTTGACGAGTCTGATACGCTCCGGCAAGTCGAGGTCGTTCCCAGAGACCTTGTTGCTGTCACCCGTGCGTACGTCGCGCTTGTTCTGGCTCTCTGGAGTCTGCTCCTTCGCACCACCTTGTTTCTTCCCATCGCTTATCGCCAGTACGATTCGAGTATCATTCGCCTTGTATACGACACCTTGCACTAGCCCTGCTTCGTTTGTAGCCTGAGGATCGGCGCCGTTGTCTAGAATCGCTGCCAGGTCTCCCGAGCGGAAAGTGTGAGGTGGGAAGTTGGGGGAACTATGGTGTGCCGAGGGTCTCTCGAGCTCTACCAAAAGCTTGGCACCCACGCCGATGCGTATCGAAGCGACGCTCAAGCCGAGCAGAGCAAGACCATGTTTCTCGAGAATCTTTGGTGCGGTTTTAGAGAGGAGAAGCTTCGACTGTGCTTGCTCTTCCTTTCGTTCCTCTGCCAGAAGGCGTGATTGTGCTTGGAACCAGCGCAGCAGCAGCTCCTGGCTTGGCGGCTCGGGCCTGCGCAGTGCAATTGGCATGCTCTCCGATGTGTGACTTGATTATGGGAGGGCGCACGAGACCTGCTCGCATGCTCGATGTTCTGAAAAAAGGGACAGGATGGCAAGAATCTCGCCCTTGCTTCCTCAACTGAGCTTCGGAGCATCCGCACGGGGCCTGCCTGAAGCTCGAAAGAGTCAAAAAGGAAGCTCAGATTTTTATGCAGCGGCAGGTGGAGGTTGTGCAGCGCATGGCGCGTGCGCTCAGCACGAGGGTGTCGATCAATCTACCTTTTTTGACCGTCTCTGTACACTGTATTTTCTTCCCGAAGTCACTCCTCTCTTCAGCAACGTGCAACTCGAGTAGATGGCGAACAAATCTTGCTGAGGAGTAAGTCTTTCACACTGAACACTGAGGAGTGACCAGGGGAAGCACACAGAACACGCGATCTTCCGGATGAACAGGTTAAACCTGACTTCAAGCACAGGCTTACTTCTCCGAAGATACGTGGTTGAGCGAAAACGAGCTTGCAATAGTGTGCCCAAGTATGCGAAGGCCATGCACCTAGTCTTTCTTCTTCTCGTCTTTCGCCTCGTCCTTTTTGGCATCCTCTGCTGCTTCCTTGCTGCCTGCCGAGGTGCCGTTGGTGAGCGTGTTGGATGCCTCCTCCTCAACCTTCTCGTTTTCTCGTCGATTGTTGATCAGGCCGTGCAGAGCGATCACAGCACGGATCAAACTCGAGAGGTAGACGACCAGTAATCGGTCGTTGTTGTCGACCGCAAACGACTTGGCCGCCTCGCTGTTCTTGTCCAGATCTGGCAACAAGTTGAAGATGTCCTGCAGGTCGTAGATGATCTGGTGGTTGACTGGCAATTTGCCTTCCACAACTGCCTCCAAGTAGTCACGGATCTCCAAGAGCCGCGATTGCAATCCGCGCAAACTCGAAAGCTGGCTCGATACACGCGTCGACAGCGTCCCGACTGCTGTGGTGTCGCGAATGTCGCGCAACAGATGCTCGACACCGATCTCCTCCGCCTCTTCTGCTTCAATGGTGCTCGGAACGTGCATGAATGTCTTTTGTGTCGCAGTTCCGTCATCCTTGATTTCCTCCACGGCAAAGTAGGCATCGGTCGGAATGCCGACATCCCTCTGCCTTGGGTTGACAATCACCATAACCGGTCGCGGGATGAAACGCTTCATCAGCTCGTTGATCTCGAGATCTGACGAGCGCAGTCGAGGACCTGTGTGATACCATCCCACCATCTTCTCGCGTGCATTGACCTTTTTGAACATTTCCATCATGCCGGTGATATAGTCGTGATCCAAGAACCACGTCTTTGCATCCCGCTCGTCTTCCTCAAAGGGCACTGCGAAAGAGTTGGCCACATTGATCGTCTTGCCGTTGTTGAGCTCTTGTCCCAGCAGGACACCAACGACTCGTTTGCGCGAGCCGGACGCTGATCTCGATGCATGATCTGTGACGGAGAGAAGTACCAGGGGGTGAATGATGACATTTGTGCTCGAAAGGCTGATTGTCTGTTGCGCATCAAGGAAGATGAGAGATGCTTAGTTAAGGTCGCTACTCAAGAGCGCAGCAGGTGCGCAGAGGGACAATCTGCACTTACTTCTTGTGTTGTGGCCGGCATCCTTGCGGTGTTCGTTTTGATGTACTGGGCCTGTTCGGCGACCGTTTTTATAACAGCGCTAGCAAAGGGTGTATGCGAGATTGGTAACGCAGTATCTTCCCGGCTTCAAAGGTCGTCGCTAGTGATGAAGGTCGCGAGAATGGTGGTAAGAGCTGTAAAGTGTTGAACTCTCGATCTGGCTCACGACTCCACTTCGGCTTCCAAGGCGACGCGCATGCCCGATCACAAAGAACGCGGACCACTGCCTGTTAAATTGATGTTTGCTTTTACCGGAATTCGGTGTGTGACCCTCCACTTCCCAAGGATGCTCGTCAAGAAGATTGAAGTGACCAAGCCGCTTCTTTCGGCCTCTTCGGCCACATCGAACAGCAAGAATCGAGGACGATCAATGCTGTTGCGGTCCAGCTTGGAATAGAATTGGATTCCCGGGAGGGACGACATCTGGAAATCGATATGGCAGCCGCTCGTGCGATCGAAGGGGTCAGGTCGTGTCGTTCCTCAACGGTTCGAACTTGGCCACAAAGCTTACTGTCTCGAGGACTGCTTTCCTCGTACCTTGCTGCCTCGACAAGTCTCTCAAGGCTACTTGGAACACGTATACAACCAATCTCCTCTGATTCTGCCGCGACTGCGATCTCGCAAGACCCTCACTTCCTCACGAGACGAATAGCAGACGAACTGCGCTTACCGATCTTCGCTGCTTCCGGAGACCAGTTGCATCTACTCGAGGATCCATCACATTTCTACCAGACTCTGAAAGAGAGAATAGCACAAGCCAAGCATCGTATCTTCCTCGCCTCTCTGTACATCGGCAAAGAAGAGACAGAGTTGGTCGAACACCTGGAATCGGCGCTAGACAGGAATCCAGCACTGCAGCTAACAATCCTGGTTGATGCACTCAGAGGGACAAGGGAATCGGCTCCTACACCATCATGCGCTGCTCTGATCTCAAGACTACGCGCCAAATATCCAGACAGGGTCAGCATTCGGCTCTATCACACGCCAAATCTCAAAGGCTGGCTGAAAAGAATCGTGGGAAAACGCTTCAACGAAGGCTGGGGACTGCAGCACATGAAAATCTATGGGTTCGACGACGACGTGGTGCTGAGTGGCGCCAATCTTAGCCGAGACTACTTCACGAACCGGCGCGACCGCTACTTGCTGATCGAGAACCACGAGGTCATTGCGAACTACCTCCACTCGCTGGTGCATCTTGTCGGCCAGTTCAGTTTCCGGCTGGAAACTGACTCAGAGAAGCACACGTCGACCGAGAAGGACACACGGCAGGGCTGGAAACTGATATGGGACGGAGGTCAGGATGATGCTACTGCTTCAAGCAGCGACACAGCCTCGCAGCTCTACCCAGAATCGGGCTGGACGGATGCGGCAACCCAAGCTGTCATAGAATTCACTCGACAATGGCATGCTCGATCGTCTTCTTTGTCGCCCATCGCGGGCAGCAAGAAGGAGGATGCCGATACGCTGCTCATTCCATTGCTTCAGATGGGACCGTTGAATGTCAGGCAGGAGACGCGAGCGATTCCGCAAATCCTCGAGCTGGCTCTCGAGGCTCCTGATCAGGACGACTCGCCGCCGACGCTGGCACTCACCTCCGGATACTTCTCCCTGTATAGACCATACAAAGCGCTCTTGCAACAGGCTAAAACGGCGCGTAGCGCCATCGTCAAGATCATCTGCGCGGCCCCCGAAGCCAACGGCTTTTTCCAATCCAAGGGTGTCTCGGGATGGATTCCAGAGGCTTACACTTGGTATGAGTATCAATTCTGGAATGCGCTTCGACGTTCCAACAGGCTTTTGCGACAAGATGGCAAAAGGATCCAAGACGGAGGCGTAGAGATCACAGAGTGGAAGAAAGAAGGCTGGACCTACCATGCGAAGGGGATCTGGTACTCTCCTCCGCCAGCCAAGGGATCGAACGAGACAGCCGCACCCAAGATGGTTCACGTCGGCTCGAGCAATTACGGATCCAGATCGGCCGACCTGGATCTGGAGTGCACCTTCTTGATCTCCACCCAATCGAAAGCGCTCTCGCAAAGGTTCAAGGACGAATACGCCACACTGGACAAGGATGCGAACGACCTCGTCAATGAAGATCTATTCCAGAGATCCGATCGAAAGGTGCGCAGGAGAGTCAAGATTGCATCCAGAATTTTGAAGGGCATGCTGTGAATGGCCATTTTCCTTCTCGCAGCTGCCCTGTGTCACCATCGTATCACATACAGATGCCTCGTCCCTCACCCATAAGTAAAGATACCCAACAACATCAGTGCTAGGTGCATCCCATGAAATGCAATACCAAGATAAAGCATGCCAATTTCGTCTGTGTCAGCGAGAAGAGGGCTTTCGTGCAGGCACGGTTCCTACCTCCATAAAGGCGGTTAATCGGAAATCGGATATCGCGCTGCAAAGCCGCAAGAAGAAAATGTGACACTTGCTGAGTATCTTCAGGCAAGCTTATCTTCTCCACAAGGAGTCACCCCGACCCATCACAGATCAGATCAACAAGGCCTTCCAAATCTCTCAACATGGCATCAGCGGCCTCTGCAGGAACCTTTGAAGCGCGTAGCGCCACCGTCTCGCGCGTTACCAACGAGACCAAGATCCAGGTTTCGCTTTCATTGGACACGCACCCTACCCTCGCACCACAAACCATCAGCGTCAAGACTGGTATCGGCTTCCTCGACCACGTAAGTAGCACATCAATGGATGGATGCGGATGTGAGGAATGGTGGAATTGACTAAATTGTCCCTTTTGTGATTCCATCCTTCGTTTTCTAGATGCTCCATGCGCTCGCCAAGCACGGCGGGATGTCGCTGACCCTGGCCTGCGACGGCGATCTCTGGATCGATGATCACCACACTGCCGAAGACTGCGCACTCGCTCTCGGAGCAGCATTCAAGAAGGCGCTCGGTCCCGTGAAAGGTATCAAGCGTTACGGAACCGGCCACGCTCCACTCGACGAAGCGCTCAGTCGCGCCGTGATCGATATCAGCTCGCGCCCTTACTGCATTGCAGAACTCGGGCTCAAGCGAGAGAAGATTGGAGACCTCAGCTGCGAGATGATTCCGCACGTCTTCCACAGCTTTGCGATGGAGGCGGGCGTAACGCTGCACGTCGACTGCTTGCGCGGTGACAACGATCACCACCGCTCCGAGTCGGCGTTCAAGGCTCTCGCTCTCGCCATCAAGGAGGCAATCACCAGAACCGGATCGGACGACGTTCCCAGTACCAAGGGTGAGTATGCTGCTTTCTCTGACGCTCAGAGCAGCGAGCAACGAGCTTCGATGCAGGCTATGCGGCTGCTGACTCTTTTATTCTCTTCATGTGACACCAACTTTGCTTTGCGTTCCAGGCGTTCTTTGAGTCGAATGGCACAGCGATATGTATCTTCTAGCGCTGCAAAGACAATCAATCGCCTCATTTTCTGCTCTTTGCTCGCAATCATATCGTGGTCAACTGCGATCTTTGAGGCACTCATAACAAATGCACAGTTTGTCGCCTGCCAGTAGCTCAACTGCGATTGACCCGATTTTGAACCGAATCGGTCGCACCATCTACGAATCGGCAGATCTGGCGTCCGAGTGTCTGGCATTCGATCCGAGCCGCGACGAGGACCGATGGCGCCCGATATATTTATCTCCTCGAATGCGAGAGGTTTGCATAGGTTTTCATAGGTTGAGGATGTCAACCCAGATCTGCTTCGGCAGGCAGTCGCGGCAACAGCCTTGTGAGATAGCCGCAGAACCGCCTCGCATGATGGGTCGACACTTGTCCACGACAGCGACTAGCACTATCCACATCAGCCGATGCACCAGTGAGAATGGGCAAAACACTTCTGAAGCTCAGGCAGGATGGCCAGACTCAAGCGTGTGCTGCACGGAGCTCGACGTTTGCGGGGAATGCACCGATTGAACACCATTTCATGAATGCCGTTCTGCCTCACTCGACTCGGGATATGGACTGACTTAGCTCGGGATTGACTTTTCTGGGATGGCACTCATGGCAACCCAGCCAATGACGTGGCTTGCAGGTTGTCGGCTCCACACTTTGTTGCCCTACTTGCTTGATCGCAGGTTGTGTGGCAGCGCCAAGTCCTACCTAGAGCAAGGTGAAGCTAATTCCCGGACATCTTGAACTTCACTTTTGACGGCTGGTGCCGGAATGGTTGAGCATATACACGCGAACCAGGTCGGGCTTCTCGGTCTGCGGGCATAACTGATGCTGTGAGAGTCTCGGGTCGTGGCAGACAATCCAACACAGCGGAGGGTCGCGCCAACACTATTTTCGGCTACAAGACGTTCTTCTAGCGAGTTCAAGCCCCTTTCTGGGTCGATCAGGTTTTGTACCACCACCACACACACGGTGTCCACACTTGATCGCGAGCAAACAATAGCGTGCATGTTCAGGATCCCTTTGTTCGCTTCTCATTACTGTGCGGCACACAGATCGTCTCAAAGACCAACACCAATCAGCTGCGTGACATTGCTCAGGTGACACCAGCACAGAACAGGCAGACTAGCGAGACTACCATGCCGCGGCATGTGTTGCTTGCTAGGCGACGACGGCCGGTTGTGCCAAAAGCCAAGCGAAACGTGGCTGAGACCTCCCGGACGCGCCGTTGCAGGGGCAGCTAACAATGGCGTTCCGAGTAAGAAAACACTGCCGAAGTGCCGAGGCTCGTCATTTCACAGGATAAAGTCGCTCGCTTCTCTTGGTCGAAGCCGCAGCATAAAAGTTTCGGCGCTAATCACTCCCGACGCACACCAAGCCACGCCTAATGTTCCTCGACATCGAGTCGTCTGGGCATGAATGGTGCTTGCGTTCGTCTACTCGACAGACGGTCTGGACCCCACTCCAGACTCGCTTTGCTCAGCTAGCTCTTCGGAGCCCAGTCGGCAGTGTCGCAGGTGTGTGCAGGGCGTCGTCGCTTTTCTAATTGACCGACAAGCTGGCACCATCACGCCCTCTTGCAGTCCAGTTTCTGTTCCAACGGTATGCTAGTTCGCTGCAGGCCAGATTTGTGCACCTCTCCGAACGCCGGCACCAGCATTGATCCGTAACTCAGCTTCGACGCCTCGGTGCTGAACGCAGGATCAGAAGCAGAAGAGACAAGGACTACGACGTCTGGCCACGACGTTTATCGTGCCTTCCGTTGCAGCGAAGATCGCCCAATCTCGAACATCTTCGAAGATGCCAACAGGCAAGCGCGCGATTCAGAATTTGCCATATGCTAAATCGAACCATGATCAGCAATCGCTCTAACAATGCAGACTGACGCACTAAGATACCACGATGAACGTGCAGTTGCCACGAGAGACGATAGATGGCATCGCCTCTCGCTGTCTGCTGCAAGACGAGGCTAAGCGAAGCGAGCAAAGCCCGCGTCGTGGCCTCGCTTGGTCTGGCTGCAGCAACACGCGTATTGTCCCACGACTCGTGGCAACTGCACAGAGTTCCCGACACCATGGATCGAATGTCGTCCACCAGGATGTCGCCTGTCGTGCACCGTCACTCGCCAAATTGTCCTTCGATGCTTCGTCGTGTGAAGATGGGATCCAGAATGGCACCACTTCAAGACCAGGGTACGTTCTGCTGATCCCCACCTCGCTGTGAAAATTATCACGCTACAGTCTATGCTCAGACAGGTGAGTCAAGGTCATCGTTCGCATTGAACAGCAAGTCCTCGGACGACTGACCTCGATAGCTGAAGTTAACGTCGGCCGACTATCTTAACCCGAACCCCATTAGCGTTGCGCTAAGTCGCACTGAAGGTGCCGCAGGGGTAAGGCCTCGATCTTGAAATCGAAGGGAGATGAGACATGCTCTTATTTTTTTAGAGTATTGGGGCACTGCAGCTCACAAGAAGGTGGGTAAGGCGGTTCGTACGACGGCCACTATTTAGCCTATCTTGGCAAACGAACAGCACATGCTGTTGCAGATCCATCTGGCACGTTTGTCCGCTTGACAGCTCCGAAGGCTGCTTCGTTATGCTTTGGTAGGTCGGCCTTAGCAGAACCACAGATCGTTATCGAGCCGCTAGCCCCCAAGCATCTTGGCATCTCACATTTGGGAAGGTTCTCGCTGCAGATATTGCGATCGACCAGAGAATATGCACTGGGCACAGCCACATACAGCAGCGACAGCCGCAGGGCCGCTGCGGTCACGGTCTGCGAGAATCTTGATCCAGAATGCCAGGTCGAGAAATGTATGGAGAGCTAGACAGAGGCGGCACAGTGTTTGACTGGAACCCTAGAAAGGCCGCGGCATGCGGCAAACTCGCCGTCCCCGCCTGGCTGCGAGTACAAGACTCGCGTCCTTGTGGGAGTCGTGCGATACCTTGCGTGCGGCACCGAGACGCTGGTCTCAAAGCGCAGTTCGGGCGATCATTCTCTGCGATGTCAAGCAGTAATCTTTGTTCAGGAAGCTAGATCGGGATCGGATGTCGACTGTTTTGGGCGACAATCTGCGCGTACGACTTCGTCGAGAATTGCGGCAGTAAGAAAACCAACCTCAAGGACCTGCCGTCACTAGTGTAGGGGACGAGGGTCGGCATGCTCGAATTCATCAACATCCGCTGTTTCAATGTTGCATAGGGCTGGAGAAGACGACGGGCAGCTCGAATTGCTCTTCGCTATTGCTTGGAGGGTCGCTAAATGATGATCCGTTCAGATGCCCAGCAGACGTCTCGGTAGGAGTCCAGGCGAATACTGTACAATGTCGCCAATGGCGAACTCTGATGTCTCATCACAGCTACCCAACGTTGTATGGGATCTGCTTGCCGCATACACCGTGTCTGGTCGCCTGGCCAGTTCGTACAAAAAGTTCATACTCCGATGCAGGTCATTCAGGAACGAGACGTCGAGCGGACTTGTGAACCCTTTGCGAAGATTCGACCTTGAACAAGGCATTTCCTCCGTCTCGCATTCAAGTCGACGTCACAAAGAAGCATCGTGCCGCATACATAGAACTCTGTGCATGCGCATGTTGTGGTGCGGGACTGCAATTAAAATTGGGGTGTCCAGCAGTACAGCGATGTGTCTGCCTCGAATGGACGAATGTCGCTCTGTTCCTGATTTTCGCTTCGTCGTTTTCAGATTCCGAAATGGTTGTTGGTGCTTGGAAGAGTGTACAGTATGCGCTGTCTGCTACTCAATCCAGCGTTGCTTGGAAGCAGCCAGGAAGCTTTTTTCAAACCAAAGAGAACGTGTGTCGAAGAGCCTTCCCAAACCGGTATAGAATAATGACAGTCGCCAGGCAGATCTGTCACGAGCCTTGACATGTTTCGCGTTAGCAAAGACGGCGTTCACCAGCCAACGCGTGCTCGCTTCGCCCTCGACTGTATTGTCAACCGCCTCATGTGGATTCATGCGTTGCCGCTACGCAGCTTGCGGTGCCGCGGCGGGCGTTGCATCCGGGAGTCCGGCATGCGACCGCCGCCACGGAATGCCTCTCCATAGCGGGATGAAAAGCCGAATCGCAGCGAGGGCGCAAGCTGAAATAATGCAAGTGGCCGCGGCTGTTGCTGACCTATGAGAGCAATGGATGAGAGCAATGGCTGAAAATAGCTTGGCTGCTGGTCTGAGCCTCAAATGTCGAGATGCGTCCATCCCATCGTCGGACCCTGGAATAGGAAACTCAGGTGGATGGCGGAGAGGTTTCGCTGAGATTAAGTTGCAACGGGCTTCAACCTTCAGCCACGAAAAACTTTGGCTACGCCCTCCGCACCGCCAGATCTCGCTCTTTGCAGCTCGTCTCTGTTGCATCTCTCCGTCACCTTCGACACATTAGCTGTTTCAAAGCTCGTTGCTCATGTTGAGTCGCAAAGGCGGTGGAAGCGGACACCTGAAGGAGAGACCCACTCTCTTTATAACAATACTTAGCAGTGATGTTTTGGTCGCCATGGTCGGTGAATCCGCCTGTGTGCTTGCGATCGCCATTCTGTATCTCAGCGGTTTTCGACTTGCCATTTCCGTCTCGGATCGTGTCAGGCCTCGTGATGAAGTCACCAATCGCCTCAATCTCGCTCGCGCCGCTCGACCGAATGCAGCAATCAGGGCATCCTTGTCAGTCGACACTAAGTCAACGTCTGCCGCCCACATCTGTTGATGTAAGAATAGCCAACGATGAAACGCCAACATGAGCCGAAAAGCTGCTTGCAGTCAAGCATGAAATTCGATCCCCACTCTAGAGCGGTGCAGTTCTGGATGCTTTGCTCCAAACTGTGCTCCTACTGAGGCGGTCGTGCTCGTCGACGACTCATCGCAGCATGACAGAGCCTCTCGTCCGCGTCACTTTCTCGCGCTACGAAGTGAGCGTCAAACGAGGCGGGCAACGATGATGCCGGCCTTAGGTGCATACGGCGGCTGCAAGACCCTTGGCAGCCACGGATCAACCCTTTTTGGTACTTACCGAGCCACACTGGTCCGTCGCCTTCCGCAGCCGAAGACAATTCACCGATGCCTACGTTAAGCAGACGCATTTCCGGGTCCTATCTGAGACCAGCTCGGGTTTCGTCGTCGAGGGGCTCGATTTCGCACCTGCTGGACGCCGTCATGCGTGGCTGTGGTGGGTGTGAGATGCGGTAGCGTCTTGCAGATGTTGCCTTGCATTGCACTCCCTTGCTCGCTCGCACCTCTGTCGGTGCGCGCTTCGGCTTCCCGCTCCCCTCCCTCTCATTGCATGCATGTCTGCAACGTCGCTTGTGGCCCACAGAATAATGCGTTGACGTTTAGCTCACATGCACAAAAGAGAGAAAGCAAGCCCAAAAGCACACCCGCAATGCCACAAAAAGTGGCTGGTGAGCGTCGAGCCCTCCGACAGACTAGCCTGAATGTACGTAGGAAGCTGATTGAGCTTTTTCCTTTGTCGCGCTTGCTCCTGCACGGGATGTCTCTCGGAGCTCGATCTCGATGGCTCAGTGGCCCTTCGTCGCCTGCCGGGTGTCACCAAAATTTCGAAGCTGTCTCACTTTGCCGGCGCTCTTGCATCCCGATACGCACAGCGCTTTCCGACTAAGTCACCCCGAGCCCGGGGCTCGGGCTGAGCTTTAGCGTTTCTCGCTCATATGGTATGACACCCATGTGCCCGAATGTGCTGTGTGTAGACCGCTGCCCCCCCTTGGCACCGCTTTTCGTTGGTATCCATTTTGGTCCCCCGTCTTGCGCTGAAGAGCAACAGGCACGAGACGATGTTCCAAACGAGTGTACTACCCGTCGTTCGAAGCGGTTTCAGACAAGCTTTCCTGCTTGGGCGTGGCTTTCTTCTGGGCGTCGTATTGCATTGGTCGCTCCGTCCTCCCCTTCCCGCCGTCTGCCAGTGTTATTGATGACAGACAATCCACCTGCGCTTTGCTCGCTGGTCCCACACCGCCCGTGACGATTCGGCACGCCGCGCAAGCGCCTGGCGTGGCCTGACTGCGTCTTGGGTACAGGATTGCATGGTTGGTCACCCTCGCCTGCTGTGTGCTCCGTTGGCACAATAGGCCGCAGGTGGGGCGTAGTTGGCGGTAGCAGCACCGTGGTTGTCGCTTCTAGACCACTAGTTCCATTTCGCTTCTTAAACAGTCTGGCCTCTCGCTCTCGTGTTTCGCTTCAAGCTCCGTTTCTATTGTCCTTGATGTATCATCTGTCCTCTCTCGGTCGTCCTTCATCCATCTTTGCTACAGGCGACCAGCGAACACACCTTCGCAGCCCGTTGCCCCTCGCTTTACCGTACATGAGGCCCAGCCTCTTGCCGCCTCCCGAACGATTCTTAGGCCACTTGTCACACGTCTTGCCGTGATCATTTCGATCGGCTTCCTTCTCATCCATCACACCTCCGCCAACTTCCTGCCACGTCTTGAAGCGACATTGCGACGCCCTTCTTCCAAGCTACATAATCAGCCCTTGCCTCTCGCCATTGTCCAAAGTCAAGCTTCTCCGCGTAGCAGCACTTCGATCGGCATCCCTCTGTCAAGCAACTTCACTCGAAGCACAACAGTGTTGCATTCCGCCCATCTACGTAGCGTCTGCATCTCAGCTTCCCGACACATACACTCGCCCGCTCCACATCATTGAGCCACACTCTCGAAAGAGTAGCACAGCCTAGCATTAATCAGCGACCGCCGACCACGTATCAGTCTTTTGACCTCATCCGTTGGCATCTTTCACAGCTCAGTCGGGGTTGCACTCTCCATTGGCGTACACTGCCAGCTGTGGACGTGCTTCATCCCAGTTGACGAGATCCATGTCTGAGTCTTCAGCGACGTCGCACAACACCTCTCGACCTGCTGCGACGCTCGTGCCCTCCTGGCCTCAATTGCCTCGACCAGCGTACGCGCTAGCTCCTATTCCTGCGTCTTCAATCGTCAGATCCACTGCCGCTCGAGCCGCCGCCAGCGCCTCGCTGCGCTCTTCGAGCTACGAGAGATCCGCGCCTTACCCATCAGCAAGACCACCTCGTGTCGATATGCTCCAGGTACAGCCACCAGCAGTCACTTCTGCCGCGCATGAGACAGAGCTCTTTCGCACGCGTCAAGCCTTGCAGTCTCATCTCGCCCAGCGGCAGCAGCCGCCAGCGTCATCGAGGCCACCGGCAAATCAGCCGTCGCGCAGTACCACGAACAATCTTCATTCGCATTCCGCCGATACGAGCTCCAGCACACAATCTGGCGCCAAAGAGGCTCAGCACAAGGTGTATCTGCTCAACTGCAAGCACTGCGGCAACTTTTTGAGCGACCGTGGTATGAAGGCAGTGCTTCTCCTCAAGCCCAACATCACTCTATACAGCACCGACATCGTCCCCTCGACGTGCGGACCCTTCTTTGGCGGGTCGGCATTCCACGGCGGCGTCGACTCGAGCGAGGCGCCAGTGGAAAGAACATGTCAATGCTTGACGCAGAGTCTGGGATGTTACGGGTGCGGCGCTCAAGTTGGCTACAACATCATCTCGCCATGCGCACGCTGCACAAGCAGCGTGATGAAGCACTCCAGGAGCTCCAACGGCCACCGCACGGTGCTGCATTGCTCTGAAATTGCTGTTCGGGAGCGCCGCTACATCCCTGGCGAACCGGGAGTTCGGCCACAGCCGACTCCGTGTAGCTCGCAGGCGAGCTTGAATTCTGCACAAGTGTATGCTGATCCTTTGCACGACGAGCGCCTCAGTCAGACCGCGCAGTCGGACCTCTTCCGTCGCAGCAACGTGTCCCGTCGAGACATCTACAGGCTGCAGTACGGATTCTATGAGGAAGAGCTCGAGGCGGAAAAGGCCGACGCCAGCTCGGCTCTTTACTTCGAACAAGCGCAACAGTATCGCGACCTCCGTCCTTCGGGCTCTCCGCCGGCCCACGATCCAGACTCGGCTCCTTTCGGTGGCAACAGGGTCGCTGCCTCTTCTTCCTCCTTCTCCTCTTCATCGAAGAAAGGGCGTGTACTTCAGAGGGGAGATGCTCTGTACTGGAGCGACCTCATCGCCGGCGGCGAACGAGCCCAGCCCTTCGACCCAGATGCGATCCTCGAGAGGCCTGTCGTAGGACGATAAACAGTACCGCCTCGGCATGCATCCGCGATCCTTGCTCTCACCGCCGCGTTCCACACCCTGCACCTGCACACCTTCATCAGCTCCTCTAATATCTTTCTCATCGTCATCGATTCTTACGCAACGATGCTTTCCCGCCATTGCTCCGAACGAACACACTTAATCACTACCTTTCTCGTTCCTCGTACATATACTTTGCATCCGTTCCTCTAATACCGCTTTCCATATTCTCTATGTTCTTTTTCCTCTCTTGCTCGCTCGCCCCTTTTCTCCATGGCTACCACCTTTTGCATTTCCTTTGCATCTCAGGTTCTCGCTAATCTAATAACAAGTTCTGTCTATCTCTTACCATTCCTGTGTCCTCGGCGACGCCGCCCTTGGTGATGACCATGGTTCCACGGTTGAACATGTGAGCCAGCCCTTCTATCCGAGGCGCTCAACTTAGACTGAAGGTGTCACATTGCAGCGATGCATCAAACCTGGGCGGTTAACAAGCGAAGGATCCTGCAGCAAGCCGCAGCCCACCTCATCTGGCATTGGAAAGGGGCGGCACATCGCAACGTTGATGAAGTGGAATCCAAAAATTACTATTTACTGTTGAAATTCGACCCTTGAAAGACTGTGACTGCTCTGCAACCGAATCTTGGACCAATCCGTCACGCTCTGTCTTTTCTCTCAAGGCGCGTGCCAACGAGTCGGTCTCACCGGTCGAGGTGTTGGACTGTAGCTGCGTTCGGGCCGCGTGACAGCAGGGTGGAGTTTTGGCAAGTTGGATGTGTGCTTAGAGAACGCTTGCCTTTTGACAGCTCCCAACGCTGGACGTCGACTGAGCATCCTCTGCACGTCCTTGATCGACGACTTCGCCATCGTCGGCCTTTTCGACACCGGTGACAGCCAGTTACGCAGCAACTCCCGCACTCTCGAATCCAGGCTTTTGCGTACTTGCACCGCGATCTGATTCGACCCTTGTCATCGAAGGCTCTGTTCGCTTCCCAGTCGCGACGTCGGACCTTCGCCATGCAGAGCCACATCTACGAACTAGGCCTGCTTGGTGGGCGATGCTCCGACATCCGCATCAAAGCATTTGGTCGTCTCTACCACCTGCATCGTCTCGTCCTCATCCAGTCCGGCTTCTTCCGTGCCATGCTCTGCGGCGGATACGCAGAAGATCTCGCCGCCGCTTCCGCCGCGGCTACGCTCAGCAAACACAACAGCCATCGTGAAACACAAACTTCCTTTTCACCCCTGCATACAACCTCGTCAACGTCCCTCAACAATGACGTAGTGGAGTTACACTTTGACGATCCTAACATTAGCAGAGCCGCCTTTGAATACTGCATAGCAAGACTGTATGGCGACGGTCCCAAATTGGTCCTGCCTTTTTGGTCTTCTCCAACCTCTGAGCATCCATTTTCTCTGGCTCTCGCTATGCGCCTGTCTCCGCCAACGGATACGAAGATGCAAACCCTTCTGATCGACAAGCGTTCCCATCCAGCTACGCCTCGGTTCTTGCTTTCGCTGCTCGCAACGTCTATCTACCTCAACATTCCCAGCGTCACCGCTCAGGCGCTCACTCTTGTGCTTTGCTCAATGACACCGTTCACAGTGACACAATACCTGCGCTTCGCGATTGGTTGTGGGATAGAGGGCACAGACCTACATCGATCTGCGTCGGACGAAATGCTGCACGATCTGGAGGAGTGGGACTGGGAGCTAGAGGGTCCAGCACGAACGCTCGAACAGATCGCACGTCTCGATCCGGAACTCGGCACGTCCACGCGCTCACGGCCATCGAACGACCAGACACCCGGTCACAAGGCAGAAGCCTCGGACCAATTCTCGACAGAATTCTTTGGCAAGCTTCACGTTGCCTCTCCCTCCGCATCGCGCGAGACTTCACAGAGTCGATCTGGACAAGCGACTCGTACACCCTGGTTGGATACTCGATCGCAGGCAACAAGTCTAGACGATAAGCGCGGCGCGAGAAAGACGGCCGGGTTCAGCGAAGTCGAGCCTGCAGGATCGGCCATGCGTGCTGTAGAAAGTGTCGCACCCGAATATCAGTACGGCATCACAGCAGACAAGATCGGCGAAGCCTGCGTTTGCTGGTTCGCACGATGGGGTCTAGACATCTTCGAGCTCGAATGTTCCACGGAGCGCGAACGTATCATCGAAATCGAGACGTGGATCAGTATGTGTAGAGAGGATCGTGACGTAGCACGTCTAGCGCTGCTGCGCGATCGCCTGCACACTGGTGACGTTGACCTCTTGCACACATCGATGCTCCCTCGAGGTCGTATGCCGGATGCAGAAGAGCGGATGCCTTCGCCGCGGCTGCGCGTCTGGTCGTATCCGTCGATGCCGAGCGCGTGGGTGCGAGCCATCATTTCTTCCGACGGCTTCTTTGTGACTTCTGAGCTGCAGAGGTACGAATTCGCGAAGAAGGTGGTCGAATTCAGGCGCAAGCAAAAGGCGCTGATCAATGTCCTCGATCGTCTCATCGACGGTTGGATGCACGAGGATGAAGCGAAAGATGTGCAAAGACATGCGAGCGCGTCGGAGTCGAGCAAGCAGATGGGAGCCGCACCAAAGACTTCGAGTTCGAGCGCGGCTTCGTCCGATGCAGGAGACGGTTTTGGCTTCAAAGCTTTCCGCAGGACCACCTCGTCAGTAGATGGAGGCGATGACGCGGACCCAACTCGCACGCCTCTGCAAGAGGCTTGGGATGATGGGGTCGAGTCCACCACCTTTTCCGGATCCATGGATGAGGATGAAACAGAGTACGAGGAGCTCTTCACCTCCGGCATTTACTATTCGCACATGCCGTTTCAAGCGCTCAACCAGATCAGCACGGATGTCTCACCAACCACAGGTCGTTCCTACACGCCTCTGAACGTCCTGCAGGCTGCTTTGTGGGTGAGCAACGAGCTCAAGACGCACATCCTGTCCAGCGCAACTCCCATTCGTCAAGGCACGACTCCGACACCGCATCACGACGCCGACACGGCGAGCGAAGTTGCCTCGTACGAGTCCAGCGATCCGTCGGCGCAAGACAGGGACGGTGCCACCGAGTTGGGCGTCTCGAGTTCCATCACTCAATTCCGAGAAGCGTTCGAATCGAGCATCAACAACGCTGGCAGCTCCCAGCGCCGCTTTTCTCGGAGCCGATCGGGGACGCCTGGCTACTTTGGGGACGATTCCGATCCCACGTTGGGTCTCGGATCGACGCCCGGGCTTGGAGGTCTTGGCACCAGCCCATTGATGCTCGGAGCCTTGGGTGGCGGCAAAGAAGGCCTCCTGAGCAAGAAATTTTATCTTGTACCATCAGACGACACCGTTCGCTTTGGTGATGGGCTTACCTCGGTGATCGGGTCGGTCGCATCCAGCGTCTCCGGTGCGTCACGAGCTGCAGGCTCGGACGACGAGCGAGCACAAATCCCTGCTGCCTTTGTCGATGATCATCTCGGTCCCTCAGGCATCGCAGCGATTCAAATTCCTCATACCTTGCCGATCCAGACAGTGATGCATCATGACCCTGCGAACGCCTCGAGCCAAAGGCGCGATCGGTCTCGCTACTACGGCATCGCCAACGACGTCGCCACCGGCCGCGAGCTCGGGGAGTATGCGTATCGGAACATGTCCCCGACCCCTGACACATCTCCTCATGGAGCTAAAAGCTCGATGCAGTCGCGTCCATTCGAGGAGAATGACGATCGAAGGCCGATCACGGGCGAGTCTGATACGAACTCTCATAGCCCGAGCCAAGAGGCAGACGGAGCAGATGCCGAATCGATCGACTCAACAGGAGCTTCGCCTGAGCAATGGAGCGGCTATGAACCCATGCGAGTGGGCGTCGAGTTTTTCGGCATCGACAAGCTGCAAGAAAAGCAGCGACTTTACTCGCCGACCTTCTTTTATGCTGGAAGCTGCTGGAACCTCTACATTCAAGTGGTGAAAAAGGTCAAAGGCGTTCAACTCGGAATCTATCTGCACAGACAGAGCTTGCAGGAGCCGCTGCCGCCTCCGTCAGCCCCAGCGCCGGTCGAAGGTGAGGCGGTGCACGGCCTGACACCCGAGGCGAGCTGGCCGCGCAGTTCGCCGGGTGCAAGAGCGACTTTGCAGCGTGATCTAACTAATGGGTCGGCTACGCCGCGCGGCTCTGGAGGCGGGTTCAGCTGGCGAGCTGAAAGAGCTGCTCAGCCATCGTCTGCATTGCGCAGCTCTGTGCTTGCAGCGACTGCCGGCGATGATATCGTCGGAGGTGATACGAACGGATCCTTCTTTGACACCAGCTTGACGTCCCCTGTTCGCGCCGGAGGTCACGGGAATGAGACGGGATCTGGAAGCACGATGACGCTGCCAAGCGGCAGGAGCATCACGCGAATGGGTGGGTACGCCGGAGGATCCCCCATGCGTGGTGGTGGCAATCGTCACGATGTCTTCTCGTCCACAAATCAATCCGAGCTCAGCACGCAGGCGGAAGGCTCTGAGAACACCATGACATCGCTGCCAGCGCTTTCCACCCTCGCCGACCTATCTCTCACCCAAAACTACGTCCCCAACTCCACCTCTTCCCGCAACACCCAAAGCAGCTCAATGACGGCAAGCACCAACCCGATCATCCAACTCTACCCGTCCGGACCCTCCGTCTACACGACTTGTCCCGTCCCACCTATCCCCTACCGGGATCCACGGAAAGAGTTGCGTGCCTACTTCTCGATCCACTGCCCGTCCCCACTGGGAACGGCCCTGACGAAATTCTCTTCCGGACCGGACAAGTTTACGATCAGTCAAAGTTGGGGTTGGAAGTCGAGCAGTCTGTTGGGAACAGTGTACTTGGAAGATGGCGATCTGGATAAGGGTAAGAGTGGATTGTGGTATAGGTTCAGATGCGTTTGCTCTATCGGTTTGGTGTAGATGACATGGAGCACAGCGCAGGACGGAAGCGTCGGGGATTTGTGGTCATCTTCGATTACGAAACGGGTCGAGCAGAATCTAGACATGGCAGATAGGGGCCCTGGAATGGAACAGAGACAAAGCGCAGCACAAGAAACGAACGTGAAGACGACAATTCGGTGTATTCTGCCTCACACATCGAAAACGTTTGGAACCTCTGCCTCCTTCCACACTTCACCTTTGCCGTTCTCAGCGGCCTTTTTCCTCATCTTGAAGTAATCGCCACCCTCGCTTCCTCCATACTGCCAATCGGGCGCATCGTCCGTCTTGTGGAACCACTTGGGCATGTAGTTCTTACCCTCACTCTCGAGCTTCTTCCTCCTACTTCGCTGGGCCTCCTCGAGCTTGTGTTTGAGCTGCTCGGCTTTGTCCACGTCACCCTCCTCGAAGGCCTTTTGATCGGGACGCAGTCTCGAGTCGGTCGGAGCGAGGACGTCCTTGCAGTCGTCGGAAAGCTCGTTGAGCGACATGGCAAAGTAGGTGAACCCGTAGTAGTCTTCGGCGTAGGGAGGCATCTCGTTGGCTTCCCACAACATCTGGTAGTTGTCCTTGTCCTTCTGTCGTGAGAGGTTGTCGGACCATTTGCCTTTGAGCGTGGTGACGGTGGAATCGTTTGCGTCGTACACCTTGCCTTCGACGCCGTTGCGGGAGTTGGAGCCGCCCCACATGGTGCCCTCCTTGAACTCGATCACGGCGCGTTGACCGGTCGACTCGTTGGTCACGGTGAGCTCGCCGACATGTTCGAGATACTTGTTGCCCGCGAGCAGGTTGCGCATGAAGGAGGAAGGTTTCTGGATCGAGAACACGTCGCCGTCGCCGAACTCGAGTCGGATGGAGCCTTCGGGAATCAGCTCGAGCGATTTGCCCCAGAACTTGTTCTTGACCGCACTCCATCCCTGCGCTTTCCAACCCTTTCCCTCGGCGTAGAAGGCAACGACCGGAGGCTGGTGCACTACCTTCTCGGCGAGGAACTTCAAGTGCTTGTCTTCGCGTACGCATTCGAATGTCTCACCGAGGAGCGGGTTGAAGGGCTTTCGGCTGGCTCGCAGCTTGGTGCTCGCGTATCCCGAGACAGCAAAGGCGCCAACCAGGCTGATTCGTTCGACCCAGTCTTCGCACTTGCCTGCACGGTCTAGCAGGTCAGAGGCGTACTCGTACTCTTCAGCTGCGGCTTGCAACAGCGAAAGAGGGCAATTGAAAGACACGGGAAATGAGATGGTCGACAGATCCTTGCCGACGTTCTTCTTGAGCATGCTGAAGAGCGACACTTCGTCGCCGGATACTTTGGCGGGCAGCTTCTTTCGGTATTCTACCGCCTTGCCGCCGCCTCCGCCGCTGTCCGAAAGCGTTCGCGTGTCGTCGGTATCTTGCTGTGAATCTTCAGCCTCCGAATCGGTGCCCTCGGCATCGCTGCTCTCGGAGCGAGAGGTGTTGCCCTCATCGTCGCCTTTGCCGTCGTCGTCCATGAAGAGCTCCTCGCCGTGACTGTCGGCATCGTAAAAGATGGCCGAGTCGGTGCCCGTGGTGGCGAACGACGAGGTGGACATGCGTTTGCTGCGATTACCGCCGCCACCGCCGAGCAGGCTGCTGACGCCACTGATGTCAGAGGTGCCCGACATGGAGCGCATGGTTCCCGCATTGTTGTCGACACGCGGGATTTTGGATTCCATCTCGGTTTTGAGCTGTTCGAACTCGGCGACCAGGTTCTCGGCTGTGACGTGGAAGGCAGCAATGTCGTCGGGCTTGCCGCTCGACTTGGCGCCCAGCGCACCCATGATGGCGTCGGTAGCCGACGTGCCCTTGTTCTTCAAAGCACCGCTGCGCTCTGCGAGATCTTTGACGAGAGCCGAAGTCTGGTCGAGGCGAGTCCAGACTTCCGAAAGATCGATCGCCTGCATGTCGGAACCGTTGGAGACAAACAGGCGCTGCAGACTTCCCGCCGGACGTTCCGGGATGAACGAACGCAGGTGCGTTCGCCACGACTCAAAGTCTTGCGGAGAAAGGGCTTTGAGGTGGAAGACACTGGCCCCGGAATCGACGTGGATGGTGCCATGACGCATGCTGCTGGTCACGGAGGCGTGAGGAATCTCGATGGCATCGCGGGTGGCCTTTTCCGGGCTGATTGCATAGGTGAGAATGCCTTCGTTGGTAAGAACGAGGAAGCGCTTGGCGTAGCCCTGCATTTTCTTGCGCTTCTTTTTGAGAATCCATCCTGAGTAGACGACGTCGAGCTCGTCAATCTTGCGGTTGTCAACGGGGAAGCCGCGCTGAGGGCGCGACGATTTGCGGTCGTCCTTGCCGCCCATGTTTGCTTGCTCGGGTGCTACCGGCTATAGATACAGTGCTGTCTACACACGAACTGTGCTGCTGAGGCTGATACGGATGGCGCAGAACCCTCTCTCGCGCCTCGAGATTCGAATGGAGCGGAAGAAAGCCAGATTGCTGGCGTTGCTCCGAAGTCGGCGAGGTGACTTAGATCGTCTGGTCGTGGTGAAATAATAGGTGGATGCGATCGACAACGCGCACAGGGCAGGACGAGAAGAGCAATGCACACGTCGCTGAGGTCGGAGGAGCAATGAAATCGGTGGGACTGAGCGTGTGATGGTCGAAGAGGAAACCAGCTGTGACTTTGTAGAGACCAAGATGTCGGAACATTAGTCTGCAGCGGGAGCACCAAGCAGGCGTATGCAGCATGGTCAAAGGCAGCTGCAGGAGAGGCATTCGCTCGCTCCTTGTGCATCACAGCCAAACAGAGTCGAGACTGACCCGGCTTCAAAATTCCGCGTGCCGTAGTAGCGATGCCTCAACAGTCGTGGGGAAATTAATTTTGGCAGGCGGCTCTGCCGACTTTCAACTCGACTTTCAGACCCGCAACTCTGAGAGGCTTGAAGGATCTGCGGCGCTGGATCATTTTTGTGGAGAGCGCATCGCAGTTTTGAGAGCCGGAAGCAAACTTGCTTCTTACTTCGCACCGCGGCTCCATGCTTCCCATTCAAGGTTCGGGTTGTGGCCAGCCTCGGGTTTCCCTTCTCGTGATCTTTCGTCTCACAGATCACCAAGGACCTGTATGACGCTCTTTGCTCAACAGTGTCCGATTGCCTCTCACTCAATAGACGTATGAAGATCGGCACGAGAGTAGCGTCTGACGTCTAACTGTAGAGCTTCTCCGTTACCGAGTTTCCCCACACTCCGATCCCCTTCATCCCGCGATATCGCCTCGTTCGTCATCACCGGGACTTGTTCCTAACGTCGAATTCCATATCGCTTGTCACAGACGAGCCTCGCTCCGTAGCAGTGATTCGGAAGAGCGAGACGGGTGACGTTTGCACCCAGTGCTAGCGTGTGCTGCCGCTCGGGCCAGTTATTTTTGCCCTTTTCCTCCCTTACAATCCTCCACCCTCGAAGCGTGATGACGGACTCTTCGCATCCCAGAACCGCCTTTTCACGTTCAGAAAGCAGAGCGCCGAAGGGCGTAGCGGAACTTGAAGTTGCCGTGTGGACGAGCGCAGCTCAAATTGCAGCCCACAAATGAAACCTTTTTTTTCAATTCCACACCGCAGCGTCCTCACTGCAGCCGGTAGACTTCCAGAGAGCCGTAAGGTTACCGGCAACAATCGGTGACGAACGAAATCAATACCGTCTCGCAACTCTGGTTGTGGTTGCCAAATTTCAATACCTGGTCATCCGGATTGCTGCTCCTTCCGAAGATGTCGTGCTGTGGGGTATCATTACAATTCAAGGGCTCTTGTACTTTTACACGGCAAGACGGTCGCTTCGACCGTCGAGCTACGTCCATTTCAACTTGTCTACGCCGAGATGGGCCGGCACCGTCCACCTGAAACCGCTGTCCTCTGACTCGTGTGCCTCGCCTTCGGCGGGGATAGATGCGTGCCGAACAGCGAGCACCCTCACATCTCGCCTTTCGCTGTCATCGCCATCTGCGAGACCGCGTACCTGGTAGCTGCTCGTCATATCGGCCAGCTTGTCCACATCACTTGGAATGATCTCTTGAGGAGGTTTCGTCCAAGCGTCATCTCCGTGAATCTGACCCAAGCTATGAATCCACTCTGCTGTGCTTGCGAGGCTGATCTGCACTTTCCAGCCGTCCTCTTCAGCTCTCCCATCTTTGCTGCCACCGAGACGCTCCAGTAGGGCTCGACACTGGCATGCCAGAATAGCGAAGCACATCAAGGATCCAGCTGCATAGTCCAGCGCCTGCACGGGTAGCGCTTTCGGTTCCACCTGGACCCCGTCCACCCCTCCGCTGTGATGCTGTTGATAGCTGAGACCTTCGAGGTAGTTGATACCAGTGGCAGTCTGCGTCAACGAGTCGTACGCTCTCCTGTCCTTCCACGGTCCTGTGAAGCCAAACGCACACAACTCGGCGTACACGATTCCCGGTCGAATCCTTTGAGCCGCTTCAGCACTCAACCCCCGCTCTGCTAAACCTTGTGGTCGGTATGCTTGGGAAACTACGTCCGCTACCTCAATTAGATCCTTCATCTTTTTCCGCAGCTCCGCAGCGTCGTTGACTTTGGGCAATTCGACAAAGGCCGTCCTTTTGCCCCTCGCCGTATCCAGTTCTCGCAGTGGCAGGTTCGGCAGCTTCTCAGAGCTGAGCAGTAGCACATCTGAGCCGTACGCTGCGAGAATCCGAGCGGCAATCGGTCCTGCAATGACTCTCGACATGTCGATAATTCTGAGCCTCTCGTTGGGCTCTCGTGGCTTTAGACTTGAATTTGAGGCGGAAGCGATCCTCGAGATGCGAAACGCACTATCGTCGACGTTTTCTCCCATCCACGTTTTCAGAGCTGCACCCATCTCTGACGCCTCCCATTCCGCCCTGCTTCGATAAACAGTCACGCACAGCCCGCGCTTCTGCGCAGCAGCTTCGAATTCGAACGCGTCCCACTGGTCCAGCTCTCTCTGAAGATCCTGCTTTGAGACTCGTGAGAAGATCGTCTCGTGGATGCCGACATCGTTCCATCTTGCTGTGGAAGGAGCGAGATTGAGCAGTTGAAGGATGCCAAGTTTGTGATGTGGAAAGTTCGTATGAATGCGAACCACGGCCGGTACGCCTCGGCTCGAAGAAGGTCTGCAACGGTAAAGGCCAGCGAGGGCATCCCAATCTGCCACCGCGTTCGGGTCGATCCCGAGTACTCGTTTCGCGTCCTCGCTATCGGACTCGATGGCCTCCTTGAGCATCTCTTGCTTCCTCTTGTTCGAACCTCCGAGGTGGATCTTGGTCCAGCCTTTGTACTCAGCCAAAGCGTGACTCGCATCTACCTGTACGCGATCCAACGCCAAGCTTTGCAACTCTCCTGCACTGCCACTCGACTTTTCGAGTCGAACCAGCGCACATCTCAATCTCTCCGCAAGTGCGATTGCTGCACAGCACGCCTGAGCAACAGCCGTCAGATGAAACGACGATTGAATCGCTTGTCCCTGATCCGACGGTTCTTTAACGAGTACCAAATTGCCCCGACGCAAAGTGTTTTCCAAGACGTTGACTGGTAGTTCTGCCTGCCTCCACAGCTGCTGGATCAGGGCGATGGTCGATACAATGCGTGGAGGCGACATCACTACAAGAGAGTTGTCGGCCTGTAGACCATGATAATAGCGGGGTGGCAGTAAGTAAGATGTATCAGAATGAGCGGACGGAACTAAGCGGAAAGTGACAGGAGCCAATGCTTAAATGCAGGGAAAACAAAGCTCAGTTCCGCCGGTCAAATCTGGCCCGTGGAATCAGCCGACTGCAACCGAAATCTGCACAGGTCCACTGTCCGTGGCGCAGCAATCGATCAAAAGTATGCGATTGAGAAAATTCTAGCTAGAATACAGTGAAAAGCGGGACGAATGATGAAGCTGAGCTTGAACGAAACTTTCGATCGAGGCATGGAGACACGGTAAGGTCCAGAAGCGAGGTGTGCGAATAGAGCAACGAGCGAGGGCACGGAAAGGACGAGATGGATGCTAGACAAGGAGACAAGGCTATTCTGGGAGACTTCGTGAGAGCGGTTGAACGGACGAATACAGAAGTGATACGGAACAATTGGAAAGCTCACACGCGGGTGCGAGACCGAGTACGGGAGGCAACCGTGTCCACGGCCGCTGCGTCCAAAGCTCGTTGCGGGCTTTCCATGGAAAGCGTGCTCGACGCCTTTCGGCTGGTCCGACCCGACTCGAGACTGCGTCCAGCAGACGCTTTCCGCTGGTGCGCAGAAACTTTGCGCGCGGAGTGTGCCGGCGAAGGATTGCCCTTGGATTTCAACTTTTTGCCCGAGCTTGGCGAAGTGGCAACTGCAACGGCCAGCGTCTCGTCACCCTCGAGCTGAACGGAGGCGTCACGGTGGGCCTCGTCGTCTTCTGCATCTGCCAGCAAGCTGAGTCGACCGCCGGTGCCGCGTTTACGTGAAGCGACTGCGACAGGGCTCGAAGCGACCGAGGCCAAACGCGAAGACGAGCGGGTCTTGGTCGGCACCGCATCTGCACTATGAGCCCTATCCGGAAGCGCGATGGGTACGGCCTTGGATACGAGGAAGGATGGGTCCGGGACTCGGTTTTCCTTGTTGGGCGTCGAGGGAGCCGCAAACTCAGCAGAGCTTCCTGCAGGGCTCAAGAGGGGAGTGCCGTCGAGATTGTTAGCATCCGAACCCACGTGGGCATGGTCTTGCGATGGCGCAGTATCAGAGCTCAAAGGCGGGTCTTCATAGACGGTCCAGTCTACCAGAGGTCTGGCGACGACGCCGAGAAACAAACCCGACTTGGCGAGGGTCAAGCTGTCGATGGGTTGCTTGGAAGTCAGATCCGTCAGACTTCTTAGTGCTGCAATAGACTGCTGTCGGTCAGACATAGAGTCAGAGTGTAGCCGCGTTTGAGCCGAAGGGGGAGCAGCAGCCTTCTCGTCGGCCGAGGCGAAGTAGTCCACCATCTTGCGAGGACTGGGGCTAACAAGCGGTCCGGCGCCAGCTTCCTCGTGCGCAATGGCAATCTCGGTGTGCGAGACGCGATGCTTCTTCTTGGGCAGGCTCTGGAGCGTGGACGTGGGTATCGGTTGAGTGGGTTGCTCCAGAGGCGTTACGCTTCCGGTACCAGCTTCTTTGGAACTATTGCCAGCGGCGGAAGGTGGAAGCCATGCCGGCATCGGCGGCTGCGCCCCATTGCGGGTACGCGAAGGCGTTGAAAGCGCATCTGCTTGCTCGTATCGCTGAGATGTGGCAAGACGCGGCTCGGACATCCTCTGAGTTGTTGGACTCGGCTCAACGTGTTCAGTCGGCTTGGGACCCGAGGTGTGCGGCGGACGATGCTGCCTCATGTTGAGTGGCGTCGTGGAAGCACCTTTGGGGGTCGAAGGTCTGCCGCCAGAGTGATGAGCCAGGTTCTTGACATTGTGCGGAGAGAAGCGGGATGCCCCTTGAGCCGAGCCTGGCAAAACAGGACTGGCTTCGAGCGAGTCGTCCGAGCCTACGAGGTGGGAAGAGCGGTCGCCAAACAGACGCCTCGGCAAAAGCGGGACGTCTTCCTGTGCGCTGCCATTCTCGATGGCGGTGATCGAGGGCTGCGTGGAGGCGGAGGAAGGTGACGCGACCGAGCCTTCACGAACGAGTCGGTGGTTTTGCAACACGGCTTGCTTGTGTGGGGACACCGAGACCGAGTTGCGGCGACTCGCAGGAAGCGAGGGTGAGCGTGACCTAGAGCGCGAGGGCGTCTTGAGAAGCTTGTCTGTGGAAGCACTTGGAGAGCAGGCCAAGGATTGGGACACAAATTGATGGAGGGGCAACTCGGAGAGCGGAGCCCTCGAAGTGTTCGTAAACATCTTCGGTGAAGCCATGGTTTCCAAATGCTGAGTCGCTAGCTGTGGGGCCGCAGTCAAGCTTGCGGTATGAGAGCACCGAGTAGAGGACAGTGCAGACGTGAACAGGGCTTGCGCCGTTCAAAGGTGTAACGAGCCAATTTCACTGGTCCGGTTGTACCTGCAGCGCGCGCGAATGGCAGTTCAGAAGCCGACGAGCACGAGCAAAGATCTGGTGAAAAGCCGTTGAGATCTGCAAGAGGGGCAGGATTTGACAAGGTGGAGAGGTACAATCCGCTGAAGTGATGATGTCGTACAAGGGTCGGTGGATGAGCCGGCTTATCAAAGTGACCGAGCCGCTGAAGGAGTGGGGTTCGCGTGAGATAGAGCGAAGCACGTTTGGTACCTTCTGGACGCCTCTCGGCGGAGCGAGCGTTTGGCGAACGGGGAGATGGTGCACGAAGTGTGATGAAAGACCGAGACACGTCAAGAAGATGGTGGTTGGTCGGACAGATCGAGACGACCGAGAGGAAGACGTGTTGGTCATCTATGAGGACAACTCTGCAAAGGCCGTCGCTTGATGCACGATTGAGGTACTTAGGCGCCCGCTGCAACAGAAAGCTTTGATCGGCTGCACTCGCGCGGCGCTTGTCTAAAATTTGTTTTTTATTTTGGGGGGATTCTTTTACTGCCGCCTTGAGGCGGGAAATGTGCCAGTGTCGGGTTGATTGGTGCATCATCATACAGAGTATGATCCCGCTGAGCCATTCGCCTATTCGGGCGACACCCTGCAGGCATGATGGGATCAGCGCTGCACAGCCTGACATCCGCAGAGGATGGACTTCATGCAACGACATGCTTGTCCGACAAGCGGATTGCGGTGAGGCCTCCTTCTCCGACTTATTTTGGCAACTCAAATCCCTTCTTCATCACCCCCCATAGACTCAAGCCTCTTGCTGATCTTCACACCCAGAACATTGCAACACCCTGCAAGCACACCAAATTGAGCATCAATACTAGGAGTCGATTCGTGCGGCGGTGCCAGTGTCATGCACGATGTCAGGAGGACCGAGTGACTGTTGGGATCCGATGTCATCAGGGTTTAGCGATCTACCAAGCACTATCTTCCTTTTTTGAAATGACGTCGTTGACCGAATCGAACCCGTCGGCAAGGTGATCTGCAGCGAAGTCGTACTGCCATGATCGCAAGCACACGATGCTTGCCAGAATAGGCAGGACCACAATCGGAATTTAAGCTGCAAGCGGCTGTTTGGTGTTGATTCGGCACGGCGATCCGAGCGCGTTTGCGAGCTGGGACCATCACGTGCATTACGCTCGGTTTGAAAATGTCAGACCCTTATTATCAACATCTTCCAAAATGATACCAAACGATACTTTTTCCGTAGAGCACATGTCCATGAGCCGCCGCGGCGGTCGCCGTCGCTGTGGGCATGTCGGACGTTTCAGATCTCAGCCTTCGGTTTCAAACCGAGAGAGCGCCTGAGCCGCTTACAGAACGCGAATCATCGAGGCGTAGATGTGCTCCGCCAATGCTCGTTACCATATATTGCTTAGAAAGTGTGGCTCTGGTCTTACGCTTGCGACGCACTTCGTCGACGACAGTGTGTATAAAGATTGATGTGGTGCTATGGTTCGGTCTCTGTACAGCGGCGACATCAGGTGGAGCTTTGCCAGGCGCCCGAACGATAACTCAGGCCAGGACGCACGGAGCGCCTCGTTTGCTGCTCGAGAGATCAAAGCGGAGCTCCCAGTGGCTGCAGGTGTGAAATCTCGGGAGGAGGCTACGTCGATTGATGTTTGTGGAGCCGCCGTCTGGATTCACGTTCCGCCAGAGACGGTGACGACACAAAAGGGTCAAATTGAGTTTTGGTTGTGAGAGGCAGAAAAGTGGGGAAATTGGCCGTCGTAGGGCGTGCAGCGAGTGCATGCGGGTGCCGGCTCCCCAAAGCCAAATTCGAATGAACGTGAGACAGGTGGAGAGGTGGCCAGTCTGCGGGACCAAAAAAAAAGACAGGATCTCTCTTCAGAAGTGGCTGCATCCTGCATCGTGTCCTAAATAGCCGAGATTCTCTTCTTGCTTTGTCTCGAGGCTCTCGCTTTCAAGCACTGGTGCGTGTGTGCGTGATAGCCAAAATCGACGGCCACGTATATGTCCTTCTCGAGCTTGGCTGAGTGCACAACATCTTCAGTTTCCCCATCGTAGTCCTCCTTGACTTCTCCTTGACCTTCTTCCACCACTTTCATAATACCTGCACGCCATCCTCGTCCAAAAAGGACGCTATCGCCGGACGTGTTGCTCCGTTTGCTCGGTAGGCCAGCTCGAATAACGTTGAGGATCCAAGACCTCTCTCCCTCACCAGCCCCGAAGAAAACTTCAACCAACTCCTCGAAAGCATCCTACGAAGCTCGTCCGAGCCCTTTCGACATCTCCTCCGTTTCTTGGTCATCACTTCATGTCGGGTCAATTCCGCCTGCATCCCGAACCAGGCACCGAGCGTTCGGTGCCGTTGCGTCCGTGGAAAAATGCCTATCATACAATCCGTCATGGGCATATTGGGACAGCGCTGCTTTTGCCTCACGTCCTCCTCCCCATCTACGGCATCTATGTCTTGGCCCACCGATCCGGGTACTGGACCGCCGAGTTTGAGCGCGGACTTGCCTTTGCCATTGCTCTGATTCAGGGCCTGTCGTTCGGCTCAGTCATCGCTCTGTCCATCGTTCGCTTCAGCTCCTCGGGCAAAGCCATCAAGGGCCGACGTATTGAAAAGACGGCCACCGAAGAGGAGGATTACAAGCAGTACCGCATCGAGTTCTTCCTTCGAGTCGCGACGTACACCTTTCTCGGTACCATCCTGTGGGAGTACCTCGTTCACTCCAAGTACTCGCCCGTCGCCGACGAGCAGGCACGAGACACCTCTTCTGGCTTCTTGACCGCCTCTGGATCGCTGCGCAGATTCTTGAAGAACGATAGTATCCTGCCTCGAGCTGCCGAGAGCCGCGACGCATATTCGGGCCTTGGTCTCAACTACAACCTGGCTGACAAGGCGAAACAGTTCAAGAAGGCCGTCGACGACTCGCCTCGCATCCGCATTCCTGGAACCGGTGCTCCGCCAAAGAGCATCTTCTTCGAAACGTACGAGAAAGTCTGGAAGAAACTCACCAGCGGTCCTCGACCCGGTCTGTTCGAAATTGGTCCCAAGACCTGGGTTTAAAGTCGACACTTCGGACTGACCGCACGCCAGAGCACGCGACGTACGAGTTGCCGCAGATCGAGCAGGCGGCTGCTTGTATCTCTGTCGAGCCGCATTCGAACATTTAACAGTTTATCCTAGGAACGCAGAACTCACAAGCCGGGCAAGTCTGTCAACGCAGACGCTCGCTACATTAAGTTGGGCCACATGATGGCATCAAATTTACCCTTGACCGATCTATGAGTTGATTGGATCGGGAATATACCGCAACGTAATGGCAACGCATGAATAAGTGTGACCAACCTGCTGTGCCGCCTGTCGCAGTTGTCAGCTTCAACTGTTGAAAAGCCTCGAATGGAGTTGATCGTGTCGCGCCTGGATGATTTCGCCGAGGGGAAAGGTGGTTGCGGGAGCCGAGGACTGGATCCAGAAGCCCTTTTCGCTCTCGTCATTGTGCAGAGCCTCTGAAGAGGTTGGAGGATCCTGCTCTTCGGGCCAGTCCCAAGCCCAACCTTGATTTGGATCGTCATCGTCGACCGGGATGAGTTGACCCTTTCCGATGCGTAGAGCTTGTAACTTTGGCCGTAGAGCTGTGATGGCTGATGTGGACATGGTCGCGGTGTTGCGGAAGGATTTCGTTTTGAAATCCTGGGTTGTCGTGCTGTTGCCTTCGGCTTGTTCCGTGATTGTATACGCTTCGACTCGATTATTGGCTTCGGCATCTTCGTCGACTTGCATCACGTCTTCCCTGCTCTGCACACCATCTTGATTTCCCAGCCTATCACTGTCGGGTGTCGGCACTGCCGTCCCAAGTGACAAGCATCCTTCCCTCTCCATCTCCTTCATGATCCCTTCGATGACCGGGCGCATCTGGAACCGCATCACCTGATGAGCCAGATACGGACCCAGCGTGTTCAACCTGATGGAACTCGAAAACAGACTTCTCGCCTGCAAAAATAGATGCAGGTACACCGCTTTCTTCAACGACAAGCCTAGACACGCTGAGAAGACTGCCCAGCAGATGGGCAGATGTCCGTGCATTTGCGTATTGGAGCGGGGTGAAGAGTTGCGACGAATGGAGAGTTTGAGTTGGTCGACGAGAGATGCTGATGTTGAGATACGTGATTCGGATGAGCTTGTGGTGGAAGAGTCGGTGGGGGAGGGGTTGTACGCTTCGCGCTGGAGATTGATCGGTTTCGCAAAAGCTTTCGAGTACAGCGTTAGTAGAGCGATACCTTGCGCCTTCGATGCCCTTCTCGCAACGTGATTCAACAGCAGTGTGTGGTAGGAATGATCCAACCTTGCAATCGTATCGAGACATCGAGAAAGCCTTTCCTCCCCCTCCTCTTCCACCGATCTTTCCTCTGCATCCAGAAACGCATTCACAGCAGCATGCACTCGTGCCAGGAATCCAAAACTCGACCGCGCATACGAATGCAACGTCGAGCGTGCAAACGACAGTGTTGCCGAAGAAAGTTGCGCTTGAGAAGGCGCTGTTGCCGGACCCTTTTTGACCGCTGAAGAGGATGACGAGGATGATCCGTAGGAGGCGAGATGCGAAGTGGGTCGAGAGTTGTGTAGCAGACCGTGTGCGTGGAACGATTCGAGTCCGGACGACGCTACGAATCCACCGGTCGGTAGATTCGAGTCGGAGAGGAGGAGTAGAAGGTACGTCTCCAGCTCGTCCTCCTCTTCTGGTGGGAGCAATGAGGATGAGGCGTCGCCGTTCATTGCAGGAAGCATCTCGCTCGTCCGAAACGATGTAGTTGACGATGACAAGATGAATGGTGTTGGTCAAGCTTCGAGAGACCGTGGACCCTGAATTGTGTCCACCAATCAGCACTCGTCGCCGCAACCGATGATAAGGTTGGCTTTCTTCTTGAATCATGTCGGATTTTCGTGGCACCTTTTCCAGTTTCATTTTCGCAAAACGCATTTCCAGTGGAGGTTTTTTCAACCACGTTGCATGACTGAGCCGTGCAGTATGCGGTGTTAAACGTCAAGTATACCCGAAGCGAAAAAGTATAGCCGGCAACTCAGTCCAACACTCTTACTTCCACGTCCTCTATAAGCATCTTTCTACTTGTCACCACTCTTACTTCCCGACTATCGCCTTATTGCCAGCTCAAACGCAAAAATGACATCTTCGTCTTCCGCAGCCTCCAGCGGCTCGACCGCAAGAACGCCAGCCGCGCGTCTGCGCGAGCTCCTCTCGCAACCCTCCATCGTCGTGGCTCCCGGTGTCTTCGACGGCATCTCTGCTCGGATGGCACTTCAAGCAGGACACAAGGCGCTGTATCAGACCGGAGCGGGAACTTCAGCGTCGAGACTCGCACGTGCAGATCTCGGGTTCTTGGGCATGTCGGACATAATCGGTGCTGCAGGTGTGTCGATCATGGCTGATCCGACCATGATGACGCCGGTGATTGCGGATGCTGATACTGGATTCGGAACTGCGCCACAAGTCGCACGCACAGTAGCAGAGTATCATCGCTCCGGGATCGCCGCCCTACACATCGAAGACCAAGTGCAATCCAAACGCTGCGGTCACCTCGACTCGAAACAGATCGTCTCGCAATCCGAATTCCTCTCGCGCATCACCGCCGCCGTCCACGCACGAGACTCTCTCCCCTGTTCCCCCACCGATCGCATTCTCATCATCGCCCGTACCGACGCCCTCGCCGTCTCTGGCATCGACGAAGCCATCCAACGCCTGCAACTCGCTGCGGCCGCAGGTGCCGATATGGGGTTCCTCGAAGGAATGCGTTCCAATTCCGAAGTCGAACAAGCTTTTGCCCAGCTACCTCAAGGTTGGCCGATGATGGCGAATTGCGTCACGGGTGGCAAGAGCCCACTATGGACCGCCAAGGAGGCGCAGGAGCTGGGTTTCAGGCTGGCTATCTTCCCGTGTGCTGGCCTTTTCCCTGTGGCAAAAGCCCTGTTGGCTAGCTACACGCATCTCATGCACGACGGGATCGGGATCGAGGCCGAGACGAGCAAGGAGAAGGCGTTGGTGGATCTAGGTGGCGCGGATCCGATGGGATTGAGAAACTTTTTCAGGGATATGGGGCTGGAGCACGAGGTCGAGATCGACAGGCTGGCTGCTAGCGGCGCTGGGCTAGGTGACGTGTGAAAAGGAGGGTGGAGAGGACCCATGTCGTAAGCAAAGTGCAGGATGAGATGCAATATGATGATACGCTCGTCAAGTGGTATATGAAAACAAAGATTCATGCAGGTTCGTCAAGATTCATGATGTGATGCGAGCGACTATGCGATGCGAAGCAATGCGGATGTAGAACGACTTCGGCATTTCCGCGCTAGACACGACCGCCGGGCGGAGCCTTCGAGCCACGCAGCCCGACAACATCGCAATAGATCGCGACCAGAAACAGCAACGTAGCCACCACCGAGCACGCGATAGCCCCATTGTATAGATTGCACCAACCCTCCCCCGTCCCCGCCGGACACTTTGTCCCCACGACCAGCGCCATCACCGCCGCCGTCCCCCACAGCAGGCACAGCACGACATCCCAGCCACAGTCCCATTTGAGGCTCTTGCGTGCGATGCGCCACCGCGCTTGCTGCTTCATGTTGGCCAACACGCCGAGCTGTTTGCGCTTCTTGTCTTTGCGTTTCTTTCGTCTGCGCTCCTCAACCGAAGTGTTCTCTTCGTCGTCATCGTCAGTGTCGGTGTCAGATTCACCTGCACGTCCACCGAGGAGCTTTGGATCGACGATGAGGTTGACCATGGGTGCCTGCTGCGTCTGGGCCTTCTTGGCGAACATGCCTGGTTTGCCGTTGCCACCGGCGTTACCGGCGGACAAGATGGGTATCACCATACCGTTGCCAGCTCCTGGCCCTCCCTTGGGCATAGGCTCGCGAGAAGACCGACAACACGGCTTTAAGGCAAACAGCCATAGGCACGCAATGGTTGAAATGGCGGAAACGCCGTACAGGACAAAGGAGGCAAAGGTGCCAGAGGGTGGTGCTTTCTGTGCCGGTCGGATGAGAATGAACCCGCCGATGCCGAGACCAGCTGCTGCGAGGGACACCAGGCATTGCAGCCAGCGCGTTGCCATGCGTAGCTTGCGACGAGGGAGCACTAGCCTACCTTTGGCATCGACGCTGCCGAGCGGAACCTCCTCTCGCTCTGCGTCATCGTCGTGGAGATCTTCGTCTCCGGCTGCTTTGCCTTTTCCCTTACGAGGGGTCACTTTGGTACCGAATTCCTTCTCCAGCATTCTCATGCGTTCTTCTTTGACGTAGTCGTTCGGTATCGCTCGACCGTAGGGGTAAGCACCGTACGCACCAACTGGCCCCGGTGGCCCGTAACGGCCGTGACTCAAGCTCTCGCTCTCCCATCCGCTCTGGCCGGAGCCTGGTGGCACCATCGTGTAAGCATGACCGTCCGCAGAGAGATGCCCACCGTACCAGGTCTGAGACCATTGCGGGAAACCAGGCAGAGGATCGCCGACACGTGCACCTGGTCCGAAGCTGTTTTGCGGAAGCGCACGAGACCCAGGTAGGTGATGAGCTGCGGTGACGTCAAACATGTTGGGTGGCTCCGACGCAGGCGAGGCATAGGCTGGCAAGCTCTGGTGTGATCGTCCCGAGACCGTCGTCGGTGCTCCCTGGCTGGGCGGACCGTGGTACTGGGGAACATACTCCATGTAGACGCCGCCATCGTAGTAAGCCGGCTCGTAGTGAGCTGACCGATAGCCGCCCGGTGTGGCCGGCGTAGATTGAAGATGATCAACGTAGCCAAGCTGGTCTGCGTACAGCTCATACCGAGCAGGAACTTCCGAGAGAGTGGCGTGCGGACCCCAAGTCCGTTCCTGAGCAGCTTGATTGGCAGCAGCGATCTCGCCGAGGTCTCTTTCCTCGTATGAACCGGAATCACTGTGTGCGTGCTGCGGTGGATGGAGCTGCAGCGGGCTTCGATGCGATTCGTTGTACGGTGATCGGGAGCTGCCGGAATGCGAAGGAGGTCGATTGCTGTCTACGCTGAGTCGTCGCATGCTGGCTGGATGGTTGCGAAAGGACGCCGAGGGTGCTGCCGGCGGGTAAGACGGGTAGGAGCTGGTAGCCGAACAGTTGTCATCGTACTTGTGAGATCGCATGATGGGAGGAAGCAGCTAGTCGACACTTCGGCTGCCCCGAAGAGGGCTGCCGTGGATGGCCTGACAGCGAGCCGCTTAGTGAGATGAATGCTCGTTCTTCACTGACAAGTCATATTGTCTATGCTCGTCTGATGTCCAGAGTGGCTCAGGAGGACGTCAAGGCTTTCGTGCGGGGAGTTTCGTTATGGGTCGTGAGAGGAGCGGCAATGAAGTGGTAGGTTTGATGATAGTCAAGACTCGAGATGCAGCTGAAGCTCTGGCAGAGACTGATGGTGCGGGTGTAAAGAAGGGAAGAGGCAAAGACCGTGAATGAGGCTGTGTGGACAACTCTAGATGAGCAACGCCGACAGGCAATCCTTTGAAGTTGCACGTCAATCGGAACTGCACCGAGAACGGCACTCGGACAATCAACCTTCTTGGCATCAAACGACCTTAGCGGAAAGCTTGTGTCGGCACTTCCGATGCCGAGAACTCTCTCAAACACCTGACTGACGAGTGATGCAGCCAGTGGCTCAGATCAGCTTCTTCTCGAATGGCGAACGGCGGTCATGTATGTTTCGGGGAATGAGGAAGGGAACGCTGCCAAGCCCATTATGGAACCCCTGGCTTGTCTGCTTTGGTCTGCATCTCATAGATGGCGTATGTGTCTCTGGGAGCTGGGCGTGACCTGCCCAAAGAGGAAGTCGAGCTTGAATGAGGTTGACAAGGGCAGCATACTCCCAGACACACTTTTTCACTTGGCAGGTGTTGGTCTCATGTTCTGTCAGAATTAGCCCCTGTCGGGATAATGCGCCTTCGCCATGCAGCCCCAGGGTTTTAAATATCTTAACTTAATTTTCAATTTATTTATTTCCATGGCCCTGCCTGAACTTCCACGCTGCCTGCCGACGCCAATTAGGGGCTACCTGCTTTACGCCGCCTCACGATTCGCTTTGGTCGTGACGCTGTGAGCGATTGGTTCGGCCTTCCCGATTTGGCTGATTGCAAAGAAGACATAGGATCCAAGAGAGTGAAATGATTTCAGGTTTGCACACTGTTACATTGTCGCTCAACTGCTTTACTCGCTTCTCGATCTCAAGTGCTGTTGTTGGATCAAAGCGATTGATTGCAATTGTCCGAAGACTTCTTATGCTGCTTCGAGTTCAGCCAAGCGCATGATTCGCAAAGAAGGCTGGACGCTGGCCCATATCACCGAGCTCTTGATGCATTTACACACGGGAGCGGAGAAGCTCGGCGTGCTGTGATGATTGTGTGAATCCTGCGATGGGCAACATCGGGGAGCTCGCTTTCGTAAAGCTGGCTCATGCTCCAAGCTGTGATCCTTCTTGCTTCATCCTTGGCTGTTGTCGCTCCGATAAAGCGGAGATCAGTGCCAACTGATATGCAGTGACAGATGGACCGGTTTCTGCAGAGTCTCCGTGGCTTCTTGTCGACATCGAGGATGCTTGTACTCCGAGCAAGTTTGTCTGTCCTTATGAATATAGACATTAGCCTCGTGTACCGTACCTTCCAGGTGGCACTAGCGCTTAGCTGCCTCCTTTCGAAGATTCTCGGCGATAGTCTGAGTAGTTGCGCAAAGAGGAGATAGAGCCGACGATCAGCGTTCCGAAGAGTCGATCTGGCCAACGTTATACTTTCGCGTACTTACAGCGACAGCTTCCGGGTTGACACCGCTCTCGATGAGCTCTACGCATGCGCGTAGCTGTTCTCGCGACAGTCCGGTATTGAGCAGTTGCGACATGTCATGCAGCACTGCAAGTAACCCGTTTTGGATGTCAGCATTCCCCGGTGGTACGCAGCCAATCAAAGAAGGAACTCACTGTCCATCGTCTCCTGACTCGCTGAGCTTTTTTGTTCTTCCATTTTGTGAGATGCTCGTCCGATTTCGTCGTCGTTTGAATGGTGGAGGAAGAAAGGAGGCAGGCGGTCACCGGTGCGATTTTGAGCTACAGAAACAAGGTGTTGGTTTCGCTCCTCTTTACGCGTCAACAACCTCACGCGCCTCGATTTTGGCTCATCTGTCGAAAGTCAAACGGAAAAGTGTAATTTGTGGAGAGACGCAACGCACAGCTCGCAAATTTCAGGCTGAGTCGATGTTGCTTGTGATCGTAACTCAGCTTCTTCTCAATCACTACACCATCATCGTCGACGCAGCAGCGGCGGCCGCACCATCTCGTCGGGATCAAACGCGGAGAAGGAGGTTCAGGCAGTCATGCCGGCTCCAACCAGTGCCTCCAACGGTGCGCTCGAAGCCATTCTTCGAAAGGTGGTCGGCGACAGCGACACTGCTGCTCCTTCTGCCACAAATGCTCGCACCTCCAGCCGCAGTCATGCGAACGGGGACTCTTCCGCTGCGCTTGCAGCAGCCTCTCAATTTCTTGCAGACGGCTTCCATCATGCCGGATCGACGTCCAACCCACAGGCGAACGGACGAGGTAGTCCGCATAGCGAGGAGGAGATTGCACATACGCTCAATCGCCTTCTCGTATCAGGTGTCATCGTGCCGCTGATCGACTCGCCATCAAGCTGGGCCTATGGGAAAGCACGCAATGAATCGACAAATGCTGGTATCGGAGTGCGTCAAGCCCTGGACACACTATCCCGAACACTCAGCGCTTCCCCAAAATACCTCGAGCATCTCTTCGAACCTGCGGAGCATGCCTCGGCGACAGCTTCGACGAGCGCCTTGACACTCGACATGGCCAACACCACCTTCGATGTGTGGGCAACTCCCCGCCTTCTGTGTGCAGCTGCCTCTATGCTCGCAGCGAGCCGCTCTTGTCCAGCGATGAAAGAGCCCGAGACTGCCGAACACATCAAAGATCCTTCTCAGCACATCCTCGAGCACTTGCAACTGCTGCTGGCTACATCGACGGAAGCCGCTGGTCAGATCGACAACGTCCGCTATGTCCTCGCTGAATGTTTACGAGCATCCGTACATGCGCTCGCGCAGACAAGAGAGACCTCCTTCGGCTCCTCTGCCCGCCTCCCCGACTTCGTCGTACCATCCGCCCTGCAGCAAGCACGGCATAAAGACTTTTCGTCAACCTCAACACCTACCGTCTCGTTCTTCCGCTCTTCAATCTTGGATCCTGCGTTCCGTCTTTCCTCGCGCAAGGACCGGCCAAAGCCAAGCGGCAAAGGTCTTGCTGCCTTGTCTCCTTCACAGATGGACGCCGCCTTCTCCTTCTCGCTCCGCACTGCTACTGAGGACGAAGGGCCCAAGTCAGTAGACTCAGGAGACGCACGTACGGCTGCAGGCCCGGTCACTCTAGCAGAGGCGCTCTTTCTCGTCTCCACAGATCTTTGCCTTCGAATGGCAGAGAGGTATCCAGTCTACTTCATTGATCTCACAGACCATGCCGTCCTCTTGTTCGTCGAGCATCTGCAACACCGGTGGACGTGCGCCAAGCAAAAGAGCCTCAGTCCCTCTTCGCAAATGCCTTTGGCTGCCCAGACTTACGCCGTTATAAGCAGCCACATCGAATTCCTATCCGAATCTTATCCAGGCCACCTGACGAGATCCCTGCAGGTGGCTGTGGAGCAAATGTCGCAGCTTCTAGACACACACGAACACCTCGATGCCGACCAAGAGCGCACTCTTGCTTCGATCGGGGCTTGCTTCAGCTCGTGTGCTCTCGAAGCAAGCAATGAACGAAAGCCCGAGTTGGCGGCGATCCTCCAGCCCTATCAAACTCTGATCACCCTTCAAATGCGGCTGGGAGCGCAACAAATTGTTCAGTCATCGTATCCAGTGCGACAGTCTGCCCACACGTGCTCGGTGTTGGCCCTGCTCTTCTGGGCTCTCTCGAGCGGATGTCGCTGCGAAACAACCTTCATGCAAGAGCTGGATGCACAACTCACCACCTTGCTCTATCACTCACAACACGCTGCACAGAGCAACGACTCTGTCAATCGACTCAAGCGACTCAGTCTTCTCTTGCGGGATCACATCGACGCTCAGGCTTCTCCGACGCAACAAATTCGCAATTCTTCGGTCTCGGAACGCATCGATCGCTTGAAGAGACGCAAGATGCATGGTAGAGCCGCATCGATCAGAGCGATCACGATCTTGGATACCTTGCTCCCCCTGGACCCTTCCGTCCCTGCGTCCAAGGGATCTGAAGCCCATCCGTTTGAGCTGTCGAGACGACGCCTGATTCTGCAAGCATGTTCTCGCGTCGCTAACCGAGGAGATTCGGTTGCTTTACAAGACGAGCAAAGCCCTTGTCTATGCGAGCTCCCAGCTCCTATTAGCATAGGGCAGGGAAATGTGCCGACAAAGGGCAAGGGCGAACGCCTCGATCACGCCGCTACCGCCGCCATGTGGAAAGACGTTATGAGCCAGGTCAAAGCGTCCCCCTTGCTTTCATCTCGCACCATTGATATGCTTCGTCGCTGCGTTGCGCACTCGACCATCGCCGAGGCGCTGCCCTACAGTGGCGACAAGAACGTGGTCAACATCATCAAGCATTCCCTGCGAGCGAAAGCCCGCGCATCGCGCATCGCCACCAACGAGCTTGCTTTGGTGTATCAGAATCGTCTCATTCAGCAACGAAATGCGAACAACGAGGAGGAGTGGATGTCTCGCTTCCTGGAGATTCCCAGGCAGTATGAGAACGTGCTGGCGGACGTCAATGTGGCTTTCTGCCACGAAACTGCACTGATCGGTCTTGCCGGTCTCTTTGCGCTGCCAGTCGAAAGCTGCCAAGAGATCTGCTTGCTCACACTTGTCCTGCACCTGGGTCATGCGAATCCTTTTCTGAAAGCGTGCGCTTACACGCAGATCGTGCAGATTGCCTCTGCGCAACGGTCCACGACTTTTCAACTGGTCCAGAAGCATTTCGAAAAGGTGTCGACATCCATTGTGGAGCGCTTCATCTCGATGCCCGACCTTTGGACGAGCTTTTTGAGCCTGATCAAGATGAATCAAGCCACTTTCTTCAACCTGACCAAGGAGTACACGCTCCCTCACCTCATCACCATGATTTGCTCCGGCGACGGATCTGCCGAGGTGGGGACCAAGATGATAGAGTTGATTGCCCGTGCCCTTGGTACCGACGTGCCCAGACTCTGTCACGACAATATCACTCCCATCTTCCGCTCGTTCTTCATGCGGTCCGCCTCGCTGCGAAACCTCGGCCTGAACACACTCGTTCAGCTGATTGGTGTAGACGCAGCCAGTCTCAAGGTGCTTTTGCGCAGTCGCCAATCCGATGTTGTCGGCTATCTCGTCGTCAAGCTCGGAAATCGTGCCACGCGGGCGGAAGCGTACGAAGGGCTCGAATTTATCATCGAGACGATCAGCGGTACGGCTGCTGCTGCTAGGTCCAAAGATCCGGCGATGCGTAGATCGAAAGTGGCGACTTTCCTTAAGGGTGAAATCCTCGCCATACTCACCTGGATCAACCAGGAGCTATCGGGAGAACACGGTAAGAGGACAGCGACCGAGCTCGCTTTTGCGCTGCGTAGCATCGGAGCGCTGGTCGAGATCATTGGACCGCCCATCAGCGCAGTCACGCCTCAGATCATGGCCACGCTCAACAGTCACCTCCAGCCAGACTCGCTGAGCCTAACGACGCTCGAGAGCTGGAAGATCTTCATCACAACTCTGCGCTTCGTTGATGTAGGGCCTTTTGTCGGTCAAACTGCCGCCGCCTTGCTGTCGGCGTGGGATCGTTTCAATCCCGAGCGGAAAGGAATTGCGATCTCCATCCTGCATTACCTCATCCTCGAGAACGCCGCCTACCTCAAAGACTTTATCGACGACATTCCAAGCCTGGACCGCCTCGACGCTGAGATTCCGGACATCTGTCGCGGTCTACGTGGCGTCAGAGAGACGTGGAACAACGACCGCCGCTTCCGAAACATTCTCGATCGTTCATCAAACGAGAACACTTCCATCTGCAATGAGTCGCTGAGGGAGTTGCAAGCCTTCCTAAGCGAGGAGCGCGGCTACATCGAGGCGCTGACGTCCGGTGACTCGTTCGGTCCGCTCATCGGTCAGTGCATCCGCACGCTGATGCACGTCGCCACACGCAACGATGCCCATCACACCGACATCCGCGACATTGGTTTCCGCTGCTTTGGCCTCATCGGGGCTGTGGATCCGGATCGTATCGAGCACGCCGTCGAAGAGCCTGTCAAGATCATTTTAAGCAATTTCGAGGATCAGGAGGAGGTGATCGACTTTTCGCTCCATCTCATTCGCGACCTGCTCGTGCCTGCATTCCGAGCGGCGACGGATACGACTCAACAAAATGGACTCGCGTACGCAATCCAAGAGCTGCTCAAGGTGGCCGGCTTCAATAGTTCCATTCTCGCCACGGGCTCTAACGCCCGAACCATAGGCATCAAGACAAAGCAACGCCTGGCAGACCTGCCTCAAGACGTTGTCGACACAATCACGCCGCTACTCGACTCGAGGTACGGCGCGCAGGTGGGCAAACCGAGCGTCCGCAAGACTCCGATCTACACGCATTCGCGCTCGTACAGTGACTGGCTGCAGAGCTGGACAAGCCGGCTCATCACCAAGACAGTGGGCAGATCCGACTCTAACGCCGCTGCACTCGCCGGCGCTGGGCCGATCAAGAGTGGCGCAGCAGCCGCCTCCACCATCTTTGGCGTTTTTCGTGTCGCCATTCGATCGCACGATGTCGGCATTGCGCGCCATCTGCTTCCGCACCTCGTCCTGCATTCCATCATCTCTGGCGACGACATGGACCGAGAAGCAATCGTGGATGAGATTCAAACCATCCTCAGGGATCAAGTCGAGAGTCAGACAGACTACGAGGCCGAGAGAAAGCTTCTGACCGCTCAAACGCTCTTCACCGTCATGGATCATGTCGGCGTGTGGATGCGCCGCAAGCGTCAGGACCTCGCAAGGACCTCGCGTCGACCCAGGATAGCTCAGGGCGGAGAAGAGGTGCTAGCTGTGGTAGAATCAATCATGCTTCGCATCTCGCAAGAGCTTCTGGCCCAGGCTTCGTTGCAGTGCAAAGCGTACTCGCGTGCGTTGCTCAACTTTGAGCTCCGTGTGCGCGCTATGCGCTCAGAAGGAAAAGGCGACGATGACTTGCAAGGCTACTTCGAGAACATGCACAGAATCTACGCCAACCTCGACGAACCGGACGGCATGGAGGGTATCTCCACTAGAGTCATCGCCCCTTCGCTCGAGCATCAAATTCGAGAGCACGAAAGCACGGGTCGATGGACCTCGGCGCAAAGCTGCTGGGAAGTCGAAATTCAGCAGCGACCCGACGATCCGGAACTTCACCTTGGCCTGCTCCGCTGCCTGCGCAACCTGGGCCACTACGACACCATGCGTACGCATATCCGCGGTGTTCTGAGTGCCCATCCAGAGTGGGAAGATCTTCTCGATGCGTTCCGGGTCGAGGGTGCCTGCATCCTTGGCGACTGGGACGAGGTGGAGGCTCGTACTCGCCGCAGCCAGGCCAAGAGTCCCGAACACTCGATCGGCCGGGCCTTGCTAGCCATGCGGCAGAACGATGCCGAGGTATTCGGTAAAGTGCTGGTGCAGGCACGTCAAGATCTCGGTAAGCCGCTCGTGGCTGCCGGCAAAGCCTCGTATCCGGGCGTCTATGGCTCGGTTCTACACTTACACATGCTTCAAGAGCTCGAGATGATTCGGTCGCACGCTCGAACAAACGCGGGCGATCGGGTCGGAGCGCTGACAAGAGCCGTGGCATCCGACACCGTCTCGGACCTCAATCGATCGCTCACTGCAAGACTCAACGCAACGCTGCCCTCCTTCCGAACGCAAGAGCCGCTGCTGAGCCTGCGGAGGACTGCCTTCGCAGCGCTGCCTTCCTCATCGGGGACAGGGAAGGAAGTGGGCGAGGCGTGGATCGCCACGGCCAAAATTGCTCGTCGTGCGGGCCATATGCAGGCGGCCTACTCTGCGACTCTCCAGGCCGGGCAGAATCAGGCCACGTTTGCCTTTGTTCAGAGGGTGAAGATCCTAGCCAAGGAGGAGAAGACGCACGAGGCCATCCGTGACCTGGTCAACTCGCTCAACATTTTGACCAGCACCTTCAAGCCGGGTCAGATCGGCGACATGTCCAATACAGGCTTTATCGAGTTGCAGAAGATGGATTCCGATGGCAGGACGATGCGAGTCGACCGTTCGACATTCGCCAAAGCGTGCCTCCTCCGCGCACGGCTGCAGGACTCGACCTTCCGGTACACTGCTGGCGAGATCCTGGACCGGTACAAGGAGGCCGCCAAGGAGCAAAACGATTCAGAGAAGATGTGGTACCATCTAGGCCACTTCCAAGACACCCACGAGGGTTTGCTACCCAGCATGACGATGCAACGCTACAACGTGTGCCGAGCCTTTTTACGCTCGGCTCAAGTTGGCACCAAGTTCTTCTATCGCACGCTTCCGAGGGTGCTGACGATTTGGATGGACCTGGCTGCGGACGAAAAGATCCTAACTCACAGCAAAAAAGGCAGCAGCAGCAATCCGGAATTGGCGCAGAAGGTGGATGCGTTCCTGCAGCTGAACGCGCTCATGAAGAAGTTTAGCCGACGACTCAAGCCTTTCCAGTGGCTCGCCGTATTTCCGCAGCTCGTCGCCCGCATCGTCCAGAAGAACGAGGATGCCTGGATGGTGCTGCAGGATATGATCCTCCAAGTGCTGTTGGCGTACCCACAGCAGGCCATGTGGTCGATGGTGGCAGGTGCCAGCTCGAAAGACGCGGAACGGAAGAAGCGCTACAGCGAGATGATCCACAGGCTCAACGCTAAGAGCGGCTCGAGCCACAAAGAGGTGATCAAGGTGGTCTCGTCTTCGCAGCGACTTGCCAAGGAGCTTTTGCGGCTCTGCGACTACAATGTCAATAAGAACGAGACAGTGCTCAGCATGGACAAGATGTTCCCGGGTCTGCTGGAGGTGGCCAACGCATCGGAGCTGTTGTTGCCTCTGCAGAGCTCCATGACGGTGCTGCTACCTTCGAATCACCTGATCTCGGAGGAGCATCGCCCGTTTCCGAGCAATCTGCCGACGATCATGACCTTCGAGGATACCATCGAGGTGATGAACAGTCTGCAGAAACCTCGAAAGGTGATGATCGTCGGCAACGACGGCAACCGCTACCCATTCCTTTGCAAGCCCAAGGATGATCTGCGCAAGGACGCGCGGCTGATGGAGTTCGATTCGATGATCAACAAGCTTCTTCAAAGTCAGCCCGAGTCGCGTAAGAGGAAGCTGTACGTGCGAACGTACGCGGTGCTGATCCTCAACGAGGAGCACGGGCTGATCGAGTGGGTGCCGCACACGGTGGGCTTCCGGCACATCCTGACCAAGCTGTACAACGCCAAGGGGATGCAGATCTACACTTCGGAAGTCAAGACCAACATGGACGAGGCGCGCCTGGCGCCGGACACGAGGACGACCGAAAAGATCTTCCAGGACCGGGTGCTGGCTAAGTTTGCTCCCGTCTTTCACGAGTGGTTCCTGGCCACGTTCCCAGACCCGACAGCGTGGCTGCAGGCGCGTTCAGCGTACGCGCGAACAGCAGCAGTCATGTCGATGGTTGGATTTGTGCTGGGTCTCGGAGACCGTCACGGCGAAAACATTCTGTTCGACTCGAACAGCGGCGACACGGTACACGTCGACTTGAACTGCCTTTTCGACAAGGGGCAGCGATTCGAGATTCCTGAACGAGTGCCGTTCCGACTGACGCAAAACATGGTGGACGCGATGGGCGTCACAGGCTGCGACGGCGTTTTCCGCAAGAGCGCCGAGATCACGATGGGCATCCTGCGCGATAATCGCGATTCGTTGATGAGCGTGCTGGAAGCCATGGTACACGACCCGCTGGGCGAATGGAGTGTGCCGGAGGACCGCCATCGAGCCAAGGGCTCCAGCCGCAAGAGCGATGTGCGGGCCGATGATCCGCGGGTGGTGGAAGCGCGACGTGCGCTGGACCCGGTGGCCAACAAGCTCGACGGACGACTGTACCGTCTGGGATCGCGCGAGCCTTCACCACCTTACTCGACCAACAACCTGGTCGATGCACTGATCAAGGAAGCCACGAGCTCGGTAAATCTGGCCAAGATGTACATAGGATGGAGTAGTTGGCTCTGACGTCAATCTCAAACGAATCTCACGTGCACAGCATAGTTCAAAAAGAAAGCCCATCGTGATGGTCGCTCTGCGGGGCGCAAATGTGGGGGCCGAGGGATCGACAATGCATGTAGATGTGAGGAGGTGAGTTTTGCGAAGAGATTCTTGATCGATAGCGCGAGGCAGCGACGCGCTTCGACGATGCGGAGAATATTCGGGCCTCGTCAGGCCAACAAGTGAACGTAGGCCGGGACGAAGCCGAGTCTCGACAGCTTCGGATGTACCACAGTCATACCTGATATGCTAAACTGAAGAGCATCGATAGGTGAAAGAGCGCCGTCGGATCAGCTGCCGAACATGACACAGTGTAAGACGGCCAAGCCCAAGAAGGCGCCGGCAAGCTCTCCTGTAGATCGACCTCTGCATTTGGGTCATCGCAAATCAACGATTGCGTTACACAGAATTAAAATGAAAACAAAGCAAACCGCTGACTTGTTTGTTTCTGTCTGGCCTGACATGCGTCTCCCATTCACAGTTCTTGAGATGCGTTTGAGCTATGTCATTGTCATACGGTACGCCGATAGCGCAAATGTGTCCACGTACTGTGGTGGAACAAGGTGTGAGGTGTCCGAGTCTGATCGACGGATCGAGATGTCGGATCTGATCCGAGTTTGTCAAACTGATCAGGCGACGATCATGTTGGAGGAAGGCCGCAATCCCGAAAAACTTGCGGAAATTCCAAGAGCGCCCTGCAAAAGCGCGGATACTCTCTGGAGGGCCCGCATTTTTGGGGGTATTTTGGTCATCCTTTGCGAATCACAACACACGGTTAAATTATTTATTTTTTGAACAAGGTGGGGGAGAGCGGGCGGACAACCGAGGAGAGAAATACTTTTTTCTTTCTTTTTGTTTTTGTTGTTTTTGCGAGCGGAGGCGGAGAGATCTCCAGTTTGTGGTGGAGCATGTGCAGGGTGCAGGCTGCAGTAGCTGCAGCATTTTGGAAATCGAAACGATCAGCCACCCACAGACCAGACAGGAAGAAGGGCGAAGGAACAGACGACTGCGACCAAGTGGTACAGACAGGTGGGATGGTTGCGTCCAAGTTGCTGGTGGGGCAGCATCCGATCCACTTCTTCGCATCGGATGTGATGCATCTCTCTCATCGCTCCTCACTTTCTCGACTTGTTCTTTCCTCCGTGGCTGCTGCATCGGGTGCAAGCCACTCTTGTTTCGGACCGCGACCGGCGAATTCTCACGTCGATACTCCTTTCTTTCGTCCGTCAACAGAGGCGCACCTGTCACACGCCCACTCGCCACCTGGACAAGTGCACTCTTCCTCAGCCACTCTGCTCCCTTTCCAGCAACTTCAACTTGATCTTGCGAGCCTCGGAACATTGCCTGATAGACTAGTCTTGCCCTGTTGGTCGTCACTTGCTTCGGATCCTTCCTCTCCCTTACTTGCACCGCTTGCAGCATCACCGTCAACGACCACCTGGCTGTTTCACGATCCACATTGTATCGCAGTCGAACTCGAGAGCTCACCTTCTCCGTCACTGCATCAACCCACCGCATCTTCAACTTCGCAATTACCCCGCTCGCAACAGCCCTTCGATCTGCATCGCGCCACAGCAACCTTGAAACCGGTTCATTAGCGGGCGCGCCCACATTGGTAGTGCGCGTGTTGTCTCTCTGCCCTACGAGATCAATCGCTGATGATTTCCTCATCGCAACATAGCAACACTACGAGAAATGCATTCGTCACCCTCTTGACATCCGACCACTACCTGCCAGGTGCTCTTGTTCTGGCAGAGTCGTTGCGTCTCAGCCATGGTATCTCCAACAAGGGCAAGCACAGAGCTGGCGCCCCGCCTTCCTCTGCCGCCGACTTCCAGATGGTCGCCCTCATCACACCGGAAACTCTCTCCGTACAATCCATCAAGGCGATGCGGCGCAGTGGCCTATTCGACTGGATCGTGGGCGTAGAGCCTATCGGTTTTCGTCAGATGCTTGCTTCCTCGTCACCGACGAGCGCTTCCACACTCACCGCAACCGACAATGCCCATCCCAGCTTCCCCGCCATGATCGACTCGGATCTCAACGCAAAGATCGTCGAGATGGAACGCAACCTCAATTTGCTGGGTCGGCCCGATCTCACCAACACTCTTACCAAGCTACATGCGTGGAGGCTAGGCCGCGATTCGGCGCACCTGGTCGCTCACGGCGCCACTGCTAACGGCAGTGCTCCTCAGCGATGGCAAGGGTTCGACAAGGTCGTCTTTCTGGATGCCGACACTCTGGTGCTCCGGCCCATCGATCACCTCTTCCGCCTAGGAACCAACGTCAACTTTGCAGCAGCTCCAGATACGGGCTGGCCGGATGCCTTCAATAGCGGTGTCATGATGGTCGTCCCGTCGAGTCGCACCTTCGAGGCGATCCGATCCTTTGCTCGCACTACGGGCTCCTGGGACGGCGCAGATCAAGGACTGCTCAACGACTTTTACGGTCCGGAAGACGGCTCCGACCAGTTCTCCGCTAACTCGCAAGGTGCTGCTTCGTCTCCCGGTGGCGGCTGGAAGAGGCTCAGCTTCCGCTACAATGTCACGAGTCATGGAGGCTACACCTTTGCACCAGCCTACCAGCGATACGGTCAAACGATCAATATTGTTCACTTTATTGGCCAGCACAAGCCTTGGAATCGACCACGCCCAGCGGGTACACCGGAACCCAATCCGCTCGTTGGCCCACGCGATCTCGACAGCCAGCGGATCACGCCGGACCAGCCCGACTACCTGCTCGCACTCTGGCACACTGCATTCGCCTCCCTCTATCCATCTTCGGGCTCCGCTTCACCGGACAGCGAGATCGAGATCGTTCACACCGAACGCGGCGTCGAAGTCGTCGAGCGTCGCAAGTTCACCGTGCCCACCTTCCAAGCTGTCTGGGATGCTGAAGCGCGCGACGACACCTCAATCACCCAGGCAGCCAGGACATCATCCACGCTTGCATCCACAAGGCCACCCGTCATGGAGGCAGCATATGCGAGTCTTCCCCTGGACGGCAGAACTTCGTTGATCGCGCCAGCGCCAGAGGTTGAGCGGTCCCGATCACCTCAAACGCCGACGCAGCAAAGCATCGATGCCGAGGCGATGGCGAAAAAAGACTCTGCCACGACTTCCGCACCTGTTGCGATTCCCGTGCGCGCACAAGACGACAAGGAAGATGACGACGACGACTCGCCTCAGCACTTTTCGCCGCCAAAATTGTCCTGGAACCCTGCCCAAGAGCCTCCTCCGAGCGGATCGGATGCCTCTCTGTACCAGATGCGGGTCCCCATCGAAGCCTTCTATTCTAATGTATGGGACGCAGGTCAAAGGACACCGCGCACTCTGGCCGAACAGAAGGCAGCCTTCTTCGTGCCCCAGGTCGCTGCGTCTCAACAGGCCGGCGCGCGTGGCCACGGTGGTCCTGGCTACATCCCGGCGCAGCTCCGACGCGATCGTGTTTTTGACAATCTCGGGTCGGCAAAACCGGATCCTAGCAAAGTCAAACCCATCTTCCCGTGGGAAGCCAAACATTCCGCTACCACTGCACCGACACGTGTGTTCCCGGACGAGCCTCGTCGTCCCTCGCCGCCGCCGCCTTCTGCCGACAAGGTGCCCGTACGCGAAAGTACGCGAGACGACTCCGTCCTTGCATCAGCTCTCCCTCAATCCACGGCGCCAGCGCAGCGATCGCGAGGTTTGCCTGCTAACCTCGCGTACGTGAATGCGTGGGACGAGGCTGGCGCCATTGGCAACTTTGCGAATGCTTGGAACAGACGCAATCAACCCCGGTCTTCTCCTGAAAAGCGCAGGTCACGAATGGGAGAAGCAGGCCACAATACTGGCTTCACTTCAAGTCCTTCGAGCCACCCGCGATCAAGAGACGGGCAAAGGAATGAGGGCGGCAAAGCTAGCTCACCTGATCTGCGCGGTGCTACGTCATCAATGCGCCCAGCACCTGCAGAGGCGATGGAACGCAGATCGAGCCTGCAAGAAGGTGACGGGACGCGCGATGGCGAAGCGTCCGACAGCAGGGATGGCGACGACGAGTCTTCCGAGGGCGAGGAATCGTCCGCGAACGAGGAACCGTCGCAAGTCGTTGCTGACCGGGGTGCAACTCCCTCGCCGACCAACGCACGCCAGGCAGGGTGGCCTCGCGAGGGACCGGGCCGGGGCTACATGAGGAAAGCAGAGAACTCGATGCACGCACAGATGAACGCCACGCCTCGAAGTCCCAGACTGGGCTCCCGCGTGCTGTCGTACACCTCGACTGCAACTGAAGGCGAAGGGAGAAGTGGCGGAGGACGATTTTCGTCGTCCAGCAGCGCGTCTGCTTCGACCATCACGACGAGCGACGTTGCAGCAGCTGCGAGGCAGAGAGCCAAGGACAGGATCAGACCGGATGGATGGGTCTCGACTGGCTCAGCTGGTTCGGGGATGAGTTCGCCTCCTCCAGGCTACCACTCCGCCTCCACGCTGCGAGGGATCCCAGGGGCGAATTCGGTCGGCACATCTCGAACCGGGTATGCTCCAAGTCACTACCAGGGCATGACTGGGAGGAGACGCGAGACAAATTCCTCCAACGAATCTCAATCGGGAGAGTCGGGCGCCAACTCCCCCACGGCGCTTCTCAGCCCTTCTCTCGTCTCGGCGAGCGGGAGCATGCCGTTTCTGACGAACAACTCCGCGCGCTCTTTTGGCAACGCCATGGCGGCGAGGACGAGGTTGCCGGCTCCATCCGAGTTGGACGAACCGTTCAGTTCGAGCCCGGTGAATCTGAGGACGGAGCTTTCGAGGCAGGCGAGGACTCATCAGCAGGCCAAGTATGCCAGCGCCAGTCGCGGTCATCGCCCCTCGTGAGCTCACCGGCTTGCACAATCGTTCTCGCTCAAAATAAGAGGATTGCACACATGATGCACGTATCTTTTGAATCCGTGTGTGTGTGTCAGAGGGCAGAGTTGTCGCGAATGTACAAGGGTGAGGTGAATTGCTGGCAGACGAGGTATCGATGGCAAGAGCGGAGAGATCAGTGCTTTTCAGCATCAAAGATGGGCTTGTTGGCTTCGGTCGTTCCCGGTGCGGCGGCTGCAGCGGATGCTGCTGGTGTGGCTGTCACGCCGCTCGCCGGGCCGGCTGCTGCAGGTGCACCCGCTGTGTGACCGCCGCTGAGGTCGTATCCACTGACCGCACCTGCACCCTGAACATCAGGCACATAGCTCTGCTGAGGCACTCCGCTTTCATCCACCATCTCTGCTGCCTCGACGACCTCGTACATGGCACTCGCCGCCTCCGGTGCGGGAACCTTACCCGTCAACAGATCGATCGCAGGAATGGGTTGACCGTAGAAGTCCTTGTTGGTCTCCTTCCTCTCCACGAGCACTGTGCCTTCCAGCGAGATTCCTGCGAAGAGACCTTTGGATCTTGAGTAGGTGAAGAGCGGAGCTGGGTCACGAACAGCAAGGTTGACTGCTGCACCGGTTCCGATGGGTCCGGCTGCAGCGGAGAGACTGCCTCCGACAGTGAGGTTGCCGGCGTAGGCGAACGCTTTGATGGCCTCATCGCTGTTCATGACGATGACGAACTCGGTAAGGTCGGCACCGATTTGAAGACCGAATCCTACCGCGCCGGTTCCGATACAGCTTGGTGCGGACCAGCTGCCATCTGGCAATCTAGCGATCACTACACCACTGCCGATCTTTCCTGACCAAACAAAGCCCTGTGTTTGCGCGAAAGTTGAGAGAAGAAGAGAGGGGAGATCAGTGGGCCGCTCGAATGCTGCAGACATGATATGACGGAAAACTTACAGCCTTGATAACACTGAAGATGGCCAAACCTTTGGCGTGCTGCAGCACAGCTTTGGGGATGGAATTGAGCGCCGAATCAGGGTGGTCTGGGTCGGCGAGGAATGCTTGCAGAATCTTGGCAGCTCGATCGCATTCCTTAGGGAGAGAGAACCCGGCTCGAGCGGTAGCGGCTTGCTCGTTGATGGTGCGGCTTGTCTGCTGGGCAAAGGCGTTTGCTTGCACACCGGCCTTCTGAGCCGCGGTGCGGAATTTCTCCATGAACGACATGGTAGATATGGGTGCGGCGAGGATGGCGAGGCCAGGCTGGATGTCGGTGTGTGGGAAGGAAGATGGTGATGGACGAGAGATGGACGAGAAGGTGTGGATGCTGCAAGTGAAACACGCCAATTTCCTTGATGACGATTTTGAGTGTTGCTGCCTTTCGTGTGGAGAGAAGGCGAAGACAAGCGCCTGCAGCACACAGCCTCGTCTCAGAAGCCAGGACACGCGTGAGTGAACAGCCAGCCAAAATCCAGGCGCGCACGGTCTTGCGTCTCCACTTTGGAGGAGCAGCGACACTTCTGTAGCGAACCCTGAAACTGGAAGCTTGGCGTGACTGGTTGCCCTTCGTCTCTCAAGCACTCTTTTACACACTACAAAGCGGTTGATCCGACCACATCACAGTCGCAGCATTAACGGCATTTGGAGCTCACTCATTTCGCAGAATCCAGCCACGACGATCCGCCTGTCGCCGCTCATCAGAGGCTCGAAAGTGCCGGAAGCCGACATGGTCACTCTGCAGGGTCCGATAGAGTCGTCTTGACCGCTTCAGATCCGGCCTTACTCTTCGAGCGTCCTTCTCAAGCCTCGTTGACATTATCATGTCGGCTTCGGCTCAAGCCAGCAGCGGAGGCTCACCCGCGTCTGCCAACAAGACCAAAGACCTCTTCAACGCAGCCCTCCAAGCACGCAATCCAAACAACGCATACATCGCCCACCTCAAAATCTGGGAAGAGGTCGAAGGTGCACCTGCTCCAGACAATGCAGCTGCAGCGGCCGCCACCAAGAAGGCGAGGTACCTCATCCTAGCCGTACAAAGAGATACAGGCAGAGTCACCATTAACAAGGCCAAACGCAACGCAAACGGCAGCTTCAGCATCGGCAAAGACTGGGACCTCAACACGCTTCGACAGGTGCACGTCATCCAGCCGGACTTATTCAGCATCACTCTGAGCCGTCCGTACCAATGGCAGACGCAGCAGCCGATCGAGCAGCAACTTTTCTTGCAGAGCCTGGTCAAGGTTTACCGCAAGTACACGCAGGATGATGGGCCGAGATTGGTCGGCATCGATGTACCGCTGTCGTCCGGATCGGCTGCGCCGACTGTTGCAGAATCGGCGAATCTGTCGGATCACCCGTCGTCAGGATACCGCACCGACACGTCGCAAGCAGTCTCTAGCAATGGCACTGCGGTAGCGGCAGCAGCACCACCATCCGCCGTTGCACCTCCAGTAATCAACACAACTGCACCGCTCAAGATTCAGCGAGAGTCTGGTGCCTCCCCTACTCGTAGCCTCCCAAGTGACGCAGGTTCCGCAAATGGTCGCGATCGCAGCGGTTCGCAAAGCTCGAGCACACAGCAGAGCCCCACAAAAAGCAAACGCGAAGGTGGACTCCAACCGAGCCCGCTCAGTCGAAACGTACAACTTCCCTCCAGACCCTCTGCAGACTCACAACGATCCGCCATTTCAGATAGCTCCACGGCTGCCCCGCGACAGACGCTCACGGCGTCGAATCTGGCAGTCCCGCGACAAGCACCGCCGCGAAAGAACAGCGCCGATTCGATCTCGATCAGAAGCGGCAGCATTGGAGGGTTTTCCGCCGGTGGTGGCGGTGGAGGTGGGGATGCCAGGGCACGATTGAGCTCTATCGAGCCAATTCGAGGTGGGGCGGCGTACGAGCGCATGCTTCTCGCCGGGACTGGACTGACTGGTGTCACAGAGGTGGATGACGACGAAGCGGGAGATGCCGATCAGGATCCGTACGGAGGAGCCGTGCTGGCGGACAAGGATGCCGGTCCGGATGCGTCCTTCTCTTCGAAGCGCGCTACGTTGGGTCGACCTGCGATCGCACGTCTCGAGACGGACAAGACCAAGCTCAGCGAGAGGTCTCGACCGTCCGCCGACGACGTGGACGACGACGAGGACGAGAACTCCACGCTGGTCGCCGTCGAAGAGATGCTCGAAGGTCTCGAATGGCGAAACGCCAGCGCCAAAGGCTACGGCATCGCCTCCGGAAAAGGCACAGCCGACATGATCGAAGCGCGCCTGCTGGACGAACTCTCGGCACTAGAAGCCGCCAACATCTTTGCCATCATCGAGTCCGACGACCGCGTCGCTCTGGTCGTCAAGCACATGGAAGAGGCGCTCGCCGACCTCGACATGATGGACAGCATGATCGCCGGCTTCAAGGTGCAACTCAACGCTCGCGCCGACGACATTTCCCACATCGAGTCGCAGAACCGTGGATTGCAGGTGCAGACTTCGAACCAGCGTACGTTGATGGCCGAGATCGAGACGCTGATCAACACGATCAATGTCGACGAGGGTGCGATCCACAGCTTGAGCGCGGGTAGGTTGGAGAGCTCGGAGGGGGTCTCGCAGCTGGAAGTGGCGGCTGCGTCGCTGTACAAGTCGATGCTGCAGGCGAGGAGGGATGGGGATGGCGGGGGTGCAGATATGGCTGCTGCTGCGGAGAGGTTGGCCGATCACGAGGCTATCTCGGCACGATTCTGCAAGCGCGTTCTCGACTACCTGAACGTTACATTCAGCGCCGAGACGCAGAGACTGCTTTCGGACCCGTCGCGGCAGAAAGCGCTGCAACCACCTCACCCTTCGCTACCGGATCACGCTTCGATGGAGGAGGTCCTCGGTCAATACTGCGGCCTTCTGCTCTACATGAAGGAGGTCTCCTCCGCTACGTTTTCCCGCGTCTCTGCTGCGTACTTTGCCTCGGCCAGCGAGTGTTATCGCACCGAGATGCAGCAGCTCTTTGCGGCCTATCGCAAGCAACTTCGCAAGGCTACGGACGAAGATGTTTCGGAATCGAGTTTCGTCGCGCCGACATCCACCGGTGTAGCCACGGCGGCGATGCGCAGTGGCACCATCCGACGAGCTCAACGCGACAAATCCATCAAAGGTGCACGCGATCGAGGCGATGTCGCTGGTCAAGACGGTCTGCAACGCATCCTGTCCTCCATCTTCCCCGTGTTGCTGCGCGAGCAGAATTTCATCTCGGATTTTCTGCACATCAACGACAACAACATCACCTTTGCCGACTACATGGATCTCGAACCGTACTTCCGTCGCCGGGCGGCGGGTATGTTTGCCACCACATCCGCCACCGGACCGTTGCGCGAGATGAAGGGAGCCATGGACCTGATCTTTGGCTTTGTCGCACCGGAGCTCCAGTCGTTCACGGATGACGCGTTGGCAAAAGACAAGATGTGCATCGTCGGCTTGCTGGCTACGTTGGATCGAGGCATCATCGAGTCGGAAGAGGTCAACTGCGAACTGCTGCAAAAGGTGCTGGCGAAATTGCATCTCAGGTTGGCGTCGCAGTTGGAGCGATTCGTGCAGGAACAGATCAAGGGCATCGAGGCGACGAAACTGACGGTCAAGAAACGCAAAGGTGTGGTGCACTTTATGCGCGTCTTCCCAGTGTTTGTCGATCGAGTGGAGCAGCAGTTGGTGAACGCGGAAACGTTGAACATCCGCCACGCTGTCGATGGGTACTACGTGCAGATATGCGGGACCATGTTCGAAGCGCTCCAGACGATCTCCCGCGTCGAATCGGCGGTGGACGACGACAAGGGACAGCTGAATCACCTGGTGATCCTCATCGAAAACATGTGGTACTTCATCTCGGAGATCAACAAGCTTTCCTCCCGCTCCACCATCCCCTCAGCCTCTCTAGCCGGGCTGGTCAAACGAGCGCAGTCGATCTACGACGACTCCCTGACGAGCTACACCGGATTCGTGCTGCGTCGAAGTCTCGCCAAGATGATGGACTTCGCAGATGGCATCGATGCGTTGCTGAAGAACACACCTGCGACCGAGGTGAGCTTGCACTCGGCGTACAGCAAGGGTGCGTTCAAGAAGATGTGCAAGGATCACACGGCCAAGGACACACGGAAAGCGGTCGAGGCGTTGAGCAAACGGGTTGGCAAACACTTTGATGACGACGAGATCGCAGCTACGGGAAGCACGAGTGGTGGAGGTGCGGGTGGGGAAGGGACAGCGGGGGTGGCGGAGCAGGAAGTTGAGGTGCTGGGCAGGGTGTGGGGGAGCTGCGAGCAGGGATATCTGCGGGAGTTCCAGCGGGTTGCGAGGATCGGAAAGGAGTGCTATCCGGACGTCTCGGGTGCGACTTTGGAACTGGGGGCGAACGAGCTACGCAGGTTGTTTGCGAGTTTGGCCCCCAAACGACGTTGAAGGTCGACACACGCACGGTGTTGGGTTCTCACGCGGATCTTGGACAATCCATTGCATTGCACGAAATCTTCGAGGTCACTCGACGCTCCCGGTTAGAAGTGGTGTCGCGTGATATGGATAGATCAAGCAGCGTGATGCTGCGTTACGCGTGTCGACGAGCCCTGCCCGCCGCAGCATACCTGTGCAACACCCAACTGAGATATGCCAGATCCTTTGTACGCCCATACCTGACCAACCGATGGTGAAGAAGTTGCACGTCGAGGAACGTCAGACTTGGCGGTTCTGAAAGCCGGACTTCGGATCCTCGCTCTGCTTCAACAGCTTCAACACTGGATGGTGTTGATCCTTCTGCCTGCAAGCCATTCTTTCGTCCATTCGCACCCGTTGACGCTCCGGCGCCGGTGAGCGCGATCAAGCTCTGCAACGACTTCCAAGCCACCGGCAGAGGCGAGAGATCCAACTTGACCTCCGCGCTCTTCTCCCTCAACAGCGCCATCTGTCGCAGCCTCGTCTTTCGGAGCGATTTCTTCTTGCCGCTCGTCATACCCCCGGCTACATCTGAGGGAAGAGCCGGCGGGTAGAGCGAGACGAACTCTCGCAGGACGAGCATGGCTTTGTCCAGACCGTCGGCGTGTTTGGCGTGGTAGTGGATGTAGGCTGACCAGCATTTCGTCAGCTGGGCTGCATCGATGGGTTCCGCGTATCGGGTGTGCTGGGAGACGGTTGTGAGTGCCGTTGACTCCGCCCGGGACGCTTGCGAGCTGAGGAAGTTTCGGAACCGAGTCCATACGTCATCCACCAACTTCACCTGCTGCGAATCAGCATCGCTCAAGCTCTCCAATACGATCCTGTACGAGTGCTCGTTCGCCTCCAACCCCAACTTGTCGAACAACGCATGCTCAAACGTTCCTTCCGCTGAGCTTGAACCGTCTGCTCTGCCCACGAGAGCAGAGTGAAGGACCGACGCTCGTTGGTTCGGGGGTAGGTGAGCCGCCAGAACAGTGAAGTAGGAATTGACAAGTCGGACGCCGAAAGCGACGGAGCCGAGTGGACCTTCGGTTGAGGAGGAGGCAGGTTGATCGGCGAGGATGCGTGCGAAGAGGGATCGTGTTTCAGAGACCAGATCTGAAGAAGTTTGAGGGACGAGGGAGGAGAAGATGTGGGCTGCTTCTTCGGGTGTTGTGCTATCGTCTTCCATTTCTGCTGTGGGCGAGAGGCTGGTTTCCTCGGCTCGTGAGACGAGTTCGGCGGTGTTCGCCCCATTTTCGGAGTCGGCATTGTCCGGAGTCGATCCCTTGGTTTGACCCTGCATCCCCATTTGATCCCTCTTAATCGGCGGCGTGTACGCGGCATACGTATGGAAAACATGACACATGGTCTCCTCGTTCGGCCTCTTACTCAACAGTTCCACCCTCTCCTCCCTCCCCAGCCCTTCCCTCACCTCTGCATCGAACAACGGCAGCGTCGTCCGGATCATCTCCGCCAACACCCACCTCGCCCTCGCCAAATCCCGATTCCGCGCACACCCCTGAAGCAGCGCGTTGAAGGTATACCGATCTGGAGCGAACCTCAACATGCCGTTTTTGCGCAAGTCGACATTCGAACGTTCCGTTTCCAACTCCACCATCTCTCGAAGCAACCGGAAGGCCTCGAGGTAGAAATCTTTGCGTCGGGCACAGGCCAGGATCAGCGCGTTGTAGACTTCGGCGTTGGGTCGGACCGAGTATCGAGTGGTCATCTCGCGGAACAGATCGAGCGCTCGTTCTGCATCGCTGGTTCTTGAGGTTGCGTCAACGGACGAGGTGGAGGAAGGGGATCTCGAGTTGAGATCGAGACCGGTATACGTGGACGAAGGATCGTCGACATCTTGCGGTTGCGGGACACCACGTGCACACGCACGGATCATGAGCGTGTAGAGCGGCGCATCTGGGATGGGATGTGCGTGCAATCGCATGTGGTAGAACACATTCCATGCGAGTGCTTGCAATTCTGGTCGCTCTTGTTTCGCACCCGTCTGCGGTAAAACGATGGGATCGAGCAGGCGATCGATCACCAAAGTGTAGGTTGCCATTGACGCTGGTGTACCATTCGACTCGAGCGAGTTGAGCAGTTGAATCGCCGGCATGAACTGGCAAGTGTTGACGTATGCTTTTGCCAAGCTGTGGTACGTGTGATCGTCCGGAACGAGCCCTACCTCTGACATCTTGGAAAGCCATTCCTGGCACATGTCGACTTGACCTTTGCTGGCAAACACGTCCATCACATGGTTGTACAGCGACAGCGGCGCTGGATGATATCCGGCTGCATGCATCAGCGACATGGTGCGCGAGAGAGTGGCTGTGTCATCTGCGCGCGCAGACGCGACCGCCAGCGCTGTCCACTCTTCTATGGTCGCTACACCCAAGGGCAGACTGGCTGCAGTCGAGGATGACGATGGCACTGCGGGCGAGGCAGAGCGAACGAGCTTGTCGATCGAGCTCAACATGAACTCGCGCGATTCAGCAGAGCCAAGATCTTTGATCATCGCTTCGGCACGTGTCGCGAGATCGCCACCAGTCTCGACGTCGTAGTTCTTCTGGCTCTGAATCGCCGTCTGGTCGTCTTGCGCGTCCGATAAAGTAGGTGCCCTGCCATCCAGTCGGACCGGGACAAAGGTTTGCGGTAAAGTCGCATCATTGTCTTCTGCGACATCGGAGGGGCTTGCTTGCATCGGTCGCGGAGCTGTGGACTGCAGTTCGTAATCGTGCTCTTGAAGGATTCTAGCGATGCGATCGGCGAGGTTGGACTTGATCCCTTGCAGGGATTCTTCATCACGATTGGTACTCGCGTTCGAATCCGTATCTGGAGTGGAATGCACCAATGCAAGTCTGGCAAATAGCTGTTGCAGACGGATCTCCTGTCGCTCTGCATATGGGAGCGCTGCTAGATCCGGCTCTTCCTCATCTACCGCGGCACTCCTCTCGGCTGCTGCTTCCATTGTCACTTCCTGCATCCTCGGCAGACTCGAGCTTGACGGCGGCAGCAGCATCTTTCCCCTCTCTCTCGCGTCAATCATCCTCTGCTTCAGGTCCATTCCGGCTCTCCTTCTCCTCTCCTCAGCTCTCGACTCCAGTATGATCCCTCCTCTGCCTAGCAGCTCCACACCCCTTCTACCCCTCCCATCATCCACCAACCCCTTTTCTCTCCTCCCGCCTTCCAACCTCGCTAGCCTCATCTCTTCCTCTGTCGGAGGTGGCGGAAGCATCAAAGCCTGATACAGCTCTTCCAGTGTATGGTCATCCAGTTCTGGCAGATCTTGCGTCGCTTCGTCCGCTTTCGCCTTCTTCTCGAGCTTCTCTAGTTGGGTCCCCAAACCTCTTAGTTCCTGTTTAAGCAGTCGCTCCTGCTGTGATCGGGTGAGTCGTTCGCCGCGAGGTCCTGTTCGAGCCATGTACTCGCGGATATTGGTCTCGACCTCTTCGTCCATTGGATCACGAGGTCGTCGAGAAGGTCGCTCGCGTTGGTTGGAGGTAAGACCATCTTTTTCGCGCCGACGTACGAGTCGTTCTTCTTGTCGCATGGAATGTAGGCGCGCTTTCTCTCGCCCTGCTTGCTTCCGATGCGCGCTGACGGAGGCGGACGAGGTTGATGAGAGGTTGCGCGCATGATGGAATGATGGGCGTCGTACGGATGATGCGACCGTTGTCCTTGCAATATGGTAGCTGGTAGAAGCAATCGGAGCGCTCGTTGCGGGTCGTATTGAAGTGAGAACAGCTCCCCTGAGCAGAGCTAACAGCCCTGCTGCAGCATGTTGACTCGATATGCGGTCGACCATGCTCACCCACGATCCACCTGTTGAGTGCTGAGTGGAACCGGACAGATGGTATGTGATGGAGGAACTCAAAGAAAAGACTGAGCCAAAGAAGAACGAGCGGAGCTGAACCCTGAATTTTCGAGCGTTTCTTCTCAATCCCGACAAATTTTCGCCGTCAAGCCGGAAGTCGGACCAACCGAAAACCTCCACTCACAGACGCATCCTTCGAGCTTCGTAGTACGATCCTCTCAACCTCTTCCGATTCGTATAGTCTCACTTGAGCATGGTCTTCAACGCTGTCGGGTGGAAAGAGCCTCTCACAGACCCGGCGGACACGCATCGCCAAATGAGAATTAGTCGCTTTCGTACAGAATTCACCGTCACATCAACTAAGCAGCAGCTACAGGATTCGCCTTCTCAACCACAGGGCTACCTTGATTCCTCTCCCTCCTCGCCTCCTTCAACGCCTCCAGTCTCTCCTGCCACCTCGGGACCTGCAGCAACTTCTGCTCCAGCGCCTGCTTCTCCTCCTGCAATGCCAACCTCTTCTCTGCATCCAGCTCCGTGAACACATATCCACCCTGTCCGTCGTACTGCAGCACGTAGCTGTGGTACTTCCACAACGACGGTCGGTGCGAAACCGTCAGCATGGTGATGCCCAGTTCGGTGGCGTGGTCGTACATGATCTTTTCGATCTCGAGCGTCACCGCCGAGGTGCATTCGTCGAGGATGGCGTATTTGGGTTTGTGGTAGAAGAGTCGTGCCATGGCAATGCGTTGTTTGTCACCGCCGGAGAGGGCATCTCGCCACTCGCGTTGGACGTCCCAGCCTCCCTCGCGTGCTACGATGTGCTCGATCTGGAGCACGCGAAGGATGTCGAGCAGGTCTTCGTCAGTCTTGCCGCGTGCACGCATCTCTTGCGCCGTGTGAGGGTAGATGATCTGATCGCGAAGAGTGCCGAGCGAAAGGTAGGGTCGTTGCGGGATGTAGGTGAATTCTGAAGTGGGTGGTTTGTTGACCGTACCTCCGTACACGGGCCAGAGACCACCTAGGATACGGAACAGAGAACTCTTGCCACACCCATTGGGACCGATAATAAGCAAATGCTGACCAGGCTGTACGTAGAAGCTGAGCTTGGGCACCAGGATGTCACCGTTGGGGCTTACGATGGGCACATCGCGGAACTCGACACCTGCCGACCTCGAAGTGTCCTCCTGGATCGTTCCTCTGCCCTGCAGCACGAGCGCGTTCTCCTCGATGGATGCCGAAGAGACGAGCTTCTTTTCGAACTTGCCCGCCTTGATCGCATCCATCGTATCCAGCAGCTCCGACACTCGAGCGGTGTATCCAGCCAGTTCCGAGATCTCCTTGTACGAGTACATGACACGTCCAAACGCATCCGACGAGGAGAGCAGCAGGCGACGATTCGTAACGAACGATTCGGTTCGCGATCCCAGATCCAGGCCCTTGCCACCGCCGGGTAGTCGAACGAAGACGGGTACGGCGCAGATGCAAAGACCGAGTGCGCCCCAGAGCCACTTGATGATTCCTTCTTCGGTCATACCGTGGATGATGCGGATGCGGTAGACACGGTTGACGTGCTTGATGAGTGAAAAGTAGGCGCGCTCAATGACATTCTGCTCGGCAGCCTGTCCTCTGAACAGCGCCACCTCTTCGGCATTCTCGATGAGACGCGAGTGGTTGAAGCGGAATTCTCCTTCGAGCTGCTGCTCCGTAGCGGCGTACTGACCAAACGAAGGCGTCAGCTTACGCAGCAGGGTGGCAGATGCAGAAACAAGCATGTTGATGCCGATCAACGCCTCTGCTCCGACACGCCCACTGAGCTGGAAGTTGTAAAGGCAGACGTCGAGGATAGGTTTGGCAAAGTTGCTGTAGATCTCGGCGAGCGACTTGCTGAACTTGGCGACGTCGACAGTGATGAGCTGATCGGCGTTCTTGATGCGGTCATCCAGGTTGCCGAGCTTGTAGAATGTCATGTCGGTGAGGTATGCGTCGTGAACGCGCTTGGTGAGTCGTGATCGGTACGAGAGTGCCAGCTTGGACTGGAGGAACTCGATCATCGAGTTTGTGTACGTGGCAGGCACTGCAACGGCCATCCACCAGAGGATGCCGGTGATGAACTGACGTGTCTGCGAGCGTACCAGTGCGGATACAATCCTACCGTCGAGATCGGCGACGTAGAGCGAGAGCATGGTTCGAAGCACCAGGAAGACGGTGTGAAGCATCAAGAGACCTGCCTCCTTGGATCGCCAGCCTGGAACAACGATCCGGAGGATGCGTTTCAATCGTTCGAAGAAGACTGCATCGACTTCAACACGCGGACCTCTGCTCTTCTTGCCCCGACGTCCACCGCGACCACGAGATGAAGAGTCGTCAATCTCTTCTGCCGCCTTGGATGCGGTGTTCTGAGCCCCCTCTGCATTCTGCTTTGCGACGGCTCCCGCCTTTTCTGCTGGATCCTGTGATGCGTCGGGTTTGGGCTTTTTGGACTTCCTGGCCCCACTTCGCAGAGTTGCCGTTAGACTTTGGAGGATGAAGGCAATGTATGCGAATCGAAGGACACGCTGAATGGTGGCATGGTTACGACGATAGGCCATGAAGAATCGGATGCCGTACGTCATGCCTTTCATCTTGAGCTCGTCCAGGACGGGCTCAAGGCGGGATTGGACGTGCATCTTGGCGAGCGGCGAGGGGTGTGAGGAGTCAGCCGGTCAATTTGTGCGGTAGCGTCGAAATGTGTTCGGTCTGCTGTGGTCGGGGGCAAGAAGCCGAGAGGTTGCTAACGCTTTTGCTGCTGCTGCCACTGTCTTGAACCGGCCTGTCCTTCAGAGCAACCTTCTGTGCCGTGTGCTTGTCCCTGATAGTGAGCAGCGACTGTCCCAAACCGCGAAATAGTGCAGTTGAGTGAAATGACAAGAAAGCGGTGTGATCGGAAAGACGATGGGGTAAAGGAAGAGGAAGAGGAAAGAGGAGGATGCCGTTGCTATCGGTGTGGATACTTCGATTGCGTTGACGTGCTGTCGCTGCATTCAGCGGCGTGTCTCGCTTTAGTGTGAAAGAGGCGTTGCAGCCATGTGTGACTTGCACGATCGTAGGAATTCCAGCCTATCGTTGTGCTAGGCGCGCAGTCCGGATCTAGTTGCAGCCGATTTACCGTGCTTTTTCATTTCTCGCAATCTGTAGTCATCGTCGATTCCCGCCTTTTTCCATACCTCGCAATCGGGCGATTCACAATTTGACTTGAAGTCACTTGCTACAGCAAGTCCTAGATGCAGGGACCATCCAACCGGCCTTCTTTCTGCCTCCAACTACAGGTCTCTCCTCAACATGAGCGGCAGGGAATACAACACCATCTACAGCCAACCGGCCAACACCGGCTCCGGCATACACGAGAATACCCAACTAGCTTCCGCCATCGATGCGCTCAAACACCACTCCAACCCGGTCCGTCTCGAAGATTTCGCCCTCTCGCAAGGTCTACCCGCCTTGCTCAACCCGAACAGCGGGCTCTTCCTGCGCTTCAAGTCGCACGATCGTGTCACATACAATGGCAAAACGGACCTGTGGATGTACAAGCCGGACTACGATCTTCGAACACCTGCGGATCTGGTTGCACTGCTCAAGGAGCGGTTCATGAACCCGGGTGGGAATGGTGCGAGAAACTCGTCGGCGGCAGGGATGAGGCTGGCTGAGCTGAGGGAAAGTTATCCTGCTGCAAGGGATGCGATCGAGGAGCTGGCCAAGGTGGAACCGAAGGAGGATAGAGAGGTGCTGGTGTTGAGAGGGCAGAAAGACGGTGCGATCAAACAGGTGTTTTGGAACCCACTCAGAGGCAAGGATGCCAAAGGCGTTGATGACGGTATGTACTACCCCTCCAGTCGTCCCTTGCTTCGATCCGACTCACTGACTTTTCTCTTGACCGTTCCCGACGAACAGAATTCAAAGAGCTCTGGCACGAACTCAAAGTGCCCGACCTCGTCGACCTACCCAAAGAACTCGAACGAGAAGGTCTCTCCACCACAGACATGCTCGACGCCCCCATCTCGGCAGCACAGCTCGCTGCCAACGCCAAGAACAAGAAGAAGAAGAAGGGCGCAGGTGTTCGTCGTGTCAAGATTCAAAATACGCATTTGGACGGCATCGACCTGTCGCAAGACTTTATCAAGCCGTCCTGATGGCACAGGCGCAGTCTCACGACACCGTTTGCCTCGATTTTCTCTTTCTTGGTATCTGCATACATCACCGTCTTCTCCTCCAGTTTCGTTCACATGTGTATTTGTACCGTCATCAGCATTCTTGCCTCGTATTGCATCAATCTTTAGCATTTCTCATGGTCTATCGTGTTTGGGCTTGCCGATAGCCACGTACGGTTTTGAGCGTCTTGCCCTCCTCTCATCGGTCGACGGCATCGACCAGGCAGCCCGCCACGTGCACACCCAATCAGCACTTCGATATCGTTCGATCTAGACGATTCGTATTTGCACACTCTTATGTGCGCTTCACCTAACAAAACACAAAGTGTCAGAAACCCAGACCTCCCTTCATACCTCGGGTAATCTGTTTCCTTTTCCTAATGAGGGGGTGTTTAGGATCGGCCAAGCGCGGCCTGCAAAGCGGTGTAGACCTCAATTTCGATCTCTGCCTCGGCCTTGGCCTCTGCGCTCGAGCCGCTGCTTGCGACGCGCTGGGCCTCGCTCAGCGCCGATCGCACAGCCTCAGCCGAGAACTGCTCGAGCGGGTAAGCCTCGATGGCGTTGACGACGAGCTTGTTGTTCGGGTGCACGGTAGCGAAACCGCCGGAGACGAACCACTTCTTGCTGCCGGAGGACTCGACGACTTCCAACACTCCGGGTCGGAGCTCCTCGACGGCAGGGACGTGCGATGCGAGGATACCCATGTCTCCGGTTGACGAGGCGATGTTGACCTGAGTCACCTCGGACGAGTTGTAGATGGCCTGTGGGAGAGAAAAAGTGCGCGATGGAATGCGTGTGCGGTCAGTGATTCTGCATTCGGGAGGCAAAATTGATGGAGAGAGACTGGGTTGGAGAGATCGGGACGTGCGCTGCGGTAAGATGAATACTGGAAGGAGGTCAAAGTCGATGTAATGTGCTGGGCGTACTCCGTCTATGTGTTGACAACATTCAGCGGACCCTTGTCTTCTGTCGAAATCATCCCTGCATCGATTTGCGCCGCTGTACTGAGCGCTGTGCGGTTCTCTCAGAAACCCATGGCTGTCCGACTTGCCCTGATCAACACAATTGGTGACGAGGCTGCACTGTCCATGTACTGACTCGGTCTGCTTTGCTGAATATGCTGGTTTCATAGTCCATCCTGTCCTGCGGCCACGCCTGCGTGTTTGTAACCTGTCATCGCCTCCAGTCATCTTCAGCTCTGCAGCTTGTAATACGACAACAACCTGCGGTGACCGTTCTAACGTTGGCTCTGCGCTTTCCTGTCCTTCGTGTAGACATGCTGCACTGTCCGCTGTCGACTGTCGATGCATGTGTCGGTGTTCTGCCAGCTTCCTTGCTATTCCGGTCTCTCCAATTCCCAATTCGATGTCGAATGTCGATTCTTACCTCGTGGGGGAGGATGAAGCTGAGCTTCAACTTATCGCTGACAGCCTCGGCATAACCACGGCGGGCGCCTGCCATCGAAAGGGCGCCGGTAGCCTTGTTGGCGCGAAGAGCCGAACGGAATGCTGCGCGAGCGATCATTTTGTGTGTGTGTGTGTGTGTGAATGTCGAAGGTGAGGGAAAGGGTTGTTGATGATGGGTGTGTGTGGAGAGAGTGAACCGAGTTGATTGAGGTTGACGATGACGAGCGCGAAGAATTGAAGACCAGAGCGAGCCAAAGCGCGCTTTTCTCGCACGCTGCAATCACAAAAAGAGAGAGAGACAGCCAACTGGCTTGAGCGACGAAGCAGTTGAATTCTTCTTTTCCAGTTGGAGGCGCCTCTCTCTGTGCCGTGCCTGTGTACGCTGGACTTCTAAATTCCCACTTACAGTCTGGACTGAAGATTGTATTTGGACTCGACTCGAATTGATTATGAAAAATGCACGCATTTGCTCAATTTCGTCAATTCAAAAGACCCGAGTTCGCATTCACCCTGGCTCGAGGCACACCTCCGATCATCTTGCCCTCCTTTGCAACCACACGCGCCGGAGACTTTCGGTTCCAGTTCTATTTCGATTTTATCGTGCGACAACTCCGGCCGTCAAAGCTCCTTGCCATCACAGCCCCATCGACGTTTGGAAGGTTCAAGCCATCTGCAATCAATACCAATCTTCTATGCATTTGCGTTTCCGATACTTGTACAGGAGTTTGATCCAGCAAGCTATCACTTTGCGCTGTGTCAAGAGAAATCGAAACCTAGGGCGACCACCAACGCTTGGTGCGTTCCGTGTTCTGCTGTCCAGCCAGCATGCGCAGAATCCGACTGCCCTCGGTCCCCTTGGAGTCGTGAGTGATCCCTCCTTCAGCTGCGCTCTGCTTGTGGCCACACTCCAGCACTGCTGCCTTGATGCGGCTCACAAAGTGCGCTGTATCCTCTCCAAGGCGGCCGAGGTCGATCTTGGCCTCGTCGCGCATCCATGATGCCACTTCCGCTGCACCCGACACGTCTCCCAATGCCAGATACGTCTCGGTCAAACGACAAAACAGGTCGGCAGGTAGCACGTTCGGTGAGCGCTGTGCGAACCGCTGGATGACTCCATCAGTGTCAACAGTTTCCGAAGCATCGATGTCTTTGTCTGTCCCGTCCGCCACCTCCGTAGATGCTGACTCTGCGGACATCGGCATCGTGGCCGCGGCAGCTGCCGTGGTCTGGGCTCGGCTTCGCTGATTACGGCTGCCGACGAAACCGAGATCCAAGAGGTCATCTATCTCTGATGAGACGAGCTGACCATTACCCACACCACTGGACTTCCACAACGGCATGCCGAGTCGCATGTCATCGCCTTTGTCGAAGAATTTGGTCCATCGTAGCAAATGCACGATGGAATCGATAGCTGCGATCCATTGCAAGCGTCGCTCTTCCTTCGATCGCTGCCTGTTGCTTCGAGCCGGCGGGAGGATCGCTTTGCTGGCCATGTCGCCGTTCGAGGTATTCGGCAAAACAGCCGTCAATCCACCAGAGCGCTGGCTCTCGCGCAGCACGGCGTCGAGAGCTTCAGAGACCGTGAACAGATTGACCGCATCCTGCTGACGCGCGCTGACTCGCATAAGATAGCAGGCGCTTTGAAAAAGGAGCAGACGATCTTTGGCAGGGGGAATCATGACTTTGCCCGTTGTACCGTGCCCTTTCCTGCCCAGACCACGATGGTTTGTAACGTCCAAGCTCGGTGGCACGGCTCTCCGGACGAGACGTCGCGCAAGATTCTCCAGGAGAACGCCTTGTGGGATCGAGCCGGCCTCGACCATGCGGTGAACCAGGCCTCGGACCTTGCCCGGAGGCAAATCGTCGGAGAACAGGGAGCGCGTCGAGCTTTCATAACCTAGGCGTGATGCGATACCGATCGATTCGCTGAATCGATAGAGTCGGTCCACCAGATCCATCCTATTCTGAGCCAGTGCTCTCGAGATCAACGTCGAGGTCAGGCGCGGTGTCGGCCGCATAGGGGCGAGTGTCGGCGATTTATTCATCCCGTCACCTGAGTGTTCTTGCGCATGGCCTTTTCCCGCTCTCTCTTTTTCTGGCAGCGTGAGCGGAGCGGTGCAATGTCTGATGAAAAGGTCCACTGTTTTGTCTGCATCGAGCTCCACGAGACCTCCCATGAGAACGTCAATGTCTACGTGATCAGGAATCTCTCGGAGGAAACTGAACTTGGCAAAAGCATCGAATGCACCGACCACATCTTTGGCAACGAAGCATGCCTGTGCTAAGGCGTTGAGGCGATAGTGCGTCCAGTCCACGGAAGTGCACGCCTCTTTGAATACATTGATGACGAAACGAGCCTTCTCGAGCTGGTCGGGCAGCGTTTGCGCGACGTGCAATGCATCTTCGTGCGACGATGCCGCAGATGCGCGTCTCGGGATCATGGCCGAAGGATGACGGCAGATGCTTCTCACGAGCGCAACGAGACATTCTGCGGAAGTGGCAACTTGGCGGTCGACGTCGTGCATGAGACGAATTTGGCGTTCGATGAGGGGATCGTCGACTCGGATAAATGCATCACGAAGGCTGACCGCTTTGAAAGCGGATGGAGACAACTCGGAGCCTGCTTCGTACCGCCGATAGCTCCAGTACTGGAACAGCAGAAAAGCCTCGTCCACCAATCCTGCACTTGCCAGGAGAGCGATCAGCCGAGAACGTTGTCCTGCGGAGAAACGCAGATTGAGCTGCGCGACCGAAGCGTCGTTCATGGGTAGCACGTGGAGGGCCCTTATCAGGGCAGCAATAGTCACCTTCTGCCCATTCGAAATGAGCGATCGCATGATTCCAAGAAAGGTGTCGGCGTCCACCATGAATCCGTCGCGCGCTAGAAAATGTTTGGCGTCGGGTGGCAAGCCGAGAGTCGATGCAGAAGATGTCTTGGCCTTGACAAAGTAGGCGAAGCTTTCCGTGATCAAGCTTGAGGAGTTGGTGGTCTTGGCAGCATCACAAAATGCCTGCAGATCCGTGTTTGGCAACAATGCCACGAGACGCTGGTCGGTGCGCTGCAGGACGAACAAAGCCTCCGTCAAGCAGGACGCTTCATTATAACCGACTAAGTGCAAGAAGACGGCGCGGATGCTACGCATCGGCACGTTTAGAAGGGAGCCCAAGTCGTGACGGCCAGAACCTTGGTAGGTGTCGATCAAGTCGAGTCGAAAGCTGGCGACAAGACTCTCGAATGCTTTGCGATACTGAACGCCTCCTTTGGGCCGATGTGCCATGAGGCTCTTCATGGCAATGATGCGAAGCGTGACGTCCATGCAGATCTGCTGCAGTTCCTCTTCAGATGGTCTCGACTGTGTCTCATCGGGAAGGGATGCGAACGTGCCTTCAAGACTAGCGAGATACGTCTTTCCGTCTTGGACAGCATCGTCGACGACCTCTTGCGGTAGAGCGTTGGTGTCCCTAAGGGCGCGCACCACATCAAGAGCGGCGGCGAAATCGCGCACGTTGGGCTGAAGGTAGTATGCAATCAATTGGGAGCCTTCCCGGGCGCTAGGAAAGTCAGGTGTGTGAGCTTCAAGGTGGGTGCGCAGGGCGTTGATGATGGGAGCGAGCTCGGGTCTGTGCAGGTGGATAGCAAGCTTGATGAGGCGTCGGGTCTCGCCGACTGGAAAGTTGGTTGGGATATGCAGAGACGTCTCCTCCGTAATCGATGAGGGCAGGCTGAGCGACGGATTGGCATCTTCGCCTTTTGCAGATTGACGCAGCTGGACGAGATCGTCGAGCATCAGCATGAAGACGTTGAGAGCAGCACCATCGTGGAGGAGAAAGTCGTTCAGATTGGAGCGATTGGAGCGGACGAGAATCTCTCGAAGCAGCTTGTAGCGCTCCTCGGTTCCAGGACGGATCTGAAAGTAGCCGGGTTTTGCGCCTGGCGTGGACGGTCCGGTACCGATGATGTCTTCGAGAAGCAAAACAAGGACACCGCCGAGGTTGTCATATCCAACTTTGGAGACGAGGTAACGGATGTCGCGAAAGGACAATGCTGACAGCCTTTGCGGGTCGCGCTCGCGTAACAGCAAGTAGGCGTCAATGCGACGGAAGCCAGATGGCAGCTGTGATTTGACGCGTTCGTAGATGTCTGAATCGGATGTAGTCAGATAGTCGAGTAGCAGCTGGGACGAAAGGGTAGAGTATGGCCTGGCAGCCAGGTACTTTGTACGAGTTGATACTGGGTGATCTGGCGGGGGCGTGGGCGGAAGACGAGCAGGGACATGTACAGGGGCATCCTTGAGGTGCAAGTTTGGACGTGAGGCCGCATGCGAGAGTGGCGGATGGGATTGTTGTGCCTTAGCGTCGACGTCGGAGGTTGCGCTGTCGGACGGCAGGGCCGATACAGGTCGGAGACGCTTCGCTTTTGGTCGAGCTGAAGGCGGATCGTGGAATATTGACTCGATGCCATGCTGATCGACCGAGATGGATACATGCGGAGACCCGGTATGGGCCCTGTTGACGGGGGCGACGGTCGAAAAGCATCTCGAGCATTGTGGAGGTGGAGCAGCGGCCGAAGCCTGCTCTTGGGACGGGGGACGCCAGAGACGATACGAGCACTCTGCGAAAGGCGCTATCCGCTGCGCTGCGTCGGCCGTAGACCGTATGCGCGCAGTCGAGGCTCTGGCTGCCGAGCCACCAGGGCCGAGGCATCGGAAGCCAATCATACCATCACCCGCGTGCTATACTCGCTCGGAGCCGTCATGGAGTGGAGGTCGGTGCAACCTGTGTGAGTCTAAGGGTTGGGACGGGCAGACGCGAAGGTACCAATGCAAAATGGTCCAAGAAAGAAGGAAGCTAATGCGGTAGGCCCTGGAACGAATATGGCGTGTAGGTCTAGAATCGGACTATACGATCCTGCGGCGAGGGTTGTTTGTTCGATGTGAAATGAACGTGGACGGATCGGTGACGGACTTGACGATGATGTCGAAGTCGAGGATGTGGCCTTTGTTGCGTGGTGTGTTGGAGCAAGGAGAACTTGTTCGTCCGTCCAGTGATCGCCTCAGAACAGCTGCTGTAGGTGTTGGCTTAGGCTGAGTAGCGAGAAGACTCCCAAGTACTTTCCGGTCAAGTCAACGTCACATTTCAGAATATGGAGGGAAAAAAAATTGGGAAGAATCCACACGAGCAACGCGCCACCTGTGCGAGACCCGAGAAGACCAAAATTGGTAAGCAGCAGGACCCTGAAATGCAGCCGACAATGGTCCCGCTCTCACTTCGCTGAGCACACTCAGTTCACGCAGCGGAAGATTGGGCATCACCTTGCGTTCGTTGTTGTGCAGTGTTTAGTGGTCTGGCATTCGATGCGATCTCGCTGGAATCAGTATCACACGCCATACGTGGTTGACATCTCGGGTCGTGCAGTGTGCCAATATAAGACATGCGAGAGCCTAAGCTTGATCGAGAAGAGGGCTTGCGCTGTATGTAAGCAATTCACATGCACTGCACAATATTGAAGGTGCTTATCGCCGGCACTGAGAACGAGTTGTGACCTTTTAGTTGCCTGCAAGCCGGCGGGTTGGGTCATCTTGATACTGAAGGTGTGAACAGCGCAAGGGTTAGCAACGAGACGTGAGACGGCAACACATACAGCGCAGAAGCAGATTACTTACGTTGCCGTGAGTCTGATACGCTTCGTACATCGAGTGCATGAGATCATCGTATGCCCTCGCAATTTGATCAGTCGTCATCGGCTTCATCATGTGATAGACGTCGTAGGCTCGAAAGAAGGCCTTGCGAGCTTTGCGAGCCATGTCAGCGTCCATTTCGGGCCAGTTGAGAATCTTGTGCGCCTCGCGAGTTGCCAATCGCATGGGGACCGCCTCGACCACAGGGGTGGTGCTGGCGCGGGATGAATCTTCTGCACGGCTTGAGGTGGTCAAGAACGTCCTCTGCAAAGCGGCATCGAGTCCAGGATAGCTCTTGTGCTTATCCCAAGGGCCAGCGAGCATGCCTGTCGGAGCGAGTACAATGATTTCGGCTTCTTCGCGACTCAGACCGTCTTCCTCGGTGAGCTTGAGGATCTTGCCGACAATCGCTTTCTCGAGAAATCACTTTTTGTTGCATGCCTTATTGGCTGAAGGGTGTGAGCAAGTGGTGCATTTCTCGACGGCAGACTCTGCATCCGGCATGTCGCAGCGAGCTTTGGACTTGCCGCATGTCGTGCACGGCTTGTCTGTCCAGTGCCGGAGCATTAGCCAAAGTCTAAGTGCAGCTTTCGAGCTGAGAATGCTGCCTCCAGATGGACCGGCGGTGGAAGCGGCTTCTACATCCGAAGCACTGGCAGCCGCAGGCCCATCGCGACGTCGCCGCTGCCGAGGTCGCTCATTGGTGTCTGCACATGGGTCGATGCAGAGAGTGTCAGCGTAGATTCGCCATCAGGCTGAGTAGAAGCGTGCCTCAAGCGGTTCATAGGTGCAGGGCATTGGTAAGATATCAGACGCACCTTCTCTTTTGTCACGTTTTGCGGCCCCCTCGGAAGTTGGCGAGGCCGGTGGCAAGGCTTGAAGCGACTGACTAGAGCTCCTGCTGATGCTAGAAGGCCGAACCTGGCCACCCTCGTCGGACTCGACGATTGGACCAAACCTGCCAGGTCGGGCGTCCGAGTTCATGGTCAAGATCAGAGACAGTAGTAGAGGAATGCTGCTACGTTCGAGCACGTGAGCGATGCTTTGTTGTCTGCGGAAGTCGTGAACGGATGATGTTAGCAAAGGAAAAGGGACCAGCGCTGCGGAAGTTCCAAGTCCGGATAGTGACAATCACGGCGCGGCTTTTCTACCTCTACGCAACAAGATTGAGACACCCGGAGGTCGCTGAGCAGTTCAAGAGCGACCACGACCCTGGCTAAACTGTAACTTCGACTTGCGCAAAGGTCTTCATGTTCGGTACTGCCAGAGTGTCTGACGTAACCGGCGCAGCCATGTCGAAGCGCAACGAAAATGAAGTCGAGCTGCGCCGGGTCTGTGCTGAGCTACGTGTAGCGACCGCGAGCACACTTCCCAGCAGAAACCTTACTGAACAAGCCGCTGCCAAAGCGGCGGCGCATCAATCCAGACGCCACGCACCACAACACTGACCCCAGCAGCCTGCACCTCGAGAACATGGGCGAGCATTCCGTCTTGGTCACGTCTGTCTATCCATTCTCTGGACGGCGAGTCTCCTGTGGCGTTCGCTAAAGCGCAGCGGATCTTCGACTCCCCTTTGCAGTGAAGCAATGGAACTTGACGACAGACATTTGCCATTCTTCTGGGTGAAGGAGTTTAGTATTACATAGATTTGAAGACGTTGTTAGCTGAAGTGATGCTGGTTGCTCACGACGCTGCTGCTGTCTGCGCTGCGCCTCTTCCCTGCGCCGAGGATGCGGCTTGTTGCTCTGCTCTTGCTTTCTGTAGGCATAGCAAGCAGATGAAACATGTACGAAGGCGAGATGATTAATATTAACCTCAACGTTTGTCTGCAGCACAAGAACGCGAGAGCCTGCGTAAACTTACCATGCGGATCATTTCGACAGTGGTCTGCAGATTCTCCTGCTGTCGGAGCACCGTCTCTTGCAATTGTTCCAGGTTCTTGGTCAGGAATTCTACCTTTTCCTGGTACATCTTGGTGGCATCCGACGTCGACTGCGAAAGACCATGCCCAAGGTTGTAGAATGGAAGCGTACCACGTCAGCTGATCGGTTGTTCGACTGCAATGCTCGTGTTGGAGTCGCTTTTCAATACACACCTTCTCGACAAAGTAGCCAGTTCCCACGTCGACGATCACATTATCAAGGTCGGCAAGCTTCCCGGGGACGTAGAGCGACGATGTCAATGGGATCAGTGTTGTCTTGTCTGGATTGTTGAGGAAATGGAATGCGATCGTTGAGCAGCGGGGCGTACAATCGTCAGCCAATCTACTTCTCCGCTTCGTATTGTGGTGGCTCCTCCCTGTCATCTGCACGAACCTTTATTCTCGGGCTTGACGGAAGCGACGCTTTCGATGCAGCTTCTGAACTTGGCCTGTGCCGCCTTGAGCTGTCCGAAGGATGATGTTAGGTGTTGCACCTCTGTTTCGAGCTGCTTTTTGACCTCGAGAAGCTGGAAGGCGTAAAGCGTACGAGGTCAAGTCGGCGAGAAGGGATGGCGAGAGTCAGTTGACCATTCTGTCTGCCATCAGTAAGCGAGCTCTGGCTTGCTGCAAGACTTACCTGTTGAACATCCAAGGACATCAAGTCCACCTGTTGACCCTTGGAAGCCATCGTTGCGAACGAGTGTGAACCTCTTGGGAGCGGTCGGGACGGAAGTATAGCGTCAAGGAGGAGCTGTTGTCGTTCAGCTTTGTGGATGAGGCAGTTCGAAACTTCTCGATGGACGACGATGGTCAACGAACGAGACAAGTGTTGGTGTCCGAAGTGTTGGTTCGGAGGATGGCTCGTGTGCAGCCTTGCTTGCTGGTCGCTGCATTGAGAAGCAATTCGGCAAATTTGCTGGACCCTTTTCTTCGGAAGCTGGACACACCAAAATTTCAAACCTAAACTTCTCAACACCACTTCACTATTCACGGCACACAGCATCGGCATCGCCGACTACCCTTTCAAGTACAAACAGAAAACTCAGCCTCTACGAACTCTGCACAATCCTTGCTGAGAAGCTCTCACCTACTACAACCCCGTCCATCCGACAACGCTAGCGATATGGGCAAGTCATCCAAGTTCTACAAGAAGCCATCGCTCAAGGAGAAGCAGGCGGTGCAAGGAAAGGTGCGATCTTCCACATCCTCCTCTGCTGGTGCCTCTAGTTCGAGTGCACCGGTGTTCAAGCAGGGAGCGATCAAGAAAGCTGCTCTGACAGGCAAAGCTCTCGAGAAGCGTCAAGCGCTCGAGCAAAAGTCCCGAGAGAAGGAAGAAGCGACCCGTGCCGCTAAACCAGTCTTCCGTCAAGGTGGCGCGGTATCCAGCATCGAACAAGAAGACCAAAACAACGATCTCGACATGGCAGAAGATGATGCGGATGTGATCAAAAGACGGCCACGCAACCGTCAAAGGAAAGATTGGGGTCCCATGCCAAGAGAAGTGGGGATCGACTATCTCAAACAGTGGGACAACCGCTCATGATCAATCTCCAAGCAGGCTCTCACACTATACCCGGACATTACAGGCCGCTTATCTTCAACGTCTCCTACATAGCTGCTCCTTGGCCCCTCTTTTACGACGCATACTCTTGTAACAGTACTTCTCACATTGTATCAACATCACTCCGCCTTCTTACCGGGTCAAACTATCAATCGCAGCATCAGATACGAATGCAATTTCATTCTGCTTGACGCCAAATGCTATATATCGAATGTTATGCACTTCTGCGCTAGAGAGCGATCCAAATCACTTTTTGGCGGGAGCAGGGTATTCGTAGAAGCCACCCTTTTCGCCGCTCTTCTTGCCGAGCTTGCCCTGCTTGACCAGGTCTTCGAGCAGCTTGGATTCGGCTACAGCTTCCCCGGTGATCTCACCTGTCTTGACACGCGTCTCCCTCCAGCCCTTGGCGATGTGCGAGAGAGTATCGAGACCAACAAGGTCGGCAAGTTCGAAGGGTCCCATCGGGTATCCGGCACCGAGCTTCATGGCAATGTCGACATCCTTGGCGGTAGCCTCGCCTCGCTCGACCAGGCGAATGGCCTCGAGCATGTAAGGGACGAGCAATCGGTTGACGATGAAGCCAGGCGAGTCGATGCACGCGACAGGCGTCTTGCCCATGCGCTTAGCCACTTCGGTGAGCGAGTCGAATGTGTCGTTGCTCGTCTTTGTGGTGCGTACGACCTCGACGAGCTTCATCTGTGGAACAGGGTTGAAAGCGTGGAAGCCGCCAAAGAACTCTTGCCTCTCAGCGGACACGGCCTCGGCAACGTCGGTGATAGAAAGCGAGCTGGTGTTGGATGCGAAGAGGGCGTCCTTGGGAGCCTTGCCATCGAGGAAACCGAAAAGATCCTTCTTGATGCCGACGTTCTCGATGATGGCTTCGATGACCAAGTCAGTGTCCTTGACGGCTGCCTCTGGGTCTGTGGTCAGCTTGATCGAGTCGACGACGCCCTTGACGAACTGAGCCTGCTCTTCTGCACTGGCCTCTGCCATGGCCTTCTTTGCGATGCGAACGAGCGATTTCGAGATGATGTTTTGGCCGTTGGCAAGCGCCTTGTCGGTGACGTCGGAGAGGGTGACGTTGAACTTGCCCTTGTGAGCCAGCACCTGCGCGATGCCGGCGCCCATGAGACCAGCTCCGAAGACGGTGATGTTCTGGACATCCTTGTTCTGGACCAACGAAGTCGAGAACGCGCGGCTGGCCGATCGGCTCAATGAAGCAGAGGAACCAGCCTTGGCCTGGGCGACTCGCAGCGCAACTCGGGAGGATTGAAGCATCATGTTGAGCTAAAATGTGGGACGTTTGTTCTTTGTGGGTCCTGGAGAGAGTAAGCGAGGTGACAGATCGGAAGGTAGTATGCAAGTGGTGCTCAGAGCAGAGCTTTCTTCTGGAAGAGGCTAGACACCGCGCTGGCCTGTGGAGAAGTGCGCTGCAAGTCGACTTCAGCCCGGACCATCCGGATCAGCAACCTTCCCTCAGTTATACCGAGCGTGAAAAGAGAGGAGCACAACCAGTCTGATTTTCATGTCATCGTCGAGCATGTTGGTGTCAGTAAATCTAACATTGCTAAATTCGCCGATGTCCACATCATTTCCTTCGAAAAAATTCCGACTCTCGAGCCAAATTTTGAGATTTGAGAGATGGTTTCGTGAAATCGCTGTTCCTTCTCACCCAACTGAGCCCGCTTCTTCTTTGCTCCTTCCAGCATCCCACACACGAGAGTACCTCCCTACATCTCCCAAGTTCGTACCGCAACGTTTCGCCGAGTTGCAACTAACGGTGTCCAAGATCTCAAAGCGCTGCCCACAATGTCGAACGCGCAGGCGAGCACCAGCGCCGATGCTGCTCGTCCTTCCAAACGCAGCAAGACGGACGCTCCGGAGGCCGAGACCATCGCTAACCCGTACCTGGCTCACCTGAACGGAGACGATGCTTCAACCTCTGCTGCTACCTCAAACAATGGATTGTTGGCAGATGATCATCCGCTCGCCGGTCTCATCCCGCGAAAGGTGACCGGGCCTCAGGCACGTAAGGTGATGGAGGGCGATGTCAACCCATTCTCGGTTGCGCCCAAGCCGTTCTCGAACGAATACAAGAAGATTTTGGCAAAGCGAAAGGAGCTACCCGTCTACGCACAGATGGACGACTTTTACCAGCTCTTCAACCACAACCAGATCATGGTCATGATCGGCGAGACTGGTTCGGGCAAGACCACTCAGATCCCTCAATTTGTTGCCTACTCGGACCTTCCCAACACACAAAAGACCAAGGGCGCCGATGGCATCCTGGCACCTCGCATGATCGCATGTACACAGCCGCGTAGGGTAGCCGCCATGAGTGTGGCCAAGCGTGTGGCTGAGGAGATGGATGTTTCGCTCGGAAAGGAAGTCGGTTACACGATCCGTTTCGAGGATGCCACCGATCGACGAACCACCTTCCTTAAATACATGACAGACGGAATGTTGCTGCGTGAAGCCATGCACGATCACAACCTGTCGCGCTACAGCTGCATCATTCTCGACGAGGCGCACGAACGTACGTTGGCCACCGACATCTTGATGGGTCTGCTGAAGGAGGTGGTGCAAAGGCGATCCGACCTCAAACTCATCGTCATGTCGGCCACCCTGGACGCGCTCAAGTTCCAAAAATACTTCAATGATGCTCCCTTGCTCAAGGTGCCCGGTCGTACTTTCCCTGTCGAGACGTTCTACACACCCGAGCCGGAGCCAGACTACCTCGAAGCCGCCATCCGTACGGTCATCATGATTCACCAGGCTGAAGATGCTGGCGACATCCTTGTTTTCCTCACGGGTGAGGAGGAGATCGAAGATGCATGCCGCAAGATCAAGGCAGAAGCCGACGACTTGGCAGCCACCAATCCCGATCTGTGCGGACCGCTCAAAGTGGTGCCGCTCTACTCTTCGCTGCCACCGGCACAGCAGCAACGCATTTTCGATAACGCACCAGCACCGCTTACGCCCAATGGACCTCCTGGACGAAAGGTGGTAGTCAGCACCAACATCGCCGAGACTTCCCTGACCATCGACGGCATCGTCTACGTCGTCGACCCCGGGTTCAGTAAGCAAAAGGTCTACAACCCGCGTATCCGTGTCGAGTCGCTACTGGTGACTCCCATCTCCAAGGCTTCGGCGCAGCAGCGAGCGGGTCGTGCAGGTCGTACGCGTCCAGGCAAGTGCTTCAGACTGTACACGGAGAAGGACTGGGCCAACGAGCTGATCGAGCAGAGCTATCCCGAGATTCTGCGAAGCAACCTGGCCAACACGGTGCTCGAGCTCAAGAAGCTCGGCATCTCGAATTTGGTGACCTTCGATTACATGGACCCACCGGCACCAGAGACCATCATGCGTGCGCTTGAGCTGCTCAACTATCTGGCTGCATTCGATGACGAAGGCAATCTGACGCCACTCGGCGAGATCATGGCCGACTTCCCGCTCGACCCTCAGCTCGCCAAGATGCTGATTGTCAGCCCCGAATTCAAGTGCTCCAACGAGATCTTGACCATCGCTGCCATGCTGTCGGTGCCCAACGTGTTTGTGCGTCCCAACTCGCAAAAGCAGCAAGCCGACGCAGCTCAGGCCGAGTTTGCGCACCCCGACGGCGACCACTTGACGCTGCTCAACGTCTACCACGCGTACAAGACCAACTGCCGCGACCACAAGACGGCCGCTGACTGGTGCTGGCAGAACTACCTGTCGCACCGTGCGCTGATGCAGGCGGACAACGTGCGCTCGCAGCTGCAGCGTCTCATGGAGCGACACAACCTCGACTTGGTCTCGACGCCGTTCGAAGACAAGCGCTACTACACCAACATCCAGATGGCGATCGCGTGCGGCTTCTTCATGCAGGTGGCGCACCGCGCAGGCGGCAACAAGAAGGCATTCCAGACCATCAAGGACAACCAGGTGGTCTCGCCTCACCCGTCTTCAACGCTCGACCACGCCGCCGAGTTTGTCATCTACCACGAGTTTGTGCTGACGACGCGCAACTTCATTCGTACAATCACCGAGGTCAAGCCCGAGTGGCTGTACGACTTTGCGCCTGCCTACTTTGACCCCAGCAACATGGACGGCGAGGTCAAGCGCATCATGAGCGCGCTCAAGGCTCGCAAGGAGAAGGGTCCTGCGCCGAGCAAGCGCAGGTGAAGCGCTGGCAGCTTGTATTTGCTAGAATGTTCACACACGATCATCGTCATTATAATAGATATCCATGCTTATGAACAGTCTGCGAGATACACACCATCGCATCCGTCCGCGACTTGAACCAGATTGTACCATTCAGTTTTTTGACATTCAATGCATGAACATGAAAACGACGATCAGAGCGCTGACAGTGAAATGAAGTTTTTGCTGAAATTGGGGTTGAGAAATTTGCCCTCCCAACGCTGAGTCAGGCCAGGTAGCAAAACGCGTGCGCCTGGGCTTGCTCAGGAGCGTGTGTGCCCAGTTGGGCTGGGCACGGACGGTGTGAACTTTGTGTGCGGTGAGGTGATTTTGTGGAGAAATGCATGTGTTTTTCGAAAAGTTGCTCGCACGCAAGCAAGCAAGCAAGTAAGCGAAATGTGTTGGATGATGCAAAAGAAAAGACACATTTGGACCCACCAGACTTCAACACATTCAACTCAGCTTCAGCCAACGACACCTTGTTTCCGTCCCGCATTCAACACCACGTTCAAGTCTCCGTGCTCGAGGAGAAGGACTTCGTCAAGCAAAGCATTCCACCCATCCTCCGGCTATCTTCCGGCTGCTGGCTGCTGAAGGCACACGGAAAAGACGATCAAGCTCTTGATCGCAGCGAGCGGCACCTCACACTGTCAGGGATATACACACACTGCGCATGCTCTCACACAATAGTTCCTGAGAACCTACGCCTGGATTGGCCGCAGTAGATCCGGCCAATTCAACATGGTCTCTGGTTCATCCTCCCGAAATGCCGGCGGCGTCTTTGGCATGTTTGGCGCCGCAGCACAGCACCTCAACACTCAGGATCAGAACAGCAATGCCTTCGCATCTACGTCTGGCGCTTCCATCTGGGACGAGCCAGGCCGCACGATGGACCTCGTCTTCATCATGGACGCAACAGGCTCCATGGGCAGCTACATCAACTCGGCCACCAAGAACATCGAGACCATTTGCGAAAACATCGTCCGCTCCGAGCAGCTCAACGGGCCAGGAGCCCTGCGCATCGGTCTCATCGCCTACCGCGACCATCCACCACAGGATCACACCTACATTGTCAAGAACTTTGGCTTCCACAACAAGGTCGAAAAGGTCAAGGAGGCGCTCAAAACACTCTACGCTTCTGGTGGAGGCGATGGTCCCGAAGCCGTCACCGCGGCTATGAAGGCTGCTCTCGACCTCGACTGGCGACCGCACGCCACAAAACTTGCTGTGTTGATCGCCGATGCTCCACCACACGGTATCGGCGAGTACGGCGATGGCTTCCAGGAAGGATCTCCAGATGGCCACGATCCGCTACGACTTGCACGCCAGTATGCGAAGGCGGGCATTCCGCTCTTCATGATCGCATGCGAACCTGCGCTTTCGGGCTACCAACACGCTGCTGATTTCTTCCAAGGTCTTGTACAGATCACGGGCGCCATGCTGGTCCCACTCACCACCGCCAGCCTTTTGAGTCATGTCATCCTCGGCCTTGCTGGTGAAGCGATGGATCTTGACCGGCTGCATCGCGAGATCGGGGACGCCATCGCTGAGCGTATCCAGTCGCTGAGTCTCGAGGGCGGGCAGAGCAATCCCATGGACGACGTAGCCAGAGAGCTTCACGAGCGACTCCTCTTGCGCAACGAGAACACCAAGCAGCTCTACATCGAAAGCATCTACCGCGACACGGAGGAGTCGCGCCACAACATCCAAGTTTGGGCTACCGCACCGGACCTCGCCACTGCCAGACCCAACATCAAACGTGTAGCCGGTTCACGTCTCAGCGACAAGTATCTGCAGACCAGAAGGGCGACTTCGTCGTACAAACCGTACGTGCCCTTTCCCAAGCCACCAGGTGGCGGCGGCTCGACGTCGACCGCATTCGGCGGGTCCAGCTCGGCCTCGTCACCACCGTCGTCACAACCTGGTTCGCGCAAAGTAGTGTCTGAATTCAGCGCCTTCAGCGCCTCTCCTGGCATGAGCTTCCAGCACACGGGCTCACCACCCCCGACATCCGCTGCCACTTTTGGCGGAGCATCGCCACGGCTTCAGAACGGCGGGTTTGGGTACAAAGGCGGCGCGCAGGGTTTCGCGTACCGAAGCAGGGACGCGGCTATGATGGACGACGATGACGACGACGATGCGCTGCGTGTCGATGGGGGAGAGAGGGAGGAGGAGGAGGCGAAGGATTCGAAGCAGTTGCCGGTGGCGGTGAATGAGGATGGGGTGATTCATGTGCAGGGGGAGGATGGACAGACGCTGGCGTACAGGCAGGGGGCGATCTCGTTGGATCAGGTGAGGAGGTTGGCCATGCAGTCTGCGTACAGGGGAGGATTGGCACAGGAGTAGGTTGGGAGGATATGCTTGCATCCACAAAAGGGTGATGAATACAAGAACAACACAATGCACGTTTCAGGCTGAGTGGGGTTTGTGTGAGATTTGACGTTTTCATTCGAGAAATGTGTGAAGGATCCCGCTTGTGAGGGCCTGAGCTGTCCAAGCGGCGGCCAAGATGAGTGCGGGGTAGGCTTTTGCGACTCGCTGTGGTGATGGGGGAAGGCAGGTTGCGAGGGCGATGCCGGAGTTGAGGCTGGAGAGGAAGGTGCGAATGATCCAGACGAGAAGGCCTTTGTTGAGGGCGGTGGTTGTGGGTGTGTGGGGGGAGGTGGAGGACCAGAGGAGGACGAAGAGCAGGAGGAGGAGGGGTGAGAGTTGCGAGAGGAGGAGGGCGTAGGAGGGGAGGTAGGGTGATGATAGGTGGGGGATGGATAGATGGGTTAGGAGGGTTACGCAGAGGTGGAGGGATGTAGCTTCGATGAGGGTGATGCAGAGAACGTTGAGGTAAGATATGAGGGTTGGGAGCATCTCGCCCGCTCCACTCCCTGCTGCTGTGATCGAGTTCGAACTCGTCCATAGCGGGATAGCACTGCAAACTCTCCCAACCGCACCCGAAGCCTCGCCCTGACCTCTCGGAGTGAACATGCTCGGGAAAAACATCCCCGCCTGCATCGGCAACCATCTCTGAACCATCCCTACCACCTTCCCACCACCTTCCATCCCCCACCCATCAGCGCGCATCGGCGGTGGCTGCACACAAAGATAGAACCATCGAATATAGGCGTCTACCAAACACAAAGCCACGAGCCTCTTCAACAGTGTCATCACATCTCCCCAACCGTTCCTCCTCCCCGCAAATCGCAAGTGTTTCTTCTGGAGAGCATCGTTGCTGGTGGGGGTGAAGATGGTGGAACGATTGAAGAGGAGGTGACGATAGGCTTGGGGCTTTGCGAGGATGAGGTCGATGATGACGATGGGTAGATCGTGTTCGAGGTACTCGTCGGCGAGGACGACGGGTGATTGGGAGCCGGCGGCAGGGGAGGTCGAAGCGGTGGAGGTGGATGTAGATGAGCAGATGGAAGAAGTGCAGGGTGAGAGGACGATGTGGTCTTTCCCGTATCGCATGTACAGCGAATCGATGGGCGTGGCACAGTGGATGCAGACTGGCATGCTTGCAAAGCCACCGGACTGGATCCTGCGAAAGCGAGTCACTGCAGTCGTATAGCGGACAGCGCAGTACAGCGCTATTTCCAATCGGATCTCATGAAGGTCTATGACGGTCCATCGTCGTCCTGGTGGTTGTCGCTTCGAAGCAGTAGATGATGGAGAAGAAACAAGTAACAATCGGAAGGATGTCGGCGTTAAATCTGGCTCGTGCTCACTTTTGACAGCTGCTCTCCACTCGGCGTCATTTTCCTTCTTCGTTGGACCTGCGAGGTTTACTCGACTTTGAAATAGCAGTATCGTTCTGTTCGAACACACTGCATGCTCAGCATTACCACCGTCACACTCGTCTCGATTGCGTTGACCGCAGAGCCCCAAGTCTTGGCCTGCTCGGACGAAACTTTGCACGCCATCACGAATCCAAAATTCGGACTCCTCTCACTCTCAAGTTCATCAGACCAACAGAACCGGAACTGCAACTAGCACTAAGAGCATATGAAATCGAGAGGTGCGTGTGTAGAATTGCGAGCATATCGAAGATGTGGTGCTTTTCGTTTTTGTTGTGAAGGCCAGGCCAAGCAATAAAAGCGCCCACGCCGGCCTGCGATAATGTTACAAAAGGACAACCTTGTCCTTGCAGGATGGCCCACAGTTAGAATCCAGGCGGGCGCAAACCCTGGGGCGACTGCTGCTGAGGTGCGTACTGCTGCTGCTGTTGCCCGGCCTGCTGACCCGGTGCCGCCGAGGGAGCCAACATGTGCTGTGCACCACCCTGCTGAGCCATCATCTCCTTCTCCTGAGCCACGATTCTCGATTCGTCTTCGACGGCGAGAGCGAAGGGCAGACCTACGAGCAGCGCGGATGTGGTGACTACCCACACGAGTTTGCCCGCAAGAAGCGAACCGGTGAAGGCGTATGATGTGGTGGTGTTGAACGTGGATGCGATCGAACGACGTGTGCTGGGAGGGATGATGTCGCGGAGCGCGGAGAGTCGCTCCCAGACGGACTCTTCGCGGAGGGCGATGCCTCGTTCGGAGACGTCCGAGTCGTCGGAGAAGTCAGACTGGTGGGAAGAAGGCAAAAGAGGAGAGATAGGAAGGAAAGATGTGTCAGCGATTCAATCCAACAGGCGGGTGCGAGTATGAGTGGTGCGTTTTGTTGTCGGCAGTGGAGCTTACCTCGGCATCTGATCCGTCGTCCTCCTCCCAGTCATCTTCGTCGGCTGCGGCAGCGGCGGCAGCAGCATCAGAAGCTCGCTGCTGTCGGAGGATCTCCTCGTCGGGAACTTCTTCCAAGCGAACCATCTTTGTCAAGTTGTGTGATTACGATCTTCCGGGGTCTGAGGCGCTTCTGGGATCGAGTGCGTTAGTTCTCTGTCGTAGCAGCGACTGCAAAGAAAGTGCGATGATGTCGTGAGAGACAATTTTTGCGATGCAAGTGATCAACGACGTTGTGATTGTGGAGATGACGAGAACGAGCGAGCGAACAATTTCCTCTCACACGCCTCTGTCGGAATCGAGCGGCAGTTCCGACTGTGCATCATCCAACCTGCTGCTCAGTCTCTCGAAAATCTTTTGCCATCACCGATCTTGGAGCCCCCTGCTGCTCAAGATGCGCAAGGTGTAACATTCACCGCTACAAAAAACGCAAAAGAAAAGAACTGCAGCACCTAGGATTCCCGCGTGGTCCCCCACCGCAGTACTGACTAGGCGGTAAGTTGCTTAACTTCGCAGATCGGACGGGATGCGGTGTTTTCAACTTCCTGTGGCCGCAGATGCTCATTGAAGAGGCAGTAACCAACATGAACGCCAAAAAACTCTCTTCCTGCTCCTGTTTGTCGCAAGGCGCAAGAGAAACGGCTTTCACAGGCCACAAGGGTTCCTGTCTGAACATGTTCTCATGAGGATCATCCATGAGTCAATCTGATAAAGCTGGGCTGCGATGATGATCTACGATGACGACGCACAGTGGCAGAAGTCAAGAGAAGATGGCGGACTGAAGTTGGGCCACAGTGGCGTCGCCAGGGTTGGCCGGATTCCACGTCGCTGGTCTCGGCAGCTTTGCATCCGCGTCGTCTTGAGGGAAATTCCAGTTCTAATTGTTTGAAGGGGCAATCCCAATGCAGATTGGCCACGCTCACTCGACTTGCTTTGGACTCAGCCGGCAAGCGAATGGAAGCAAAGCGCTTTGAACAACGCGCAATTCTTCTGGATTCAAACAAAGCACGTCCCGCCGTACACATTGCGTTTCACCACCACCACCACCACCACCTTCAACCTTTGTCATTACACCACTCGTGCTTCACAGCGTGAGCGTTCATCGTCTGCAATCATGAGCGGAGCTATTGGAAACATGGTAAGCATCCCTCGCTCCCAGCCTTAGCAGTTCGAAGCTCGCAACAACGTCTTCTGCGACACATTCCACTTGTCGCAGAGACAGCTCGCTGACCCTCAACTCTTTCCCGACTCGCTCTTTGCTTCCGCAGGCCTTCATGTTTGGCGCCATGCAGGTCGCCAAACGAATTCCGTTCGACGACAAGCCCGAGTACATCGACTATGCTCGAGGTGCCTACGTCGCCGTTCAACTGCTGACCCTCGCCATGTACTACTACTGCTCCATGCGCGTCAAGAAGGCCAACGACTTGACCGTCATCAAGTACGTCAACGCCAAGAACCCCATGTCGCAGGAACCCGGCGAGCTGGTCACCACCACCAACCGCGATTACGATCTCGCCGAAATCTCCAAAGCCACCCGAGGCATCCTCATGGGCTGCGCCATGGTCGGCTTCATGCACCTGTACCTCAAATACACCAACCCGCTCGTGATTCAGTCCATCTTGCCGTTGAAGAACGCCCTCGAGTCCAACATGGCAAAGATCTGGATCTGGGGTCAGCCAGCCACGGGTGATCTCAAGAGGCCTTTCAAGGCGCCACCTGGTTTGTTCGGTGCCGCTGGACAGGCCGGTCCTCAGACCGACAAGGCTGCCATCAAGGAAGCCGAGAAGGCCGGATCCGGCAAGAAGGACGAGTGAAGCGGATTCGCGAGTTCAGGCAAACTCAAGGATCGCATTCTGCAACCTGTCCAGTGGTCTTGTGAAGCTATCGAATATGCCTACTCCTCGATTCTGAGCAGGAAGATGTTGCGTTCATCGATGGCGTGCAGCTTTTCGCATTGACGACGAGTGCTCCTGCTTTTCTCTCCATGTACATACAGCACATCTCATGTTGACGTCGGCGTATCATATTGATCCATAGTGTAAAAAGGAGTCTCTTCGACCTGTGTTTCCAGTGTGGCGCGCGTAGATCCTGCTTTGAGACTTCGGAAGCCGCGAACGATTGCAGTACACAGGTCAAGGATTGTTGCCGAGTGAAAGACCAACCGACCAGTGGAGCAAGATAGGCCGAGCAAAAGTGAGACCATTTCGCCAGGCCGAACAGGGACTTTGTGTGTGGGGGCGGGTTGACCTTTGCGCGCCAGGAACCCTTTGTGATCCACAACGCATCGCATCGCAGCGAGGCGGCAAGGCAGCAGCCGAGTTTATCGAAATCCCCGATTTTCTTTTTTAGGCTTGGCCCACCCACACACACACACGCACACACACGGGACTGGCGATGGTTTTCTTTTAACATCCTTGATCGCTCCTTTCTTGCCTGCTCGCAACATCAAAGGCTCTTTCTCTCGCATCACTCTTGCTGTAGGAGAAACATTCGTCGCAGCGCCGCATTCTGCTTCAACGCTTTCAACGCTTTGGAGCAAGCACGCCTCGTTCCGCACTCCTTCTCTCCGACGTTCGATTCCGCCTACGCATCCGCAACACGCACACAAGCTTCGTTGGTGGTTAGCTCGAGCACTTCTAACCCGACTACAATCTTCTCCCAACCCACCGCTACATCACACCGCTTGTGTCATATTCAACTACTGCTCCTACATCAGCACATCTGACTGTTCACCAGCGGCGTAACGCACACGACCGCCCGCATACGCACACACACTTTTCTCTCTCTTTCTCTCCGAAACGTGTCGTGTTCGAGGAAGCGTGCGAGAAGATGGCGTCCAACATTCGAGCAAGAGACGACCCTCTCGAAGCTGAACTACCCTACGTCTCTGGCGAGCAGATCGAGGAAGACGAAGAGGAGGAAGAGGAAGATATTCCCGTCGGTGCATACGAAGATGAGATCTACGGTAAGTTGCTCCACCCGTCAAGCGAAGGTTCGTTTCACGCTTCGTCTCCTTTACTGAAATCACCTCTTGTTCCACCCTCTTCGAAAACAGAATCAGAATCACCCTCGGAATCAGGCACAGAGTCGCTCACCTGGATCTCATGGTTCTGCTCCCTTCCCGGTCACGAGTACTTTGCCGAAGTAGGCGAAGACTTCATCGAGGACGATTTCAACCTCACGGGTCTCAACGCCCTCGTTCCGTTCTACAAGGAAGCACTCGAGATGATCCTCGACGTAGAACCACCCGAAGAAGACTCTCTCAAAATTCCCGATGTCTCCATCGTAGAGTCTTCCGCCGAACTTCTCTATGGGTTGATTCATCAGCGGTACATTTTGACGCGGCACGGGATGCAGCAGATGGTGGACAAGTACGAAGCCGGTCATTTCGGGTATTGTCCGAGGGTGTTTTGTCATTCCCACCCGGTGTTGCCGTGTGGGAGGAGCGATCTGCCTGGGTTGGATACGGTCAAGTTGTTCTGCCCGAATTGCGTGGATAACTACAGTCCTCCGAGCAGCAGGTTTCACGGTGTCGACGGGGCGTTTTTTGGTACGACTTTCCCGCATCTACTGTACCAGTGTTATCGGGATCTGTTCCCGAGTGTCGTTGCACCGAAGGGTGAAGCAGGAAGCTCAGCGGGTGGGGTGGATGGGGAAGAACACGTGGACAGCTCACAACAGCACGATAAGCCGGTACACAGAACGATCCAACCCGAACAGCTCGGAAAGAGGATCCCGTACACCAGGACGTACACTCCCAAGATCTACGGATTCAAGGTTTCAGAATACGCAAAAACAGGTCCCAGGATGAAGTGGATGCGCTTGAGACCTACAAGCTTGGACCAGCTTGATAGGGTCTAAGCTCGGCTTCGGCCAGTCGGCGTTAGTTCAAGGCTCTGATGTTCGTGGTGTGGGTCGAAATCGCATTTTTCTGTCTTCACTTCTCGACTGCATCGTGCTACTGTTTTGGGTTCGCCAGCTGCTAAAGAAGACTCGTGTGTTGATGCCGCGCGTGAGACAGACAACTCAACAGCATGCCCTTAGGCGAAGCGCCTTCGTGCTTTGAAAACTCGCTGCACTGCTGCTATTGATCTTAGCGCATGTTGCCATCTCGCATCCCACTCAAGAAACGCACGCACACACCATCACAACGCCAAATCGGGTCGAGCAGGCTGGACAAGAAAGTCAAGTTCGCTGTTTGTATGAAAGGAAAAAACCCCAATCGAGAGCACCAGAAAGATCAAGAAAAAGTATCTACAAGAGTGAAACGAATGCGAACAAGACCTTTGGTTTGGGGTGCGTACTGTGGCAGAATGGTGGTAGTTGTGGTTCGACACCGCTCAGCCTTGCTGTGTTTGTGGCGAGGCTCTAGTGGCGAGGTGCGGTGATCCGGCAGTACCGGCAGCAGCGGCGGCAGCGGCAGCGGCGTTCTTCAGCTGCTGTTGCTGGACCGCATGCAGATTCATGTTGGCCTGAACCGGCGACGCATGGTACGAGACCGGCGACTGGGCTGCCATCATCTTGGCGTTGGCGGCATTCGTGGCAGCAGCGATGGCAGCTCGATTCGCAGCAGAGATCTGCGGCGAAGGCGAGTTGGTCGCGTTCGTGGTGGCCGAGGTGCCGTTCTGCACGGGCGAACTGCCGGCCATAGCGCCCGCGATGCCATTCGCAGCGAAGCGTGGTGATCCGGCCGTCGATGCGCGCGACATGGCGGGCGATCCTTGGTTCGAGGCGCTGCCGTTCATCTGCACCTGTTGTTGCTGTTGCATCTGCTGCTGCTGGGCGCCAAAGGCGGCCTGCGCAGCCTGCTGGGCAATCTGCAGCGCCCGGTTCGGAGGGAGTCGCAAATTCAGATTGGCATTCTGAGCCAGAGCAGCCTTCATGGCCATCAGCTGAGCTGCGGACGTGTTGCCCTGCTGCCCTTGCATCATCTGAGCCTGTTGCTGCAGCGCTTGAAACTGCTGCAGAGTCGCAGTGCCATTCTTCATCTGCGCTGCTGCCAGGCTCAAATTGACGTTCAAGGCTCCATTTTGCTGCTGCTGTTGCATCTGCTGCTGAGGCATGACTAGACCTGCTTGCATCACGGGCGAAGGATTGGTTCGACCATTCTGTCCGTTGGCCGCTGTCGAAACAGGAGATGCCGAGGTCCTGGCCATTTGCTGTTGAGGCTGTGAGCTTATCCCTGCGTGCTGCATCGGAGGACTGCCGGCGTTGCCGTTCATGTTGAGGCTGAGATTCATCCCGAACGGCGCAGCGCCATTGGGAACGGTGAAGGCAGCCGCTTGCATGGGCGAAGAGTGCGGCATGTTTTGCTGCGGCATCGACCTCGCCAACTGCTGCTGCGCCTGTTGCATCTGTGCTTGAATCGAAGTGGCATCAAACGGCATGGATTGGCCAAATAGCGGGGTCTGACCTTGCGCGGCAGCGGCCGCCATCTGCATCTGCAATTGCATTTGCATTTGGATGGGCATCTGCATTTGCATCTGCACGGGCAGTCCGATCTGCTGCTGCTGGGGCTGCTGTTGCGGCACGCCGCTCAGACGTTGTTGCTGCTGCTGCTGCTGCTGCTGCTGTTGAACTGCAGCTTGTTGCGCAGCCTGCAGTTGCTGCTGCGCCGCAGCGAAGGCTGCCAGCTGTGCCTGCTGGTTGTTGTTCTGCGACAGAGACATGATCTGGCTGCCGAAAGGCTGCGGCAATTGTCGCTGCGCGCCAGCCTGCTGCGCCTGCTGAGGCTGTTGCGACACCTGAGGAGGCGACATGGCTTGGGTCTGCTGTTGCATTTGCTGCTGTTGTTGATGATGCTGCTGTTGTTGCTGTTGCTGTTTTTGTTGTTGCTGCTGCAAGAGTGCGGCTTGCTGGGCTTGTGCCTGCGCCGCCGCTTGCGCTTGTGCTTGCGCCTGAGCCTGTGCAGCAGCGGCCTGCTGTTGCTGTTGCTGCTGCAAGATGGCCATCTGCAGCTGCTGCTGTTGCGCTTGCAATTGCTGAGCCTGCAGTGCGCTTTGCGAGCCACCTCCGCCTGTGGCTGCGGCGGTACGTGCCGCCGACGGCATGGGCAGTGTGGCGGCATTTGGAATGCCAGGCAAAGTCGCAGTGGCAGCTGCTGCAGCGGGCGCAGCCGAGATCTTCGCGGATGCGGCGACGGCGTTTGCGACGGCGGTCGACGAAGAGTTTGCGGCGGGCTGATCGACATAGCCGGCTGGCTTCGGAGCCGGCGCTTCGGCGGCCGCTTGTGCCTGTTGCAGGTTGGTGAGGTCGGTCGACAGCTTGAGCAAGTCGGCTTCCTCGAGCAGGGTCATCCTGTAACGCATGAACTTCTGGTCGAAATCATCCAACACAGCTTCGTCGTCGTCTTCCATGCCACCTAGAGCGGTCAGACCAAGTCCAGCAAAGCGGCCAGACTCGTCATCGTATCGCCACTGCTCTTCCAACCGTGTCCAACGCAGAAGCTCACGCACGGGATCGGTTGTGCCCTCCGAGTCGTCACTGTCCGAAGAGTCTCCGCGCTTGTCGTGAGCCTCGTCCAATCCTAGCATGTCAATGTCACCGACCTCGGTCGCTTGGGTGCTGACAACGCCGACAGAAGTGCCACTGAGACGTGAGCGGTCGCTCGAGTCTGATGACGTGCTCGATGCGTCCGAATGCTGCGAGCCCGGAACTTCGTCGTGTGCATTGGCGGAAGAGGTCGAGGCAAACGGACCTGTCCGCGCGAATGGCCCACCGAATGCGTCGTTGCCTTGGTTGAGGAGCGACTGCACAGCAGGATGCGCTGTCGAAGCGAGCAGTTGTGGGCGAAGGTCGGGGGAGAATGCAAAGGGGCCTTTGAGCGCCTCCTTGCTGGAGGGAGGAGAGCTTGAAACACCCAAATCGGAAAGTGCCGTGGAAGACGAGGTTGGCTGAGCGTCGGCTGCTGGCGTTGTCCGCACCTCGCGCGCCTCGATACCTGGCAGCTCTGATCTGGGGCGGCCATATCGTGGCCAGTCGTTGAGGCTGGTCGGAACAGGACTGGGAATTGGTAGGCGACGATCCAGAAAGACGCGGCCACCACGGCCGACACGTCTGCGGAACGAAGGCGGACGTCCCGCTCTTGTCGCCAGAGGCGAGAAGGGGAACGGATCGTCCGACGACTCGGCGTGGATGGGCCGGAACGCTCGCATCGGCGCTGGCGCCGGTATTGGCTGGAAGGCGGCATCGCTGCCCTCCTCCCAACCTAGATCCGAATCGGTTTTGCGCAGACACTCGCGCTCGATGTAGGCTTGAACGGCATGGACACGCTCCAGGATGGCGGACCCCATCCCCGAGACGCCGCCGGCTGATGCGGCGGTAGCACCTGCAGAGGCGCCGTCGGCATCGCCGCTGCGGGACTTGCGTCCGGCCAGCTTGATCGTCGCGGCAGCTTCGTCGGCTTTGCGCTTCTTCTTTGCGGGCCCTGACGACGCCTGTGTCGGATCTCTGCGTTCTCCAGAGATGAGCTCTTCGTCCTCCAGTCCCTGTTGTGGGCCAACGATGCCCCACTGGCGTTTGATATCCATGAGATCCTTGACATTCTCCCAACACTCGCGGCTCTGCCGCAAGGAGGCGCGTTTGGTCTTCTCTCGCTGCGCCACAAGCTCGGTCAGCGCAACCGCGTGCTCGAGCTCGGCGCGAAGTCGGATCATCTTCTCGATGTGCAGCGCGTCGGTCTTTCGAGTCTTGCGAATCTGCTTGACCTCACGTCGACGGAAGCAAACGTACGGGTCACTGTCGTTGGTCTCGTCAAAATTGAGCTGCGGAGTCACCGTACGTCCTTCCCGGTCCTCGCGTCGGCTCTTCCAGTGAGGATAGACGACGCTCGCGAGCGCTTTGAGATCGGCCAGGTTCTTGTACGGGTTTCGTGACGACCATTCCGTTGCCGAAGCCGACGGGCTAGAGGGGGAACGGCTGGCGGTGCGAGCTTGCGAAGACGATGCAACGCTGGAGCCGACGGTCTTTTCCCAGCTCAGCGGTGGCAAGTCGGGTAGCGCAAGGGCAGAGATGGTGGACGAAGGCTCAAAGTAGGTGAGAAGTTCTTCGCAAGTTGGAATCTTGGTCACGTCGAGATGGAGGTAAGGCACCTGTTCGGAGGTGACCTGCTCAAAAACGGTCATGATCATCTCGAACTGATCCTCCGAGAGCAGGCGGTAGCTGCCCTGGTTGTCAGCCACGAGCTTCTCGATCGCCTCTTCGCGCAGCTTCTCCTTTGTCTTGCCCTTGCCCGAGCCTCCAGCTAGCGGCCCCGTCTTGGCGTTACGAATCGTTGTCGTCAACGCCTCCTGCGCTTTTTCGTTGCGGGTCTCGAGCCAATCCTGGTCGTCTTCGTCCATGTTGTAGCTGGGGCCATGGATGGCATCTTCGACCGTGTCGGACCAGCGTATGTAGGTGACCGGATCCGAGTAAACACCCGACGGATACAGTTGCGAGAACTCTGCATCGGACAGCGTGCCTTGAGCGTCGGGAACAGGAATGCTGTAGGCTGCTTTGGTCGCCTCTGCTGAGGCGTTTCCTTCGGAGGTCGCGAGCTGGTTGGAGGACAGAGCCGCTTGCAGATGGTGCTCCGAGATCTCGTTGGCGTCGACACCGAGATTAGAGTCCTGAGCGTGCTCCTGCCCTTCGAACTCGGGCTCCGGCCCCGCCACCACCGAGGTGGCGGCGTTGAGCAGATGCGAGCCACGTTGAACGCATACTGTCAGGATCAACAGGGGCAGCGGCGGTAAGGTCGGTGTCGGTGACGATGTCGATCATTATGAGAAGTGGAATCGGATGGTTAGGATCATGTTGAAGAATGTCATATGTGTCGACGATGGTGCGTGAGTCGTTGCAATGATGTCGACGAGAGTAGGGAAAAAAGTGACATGTTGAAAGTCGAGATTCGAGTAGTACCATCAGGTTAGCCGGATATGAGAAATGGGTGGATCGCGACGAGAGCAATTTTTGATGTCGACGAAATGGGAATTTCGCGTCGAGTGTAAATTAGCAAAGGCGATATCAGCGGAAAATAGGGGCAGCAGACGGCGGATGGAAAATTGGGAAATGGTGAGAAAGTGGGTCAGCCTATGAACGCGTCTCGGCCAGCGGCGGGATGAAGGATATTGTGCGATGTGGTGAGGGAGGGGCAGGCAGCGGCAGGCTCGTTACTTACGCTTCTGTCTGTATGAAAGCTTTTTGTTCCTGACTCTGCTGGACGTGGTCGCAGCAGGGACAGGAGCTGCGCTTCTCGCCATGCCGGATGGTGACGAGCTAGAAGGTTGTCGTCGCGCCCATCCAAGTCGATTGAGGAGGCGCAGAGAACGACGACGACGGCAACGCTAGTGGCGGCGGCGATGTAGAGAAGATGATGAAAGCTGCGATGTGCCACTAGGAGGAAGGAATGTGTCGGGTCCGCTCCAGGTGTGCAGGTAGAAGTGTGCGATTGGTCAAAGTAATCGAACGTCGATGCCGATGTCGTCTGACGAGCGAGAGACAACGTCGACGAACGATGTGAGCGAGACGGATTTTAAGGGAGGGTATGGGCTAGTGTACAAAGGACCACAAAAAACCGCTGCTCAAATGAAAGCCGGCCACGCGAAGGCGACGACGACAAGGAGAGAAAGAAAGCGACGCGAGCCCAATGGACGAGGGCTGATCACGACGGAAGGGTGTAGCAAAACAGGATCAGGTGCTCCAACTAAGGGACCCGAAGCAAGTGTCGAGGCAGGAGAAGCGAAGACGAGATGAAGAGGTGATGAGGAGAAGGAGGAGGAAAAATGGGCGTAGGAGGGGTGGATGGATGGATGCAGTGATGCAAGTTGCGCCCAAGGGCAGTGAATCGACTCGAAAGCGCACCAGAAGGGGGGTTATCGCAGACGAAGAACGACAAGAAGGAGGGCGAGGACGAGGACTAGGAGGGAGAGGGAGAGGCGAAAGGGAAATAGGAAATTGCTGGAGGTCGAAAAAGTCGAAAAAGGGAGAGGGGAAAGCGGTGAGGAGGAGGAGGAGGAGGGTTGAATTGACGCGAGTCAGGATTCTGGTGAACGAAGCTGTGAAGGATCGCTTGCGAATGGGATGGAAAAGACGCGCGCAAGACCGACACGAAGATTGTGAGGGCGACAAGGGATGGTAAGAGGAAGGCGAGCAAATACGAGCGCACGCTGGGCACAGCTGATGGGAGCGTTCGACGCGTTTTGGCAGGAGATTTCGAATTGGGGAAATGAGGGAATTCAGCAGTAGGACGGCACAACAGGATTCGCAGCGGCGGTCGAGCAAATTGACAGCTTTCGCGCCCTTGCTCTCTGATTCACGCGCCGTGCTGAGTCGAGATGCAAACGAGCAGCAGAAAAAGCACAGCAGGATCCGAAATTGCTTGAGGCCCGAAATTCGACACTGGCAGGACGCTGAAAAGGCCACATCGATCCGAGGCGGCATGTCTGTGGTTGAAAAAATTTGAATTAGCGAGTCCAGATCGCCTGTTGGTCTATCGGGTGCATGGTCGAATCGGGCCCCCGACGCGTTTCATTTGGCGATCGATAGTTGTTCAAGGAATGGGAGAGCGTTTTGTAGTCACTCCATTGAACAGGACGGACGGCGGGTCTGGACGATTCGACCGTCGTGGCGAAAGTGACCGACGCTGTGAGCCCTTATGTGGTCAGTGCGATGCTGAACAACGATGCGGAATTGAGGTGAATGCTGTGACGATGAGGAGTGTGATGGTGCAAGGATGTTGTCGTCGTTGAGGTGGCGGGGTATAATGCAGGACGACCGTGATGCATGCAGAAGGTGGAGGAAGAAGCTTTTCGGTTCAAGTGCGCCTCTTCTTGGAGGAAGGCTTGCGACGGCCATTGTAGTTGGTCCGATGGCTAGCTTGCGATTCGGCGAACTTGCGCTTGGCGTAGGACGCCGCTTCGGCGTCGCGGATGAGCTCTTCGACGACGGTTCGTCCCCTCTCCTGGCGAGATAGGACCGCCTTTGGCTCGAGCGGGGAAGCGATGATCTTGCCGAGCTGTGCAAACTTGGGCATGGCCTGGTTCTTGGCCGACGCTCGGTAGAATCGCTTGGGATCGAGGGAGTTACGCAGTCGGAGCGCCTGGACTTCGCGACGAAGCTGTTCCGCCGACGCGAGTCGAGCATCGCCACCAGTGACTTTGGCGTGGCCGCGGTCAGCACCCGACTGCTTCTTGAGCGTCGCCAGACGCGATGCAGAGGCGCCGAATTCGGGCATGTCGAACCAGCTGGAGCCCGTCGAGGTTTGGACGGTACGGGCGTGCTTGGACTTTTTTTTGTCCGAGGCCAGATCTCCTTGATCGAGCGCTCGGATCTGTTGGTCGAGCTTGTCTGTAGAAGCTCCAGGTCGTTTGTCAGCATTTGGCTGCAGTTTGGCCATCTGATGCTTGGCTTTGACGACGAGAGGCAGGTTCTTGCTGGAACGCTTGCCGGTTTGTACGCTGCCCGAGCCACCGTCAATCGAGATGACATCCTGATTGTCCTCGAACCGAGTTTGAGCGACAGGCTTGGGAATCCGACTCTTGTACGCTTGTTGAGACGCCTTGAGAAGCGCATCCAGGTCAATGACGCCGGAGTCGTCTCCCTGCTCGTCTTCCGAGTCGGACGCTGAGCTCGAGACTTCGGAATCGTCGTTCGAGCTTGCGTCCGAGTCCGAGCCGGATCCCGAATCACTGTCTGAGGAGTTGCTCGAGGAACCTTCCTCGGTGCCTCCGCTTAGCGGAAACATTGTGGGGTGAGCCGTTTCTTCGGATATTGAGGCGAGGCTGTGCTCTTGTATTGCGCTTGCTTGGGTTTGATCGGCGCCGGACCGTGACTCTCCACCGTCCGAGTCGGGCGTGTCGGACGCATCCCGGGGCTCGGATGGCACGAATACCTCCTCGATGACGTGCAGGCTCTCTGGATCGACCGAACGGGATCGCGAACGAGTAGATCGTCTTGGCGGAGGTTGCAGCGCACTAGACGCGGCAGGTGCCTTCTTTCTTGGCGAGGGGCGAGCAGACTTGGATGGAGATGCCTTGGCTGGTGACGAGGACTGAGATGACTGCTGCGATGTGACGGCGCTGGTGGACGTGCTTGTAGAATCAAAGAATGGTGATGCACTGCGCAGACGGGCGCCACGCATGGGCTGTACGCGCATCTTGGACGGACTGCCGTCGTCCTTGCTCGGCGAGCTCTGTCGGCCTGTTCTCGTGGCAGGCATCGTTCAACTTGCCAGCTTTGCCGGTAGAAAGCGAGTTGATGATCGAAAAGAAAGAGAACGAGGATTGCCGAGCTTTCAGGTTGGAAGTGTGAGAGCAGAAAGGAGGAGCACAGGTGGGACCAAACGTTCAAGATTCCTTTGTGCCCGTTACAAAAGTCGATCCTGACTTTGCTAGCGTTCTGACTGGCGTCCGGCACGAAAAATTCGGACTGTGGACTCTGGACCCTTGCTCAAGAGAAAAAATCGCGAGCTAAATTCCCAATCGTCTGAGCGACTCCACTTCGCCGCTTACAAATGCTGATGTCTTGCTTGTCTTGAATTTCTTCTTGGTGCTGCAGCTGGCTGCCTTCTCGCTCTTTTCGAAATTTTTGGCTGCGCCGCTCCTTTCCACGGAAAAAGGGTCCGCAGCGAGGGAAAAATTCCGCAACAGCAGACGGTAATGCTGAGTCGAGGGACGGTGCACCTTGTTGCTCCTGCCATCATCAACCTACAACCATCCCTTACCAACGACAGCATGGTTGCACGCCGAAGCCCAAAAGGGCGTCGGAACGGCGGCGGTGCAGACGCCTCTGGATCGCTCAGCCGTTCCGCCGGCTTTGACGACATACCCAAAGATGATGAGGATCTCTTCGAAGCTAGCCGCGATCAGATTCTATTGGATGGCTACGAACGTGCCGCCATAGACTCGGAGGACGACATGGACGTTGGCCTCAACAATCGTGAGGTTCTAGGTATTGATGACGCTCACTCGGATGAGGAGGCGGACTCGGATCTGGACGATGAGCAAGACGAGGAGGCATACGATGACGACCAAGGCTACTCGGCTCGACAAGCTCGAAAGGCGAAGAAGCCGGACATCGTGGTCTCGTCTGATGACGATGACGACCTGGACGACGAAGAGGATGACGAAGAAGAGGACGGAGAAGAAGGCCGAGAACTGCACGAGAACGATCGTGGCTGGGGTACCAACAAACGAGCCTACTACAACACCAACGACCTCGATGCCATGGACTCCGACTCGGAGATCGACGAGGACCAAGCGCGTGAGCTCGAACTCAAGGAAGTCAAGCGTTTGCAAAAGAAAAGCCGCAGTGTTATGGACGACGCCGACTTTGGCCTCGGAGGCGATGACGGGGACAGCCAGCTCGCCAGGTCTGCCAAGGATGCATCACGAGAGCAGCGAAGGCGAGACCTGGATGGCGATGACCACGGCGCCTTGGCCCCTCAGATCACTTCGAACGGCGTTGCATCGACAAACGGCGTAGCTGCAGGGCCAGCAGACGAATCATCTCGCAGAGCACTTCTGGCCAAGCTGCAGCAAACAAGCCCTGAAGCTGTGGCCCTTGCGGGAGAGTATGCCGACATGCTCGAAGAGTTTGGGCGGGTGGATCAACTACTCAACAAGATGATGGCAGAGCAGCCCAATCACGCCAGCCTCGAAGTGATGCATGTTCACTATCAGACGTTGGCCACGTACATCACCACCATGACCTTCTACTTTCACCTTCGAGCCTCTCCCGAGTTCGCTGCCGAGCCCACCAAATTGCGAACACACCCTGTCATGCAGCGCATGATGCGTCTCAAGCAAGGGCTCAGCGTCATGGAGGATCTCGGACTCACTTTCGAACCGAACCGCATGCCCTCCACCAATGGCGAACTGTCACCAGACGATATTGACGAGATGCAGATGCTCAGCCAAGGCAGCGGAGGCAGCGAGGATGACGACCTTGGCGATCTGGATGACGACGAGTTGGCAGATCTCATGGCAGACGCCGATGGCAGCAGCGGCAAGGAGAACGCTGCACCCGTCAAAGCCAAAAGGAGCGCAAAGCAGAAGAGGCGCAGCGATGATGAGGACGTGGAGAATGAAGATTACACGGAGGACGCACAGCCTAAACAGAGGAAGAAGGCGACCAAGAAGGAAGCAGGCAAGAAGAAGGTCAAGAAGCCGGAGCCTGTCGCTCCCTTGGCAGCCGGCCTTGCCGATCTGGACGATGAGCCTGCACTGCAGGTCAAACTCAAGAAGAAGGGCAGCGCCGGCGGTTCCGCTGCCAAGAATCCATTCGCGGTGTCTGCCGATGCCACCAACTTTGACGATGCGACGTTCGGCGAGCTGTCGGAGCTCTCTTCGATCGAATCGGCCGAGCGCGCAGCCAGGAAGCGATCGTTGCAATTCCACGCCTCTGCCATCGAGAGTAAGGCGCTGCAGCGCGCCAAGGCGGCCAAGGAACGCCAATCTGGCGACGCCGACATCCCCTACCGTGATCGAGAGCGAAGCCGAGCAGGTGTCGAGGCGACCAAAGCGGCGCGAGAGGCGAAACTGCAGCAGCAGCTCAACGGTGGTATGGGCAAGGACATCGCGTTGGATGGCCAAGACGGCTGGGGGGATGCCGACGAAAAGGATTGGCGCGATGTTATGGGTCAACCCATGGAGTCATCCTCCCGTTCGCATCGCTCTGGTGGCGACGATGACGACAACGACGACGATGACGATGCGGCCGATTACTACGATCTGGTGGCATCCTCTCGCAAACGGGCTCGCGCCGAAGCCAAGGCGGAATACGACGAGGCACGCAACGCCGAGCGCTTTGCGCTCATGGAAGATCAAGAGCTGGAGGATGGAGAGCACCGTGGCATCACACGACAGATTGAGAAGAACAAGGGTCTCACACCGCACCGTCCCAAGACATCGCGCAATCCACGAGTCAAGAAGCGTCTCAAGTACGAAAAGGCCAAGAAGAAGCTCGGCTCACGCCAGGCTGTGTACAAGGGAGGACAGTCGAACCTGCAAGGTGGATACGGAGGAGAAGCGTCTGGTATCTCGACGCATCTGGTCAAGTCGAGGAAGCTTGGTTGATTTCCCTGAAGAGATTCGGTTGGGTTCAAGATTCTATTTTCGGTGCCTGCCATTCTGGGCCATATTTCTTGCTTGCAATCACACAGTGGTCACCTAATTCATCTGTTAGTGATGCTTGCGAATGCGCTGAGTCCTCGTCACGTCGTTTGCCAGCTCTTTATACTGTACTAAGCATACACAAACGCAAATATGAGTATCCGAAGTGCCCTCTGTGCAAGGCAGCCATTCACAATCACCCTCACGACGTGAAAGAAGGTTGTTGGCGGGGTTGGCAAGGATCGTTTGTGGATGCAAAATATTCGCACGGAAATGCCATTTGGCGCCGCGGGCATTCGGGCGAAAAGACCGGATCCCAGACAAGACAACCGCGCGACAAGCCGGAATTTCGGTAAAGACGGCTTCCATCCCGAGCGAAATGCACAGCTCAACCGCGCAGCGGAACAAGTGTTTTTCGGCGACGTTGACTCTCGTACTTGCGGTCCTGTTGTATATCGTACGGTGAGTTCAAATCAAGGAAATCATTCTCTCGCTACTACGGAAGGGCAACGACGGTGAACGTGAGAGCGCTGCTTGATGGAGAAGAGGCGATGTGACTTGTGAACGTTCGGGTGGCAGAGGAAGAAAAAGAGATGAATTTGTGTGGGGTCGTACCAGCCGGTGAAGCGGCAATGTGCTAGACCGGAGGCACCTCAGCCACGAAACCCTGACCTGTCTTCCCCGCATCTTGGACTCAGCCTACAAATACTCGCTACCACCTTCCCCAACCTTTCTTCTTCGCGTCTACCTACCATCGCCTCCTTCCGCTCCCAACCCCGTCGACTCTCAAAATGGCTCAGCGCATCACCCAGCTCGCCTCGCACCTCGACCCACGCTCGTGGTCGGGCAAGGGCCTTCACGCCCACATGGCCAAGAATGACTCGGACGTCGTCATCGTCGCCGCCGGCCGAACCCCCTTCACCAAAGCCTACAAGGGCTCCATGAAGGACTCCAAGTTCGATCTTCTCTGCTACGAGTTCTTCAAATCTCTGATCGCCTCTTCCGCCGTCGACCCCGCTCTGATTCAAGACATTGTCGTAGGAAACGTTCACAACGACGAAGCACCGTACTACGTCCGTGCTGCCGCCCTCGCTGCTGGTATCCCCAACACCACCCCTGCCATCGTCGTCAACCGATTCTGCTCTTCCGGTCTCATGGCTATCCGTGCCATCGCCAACGGTATTCAGGCCGGTGAGATCGAATGCGGTCTGGCGTGCGGTATCGAACACATGTCGACCCAACCCAAGAGACCGACTGTCATCTCGGAAGAGCTCAGCAAGCTCAGCCAGGAGGCCGACGATTGCAAGATGCCCATGGGTTGGACTTCCGAGAACGTCGCAAAGGACTTCAACATCTCGCGCGCAAAGATGGACGAGTACGCCGCGAGATCCCAGCAGCGTGCGGTCCAAGCACAGTCGCAAGGAAAGTTTGACGCCGAGATCTTCCCCATCTCCGTACCCACCGTCGGCAAGGACGGTGCCAAGCAGACTACGGTGGTGAGCGCAGACGAAGGTCCGCGTGCCGGAACCACGGCGGAGTCGCTCGGCAAGATCAAACCAGCCTTCCCCCAGTGGGCTCCCAGCAACACCACCGGCGGCAACGCCTCGCAGATCACGGACGGTGCTGCCGGCGTCATTCTCATGCGTCGTTCGTTGGCCAACAAGTTGGGTCTCAAGGTGTTGGGCAAGTACGTCTCTTGTGCAGTCACCGGTCTGGAACCGAGGATCATGGGTATCGGTCCCAGCTCGGCTATCCCGGCAGTGCTGGCCCAGACCGGCGTCAAGCAGGAAGAGGTCGATCTGTTCGAGATCAACGAGGCGTTCGCCAGCATGTACGTCTACTGCGTCGAGAAGCTCGGTCTGGATCCCGAGAAGGTCAATGTCAACGGTGGAGCTTGTGCCCTCGGTCACCCGCTGGGCGCGACGGGCGCTAGGTTGGTCGTGACGGCGCTCAAGGAGTTGGAGAGGAGACAGCAGAAGGTCGCCGTCGTCTCCATGTGCATTGGTTTGGGAATGGGCGCTGCTGGGTTGATCTTGAGGGAGGATTGATGCACTGAAGTGTTTCTTGCTCAAAATGACGAACGTTTCAAGGATGAGATTGGGCTTGTGTTTGTGAATGAACGGACGGTGTGCATTACTTGTGTAAGAGTGTGTGAGATCAATCGGACTGGTCAGCGCTCTGCGAGGCCGTCGTGTCTTGACCCGCTTCTTCTTCTTCCGGCTCCTCTTCGACTGCTGAGAGTCCTTCCTCTTCGTCCTCCTCTTCCTCGTCAGAATCGTCTTCCTCTGCATCGTCTTGCTCCTCCTCTTCGTCGACGGAGCCGCCCTCTTCCTGCGCGTCGGCCTTCTCGACGTGGACGGCAGACTCCTCGAGCGAGTCTCCTCCGGCTCGGTCGTGGCCGATGGTGCTATCGACGTCATCGTCGTCCACTTCATCCTCTTCGTCTTCATAGTCCTCCTCATCGGTGTACTCTTCTTCGTCGTAGTCTTCTTCCTCCTCGTCGTCTTCCTCCTGGTCATCTTCCTCGTCATCTTCCTCGTCATGTTCATCATCATCTTCATCACTATAGTCGTCATCCTCCTCTTCGTCTTCATCCTCTCCTCCGTCTTCAGACGCAACCTGACTCGGCCTGCCCCCTAATCTAGCCAGCAGCGACCCGCCGCTCTTATCGCCATCCCCACCCAAACCCTCACCCTTCCCCTTAGCACTCGCAAACGGCGACGTCTTGCCCGCCCCTGCAAACGCACCGAATCCACCACCTGATGCACCAGTGAAGCTGAAAGCGCTCTTACCTCCTGCCGCTGCATCGCTCTTTCCACCATCCGTAGACTTTGGCGTCGATGGAGAGGCCGCGAATGCGCCGAAACCAGACGGCGTGCCGAAGGCGGACGTGCTGCCAAATGCCGGTTTCGCAGACGGCGTGGAGGGCGTACCGAAGGCAGAGGTGCTGCCGAAAGCAGAGGCGCTGCCAAAGGCGCCCGGTTTGTTGGCGGTGGATGTCTGTGGCGCAAAGCTGAACGCGTTGACGGGTTTGCTGCTCGGACTGCTGGCGTCCGTGGGCTTGGAGGAGAAGGCACCGAATCCAAATCCGGGGCTCGACTTGAAGCCCCCGAACGCGGATGCGGTCGAGGTGGCAGAAGGGTTCAACTTGCTCGGCGCAAAGCTGAACGCTGACGTCGAGGTCGGTGTTGAGCTTTCGTTAGGCTTTTGGTTGTCGCTGTCTGGAGCAGAAGATTTGGGCTTCGGCGGATAGTTGAAGTCTCCGTCGGCTTTGTCTGTGGATGTCGCGCCGTTTGCCGATGAAGTCTTCGGTTGCTCGACAGGATCGCGCTTTTCTTCCTTGCTCGCCTTGTCCAGATCTTCGGTCTTCTTCTCCGAGGTCGGCGCAGCGGACGCCGCACCGAAGCTGAAGCTGGCCGCTGGCTTAGCATCGGGCGTCGAGCCGAGCGCATCCTTCGCATTGGACGGTGTAGGCTCTGTCAACGGCTCCTTGTTTCGAGGCTCGGATGGTTTGCAGAAAGTGAAGGTGGAGGGATCGGGCAACGCTTTGTCTGTTGCGTCCCTCGCGTCGGCTTTCTCTGGGCTGTCCGTCTCAACGTCCTTCTGCTGACTATCGCTTTTCTCGCTCTTCTCGTCCTTACTGTCAGCCGTCGGTTGCTTGTCGGCCTTGTCTCCGTCGGCATCCTTCTTCGCCTCTCCTTCGCGGTCATCTGTAGCTACCTTCTCCGACTTCTGCTCAGGGGCAGGCTTCACCGGAGGTTTAGTAGCAAAGCTGAAGCTGGCAGGGCTCTTCGACTCTTCCTTTGCGGCGCTCGCGACGCTCGCCGCCGTGTCGACCTTGTCCTTACTGAGGGTTCCAGCGTCCGACCCGTCGCCGACCGTCTTTGTCGTCTCGGGCTTCTTTCCGGCATCGCCAAAGCTGAAGCTCGTAGCCGAAACCTGCTTCGGCTGTTCAGTCGAGGCAGCTTCGACGCCCTTCGTGCCGAAACCACCAAAGCTGAAGCCACTAGATGCTGTCTTGGGCTGCGAAGCGGTCGGCGTAGCCGGCGACTTGGAGACGTCCGTCTTGTCAACCTTGCCAAGGTTGATGCTGCCGCTCGCAGAGGCTGATTCAACCGTGGCAGCCGCAGGCGACTCGTTCTTGTCACCAGGCTTGCCAAAGCTGAATGTTGGTTTACTGCTCGGAGCAGGCGTCGAAACCTCGGCGTTCGGCTTGCCAGCACTCGAGCCGAACCCACTGAACCCCTTGAAGGGCGTCGGAGCAGAAGCATCCGAACCTTCCTTCGCTTTGAGCGCAGGGGGAAGAGCGAAGAAGTCAGAGGCAGCCTTGGTCGAGGCACTCGCAGCCGCGTCTGAACCATCCCCACCACTCGAGGTGGGTGGAAGTTGCACGGCTGTACCTCTGAACTTCGATTTGCTCGTGTTGGAGCTTCGGATGCTGCTTGGGCTCGAGCTGGCTGCACGTGCTCCAGGCTGGAACGGCGTATCGTCCTTTGTGGGAAGATCAAAAATTCCAGCTGGGACGGAGCCGAGCTTGCCAAAGTCGAGCGAGGAGAGCGTAGCATTCCCGAACGGCGAGCTGGAGGAAGCTGCGCCAGGGGTCGACATCGGTGTGGATTTGGCTGGAAGGGGCGCAGAAGCTTGAACCGCAGAAGTGCTCCCGAAGCCTGCGAATGGTGCAGGTGACGGCTTGTTAGACGCCGAAGCAGGCGAGCTGAGACCGCCAAAGCTGAAAGGAGCAGCGGGCTTTTGAGATTCAGCTGCTGGCGCTGCAGTTGACGGCGCTTCTGTGCTCGGCGTGGAAGCTTTGCCAAAGCCAGCGAATGACGTTGCAACGGGCTTAGCAGCAGATTGACCGAAACCTTCAAAGCTCAACGGAGCAGATTGCGTGGCTCCCTTTTGAGCTGAAACATCGGCAGAGGATACTGGCGTCTTGCCAAAGCCGGAAAAGGCTGTTGCCGCAGGCTTCGGCGCGGAGGCAGCACTCTGACCAAAGCTTCCGAACTTCAAAGGCTGAGAAGGCACAGTGGGCTGAGGTGCAGCAGCTGTCGTGGTGGCCTGAGAAGGCGTGGCTGATGATGCGAATCCCTCGAAAGTAGGGTTTGCAGCCTTGGCAGGGGCGGCAGCGGTCTGGCCGAATCCACTGAAGTTGAGCGGCTTGGGCGGAGCCGCCGTCTTCTGTGTCGCGGCAGCTGGAGTCGCAGAAGAAGCTGGTCCCGGCGAGGGAGGGACCTCGAAGGTAAGCGGAGCGGCTTTGGCTTCCTTCGGCGCTGTAGCAGGAGCAGATGGAGCTGCCGATGCTGGACGAGGCGGCTCGGAAAGCTTGGGCACGGCGACTTCCTTTGCCATGGGTGCGAACTGATCAGTGCCGACCACATCCGTGGCACCATTGGCAGCGGAGGTCTCAGGAACTGCTGGAGGAACGCGCTTGCCGAGATACACCGGTCCCTTTGCAAAGGCGATCTGAAGATCTGAACCACGCAAGGGCTTGGTCGTCTTGCGATCCGCTCTTTGAGAGCTCGGAACAGCTCGTGTGTTGAGGATCGGCTTCTCGCGTGCGTTGATGAAGACAGCCACACTCTCGCTCTTGACAAGCTCGGCATGCGTAATCTCGTCGGCGGATCTGAGCGTGATCGCGGCAGGCAGCATATGCACGAGGTTGCTGACATCGTTCAGCGGGCTAGCCTCTTCGATCCCACTGACGACTGAGACTGATCGCGATAGAGCGCGACTGGGCTCGCGGGACGCATACTCTGCTGGCCGCATCAGATCCACCTCGAGCGCCAAATTGTCGAGGTCCAGTGTCACGGCTGTCGTACGGGCGGTAATGTTGCGGCATGCTCTTGCGACCGAGTCGAGACTGGGCGCCCTGAGGGCGCTTCGACCCGCTCTAGCATTCTGCAGCTTGTCTTTGAGCGCTGCCATGTACTCCTCCAATTCGACGATGCGGTCGCGAACGACCTGGCTAGCCTTGCGCAGCTTGTTCTGGTTTTCGACGTGCTCCGGACCCAGCTGGCGCACGCGTATCATCTTGGCAAACTCCGGATCGCTACGTGCACGAATGAAGCGTGCGACTTCTTCTCTCTTTGCCTCTGCCTTGAGTTGCAGACTTTGCAGCTCGGCGACCTTGCGCTTGTGTGAGGCAGCTTCGTCCTCGATCCGCTGGGTCAATGGACCGAGCGATTTGGCGAGCGACAACATCTTTGGCAGATCGCCAAAGGACCACTTTGACGGGTCGGCAAAATCTTCCACCGAGTGCGAGCGAGGCGACGCCTCCCGTAAGTCAGCGAGGAAGCTGGCACACTGGTCCACATTGGAGCGAAGTACTTCCAGCTCCTGGGTCAAGACGAGGTAGGCTTTCAGGAACTCTCCCTGAATACCGCTCTCGTTCACTTTTGCCGGGCCTCCGTTCTCGGATGAGGACAGTTGAGGCGTGCGTCCAGCGACAAGAGGACTTCCGGAACGCTCCTTTGCGCTTTTGCCTGGCACAACCGGCGTGTTCGTGGACTGAGGCGACGATTTTGCTGTCGCAGGCCCGAGCCCTCCGAATGAAGGCGCTGTTGCCGTTGCGGAAGTCGGCTTTTCCATACCCGAGACTTTCGGTGCTTGAGGTTGCGAGAATCCAGAAAATGACGTGGCCGGCTGTGCGCCAAACGCTGGGGAGCTAGGTTTGGCTGGCTGCTGCTGGAAGGAGAAGGTTTGGCCGGTTTTGCCGAGCTTCTCTTCCGACGAGCTTTTGGCAGAGTCATCGTTGCTGCTGAAGGGGGTGGCAGCGAGGGGAGAGCTGCTTCGAGGGGCGGTGGAAGTGAACCGAGGAAACGAAACTCCGCTCGCCGGAGCGGACGCCGATGTGGGCTTTGCAGCAGGAGTGCTTCCAGACGCCGGGCTTGGAGGCGGCACCGACTTGTCCGAGGAAGCAAAAGAGAAAGAGGGAACTTCCTTGGCTTGAGAAGCGCTCGAGGCAGGGGCTGAGCCAAAGCTGCCGAAGCCTCCAAAGCCTGGAGACTTTGCCGTCGTCGACGACGGACTCGTAGAAGCGTTGTTGGCGAAAGAAAGCGGCGTTGCCGGCTTCGAAGGGGCTGTTTGCGCGGTTTGTGCCTCAGCACTATTCTTGTCCTGACCAGCTGCGCCGAAGGTCAAGGGCGATGATGGCTGAGCGGTGGTCGATTGCTCAACAGCAGGCGCAAAGGAGAAAGGACCCGGAGAGGCTGGCTTGGACTCATCCTTGACACCCTTGGTCGGTGTTTCAGCTTTAGCATCAGGAGAGCTGAAAGAGAATTGCGGCGGCGAAGCGGTAGGCTTTGCTGGAGCGGTCGCAAAACTGAATGCCGGCTTGGCTGGTTCGGCCGTCTTGGATTTATCGTTGGAGGCCAGAGCCGACGCGGGCTGCTCCTTGTTGTTGTTCCCGACCTTTTCCGACGACGTCGACGCAACGGAGCTCGAGCTGGTGTTGCTGAACGAGGAATTCTGCCGATCGGAGGGTGCTCCTGCAGTGGGATTTAGCTTGACAGAGCTGAAAGCCGACGCAAGGGGCGGTGGTGGTGTTGCGGCATTCGATGAAGCAGGGTCGCTCGCTTTACTACCACTCGAGTTCGGCGCAGGTGCAGGACTGAAGGAAAAGGGCTTCGAGGCGGCGACACTTGTCAGCGTCTGATCAGCGCCCTCGACGCTAGGATCTGTGCTCGCGGCCCCCGCTTCCTTTTCAGGCGCTTCTACAGCTGCAACCGGTTGCGACCGTCTTTCGGACAGGGTCGAGTCGTTGCTGCCGAGCATGCTTCCAAGGCCCCCAAAGGAGAAATTGCCTGCTTCAATTTCCCCGTTTGCAGATGACTCGTCGTTCTTGCCCTTCATATCCTTCTCCTTGTCCTCGACAGTTTTGTTGGCAGCGAAGGCCGAGAAGGAGCCTTGACCGAATTTGGACGCTGACGAGCCAAACGCTGACGCCGGAGAGGGAGAAGTCGACGCATTCTGAGCGGCAGAGCCAAACAGTCCGGTCGAAGCAGCTGTGCTCTTGCTCTCCAGCTGACCACTATTTCCAAAGATGGAGGTGGGAGATGGATTTGTGGTGGATGCAAAAGCACCTCCAGATTTGGATGCGAAGCCACCGAAGGCGGAGGCAGTGCTTGGCGGCGTGGCGGTTCCAGTGTTAGGGGCGAAGGGCGAGGCCGACGACGCTGCGGAACCAAAGGCAGATTTGGCACCGAAAGCAGGGCTGGCACCAAAGGCGGAGGTGGTGCCGAAGCCGGACGCCGAGCCAAAAGCAGGTGCTGAGGTCTGACCAAATGCCGAGGACTGCCCGAATGCAGGCTTTGCTGAGGAATTTTGACTGAGTGCTGAGGTGGATCCAAATGCGGACGGTGCTGTGGTGCTCGTGGAGGATGGAGCAGGAGACGACGAGCCGAAGGCAGAGGCAGCTGGCCTCGCACCAAAGGCGCTGGCACCAGACGGGGACGCTGCAGCGTTCGAGGAAGCGGCAGGCGTCGGGGCACCCTTTGATGCATCCTGGGAGGGATCCTTGCCAGTGGTGGAAGCGGATCCAAAGCCAAATCCGGTCGAGCCAAAAGCGGATGTTTGCTTGCCGCCGCCGGCCGCGCTGCTAAAGGCGCCAAAGCCAAACCCACCGGACGGTGTGGAAGCGGAAGCCGCATCAAATGCTGGTGACGGTGAGGAGTTCGCTGTAGACGATCCAAATGCGGAGGACTGGCCGAAAGATGGCGTGGCAGAAGACGCGAAAGCAGACTTGGATCCAAACCCGGATGATTGGCCGAATGCTGATGGCTGGCCAAAGGCAGAGGAAGAGCCAAACGCGGACGCAGCTGGCTTCGTTTGGCCGGGAGTCGTTTGCGCTGGTGTTGATTGTGGTGCTGGCGCGGCTGCTGAGGCGGAGGCGGTTGGCGCTGTTGTGGAGGGTCGAACCATGCCGTCGAATGGTTGCTGTGTGTTGATCACATTGTAGGCGAGCAGAACACCATCTGATGTGTAGACGTAGAGAATAGGTACGGCAGGCATCTTGGTTTTGTCATCGCCTCGAGCTACCGCATTGGGATCATCCACCTCGTCTGTCGAAGTCAGGTCGAAATCGAGGGCGACCGGGGCGGTGTCGGACGACTGGTCAACAGAAGAGAAGGGGAGGATCGGTTTGGAAGTCTCCTCAAGCTCGACAGTGGACCAGGCAGCAGTTCCTGCCTCGCTGGAAGAGCAAGTAATGAGGCCAACATCTGTACTGGGACCGCTGGCGACGAAAACGAGATGCTTGGAGGGCTCCCAGCTTTTGAGCCAGGCAGCGAAGCGGGTTCCGAGTCGAGATGTGTCGCCGTATGGAGGAGCGGGATCCATGGGCATCTTTGCAAATGTGATCGTCGACTGCTTGGCGTCTCGCAGGATGGTGTAGACTTCGTACGAATGCTCTGGATCGTCGTCGGTCGAGCCTGAGGAAGGCAGGTTGTACGTTGCGACAAAGACGTGATTCTCGAGCCAACGGAGATCCGAAACATAATAGGATCCTTGCAGCGACTCGGGCCTTGCTATGCGGTCCTTGGGCTCGCCCTCTGGAGTGATCTGAACGATCTCGCCCGACTCGAGTCCAACGGCTACCTGCTTTCCCTTAACAGACCAGCAAACCGCGGTCGCACGAGAGCCGGTAGAATCAAGCTGAGCGCCGAAGGAGCCGGAGTTGAGGTTGAGCATAATGGGCGTGCCCGACTGCACGCCTGGCGTTCCGTCCTGTCGATACAGTGCGACGGCCAATTCGGGTCGATCGGAAGGATTGGGTGCCAGGTCGATGAGAGAGAGGCCGGGAGTAGGGGGCTGCAGGACAAAGCTTGGCTCGAGCTGGGTGCCATCGACGAGACCAGAGACGGACCACGCTGCGATGGCACCATTCTGGAATCCAACAAGTACGGTGGAGTGATTGTTGGCCGAGGTGACGAAGGTAGGCAACGATGTGATGGAGTTGAGTGAGTTGGTGTCGATGGAGCGCAATGTCTGATCGAGGATGGGCGTGGAATTGCGTGCTGCGGATTTGAAGAAAGATCTGAGCTCTGCAAGTCGAATGACAGCGAAGCCCGAGTTTGTGGCAGCGAAGACAAGGCCTCTGGAGTTGGACACGGAGAGCAGGTTGGTATGCTGTTTGCTTTCGGCGACTTTGAGCGGCTCCGAGAGACGGATCGTGACATCCTTGGCGACCTGGCGCAGCACGAGATGCTTGGCCTCCGTTTCGGACGCTTCCGCCTCTGTGTAGGTGAATGCTGACATGGCGTTTCCCACCAACTGCTGAACGCCAGCAAGCCTCTAGCGAGTATCAACGGCTGCGGCCTCGCCTTTGAAGCTGTCGGATGGTGGACGGAGAGAAGCCTGTCAATGGCAGCAGTGCATAGACGGACCTTGGGCAGCAGCGCTTGACCACTCCTTGACGAGGCTCTTGCTGACAGCGCAGCACACTGTGAGCAAGCGAGGTCGAGTGGAAAGGGTCGAGCGCGTCGGAAATACCGTCAAGTAGTTGATGGACTGGCCGACACTTGCGTTTGGAAGATCCTGTTCGAGACTGAGCAACCAACTCGGTGCGTTTTCGACGTTTGACATCTGAACACACCAATCGGTACTCGTCGAATCGGGAGATGGAATTTTCGGAAGAACGAGCTCTGCTGCGCCTTTTCGGTAAAAGGGAATATCGCCGTAAGCGCGAGACCAGCTTCCGCATCTTGGGTCGTGGAAACCAACCGACTTCCGCCTCTGACCTCCTCTCCTTCACTCCTTCGCAATAACACACGGTCTCGACAATCATGGTCGCGCAAAGGTATACGCTTTCAGCCCTGAGGTCGACGCTGTCGGCCGCATCTGGCGCACCTCGCCAGTCGGTCGCTTCTTCCTCGCGCACGTTCGTCTCGACTCCCTACAGCAGATCGGATCGACCGCCCACCGGCGCTTTCCCTCCTCATCAAAACGATGCCCCATCTGCCCAAGGCTCGTCCGGCAGCACCTTCACGTCCTCAAGACCCGCTGCAAGCTTTGGAATGGATGGATCAGCGCCAGAGAACAAGCAGACGCACTTCGGTTTTAGGACGGTGGCGGAGGAGGAGAAGGAGTCCATGGTAGCTTCCGTCTTCTCGTCCGTGGCATCCAAGTACGACGTGATGAACGATGCCATGTCGCTCGGCATTCACCGGTTGTGGAAAGACCACTTTGTCTCTAAGCTCGACCCACGTGGCGGCATCAAGGTACTCGACGTAGCTGGAGGCACCGGAGACATTGCTCTGCGCATCCTTGATCATGCTAGGACAAAGCATTTCGATCGCGAGACCCACGTGACGGTCCTCGACATCAATCCGAGCATGCTCAAAGAAGGTCAGAAACGATTCAAGCAGACCATGTACTGGGGTGGCCCGCAGATCAGCTTCCAGCTTGGCAATGCCGAGCAGCTGGATTCCACCATGCCGGTGCCACCCGAGCCCGTGCGCGGTCCCAACAGCAAGCAGCCGTACTTGCCTCCTCTTGAAAGCAAGCCCATCCCAGACGAATCGATTGACCTTTTCACCATGGCATTCGGCATCCGCAACTGCACCCACATTGACGAGGTGCTGAGGCAAGCATATCGCGTCCTCAAGCCGGGAGGAGTCTTTAGCTGTCTCGAGTTTGGCAAGGTCAATGTACCCGTCTTGGCCGAAGTGTACAAACAGTACAGCTTCAACGTTCTCCCACCACTAGGGCAGATGCTTGCTGGCGATCGTGCTTCGTACCAGTACCTTGTCGAGTCGATCGAGCGCTTTCCGACGCAGCCTCAATTTGCAAGGATGATGAAGGATGCTGGCTTCCATCTGCCCGGCTCTCCCACAGCGACAAGTCTTGGCTTCCCTGCAGAGTCTGGAAGCGCAGCAGGAAGCGAAGACGTTGCTGGTGCCTGGGAGGATCTCACCTTTGGTGTCGCGACCATCTGGACCGGCATCAAGCTTTGAGGAAAACACACACACACATCGTTGAGCTTAGATTTCCTCGCATTATCACCACTGAATTTGTCACTGCCTTTCTGTCATTCGCACACCACTTTCGCAGCAGAGCACACCTAGCCGTTGTCTGTAAACGTTTGCCTGATGAAGAAGCCAAGATGCTGGTATCGATCTTTCTCGACACAAAGCTGTTAGACCGGAGTTTGACTGTCGTCGGATCTGAGCAAGTGGAGGCATTTAGAGACCCGATCACGGCTTTACAACCTCAGGCGACACTGACATCGCGACACCCGGTTGGAATTGGCGAAATTCCTGGCGCAGTCCCAGGGGAGCAAAGGCGCACGGCAGCGTAGCGCAGCAAATCGAGCGAATCCCATCCGTGTGTGTCAAAAGGCTCATACAGAGTGCGCGGTCAAGCCACGCTCATTCCAAAGTCCAACAGCCAATGTAGTCATTCCTTTCCTAACGTCACACGTCGTTCCTATCCAACTCAGCCCTTCTTTGCGCACCGTCGCGCATTATCTGATCGATTTGAGCACCATCGGCGCTTGCCTTACTGTGCAGGCTCATCTGTAAACGAAGCGCGACCACGGTTTCGCCACCAGGACGTCAGAGATACCACAGAGGGTGGCTCCCACTCGACCACAGCGCCCATTCATTCAGTGGCGGACCGAGCTTATCCTCATCGATTCGGTACACGGTCCACTCCCGAACGCGAAATCGCTTCTAGCTCAAGTACACCATGTCAGGGCCGGGATTCTCATCATCAGGGCCGTCGTCCGCAGCAGCTGGTGGTAGCCGACTTCCCGCTGTCCACGATGCGAAGGCGACGTGGGCCTTCCTCGAACCAGGCATCGACCTCATGATGACCCGCCTCAAGGAAGGCATGACTTATCCACGATACATGGAGCTCTACACAGTAGCATACAACCACTTCACTTCCTCTTCGCTAGCTTCCTCATCGACTGCGCTCGGCCGTTCGTCGGGTCCCTTTGGCTCCAAGGGCGGCACCAATCTCGTCGGCGCCGAACTCTACAATCATCTCACCGCCTACTTTCGTACTCATCTAGAGCAAGTTCGAACAGGCTCTGACGGCCTCTCCGAAGAGCCGTTGCTTCGATACTATGCTACCGAATGGGACCGCTACACCACCGGCGCCAACTTTGTCCATCGCCTCTTTGCATACCTCAACCGCCACTGGGTCAAACGCGAGAAGGACGAGGGCCGAAAATACGTTTATACCGTCTACATCCTTGCGCTGGTGCAATGGAAGGAGCACATGTTCCGCTACGTCCAGCAAAAGGGTCGCCTAGTGCAAGCTTTGCTTAAACAGATTGAAAAGCAGCGCAATGGTGAGGTCATCGAGGCGTCCCTCGTCAAGAAGGTCGTCGATTCTCTCGTATCGCTCGGTCTCGACGAGACAGACACCAACCGTCAAAACCTCGATGTCTACCGTCAAGAGTTCGAAAAGCCCTTCATCGAGGCGACCGAGGTGTACTACACTGCCGAGTCCGATGCCTTTGTATCGCAAAACACCGCCACAGACTACATGAAGAAGGCCGAGACCAGGCTCAAAGAGGAGGAAGATCGTGTCGAGCTGTACCTCCATGCCTCCACACGCACAAAGCTAGTGCCGACCTGCGACAATGTGCTGGTGCGACGCCACTCGACCATGCTCTGGGACGAATTCCAGCAGCTTCTTGACCTCGAACAGGCCGACGATCTCTTCCGCATCTATACCCTCCTCTCGCGCATTCCGGAAGGTCTCGAGCCGCTCCGGAAGAACTTCGAAGAGCACGTCAAGCGTGCTGGTCTCGCTGCTGTCGAAAAGGTCATCGGCGGCGGCGATGCTGCTGCTGCTGCAACTCCCGCTGCGACCAACGGCGCTGCTGGCTCGTCTTCTGCCGCCACAGCTGCTGCCTCTGCAGCAAGCGACTCCCTCGATCCAGGCGCCTACGTTTCTGCTTTGCTGGACGCACACCGAAGCAACCTCAACACGGTCAACGTCGCCTTCCGTGGCGAAGCCGGCTTCCTGGCCGCACTCGACAAAGCTTGTCGCGACTTTGTCAACCGCAACAAGGCCACCGGCACTTCCACCTCCAAGTCGCCCGAGCTCCTCGCCAAACACACAGACGCCCTGCTCAAGAAATCCAACAAGACGTCTGCCGAGAATTCGCTCGAAGAGGCGCTCAACGACGTCATGGTGGTGTTCAAGTACATCGAAGACAAGGACGTCTTCCAGAAGTTCTACTCCAAGATGCTCGCCAAACGTCTCGTCAACTTTGCATCTGCCTCGGACGATGCGGAGGCCAACATGATCTCGCGGCTCAAAGAGGCGTGTGGTTTCGAGTACACGGCCAAGCTTGCGCGAATGTTCACCGACATGGGCCTGAGCAAGGAACTCAACGACAATTTCAAGGAGACCATGGCGAAGAACCACGACAAGGCCGAGTTGGACGTCGACTTTTATGCTTTGGTCCTTGCTAATGGATTCTGGCCGTTGCAAGCGCCAACGACGGAGTTCTCGATCCCCACCGAGCTGCTACCGACGTACGAACGATTCCAACGCCACTACTCGGCCAAGCATTCCGGTCGAAAATTGACGTGGCTGTGGCAGCTGAGCAAAAATGAGGTCAAGGCCAACTATCTCTCGCAGAAGCAGCTCCAGTTCCAAACATCGAGTTTCCAGACGGCGGTGTTGTTGCAGTTCAACACGAACGATTCGTTGACCAAGGCACAACTGCAGCAAGCTACGGGCCTCAACGATGCCACCATCAAACCTGTCTTGGCGATGCTGTCCAAGGCGAAGGTATTGCAGCCGTCGTCGGCTGACGAAGAGGCGTACGAGCTGAACACGAATTTCAAGTCGAAGAAGCTTCGTGTCAATCTGAACCTGCCAATCAAATCGGAGCAGAAGGTGGAGTCGAACGACGTGTTGAAGACGGTGGACGAGGATAGGAGGTTGTTGCTGCAAGCGACGATTGTGAGGATCATGAAGAGCAGGAAGCAGCTGAAGCACCAGACGTTGATTCAGGAGACCGTGGCGCAGGTGAGCGGCAGGTTCAGCCCCAGAGTCCCGGATATCAAGAAGGCCATTGACCAGCTGATTGACAAGGAGTATTTGGAGAGGGTGGAGGGTAGCAAGGATGTGTACTCGTATCTGGCGTAGAGAGGGGAACAGAAGAATGGAGGTGGTCGATGTTCAAGAGTGCGATGATGAGTTTGACGGGTGTGATGAGTGTGATGAGGGAGAGATGGGATGTGCGGGGTGAAGGGTGAGGTGTTGCGGAGCTATTGGATGTGTCTCTCACGATGTTGCATGTTGCACAGCCGCGTTCTGGTTGATTGAACAATGTGAAATTGCAACGAGGCATGGGCAGTCGTTCACCTCGTTCGAGCGCAGCTCTTGTCGACAAGATCCCGCCACATGATCATCTTTTGCCACGAGACGGCGGACCGTATGCGATGCTTTCCTCGGCAGCCATCGCGAGCCGCGTACAGAGTCGAATCGAAACCAGAGCCAGAAGACTGCATTCGGGATCGGAAGCTCAAGAGGCATGGCTTGCTTTGTCGAATAGCGTTGCCATTCCTCTTTCCCGACTGTGAGAGACAACACCTACCTTCATCGAGCCTCATCAAGAGGCGGAATTCATTTGATCTTCACTATCGAACTCTGTACGAAAGCATCAACCGCGAGACCTGAATCAGAATCCAACTTTCTGCGATGGTATGCTCGCGTGCGCCTGCAACTCACCTCGAACGTGACGCTGCGAGCAACCTGCATCTCGACAGTCGCCACCGTCTGCTTCCCGCGGACACCATTTGACGGACGTCCTCTCACTCTCCGCCGAAGCTGCGGTTCCAGGTGATGTGGAGAAGCCGAGTGATGGCGGAAGGTAGGACCTGACTCGTGATGCGACCTGCTCTCCTCGCAATGGCGTAGAAAGGGAAAGGGGTAGATGGGGGAGAGAGAGCGCGGATCAGTTGTCAGAAGGTGAAGGGGAGATCGAAAGGAAAGATAAATGGGTGAGCTCTGTGGGTTGGGACGTCATCTGACTCGTCAACCTACGCTTTGCAATAGACTCGGCACCAGCGGTCGATAGCGCGAAACGATGCGCGGCTGCGACGTCTGGTTGGCCGGAGACGGTAGGTCGATTGAAGAGGAGAGAATGCGTCAATGATTTCAACTTCAACATGCAATGGCATGGGCGGTTCCCTGCTCACCTCCGGTTGGACCGCTTGCGTTACGTTCGCCTTCTCTGCAGAGACTCCATTGGATGCCGCAATGCTTGACATCGCTTGCTCTGATGATACTTCGGGAAGTTCCGAGGTTTCTCCCTCATTGGTGCTGCCTGACCGCTCCGTGACAGCCTTGGCCGCGTCCGCCGTTGCATTCTTGCGCTTGTTCGCCAGCAAAGCGAGGAGGCTTTCGCGCTGCTTTTGCAAGGCCGGGTCTAGCCTCAGTCCGCCAGTTTTGGCGGGGCTGCTGCTGACTGTTTGTGAAAGCGTCCCGACACCGAGTCCCGGTGCAGCCATCGCATTCGATTTTGCATCATCGACTGCAGCTCCGAGACTCTGCCCGAATCCAAGAGGCAATTTGACCTGGGACCCTTCCGCGACTGGAGCCTGCGTGCTAACGACCGGCCGAAGGATGCGTGATGGCATCGGCGAAACCGCTGGCGATGGGGTCGCACTCTGCTGTTGGGATTTGCGCTTCTCCATCATCTGGATCTTCTGCATCAGTTGCTTGATTTCCAATTCCTTGCGCAGCAGATCTTCTCGCGACGGGGTGGAAGTGCCAACACTTGCAGCGTCCGTTCCTGCCACATGAGCCAGAAGGCTTTGTTTCGAGACACCTTCACCAATTGTCGAAGGCTCACTCGCTTCGTTTGTGACGACGGATCCTTCCTGCACTCGTGCCAAAGGCTTTGCCGCAGGTTTGATGCCGTTGAGGGCGCAAAAGGTGTCATAGTGTTCTGTGGCCGTTTTCTGACGAAGCAGCACGATGTCGCGCATATCGACATGGCCCTGTACGGATGTCCAACCCTTCGCATCGCCGGCAGCGGTAATTTCGTCTTCGTCCGACTCGTCGTCGGAGAGGTCCACGACCGTGTTGAGGCCTGAGGGCACGTCCAGAAATCGATCTTGGCGAACACTCTGCGGACGATACTCTGCAGTGTCAAAGTCAGCTGCCACCGGTCTACGACGTCGGGGGGCAGCATCGCCCAAGCTCGGCGAGTTTGATGTCAAGACAGACAAGTCTGGAAGGTCCGGCACCGGCGCGTCGAGATCGACTTCGCCAGCAGGCATCTCGGCTCTGCGACTGAAAGTGTCTGCGTAGGAGATGCGTTGTCGACGGCTCGGAGCGACATCGCCCATGCTATCGCCTCCGGCAAGATCGGCGGTGATCGAGCCATGTTCTCCTTCCACTGCATCGACGTCTCGATAGGATCGCTTTCTGGTCGTCGATGAAGTGGGCTGCATAGACGTGTCCTCGGCAGCAGCAGCAGCCTCGGACGCAGATCGGATGAGGCTGCGTAGAACCTCGCCTATCTGCGAAAGCAATGCGTCCGCCTCGCCAGAAGTAGCAGTGCGGTTGAACGCGGTCGTCGTATCCGATGATGCTCCCGGAGCAGCTGTGTTGTCGACAACCTTGGGCGTAGCGTTCGCTGAAGCTGATGCAGCGGTGGCTGCTTTTGCCAGGCGCGACGCTAGCACCTTCTTCCTCAGCTCCTCCAATGGCGTCAAGGCAATGCCTTGCTCTTCCTTAGCCAGTAGCTCGTCTTCCGCTGGCGTCGTCGAGACCTTTCCGTTCTGGCTGCTGCTAGCCTCGGTCATCGTCCTCGTGCGCGCCTCCAAGTCCTCCGCATCTTGTGCCGGTAGAGGCCGCAGGGGAATGCCTGCCTCGACACAACAAGCTTCGATCATGTGCATAGAGATGCCCCTCTCCACCAATCGTTGCGGGGCCACTCCCCGCACGTGCAATTCTCTGACCATAGCGGCTGCTTGCGTTTTGCCGTCATCGGTCCAGATCAAATCCCCATCAGGTCTCCTGCCACTTGCACCCCACGAGGATGCCGGCTCGTACGAGGCAACAAGTGAGGCGAATGCGGCGTTGGCGGCTTCCTTCTTGTCGCGTTTTCTCTGCTTCTTCTCCCGCTTTCTCTGCTGCTTGAGTAGACGTTTTTGGTTGAGATACTGCATCTGCGGATTGAAGCCGGTTGGGTACGGGTGATGTTGCTGCGAATAGAAGGTCAGATTGGGGGGATTTGGAAAGTAGGGATAGCTGGAAGAAGGGTCAGCGTGAAGAGCTGGATCGTAAGGAGCGTGAGGGTTGTAGGGCATCTCATAGCTCGGAAAGGGAGGACCATGACCGGCCGGATGCATGTAAATGCTTTCTGCTGTGGCATGGTAGGCTTGTTGATCAGGAGGCGCGTAGTATGTTTCGGACTCTGGTGGTAAGGTTGGCGGCGCAGAAGCGTGCAGAATGGGATGAAACTCTGGCGCGTTAGGGTCATAGGCATAGGGCGCCGAGCCGTGCTGGTTGACGTCCTGAGGAAGTGCCGGAGGAGGGTAAGCTGGGAGAGGTGGCGGTCGAGGTAATCCTCCTTCCTCTGAATCGGCAATTACCCTTTCCCAGTGATCTGCAGCAGCCCCACCAAGACTTTCTTTCAGCGATGCAGGGCTTGCAGACCTCCGATGGGATGCAGATGAAGGTCCAGCAGCTGCGCTTGGCTGAACATCAGATGCGCTACTGACATATTCAAGCCCTTGAGATGCTGCCGAATCGTAATTCGTGGCCACGGGAGCGGTTGTTGATGGCGCAGCCGTGTCAAAATCGTCCGTCTCGTATGAAAGGAGCTTGCGGCCGCGACCGACCGCGACGTACTGTGGGGGCGCAGCAAGAGCTTCGACTTCATTTGACGGCCCTGGCTGCGACTCGCTCGCCAGTGGCGTCTCCGCACTGCCATAGTCGAGGTCTACCACCTCCGAGGGTGGAGGCGGCGCTCGTCGACGCATATCGCGGATCTGCCAGATCTTGATCGCTCGAAACGAAAGCTGTTGCTTGCGATCGTGATTCGCAGTGACCGTCTAGAGGGATGCTTCTGTCATGGGATCGGATCATTGGTTGGTTTGCGTGGCTGTGGAGAGCAAGCAAGCCAGACGCGGCGTCTTCCCTCTAAAGTCACACTCGAGTGTGTTTCTTCGCAAAGATCACGTCAACGCTCATCTCGCCTAAGTACCGGAAAATTCTGGATGTGTTAAATCGAGTGTCCAGGATTCCTGTCCGAGGCTCCTTACGCTCGCCAGCCTCCTCGGCGCTAGCACAACACTGGCAATCGAGGGAAGCTCACAGAACTGATGAGACTCGTTGAAAGTGAGCGCCGTGATTGATGCGTTTTCATGACAGTAGGAATGCAATGCAGGATGCGAAAGAAAGAAAACAAGACAACGTGGTTCAACGCTTCACCTTCACGTATTGCGGATGCGCTCGCGCTCGATGATGCTCTTCTGATGGACATCACGGCTGACCCTCCAATAGTACTCGAGCACGTCATTCTGCCCCAGCAGCGTCAGGAAATCCTCATCGTGCGTGATCACAATCAGCTGCAACTGGCTGTTCTCCGCCCTCTCTTTGATCAGATCGGCCAAACTGCGCGCCAACGATTCGATGTTGTCCTTGTCCAGATTCGTCGTCGGTTCGTCGAGCGCCAGGATACCGCAGTTGCTGCCGAACGACTCTGCCAGAGCGAGACGGATGATGATCGACGCCAGCACTTTCTGCCCTGCTGAGCAGCGTCCTCGCATGTCCATCTCCACCGTGTCCTTGACCATGCACACGCGGTAATTGTACGACCGATTGCCACGCGCTCCTTCGTTGTCCGACTTGATCAGGATCGTGTCGATATCCGTACCCTGGTAGGTCTTCTGCCACAGGTAGCGGATGATGTCGTTGATCTCCTCCATCTTGATTGAGTGGTAGCGCATGATGGCGTTCTCGAGCGCCTTGGCGTACTTTTCCAGATCGTTGTTCGCCATCTCCGAGGTCTTGACTTCGATCAGCTTGCGCTTGTAGTTCTGGTGTACGCCCTTGAACTCGTCCCGTAGCTCAAGCTCGCGACCTTTGATCTGCGATCGGAGCGATGCAAGCTCTCCGCTCAGGTGCGAGGCCTCACCGTTGAGCCTGTTCTCCTCTTCTTTGGCCTCGGTGTACTTGTCGGCGAAATGCTTCCGGCTGCGCTGCGCTTGTTCGAGATCCAACGAGTTGATCTCCTCCTCGATCTTAGCGACATCTTTGGCAAGTTGACGGTAGCGGATGTTATCGACGATGTTGCGCTCAGTAGCCTGGGATTGGTTCACCTCCTTCTGTAACTCGGCCACCTTGTCCGTAAGCTCCTTGACCTCGCGATGTATGGCCTGGATCTTGTCAACAAGCTCCTGAATAGCCTCTTCACATTCTTCCAGCCGCTGATCTCCACGCTGTTGAATGTAGGCATTGACCGCAGCGTTTAGCTCGCGGATCTGCTTTGCCCAACCCTCCAGCTTATCAGCCCTCGCTTTGAGCTTGCTCTCGGCCTCGCTCGCCTCAGCTTTGAACGACTCCAGCTCGTCCTTAGCACAACGAATCGGCGCACTCGAGCTTTCGATCTCGCCATCGAGACCTTTGGTACGCTTCTGGTGCTCTTCCAGCTCCACGTTCATCTCCTGCAGCTGTTGTTCGACGGAAGCCTTCTTGGCATACTCCTGCCTTTTCGTCATCACGGTAACTTCGGCTCGATGAGCATCGCGCTCTAAGCTGTTGATCAACGTGCGCTTCGTCTCGCGATCCTGCTGCAAGACGTTGAGCTCTCGCTTGAGCACCTTGATGGACGCCGCGAGCTGGTCGATGTCTGCCTGCACTTGCTCGCCAGTCTGCGTCGACCCCGTGCTAGCGAGATCGCTCTGCAAGTTCTGCACCTCGGCGTCCAGATCATTCGCCTCCGAGAGTAGTCGTGCGATGTCGCCACCAGTACGACGCAACGTCTGCAGTTCTTTCACCTCCGCTTGGAGCTTGGTGACTTCGGCGGAGGATTTTTCTGCCGCCTCAGCAGCAACGTTCAGCTCTGCTTCTTTGTTTGCGATGGTTGTTTTAAGCTCGACGATCTCGACGTCCTGGATGACCTTACGCTGTGCATCCTTGGCCAGCGCAGTCTGGCACTCGGCATTGCGCTCTGTCCAGGCATCAATGTCCGCCTTGAGCGCCTTCTTCTTCTGTGCTGTGTTGCTCGAGCTGAGCGTGCTGGAGACGTGCTTTTCGATGGCTTCGTACTCGCTCGGACTGACGCCTCTGTTGCATGCAAAGCAGTGTCCCTTGCCCTTCGCTTCCCTCAGAACTCTGCGAAGGAAGGAGTCTAGCGAGTCGATGGATGCGTACTCGTCCTTTGCAGCCGCGATCTCCTCCGCGCAGACCTTGACCGCCTCCTCGACATCGTCAAAGTCAGGCGAGAGAATGTCTTGGACAGCCTTCTGCAGCTCTACTGCCATCGCTTGCTTGGAAACGAGCTGCTTGCGAGCAAACGAGATTGCCGACTCGACCTGTTGCAGCTCACGGTTCCGTTCAGCATTGTCCGCCTCAACTTCCTCGAGACGCTTCTCGCGCTTCGACAAGGCTCGAGTGACTTCACTCTCGACTTCCTTGAGCTCCACACCAGTACGAACCCGCTCATCCAGCGCTGCCTTGTGTCGATCGAGCAGCTCCTGAGCGTTGTTTTTGCGTGTTGTTGCCTGCTGCATCTTCAAGGCTAGCGATGCCCGCAGCTCTGCATGCCGATTCAGCAAATTGATCTCGGACGTGCGCTCTTCTCGAAGGTCGTCCTTTTCCCGGATCTCGGTGTTTTTCTTCCGAATCTGGTCATCGTATCTTGCCTCTTCGAACTCCTTTTGCGCGGCAGTCACTTTAGCAGAGAGGCTATCTCGGTCACGCTCGGCACCTTCGATGTCCGAGCTGCTCAGAGCATATCCGTCGAGCTCGTCTTGAGCCCTCTTGATCTTCTCGCGAAGCTTCCGTACCGAGTCCGTGAGCTGCTCGCGGGCGGTCTGCTTCGCTCGGAGGTCGGCGCGCATGTTCTGCCACACGGTTGTAAGTTCATCGTCCTTCTTCGAGTTTGCTTCACGCAGACGTGCGAGCTCATCATCGAGCTTCCGAACCTCGTCCTTGACACGATCTTCGAAGCTGCGGATCTGGGTATCGGTCAGCCCGTCGCCACCAAAGCCCTTGATGCCGAGCTCATTCGCGATCTGCTTGATCGAAGACTCGCGCCGTTCCTTGGCCTGAACGTGCGCACGTTTCTCCGCTTCCAGACCACCTTTCTCCGACAGCTTCTTCCTATGACGCTGCTCGTTGGATTCCAGTTCATCCTCCTTCTCCGCTTGACGTCGTTTGAGAGAATGGATTTTGTTCTGGTTCTGATCCAAGTGCGACTGGAATCTTTGCTTCCGCTGCTGCAACTCTTCATCGGTGTCCTTGATGGGTGTCATGCTTGCTTGCAGGGCCTCCATGTTCTCCTTGTGTAGTCTCTCCTTTTCTTCGAGCGTCTCTGCGCGACTGACGATCTCGCGGAAGCGCGTGGCCTCATCGTAGAATTTGGAGTTCTGCACCGTCTTGACGCGGATCTCGTCGTTGAGATCTTCGAGTTTGGCTTCTTTTTGGGCCAGGTCGGCCTGAAGATGAGTGAGCTTGGTCTTGATGGTATCGGCACGGTCCTTGTCGACTTTGAGGCCCTCGAGCGCCGCTTTGTCGACCTTAAGCTGTACAGTGCGGTCCTTTCGCAGAGACTTGATGTTGTCGAGCGCCTTGGTGTAGCGAGTAGCTTCGAAGATGTCGTCAAACTTCTTTTTGAGACTCGCTGGCTCTGACAATGGCCAGTTGCTGTCCTCCTGATGGCAGAAGATGACATTCTCGAGGATCGATTTGGACACACCAAGCAATCGCGGGATCTCCTCGTCCAGCTCGGAACACTTGGTCGACAAGGTGCCGCGTTTGCCAGTCTTCGCATCGTCATCGGCAATCTGAAGTAGACCCTCGAGCGTCTTCATAGTGAGGCCACCTCCTTTCTTACGCGAGACCTGCAGGTTGCGTACACAGTTCATGCGGACCTTGTTGGCGGCATAGAATCGAAGCCGGACCTGCGCCTTGACTTCGTTGGAGGTGGCCATTTGCGGGTCGTGCACGAAGGCACCGCCTTTGGTGTTGGGAGGCAGATCGCCTGTGGTCGCATATTTGAGGCATTCGATGATAGTGGTCTTACCACTTCCGTTGTAGCCGACGATGACGGTGAGCGGGTGGAAGAATTGGATGATGTTGATCGACTTGTCGTCGAAGGAGCGCACGCCACGAATGGCGAGCTTGTCGAGGGAGGCCATGCCGAGAGCTAGGCGAGTGGTCAAGCACTCTTTATGCTACGCGGTTTCTCCTGTCATCGAACACAACAGCTGTCATACCGACCTTCATGCAGACAAAGACTCGATGAGATCTTTGGTGATGTCGTGAGGGATGAGAAGGATGATCTCGCTGACAGGCGGCTGAGTCGGCGGGAAAAAATAGAAAAGTGGAGACCAACACTCGTCATGCAGGCAACTTCCGGCCAAGGGTCTGTCATCCGATGGCTTGACGCGTCTGTTGAGCGCCTCCCTTCCTCTCCAGACTTCATCAATCGTAATCAGCACTCCATCGATTGCGCCGGCCCTTTCTCTTCTGTCACATCATCACATGGCGAAGCGCCGACAACAAATCGAATGAGAGCACGTTCGCTTCGGTCATCTTTTTGAACATTACCGGAGATCCCGACGGCGATTCCCACGGGCACCGGCAAGGTTCAAACCTTGTTCCAATCATCAAAGCTTTCAAGATGGTCGTCACATGCGACCCGAAGGACCCACGAGCACCGGAATCACTCAAACGGATCTGCCGAAACCTTCGCTGGGTCCCGTTCGCTTTCATCTTTGGCCTCATAGCATACGCCTACCTCACAGTCACGATTTCTCTCGCCATACGGTATCATCTTGCGAACAAGGGCGAATGGATCTCAGCCTTCTTTGAGCTGCTCATATCTACAACATTGGCGGGTGGTGCGCTCTGGGGCTTCGTCGTTGCTGTGTTCAAGGACCCCGGATCACCACTGGGAAGACGCAATGATGACCGGGAGAGTTGGGCTGGGTCATCGTCGATGCGGCCCGGTAGCGAGTACGAGATGGGCGGCGAAGCAGAGGAAGCGCAATCGTTGATTCGAGACCAGGATCGCGACACTGATACTGATGCCGGCGGTGATCGAGCGGCGCTCTTCAACGCACCCATTCCCGGTCAGCCGCAATACCCCGCACGTTCCGGTCGTCAACAACTCGCTGATCTCCAACGTCTCCCCTCCCACGCCTCCGTCTCCACCAACGCCGCGGTCCAACGACGATCCAACATCTGGGTGAAGTCGAGCGGCGAGTCCCGCTGGTGTGCCAAGTGCGATGCACCCAAACCCGACCGCACGCACCACTGCAGCACCTGCAACCGCTGCGTCCTCCGCATGGATCACCACTGCCCTTGGCTCGCAAACCGCTGCGTCGGACTTCGAAACCACAAAGCGTTCTTCCTCTTCATCGCCTACACTGCGCTGTTCTGCGTGTATTGCTGTCAGGAAACTGCCAGGGCGCTGTTGCGCTACGTCGAGATGGAGAACAATGGGTTTGAGAGCAGTCCGATCGGTTGGGCGGTGGTGTTGTTTTTAGGGTTCATCTTTGGTGCCAGTCTGGTGCCGTTTGCGGGGTATCATGCGTGGTTGATTTGTAAGAACAGGACCACGATCGAGAGTATGGAGGGATCGGGGAGGGTGAGGTTGAGGGTGAAGAGAGACGAAAGGAGACCGAGGGTAGAGGATAGATTGAGGGGGATCGTTGGGTCTTCTGCGCAGCAGACGAGTGGAAATGGTGGCAGGATGGACGGGAACAGAAGTGGGAAACAGGGCGGTTGGAGATCCGACGAGCACCTTTCGAGGGACGAGCGAAGAGCGTTGAAGAAAGCGAGCAAGCTCAACGTGTACGATGTCGGTGCGGCGAGCAATTGGCGTCAGGTGATGGGTGACAAGTGGTACCTCTGGTTCGTACCGGTGGGCGAACCGCTGTCGGATGGATTCGGCTTCCTCGTTCAAACGAAGACGTTGCAAAAGCTGGAGGAGATCACCGCGTCCATCCGCGTACGCGATGAGCAAGGTCAGAATCGCGCATCGTCGCCCGAAAGGGAAGATGATGATGATGATGATGATTCGGTGTATGGCGGCTCACAAGGGGCGACACGATTCGGATACGCTGACAGATCTAGTCGCGACAACCAGCCGGAACCTCCTCGCGAGACGGGGCTCGAGCGACAGTCAGGTCAGACGTTCAACGGCGCCCACGGCGAAATGGAATGGGGAGATGCACCGAAGAAGTCGTTCGTGCTTTTCGGGGTTGATGATGACGATGACCATGCTTAGATTCACTCGCTTGGCACGCGGACAATGGAGGCTCGAGCTGCGGGTTGGTCACCCTGCACAAAGTTTCATTGGGTGTGTCATGCGTCGCGTGTGTTTCCGATGTTGAGCATGCTGCTGAGAGACTGATTTCATTCACTTGACGTTTCGTCTTCGTCCTCAGTTTCGTCGCTGGAAGAGACTGACGACCTTTCGTCATCTCCTGCTTCCTCTGAGTCTGCGATCCGTTCCGCAGCGTCGTCTTCTGGCCCCAATCCTCCGCCATCCTCTGTCTGCTGCACTTTCCTCAACGACCTCCTCATCTTTGCAGCTCTGCCGCGCAGCTCCGCCTCCACCATCCTCTCCACCACCTCCAGATGCGCTTCGATCCCAAACGCGCTCTCCCACATCTTGACACTTGCATCTGCACTCTCCGCCCTTGGGTTGACCATCTGACTAATCATCACGTCCATCGCCACACTTGCACTTTGTGGCGTTGCGATACCCACGAGATCGTTTGCGTGACGGATGACACGTGGGTAGACGGAAGAGTAGGTCAGACCAAGCGGGTCGGAATCTGGTCGTGAGGTGGAGAGGAATTGATGCATCGGATAGGCTGTACCTGGTTCCAAGGCTGAGGTGGCAGAGGTGGGAGGAGCAGTGTTGTGACGGTAAAGGCTGCGAAGGTCGGATTCGAGATCGGCCCAGTTGGGTTGAGGGGCTTCGAGTGCGTGAGATCCATCCGGTCGCGAGGCCTGTACAGGAAGATTTGACGGTTTGGGCGATGCCGTGTCGGGTATGAATTCTGTAAACGCTGCCCACTGACGCTGCGGTTCCAGACGACGCCATTCATGTAGATCGATGTGGTTCGAGAGGATCAGATTTTCCTCGGCGAAAGCTGCATAGGCTTCCACTTGCTCCGAGGTCATGTGCAAGGCTTCGAGCTCGGATGGATCCATCTCGATCGCCGCTTCTAGTGATTCGAGATACCTTTGTCTTCGCCTGTCAAGCGCACTCAACCACGGTTGGAGCAAAGGCGCGCATGACAGTCCGCCACTCCTGTTCCTGCCAGCGCTGCCATCCGACGAAGATTCCGGGATTCTCTCGTCGCGGCTCCGTCCGTCGAGACCGTAGCGCATCTTGATGACCATGAGCAGCGCTGCCATGAGTACGAATTCCTTCGGCACACGCTGCAGCTGTGTTGCTCCTGGCAAAGACGACGGCGATTCCTCTTTGTCTTTGTTGCCTTGCTGCGGTAACCCCCTGTCCTTGAGAGAAAGGCCGGGAAGAAGATCCGGACCGACACCTCTGTCGATTTTGTCCAGCAGTCTCTTGGTGGCGACATAGAACGTGGGTGGAAGCAGCATATTTTCCACCAGCCTCGCGAGCTGACCCGAGACATTCCCCTGTCCAAAATTGAGGCCGTAGGTGCGTTGCAACAAGTCAGCCACGTTGAGTGTGTGGAGGTGCAGCGTAGTGATGGACGGCACTACATCCGCATCGAGATGGTGATGGTGGACGTTGTCTTTATTCAAGAATCGTGTCAACGGCAACGGAAGCGAATGGACAACATTGAGATATGGCAGCCGGTGTGAGGAGATGAGTTTGATGAGATCGGTCCAGAAGACGGGGATCTTGAGTAGATGCAACGAAAGGTAGATGATGGAAATAGTGGTAGGAACCATCGCTAGATGGAGAATTTGTGCCTGAGCCTTTGCGACGGAATGCTTATTCGCCCAAGAGGGAATGTGACGATGACGTCTTGGATGCTTTTCTGGTCTGCCAGATGGATCGACGTGCGACTGTGGGGCTTCTGTGTCGGAGCCAGCCTCAGATACTGCTTGCGAGCGTTGTCGCTGTCTACGTTCTTCGGCGAAGACAGGATCAAGCTCCGCCAGCTCGTCCTCTGGGTCAGCCAGCGATTCTGGCTCGCTGGACCTCTGTGATCGAAAACGTCTCTGCTGTTCATCTTGGCCGACAATCCAGTCGATGCAGTCTTTGGCAGCTGCCGGGTCGTCGGAGTCGAAATGCTCCTCCTCTTCCTGCTCCGTTCGCTCCGTCGCTGGACTCGGTGTTGCCGTGGGACGTTGTTTGCGTGCGACGTGATGATGATACCCATTGAAAAGTGCTCTGCGCCTGTGGTGACGAATGTCGGTTTCTGGATCGTAGGTGTCGTGGTTCGGGAAGAGCTCGGCAGCTCGCTCTTGCGATAGCGAATAGCGCATGTGCCAGTCGAATGTGGCCGCGATGAGAGGCTCTGGTGGGTAGTGACCGACCGGTAAGAGGGAAACGAACATGGTCCAGAGGTCACGAGCGATGGCTTCGGTTTCTGGCGGCATCTTGTCGGCCCATATCTCGCGAAGTTTGTGAAGTTGAAGCCGCAAAGTAAGCTGCAGACATTGAAGCAAAGCAAAGCGACCTTCGTATGCGCCGTGAAGACCGACACCAGAACGCCAGATCCTGCGAATGCCACGGCGGGATGCACGAGCATAGGTATCAGGCTCGGAATCCAAGTCGCTCTCTTCTGCAGCGGACGAGACGGCTCGGCTACGCGGGGTCCACGGATCACGCTCGAAGAAGCTATCCGCACGTATTGAATAGGGCGGATCGTCCTGAGCTTTGTCGACCTCGTCGTCGCTGACGATTGCGTCGGCATCATCCGAATGCGACGAATGCCGTGATCTAGAGCTCTGCCTCCGAGCTCGCTTATGGGCACGTCGTGATTCTTGTTCTATAAGCTCGCCTTCGCTATCTTCCTGCTCCACATCTGTCTCCGGCTGAGAGTAGTAGGGCGTGTGCTGACTCTTGAGCCTTCGGACCTTGTTGACGGTGACGGTTCGACGTTTTCGTGCGACGCCATCTCCTAAGAACTCATCATCTTCGGCCTGCTCGATACGGAAGTGCTGTTGAACGTGACCTCGTTTGCAGATAAGCTGACCTGATCGCAGGCGCATCTTTTTTGTGCCGCATTCTGGACATCTCGGACGCTGTGATGACTGTGAAGCGTGTTGATGAGAAGCCATTGATGATCCGGGCTGGCTGGAGAAGAGATTGTCAAAGTCGGAGGCCGGGGCGGAATTGGGCTGTGAATGAGATTGACCATAACGGCCATCGTACTGCGAGCTATACGGCAGCATCGTACAAGATGCAGCCGTGCAAGACTCCGCAGTACAGTGGTGGCTCGTTTGGAGGTTCAAAAGAAGAGCAAGCTTTGCTCCAAAGTTCAGGGTCCAAACTTGGAACTCGGATGTCGGTGAGAGTAATTGTTTCTTGTTGTGTACGGCATTGACCTAACAGCTTTGTGTCGGCACAATGTTACTGCACAAGACGACGTGGATTTAGGCTACTTTGCAATTTGCAGTTCCATAGGGCAAGGGGAAACCAATGAGTGAGAGGTAGCTGCAGAAACGTGAAAAAGGTGCTTGCGATTTCGAGCTCAGCGACCTCGCTTAGCCGTTGTTTGCAAAGAGCGGGGCTGAGGTTTCGGGCGATCTTCAGCTGCTCACTGCGGCCACCATCTTCGTTCGAGCGTTGTATTAAATAATATTATATAACACTGGCGGCCCACCTGCTTGACCTCGCTGCTTTCTGTGCAACATGAGCATGATCGAGCTGTAGTTCTTGTCGGTGTTGCCAACGAGTTTGGGCCCCGCTGGCAATTGTTCTTCGGTCTTTGTGCACTGAGCGTCGCTTTTCAGGGCAGGGAGGAACGGGGCAAATAGATTCAGTTTTGAGCTGCCGTTGACAAGTCGAACCAGCCTCGCTTGCAGGACTAAAAGCTGCTGGCGTCACTTTTGTTTCTGTCTGGAGGTGAGCGAGCAGACTGCTCACAGCCGCTTTCAGCACAAATTCTCCTATGAATTTTCAGTCTCAGCCTGCATAATGCCTCACTGCAGAGGCGCACGCCAACCGAGTTTCCCCTTTCCTTTTCTTTTCTTTAAAATTATTTTCCCCACAAGGATCCGCAGGCGGCAGCGGCAGCTTACAGGCACGACGACAGAGAAGGCGGAGGCGGATCACGGTGAGACTCCGCAAGCCAAGCCGCATCACCGCCGCCTTGAGCCTCAGCTGATCTGGCGGCGTTGCGATTTTGCACAGGCGTGCCACTCTGCTTGACTCTGCCATCCGCATCGTCCTTCTTCCCCTCACCATCATCGTCGCCAACCTACACCGTCCTCCATCTTGACCTTTGCCTCTTCGTCGTCGGGTTATTCCCTACACTCCACCCTCATCTTCATCTCATCATCATCGGACATTCTCCGCGATCCTTGCTCGTCTTGCTACTTTCGATTCGCCTTCATTCCTTTACAGCAGACGAACCCACTTTTGACTCGTTCATTTCGGATAGGACCCACCTTGGAAGCTCGACGACATGAAGACCAACATCGCTACGATCCTGGCTCTGTCCACCGCAGCACTCTTCGCTGCTAGCCCAGTACAAGCGCAGATCGCATCGCTCGATCTAGGCAATGGTAACAGTGCTGCTGCTTCATCTCCATCGTCCACACCTGCCGCCTCTACTACCGCAGCATCTTCTGCAGCGCCATCATCCGCGCCCGCATCTGCCATCACCACCGCATCTGGTTCCGACGCACCAGCCACCAGCACCGTCGCATCCTCAGTCATTTCCTCCCCCGCTTACGCAGCTGGAACCGTCACCTACGTCCCACCACCTCTCCCTTCCTCTACCGCCAGCATCGACGTCACTTCCCTCCCATCCTCCGTGCCCGCAATCAATGCCACCGCCTCCTCCAACTACACCCTTCCCAGTCTTACAGCAACAGGCACATTCGCCTCGATCCCTACCCTTCGATCCAACCCTTACCAGATCGTCTTCGCCAACACTGACGGTCTGCCCCCCATCAATTGGAACCTTGCGATGAACAACTCGGACCAGGTCAAATCCGCCCTCTGCACATCCCAGATGCAGTTCTGCAACACTGCAGGCTGCAACACCACCGACGCCAAGTTGACCAACTTTTGCGAGACAAAGTACATGGGTGTAGCGTGCTCTTGCAGCAAGGGCGCTAGCAGGTTGGAGCAGTACCAGTGGCCCGTGATGCTGGCTGATTGCCAGGGAAGAAACATCGCCTGCAGGGACGCCTGCATCAAGCCCGGTCAGAACGTCGAGGCGCAGAACAAGTGTTTGGATGTTTGTGCGCAGAACTACGGAAGCACCTGCGGCAAGCCCGGTCAGTACGCGGCGAATTACGCGGTGAGCAAGGAGGGTAACAAGCCGAGCTATACCGTCGTGCAGGGTGGAACCGCTCAGAACGGTGCGCTTAGAGCAGGTGTGGGTATGGTCGGTGTGATGGCTGTCGCTGCGGTCGTCTCGGCGGTCATCATGGTATAGACGCCACCGCCGCTTTTTGACTCGATCCAACACACTCTTTTGACTACTCGGGCACCAGACTTAGGGCCTAAGTACAACACACTCGCTTCATCCATCCATCCTTATCTCCACTTCCGATCTCTGACCGTCTTTTCAGCGTCTTCTTCCTTCGTTCTTCTGCTTTCTATTGTTCTCACTATCATCTTTGTCCTTCGGACCTTGCATTTTGATCTAATGATGCTTGCTTTGTTGGAATTCGATGTTCCTCATGGAAGGTTGCTGCTTGTGCAGTGTCGTGCATCTTTTGTGATTGACCAATGAGCCATCCTCCGAGCGTGTTTAGTCCACGACTAGCGCCGGTTCCAACTCCCCGATCCTGCTAACCACCGTGCTACCGCTGCCATCCAGAGTCAGGAACAACCAATTGACAACGGGTTCCTCTCTGCCACCGACGCTGTTGAGGATATCCTGACTCAGCACTCCCCCCACGACCGCTGCTACTGGAGCTAGCGCAACACCCATCCCACCCGCTCCCACGACGCGCTGGAAAACTTCGGCATCGTACTGCGCAAGCAACACGTCTGGATTCAATCCCTTCTCTGCGATCAGTGCGATGGTTCGATCTTTCAGCGCTTCAGCGCTGATCGATGTGGTGGAAGAATCGCTACCGAGACGCTGTTGAAGGTCGGTGAGGGAACACCAGATGAACCAGTCGAGTGGTACTTTGAGACGACGTTGTTGTCGTTCTGTCAGAGACCATTTTGTGGATAGTGATGTGGAGAGGGGGATGAAGGCTTGACGTTTCTTGATTCGATGGGTTTCGGTGGATTCGGTAGAGGTTGTGGGTGCGGCTCGTTCGAGGAGGTAGTCGTGGGAGATTTGGTCGGCAAAGTACAAGGCACCGAATCCAAGGGTTGCGGAGAAGAAGAACTTGATGTTCGCCGATCGAGTCGTCTCGTTCAGCCTGACTAGAGTTGACTGCGATGCTGAATCGGTGAGTGGTGTACCAACAACGACAACGTCGATCCCACGATCCTTCAACCACTTGACAGCTTCCTCTCCTCCTCCCACAACCTTGTTGTAGCTCTCCTCATCGCTCAACCCCGTAACTTTGACCAGCGGATTCAATCCTCTGATCCGATCCAACGGTCCCTGACTGCACTTCTTCAACCCGACCTCTTCATCTCTGAAAAAGAACCCTGAGAGGAGATCCACCGACCCATCGATCGGCGTTGGATCCACAACGGTGACGCTGCCGATACCGGAGAGGACTGTGTTCTTAATGATTTCGGTGGCGATACCGTTCCAGCCGAGAATGAGGATGTGTGCGGACCGCAAGCGGGTTTGTGCTGCAAGACCCCAGAGACGAATCTGACGATCGTAGAGGGCCGCTTCGTCTTCGGTGACGGATGTACCGTTGGTAGGAGGTGCTGGGGGATCGAGTGGGGCTGTGGAGGCCTCGACTGCTGCGGTGGTGGCTTCCATCGTGAGAAAGGCGACTGGTGGAAGAGAAGGAGGGAAGAGCGGAAGTCGGATTCGAAGAAGTCGAGGTGCGGATGAGCCGTCCTCTGCGCAGTTTAAGAAGAAAGGTTTGTGTCTCCTCCACACGGCTCAGTCCAACTGTGCGCAACACAGACTCAGCACTCAACGCGTAGGTCGAAAAACGCGGTTCAAAAAGGCGGTCACAAAAACGCACCCAACCACAACACTCCGAAACATAACAACTAGAGTAGAATTCCCATCCAGACCTGTCTACAACTGGCCCAACGCGGTCTCCAACTTGTCCAAGAACACGTCGGCATGCTTCTCTTCAAACACCAACATCGGTCTCAACCTCAACGCCTTATCACCACATCCACCCATGTGCACACCTAGCTTCCTCATCTCCATGATCAGCTTGTCCCTCACTTGCGGCGTGGTACCATCAAACGCCAGGAAGGTACCGGCGTTCTCGCCCCTGAGCGTCTCGATCTTTCCCCTACCTGCGCCGTTCTCGATGATATCGTAGAGCTTGTCGTAGATGTACTTGCCCACCTTGTCGGTCTTTTCGATCAGATTGTGGTCTTGAATGGTTCGGATGATCTGACGTGCTTGGAGGGTGCGTGCCGGGTCTCCCATCCAGGTGTTGTAGTTTCGGTAAGGGAGCGAGGGACGAGTCTCAAGGTTGTGGTAGAAACCGGCGGCTTGCATCTTTTTTGAGAACGTGACAAAGTCGGGTGGGCTCGAGAGGTTCCACTTTTCATGAGCCCAGAAAGCACCCGTGGCTCCGACACCTGTTTGCACCTCGTCGACGATCATGAACACGCCGTGCTTCTTGGTGACATCGCGAAGACCTTGGAAGAACGAAGGCGAAGCGTGGTTGTCTCCGCCTTCCGACTGGATGGGCTCGACAATGAGTGCTGCTACAGGTCCGTACGACGAACCAGCCTGCTTGGAGCTGACGATGGCTTCTTCCACAGCTGCGAGCGCCACCTTTTCAGCCTCGGCGTTCTCGTGGGCGTTCTGAGAGAAAGGATACTTGACGTCCGGCCACGCCACCACAGGCCAATTGAACGAAGGAATGTCTAGCTTGTGAATCGCCTTCGATCGTGTCGCCGACAACGAACCGAAGAGGCGACCGTGGAAGGCGCTCGTGAAGCTGAGGATCGAAAGATCAGGCGATCCAGGAGACTGGTTCTTCATGCAGCTCGACATTTCCTCCGGAGTGAATTCGGCCTGCTCGCCCCTCTCGCGAGCTCGGTAAGCCATGAACGATGCTTTGAAGGCATTCTCGTTTGCGCAGCTGCCACACATGGCCGTGAAGATGTGGTTTAGTCCAGCGGGTTTGACTGTACCGAAGCTAGTTTCGACGAGCTCCTGCCAGTTGGTGGGCGGGAAAGAGCCGAGAGCGGCACGGTTCATGGTAGCAGTGATGAATTCGTCGGTCTTGGCGAGCGCGAGGAGGTCTGGGTTGTTGTAGCCGATGGCGATGGAAGCGATCTGGGCAAACATGTCGAGCAGAACATTGCCGTCGGCGTCGGCGATCCAGTTGCCTTGCGATTTGGCATAGTCGACGACGAAGCCGTGCGTGCGGTTCTCTTGGAACGTGCCGATGCGGTCGCTGAGCTCCTTGGACTTGGGACCTGGGATCTGCGGAGTGATTACGTGCGGTGACGACGGCTCATTTGGGAAGAGCGAGGATGAAGAGACGACAGTGGCGAGCGTTCGTCGTGGTTGCTGCTGTGGCACACGGGCCAGGAGCGAGCTTCGACAGCATGCACGCGCTGCGGAGGCGGCCTTGGAAGAGATCATCGTGTACAGCGGCGTTGTAGATAGAATGACGGTAGGTTGCGAAGTGAAATGGCGCTTTCGCCTTTTGTACGGTGCCCAGCAAACACGACACCTTATCAATCAGAATGAGGCTTGTCAAAGGAAGATCAGGGTGAGCGTCGAATCATGATCGGACTTGTGCCACGGTCTATGTTGAGAGCAAGCACATCTCTGCGGGGAGGGGCACATGCACACAGGGCGGCAGCAGCAGCAAACGTCGAAACTTCGAAATCGAGCGTGGCTGGTTGGTCGGGAAGCTCAGAAATCGCTGCGTGGGCGCTAGACGAGCTTTTTCCAGTGGCGCGTGGCAGATTTCTCGGACTTTTGACCGGCCCAACTGCGACCCTTATCGAGTTCTTGACCGACGTTGCGATGCTTCGGAATTAGATACAGCGGGCGGGCAGCACCACAGAATGGAGATTGCCTCATCACAACCGACATGTTCGAAAGGCGAGGACATCGCAGAATGTTGAAATGCAGTGTCACGGTCGACCTTCTTGCGGAACGTTCGCTTCAGCTAGCAAGTCATGATGCGGCTAGGCTCAAGCTCAGATACATTTCATCTTGCTGACTCGGTGCCTTCGCCGCTCGGAGGCAGAGTCGATTGTGTATCCTGTATACATCCTCCAGCTTGCCTGTCAGAGTCTTGACCGCCGAGTCATCAAGTTAGTTCAAGTGTTCAGCCTTTTCGTGTAAGCCGAAGCGAGAAGGACGCTTCAACTCGGTAACTCAGATATCCTCGGTCTCCGTCGACCGTCGGCACGTTTCTGAGGATCGCATCCGGTGTTGCACCTCATTTGTGTGACTGGACGATGAAATCACAGGCATTTGAAGGCAGCTGCTCAGAGGTGGGATTCGTTGTCAAGTCACGTCGACAGAATCGGATGAGCCGACGTCAGTCCCACACCAATTCTCACGCCCGCTCATGCAGGCCAAAGCTTGTATCGCCTTTCAACGCTCTTGCCTCTTGCAGATTATGCTCGACATCAAGACGAACGTCGGCTCAGCGCAAGCCATTTGGGCTTGGTACGTTGGCGAAATAGTCTTTCTGCCGCTCGCGCCGCTGCTCCACGATCGCAAAAAGCGTATCCGAGACTGAGCGAGATTGGCCAAGTAATATGGCTCCGTCTCAGCATGGCAAAGACTCGAACGGTCGCAATGGAGACATCTATCGCACAATTGCAAAGTCGCAGGCCATGCAGAAGGCAGGATGTGCCCACCACATCTTCATTTGGCAGTCTGTGACACAATCACACGACGTGCACATGTTCGCAGTCATTTCGCCTGCATTCACTCCGTGTCTATCAAATGAAGTCTTGAAGGTGATGGGAATGGTCGTCTGAGACCTAGCCACGGGCTGCAGCAGAGCATCATGCTTGAACGCTCAGGTTCCCCCTTCTTACGCGCCCCGTCGTTGTTGAGCTTACTCTCACATCAGCAACTCTTAGCCTTTGGTGAGACTCTCGTCTGCACTCCAACGAGGATTCGCAGAGAGGCATGTCTCACGTCAAACAAGCTGGGCAGAACCCGGTGAGAAAGGCCGTCACCAAGTCGACTCAGCCTCTCTCTCGTCTTGCCAGGCTTGATCTGAACGCGTCTGATCACGGAGCTTCCGAGATCGGTCATGCACGCAAGATAGTACGACCCGTGTCGATGCGGAAAGATGCAAAGCACACCGAGACTGCAGTTTCTCAGTCGAAAGCCGCAGCCACTTTTCTTCCCGAAGAGTCGAACAGCATCCTCAAAAGGTCTCTATCGAAGCTGAGGATCAAAGATGGTCTCTCGCCTGACAGACGGAAGGCTGAGATTCAGTCGAGGCGTCAACCGCTGGCCTCTGCTTCCAAAATACCACAGGCAACCGCTCCTACCCCGAATGCACATATCATCACCGCTCGTTCCGACAAGGCTGCTTTCGTCCTTCACAATGTCGCCAACTCAGACACCATGTGCGCCGACAAATCGCGACACAAAAATGGGAGTCCGGCAGAGAATCACCCGGATCGCAGCGCCGATCATCACTACGGGTTCTCCGGCACTCATCAGCTCAGCCCGATCGCGAAGACGAGGTCGGAGGAAGTCAAAACCAAAGCTATGCAGCTAGGTATCTTCAAGGTCAGCGAAGCCGACTTGAAAGAACGCTACCAGTTCCTCAACGAGATTGGTATGTACATCGCTGCATTTCCCGCTGCTCTCTGGTTACATCCGCTGACAACTTTTCATCTATATGCGCCTTAGGTTCTGGTGAATGGGGCAGTGTCTGGGCTGTAGAAGCGCTTCGACCTCTCGCCCATCTTCCATCTTCCGCCTATCGCTCCCTCCAGGTCGACAAGCTCACAGGTTCTGGAACCTATACTATCGACAACACCTCCAACTTTCGCCCGCTCGCCGTCAAGCTCTGCAAGCGTGAGACAAAGTACTCTTCTGCAGCTAGAACACAACGTCTCTGGAACGAGTTCAAGGTGCTGCGTACGTTGATGGACCAGCTACCTCGCGCCGAGCGAGTCAACGCTGACAGTCCCAATTGCCGCGTCCGTAACGATCGGACCGGCTGGCATCCCAATGTCGTCAACTTCTACGAGTTCCTTCTCACGCCAAACCTAGCCATGCTCGTCATGCCCAAATTCGACGAGCCTATGAAGGTCTGCCTTGGTGAGACGCTGTGCCTCAACTTCTTCCAGCAACTGCTCTCAGCTCTGCACTGGCTGCACCAGCATGGCGTTTGTCACAACGATATCAAGGTGGACAACCTCGGTGTGACCTACGATACTTCTGGTCTTGGTCGCGACGTGGTGACGCTCTTCGACTTCGGCTTCGCCCATCGCTACGATCCTCCCAAGAAAGGCGCCTTCATGTCACAAGAAGTTTGGGGCACACCTGAGTACCTTTCGCCGGAGCGATGTCGTGCGATGTTGCACGACGAAAGGAAATCAGATATGTGGGCGCTCGGCATCACATTTTTCGAGATGCGAACAGGTCGCACTCCTTTCGAACATCACGACGAGAAGTTTGACAGCAGCGAAAAGTTCGAGGTCTACTACGAGCGTGCCGAGCGTGGTACATGGCTTGGAGATTGGGAGATGTCGACAGAGATGGAGGATCTCATCCGCAAGATGCTCCGTCACGATCCTCAGGAGCGACTCGACGCTGCCGAAGCTCTCGCCCATCCTCTAGTTGATCCTCGAAATGGCAAGCAGCGCGACTCATTTGACGACTTTCTCCAGATTTCGTACGAGGAGGTTCGCGCGTTTGACGCCGTCCCAGACACTCGTCGCAACGCAGGTCTCTCACAAATGCTACGCGAGATCGATGACAGTGATGCAATGATCCAAGACCTCGTCGAGCAGAGCAACCAGACCGTCATTGAGCATCACACCGGTGCGAGCGAGCGCGAGTTGTTGCTCGCTTCGCCAGGCATCTCTCGCGCCGCTGTCGCCTTGCGTTCTTCGCGCATCCCTGCGTCTCCGTCGTTGTCGCAAGTCGGCATGGACTCTCGTCTGACTGATCTCATGTGCGTCAGCCCGCCCTGGAGGGGTCCGCGACCGCCACGCCAGGGCACTCCTATCCCTTCGGTCGAACGAGATCGTGTCCTGGCCGAGAAGCTGGTCAAGCAAATGGACAACGAAGGTGACGACAGCGATTATTCGGTCAGCAACGATTCTCCTGTGGCCATCACTCGAGCGTCTAGGGCCAGTGTAGCTCGAACAGCATTACTCGTTCAGCCTACCAAGCAGTCGCCCTTCCGTCTCCGTCTGGGTGAGCGCCCGCGTCAAATCCAATCCAGCCGCCCTCTGACCGAGCAGATGACATCGACACCAGTCTCTGCACCTGCAATCATCGAACAGAAGCCTATAGCACCGGTCCTACCTCCAACGTCATTGCCTTTAGTGAACCACGAAAAGTTCATACCCATGGCGTCTCGTACAGATTTCTGCTCGCGAGGAAATGTCGTTGCGTCGCTCGCCAAGAAATTCGACGCCAGCAATTTCCTCGCTCGTCCTCCGGCGCACGTCACCGCTATGACGACGGCTGGCGGTCTCGGGCTGACCATCCGTGGTCATCCTGTGCACAATGCGGGTCACAGTCACCGTCGATCCAAGTCGTACACCTTGGTAAGCTCTACCCAGCAAGACATTGCGCATCAGTCGGCACGTCGATCCACTGGATCTATGGTCCCTTCGCCTGAGGACGCTTTGCCTCGATGTGCACGCCGACTGTTCGCTACAGCCGAGCCGTCACCCGTTCTTTCTTCCATCGAGGCCGATAGCGCAACAGACATCGGTTCTGCTCGATCGGATACAAAAGATGCCGGTATGCATCACCCTCAAGCTTGCATCAAGTCAGCCACGTCCCGCACACCCAACCTCCACGCCGTGCTCTCCGGCGACTCTCTTCAACAAACCACGCTTCCCACTCGCTCGGGTCCATCATCCATTTCCATCCCATCAACTCCGTCGGCTGGAGAGGAGGTCATCTTTCGGAAGCTCAAGAAGATGGCAAGTCTAGCTGGGCTACTCAGCAAGATGATCGACGAGACCAAATCGACTATCCTCACTCCGGAGAGGTCGAATCTGAAGACGCCGATGCGTACTCGCAGGGGCTCGGTAGGTACCGAGAGTACTGAGGCTGTGGATATCTCTCCTGGACTCTTGGAGACGCCTGATACGGTAGGTGGAAGGAGGAAGAAAGCGGAGGAGGATGAGGGAGATGTATCGTTGGTTTCGGCCGCATTCTCGTTGGATCTGAGTGGGAATGACCGTCGCGAGTGCTCGAACGTCCCTACTTCTCAGGTCGGACTTGATCAAGTTTCTGTGCAACCTCGACTGCAAAGCCCATCCGACCGAACGCCATCGATCACACCCTCAGCGGCGCAGGTGGAGACAATGTACTCCTCCTTCCTTCTCAGCCAAAACGTCTGCAAGTCCGGCAACGGTTTCCTCTCCCCCCCACACACCCCATCTGTCGCGGACGATACCGCTGCCAGCTCAACGAAGTCCAAACATCGTTCGCTAGCGACCCTCTTCTCACCCAGCGGCACTACCCCACTGCAGAGCCTTCTGAAAAATGCTCGAGTGTCGCCGCGAAAGACCGCTGGCGGGGATGCCTCGCGCGTCGACCACCAGAGGAGCATCGGCAAGAGCGGCAAACTGTCTAGGCTTTTCAGGAAACATGCTTAGCGTCGGACCTTCCCGACTTCTTCGTCCAGCTCGCGTTTGTCGAGTCACCATGCAGTCGCTTCCCGCTTTCAGAACATCACACATCCTGTTCTCAGTCTCTCTCGCTCCGAGTCAAATCCCAAGCACCATCGTCAACAACTCCACACTCCCTACTGTAGACTCGCACAAACTTCGTACCCCATGATCTCGCTCAAGTACACACTCGTTTTATATAAGCACATTCATTCATCTACACTTTCGTTCATAGTAGTACACACATTCGTTCAGACTTTCGTTCGCACAACTACATTTTTCACACTTTTGTTCGTCAAAGTATATACATTCATTCATGTCTAAGAGAGAGCGAAGCTTTGTTCGAGGTGTCTACTCAACGAAAAGCGACAAATTTGGAAAGGCGCTGACGAGTATGACTTGCGCGATCAAAGTCAGCGATGCTCTCACTTGCAATGATCAACCTTCAACCGTCAAACCCAAGCACGGACGGCGCCATATCGTCCAACAGTATCTGGCCCAAATTCAGCGCTCTCATCGTCTCCTCCGTCAAACTGTAACCGTCATCCACCTCCCTATCGTCGTTCTCCATCATCTCCCCCTCGCCAAACTCGTACTCCTCCTCCTCTTCTTCAAATTGCTCTAGAGGATCGTGGTAGGGATCTTGTTCCGTCCTCACCGGTGCTTTGCCCTTTCTTGAAGATCCTTGGAAGTATCTTCGACCGACACCGCCGACCTGATCGCGCTGGAGATGCTTGAGCGTCTCCAAGGTTGACAGCAGATGCAAGGTGAGTGTAATCATGAAGGTGTTGTATCCGTAGAGATTCGAGTAGCGGGGTCGTAGAGGCGAGCAGAAAAAGTGACATGCTCGCCACAGTGAGTCGACCGTTTTCTGCGCTGATTCCACTGTAAGCTCTCCTTCTTCTGCTTCGGACTCGTGGTCCGCTTCTGTCGTGTTGCCGTCGTCCGTGTCGTCGAAAGAGATCATGTCGTCCAATTCAGCGCCAGCGCCAGTTTTGTCGAAAATCTGCTCGGAGATGTCGGCCTTGACCATTGAAGTGAGAAGGGATGCAGTAGAATCTTGTTGTGATGATGAAAGCGTGGATTGATTGGCCCTCGGCGTCGAAGCACCCTCGACCGTTGCAACAGGAATCACTGATTGACCGTGCGATCTGAATGTGTCTACGGACAAAGTCGTCGGTGTCAGCGAGCGACTGCGTCTGTCAGCATCGTTCCCCTCTTGCGAAGCCTTCCTCTTAAGACCAGCAGCACCTTCAGCACGATTGGGCCCAGGTTGGATCGTGTTCATCACCGTCTCCGATGCGTTTCCTTCCTGTTGTGGACGTGGCGTTGGGGAGCGCGAGCTATTTTCCAAAGGAGTCTCTTCATCCATCGAGTCGGACTCATGGGGTGTGAATTCACTTCCATTCCCGTCCGAAAGTCGTGACGAAGACGAAGCACCCCTCCGACCCTCGCTTTCCGAACTTTGCCCTTCCCGAGTCACGACCGTCGACGAAGGCTGCGATAGCTCTGATGTATCGGTATGCTCACCTGCAGCACCTTCAGCTTCTTGACCATGGCTGTTGTTGTCTCGAGAGCCAAAGGCCCCCGCTTCCGAGACACGGCACAAGTTCTTACGTAACACCGTACAATTGGACTGCATATTGTCGAGCAGGTCGTTGTCACGCTCCGTTCGAGTACGCTTTGCTACCCCCGCCCACGGGAGACGGCCGGTGAGGAGATAGACCTCTGAAATCAGATACATCCCATCTATGGGTGTACCCGAGCCGCCCAATCCTCTCATGAGCTTGGCGTGATCTGGGTGATATTGGGCGATCTGTCTCGAAAGAGAACGCAGACGTCTGATGAACCAAAGAAAGACGCCAACATAGCGAAATCCTTCTGCAGTGACAGCTGCGTCGTCTTCGGCAGATTTCAGAAAGTATTCGTTGGTCCACCCGATGCGTTCGAGCAACTGCGGGAAAGTCCGATCCTTAAACTGCCACGGCGTAGCGTCAACAGAGTGTTCAGAGCTTGGGCGCGGTAACGCGACACCGGAGATCCTCGAAGCGAGCGAGTTTGACGGAGCTGGATGAGAGCTCGTTCCGTTGTCACTCGGGGCAGTCGTCGAGAAAGCAGGTGCGGTTCCGGCCCCCATGGTCGCTCTTACAGAGCTTCCGACACTGTGCTCGTGAGGCTCGTAGTCGCTGCCAAGCTCGGAGTCAGCTTCTTCATCCTCTTGAGCATCCCATTCATCGTACGGAACGCGTTCGAGCCCTGTCTCTGCATCCGTGTTCTTGTCCAGACTTGGAGTATCCGTCTCTCCCCAACTGACCTCACGATACATTTGGCCGAGCACGCGACTGCTCTGATACACCAGCTTCCCGTCTCGCTTCTCTGACTGTGCGAGAAAGTCAGGAATGATGGGTTCGCGCATCCTTGGAAGTTGGTTTCGCTTGACAGCAACACCTGTTTTCCGGAAATCTGTCGCCTGCGAATGTAATTTGGCCAACGTCTTGCAGCGTGGATCCTCGGACCCATACTCGCTAGCATCGGCGATTCGCAGATGCAGGTGTGACACCAGACCAATGAAGTCGTTGAGCATGAAATCGGCGAAGAAATCTGCAAGGTCGTGCGCGTTGCAATCCTGCAAGAGCCTCAAGGGCTCGACCTTGTCATGAAAGACTGCATCAGGTTGGTGAGAGTGAGGGAAGATTCGCTCTTCCTCGTATACGGTGTAGAGGTCGCCATCAAGATCCCCTCCACCTAGCCTTCGAGGCAAAGGCTGTTTCTTCTTGCAAGTATTGAAGACAATGACGTTGCGCAACTGAAGCAAGGGGTGTCCAGGTGGCGGCTTGCGGCATTCGACCATTGTGATGTCGCTAGGGTCGATGGTGGGTGATCGACCGATCAGCTTTCGTCCCGTCAAGATCCTCCTGTTCACCTGGTATGATTCGACCGTCTCTACTTGCACAAAGATCTCTCCTTCTTTCAGGTAGGCGAATTCGTCTGCTATGCCCAGAAGAGTGACTCCTTTGACAGGAATTCGAGCTTTTCGCTTCATATCGCCTAGCGCAGCTGCCGTCACGGCTTTGGCCAGAACCAAGAAGAAGCTATCGGCGTGAACGGTTGAGGCCCCGAGACCAGCCCGGTGAATCTTTTCGAACAAGATCCGAAGATTGCAGCCGGTGCCGAAACTGAAAGCGGAGCACAATCTAGCCGTCTCGTTGAACTTGGATCGAGCTCGACCGATCTGCGAGATCGCCTCCTTTTGAATGTCGAGGAAGGCCTGTGCAGGGACTTCGCGACAATCGAGGGCATTGATGAGGGGACGGTTGAGCTTCGCAGGTAGGCAGCGCGTAGAGGAGTTGGCAACCTCGAGGCTCTGATGTTCAGAGCTGAATTTAAACATGCTCCTCCGGATGCAGACCATCTTGCCTTGCAATCTCGGATTTACCGCAAGCATACCTTTGCTACCGCCGAGACGGATCTGGATTGCAGAGGGCGCAGAGGCCTTGAGCAGCTTACGTTTCCGATGTTCGCCATGTGTGGACACATAGCTTTCCCAGACGTCGGCCATCAATGCTGGAGAGATTTGGCCGACTCCATCCGTGTGGTTCTGTTTGCCGTGATCCGTGTGCGTATAGATGTCCGGCAACTCGTACATGAGCTCTTGAGGGATATGCACGGTACTGGCGGTGGCACTGAAAGCTTGAGACAGACGAGCTCCGTAGAGCGCGGGCTTACGGATGACATCCTTGAAGTCGCCAAGACTCTTGCGAATGAAGTCGGCGTCGATTTTACGACCGTGCTTGTCTGTGAAAGGTGTAACAAACCAGACGGTGTGGGTGCTCATGGATGACGACGACCATGCGAGCAGGTCCCAATGACGGCCAGCAATGTTGATGCCCTCCTTGAGAAAAGTCAGCACGCGGTCTAGGATGTAATGCTCGCTCTCGTCAAATCCGTAATTGGGGTTGATGGTCGTAGCTCCCTCGCGACTCTCGTTGGTGAAAGTGACTCGTGCAAAGTGGTGCCAATGATCTCGGTAAGACCTGATGACGCGGTTCGACATGTGATAGTGTGGGCCGGAGAGCAAGATGCGGGTAGGAGTCACATCTATATGTAAGAACTGCGACAGGAGACCATCGTCGTTCGACAAGGATGGCTCGAAGAAGGTGAGCAAGCCGTTGACACCGTTCCCGACCGCTTCATCAGAAGCCTCCTGCCAAAGGCGAAGGGCGATCTTGCGAGTCTGCTCCTCCGATTTACCCCTCTCCTTTCGAGCTTCAAGTCGGGGAACGAGATTCTTCAAAATGAGCACAGCGAGCTTTGACTGTCCCCGCCGGACCAATTTGTCGATACGCTCGCCGAGATCTCTGAGAACCGAAATTCCCACCAACTCGTTGCGGAGAAGGATCTCGCGAAGGAAAGCCAGCTCGATGTCGAGCTCTGCACTGCGCTGGAAGAAGGCGGATATTCTTGGACCATTGTTGTCCTGGACCACTTGAATCTGTCGTGGATCGACTTCGTCCTTTTTTGTGTCGACGAAGAGATCGATAAGGAGCTTTGAGAGACGATGAGCGCGAAAGTCGATCATGACGACTCTAGATGGAAAGCTGAAGTGATGTGGCGAGCGTGTTGGAGGAGCAAGTTCGCCTCGAAGGAGCGGATTGTGGTGAAGGTCGAAGAGAAAGCTATGGAGGGGTTCCGCTTGTATTTGCTTGTACGCTCGTACATCCCGGGGAAGAAAGGAGAGAGAGCCTTGACCGTGAATGATCTTTATGACGCCTTGCTCATCAATGCTAAGGCGCATGTAGTCGTCAGATAGACTTTGCGTATAGCTGAAGCGGTCTTTGGCTGACCAGTAACCAACGCGCACCAGATCGAGTTGAAAGGTGCGTTCGTGCTGCTGTCTGCTCGCGGAAGGTTGTTGCTCCGTTGCGTTCTCTTCGATCGCTTGGATGAAAGCTTTCGTCGGGACTTGTCGAGCCTCGTCTACCTTCAGATTATACTTCCAGACGAAGTCTGTAGTTTGTGCACGCGAAATGAACCATTGGGCTACCTTGACGTCAGCGAATGTGATGATGCCGAAATCGTTCTCGTACTTTGTATCAATGCGCTTGAAGTAAAAGCCTTTGTTGATGTCCTTCGCTGTGACTCCGGTTGCGCTAGCAGACACAGAAGTCGTAGTGAGCCTACATTCCTTCTGAACGAGAGCATAGATGAAGCGTTCGATGGCTGCACCGTCCAGGGTAGCTGGTATCCTTCCGACGAAGACCTCCATGACGCTCGAAGATGGATTTGCTGACCATCCAAGAGCTCTGAAGACGACTTGACAAGGTAGTGGTATGGGTCGGGAGCGAAGGGAGCGAAGAATGGGGATCAAGACGGACGCGGCCGATGTCTACATCAACAACTCTGGCGGCGAGGCGTGAATGGGCAAGTCCAGAGAAGAGAGGAAAGCCTACTTATTCTTGGAGTGGGTTCGTCCAGAAGGACACAAAGAGAGCGGCTCCAAAGCTGGCTATGAGGTTCATCTCGATCCACTTTCGAAAGGGTGGGTCCACCGGCAATCTTGATGAAGGCCGAGATCGATGAGGAAGGTGACAGAGTGGGCTGTGACCCTCTCATGGTTGCAGACTAAAGAGCAAAACTGCATTGCATTGCATTGCAGTTGGCTCATTGTTCGATGTAGTTGCTTGCCAAGGTAGCGGATCGAGGAGCTCGTTCGTCTCGAGGCATACGAGTATCGCGTCCTGTGCCAGCATAGTAGGTCGAGAGAACTTCGCTGCGGCCGCGGGGGATCCGAGCTGTTCGACATGGCTAGTTCGCGAGCAGAGTCTATTGTCACGGACCGTGGTTGCTGCAGCTGTTCATGCATGACTTGCTTCGGCTCGCCGGCTTGTGGTTGGCTGAGCGGCCAAAGAGATGTGAACAACGGGAAGGCACATGAAAGATGTCACGTCTTTCTCAAAGAGAGTAATTTGGCGGAACGAAGTGAAATTGGGCGGGCAGCGATCTCCCATGTCCGTGATACACTCACCAAGACTACCCTCACCATCACATTGATAGAAGACTGGATTGATCGGGAGCAGCGATAGCATCTTGGTACAGAAGGAACTACATTGAAGAGACTGCTAAGCTTCCAGTGTCGTTGCGGCGACGGTTGGCACTAGAGCCTTGCTCGGTCGGGAAGCGGAGCGGGAGCGCCAGAGCCGTAGTCGGAGTCACGGGCGTCGTTGCCCTCGCGCTGATGCTCAACAGCTGCAACTTTGGTTTCAACGTCTTGTGGCGCTGAGGTGCCGTAGATCTTGGAACGCTCGTGCGAAATGAGCGTGGCGACTCGAAGTGCACGGTCGAGGTCTCCTTTGACTTTGATCTGTGTGGGAGCGAAGAGGCGGCAGAAGCAGAAGCAAAGAAGATCTGCGGTCAGTGGGCAAAGTTCGCGACATGGCCAAGAGTCGAGGCACATGCGAGGGACGGCTTCCATGATAACGAAAGTCGACTCACCCTTCCTTGGTTGTACAGCTTCTGAGCGTGAACCTTTCCAGTTGCAAGATCCATGAAGTCGCGGTCTCTGCACTCGATGACGACGTCGGCCTTGCGCTTACGACCGAGAACAGTCTTGGGAGGCTGGCCACGACCGATGACCCCCTTGTTCTTCATGTCGGCATACCAGAGAGCAGGACGGAGAGCACCGCCGGACGTGGATGCTTGACCCTGCACAGGCTTGGTACGAGGATTGGAAGGATCGATGGCAGCCGATGGCTGGATAATGAAGAGGTAGATGCTCTGAAGCGATCGCAACAGACGCTTGCGAGATGGAAAGCCAGCAGGCGGGTTGGCGAGGAGCTGCGCAGAGAGCGCAAACACTCGGCTCGACTCGAAGCCGGGGCAATTGATGTCGTCTTGGGTGTCGAGGGCCTGGAGGGCTTCGGCCTTCATTCGCTCTTCAGCCTTGGACATGGTGCGGGATCTACGACGTAAAAGGTATGCAGCTTTGTCGGTCGGATGGACGTTGAGACGAACAAAATGTGCTTGGTGCCGAAATTGACATTGGTCAAGTCACACGCTGCTGGGCACGCATCAGCTAAGTCAGTGAATGAGTTAAGGGTTAGGTTACAGTTCCGAGTGCGGGGAAGCCTGTGCACAGGCTCACATCCTGACCTCGCTCTCCATCGGCGACAGTCCTGAAGCTGAAAAGGTAAAGGCGTCTGCATCGTGACGGGCGGGCCAAGGATCGAAAAGAGGCACTTTGACCCGATCCATCAGAGAGAGGGCTGGCGAGACAGCGCGTCAACCTGCATCACCGACAGAAGAGCGTGAAATCCAACTTCACAGGAAACAGGCAGGCCCACATTATGGAGCAACATAATGTTACGGCGTCACCTACAACATTTATTGCCTACGCAGCAATAGTCGAGGCAATCTGCATGCGCGCCAAAATTGCTTGTCCAGGGTCCAAAAGCTGCGCGCAGTCTCACGGTGAGCCGTGGCTGCTGCCGAGGTGTCTAATAGCGACTGACTGGCAAGGGTCCAGGCAAGGGTGCTGCAAGTCCAGCTGCATGATAAAGCACCACACAGTCCGCACGGCGCACCCTGCGACTGACGAGGTCGTGCGAGGATAAGCAACCCCCGCTTGGGCGCATTGGCAGCTTCTCCCGCCATTCTAGTCACGACGTTCTATAGCGCGCTGAGGTAACCGCCTCGCGTGCTCAGGTCAAGTGCAAACCAGAGGTCCACCGTACTGCGATAGCGAGCGTAGCCGTATCATCCTCTCCCGACTCGCTCCTCGACCTCGTTTCGCGCGCCCAAGTTGCCGCCCGCTGCACAGACCAGCCCATGCTCACAGCATTGAGACGTCCTGCTGGAACCTGTACTATAGTTGCCTGCGTAGTCTTCTCTGCTGTGCCCAAGCACACCTTACTGCTATCATCACAAGCAGCATCTCTCCCTGTACTCGCCGGCCACCTTCTCCCTTCACTCTCACAATCGACGTTTGTTGAAACAGCACCATCGTCACTGTTCGTCCTGCATCCACTGACGATATACGTATCCCTACATATGCTATTGAGCTACTGCTACATTTTCTCCCACTCCCACTCTCCCTCTCCCGCTCCCGAGTCTGATCCAGCGACTCGCCCCTCACCCGCTCTGCAAGATCCTTCAACCCCAGCTGCCCCGCCATCAAACAACGCCCTGCTTGAGAGCATCTCGAACTGGTCTGACGACGTTGGCTCCTCCCTCAAATCTGCCTTTTCTTCCTCCGTCGCTTCGCTGGTTGGAAGTGCTACTACTCAAGCTGCCAAAGTGGTCGACTCAACTTCCAAGTTCACCCAATCAAGCTTGGCTTCGATTAGCTCCACTTCTTGGTTTGCGCCTTCCAGGTCTCAAGTCTCGGAAAGCCCTTCGTTGCTCCTAGAGACCGCTCCAAGACCACCTCAGTCAAATCCGCAGCAGGTCTCGCATCCGGCCAATTCAGCACCCACTCGAGGAAACACCACCTTCACATTCTGTCTCTTTGGCGCTGCTTCCACCGCTGCCGTATACCTCCTCGCACGCAATCGTCGAGCCATGAACCGACTCCAAAGCGCCAAGAGTCTGGCGTATCGAGATGCACGCGCCTGGCGTCGCGTAGCGCTTGACTTTGCCAAGATCAATGCGCTCTCTGCCAGCCGTGTCCAAAGCTTGGTCGCCGCTTCTCTTCGCGATGGCCACGCTGGAGCCGAGATCGGACGTCAGATCGAGCGCGAGCTCGAAGAGGCAACCAAGACGGTCGCACAGCGTCGCAACTGGATCCAACAGCAGGACCAGAAGGATGCGCAGGCAGCAGCCCCTTTCAGCATGCAGCGTAGCTTGGGCGATGCCTGGGGAGACGTCTTTGACACTCATCACACCGGGTTCTCCTTCGGATCGCGTGCCGGCCGTCCAGGATCCGAGCTCGGAGACTTTGGTCGATGGAAGCCGAAACATAACTTCCGACATGACGCCGTTCCTCAAGAGACCGAGCCTGGGTCGGATGCTTGGGCAGCAAAATGCGATGTTCCCACATCGCCCGTGAAGCGTAGCGCTCAGCAGAAATGGCAAAGAGTGGCGGGTCTCTCAGCAACTGCAGCTCCCGAGTCACCGACACTTTCCGCTAAGGCTCAAGCTCGTCCTCCACCGACATGGGAAGGAGTATTGGCTCACGAAGTGGGTGCGAAGTCTCAGGCCGAGTCTCGAGAGGAGTGGATAGGTGACGTGGATCGTGCCATCCGAGAACGCGATTCAAAGTCGTGTCAGTCTTCGAAGAGCTCCGATCAAGCTGCTGTCGATGCTTTCTCCCGCTTCGAATCCGAGCCGTCGATCGATGCTGGAACTGGCGCTGCGATCCGTGATGCAGAAAGCGGACAAAGTGCAGTTGACGAGGAGGATTACCTGCTTCCGGTGTCGGATCTGTACATCGCCACCAATGGGCAAATTCGCGACACGACAGCGGAGGTGTCGCTCAAGCGCCTCAGCGCCGGTGACAAAGCCAGCAAGACCAGAATCGGAGCAACCAAGGTCAACACGACCGTCAGCGATCCGGACAAATACGCCTACCCGATCTCGGACCAGTTTGGAGATCTGCACGACATCTTTATCGCTGCCTGGGATGGCAATTTGACCGGGCTGGCTGGGTCCAGCCTCGCCGAAATGGAGCCAGAGACTGAAGCCAAGACGACCAAAGCAAAGCCCAACAAAGCTCTATTTGAGCAGCTGCGCGCCAAGAGTGTAAGGAAGGGCATCACCGAGCCCAATTTCAATTCTGCCTCTGCTGATGAGATCGAATTCATGGCCGAACTCATGTTCCCGTCCGCTACCGCCCAAGCCGTTACTGCTGAATCTCACTCTTCGCCCGCGAAGCATGAGACAACACCGGTTTCGAATGCGAACGAGAAGGAGTTGGTCGACCAGCTCGACCGAAAACAAGCGGAGCTGGTGGGATACAGGTACAAGATCGATGAGCTATCGGAGCGACTAGATACAATGCGTGAAATGTGCCACGACCTGACTGACGAAGCGTCCAGGCGAGAGAAGATGCACAAGATTCAGGTCGAGCAGCTGGACCACAAGATCGGCCTCTTCACCGTTTGGGCAGAAGAGGTGCAGCGCAGGCTCGGTCTCGAGACGCCGCCCTTCTTCGCATCACTGCGAAAGCCTCTCAAGCGCGACTGAGCTGACGGGCGATGGCAGCCTCTCGATCACGACATACTTTCTGTTTCACTAGAGTGTCTTCCCTCTGCAATTTGAATACCTCCACTCCCGCGAACTGTTCATCTGTTTGTGAGAGACCTGCTCTGCTTTGCTGGCTGCTAATTGCACAAATAGGGCTGTGATCGAGTCTGGGCTCTTTTTGGGGCTACGCCAAGTCTGCAACGTCATCTTGCTCTTCATCGTCTTCTTCTCGCCGCATGCTGACCGTGACGCCGGAACGATTGGCTTGGTAATCGTCTTGCTCTTCCTCGTCGTCGTCTCGAACGTGACTGCTGGTGTAGAGTTGTCGACCTTGCATGCCGTTCGATGCGGATGATCTTGTGTTGGCGATCGGCGTGCTGAACTCATCCTCGTCGAAGCGCGAGGTACCTGCTGGTGTCGCGAACACGGAGGGAGGTCCGCCGATACGTGGTGTCTTCATCTGATCCTCCGGTAACGCTTGGTCGTTCTCTTCATGCGAGGACATCTCTGGTGGAACCTTGGGCAGATCTTGGGGTTTTGGAATGCGATGCAGCAAACCGTATCCGACGCCACAACCTAGCAGACCCTCTCCGCCCCACTCGCGATTGGGAACGATGATGACCTCTCGCGTGTGGTCGTAGTCCGAATTGTACACGTAGAGCCGCAATGCACGATCCGTGTGTGCCTCGACCAGCTCGTAGAAGTCGCCTTCTGCTTGCAAGACCCCGCCTGGCCAGCCAATGACAAAGTCTCCAAAGGGCACGAGGCCAGCAGATTCGGCAGGCGAGCCTTCCAGGATCTCCAGGATGTGCCAGACGTGCGAAAGCGCCTGCGACGGATTGCATAGTCGCAACGATAGCCCTAGAAGGGATGGTTGGGACGTTGCCGGTGAGCTGGTGCCATTGATGCTGCTGGTGGAGGGTTGAGATGACCACTGACGCGACGGCACGAGGCTGACTTGACGAAGCTGCTGTCGTTTCGAGTTCCACACGTTAAGAACGACTTGTGTTCCTTCGCGCTCTTCCAAGCTCTTCCAAGCACCTAAGCCGGTAGCGTCTCTGGCGCCATCGACGTCTTTTGTCGGATCGAGTGCTACGCCGTCAATGCCGACGCAAAAGTCGAAGAAGGGCTCGATGCCGGCAAGATGAGCGGGCGAGCCTGCTGCGACGCGCACGACATGATACCCCTGCCGTGGCGCTTCACTCGAGTCGTCGACACGGAGCTTTGATTCCGAAGCTCCCATGCTTGTTTGAGGCGCAGGCTTTCGGTGTTGACCTCTGTCCAATCGGGTGTGCTCAAGATGTTTGCACGAGGTGTGTCAGCTCCTCCTTCCAGTGCGGGTGAGCCGAACGCTTTGCGCTTGAAATTCGATCGCGTTGAGCGGCTTGTTTGCGGCTTCGGTCGAGCCGAACGAGTGTGGTGACGTGGGAAGGACGGAAGAGGGAGCGCACAAAGCTTCTTGACAGCATCATGCGCAAGCTGTCAGTCCGCTTCAGATGAAATCGGGTGGCTCGACCGTCCAACACCAACTCTGGCCCACTTTGATTCAATTTCACTGCTGCGCTGCTGCCTGGAATTTCCGCTGAGCCGTCACGTGAAGCTGGGCATCGGCGAAATTGGAAATCAGCGATCTGCAGCGTGTCGCTGCCTTTGCGTTCTTCCATCGCATCCAACACATCGTCAACGACATTTCGCCATTCAAACACTCCTTTCGTCTGCACACATTCATTCAAGATTTGCACTCCATCGGCGGAACTTTGCGCATGCCATCGTTCTCGTAAGATCTAAGCAGTTCAAACCGATCGAGTCGGACCTGGCTAGCCCCCACACGCGGGCTGACGCCGGCCATGGCGGACTCCAATCCTGCTCCCGATGCTCAAGAGATCCAGAGGCTCGTACTCGCCGCAGCTGATGCTGCCAATGCTCGGTCAGCCGAACAGCAGCCATTGGCACCTCCATCAACCGATATCACCATGCAGGACTCAACCGCGCCACCTGCATCCGATGCCTCGCCAACCGCCGCTGGTCTGCCTAGCACGACTTCTCTTCACGTCCAACTTCCACCTCACATCTCAGCAGATCAGCTCGTGCTGGCATTGACGACCCTCAGCGAAGCTGAACCAAGCTCCATCATCACAGCAGAGCAGCTTCAGTCTCCGGATGCCGACCTCGTGCTTCGTCTCTACGACATTGTCATCAAAGCGTTGGGTTGGAAGCAACAGGTTTCCGTTCTTCAGGAGGCGCAACAGGAAGCACGATCATCATTGACAGCCGCTCAGGATGCGAATCGTCAGCTCGAACAACAGCTAGAGGCGGATAGCGCACAGACCGTCGAAGCTTCGCGTCTCAAGGACAGCTTGCAGACCGAGGTCGTCAACCTCCAGAACCAGATTGGCTCTCTTCAGACCTCGCTCGACAACGAAAGGCGCGAAGGCGAGGCTGCAAAGGAGAGAAGTGCCGAACTAGCAACGGAGTTGTCCGCCTCGCAGGCACAGACAGCCGCCCTCATCGCCGAGGTTGAAACCGAACGCAAGGCAAAGGAGCTGGTCCGGAGCGAGAAGGACCGCCTCTCCGCCGAGCTCGTCGGCGTCAGTGCCCAGCTGACGACGCTCAAGAGCTCCACCGAAAGCGGTGTGCGTCAGGCTGCCGAGGTCCGCGGCAGACTCGATCAGGCCGAGCAGGAGAAGCGCGACATTCTCTCCAGTCTCCAGCGCGAACGCGAGGAGAGCACTCGCAAGGCCGAAGAGATCAACACACTCCTCTCACGCAACCGTGATGCCCGTCAAGAGATCTCACGTCTCTCCACAGCCGTTCAAGAGTCGCGCAGTCAAGAAAACACGGCTAGGTTCAAGCTGCAAGGGCTGGAGCAAGAGATCAAGCTGACCAAGAAGGATGCCGAGTGGGCTCACGAGCAGCTAAACAAGCTCAACGAGGCATCGGCCACCTTCCGCGCAGCCAAACGCGCTGAGCTCAGCCGTGTTCAGGCAGAGCTGGACACAGCCCGACAAGAAGCTGCTGCATCCCGCTCCAAGGTCGAGTCGCTGCAGACAGCTTACAACGAGGCCAGCACCAAACTCGGTCACACGTCGGACAAGGTCGCCGACCTCTCTGCCCGTCTGGCATCCCAGGAAGCCTCTTTCCGCTCCGAGGTTGGCAGCCAAAGTCAACTTGTCAAGCTGCTCGAGAGGCGAGCGGAACACTCGTCGCAACGCATCGTCGAGCTCGAAGAGCAGTGGGAGGACGTGCTCGCACAGTGTCGCACGCGGGAACAAGAGGCTTGGGCAGAGACACAAAAGGAGGTCGAATTGCGCCAGGCTTTGCAAGACGAGAATCGAGAGCTATCCGAGGCTTTGGACCGCCTCGCAGAGGGTGTTGGCATCGGACAAGGCCAGCGCGAAAACGGCGATGCGTTCCTCGACCAGACTCTCGATATCATGAGCGATGTCGGTGCCGACTTTGATACTCGCAGTATCGCCTCAACACCGCGGCGGACAGGGCTTATGGGTACCGCTGCATCTTTCAACAATGGCTTTGGCATCTCTCCCACCGCCGAGATCGCCAATCGCATCCGCAAGTCTGGCAAGAGCTTCAGCCAGATTTACATGGAGCTCGCCAAGACCCAAGAAGAGCTTCGCCGTGAGAGGCTCGAGACCACCCGTCTTGGCTCGGTTCTGGCGCAGGTCATGGATGAGCTGCAGGAACGCGCTCCGCAGCTCCAAGCGCAGCGCGAGGAGACGGAGCGTCTCACTGCCGACCTCGGCGAGATGGTCGCTCAGGTCGCTACCGCATCGCAGGAGCGAGACACGGCACAGTCCGACGCGAAGCGCCTCAAGCTCGACCTAGAGCGCATCAGCCGCGAGAATGGCTTCATGTCGCAGCAGCTTGCCGACTTCGGCCGCCAGGTGCGCGAGCTCACGAAAGCCATCATCCTCCGCGACGATCCTGACGCTGCTGCACGTCTCGAGGATGACGGCAGCTTCCTCGCTGAGCTAGATGCCATCGGCCCTCTCCCAGAGACGCTTCCTGAATCCGACACGCAATCGGTCATCACCAGCGAGCTCGTCACATTCCAATCCCTGACCGAGCTCTGCAGTCAGAACGCTCGACTGCTCCAGGTGACGCGCCAGTTGGGCGCCAAGATGGAGGAAGAGGAACGCAACTACAAGGCCCGCCTCGCCGACGAAGAGGACGACGCCGTCAACGAAGCGCGCGACCTCATCGTACGACTCGAGGATGAAGTTAGACAGGAGCGCTACAAGATGGAAGAGGTCAGCAAGGAGCGCGACCTGTTCCGCCAGCTGTGCTCCACCGGCGGACGCAGCGCCGAAGCGAAGGCAGGCGAAGAGCACGCCTCCGGCGCCATTGCGCCCATCAACTCTGGTCTGCCGCTCGCCGAGTACGAGGCGCTGCGCGCTCGCCACGAACGCTTAAAGACCGAGACGGACAACGAGCTGTCCCGCTACCGCGAAGAAATCCGATCCTTGCAAGTGGAGATCAGCAAAACTACGGTCAGCTCAGCTCGCGAGCAGGCGCTTCGCCAAGCCGCCGAGGACAAGTTCGGCAACCTTCAAAGGACGCACGAGCTCACCAGGACCGACCTGGACGAGCTGTCGAAGCGTACAACCAAGCTTCAGGAGAGTCTTGCCCGCAAAGAGGTCTCTGCACAGATGTTGGAAGAGCAGCTGATCCAGTCTCAGTCCAGCTTGGAGCAGCTGCGTACACAAGTCTCAAGCCTGCAGGCCGAGAAGGAGGTCTGGAAATCGCTCGAAAGCAACCTGCTCGAAGAGAACCGCGGCATGCAGGTAGAGCGAAACAACTTGCAAGAGCTGGTTCGCACTACACAGAGCATGCAGTCGGATCTCGAAGAACGTGGACGTGACGTCAAGTCTCGTCTCGAGCAAGACGTCAAGAGGCTCGACGAGATCAACGAGGACCTTCGGAGCCGACTCGCCGCTGAGCAGGATCTCTACCGTCAGCTCAGTCTTCGTCGCGAAATTGAAACCAAAGACCTTCAGAGTCGTATCGATCTCTCCAGCGCCGAGCTCAGCAGCGCTCGCGAGGCGCTCGCCATCGCACGCACCAGCGCTGATCACACCCAGCTCCGCGTCGAGGACCTGACTCGCCAGCTCGAGTCCACGCAGGAGAAGCTCGGCATCTACGAGCGCCGCGATAAGCTTTCGCGTGATCCTGTGGCGTTCCGCGCCCAAGCCGATGTTCAGCTTTCAAGAGAAGAGCAGCTCGAGATCGAGCTGGCCGACCTCAAAGCCGGTCGAGCGGCGGCACAGCTGGAAGTGCGCAAGAGCAAGCTCGAGGTGGAGCAAGCCACCGCTGCAGTTGCCGAGAAGGACGCTGCACTCTCAGCGTTGTCGCAAGAGCTAGAGCAGCTCAAGACGAGCACGTCCAGCGAGCTCTCTTCCAGGACTGCCGACATCGAAGGCCTGCAGCAGCAGCTCTCGAGCGCGTCGTCGCAGCTCTCGGCGGTCCAGACGCAGCTGCAGGAACTGCAGCTGCAGCTTCAGACCGAACGCTCGGCATTCCAAGCCGAGAAGAAGTCGTTGGAGGATGCCATTACAGAGCTTGGCTCTGTGGAAGAGCGCGCTCGCGCCGAACAGGAAGATGTCAAGGGCGAAATCCGCAAGCACGTTCAAGCTGCCAAGGCCGCCCAGCTCAAGCTCGACGACATGACCAAGCAAGTCGAGACGCTTACCGCCGACCTCGCCGAGGCACGCGAACAGCTCAAGAAGGCTCGACAGGATGCAAGCTCGCTCCGCAGCTCCAAGGACCTCGCCGAGGCCGAATGGGGTCGCGAAAAGGCCAGCTGGGACGCCGTGCGCCAAGCACTTGAGCGTGAGAAGGCCGATTTGCAACGCAAGATCGACGACCTCACAACCCAGAACCAGATCCTTCACACTCACTTGGAGACCATCAACGCGCAAGCAAACCAGATGCGTGAAGCGGCTGCCGCGCCACTTCCCTCTGTAGATGTCGACATGGATCTTGAGCAGGCAAGCAGTGCTGTGCCGACGACGAGCGAGTCGACTGCCGACCCGAACGCCGATGAGGCCGTACCAGCAGGTGCAGCAGAATCTCGCGAGGCTGCGGCGGAAGGAGCATCAGAAATTCCCGCTGAAGCAGCCGCAACCACGGATGCGCCTTCGTCGGAGCCAGCCCAAGCAGCGGAAGTCAAGAAGGAAGACACGAGCATCTCCGGGACCGAGCTCGCACATTCTCTGATGAAGCGTCGCGTCGACGAGCTGCACGAGGTTGTCAAATTCCTGCGCCGCGAGAAGGAAATCGTCGACTTGCAGATGGAGATCAACAAGCAAGAAACGTCTCGACTCAAGCAGACCCTCGAGCACGTCAACAAGACGCTCGGCGAAACGCGATCCGAGCTCGACAGCGAGAGGACGAAGAACGTGTCTTCAGCCAGCACCGCCACACAGCATGCCGAGCTGCTGGAGAAAATCAACCAGCTGAACGAACTGCGCGAGAACCACAACACGTTGCAAGAGACAGCCAGCCGTGCCGATGCGCGCATCGCTCAGCTCGAGTCCGAGCTGCGCACCGCCAATGCCGAACTGGAGCCCGTGCAGGAGCAGCTGCGTAACGCTCAGATCGAACTCGAAGCTTCGCAGGCGGAGCTCAATGTCATGCGAGAGGACAGCAAGCGCTGGCAGTCTCGAGCCCAGTCGCTCCTTCAGACTCACGGCATGAACGAAGAGATGCAAAAGGTCGAGCAGCAACGTGCCGAAGCGCAGCAGAAGGTGGAAGAGACCGAGGCAAAGTTGAAGGAGAGCGAAGCCGCGACGGCCACGGCGAAACAGAACTTCGAGAAGCTTCGCGAGCAGGTACGAACGAGGATCGCTACCGAGCGCAAAGCTGTAGCTGAGGTTCAGGAGAAGTTGGCAGCTCTGCAGAAGGAGAAGGAGGAGGACGCAGCCAAATACCAGGAGGCGATTGCCGTGCACGAGGCCAACATTGCCCAACTCGTCATCGAGAGGGATGCTTTGAAGCAGCAGCTGGTAGAGGCACAGGCCGCTGCCGCCACAGCTGCCGAGGGCACTGGTGGATCCGCAGCTCCTGTCGCTGGTGAAGAAAACTCCAGCGTCCCTGCTGCGGCTGCTTCGGAGACGCGAGAAGCGATCTCGTCGGTCGACCAGCAGGCTGCCGTCGAAGCAGCCTTCGCCGAGGCTCAAAAGCAATTTGACGAAATCAAAGCCAAGCTCGAAGCCGAAAAGGAACAGATCATCCTGGCTCGCGACAAACATCTTCAGAAGGGCAAGCAATTCCTGCGCGAAAAGCGCGAGGCTGAAGCCGAGGTACAAGCCCGGGACGCAACCATCGCTCAGCTCAAGAGTGACTTTGCCGAGAACAACGCAGAGGCGATCGAGAAGGCTGTTCAGGAGCGTCTTGCAGCTGGTGGCAACGGTGTGTCGGGTGTAGGTGCTGCTTACAGCGAGTCAGAAGTGGCTGCTTTGCGGTTGCGTATTGCGGAGCTCGAGGAGAAGCTGGCCGCTGCCGAGGAGAGGATCCGCGAACTCGAAGCTCAACTCGCTTCCGCCCAAAGCGGAGTTCCAACGGACGTTACCGAATTGAAAGCGGCTCACGCGCAAGAGCTACAAGAACTGAAAGCGTCGCTCGAAGCAAAATACGCACAGGCACCACCTGCCTCTACCGCAGCAGACGGTGACGTTGAATCGCAAGTCCAGCTTCGACTCAAAGCGTTGGAAGACGAGCGCGAAGCAGCTGTTCAAGAGGCTATCGCAGCAGCCGTTTCTGCACGCGAAGCGGAGCTCAAAGCGCAGTACGACGAGAGTGCAAAAGCGCGTTTCGAAGCGGGCAAGAACGAGGCGAATCTGAGGAACACGTTGATGATCAAGCAGAAGGACAACAAGATCAACAAGTTGACGGCCGAGATCGCTGCTTTGAAGGGCGAGGAAGTGCCGGCAGCTGCGCAGGCGGCGGGTGGTGGTGCTCCGACGGGACCAGCTGGTGGTGCTGCGGGAGGAGGCGCGTCGAGGCCAGGGGTGTTCGGTCGAGGCGCAGCGCAAGCCGGACGCGCCACCGCACGACCCGTTGTAGCAAGACCCATCCCCACCGGTCCTGCCAGCGCCACATCCGCAGCTGGCGCACCAACTCCCACCCCAACAACCGTAGCCTCCATCCGTGGAGCTGCCGCAGCAGGCCGCGGCGGTGGAACACGCATCGCCCACGCCGCTGCAAGAGGCGGTCGTGGCGGTGCCGCTACCGCAGGCGCCAAGCGCAAGCTATCCGCCCAAGGTTTGAACGCAGCTGCACCCAACGCCGAGGCCGGACAGGGAGGCGCAAAGAAGCCCAGAGCTGCTGGGGCGCCCATCGCTATCAAGAAGCCTGGACAGGGTGGGCAGGGAGGTCAGGGTCAGTGATGGCGCATGCCGTGAAGCGTAGGTGATGAATCAAAAACACATGCTCTCCCCAAACTAGCTTCTTCATCTGTTCATCGGATGTGTTGATTGAATGTCCGTCACGATTTTGAAGGCGACGTCTTCTGAGGTGAAAAGAAGGATCTGATATCCGCGCCCGAACCCTTGCCGCCCTTATCTCCCTTTGTAACGCCCGTTGTCCCACCCGGTCGACTTGGTTTCCCTTTTGGACTGCCTCCGTTGCTCTTCTCGCTCTCCCCATCCTTGCTACGCTCTGCCCGCGACGGACTCAGATCCCTCCACAACCGCTCTTCATCCTGGCTCTCCCGTTCCGCTACCCTCCTTTGCTTTTCCAGCATGTCGTCCATGGGACCTCGCTCCTTCTTGGGCGGAGATTTCCACGTATGCGGTGGAGCTTGCGGGAAAGGCTCGTGTCGTGGTTTGCCTCGGTTTCTGCCTCGAGGTGGGTTGACGTGGATCCCTCCACCGGAAGAGGGGGACAGACGACGACTGTACCCGCCTCGCGGGCGAGGTGGTGAAAGCGGCGGATTGTAGGGGTCTGGAGAGAACTTGCTTGACCGTTCCCGGCCGCACTGGTCTTGATCGGAAGCCGATGGTGACAACGATGTGGAGGTACGGGCGCGCTTGAAAGGCTGCTCGACGTCGCTGGACTCGCTGCGATCCCTCGTCCTCGTCCGAGTCGAAGGTCCTTCTTCGCCTTCTGGAACACCGAATCCATCTCCCACCTCATCGCCTTCAATAGAGTCGTTGTCTTCCTGCTTCAGAGTCTCGTTTGTGCTCTGCGTCAAGTCGGACTCGGACGTCACTCCCGTGTTGACGATCGACTCGCTTCGACCCATTTCGGTTCCGCCTGTGATTCGCCCTGCCGCCTCATCCTGCTCGAAATCGTGCTGCATCTGCTCTGCCAGCTTTCTGTCTGCTTCTTCCTGCTCAGCTCGCGCCGCCGCCTCTGCCATGGCAGCTTCATCTTCCGCTTGCTGTGCGGCTCTCAACGCTTGCGAGTCTTCGGCAGAGCTCGGCATGAGGGGATCGGTATCTTGTGAGTTGTCTGCCTGCTCTTCTTTGACACCGTTTGCCGAGCTTACGTTGGTTCCAGGAGGATGCATCACTTCGTTGGTCGAGGCCTGTTTTGGCTGCTTTTGTTTGGCGAAGAAAGCTTTGAGCCCGTCCTTGCGCTCTTCGATCGGCAGGATGAAGCTTGGATCGCTGTTGCCCACTTTTCCTACTTCCTTGGGCACCTTGTAGCACTCCAATTCGCTCTGCAACGGCCTCAAGAGCTTGGCAACTTCGAAGCTCCAGCTGTCGTCGATATCTTCGCCCTTTTTCACCTCACCCGATGATTTTGGCTCCACTCCCACGCCAAGCCAGGTTGAGATCGCCTCGGCAGTCGGCAGGATCACTGGCATCCGGTCGTGTAAAAAACCAAGCTGGTCGTTGCTCGCCGTTGTGATGATGGTGAAAGTGTAGAGCGGTTTTTCTTCGCCATCGAATCGGACACGTTCCCAAAGCCCGGCGAGGGGCATGAGACGTCTTCCATGCCCGGTTTTGTCCTCTCTGCCATGACCTGATTCCGTCATGCCTACGAAATGCGGGATCCTCTCCACCTTGTCCCCCTCGCCAGGGCCTCCACGCTTCTGCCACTCGTAGAATCCCTGTACGAACACGACGCACCTCTGACTTGGCAGTAGTGAATGCCACATCGACCTCTGTGGTGACAAGATGGTGTCATCGCGCGCATTGATGGTCTTGTATGCTTCTCCGGAGGTCGGCTGTTTTTTATGGAAGCGAGGGATGAGGCCCCACTTCATGGTCTGAATGATGAGCTGGTGCTCGCGTTCTTGCTCCGTCGGGTTGCGGACCGATTTGAGGCGACGCTCGCGTTCCCAAGAAAGCTCTCGGCGGACAACGGGAGAGCGGGTCTGGGGCGCTACATTGTGGGATGGGGTATAGTCGTCCGCGTCTGGAGCAGGGGTGGGAGGTCGTCGGTCAGGTAGCTCCTCTCGAACCGCAGCGCGGTACTGAGGGATGGTTTGGGCGTTGGCAAATCGGCCACACATGTTGCGCTCGCTATGTGAAGAATGACATCGTCGGCGAATCGGTCGCTGGGATGATGATGGTGTTGGTCAAAATAGCAGGGGAGGGAAGGATCTCTCCCGCCTAGCTGATCCTGGTCGGGTCGAGACTCAGCTTTCCTCTGCCAATGCTGACTGGCTGTGCGAATGCTTTCAAGGGACTCGTTGCTGCACACGGCTAAGCATACATCCTCTCTCCGCACTTGGGCATGCTTTTTCTCCTCCACACCTCGGCTTTTCCGACACGGTGAATCGGGCTGAGGGGGATCGTGATTTCTCAACGCTGCCATTTTGGCCGTGAGGGAAAATCACGTGTGCTCTCTCGCGGGTGAGCGTTGGATCGCGCAGTGTTGGACTGTCAATTGTTTTTCTACGCAAGTTATACAGTGTAGGTGCAGGAACTTGCATTCAGCACTCGATTCTGCTGTCATCCTATCTTGCACGTTTCTTCCATCCACCACCTCGACTATCAGGAAAATACTTGGCTCTGTGTCGACAATGATCGATAGCAGCCATACGCGGCAGGAAATGCGTTCGAACACAACAGGAGAGGCTGCCTTAGTTCCACTACCAGACAGCCCGAACGAGTCATTGGTGCATCACGAATCAGCAGTGACTGCATTTGCGGCACCAGCATCCATGTCTACCGAGCAGTTGATCAGGCATGAGGCAGTAGAAGGTCAGATCCCTGCACTCAGCTCTGTGCTTCAGTCACCTCAACGCAAAGTCAGCGCCGAAACCAAACCAATGTCGCCAGAGAAAGCCGCATTAGCAGCCATGTTTGACTCGATCAAGATGCCGCCGCCTGTCTCGCCTTCTAAATCGCCTCGTAAAGCTTCGGGCAGCAGCATCCTATCTTCACCATCCAAGCAGCTTTCACACGACATCGGGCCCACGCCTATGACGTTGTTTCGAAAGACAAGCTCCCCTCCTACCTCTCCGTCCAAGGTCGGATCTTCCGACTCAGCTGCATCGAGACCTCGCACTCGAGACTCGCCTCTGCGTCGACCTGTGATCATCAGCTCATCTTCCTCGCCCGGCAAGGCCTTACGCATGGCCGTGGGAGAGTCGAAAAATGCATCGACACCTCTTTCTCCTCCTTCTGCTCAATCCAGACCCGCACGCATGCGACCTTCCATACTGGCTTCGTCCAGCAGTCCAAGCGCAAAGCTCTCCGACCTAACGCTCAACTTCGACACCACCGGCACACAGGAACTGCTGTTCAACCAAGACGCGAGCTTCCTTGCTGCTGCTGGAAACGCCGCTGCTGACGTCACGATCGATGACAGCTTCGACGTGTCCCGTGCCAGGGCTCGGATCAGGTCCGCTTCCGCTGCGACCGCTAGCACGAGAAGGAGCTCGCCAGCCAAAATCGGTGGCGGATACAAAGCCAAGCCCCGATGCAGTATGGTGCCGGAAGATGGAGTGCCTGAGATCAAGTCAATTTCTCCAGGCAAGAGGAACAACACTTTGGGCTCGAGAGGGCTGGGTGTTGGAAGAGTGGTCAAGAATGCTGCTGGGGATGACACGATTGAGCTCAATCTGACAGGAAGCTTCATCGCCAATTCGAGTATGATCGGAGGTAATCTGATGGACGAGAGTGGCGAAGCGTCGTTGCTTTTCGGCAACAATTCCTTCTCGATCTCGCAGTCAAAGTCGCCCAAGAAAGAGACGCGCATTCAATCAGAGAAGAAGACGGCGGTGAGAGGCGGTAGTGATGACGACGATGACGATGACGAGGAGGAAGATTTTGAGAGGGATGCAAAGAATGTTCAAAGATGGGCGGCGGAAGCAGCGAGAAAAGCTCAACTGGGAAGGCACGCTGTGGACAAGACGCCCAGTAGAGCAACAATTTCGACCAGGTCTGGACCATCGACCGTCACTCGTCCCACTGCGGCTTCGACCACGGTCGCGAAGCCAGTCTCGCGGATTGCTTCTCGTCCTTCACTTGTAACCCCCACGGCTGGGTTGAGATTGCTGCAACCTCGCGCATCGGGTCTTTCGTCGACTACCAGAGTCGAACCTGCCCTGTCTCGTTCCGGGAGTGCCTCGAGCGGCTTGTCCAGCACTTCGACTGCACCGACCTCTTCGTCGCAGCCAGACAGTGCCGACTTGCCCAACGAGGCCAAGACACCGATGCGAAGTCGGCGCAAGAGCACCTTCACCAGCTCGCGTCCGCCTGTATCTGGAGCTCGTCGACGAGATTCGCTCGCAGCTGCTGGCGTTGTCGTCCAACCGCAACCCATTCCGCCGCTTCCCTCCCTCGGTCCTGCTACACCGGGACGCACGCGGACCACGTCGACTCCGGGTACTGGCACGTCGCCCGGTCTCAAGACACCCACCGCCGCGACGACACGGACGATTCCAAAGCCCAGATCGTCATTGACCGGCCGCACCGGTGCTGTGAATGCTACGACGCGTGCTTCTGCTCCTGCTTCCGCAAGCGCGACTAGTTCCGTCCCAAGACCTCGTACATCTCTCACCTCATCGACGGCAGCGACTGCCGCTCGCAGCACGCTCTCAGCTTCTACAGCTACAGCAACGCGTACACCTGTCGGTCGGACAGCAACGTCGCGCTCGGCATCACTCGCTACGCCAACAGCACGAACCGCCTCGAGTCGCTCCTCGCTAGCACCTGTCGAGGCAACGCCCGTAGCCGGAGGGATGAGGAAGAGCGTATCTCAACCGCACGGACTCGATCTCGATCCCACCGGAACGCCCGTCACTGTTCGACCGGCGAGGACACTGGTTCCACGTGCGAGCATGACGCGCATCGGCAGCGTCGGCTCCTCCGCAAGCACTCGACCCTCGGCACTCGTCACTCCACGAGCGACGGATGGTCGGGTAGGAGCAGCGTTGGACGACAGACGCACCAACGGCAGCGTTGCGGCGAGTGGAAATTCGGCTGTCGGGAAGGTTGGTGTACCGGCTGCACACAGGCCATCGGTCACTGGGGGTGAGTTTGGGTTCAAACCTCGTACTTCGGCTGTATATGTCGGTGCGACGAGGGCGGGTTCGTTGTTGGATGAGGGAGACAAGGAGAATCAAAACTGAAGTGTGGTTCTTATGCACACGCTGAATTGCAGTCTACAGCGAGCATTTATGACGAATAGATGATGTATGTCTTGTAGCCAGTGAAGGAGCGAATAGTACGTGTTACAGAAATCAGATTTTGAAGAGCGATCTACTTGTGCTCCTTGACGATGAAGCTTGGCTTTCCGGTCTGAATCGCCGTCTTGATACTACCAAACACCTGGACCTCCATCTTCTTCTGCGTCTCTACCGTCTCGGTTCCCATGTGAGGCAACAAGATGCATTGGTCCATCTTGATGAGTCTTTCGTCGATTTTGGGTTCTGCTGGGTAAACATCGAGACCTGCGCTAGAGAGTTTTCCGGAGTTGAGGGCATCGATGAGGGCTTCTTCATCGACGACGCCGCCACGTGCGGTGTTGACGAGAATGGCACCGGTTTTCATCTGATCGAATTGAGTTTTGCCGAAGGATTTTTCGGTGTCTTTGTTGAGGGGAAGGTTGAGGGAGACGACGTCGGATTGGGAGAGGAGCTCTTGTTGGGAGGAGATGTAGGTGTAGGAAGGGTCGGCGTTGGGGTTGGGGTTTCGGTTGTGGTAGATGATCTTCATGTCGAAAGCGGCGGCGCGTTTGGCAAGGGCGGAACCGATTCCACCCATACCGATGATGCCGAGCGTCTTGTTTTCGGGATCGTGAGCGGGTTTGAGACCGGCTTTGAACTTGCCAAGTCGTGCGTTGACTTCGGCTCGGTAGTACTGACGCAGACTGGAGAGGACGAGGAACATGGCCGTGTCGGCAGTGGCATCGTCGACAGCGGCAGGGGTGTGCGAGACGGTGATTCCGCGAGCCTTGGCAGCGTGGACATCGATCTGATCGTATCCGGCTCCGTTGTGGCAGATGGATTTGAGGGATTCGGGAAGGGCGTTGATGAGCTCAGCGTCGAAGAAGCCGACTTTGTCGACGGAATCGTTGTGTCGGTAGATGGCGGTGATGTTGGCGTACTTGCCGCCGGAGGAGCAGGCTTGGAAGAACTCGGCACGAGATGGGGTGTCGAGGTGCTGTTGGGAGGCGAGGTGACAAGGGAGTCAGCTGATATGTTGTGCGATTCGATCTGTCACTGGTGCATTGCAACTTACGAGGATCTCTGCGATCGAGCCCAAGTCGTTCTTGAGCTCGTCGTGAGCATGGACGATGGTACCGCAAATGAGGACCTGTGGCTTCGACATGATTGCTGTGTTCTAGATACGGGAGGATGACAATGGAAGACGAGGAAGGATGCTAGAAGGCAAGGAGGGGAAGGAAAGATGCGAAGGGATGCAAGTCAAGTGGAGCAGGCTGTTATAGGGAATGCGGACCGGCCGTTGAGGAAGGGATGGACAGAGTGGTCCTAGCGAGGATTGGTCGAGTGGGGAAAAGCCGAGGCAGTCGAGCAGAGATGAACGTGGGGCACACACACACACAGCTCAGGGATGGAAAGTTTCTCGACATGACGCAGGGCACAGTCGTCTACAGTGTATAGCACATCGTACACACGACCAGATTTCCCCCTTCCCCAATTCCAGGAACAAGGCTGGACACGCCCAACACCCCTTCTCACGGGGTAAGCAGTGCGGCTTTCGCTTCGCGAGAACCTTGACATTGTGTTTCTGAGTGCAGTAAGGGCGTCGGTGCCGTGCTGGCTCAAGGAATCCACGGACGGCACAGCGACGAAACGAGATCGACTCTGTTTGGCTTTGTGAAATCAAATTCACCTTGAGCTTTGGTCAAGATCAGACTCACTCGAAGGGACGGCACATGGAGAACGGCGTCGGCATATGTTGCATATTGACGAGTAAAAGAGGGTCAACCCGCGGGGGAGGCCATGCGACATTGCTTTGCTTCCAATTCACCGAACGAGTCTCACTGCGACGTTGACTGCACAGTGTAAGAAACATGCATCTCCGGTCCGCTCTTCCGGTCCTTGAACCGTGCGTGATATGAATTGTCTCATCGGGAGATCTACCTGGCTACTATCTTCGAGCATCTGGTTTTAAGATAGGTCTAACATTAGATAAGAATGAAATTAGGTCCACTTCCCTCGCGCCAGCCACGAGATGCAGAAGACTCGGTCTGGTTCCTCGACCCGCCTCCCACCTTTTCAATGTGGCTGCCTCGCTCGCATTCTGAGCAGAAGGATCATGACAAGAGGTGGGAGCGATAGAATACAGATGTCATCTGTCCAACATAGTGGACGCCGATTTACGGAGCGATCTGCGTCGCTCGAGCCGGACGATAGCGAACTCGAACAACGTGGTGAGCTTCCAGATCACCCTATTCTAGGGTCCGCTCCAATCGATTTTTGCGCTTCGGGTCGTGCGTTTCGCTGGCTGGCCGCTGAATGCTTGGGTGTGTGTTTCAAGAAAAGCTGCAGCGTTTTCTTCCAAAAAGGATCATTGCTGCCGAGAGCCGTGCATGCAGTACCCGGTACAGCAGCACATCGGGACTGCACTTTTGTCTAGCTTCTGAGCTAGAGTTTGTGAGGATTGCAACAATACGTTGGCACCGAGCAACTGCAGATCAACAGAACAAGGCTTCTTTGCACAGTGCGCGTCCGCTGTGGGCCGGCGCTGCTTGCCCTCACCTCGGAGGGAGCCTCCTATCCGAGCGATTCTTCTTCCGCCGCCTCTTCTCGCCTTGACAGCCCTTGTCACTCTTTTCACCCATTTTCTTCGCCTCTCGCTCGGATCAGCTTTTGCGACACGTACCTAGAGTCCAACACTCGAGTGCAAGTTCGTGCATCCCTCCCTTCCCTCCTCCTTCCTCCCCCCCTCTCCCTTCACATCTTCTTTCCTCGTCGCCTCTCCAAGATGACGGATCCTGCTGTGGATGCTTACGAGCGTCTCACCAAGAACCTCTCCTTCGACTCGCACGGCGTTACCGAGACCGTCGATCTTCCGCACGATGTCTCGTCCTCTAGCTTGAACACCAACATCGTCGACTCGGCACCCGCGGCCGCTCTCGCTGTTCCCGCTGCCTCAGCCGCTCCCGCTGCTGCCGCCAACGGCTCGGGCCTCAAGCTCGGCAGCTCCAACGCCGTCAAGCCCGCTGCCAACGGCGATGCCAGCGTCAAGTATGCCCCTGGAGGCAAGGTCAAGCTGACCAACTATCCTTCCATTGCCAATGCTCCTCTCCCCGCCGAAGGCAACGGATCGTTCAACAACTTCCACCTCGCCGCGCTCGTCCTCGTCACGCCAGCTATCGTGCTCCGCCTCATTCCGTTTGTCAACCCCCAATGGTTCGGATGGTTCAGCTACCTCCTCCTCTGCGCCATCTTTGGCGCTCCCGTCGCCATCGCTTACTGGACCGTCATGTCCACCTACGGCCCTCGCAAGAACGAAAAAGTCACCCTTCCCGGAAAGCCGCTCGAATTCTACATGGACATCAAGGACCCCGAGCTTCGCAAAAAGTACCACGGCGACAAGAAGATCCCTTACCAGACCTTCCACGATGCCTACTTTGCCGCCAAGATTGAGCCCAAGATGCCGCTCAACGAGCTGCTCGAGTACCGATGGGACTGGGCCTCGATGGGCTTCACCTGGCCTCTTTTTGAGTACGTTCTCTTCAACTTGATCCCCGACGTCCTCATGCACACCGCCAAGCAGGACCAGACTCAAATCCAGGACAACTACGACCGAGGTGACGACTTTTACGAATGGTTCCTCGGCCCGCAGATGATCTACACCTCCGGCATCATCTCGGACCCCCACAAGGCCGAGACGCTCGAGGAACTGCAGGACAACAAGCTCAACCTCGTCTGCTCCAAGCTCGATCTGCAGAAGGAGGACCGTGTGCTCGATATCGGATGCGGATGGGGTACGTTTGCCACCTTTGCCGCTGTCAACTACGGCTGCGACGTGACAGGTGTCACGCTCGCAAAGACCCAGACCCGCTTCGGAAACGACCGACTCAAGAAGAACGGCATCGACGCCAGCCAGGCGCGCATCTTGAACCTCGACTACCGCGACATTCCCGTGCAGCCCGGACACTACAACAAGATCATCTCGCTCGAGATGGCCGAGCACGTCGGCATCCGTCACTACGACAAGTTCCTCTCGGACGTCTACAACCTCTTGGACGACGACGGTGTCTTTGTGTTCCAGGTGGCTGGTCTGCGACCCACGTGGCAGTTCCACGATCTGCAGTGGGGTCTATTTATGAACAAGTACGTTTTCCCCGGTGCCGATGCATCTCTGTCGCTCGGATGGGTTGTGACCCACCTCGAGAAGGCCGGATTCGAGGTACGCTCGGTCGACGTCGCCGGCGTCCACTACTCGGCCACCATCCTGCGATGGGCTCAGAACTGGGAGTCGAACAAGGACAAGGCCATCGCCAAGTACGGCGACAAGATGTACAGGATCTGGTCCTTCTTCCTCTGGTCGAGCGTCATCATCGCTCGTGAGGGTGGCAGCTCCGTCTTCCAGTTTACCCTGCACAAGAACTTGAACGCCTACCACCGTATCAACGGCGTCAAGGCGCACGGCGGTCTGCTCCCTCGTCCTCCGGTCAGCAAGTTCAAGTCGGTGTACAACTAGACCAGTGGGGCACGAGCCTCGCATTTGCGAAATGAACGTTGAGCAACGACATTTTTGGAATCCTCCGAACAATCTCCTTTCCCCCTTGGCCCTGTCTCGAAATGTTTTGTACAAGTAGGCTCGATCTGCTGATTAGAACCCAGGGAAAGGCAACAATGAACGAAGCTTCATCGAGTACGACTCGAAAGAAGAATGTGTTCAGCATTTGAACAGGCTACCGATGCGAAGCTTGAGGAACATGTGAGGTAGTGAGTGAGAGCCCCATCAGGGTCTCCCGGTTGCAGCACAGTAAGTGAACGAATTCTAGCAATTTCGAGCTTCGGAATGAGATCAGATGCGTGTTCGAAGAAGCGGGGCTGTGCGGTGGGGTGACCAGCAGTTTGGCTCAGCCAGGGCGCGTCTGGAAAATGTAGGACCCCTCTCCACTTTGCAACGTGCGCTTTCCGACGACTCAGCACAACGCCATCCGCCGCTCACTTCCTTGCACTCTCTCCACCAACATCGTCTCCTTCCCTCAACGCGCACCAACATGTCCAGCAACAACTACCCCGCAGCGCCGCCCTCTTACACGGCGCCTGCCGCGCCCAAGGACTACCAAGCTGTACCTCAGCACGACACGCCTGCGCCATCGTACGGTGCGGCCGAAACCAGCTCCACCCCGCGCAATGTCGACGAAGAAGGCGATCCCGACGACTTCAAGTTCGGCGTCACCGTCGAGCAGTCTTCGCCAGAGATCCGAGCCATGTTCCTTCGCAAGGTCTACACCGTGCTCTTCTTCCAGATCCTCGGATCCACCGTCATCGCTGCCATTATGACCACCCAGAACATCGCAAGCTGGGTGCAGCAGAACCAGTGGGCTTTCATCGTACCCATGATCGGCAGCCTCGTCACCATGGGCTTCCTCTACTTCAAGCGTCACTCTCACCCAACCAACATCATCCTTCTCAGTCTCTTCACCGTGCTCGAATCTATCTCGCTCGGAACCGTCATCACCTACGTAGACCAAAAGATCGTCCTGCAAGCCATGATCATCACCGCCTTCACCTTCTTCGGTCTCACGCTGTTCACGCTCCAGTCCAAGTGGGACTTTGGCAGCATGGGTGGATGGCTGTTCGGCGCGCTCATGGTCATGGTCGGAGTCGGATTCGTCGGCGTGTTCCTGCCGTACAACCAGACTTTTGATCTGATCATGGCGATCGCAGGATGCGTCGTGTTCAGCTTGTACATCGTGTACGACACGTGGCTGATTCAGAGGAGGTTGAGCGCAGAGGAGTGGGTGCTGGCAAACATCAGTTTGTACCTGGACATCGTCAACCTGTTTATCAGTATTCTGCGCATTCTCAACAACCAGTCCAGGGATTGATGCTGCGGAACGGTGGAGCATCTTGGAGTTCTCTGTTCGAGTTGCAGCTGTATCACTCTTAATCTGTGCATACCCTTTCACAGTCTTGCGAATCTTAGTTCTCGTTTGGTGATTGTCCGTCGTCTTGTCTGAAGTGTGTGACATGAGCGCGAGAGGGAGAGAGAGATGGAAAGTGTCCAAGGGACAGACGAGGTATCTTGTGGTTGATGGACGCTGCGGGACTGACACGTGTGACAGATGGAAACCTCTGTGCGAGCGCATTCAAAAGCGACAGACATTGTTCACGACATCAAGGATACTGCAATGCAAACGTGAGATTCGTGACAGAACAGAGCAAGCTACAGCAGCGGCGGCATGCGGCCAAACCTAAGGTAACACTTCGTAATCCGTCATGAAGACTCCTCCTTGCCACCGGCGTCCTTCTGCTTGATCAGCTGGTCGCTCGGCGGGGGTCTGTAGATCCCCTTGTAATGCACCCCTTCCTCCACCAACCCGGCTCTATCCAACAATCTCGCCACTGGCTTACTCGGTTGTGCACCGAGCCTCAACCAGTGTCGAATTCGATCTTCGTTCCACTCCAACCTCTTCTCCAACTTGACCTCCTCCTTTGAAAGACCCGACGTCATCAATGCACCATGACCAGGTGGTGTTGCTGCTCCACTGCGAGGACCGACGAACGGCGTGGGTGCAAGACGACGTGGTGGTCGAGGGATGGGATCGAATTCTCCGAGCTTTTCGATGGGTCGTGCATCGCGTGGTTTGGAATCGTTGATGGCTACGACGTGGTAGAATGGATTGTTGCGCGTTCCTTGACGGCTGAGACGCAGTCGTACTACCATGATGGAATGTGTGTGTGTGTGTGTGCGGGGGAAAGAGGGGTTGGACAGGAACTGCTGTGGTCTAGAGGAGGCAACAGCTGTGACTGTGGGTTTGCAGGAGATGCAACTGCGTGAGAGGAGATCTGGTCGAACGTGCTAATCAGCGGATGCGCTTTGGGATGAAGTCCTTGTGCTCGAACAAGGTGTGTGTATGAAGAAGGTTGGGAATCGCGATGTGCCGTAGATGAGCGGAGAATTGACGAGATGATGAGGTGACAGACGAGAAGAACTACCAAAGTCGAAGGAAGGAACAGAGAGTCTGCAACCTCGATATTTTTTCGTGCTCTGTCTTCTTTCCTCCTCGTCCGACTGCCGAATTTTGTTTGCTTGAACACAAGATTCACGCCCTAACATCGAACTCAAAATCGCTCTGCAGTGTCACACCGCCCTCAGTACCCTCTTGTACCCTCTTATGTCCACATATCACCAGAGCGCAGGGAGTTGCCTCTGTATGACAAGCTTGACGAGGGGGTGTGACATGTCGCCCGCTGAGGCGGAAAGTGTCTGGTGGATATTGCGTTGACGGATGCAGTGGGGTATACAGGGCTGATAGAACTACATAACAACGCAACGGATTGACGGGTGCCGAAGGAGTACCTCGAAGTTCACAGTGGGCGCTCAGCTGACTCCTTTGACGAACGTACGAGTTCCTTTCAGTGCCTTTGCTCGATCAAGACTTCATCAACAAGTCTAGCGCCAACGCCGCCTCATCCACCTGTCTCCTTGTCCTCATCCTGTCCGCACTCGACGCTGCACCATACGAGAATGGATCCCTTCCCTCATCTCCTCTCGCTCCATTCCCACCGCTCACGAAGAGATCGTTCGTCTGTCCATCGAGAAGCTCTCGTTTTTCCGAATCGCGAAACTTGTTGTTGCCACCATTCTTCTTTCGACTTGCTGGTGATTTGGCCGATTTGGCCGACTTCTTGGCGCTCGATTGAACGAGTGATGTCACTCCAGGAAGCTTTGTGGATTTTGATGCTGCGGAGGATGAGGTGGAGGGTGTTTGGAGGGAGGACCGTTGTTTTGATGATGAGGAGGTGGATGCGTTGCGCGAGGTTTTTGCGACCATTTTCGAGTGCGTTCTGTGTTGCGGCGGTGTGCACGGTATGGAGTCAGCGACGTGTGGTATGGTCGTCTCCACTGCAAGTCGGTAAGATGTGAAGGTGAAGACTTGAAGTTGGTGAGAAGGATGTGTGAATGGACTTTTCGGTGGTTTGACGGTAGAAATGTCGGCGCTTCCGAAATTTTTTAGAGCTTTCGCCGAAATATCCGACATTGCGCTTGGACTGCGCACCGTCTTGGTGGAGGCTCGAGCAGCTTGCACACGCCTGCGGCTCAGTCATGAGTCGAACGACATCTTATCGCCGTTCCTCTTCTGCGTTCTGCCATCACTCTCACAACCACCATCAAGTCGGAACCACGCATTCCTCATCTACATCAAATCCAGCATGGCTGCACAGTCGATCCAGCCCACTGGCGCTGGCGCAGCAGAGAAGATGGTCAACTCCTGCATGGCCGTCACTTGTAAGTCTCTTGCTAGTCCATTACCACTCGTCGAATCGTGTACTGTCTCTGACACCCTCTCTCCTCTTCTCTGCTCTTGTTCCGCACATCTGCAGGTGACAAGTGCGGTAAAACTACCTGGCGCGGATGTGGCCGCCACATCGACGCCGTCTTTGCCAACGTACCCCCCGAGCAACGCTGCACCTGCCCACGATCCTGATCGCCCTCAGATCTCCCTCACGCTCAAACCCGGAGCCTTTCCGCATCCTCAGCACACATTCGTAATGGCACATTCTTCGGAATTCCCTTCTTCATAGGTGTACACTCGTGTCATCCGGGATCTGTGAGCGGTGTGAACTCGATTCTATTGATGCTTAATTGACTGGCTGATCCTGACTGGCGCCGTCATCCTCCTTGATCTTGTCTTTCGGACGGGAAGGCTGGATCATCGACTCCTGGCGCTCCAGCTCCTCCATCTCCTTCGCCTTGGCCGTCCAAGGTCCTTCTCCGAATGCATGGTTGAGCGCGCTCCACACGTTGTTCACGTAGTGCACTTCGAGATCATCCAACACCACCTTGGGAACATCAGCCTCGACGTTGGGCTGGTTCTGCGCCGGCAGAATCACCTTGGTGATACCTGCACGGTGAGCCGCCAGCAACTTCTCCTTCAATCCGCCCACGGGCAACACCATTCCGCGCAGCGACACTTCACCCGTCATGGCCAGCGTCGGCGCTACGGATCGATTCGTCAACAGCGACGTCAGCGACACGGTGAAGGCGACACCAGCAGACGGACCTTCCTTGCCAATGGCACCTTCGGGCATGTGCAAGTGCACGTCCTTGCTGTCGAGCAGGTTGTCGTTGGCGTCCTTGACAATGCCCAGATCGTACGCGTTGGTCTTCATCCACGAAAGAGCGATGGAGGCAGACTCCTTGATCACATCACCCAGCTTACCTGTCAACTGAAGACCACCCTTGCCTGGCATGATCGTCGTCTCGATCGGCATGAGCGAGCCCGAACCGTTGCCCAGGTAGCCCAGACCCGTCGACACACCGGCGGGCATGGCGCTGGTGTAGAGACGGTCCTTGTGGTAGACGGGAGGTCCGAGGTACTTGCGCAGACTGTCGGTGGTAATGACCACCTTGACATCCTTGGGAACGGCCATGGGCTGACGCTTCTCGGTGGTCACCTTGGCGGGCGCTTCCGGTGCGGCGTCTTTGCCGGGCACCTTTCCGTCCTGCTTGGGTTGGTTCTCGGGCACAGAATCCGCTGCAGAATCAGCCTCGGCTGACGAAGCCGACGGCTCGGTGAACGGCGATGGCGTCTCGCTGGACTCGGCCGTCTGCCCATCGACGTGCGGTGGGGTCACCGACTGGGTCGAACTCTCCGCAGAGCCAGCGGCAGCGCCTGTGCTCGGCGCCGCAGCGTCCTTCTTTGCGCTCGCCAGCTCGCCCTCCTTGGGCTCGGGGAACACCGACTCGCCGTGCTGCTTGACGATGTCGAAGGCGATCTTGCGGTAGACCTTTTCGAGCAACTTTCGCAGACCACGCACACCGCTCTCCCTCGCGTGGTGCTTGATGAGGAAATCGATCGTTTCGTCCGGCAGCTCAATGTTGGCATCCTGCAAGCCCGAAGCCTCCTTGGCCTGCGGCGCCAGATAGCCGCGCGCAATGTGTCGCTTCTCGTCGGCCGTGTACGAAGAGACCTCCATCACCTCCATACGGTCCAACAGCGGCTGCGGGATCGTCTCGAGCGTGTTGGCAGTGCAAACGAACAGCACGCGCGAGAGGTCGACGGGGACGTCCATGTAGTGGTCCAGGAACGAGCCGTTCTGCTCCGGGTCGAGCATCTCGAGCAGAGCCGACGAGGGATCGCCGTTGTGGCCTCGTCCGATCTTGTCGACCTCGTCGATGAGGATAAGCGGATTCTCGGTGCCGACCTTCTTGAGCGCCTGGATGGCCTTGCCTGGCATAGCACCTACGTAGGTCCTTCGGTGGCCCTTGATCTCGGCTACGTCGCTGAGACCTCCGACACTGAAGCGGAAGAATTGACGCTCGACAGCGCGTGCGATCGACTTGCCGATCGACGTCTTTCCGACACCGGGCGGTCCGACGAGGCAGATGATCTTGCCTTCCACGGTGCCCTTGAGCTTGCCGACCGCAAGGAATTCAAGGATACGGTCCTTGACGTCGGACAACCCGTAGTGGTCTTCGTCGAGAACGCCCGTGGCGTTGGAGATGGAATAGTTCTCGGGCGAGTGGACGCCCCATGGGATGCTGGTGAGCCAGTCGAGGTATCCACGGGTGACATTGAACTCGCTTGCGGCAGGCTCTAGCGTCTGCAGCTTGTTGAGCTCTTCGTCAAACACCTTGCGAACGGCTTCGGGCATGTTGAGCTGAGCGGCCTTCTCGCGGAATTTTTCGACCATCTTGTCCTTGCCGTCGCTCTCGATGCCGAGCTCCTTCTTGATGCCCTTGAGCTGCTCCATGAGGTAGTACTCGCGCTGTCGCTTCTGGATCTTGGACTCGACGTCCTTGCTGATCTTGCTCTGCAGCTGTGCGTTCATGAGCTCCTTCTTGAGTACCACAAGCGCCTTTTGGAGGCGTTCGCGGATGTCGAGTGCTTCGAGAACGGCCTGCAGCTCGCCCACCTCGCCGGTGGAGACGGCAGCAGCAAAGTCGGCGAGCTTTTCGGGCTCCTCGAACACGTTGCCTGCGCCCTGCGAGATGGAGAAATTGGCGATCTGGTCGCGGAAGAGAGGGTTGAGCTGGGCGATGTCCTTGAAGACGCTGATGAGCTCGGACATGACGGCCCGAATGTACTGGTCGTTGCGCTTGTCATACGGAGCAGCGGCGAGGTTGGTGACGTTGACGAGCGAGACGGCGTAGTCCTGGAGGAACGAGGTCTGGAAGGGTGCAGAATGGGAGGGCATGTCCTTGTCATCGACGGGTGTGACGTCGCTTTCACCTTCGCTTTGTCCTTCGACGGCTGCGGGAGCTGATGGAGGCGAGTTTTGCTGGAGATGCGCTGCAGAAGCATCGTTGACCTCGGGCAAGATGCCGTCGTCTCGCGCCTCTTGCTGGATGTCGTGGACCTTGGCCATGGAAGCGGCCTTGACAGCTTCATTGGCGGCCTCGTCGCTAATGGGATTGGCGGGGCCAGCTCCCTCGGTGCCTGGCGGAGGCGAAGGGATGGTTTGGCCTGTAGGTGTAATGAGTTCGTCGATGCGGATACGTCGATGCGGGTAGAGGACGGCGGTGATACCCTCCTCGTCGTCCGACTTTTCCTCGCCGTCCTTGCCTTTCTTGGATCCTGTCTGACCGCCGCCTTGAACGGGGAACACGCTGGTGACCTGGGCAAAGACACCGACCTTGTGCACTTTGCTGAGGTCGGTGATGACGTCTGCGTCCTCCTCCTCATCTTTGAGCAGGAAGGCGCCGATGTACGGCTGGCCACGCTTGAGAGACTCTTTGATGGCTGCGCATACAGCCTGATTCTTGATGACGACTGCTTTGTAGAAGCCGGGGAAGAGCGGACGTCGGGTGATGGGAAGAGCGAGGACTTGGGGGTATACGGAGGGGACTGTAGAGCGAGCGACCGAGTTGTTCCCTGACCCCGAGCCAGAGCCAGAGCCAGATCCAGAGCCAGAGCCGCTTGCACCGGAGCCAGAGCTAGAGCCAGCACCTGAAGTCGAGGCACCGCCGGTGGCCGACCTACCGGAAGAAGAGGAGCCAGAGGACTCGGCCTTGTTCTCGGATTCGGCAGGCTCCCTTCGCCTTTCGTGCTGCTTTTCGACATCGTGCGTGTCGTCCTCGTTCTCCTCGCCGTCTCTAAGCATCTTTTCGAGCTTCTTCACCCTAGGCAAGAACTGAGGCGTGGAGGTGAATAGGGAGCGTGCACCGATCGATGGTGTCGATGCTGCATCGACAGAAAAGGGTATCCTTGCAGAAGCAAGCCGAGGCGCTGACAACGTACGCGCAATGGCAGTCGAGGACGGGGTGGACGACGACGCGAGACGCCGTGATGTCATGGTGGCAGCGTTGGAGGCCGACGACTTCCAGCGAGCAGCGCTGCCGGCCGCATACCTTTGCGAAGGGATCATGGCTGATCGGTGCTGGTGGAGTTTGGCGTGAGGGATGCCAGCGCGGAATACCCGATGATGGCTTGCGTTGATGGAATGCACTGGCTCGTTGCGGTATTGATGATAAGACAGGAGGAGTCGTGAGGGATGCGGAGAAGGTTGTCGGAAGTCAGGACGATCTTCGGATGGTATCCGAGAGTAGCGAAGGAAGGTCTGAAAGACTGATCAGCTTGACGAAGTTGCACTATTACGCAGCGCTTTGCTCATCCGACTCGAGTCAAAGTCAAGTCGGCGAATTAGTTGGCTTGCCACTTCCCTTTGTGGTGCTCGCGTTATGTGAAACGACGCCTAAATTCCGGCTCAGTCGCAGTCAGGTCGGTCGACCCGGGGGTTCACTCTCATCTTTTGTTCACCCGACGTGCTCAGTGTCAATTGGCTCATCAAAGGTCGAAGTGTCCCTTGACTTCTTCCTGTGTGGCAGCTGAGCCCGACCACGCACCAGCTTGGACGTGGTCATAGACAAGCTGGGTTCCCCTGAAGCTGGACGAAGGCAAGACGATGATAGCTCCGCTCAGCGTCAAGCCTTTGAGTGAGTCGAATGTGGAGGCAGAAAGGCGGAAGAGCCGTCTTACTCACCGATCACCAATAATGCTTAATTTGTTAGAGCGAAGATCCAGGCACCGAAGAGCACGGGCTGCACGCAGTTTCTCTCGTCAGCCTCCAACGGCGACCGCGTTCATTTCGACTGCGCTCGAGTCAAGCAAGAGTACTGTAGCTGGCTGTACGAGAAGAGTGGCGGACAGGAAGCAAGACCCTAAGTTACTCGTAACTCAGCGGAACCGGAGCGTGTTCGGGTTGGAATCGCCTTCGTCTCAACCTTGTATCCCTTCTCTCTTCCCCATCGGCTCTTCGCCTCCGTCCAGCAGTCCTTGTGATTCTCCTTCACTTCGCAGTCTCTGCTTCTCGTGTTTCGGTTCGTCATCAGCCTTTCTTTCAATAGCTTGCTTTCCATCAACCACATTTGCATCTTCCGACCCGGATCCAGCCAACTCTTGCTTTCGGCTGCACGTCTCGCAGACACCCTTCCAGGATCCGCTACAGCTCTCGCTCTTTTGGTTCATCGTATCGCTTTTACGCGTCAAGGTCCGTGACCTCTCGACTATCTCTCTTTCCATCCTCGCTCGTTTTGTTCGCTTTGCTGCATAAGCACATCCGATTGCAACCATGGGTATCCCCAAGTTCTTCCGCTTCATGTCGGAGCGCTATCCGCTCATCAGTCAGCTCATCGAGGACAACAAGATCCCCGAATTCGACAACCTTTATCTCGACATGAACGGCATCATCCACAACTGCTCTCATCCCAACGACAGCGATGCCTCCTTCCGTATAACAGAGACGCAGATATTTTTAGCTGTCTTTGCTTATATAGAGCATCTCTTCAACAAGATCAAACCCAGAAAGGTCTTCTTCCTCGCCGTCGATGGTGTCGCTCCTCGAGCCAAGATGAACCAGCAGCGTTCACGTCGTTTCCGTACCGCAAAGGAGGCAAAGGAGATCAAGGAGAAGGCCGAGCGTCGTGGCGAAGTTCTGCCCGACGAAGAGGCCTTCGACTCCAACTGCATCACCCCAGGTACTCCCTTCATGGCAAAGCTCTCGCAGCAGCTCGAGTACTTTATCGCCAAGAAGATCACCGAAGACGCCGACTGGCGCAACGTCCAGGTCATCCTCTCGGGACACGACGTTCCCGGCGAGGGTGAGCACAAGATCATGGAGTACATCCGTCTCTCCAAGGCCCAGCCGGGCTACAACCCCAACGTCCGCCACTGTCTCTACGGTCTCGATGCCGATCTCGTCATGCTGGGCCTGCTCAGCCATGACCCGCATTTCTGTTTGCTCCGAGAAGAGGTTCAGTTCGGACCTCGTCGCAAGTCCAAGGGAAGCCTTGAATCCCAAAACTTCTTCTTGCTCCACCTCTCCCTCTTCAGAGAGTATCTCGATCTCGAGTTCCAGGATCTTCGGTCCTCGCTGCCTTTCCCATACGAGTTCGAAAGGATCATCGACGATTTCATCCTGCTCAACATCTTTGTCGGCAACGATTTCCTGCCCCATCTGCCCGGCCTACACATCAACGAGGGAGCTATGGACCTCCTCTTCGGCATCTACAAGAAGATTCTGCCCGTCGCCGGTGGCTACCTCAACGAGAGCGGCACTCTGCGAACCGATCGCCTCGAGCTCGTCCTCTCGGAGCTTTGCAACTTTGAGATGGAGCAATTCGAGCGCGACTATGGCGATACTGCTACCCACAAGGCCAAAGTCTCCAAGAAGCAGAAGGCCGTCTCTGCAGCAAAGGCTAAGGGCGGTCTCGTTCTCACCAAATCTCAGCGTGACCTTTTTGACAAGGTGCACGCCTTCGTCATGGCTCAACGACACGACCCAGCTGGCGCTCCCAAAGAGCTCATGGTGCCAGCCGACCTTCCGAACAAGGACAAGCGATTCCTGGAGGATCTCGCTTCCAGCCTCAAGCTGCGCGCCTCGTTCAACAAGATGGATCCTGCGTCCCAGATTCCCGCCATCACCCTGTCCTTCCCCTCCATCGCTCCCGAGGACGATGACACTGACGACGGCCCCTCCGACGAGGACGGCGACGATGAGGATCATGACTCGGACGAGCACGCAACTACCGAAGAGATCGCCGCTGGGAAGAAGTCCACGGGTGCCAAGTCCGAGGCGGATGTCGCCGTCGACCGCGTCCTCGGCCGCTACCTCAAGGCCAAAGTCGACACCGCCAGCGACGAGGAAGGTGATGCAGAGGAGGACTACAAGAAGCGTCTCGACGCTCAGATGACCGCATGGAAGAAAGACTATTACAAGGAGAAGCTCGAGATCGACTACAACAACGATGAGGGCATGTCCAAGCTCGCCTTCCGCTACATCGAAGGTCTTCAGTGGGTGCTCCACTACTACTACGACGGCGTCGCCTCTTGGGGCTGGTTCTACGACTACCACTACGCTCCCAAGATCTCGGATCTCAAGAACGTCGGCCAGATGAAGTTCGAGTTCGATCTCGGCAAGCCGTTCCGTCCGTTCGATCAGCTGATGGGAGTCCTTCCCGCGCTCAGTAACCAGCATATCCCCACCGCCTTCCGCGACCTGATGACCGATCCCAACTCTCCGATCATCGACTTTTACCCTCAGAACTTTGAAGCCGATCTCAACGGCAAGAAACAGGACTGGGAGGCTGTCGTCAAGATTCCCTTCATCGACGAGAAGCGCTTGCTCGAAGCCCTCGACAAGCGCGAAGTGTACCTTGGCATCGAGGAGCGCAAGCGCAACGGCTTCGGCCACAGCCGCGAGTTCACCTACAACGAGAAGGAAGAGTCCTTCTTCCCTTCGAGTCTTCCCGGTACCTTCCCAGATCTCGTCCACAGCCGCGCCAACGTCAAGAACTTCGATCTACCCACGCTCAACGGCCTCCGCCTCGTCAAGGGCCTCCCCCAGGGCGTCGAGCTCGGCGTGCGCGCCCTCGCCGGTTTCCCTTCGCTCAAGACGCTTCCCCATTACGGTCGTCTCGGTCACCACGGTGTCAACATCTTCCAGTCCGAGTCCAAGGGCGTGAGCATGGTCGTCACCATCGAGAACGCCTACGAGGACGCCAAGACCGAGACCATCGCTGCCGCCATGATCGGCAACCGCGCCTTCCTCAACTGGCCCTTCCTTACCGAGGGTCTCGTGGTTGGTGTCTCGGACAACCTCTTCCGCTACGAATTGGGTATGGTCGGTGGTCAACAAAAGGTCATTGCCAACCCTCATCAGGGTGCCAGTCTCTCGGATTTCCAACGCAAGGCTGAGCGTGCAGAGTACCACTACAGCAAACGGATGGGTGTGCTGATCGGCGACGTCGATGTGCTCGTCCACATTCGTCCGCTCAAGGGTCTCAAGCGTCTCGACGACGGTGCCTTTATCAAGGACTACGAGGACAGCCCTAAGAAGGAGATTGACCAGGCCGTGCAGGTGACCGTTTCCAACGTCGTCCACGACGATACTCGTTTCCTCGAGTCGCCTGCCAAGCCTATCCGCGAGGAGTACCCAGACAAGACCAGGATCTTCTTCCTGGGTGCCAACGCCTACGGTACGCCCGCGCACGTCGTCGGCAGCACCGACGCTTCGCTCGCCATCGAGGTGGCCTTCTTCCCCAACCAGGCCAAGGAGAACGCTTATCTTCGCGATCTCGTGAGCAAGCGTGCTCGCGTCAACTACTTCCCTTCTTACCAAGTCGCCAAAAGGTGCGGCATCACCTCCCTCGCTCTGGCCAAGCTCACATCGAGCATGATGCTCGCATGGAAGGATCAGAAGGTCAATGTGGGTCTCCGACTCAAGTTCGAGGCCAAGGGTGAGAAGGTGCTCGGATACTCGCGCAAGTCGGCCGCCGGATGGGAGTTCTCTGAGAAGACGCTCGAGCTCGTCAAGGAGTACGTGCAGACCTTCCCCGAGATCGCCAACATGCTCAGCCAGAGGTCCAATGTCGACATCACGCGAGCCACGCAGATCTGGGACGAGTCGGTCGTCGACGAAAAGATGGCGCAGCTCAAGGACTGGATCAAGGCCAAGGGTGTTCGCGACCTCGAGACCGTGCCTTTGTACGCCGAGCAGCTGTCGAAGGAGACGGTGCAGAACATCGAGGCATTCACCGCACGTCTCGTCGACACGCGAACTGCCATTGGCGCTGCCAGCCAAGTCAAGCGCGTCTTCATCAAGGGTATCCCGCGCACCGCGCTTCTCAAGCCCAGCCACGCTCCTTTCCGTCTGCAAGCGCAGAGGTTCGAGCTCGGTGACCGTGTCATCATGGTGCAAGACAGCGGCAATGTTCCGCTCTCGGCGCGCGGTGTTGTTGTCGGCATCAACAGCAACTCGCTCGAGGTGGTGTTTGACGTGCCTTTCCTCAGCGGCACCACGCTCGGCGATCGATGTGCTCCTTACAAGGGCGCCACCGTCTCCTTTGTCAGCGTGCTCAACTTGACGCAGCCTCAGTTCGTCTGTGCCGGCACTACCGGCGCGAGCGACACGAGTGCTTCGGTCGGCAACGCTCTCGAGAGGACGCTAGGCCCGATCGGCGGCACGGGCAGTGCGCAGAGCAACGGCAACGGTGCTCATGGTTACGGTGCGGGCAACAGTGCCTACAGGCCGGTGAACCACTTTACCCCCTCCGCGGGCGCTCAGAATGGTCGAGGCGGCAGCACGCAGATCCTGCAGCGACCTCAGCAGCGCCACGCTCCTGTCTCTCAAGATGTGGCCTTCTCCGGAGTCGCCAGCGGTGCGCACAAGCCTACGCGAACGGCAGCCTCGTCACAGCAGGTGGAAGAGATCAACCCGATCATGGCTGCTCTCGGAATTCGACCGCCGACCAACGGAAATGGCCATGGTCCTGCCCGTGGTGGTGCTCGCCCTCCTCGCCCGCAGCCTCAGCAGCCTCAGCAGCCCGCTGTCCCCGGTGCGTTCGCGAACGGTCCTCGCGGCCGTGGTGGACGAGGTGGAGGGGCTGGTCGTGGCCGCGGTGCTCCAGCTCCTCGCGGTGGCGCTCGTGGTGGCCGCGGTGGTGCGGCGGGCCAGTGAGTGCGTCACCATCTTCCAATACGAGTTGTCTTGCTTTGCCGAATCATCTGAGCCTGTCCTTGCCCGTCAACACATGAGCAGAGTGTCGAAGTTTGAGAAGAGTTTTGAGACCTTGATTTGGAATGGTGCTTTTTTCAGGGCGACGTTGATGATTTTGTCTGAAGCACGATGTTTAGCCGGCAGCGGATTTTGAGTGGAGGGTGAAGTCATTCTGCTTCTAACGGCAATACACTTTGGACTACTCTTTGTGATTGGATCGAGAAGGTCGTTTCTTCCGAAGAACTGGAGCGGATTCGGCGGAAAGGTAGCTAGCTGACTGCACCGTCCACCACTCTGTTTGGACCTTTGAGACCTTCACCCTAGGTTTGAGACGAGATCGCAACGTCCCTCCGAAACCAAACCTTGTCGCCCGCCGAAGGATGTCGATACCGCAACAGACTCAGGCGTACAAGCTGCGCAGCTTCGACAAGAGCCTCGATGGCCTTGTCCTGGACTCGGACGTCCCGCTGCCTTCCGAACTCGGTCCGACAGAGGTGCTCGTGGAGGTGCATGCAGTATCACTCAATGCTCGGGACTACCAGATAGCAACGGGCACATATCCTGCTCCCACGACGCCGCCGTCCGGCTTGATCCCGGGTTCCGACGCTTCCGGCATTGTCCTGGCAACTGGATCGGCTGTCAGCACCGTCAGAAGCGGAGACCGTGTAGTCACGCACCTCACCTCTGACTGGATCCACGGCAAACTCGGCAACGAGATGCAAACTCGTGCTCTCGGTGGCGGTATCGATGGAGTGCTAGCTAAGCACGTTGTTTTAGATCAGTACAATGTGCTTCCCATTCCGGACCATCTGAGCTTCAGGCAGGCTGCCTCGCTACCTGTGGCTGGACTGACGGCGTTCCACTGTCTCTTCGGTCATGCGGGCAACACCTTGCAACCGGGTCAGACTCTGCTGGTCGAAGGAACGGGAGGAGTATCGATCGCAGCGCTTCAGCTAGCGCTCGTCACCGGTGCCCGTCCCATCGTCATCTCCAGCAGCGACGAAAAACTCCGTCTCGTCCAATCCCTCGGTGTCCCCACCCAAGATTGCATCAACTACACCTCCGACACAAGGTGGTGGGAGACCGTCAAATCCCTCACCCCGCGTGGTCAAGGTGTAGATCACACGATCGAGATCGCCGGTGGCTCGACCCTGACCAAGGCTCTACTCGCGACCAAATCCTACGGCTCAGTATGGATCGTTGGGTATATGGATGATTACAAATCGTCTGAGAAGGTAGATGAGGGTTTGCCGGATTTCGCAAAGGCAGTGCTGTATTCGCAGGCCAACGTCCAGGGCGTCGTCTGTGGAAGCTACAGGCTGTTCCAACAGTATCTCGACGCTCACCAACAGGCAGAGCAGAATGTCCAACGAGGAACGTCCAAGAGAAACCCACTCGATCCGCTCGTCATCGAAGATCAGGTTTCCGACTGGTCGCACGCCAAGAAGGCGTTCCAGCTGCAAGGATCGGGAAAGTTTGTCGGAAAGATCATCATCGACGTCGTCTCCTCCTAGATATCGCTGTACCTCCTAACACCCAACTATCCGATCACATCGTCGTGTTCTAAGGATAAAGTTCTTTGATTGCTGAGACAGAACAAGATGGGGAATAAGAAAGAAATCAAGTCTTTCGCGGGGCGAATGGTTATCAAAGGGAAAATATCGCTGGTGTTCCTAAAGATCGAGATGCTTCGAGCGCTGGAGAGCATGTCCACTGCGCGCATGGACATCTCGAACAGACCGAATTGAAGAGGAAGAGAGCATATCTGGGATACCGTATTCGGCATGTCGTGGACACCGTTCATTATCTCCAGATGTTGAGGCATGGTATAAGAAGCTGTCGGGCGCGAGTTACCGGGACCTTCGAAGCTTAGTGCCTGTTCTTGTTTTCTCTCTCGGCCTGCTTGATCCTCTCCTCGAGCGTCTTGGACTTGTGAAGCTGCGAGGCGGTGAGACGTTCGCGCTCGGCGTTGGCAGCGCGGTCAGAGTACCTCATTCCGTCGGCGACGGAGCCCTGGTAGGAGGAGGTGGTTCGGTGCAGCTCGGTGTTGTTCTTGCCCGGGTTGGTGTCGGTGCGCTTCATCTTCTTCCCATCGGAAGGACTGGACATGCAGGAACCCTGTTGCGAGGGATGGTCGAGATCGGACGATAGCGGACGAGTTGAAACGCGAAGAGAGGCAATGAAAATGGACATGAATCGTCAGTATGTCGGGTCGTCGACTGGCAGCAGATATTGATCGGACGACAGCGATTGGGCCTCTCGGTCGGACTGCCTTTGATGCTTTGTCGTCATCTCGTTGCGGAACTTACCATCTTGAAGAAATGTGCAGGTGGTGAGAGTTTTCGTGTGTGTTTGCGATGACGATGCGTGAGGTGTCAGAACTTGCAGAGAATCGAGCAAGCTGATATGGATACGTTGGAGCGTTTGGGTGGATGTAGCGATGGATGAGGAGTGATGGTGGTGAGCGAGCAACACAAGCGATTGTGCACGATAAAGGACGCAGCAATCTAGAGCTGTGGGCTGTGTTGCGGATAAGTCTCTCACACACAGAGTAAGCAAGAGCGGAGACGCAATCCAAAAGTGGACAGAGCGGCTCTTGGGCCATCCGCTCCTTAGGCTTGCAAAGAGAAACTCCACAACACAAGCGCTCAGCTCTTTTTTTGCCTGCAGCATGCATGATGAGGGAAAGTTTCAAATTGCTTGCAGCTAAAATGAATTTCAGGACAGATTACAATCTGGGCAAGACTACAAATTCAACTTGTAAAGCTGCAGCGAAACCGCGCCCGGCACGAGAGGGCTGCCTCTCGAACGGCAAGGATGCGAGGTCAGAAGTCTACCTTTTCTCTCCCTTGAGCCCAGGGTCTGAGTGCCGCCCCACCGCACGCTCCCTTCCCATCCAATGGACAGGTGCTGCAACCTATTTTGGCGAGATGCGATATAGACTTGCCGGCTGCCAACCCGTGGCACGCGGGTCCTTCGATGCGCTTCCCATGCTTCTTCTCGAAGCCTCGTTGCAAGCAAACCACACAAAGTTCCGTCCGACTACGCACAGAGTTGAGTTAAAGTCATGACACGATCTGCAAGTGATCGCAATCAATGGGCCGGGAGCGACGTTTGCATGCACAGCCCATCGAGTGCCAAGCAACACATGACGCAGCAAGTGTACACTGTAGAATATCGCGGCAATTGACATCCGGATACAGACGTCGACGCCGAAGAAGCTGCCGCTGCGCTTTTGCAACCTAACACCCCCTTTGTCCGGCTCGATTCCGCTCAGGCGCTCGTCTGTCGGCACACTCCCTTGCAATTCTCTCTCGGCATGGGGGACAATGGTGGGTGATACTTCAATGCATTGAAAGCTGAACTGCAAACTAGTGTGAAGCGGTGAACTCAGGGGTCGGGTAGAGCTTGCCCGGGTTGAGCAGCATTTTGGGATCAAAGGCCAACTTGATCGCCTTCATGAGACGGATCGTGCCGGCGGGGAGCTCCTTTTCGAGGAACTCGATCTTGCCCATGCCGACGCCGTGTTCGCCCGTGCAGGTGCCCTCGAGCTTCTGCGCACGTTCGCACAACCTTCCAACGACCTCGGTGGTGATGCGCGTCTGTTCTTCGTCGTGGGCGTTGAAGGGGATGAGGGCGTGGAAGTTTCCATCTCCTGCATGGCCGACGATCGCAGTACCTGTAAGTCCGGACTCTTGGAAGTCCTGCTGCGATTCTCTTACCAGTCGAGGCAACGCCGAGATGGGAACGCACACGTCCGTGGTCCACACCTTGAAACCTGGTGCATCGTTCGTCGCTGCCACTGCCCACAGAGCCGCCTTCCTGCCCTCCCAGATCTTGGCCGCGCTCTGCTTGTCGGTTTCAAACACCACGCTCTCCTTCTTGGCGCCAAACTTGACCGCGGCTCGTGTGATGGCTTCCTTGGCTTCCGCGACAGCCGCTTCACCACCGCTCAGCTTGAAGAAGAGCGAATCCTTCTCGTCGTACGAACGACCGCACAGGTTCGACTGGTTGATGGTTTGGATCATCTTGTAGTCGAGCAGCTCGATGCACTGTACTGGGATGCCCGACAATAGGATCTCGTTGACGGTCTGCGACGCCGCTTCGACGTTAGGGAAGCTCGCGACGGCGACGGCATCGGCGGGCATCTTGGGTGCGAGTCGCAACGTCGCTTCTGTGACGATACCGAGCGTACCTTCGGCGCCCACGATGATCTTGCCAATGTCGAAACCCGCCGAGCTCTTTCTCGCACGACCTCCGCCGCGAGTGGAAATGACCTCACCGTTGGCAAGCACCACCTTCATATCGAGGAAGTGCTCGCCTCTTGCGGTACCGTAGCGCACGGCGTTGGTGCCCGAACATCCGGTCCCAATCATACCGCCGATGGTGGCGCCCGGACCAGGGTCGAGAGGGAAGAAGAGTTGGTTGCCATTCTTATCGCAGTACTGGTTGATTGTCTCCCATCCGATACCTGCCTGCACCACCATGTCGCCGTCTTCAGGGTGGAATGCCAGCACCTTGTCCATCCTGCTCATGTCGATCGAGATGCCGGCAAAAGGTGCTACGTAGTGACCCTCGAGACTTGTACCGCCGGAGAAGGGTACGATGGGCATGTGGTACTTGTTTGCGATGCGGACCACCGCCTGAACATCCGGAGTATCGCGCACGTATACTGCGACCGAAGGCTTGGTGCCCTCGGACGAGCTGCGGTGGCCATTCTCGTCGATACCACGTCGCTCGAGTTCGTCATCGTCAGTGGTGACATGATCGTCCCAGTCTTCGCCTTGTGAGGTAAAGTAGGCTTTGAGCTCCTCGATGGCTGCTTCGAAGTCCTCTTTGCTGCCGTAGGAGAATGGAAGCTGAGGATCGTCGTAAGGATAGCCTGCGATGGGTTTTGCTGCCTTGGGGCCGTCTAGGCTGATCTTGCTGGAGTTTTTCTTGTCCCTAGCACCGCTTTGTCGCGAGAGATAGAAGGCATTGGCACCGAAACCGATGGCGAGGAGGCCAAGCACCAAGTTGCGCGTGCTGGAAGCACTGGATGTCGAGCCTTGGGCTACGGAAGGATTCTGTGTGCTTGAGCTGGCCTGTCGACGGGCTGAAGAGGCCAAGAATCGGCGGCTAGGATTCGTGGGGGCAACCAGGTTACTCCGAGCCGCTCTGAGAACCCGCATCGAGACGCGGTGTGTTGATGACATGCTGATCTTGTGGCTATCCACCTGGCTGAGAGGAGACGACTCGACGAGAAGATGAGGGGAAAGCGAGCAGGTGGAAACCTAGCAAGCAGGCCTGCTTAAGAAGGTTGGTTGGCACGGTGGAACCTCCGACCATCGCAATGGCCGGCGAACTGCTTGTTTCTGTAGTGGCTGAGACCGCTTCTGCGGGATAGGGTTCGTCGGTGCTGCTCGCATTTAGGCCGAAGCGAGACCTTGTCGCCGCAACCAGAGGTTTGCTTGGGTTTGACGATTTTGCCTTCCCCACCACCGCTGCTCGGCAAATGAATTCCCCGCTCTTTCGACCCTTGATTAAATAAGTGGGAAAGAAAGATGAGAAAAATTTGTAGAGTCTAACATGATAAGAAAAACTTTGCTCATCCTTCTCTCCGCATCTCACTTTCATCGGGCAAGGGGCGTTCTTGATCGGAAATGTCAAGCATCGCCTCCCTGCATGCACGCTGCATTATATTGGTCGACTTCCAGATGACTCCATGGGCAGAGCACGATCAAGCCGGGACCTGCGAGGCATGCCTCTGTGTGACAAACGCAAATGTACAGGCTGCGCCTGCACCGGTTGGATGGGAGTTGATGTATGGTATTTCGATAGTAGCGGCCTTGACAAAAGAAGGCCACTAATGATGTGTGCAATGCTTTTTTCGGGTTGCGATCTGAGTAATCATGCTTCACTTGGCAGCAGACTCGGCCTTCTTGGCCTTCTCCTTGGCTGCTTCCTTCTGCGCCTTTTCGTAGACCCAGTCGTTGAGGCCGCGGCGGCAACGTGCGATCTCGTATACGTAGAATTGAAGCCGCGTGACTGTTCCAGAGTGAAAGCGATGCAGGCAGGAAAGCAGATGTCGGAGAAAGGTGTAGGAAAGGAAAGTACGGCAGGTCCGTGAATGAGGCATGAACAGAAGTTGAGAGGTCAAAGGTCAGGAAATGTCAGAGAGATGTTTCGAGAGTAAGACGTGGGCTGTGAACACGTACCAAAGGTGGTGTTGAACTGAGTGTACTCGTCGGACGCATCGGTGCGGATCAAGGTGCCAAAGTTGAAGTCGGCGACCTTGTTCTCGTACTTGTTGATGAAGAGTCTCCACTTTTCCTTGCCGGCGGGGCTCTTCATAGCCTCTTCGTCGATCTTGAGCACCGACTTGGGGTCACCAGACTCAGCAAACTCTGGGAACGAGGCCTGAAAGTCTTCGTACATCTCGTCATCAATCTTGGTCAAGCGAAGCGTCGAAGGCTTGATCTTCTCCAAGAGATTCCAGTAGGTCTGAGCGTGCTCGACACATCGAACTGCCATTTGCTTCTCGATCTCGGGCAAATTTTGCGCCTTGTTGGCGTCGAAAGTTCCAGTCGACATGTTGCTGACGTGCTGCGTATGCGAAGAGGAAACAAACTTGTAAGGACGGTAGTGACGGTGAAGAGAGAGAGGAGGCAAGGGCCCGTTCGCAGAGCAACTGTCACCTTGAAGTTCTCAAATTTAGAGCTAGGAGGTGCGTGCTCGAACTGTCAAGAGAAGCTGGAAATGCACCAGACAGCATAGCCGTTCTCGGACGGGACTCACATCGAAGCGCCGCCGCAAATCCGCGACTTCTGGCCACGTCGCATGAGCCAGTTGCAGAAGATCAATGTTAGGTCGACATGTCGTAATTTCCGGAACTCCTAGAATGGTTTGTCGCCGGACGAAGTTGAGCAATTTAAAGTGGCTCGGCTGCAGTGCCTGCATCACTCTCGGCGAAGGCCAACAACCGCGCGCTCTTCCCAAGCTGATCTGGGTCAAAAGCTCGCCGAGCCGATTGATCGAAAATTGATGCAAGCCGCAGAGGCGCACAAGATGGCCGCTGCCGGTGAGTGTGTGTTACTCTTAGGGTCCAAGAGCCAAGCGTGCCATGCCTCGACCACCTATCAGTTGATCCCTCCGCAAGCCCGCCGAGAGTGAGCGAGTTAGCAGCACGGCTCAATTGACTTACACACTGACTGCACGTCAACACCACGCGAATTCAAAGCTTCTCGGAAACTGCCTTCCCGTCCCTGCACCTCCTTCGACTCCGACGCTATCACACAGGATCAGTACCGTACGACCGTTATTCATTGGCAACGATTGCCTCTTCTGCCGCCGCTTAGCAGACGACAACAATACACTCCTTGCCCACGTCCGCTCCAGTTTGGATCCGCCACGCGCTTGTGTCGATCCGCACGTCGACAGCACAAAATTTTAGTGTTGGTCTCCCAAGCAACACCTTTCTTCTCGGCTGCGAACACGACCGTATCAGCCTCCCTTCTCACCACCATCCTCTCGACCGACGAAGATCGTAACGTCGGACTGCACTCCTCTCGGCGCCATGTCCTCCGGCAACAGATCCTTCTTTGCTCCTCAAGAGACGCGAGTCGAGCTTCCACACGGCGCAAGCAACCAAACGCCTGACATCACACGCCCGGCGAGTCCATCAGAGAATGATCGCGCTCCTTTCCTCAACGGCAGCTCCAGCGACGATCGCGAAGACGTGCGCATGGGCGCCAAGGCTCTTCGCCACGACTCGGAAAAGCCTGCTGTCGGTATCGCGGCGTTGGCACCCATCCTCAGCTACTGTGCGGCCAGTATCACCATGACGGTCGTCAACAAGTTTACCGTCTCGGGCGCCGGCTTCAACATGAACCTCCTCGTTCTCCTCATCCAGTCCACCGTCGGCGTCGCCTGTGTCTGGATCGCCGAGCGCGCTGGTCTCATCCAGCTTCGTGGCCTCAATTCGAAAGATGCCTGGAACTGGATGCCGCTCAGCACCATGCTCGTCTTTGTCATCTGGACCGGCAGCAAGGCGCTCCAGCACCTCAACATTTCCGTCTACACCATCTTCAAGAACCTCACCATCATCTTGATCGCCTACGGAGAGGTCATGTGGTTCGGCGGCCGTGTCACCCGGGTCATTCTGTGCAGTTTCCTTCTCATGGTTCTTTCATCCGTCATCGCAGCCTGGTCCGACATCTCGAACGTCTTTGCTATCGGCAACCTCTCGATGCCCCACACTCCGGATTCCATCGCCAGTGGCATGGCCAAGGATCCCGTCACGGGTGCTCTCGTTCCTGCCTTTGACCCCCTCAAGGCAGAAAAGGACGCGATAAACGCTCAGTTCCAGAGCGCCTCGGCCAACGACGTCATTGAGGGCTTCCAGGGCTACGGTCTTCTCTCGAGCGGCTACCTGTGGATGGCGCTCAACTGCATCTGCAGTGCCTCCTACGTCTTGCTCATGCGCAAACGCATCAAGGTCACCGGCTTCAAGGACTGGGACACCATGTTCTACAACAATTTCCTCAGCATCCCCGTCCTGTTCCTCATGTCGTTCCTCGTCGAGGACTGGTCGGCCGCCAACTTGCACAAGAACTTCCCGGACGACAAGCAGACCAAGCTTATCTCGGCCATCGTTTTCTCAGGTACTTGCGCTATCATGATCAGCTACACAACCGCCTGGTGTATTCGTGCCACTTCGAGCACCACCTACAGCATGGTGGGTGCCCTCAACAAGCTTCCCGTAGCGCTCAGCGGTATGGTCTTCTTCCACGACCCTCCCGTCACGCTCTCGAGCGTCAGCGCCATTTCGGTTGGATTCTTCGCTGGTCTCGTCTATGCATTCGGCAAGAACAAGCAGGCCGAGGCTGCCAAGCTCGCCAGCAGCTCCTCCGCAAATGGCAGCTCGGCTCTGTCCGGGTCCAAGGATGGCTCTAGTCTGCCCATGCACAACCTCAACGACAGGAAGGATTGATGATCAGCCGTGCAACTTCCAAAAATTCAATAGACACATTTCGCTTCGCATCGTAGGGACTGACTCAAGGATGTGAACAATTGTCACTCTTGCCGAAGATCGACAAGTTCGGTGAGGGGCGGATACAAAGGTACAACACAGCGCTCAACATCGACACACTCTCTTTTCAGACAGCTGTGCGATCAACAGGTCTGAATGTGAGACGATTCCGCGCATTTTTTTGAAATGAAGTGAGCGCACATCCAATTCACATGCGCAAGCTTCCGATCGTAATCTTGCCAAGAGAGGCACCTGTGATCATAGCAAGGGGACGATGGCTAGCCATTCAATTGAGTACATCTAGTACACGTGAAGCGAGCTCGGCGGCTGCAAGCAACAATCTTGGAGAGTGCAAAGTAACCATACATCGCTTCCGGTCATCTCTGTGGGTGCTGGTCCGATGCATCTCGCAGGTTGAAGAGGTAGTCATCGTCTGTGGCTGAGCCGTTTGGTATCCGATTCCCACAACGTCTGACCGATACTAAATGCTCTGCAGCTAAGCCGTCGACGATAAGTTTACACTTCGTGATGACGGGATGCATCGTTAAGACGTCGAGAGGTTCAGCAACGTGCTGCGGGTCCTTTTGAAGTTCACTATTTAATTCCTTCGACTCAGGATGTTACATCACCAGATTGATCAAATTCTGAAAATCGGAGACTGGACACGGCACAGCGCTCGAGCCAGCTGAGCTGAGCCGCGTCAGTGATCGAGCTTGCGTGGCATGTGAACTGCGCACAGTAGCGGCGGTCTGGCGCCACAAGAACTCAGCCGGCCCTCCACTTCAACACTTGTCTCCACGCTTCTTCCACTTGCCTCAACACCATCAACCTGTTGAATCATGTCGGATCCCGCCCCTTCCAACCCGCCCAAGCCGGCGCCCGCCGACGACAAAGAGGAGGTCGCGACCGCCATTCTACGCACCAAGAAGTCTCCCAACAGACTCTTCATCGAGGAGTCCACCACGGATGACAACTCGGTAGCATGTCTGTCGGCGGCCAAGATGGACGAGCTCGGACTCTTCCGCGGTGATACGATCTTGATCAGGGGCAAGAAGCGCAGAGACACTGTGCTGATCTGTCTCTCTGATGAGAACACCGAAGACTCCAAGATCCGCCTCAACAAGGTCGCCCGCAACAACCTGCGCGTCAAGCTCGGTGACCTTGTCTCTGTTCACGCCTGCCACGACATCAAGTACGGCAAGCGCATTCACGTACTCCCCTTCGACGACAGCGTCGAGGGTCTCACCGGAAACATCTTTGACGTCTACCTTAAGCCCTACTTCCTCGAGGCCTACCGCCCCGTCCGTAAGGGCGACACTTTCACGGTACGCGGTGGTATGCGAGCCGTCGAGTTCAAGGTCATCGAGACCGACCCTGCCGAATTCTGTATCGTTGCGCAGGACACCGTCATCCACACCGAAGGCGAACCCGTCAAGCGCGAGGACGAGGAGGCCAACCTCTCGGATGTCGGCTACGACGACATTGGTGGCTGCCGAAAGCAGATGGCTCAGATCCGCGAGATGGTCGAGCTGCCGCTGCGCCACCCGCAGCTCTTCAAGTCGATCGGTATCAAGCCTCCTCGTGGTGTGCTCATGTACGGTCCCCCCGGTACCGGTAAGACGCTCATGGCGCGTGCCGTCGCCAACGAGACCGGCGCCTTCTTCTTCCTGATTAACGGTCCCGAGATCATGTCCAAGATGGCCGGAGAGTCCGAGTCGAACCTGCGCAAGGCGTTCGAGGAGGCCGAGAAGAACAGCCCCGCCATCATCTTCATCGACGAGATCGACAGTATCGCACCCAAGCGTGAAAAGACCAACGGCGAGGTCGAGCGACGTGTCGTCTCGCAGCTTCTCACCCTCATGGACGGTCTCAAGGCTCGCTCCAACATTGTGGTCATGGCTGCCACCAACCGACCCAACTCCATCGACCCCGCCCTCCGACGATTCGGCCGATTCGACCGCGAAGTCGACATCGGCATTCCCGACCCCACTGGACGTCTCGAGATCCTGCGCATCCACACCAAGAACATGAAGTTGGCCGAAGACGTAGACCTCGAACAGATTGCCGCCGAAACGCACGGTTACGTCGGTTCCGATGTGGCTGCGCTCTGTTCCGAAGCCGCCATGCAGCAGATCCGCGAAAAGATGGATCTGATCGACCTCGACGAGGACACGATCGATGCCGAGGTGCTCGACTCGCTCGGCGTCACCATGGAAAACTTCCGCTTCGCTCTTGGCGTGTCCAACCCTTCGGCCCTCCGCGAGACCGTCGTCGAGGTGCCCACCACCACCTGGAAGGACATCGGTGGTCTCGACAAGGTCAAGCAGGAGCTGCAGGAGACTGTGTCGTACCCCGTCGAGCACCCAGAAAAGTTCCTCAAGTACGGCATGGCACCTTCGAAGGGTGTCCTCTTCTACGGACCTCCTGGTACCGGTAAGACGCTGCTCGCCAAGGCCATCGCCAACGAGTGCCAGGCCAACTTCATCTCGATCAAAGGTCCCGAGCTGCTCACCATGTGGTTCGGTGAGTCCGAGGCCAACGTGCGAGACGTCTTTGACAAGGCGCGTGCCGCCGCCCCGTGTGTCATGTTCTTCGACGAGTTGGACGCCATCGCCAAGTCGCGAGGTTCGTCGTCGGGAGACGGTGGAGGAGCCGGTGACCGTGTCATCAACCAGATTCTTACCGAGATGGACGGTGTCAGCTCGCGTAAGAATGTCTTCATCATTGGTGCTACCAACCGACCCGACCAGATCGACCCTGCCATCCTGCGCCCCGGTCGTCTGGACCAGCTGATCTACATTCCTCTGCCCGACGAGCCATCGCGTCTGTCGATTCTCAAGGCGACGCTCAAGAAGTCGCCCATCGCCGAGGACGTCGACCTTACCTTCCTTGCCAAGCACACACACGGATTCTCTGGTGCCGATCTTGCCGAGATCTGCCAGCGTGCTGCCAAGCTCGCCATCCGCGAATCGATCGAGGCCGACATCAAGCGCGAGCGCGAGCGTATCGAGAAGAAGGAGGCCAACGCTGGCGAAGGCGAGGTCAAGATGGAGGAGGACGTCACGGCAGGCGCTGCTGCCGAGGAGGAGGAGGACGACCCCGTCCCGGAGATCACCCGGGCCCACTTTGAGGAGGCGATGCGCTTCGCACGCAGGTCAGTCTCGGACGGCGACATTCGCCGATACGAGCTGTTTGCGCAGAACTTGCAATCGGCGCGTTCGTTCGGTACTTCGTTCCGCTTCCCAGAGGGTCAGAACCCAGGGCAGACGGGCGGTGCTGGCGGTGCGGGTGGAAGTGGCGGAGGTGCAGCATTCGGCAACGACGATGCCGGTGATGACGACCTCTACGCTTGATGCATTTGCGCTGTTGTAGATGATGTCAGTTGTGTCTTGTTTTCAGAATGAATTCAAAAGTCTCTTTTCCAAGCCTTCAAGCCTGGTTGATCGACACGCTGTAGGGCACAGGCTGATTGGCTGGAAGCAAGGTGTTGAGGTGTTCCTGATGTATGCGCATTTACAGAGGGTGTAAGAGTACAGATATGAGCGAGCGAGAAGAATTGGGAGAGAGATGAGATGATGTGAGAGGACGTCTAACGATCAACTTGTCGGAGGGCGAGTCGTTTGATCCTGAAGAGCGTCGTGAAGGTGTGGAGCGAGGAAATGGTGATGGCTGTTGACTGTCTACTTTGCCTTTTTGGCGTCTGCGAGCTCCTTTGCCTGCTGTCTCCTCTTCTTCTCTGCCTCGACGGCGTCCTGTCTTTCGAGGTACCATTCGCTGATCTGGAGGACGAGTACACCGACGAGGAGGACGATGCAGATGGTGTTGCTTGCGCTGACGATTCTGATGGCGGCGACTTTTTCGTCTTGGGTCATTGGGCCGTCGCTGGGCTTGAAATCGCTCTCTCCCTTGTTGAACGCCTCGAGCTGGGATTGACGCTGGGTCGCGATGGCCGAGTTCCAGACGAGCTTTTCGTTGGTGGGATCCGCGATCAATCGCAGGTTGGGTACGGCTACACCGAGGTACATGCAGATGGCACCCATGAAGAGGGCGAGCGATCCTCCGTCAAAGTACTTTGCCATTTCGTTCCATCGATGCAGCTTGGCGATCAGACCGATGACTCCAAGTCCCATCATGCCGTGAAGCAGAGCGGTGACGGCGAGAGGTGCATTGAAGACGGAAAGGTAGAAGCGTTCGGCAGCTTCGATGGCGGAATCGGAAAGGTTGGAGAAGTAAAGCAGAGGGAAGTCGTAGATCGAAGCGATGAAGATGACACCGAAGAGGAAGGAGGTCGAGGAGATGACAAAGCCGCTGCGGAAGCCCATCTTGACGGAGGAGTGGTCCTGTGATCGGATCCTGGAGAGGATGGGGCGAGATCTGGATGGGATTGATGGTGTTGGTGGTGGGGAAAGGAGGGGGAGGCGGAGGACAATAGAGCTTTCTGATAGCAAGAAGAAGCTGCAAGGCCCAATCAAATTGACGTTTGGAATTATCCACGAGCACGAAGCACGCACAGACGCTGAATCCAAAAACTAGGGTCTCGACCGCTCTCTTTTTCCCTCCACTCTCTCTGTCTCTCTGTTTCTGTCTCTCTTTCTCTCTCCTTCTCTGATCAGCGTCTCAGACTATACTAACACGGCTCTGGTCGCTCGCCGCCAAGATGACAATACGAGCCGCGCTCATCGTCAACAACCACGGCAAACCACGGCTCACAAAGTTCTACACCCAGCTCCCCGCCTCGCGCCAACAAGCGCTCATCAAAGAGATCTTCCGTCTCGTCTCGAAACGACCCGAAGGCGTCTGCAACTTTCTCGACGCAACCGAGCTCACCGCACTCCTCCCCCCGCCTGCCGATGCAGTTGGATTCTCCTCGTCGCTGAACAAGTCCAAAACCGAAAAGGATCCTTCTTACTCGTCCTCATCATCATCCTCGTCCTCCTCTTCGGATCAACTCCGCGTGATTTACCGACACTACGCTACGCTGTACTTCGTCTTTGTCGTCGACTCGAGCGAGTCCGAGCTGGGCATCTTGGATCTCATCCAGGTGTTTGTTGAAAGTCTCGACCGGTGTTTTGAAAACGTCTGCGAGCTCGACCTCATCTTTCACTTTGACGAAGTGCACGCCATTCTCAACGAGGTCATCCAAGGCGGTCTAGTTGTAGAGACGAACATCAACGAGATCGTAGCAGCGGCACAGACGACGGCGAGAGCGAGGAAGGCTTCCGTGGCTCAATCTGGCGGTGCTGGTGGTATGGCAGCCGGTGCAGCTGGATTAGCGAATCTCAACCCGGCGAGCTTGAATCTATCAATACCGGGTACGAATACCTCGATCCCTTGGCCAAGAGGGACATTCATGGTCGACGCTATATCCAACCTCGGCAATCAGTATTTGGGTAGGTCTGGTGGGCGGCGATGAGACGTTCCACTTCACCCAGCATTCACGGGCTTCCTTTCTCCCAGCCTTGCATCTGTACTTTTAGCAATCACCTCTAATCACCTGCGCCATCCTCGATCGCAGCTCATTCATTCGAACTTCGAGCATATTGACAGTGACTGAGACGACAAATTCAGATTGTTGCTGGTAAAAACGGACAGAGTACATGTGTGCGATTTTGCGCGCGGTATTAACATGATGGGGTAGGAAGGAGAGATCGACCAAGGAAGGAACGGATCTCTGAGTTTGAGTTTTCAGGGCATGCCTTGATGTGTGTGTGTGTGTCGGACCGCGATCTGCTCCGAAGGTGAGTGTGAACAAATGCAAACATCTAATGAACGAAGAAAGGGGGGCGTGGATGAAGAGCGGACCGGGTCGTTCGCAACAGGGCTGCTCCTTCAGACCGAAGCCTTGGCCTGCTCGTTGAGGAAGAATCGGAACCCTTCGTACGACAACCAGCACAGCGCGTTCGACGGCATAAACGTCAACACTCGTGGCGAGAGTCCACGTGCGAAACCCTTGAGCCCTTCGCGTGCGTTGATGATCTTGAACGCCTCAAACATGCCGGAAGCGTTTCGAATCTGCGCGTCGGTGCTGCTACCTCGTGTCTGCAAGAGCGTCTTTGCCACATCGAGCGGGTTGGTGACGGCGGCTGCTACGGCTCCGGAGAAGGCACCTGCGGAAACGTGCGTCATGGGTGAATAGGTCTCGGAAGGGTTGAGCACCTTCTTGGCCCACTCGTACACGGAGAACTGCACCGCTGTGAAGGGAACCGTCATGGTGAGCGTGGTCGGGTACGAGACGTAGAACGCACGCAGACCCTCCTGCTTGTACACGGTGGATGCGCACTGCATTACGGTACGATGTTGTGAGCCGTGCATCTGCATGCGTTGCTTGATGACGTCGAACGGGTTCATGAAGGCGTCGGCGGCGATGGTGGCGGAAGCGCCCGCGAAGGCTGTGCTGGCGAATTGATGACCTTCCCGATTCCCGCCTGTTGCTTCCTTGACGGTCTCGTATGTGCCAAAGTAGACGGCGTGCGCTGGGCCTGCTCCCATGATGACGCTTGCTACACCACGCCAAAGCGTGCGCATACCTTCGACGCTGCTGATCCGGTTGAACGCCTGTATCACGCCCGTGTAGGTGGCGGCAGGCGTCGCTGAGAGAACCTGCATTCGTGTTCGAATCACGTCGACAGGATACATGGCAGCGTGCTCGCTGATACCTGCCAGGGAGCCCGCGATCATGTTGATGTGGAGTGGAACATTGTCACCGAGACCCTCGTAGTCGACCTCCTCCTCTACCGCTGGAACCGCTCGGTCGCTCATGACTCTAGGAGATGGCGCCGAAGTTGGAAAATGACCAAGATGCTGCTTGTTCGAAGAATCAAGTTCAGGGCTCTCGGATTCGGAAGCAGAGGCAGATGCAGATGCGCTGGTGCTGTTGTTGGCGGCTGTTGCAGGGTAGTTGCAAGACTGAATCCCCTGTGATGCTGCTGAAGGAAATCTGCAGTCGATATGAGTCGCTGTTCGTGACTGGACGTCCTGATCAAGGTGGGCTGGATGGCTACCGGTACCGCTACGATGCGTTCGTTGCGTGCTGCTCGACAAAAGATGCGACGTGGTGACCTGTTGCGATGATCTTGCTCCTCGAGATAAAGCAAGCGATAGGGGGAGATCCTGGTGTGATCGATAGGTAGCGATCGGAATTAATTACTTGAGCTCGACACCTGCTGGCGCGGGCAGAAGGCGGTAGGACCTTGTCTTCGTTCGTAAACGTAGATCAACGGCCTGTTTTGGTGGCGAATAGGGCGGGCAGAGGGGGCAGCGCCGCAATGCTGATTTGATGATGTAGGAAGAGGGATGAGGGTGGAGGTTGACGGATGATCACAATTGTGCGGCGACTGCGGAGGAAGATTGCACAAACAAATCAGCGTTCAAGAAATAATGCGCCCGCCGAAGCTCGTGTGTGGTCGGTCGCCTTCCGCCTCTGCCAAGTTATCTCTTGCCTTTTCCTTCCTATTCGGAACGCCGTCTGCTGTTCTGCTCTGATTTTTCAGAAGAACTGGGCGCGACCGCGATTTTCGACTTTTTTATCAAGAGCCAAGAAAGCTTGCCTAACCGTCACTCGGAAGGAGACCATCTTCCCACTCGGCAAATCAAGACGAAGCATGCAGCACTATCAGATAGTCGTCCTCTCATTGACAGTTGCAGTCTGCTCTGATTCGATTAATAGAAGAGCTGAGCAGGCAGGATAGAAGTAAGAAGGATCAAACGATCACACAGAGCGCGGCATGTACGTGGCGCCTTTTGGAAAGCCGGCAAAGCGGACTTTCTGATCCCCAAGCCCGTCGTCGAATCTGATTTTCGATTCAACCAATCAGTCAACGCGGCTAAGCGGCGCTTTCGGTCAAAATTCTGACTTGCTCGGATGAGACAACCCTCGTTTGCCGTCGCTAAGGTCGTGAATCATCACCACCCGCCATGCTTTTTGTGCATTGATGACCAGCAGCGCTGTGCAATCGACCACAACAAAGAGTCTCTCTCCAATCACTGCAAACAAAGCATAGTGGGAATGCACTCGGCTCCTTTCAAGACATTCTTGAGCAGGAGGAACGCTATCAATTCACTCACCGGCAGCCGCTGAGCGGGCTGAGAAACAGTGTCAGAGCAGCGGCGATATCGTACTCAAGTCGGTGTGAAACGACAAGCGGAGAACAGAAAACACACGGCAGCATGACAGCACGCAACAACATCGCTTCGATATCCTGGCACGAGGCCAATCACTTGAGAATTTTTGGTAGGGGGAATGATGAGCATGGATGGACAGTACGGCAGCGCCGATGGATGAGACCAAAGGTGCGTTTCTACACCGTATGTGACTATGAAGAACCGACTGGACAGCCCCCTGCTGCCCGGACGGTCGAGAGACTGTGAGAATGTTACAACATCATGACGATGCGAAGAATGAGACAAGAATGGAAGAATGCTGCAGGGAAACAAGGGAGAAGAAGACCAGGTGTACGACGATCCGTTTACTTCTTCTTGTTGGCAACAGTGCGACCACGACGACCGGTGGTCTTGGTGTGCTGACCACGGACACGCAGGCCGAGGTAGTGACGGATACCACGGTGGGCCTTGATCTTCTTCAAGCGCTCCAGGTCGTCACGCAGCTTCGAGTCGATGTTGTTCGACAGGAGCTGGCTGCTCTTGCCGTCAACAATGTCGCGCTGCCTGTTGAGGAACCATGCGGGGATCTTGAACTCGGCGGGGTTCTGCAGGATGGTCACGATGCGCTCGAGCTCATCAGAGTTGAGCTCACCAGCACGCTTGCCGAGGTCGATATCGGCCTTCTTGCAAACAATGTTGGCGTATCGGCGACCGACACCCTTGATCTGGGTGAGGGCGTACTGGACCTTGATCTTGCCGTCAACGTTGGTGTTGAGCAGACTGCGAGGGTGAAGAGGGATGTGGGAAAGGGTCAGTATTCAGTCTGAGCGGAGTCGGAGCTTGGGCGGATCGATGAGCAACTCGATGATCAGCAAGTTCGAAGGGATTGAAATGCAGGGCAGCATGCATGTGATGAAAGCGAGAGCTGAGTGATTGTGTCGAGGCGAGCGGGACTAGAGTGATGTGCTGGCGATTCGAAGCGCTGCGCTGAACGGGATGACAGGCGAGTCGAATGTCGAGACATCCCATTATCTGCTGTCTGCATAACGTCCGTCATGTGACCCGTCCGGATTCGCACGAAGCAGTCTGAAGCTCGTGGATGTTGCGAGCAAAAGGTTTGTACCTCAAGACTGCAACACGAGCTTCTCCTGATCCGAGCTTCCAGCAGACAACGCATGTATCTTCGACCTTAGAGCTCCCAACGTTGACGAAATAACCGATGCAGCTGCACGCTCGCGTCGAATGCTTCCTGCGCTCTCCTCCTCTGCAGTCGTTCGTGATCGGTCGTCCCTTTTGCGCGATGTAGCTGTTCAGTCGAGCCTATCGGAGCTTAGGCTTCATTGAAATCTCGTGTTCCACCAGCGCTGCGCCATTTCTGCAAGTCTCTCTGCAATGTTGGATGCCCAGCCGGTGCTACTGCTATGGCGACTGTTGTGGTGAAAATGTTGTTGATCGACATGCTGCCTGCTTGCTTTGCCCATACTAAATGCTGATCATCGATACTGCCGAAGGATACACCGCCGTATACGCTGAGGTTGGTTGGATGCTCACCGCAAGATGAAGGCGAAGTTCTGCGACGGGTCGGGGGGAACGAGAGACATGTTGGGCGATATGTGATGGTTAGTCTTGATGGTGACGAGGAGCGTGAAGGAGAAAGGATACGAGAAGGTAACCAGCGCTCACGCTCACAGCCAGTGGCTCGCCTGCCAACCTCGCGCGCTCAATTCACCAGCCATCGACAGCCGCGAAGCAGCCTGCTGCCTCAAAACTTTCCCAGCAGCAGCAGCCGCTGGACAGCTCTCGAAGCTGAAATCTCCCCTCCGACCAACATTGACTGGCTTCGCAACCTCAAAAATCTCCCTCCTTCACGGACCGCGGCCTGGAGGCACTATTCCTTGCGCCGACAATCCAACCGAGTTTCCAGGCGCGGGCTCGAATCTGAGGGTCCACTTGGAAATGCGGTTGCACTGCGCTTTGAGATGTTGTTATGGGAATTCGAGCGTGGGAAGATTTCGTTTTTCGGATCCGTAGCAATTAGACACACTAGCCGGCCAGCACACAGATAGGCTCTAACATAGCCCGGTGTTTTGCGACTCGAATGATCGCCTTTTCGAAGAACTCGCTGGATGGAAGGATCGACGGCACGGGCCGCCTCCACGCGTCTTTGGCTGAGTCGGGATGCGAGCAGCGAGCGGCACATGCGATTTAGTCTCGCCCTCACCGCGCCTCCTTCCTTCTGTTCCTCATCCATTTTCGTGAGTATCATCCCGAACCCCAGCCTCGCCGCATCTTCATCAAATCGTCGCCTGCTCTGCAAGCAATAGCACAGCAGCATCATTCGTCGATGAATGTCTGATGTAGGCACTGGTTCCGCATCGCCTTGCTCTTCAGCCGCTGACCATTCCGTATTGCTTCCGCTTCTTCCTCCCTCCGTCCTTCGCACGTATCTGAACTCCCTTGCTCGACTGGCAACGATTTCTGCGCATCCATATAGTGAGGCGAGCGCTTTATCCAGTGAGGTCTTTACCGAGGAAAAGCTTATTGCTGATTGCAAATTACCTATATTGCACGTCCTTGCTGTCACCATGACGGCCTGGCAATTTTTGGCACCCACTCCCTTGCTTCTCCCGCCTTCTTTGCATTGCCGATCGACATGCTGCCGCCTCGGCTCGAAGCCTCAGGTCGCTCTGGATCCGGTCGGTCATCTGCAATTTGAAAGCACCCGGGCGAAGCAGGAGCAAGATCTTTTCCTTTGTGTTCGCTTGCTTGCTCAATCAAATTATCAAAAAGCGGCGCCGATGCGTATGCAGCCTTTTTGTGTGCTATCGGTCAGAGCATGAGCATGCAGTGAGACGTACGGACGTCAACACACCTCGCCGTGATACGAATGTGGTCTGGCGCTTGAGACGAGAGCGCGGATTGGGTTTGAACGGCCCTCCAAACTCGAAATTGCAGATCGCGCTCGAGAGAAATATCCGCGTCTAGAGTCGAAGTCGAGCCTACGCGCAAGACACTCTTGCGAAATGAGAAGGGAGAGTATATATTCCTGAGCGGAACCGGCGTGTCAGCTATTCTTCCTCATACTTGTTCGTATCTCACTCCTATACCCCAAGCTCGCTTCGACATCGACCTATGGGATCTACTGGCATGGCACGCATGGAAACGGTCGCTCGAGCATCAGCACCTACGACCGATGACCTGCTGCCCAGCCTCTAGGCTCGTCTTTCGATGTCGGGATCGAGCCGCGCAATGCAGAAGCAACAATTTGCTGACCTTGTCAACCATCTCTTTCCCTTTGCATCGTCTTCTGTTACTCTTCTTTCCTTGCCGATCATCGTGATTGACTCCCTCCCGTTCCATAGACCTTGGCATTTCCACTCTCGCTCACGCATGAGGGCTGGAGAGAGGGGGTCGGTGGGCTTGCACGGCCACCCGATTTGTCCTACCGCCGACGCCCTCCCGCGTCTCTCCTCTGGAGGGTCGCATGCCCGAATCATGGAACCGGTCAGATCGGTTCGCCGATCTGACCACCTCTTTTTTGAAACTTCTGGCTTATGTAAGCATGACGGAGCAAGGCATAGGCTCCGCCGTGCTGTTCCGCCCCTGAGCAGCCATCTCAGTCACCAGGATCCAGCGAATTGTGCTTGTCCTCCTGCGCCTGTGAGGTGGTGTGAGAGGTTAGTCGTCGCTTCGGTCATCGAGCATGCTACTTTCTCGACGAGCTTCAGATCGCCATTGACGGCCACCAACCGCGTCTGTTGCGGTTTTCTCATGCAAGCTCGGAGCTGACCGTGATGATTGGCAAGCTTGCCTTATGAACATGATATGCGCCTCCTCAGTATCGTCCCCTCCCGGTCTCTGCCGGGAAGACAGTGAACGAGCTCGCGCTTGTCGTATGCTTGGTCTCCGGCAGATTGTGTTGTCCTGACCACCTGAGTATCGTTAGAACCCATTTCACATGGAAAAAGAGCTACCGACGGCCGGGGCCAATAGCCTAATTTTGTGGGGAAAATACTCGAGCTTCATGCCGGCAGAGTCTCTCGATTCGCCGTGTGCTTCCACACAACGAAGCGATGCAACGCGGCGGAAATGCACGTTGCCCAAAAATTTCAGCTTCTGACCGCGGTGTGAAAGAATGACGCGTGCGCCAAGCCGATGTCAGGACAACCAGGGCGGAGTTTCTGCATGCTGCAAAGCCTACTCTGGGAGACGAAGGCGGGTGGAGGAAGGTACGGCAGAGCAGAGCCCGCGGCGGGTAATCTCCTCGTGTGTCGTTTGCATGTCCGTCAACCTCCTTCATCGTCCCGTCCTCGTCACTCAAGTCGCTTCAGGTCGGGGCGCCGTGGTCACCACCCTACCACCATCTTCAACACATCCCCGCATTTGCCTCCTAGAGTCGGTCGAGCAGCAGGAGACCATCCCCGACATCGTTAATCGCAGCACAACATGCCAGCCATCGGCCCGCGTGGAGAAGGCGATGATCGCGACTACTTCGACTCGGAGAAGCCGAGCACATCCGCAGCAGGTTCAGCAGGGGGCGCGCCTCTTCGTCGCAATGCGCCAGCCATGCGTTTGCCGCAAATGACAAAGGTGAATCGCGATGCAGACGACTCGGACAGCGATTCCGCCGACGAATATGCGCGGTGGCAGGCCAACTCGGGTCCAACGACGCCCAACATTTCCGAAACGGCGGCTCAGCTCCGTCGCAGTCTCAGCGTCACTGGCTTGCAAGAGCTTGCTCATACGCCCAGAAGCCAGATCCGCAAGTCGGCCGTCAGCAAGGTGTGGAGGCCCCAGGATGAAGTGGCTCGAATCCCGAGCGACTGGGAGCGGCTCGCTGTGCACGTAGCAAGAGGCGGTCTCAGAGCAGGAAATTTGGCCTTTGCATTGAGGGCGACGCTCATGTTGGTGCTCGAACTCGTCAAGTCGCTCCGCACGCGAAAGTTCAAGGGCAAATCGTACGGCATCGCCCTGTTTGGACCGCGAAACTTTCGCTTCGCAGCCATGTTCGCCATCTGGGCGTCGCTCTACAAAGCTACGCACAATGCGTTGCGATTGATGACGCCGCCGCCGGTCAGGAAGGCGCGCTCCCGAGCGGCTTCCGCGGATGGTCCCATGCTCAATTTGGCCAAGACCGATGGCACTCGATCGCCAGAAGAGCCTGTCAGCGGAACCTCGACACCTCGATCGGGCAGGGCCGCCCTGGAGGGCAAGTCGCCCGAAGAGAAAGCCAAGCTGAAGGCGAAGCAGAAGCGACGTGCCTTCATGCCGGATCCTCGCTCCCGGATCTGGCACGCCTACGTCGCCGGTGCGATCTCAGCATTGGGCGTGATGGTCGAGACCCACGACAACCGTGTCTCTCTGGCTCAGCAGCTTTTCGTGCGAGGCTTGGAAGGCCAGTACAACGTTGCTCACGAAAGAGGCTTGATCAACATTCCCTACGGAGCCGTCATCACCTTCGGTCTCGCGTGCGGTCAGATCATGTGGGCGTGGCTCGAATCGCCCGAATCGCTGCCGAAAGGCTACAGGAATTGGATCACGCGAGCCTCGCAGGTCGCACCACGCGTGACAGACATCTATCGAGACATTCGACACGAAGACAAGGCGGTCGATCCCGACTATGCTCTCAAGTGGTTCCCGGGCGGCAAGATCCCCGAGCCTATATCGCAGAGCCCGCTCCGCTACGCGGACGTGGCGCCCACCTCCTTGAACCGTCGAGGTATCAAGGGCAAGAATGTTCGCAAGATCGTCGAATGGATGGACCGAGCTCGAAAGGGTAACCCGGGCGCAACGGTGGATTGTGCACTGGTGCACCCATGGGAGACGAGCCACTGGCGCAGCCCGATCGACCGCTTCATCGAGGTGACACGTTGGATCTTGCCAGTCTACCTCACGCTGCACTTCGTCCCCGCCATCTTCCTCCGTCCAGGCAAGTTCCTCAAGGACCCAGCGGGCGCAACGCTCCGTTCGCTCCGAGGCTCTGTGCGCTCCTCGTCGTTCCTGGGCGTATTCGTCATCATCTTCCAGACGCTCTTCTGTGCGCAGCATTCGCTGCACGGCTATATCCAAGCGAGCGAGAGGCTGCGACGCATCGTGCCCGGCTGGTTCTCGCGCATGCTCGTCAGTTCGTGGATCAAGTGGGTGACGGGCTTCCTGACTTGCCTGTCGCTGTTCGTGGACGACTCGAGGCGACGAGCCGAGTTGGCGGCGTACGTGCTGCCCAAGGGTATGGAGAGCGCTTGGTCGGTGCTCAGGAAGAAGTCGTACGTGCCGTTCGTGCCCGGCGGAGACCTCTTGCTCACATCGGCAGGTATGTCGCTGGTGATGGGAACGTATGCGCAGAACCCGGAACACCTCTCGGGTCTCGTGCGACGGGTCGTATATCAGTTTGTTGGTCGCAACTAGATGTCACACTTCACACGGATCGGCCGAAACTTGATCAGTTCGAGGCTTGGAATCGAGATGCTTTCGTTTCATGTCAAATGGTGGCTTTCCGTCGTCCTGCATAGCACTGCACGGCAGATCGTGACGCTGATCGTTTTTGAATCGCCCAACGCATGCTTGCAAATGAGAAGACACAGTCGGGCCGACGCACCCCAAACCCTAAAGTGTTGACACGCGCGAAGGAATCCACTGAAGCGAGCAAAAGAAGCGGCGGTGTAGGCTTCAACTGCCGACCGTCAAATGTGGGTCGTCTGAAAGGCTTGAGCCGCTGCACGAGCGTTCTGCACGGGTGTGAAAGTGACGATTCGCGGGAGGCGTGAGGCGGCTAGATCGGAAAAGAGGCACTCACGCTGCACATGACGGACGCGGGGTGCATGAGAGCGGAAGAAATCGGGTGCGTTCACCATGCAAACTTGTTTTTCAGGGCCTTTCCACTCCGCACCGTCCAGCCCGGGCTCTGCCTCTCAAGTTGATCCCGTGATGCTATGTTCTGCATTGGAAAGCACTGCATGATTGTTGACCACTAAACCCGATCCGGTGCAGATCCTGGGTGTCATCCAACCCGAATGTCGGTGCGGAGACGATGCAGGACTGCTCCGTTCCGAACGACAGTGATCACTGTACAGGCAGTCCGCTGTACGTCGAGTTTTGGCGGTAGCATGCCGCTCGCACAATTGGACAACACACCCTGCGTGGTACTGGTGACGGAGTGTCTCCTCTCGCTTGATTGACCAGACTCTGTGCCGCTGTCTTCTTAGCCATCGTTGTCACAAGGGCAATGTCAGAAGGGTCGCTACAGATCTCTGTGACGATCTTACAGCTTTTTTCCCAAATTCGGGTCAGGATCGACAGGCCTCTTGATCGGTCGTGCCTCCATGTTTGGATCTCGATCGCTCACGGTCATGGCAAGGTCGAACATCGCCGTCAGCCCTAACCGAAACCAAAGCGAGGAAGAGCCGGTTGCAAGTCACTCTCGTGCACCAGCTACTGACGATGGTGAGATCACCGATCCAACGCCGAGAGCACGGAAAGCGATCTTACCGTGGGATCATTCTTGTTGCTGATGATCTCTGCAGGCGATGGCTGATATCGAATGCCCGTCGACCAATCACGAGGGCGAGATTGTTGATTGGCTCGGTGTTGTCGGCGATTGCAAGGAGGACAAACCTCTCGTTCCAACTCGCCGGCGAGGAAGAGACGTCAGTCACCCTGGTCTCTTCTTCATGCGTGGGGGACCGATCGATAATCAAACAAACGAGGCTTTGATCAAACGTCTTTCGAGCGAGACCGACGATGACGTCTCTGCAGATGGACGCTTGATTGGACCTCTTTGTGATGTCAAGATGTCAGATAAGAGATCTACCGAGAAAAAGCCTTCTTGTCAAATTCGGCTGGAAGCTTTCGCTGATCACCAATGTAATAGTTCTTTTTGTTATCTCCCTCGCAAGCAAACCCCACCCAGGCATCTGGTCGAAACGTCATTGCATAGATATCAAGTCGCGAAAGCTTCTCTGCTGCTGTAAAGAAGAGGGAGGTGTGATCGCCTGGAGAGCATGAGACCCATCGAGATCACTTGCAAGGAGAAACTTGGGTGTCCTCGTTTGATTTGACGGTTTGACACTTGATGCACGCGGCCACGCCAAGAAAGCAAAGGCAAGGCAAGGCAGACAGACAGACGGTCGAGTCAACAACGAAAATCTTTTTGCAAGCTCCAATCGCCGGCAGCAGCCACGGAGACAAGAAGACGAGCGAGGCATGGATGTGATTTTCTGGAGTTTGCCCTCTCGGTCTTATGAGGACGCGGCTTTACCGCATTTTCAACTAAGCGAGGAAGAAGCAAGAAGCAAGAGCACACTGCAGTGATGCCAACCCAGACAGAATCTGATTGAAAGTCGTCCGTGCACGAAAATATCCACATCCTCACAAGCAGCTGAAAAGGCCTGGCCTGGTAACCGGTCCGTCGACTTTGTGCGTGCAGCACAGACCGGTCTGAGATCTCTGATCTCCGCGACCCTTTCTTATCTGGAGAAACGGCTTGGCTCAGATCGGTGCGCCCTTCTCTCCTGACCTGGCAGCGGTCGCTGTGTTGGAGCAGAGAGGTGCAATAGTCAGAAGCGTTGTCGGCAGTCCTCCTCAACGAACTTTTTGGACAGACCTGTGCCGTGTCTCAGTGGGAACCGCAGCAGGAACGATAGAGCAAAATATGCGCCTGGGAGTTATGCGTGTGTCGGTCTGGCACCGCTTGATCTGTGCTTTGAGCCGTCGTGTGATGCTCGCTTGCTTGGCAGGCGCCTTTTGCTGGTCTGCTAGATTGATTGTTCGCCATCCCCGCGAGTCAGTCTGGATCGGTCTATCTCTTGAGGCTGCCTTTCAACTTGATCGACTCCCTCCCATATTTCCTATCTCGCCATCATCGCATCTTCCTCCTTCTTTCCCTCCACATCCGCCTCACCTTTCTCCTTTCTTCCCTTGACGGTCTCCGCTTTCTTCTCGTCAAGACTCACCTCCGCTTCCCTTCTTCTCTCCCTCTATTGACGAGATAGAGTCTATTGAGGGACGCCGCGGAGCCCAACAGCACTCAATCACGAGCAACCGCTCCCTATCTGATCGTCTTTGCACGATTGAAACTTCGCCGAACAGCTGAGTGACATCGCGAATCGGCCGACGAACAGCATCGCACGCTTCTCGTACCTCGACAAGCAAAGATGCCTACCGAGCCCGAGACTGCACAGGCTCCGGCCGGTGCTCCCAGGAGCACCTTCGTCGACACCTTCGAGAGCCAGCCTGGCACTCCTGGGGAAAGGACCGGCCACCTCTTTCCCACCATCCAGCGCATCCGAAGCAGCATGACCGGCGAGGCTACCGGCCCTCTCAAGAAGCTCATGGTCGCCAACCGTGGTGAGATCGCCATTCGAATCTTCCGTACCGCTCACGAGCTTGCTATGACCACCGTCGCCCTCTACTCGTTCGAGGACAGGATGAGCGCCCACCGATACAAAGCCGACGAGGCTTACCAGGTCGGCGCCGGTCTCAACCCTGTCTCGGCCTACCTCGCCATGGACGACATTGTCCGCATCGCTCTCGAGCACAAGGTCGACATGATCCACCCCGGTTACGGTTTCCTCTCCGAGAACCCCACCTTTGCCAAGAAGGTCGAGGAGGCTGGTATCGCCTTCATTGGTCCCCGTCCCGAGACGATCGACGGTTTGGGCGACAAGACCAAGGCGCGTGACCTCGCCCGCAAGGCAAACGTGCCCATCGTGCCCGGTACGCCTGGTCCCATTGCCAGCTACGAGGAGGCCAAGCCTTTCGTCGAGGAGGTCGGCTTCCCCGTGATCATCAAGGCTGCCATGGGTGGTGGTGGTCGAGGTATGCGAGTCGTCCGCAAGATGGAGGAGTTCAAGGAGTCGTTCGAGCGTGCTGTTTCTGAGGCCAGGTCGGCTTTCGGTGACCCTACCGTCTTCATCGAGCGCTTCCTCGACAGGCCTCGCCACATCGAAGTGCAGCTGCTCGCTGACGGTGAGGGTAATGTCGTTCACCTTTTCGAGCGTGACTGCTCCGTCCAGCGTCGTCACCAGAAAGTCGTTGAGGTTGCACCCGCACCCAACCTCCGCGACGATGTGCGACAGGCCATGCTCGCCGACGCCGTCCGCCTCGCAAAGACCGCCAACTACCGCAACGCCGGTACTTGCGAGTTCCTCGTCGACCAGCAGAACCGCTACTACTTTATCGAGATCAACCCTCGTCTCCAGGTCGAGCACACCATCACCGAGGAGATCACCGGTATCGACATTGTTGGTGCTCAGATCCAGATCGCCGCTGGTGCCACCTTGGCCGACCTCGGTCTGAGCCAGGAGACCATCCAGAAGCGTGGTTCCGCCATCCAGTGCCGTATCACCACCGAGGACCCTGCCGCCAACTTCCAGCCCGACACGGGTAGGATCGAGGTCTACCGCTCTGCCGGTGGTAACGGCGTGCGTCTCGATGCCGGCTCCGGCTTCGCCGGTGCTCAGATCACGCCGCACTACGATTCGTTGCTCGTCAAGGTCTCGTGCCGTGGCGCAACGTACGAGGTGGCCCGCAGGAAGATGCTCCGATCCTTGGTCGAGTTCCGTATCCGCGGTGTCAAGACCAACATCCCCTTCCTGTTCCGTCTCTTGACCCACGAGGCCTTTGCCACTGCCAGCACCTGGACCACCATGATCGACGACACGCCCGAGCTCTTCAACCTGGTCCAGACCAAGAATCGTGCCCAGAAGCTGCTTGCCTACCTCGGAGACGTCGCGGTCAACGGCAGCTCCATCGCTGGTCAGGTGGGCGAGCCCGGTCTCAAGGATGAGATCCAGATCCCCAGCTTCACCGACCCCAAGGACCCCACCAAGCCGCTCGACGTCACCAAGCCTTGCACAGAGGGATGGAGGAACATCATCGTCAACGAAGGTCCCGAAGCCTTTGCCAAGGCTGTGCGTGCCTACAAGGGAACGCTCATCATGGACACTACCTGGCGAGACGCCCACCAGAGTCTGTTTGCCACGCGTCTCCGAACCATCGACATGGTCAACATTGCCAAGGAGACCAGCTACGTGCTCAAGAACGCCTTCTCGCTCGAGTGCTGGGGTGGCGCCACCTTTGACGTGTCCATGCGCTTCCTCTACGAGGACCCTTGGGAGCGTCTGCGCAAGATCCGAAAGCTCGTGCCCAACATCCCCCTCCAGGCGCTCGTTCGTGGTGCCAACGCTGTAGGATACACCGCCTACCCTGACAACGCCATCTACGAGTTCAGCAAGAAGGCGGTCGAGTGCGGTCTCGACATTTTCCGTGTGTTTGACTCGCTCAACTCGCTCGACTCGCTCAAGCTCGGTATCGACGCCGCCAAGAAGGCCGGCGGTGTCGCCGAGGGTACCATCTGCTACACTGGTGACGTTGCCAACCCCAGCAAGCACCCCAAGTACACGCTCGAGTACTACCTCAACCTCACCGATGAGCTGGTCAAGACGGGCATCCACATCCTCGGTATCAAGGACATGGCTGGTCTGCTCAAGCCCACCGCCGCCAAGATGCTGGTGGGTGCCATCAGGGAGAAGTACCCGGACCTGCCCATCCACGTCCACTCGCACGACACGGCTGGTATCGCTCTTTCGAGCATGCTCGCCTGTGCCGAGGCCGGTGCCGATGTGGTCGACGTGGCCATCGACAGCATGAGTGGTCTCACCTCGCAGCCTTCGATGGGTGCGCTCGTCAGCGCGCTCGAGCAGACCGGTCTCGGTGCCGGTATCCGCCACGAGGACATCCAGAACCTCAACCTTTACTGGAGTCAAGTGCGCCAGCTCTACCAGTGCTTCGAGGCCAACGTCAAGGCATCGGACTCGTCGGTGTTCGATCACGAGATGCCCGGTGGTCAGTACACCAACCTCATGTTCCAGTCGCAGCAGCTCGGTCTCGGAACGCAGTGGAAGGAGATCAAGAACGCCTACATCCAGGCCAACAAGCTTTGCGGTGATATCGTCAAGGTGACCCCCTCGTCCAAGGTGGTGGGTGACTTTGCTCAGTTCATGGTCGCCAACAAGCTCACCGCCAAGGATGTGGAGGAGCGAGCCGACAAGCTCGACTTCCCCAGCTCGGTCATCGAGTACTTCCAGGGATTCCTCGGCACGCCACCTGGCGGTTTCCCCGAGCCATTGCGCAGCAAGGTGATCCGCGACAAGAAGCGCATCGACGGTCGACCGGGTGCCAGCATGGAGCCGATCGACTTTGCCAAGGTCAAGAAGGATCTCACCTCCAAGTACGGCCGTTCGATGAGCGCCACGGATGCCATCAGCTACATCATGTACCCCAAGGTGTTTGAAGAGTTCCAGAGCTTCCTCGACCAGTACGGAGATCTCAGCAACTTGCCCACCCGCTACTTCCTCGGCAAGGCGCACCCGGGCGAGGAGCTGCACGCCTACATCGACCGCGGAAAGCTGCTCATCGTCAAGCTGCTCGCCGTCGGTGCGCTCAACCAGAACAACGGTACGCGAGAAGTGTTCTTCGAGCTCAACGCCGAGCCTCGTGCTCTCACCATCGACGACCGAAGCGCTGCGGTGGAGAATGTCAAGCGCGAGAAGGCGTCGTCGGACCCTGGCAGCGTCGGCTCGCCATTGGCGGGTGTGGTGGTTGAGATTCGTGCTAAAGAGGGTCACGCGGTCAAGGCGGGCGACCCGCTGTTCATCATGAGCGCCATGAAGATGGAGACGGTCGTTTCGGCGCCAGTCGGCGGACACATCAAGCGCGTCATTGTTGAGCAGAACGACTCGGTTTCGCAGGGCGACTTGCTGTGTGAGATCGAACACTAAGGAACAAAACAAACAGATGTAGAAAGGAGGGTTGGAGATAATTGTTTCCACGAATGATATTGATTTTCCGAATCTGGTCAGTGTGAGGAGAGAAGGGATGCGTGGCATGAGAGTTGCGTGCTGCAACGTGGCTGATTGAAGAGATGCAATGAGTTGTGGAAGCGAGGGATTTGCCGGCGGCCGCTTGAGCACGGAGCGAGGCGGCAGATGATTCGGCTTGCCCGTGGTGGTCTGTGGGATGTGTGGGAAAGTGAGAACTTTGAGCGGAGTTGACGAGGGCGGTGAGCGTAACGCGCGTGCGAATCTTATCATAAAAAGTTGGGACTTGCACTGTTTGTCATCTGTCCACTTTCGGCGATCATACGATGGCGACGATTTCTGGATGAACGCCGTAGTCTGGATCGAGATTTCGTCGTCGTCATCAAAGGGACAGGGCGCTGGATAAGCGGTTGAACGATATGTTATTGGACCCCCATGGTTGATGTGCGTTCTTGCGTGGGGATGTGTCAGTGCGGAATACGCGACAAGCTGCGTGCGTCTTGTGCGAGCTTCAGTGTACTGTAGCCCCAAAGCTGGCGAGCGACGTTCTATCCGTTGAAGTCGGGGTTGAAGTCGGTGACGCCGGACCGCTGTCGTTGTTGCTCTGATGCGCTGATTGCTCATCAAAGCACACCAGAAGTGGGCATTCGGCTTCGTCGCGCTCGGAAGAGCCCAGCCCTGGCTCTCCGCAAAGTCACATTCTTCGTTCTCGCTGCACAGATCCCACACTGGCTTGTGCATCGGCAGGTCCGCCCCGCACGGACATTCTCTGTGTGGGAATGACAATGATCGTGTTTCGCAACTGATCGTGTGCCATATCATCACATCAGACGTCAGCGGATGCATTCCGAAACCAGTCTGCAAAGATCTTTTCCGAGTCAGGACTTGGAATTTGTGCCACGTTTACCCCCCACAGATATTCTTATCAGCCGCTCTTTTTTTGGGAAAGGCTGTCCAAAACGGCACAAATCTGCTTGGTAATTGACCGAGCTTCGTCCGCATATCATCTATTCTTTTCGGTGACTTTTGGCTTGGCCTCGTGGAGCGATTTTTTTTGATCATGCCACTTTTTGCTGCGCATGTTGCTAGGGGACGTGGAGATTGCCGAAGTGACAGAGGTCAGGGAGAGGAGAGGGAGAAGAGTGTTGATGTGGATTGTGGGAGATGGTGTGGGAGTGGCCCTTGCACACGCGCGCTAAGGTGCCGGTGGTCCTTGCACTCGACGCCGAGTAGTGAGCTTGTTATGCTACGCCCTGGGATGTTCATATATAACCCTGACCTCTCTCGCACCCCTTCGAAGTCCTCACAGCCTCACGAGTCCAGCTGAACGAATCACACCTCGTCCTTACTTCATCCTGCCTCCTACCTTTCGTCTGAAATCTCAGCTCTTCACGTCTCCCAACCGAGCAAACCTCCTCCTCCTTTGTGAGCTCCAATCAAAATGCAGTTCTTTGCCCGTCGCGCATTCTCGTCCCGATCAGCCATCCGAGCACCCCCCGCTCCCTCGTCCGCCGTCATGGCTTCCGCACCTCGAAGCACCGTCCGACCTGGTCGTGTAGCCATGCTTCCCAAGGCCACCGAGCCTACCTCTCCCCCTGCTTCGGCGGGCGTCAGCACGGCAGCAACCCTGTCGCACGACGTCTTTCCTCAAGTCGGAAGCATCTCGGTCCCGGGAGAGCAGCCTAATGTCATCCGCACTGGAGAGCAATAGACTGGCCAATTTCCCACGTCGATAACGGATTCCGATCTCGACATGGCCAGTGGCGAATCTAGCCTTTCACGTCTTCTGTTACCGAATGCTTCCTGTCACGTCTATCCCCCGATACCTAATCGCATCATGTCACCGTACCCTCTCATGTCTCGTTACGCAATCTAATGGTCCCGTTGCTTCTCTTGCAAACCCACACACTCTGAGGCCCGTTCTGCTGAGAGAGACTTGAATCGACTTTCTATCAAAGGACTGAGCGCAACAAGTCATTCGCTCAGTCACACGCCGAGCTCGACTTCATAACTGATGAAATGCAGATTACCACATCGAACCTTGAATGCATTGTTTACAAAATGAGCCACACCAAACGATGCATTTCATGCTTTTACTGTGCCTTCTGATCAGCCTCGGCCGTCAACGTATTAGCTCTCGACTCCAACTTCTCACGACGTCGCTTCTCCCGTCCCTCGACCACCTGCAACTCTTTCGCGAAGCTACTGCGCTTACGGATGGTGGGACCGAACTTGTAAAACACCAGCGGAATCACCGACAGCGGTACGCCGATGAATGCAAGGATAGAGCTGGCCCATTGATAGCCCACATTGTGGTACATGATCTCGGTGATCAGCGTAAACGAGCCGCACATGAACTCGCGCAGGAAGGACTGTGCCGCAATCGCCGAAGCCGCGTAGATCGAGTACGAGGCGACCGTGTAATCCGAGACGATGAAGAAAAGCGTATGCGACGAGATGCCGAACAAGGCTCCCGCGATGACAGGTACGATCCACGGCACCGGTGGGAACGACGTCCAGGCGAAGAAGAACAGGCTGACAGGAAACAGGAACCCACCCGGAATGCCCCAGAGCAATCGATCCTCAGGCGTGGGCATGCCGTCGGGCCTCTTATTACCTGCATATCTGAACCACCTCAGCTGGAACTCGAGCAAGCCAAAGCCGATCAAAAAACCGATGAGGACGCCAAAGAAGGTGAGACCTTGCTGTCCGGTGTTGAATCCGTAGGGCTCGAAAACCAGCGGGAACGCCTCGAGGAAGATGTAGATTACCGCATAGTTGACGGCGTCGAAGAGAGTGAACCAAAAGACGATGGGCTCGGTGAAGAGCATAAAAAGAGGCCGACCAACGGTCTCCTTGAAAAGCTGCCTTAGGGTGCGTTGAGACCTCACCTTTTCGTGGCTTGCGTAGTATCGAGAGTCGTCGTTCCGCAGCTGCTTTGCTCTCCTCGCCAAGATGACTCCGGCTCTGGTCTCGGGTACAGTGAGGATGAAGAGCGCAAGGAGAAAGGCGAGAACTATTCCGGATACGCCGAATGTCCACCGCCAACCGGCATCCTGAACCACAAAGGCTCCGATGATGGGCCCTAAGGTGGCTCCAGCCTCGGCGGAGATGGCAAAGGCGTTGACTCCCCAGCCCTGGTGGTCAGAGTCCCAAAGATCGGACACCGTTCCGATCGAATTGAATGCGACTGCACCGAAGCAGCCGCTTAGAAAACGTAGGATAACGAGGGTCGCGAGGTTCTTCGCCAACGCGCATCCAATCTGAAAGAGAGCAACGGCCGAGATACCGACCACCATTATAATGACTCTGCCGTAATCTTCGGACAAAGGTGCTGCAAAGACGGGCCCAATGGCGAAACCAAATAGAAACACCGCGGCGGGCGCCCTAGAGGCAACTTGTCCGATGCCGAACTCGGCAGCCACATCAAGAGCACCGAAGCTGTAGATCGAAGAGATGGCATTGACCCACAGCTCGAGCAGCATGGTGACGATCAAGATCTGGATCTTCCTCCATGTTGGAAACGAGCGCGGGTCCTTCGGATCGTTGTGCTCGAAGTTGACCAGGAAAGGATCGTCATGGTCGTCCTCAACGTTGCCGCCGCTGTTTACCTCTGGGGTCGAAGAGTCGGCTGGGCTTGCGACGAGAGTGCTCTGATGCTCGATGTCGTGCTCCGCATCCAGCCCAGCTGCAGCTGCTGCTGCACGCCGTTCTTCATTCGGCGACATTTGAGACGACTGCAACGTCGCTGGTAGCGAGCCTCAGGAGTGGAAGAAAGTGGTCGTCGATCGGTGGACGTCGAGGTTCAAAGCGTCATTCGGCAAGGAAGAAGCGATCTTGAAAGAGTACCTCGTGTGGGGTTCATCGAAGCGGTATTCGGTTGTATGGGTCCAATCAAGTTGGTCAGGGCTCGGAGATGCTCGTCGATATTGAAGGCGCCTCGGTCTTCATTGTGACTATAGTGAGGGTGATGGTCTGCGAGCAAAGTCTGGCTCCCTTTTGTAGAAGCTGGATGATGGCTATGGTGCAATAGGGTGATTTGACCCTTTGGTGGCCAAATTCCGGCTATTTCTTTCGTCGTCACAGTGCAGAACACAATTTCGCAGCTGGCCGTACGAAAATCTCGGCAGTCTTCATGGCTGTCGCTTAGCGCCAAGATGAGTAAGTCTGGTCCCCGCAGGGGCGAATCGTGTAGCCGAAGGAACGGCAGAGGAAGTTGCAGCATCTACCTCGACGTATACCACCGCCAATGACTTGGGAGAGCAAGGCTTGTCGGACCAGCGATACGCCCGTATGCCGTACTAGACGCGGCGAGTGCGAATCGAGGAGGCTGTCGCACTGTTACGGCAGATCATACAACGCGAGTATGCGAGGACCGCGGATCGCTGTTACGTACTCGAGACTCTGTCTTGGCATCTTGGCCAGGATGCGAGATTTACTGTTCTTAACGAGGGTGCCTCAAAAAAATTACACAAGCGGGTTTTGCCTGCCTGCCCTGCAGCTGTCAAAAAAAAATCGGAAAACCGGAACCAAAAAGAACTGCAGCACCTAGGATTCCCGCGTGGTCCCCCACCGCAGTACTGACTAGGCGGTAAGTTGCTTAACTTCGCAGATCGGACGGGATGCGGTGTTTTCAACTTCCTGTGGCCGCAGATGTCGATACTTCGTCTATTAGCGATTATATACAGCACTCGCACTCCACTGTTCAGAACCAAACCACGGATTGGTGCAAACGTTGTTGACTTTGGCGTACGTGAATACTGTAGATGTCTCTTCCATCAGCGACCGGATGAGCTCGCACTAGCGCTTGTACAGGCAAGCGTGTCATATTGACGTGCATACCCTTGTTCGTGCCGTCGACCGAAGGAGACTGAATGTCCCAGGCTGGCTCACGAAAAATATCGGCGTGTCAGAAAATTCAATCCGAAAGGAGGCACCAAAATTCATGCATAAGCAGGATGAGCGCGGGGGTCGGACCTCGATTGAGATCCCGCTCGGACGAGAATGCGAGCATGAATAGGGCGAACCACGTGCGGTGCGGGCGTGTCCGCACCACCGTGTGGACATCAGTGCTTGGCAGAAGGCCACTCAGTTGCCCGGCAACGTGGACAAAAGGTGACGACGACCGTGCCGAGTGGCAGCGGGGCGTCGGGTCAGGCAGCACGAGATGTCAGCTTGCAAACTCATCGCACATCCTGCGAACAGCGCCGACTGTTTTCGCATCATCTCCGGTACAAGTCAAGCATAACGTTGAAACCAGTTCACCTCAGACGTGCCAGAACCTCGATTGTCCCGCGTCAACGTCGACTTGGGGGTGGGAAAGGGATTTGCTGACGTCGATGGAGCGTTCTCTATTTTGAGCTAAGTTAGTCTTACTTGCGAGCGAGCCTGATAAAAAAAAAGTTTGGACCATCGCTCGGATGATAGCGAGCCGCGTTTGACACCAAAATCAATCGTTCGAATCTGATTGGTCCTCGGCTCCTGTGTGTCCGAGGAGGGGAAATGAAGACGAGAAATTCTGACAGACTTCCGGCTCGGACAAATCGCCAATTATTCGTGAAGGGAAAAGAGGGTCAAGCGACAAAAGGCCAACTCGGAGTCGACACTTTTCGGCCCGAGAACTGCTAAACACTGCGGCAACACAGCAAAGGCGTACGCGACGAGAGACCCAAGCTCGACGAAGCCGCCAGGGAAAGAAAGGCCTACAGGAGTGACGGCGCAAGAGGCTTGCAGCCACGAGACGGTCTGGCCCTTTCGGCCAGATGTAGGCCATGCCGTTTCCTCCGAAGCCACGAGATGCTTTTCTATTATTCCTGCCGAGCCAGGCATGATACGGAGGATCTTCGCGCGGTGTTGACGATCCTAGCGGCCACAGGGGTGCGTTCGACGAGAGAGGGTGTCAGCGACGTGGTGAAGAAAACAAGTGAACCGTAGGCAAAGATGTAGATGCCGGCCAAGTAGCCTGCCACCGCTTGATCCGAATTTGTCGGACCAGCGCGATTAATGATGAGCGAAATCTGATTGGTTCGAAGCAGGCACGGGTTGATCGCGGCCGCAAATTCGAAATAATCAACGGATCGAATCACCAATCAGATACCAGCGGAGCGACACCCACCGTACAAGATATGCGCGTGGAGGGAGGGTTTGCTAGGATGCTGCCGTGGTTTGCCATCTACCACTGTATCCCTGCCTCTACTCAAAGCTCACAACTTGACTCGCACCCGCGACGGTCTGGCTGTGCGAAGAACAGATCGGAGGTCTCGCCGACTACAAACGAACCCGAGTGAGTTTAGCCCCTTTGCCTCGACGCGGGCCTTTCGCCTTCGAGCCAAGCACGCACGCCGAGACAAAGGCATGCGCATCTTACCTCTCGGTGTCGATGCCCTTGTCTTTCTCCGCGGTACGGTTCGAGCTTCGTTACCTTGCGAACGACACTGGATGAGCTAAGTCAACGCGAGTCCCACAGAGGAGGCTTGAGACCTTTCCATCCTCCACTGAGGAATGCTGCTTTCGAACCTGATCCATCTCAGCCGAGCAGCGACGAGGGCTCAGTCAAATCGAAAGCATCATACACTCACCGAAGTGATTGCCGCGGCTTGATTGCATCCGGGCTTTTGATCGCTGATGGTCCGGCGCAGTCAGATTACGCGAAAGAGCTAGAGCAGCCCGGGAGAGAAATTCTTTTAACGACTCTCGTTATCTACCCGTCCTGCCATCCCATTCTGCCTTGATTTGTGATTTGGATTTCGGATTTTGATTTTTATCAGTCTAGGCTTCTCTTACGGCACGCTTTTGGCCGTGGCGCTCCCCACACACACGCACGCTTCCTTGATGGCTGCGCCTTTCCCTTGCTGTGACGGAAGTGACCGACGTGCTCAGCTGACCTGTCTTCTCCCTCGCCTTATCCTATCTGTCCATGCCAGCTCGCTCAATCTCTGAGGGAGAGTTCCATCATCTCGTTCGCATCCTTCTCCCCCATCCTTCATCCCTTATCTCTAGCATCCCCCCTTTCCTTATCTCGACTCTGCCCCACGGCGCTCGTCCCCCGTGCCTATTGTCTTGCGTGCTCAGCTGCCCAGCCAAGCCCGTCGCTATCTCGACACAACCGGCACCGCATACAGCCAGCCATCAGCAGCCGAGTTGTTCTGCAAGCACCCTGGCACCGCCTTTTTCAATCTAAACGAGACGAGCTTCCGCCAGGATTCCAGACCTTCTCGAACCGCATTCGAAAGCCACAGCACGACTTTACTTTTCCACTCCGTGCCTTGGGCGCTTCAGGCTAACGCGCGCGCACTCGACCGGGCTTCTGCATAGCAGGCCGAAACCGGCATCTACGACGATTCGACTCAGCCTTGTGTGAGCTTTGAACTCCGAGGCACAGAGAGGCAAACCGAGATCGTTCTTGTTCTCCCAAACACTTTAAGCGCCTCGCTTCGCTGACTAGTTTGCAGATCGCACCTGCTGTACCTTCGGCCGTCACCATCTTATCTCGCTTGCGTCGGTTCGCTGCGTGCCGACTTGCCAGGCGCCACACATCATGGCGCTTCCTCCGGTCAAGATCGCATCTCGGCCCACTTCGCCCACTTCTTCTCAACACCACCACAACCACAATCACCATCAATCCGCCACTGCCTCTTCCTCTACCACATCCACCTCCCATCCGCCACCCCGAATCGCAGCTCGTCCCGTCGCCCCTGCTGATCGCTCTCCCGACCGTCTCTCTCATCACCTACGCAACGGCTCTGCTCACGACGCCGAGGCGTCACCGCACGTCCGTCCTCGAGCTTCGCAACCACCGTCTCCTTCCGGCTACGCCGCCGACCGTGCCTCTTCGTCTCATCACGACCCCTCTTCTGCTGCAAACCTTCCTACACGAAGCACAGCTCGAAGCCTCTTTCGCGACCCACGCACCTTTCATCCAGCCGGACGATCTCAATCACCCATCGCCGCCTTCCGCAACCGTTCGCAGAGCTCCGAACGATCCCATCTTGGCCCTTCCAGATCGCAGCCCAACAGCCCGCTTCTGCAGCCATCCTCGTTTCGTCACCACGGCGACAACACCGGCGTCCACTTGCCGCCCATCCACTCGCTCTCCAAGGAGCTCCGTTCGGATCATCAGGACGCGCTCGCACATCACCGTCGCACGCCCAACACCTCGCCTCGCGCAACCGCACGCTTGCACATGGGCAACACCTTCCGCGACTCGAGCCCAGCTGGTTCCATCGGCAGCCCCGCGACGATGCGCCACGACTATCCAGCATATCGCCACGAGCTTTCAGTCGAGGAGCGCGCCAAGATGCAGCGATACGCCGACGAGCATCCACGCCCCATTGCGCCCGCTCCCAGAGTCAGCTACGAGCACGAATCGCGCGGCCTGCAGTACCGTGACGGCTATCCGGCTCCTTCGCGATCCATTGAGGCGTCTTACCATCAGAACGGTGCCCGTTCCGCCGCCCACGGCGACTCGCGCACAAACAGTCCCCAGCATGTCCCGCGCGACGCCTATGAACACGAGGGCTCTGGCTCGCCTCCGTCTGCCCATCATGCAGGCATGAGGTGTTCCAACTGCGGCGTCACCTCTACTCCGCTCTGGAGGCGAGCGCCTGATGGCAGCACCATCTGCAATGCCTGCGGACTCTATATCAAGTCGCACAGCACACATCGTGCTGCCTCGAGCCGCCCGGGCGGTTCGGACGCTAGCCCTCCCACACACGAAGCCAAGCTTGCCGCGGCTGCCGGTCCTAGCTGTTCGCGCGAAGACGATCCCAAAACAGGTTCCTGTCCCGGCGACGGTCTCTGCAACGGCACTGGCGGCACCGCCAGCTGCAGCGGCTGTCCAGCCTACAACAACAATCTCTCGCAAGCGCTCAAGGCCAGCAAACGCGAGCCACACGCTAGCGAAGATCCTTCGCCCACACGTGCCGCGGAAAGAGCCCCGTCGGTCAGCGAAGACAAGAAGGATGACGACAAGAGTTCCGTCGGCGCTCTCCGCTGCACGAACTGCCAGACCACCACCACTCCGCTCTGGCGACGCGACGAGGACGGCAACAACATTTGCAATGCCTGCGGTCTCTACCACAAGCTGCACGGCACTCATCGCCCCATCGGCATGAAGAAGACGGTCATCAAACGCAGGAAGCGCATTCCTGCCAATGCGGCTGCCCAGGCTGCCAACCACCCTGATGTGGTTCCGGTGCAGATCAATGCCAATGGTCAGCCCGTGATCGCGCCCGCTGCCGGTCGCAGCGCGGGCGACTCCACGCCAAACTCGTCCGAGGCCAAGCGTGCCTCGAAAAAGTCCACCTCGACGTCCGAACAAGCCATGCGTGAAGCACGCGATCGCGAGGCTGCCATGCTCTTGATGGAGGTTGGCGCCGGTGGCAGGTCGCGCACCTCGATGCACGACGACGATCGCCAACACCAGAACGGTGCTCTGGCCAGTTCGGCTTCCATGCATCACGACATGCACTTTGCCAGGGCCGGTGCTGATGCCGTGCGCCCTTCCATCGCAGAGGACCAGCGAGCCGCCAAGCGACCGCGCAAATCGTACCCACTGGCGCCTCGCGATGCGTACGATGACCAAGATGCCTCCATCGGTGCATACAGCGAGACAAACGCTGCCGGGGCGTCGCGATCTCAACGATCGCCAGTGGATGCCCACACGTCGGAGAGGACGAGCCGGTCCGATCTCAACCGCGAATCGTCGCACGGCGCCAACGTCGCTCCTGAGCATGCGGCGCGCGCCAATGCTGCTGATGGCGCGAGAACGGGCTCGGCCGTGCCTCACCACCACCATCACCATCATCACCACCACCCTAACCACGCTTCGCATGCTGCCCACCACGCGCACCACCACCACCACCACCATCCTGTGGCGGTCAGCGGCGGCTCGCACGGACACGCAAGCGCAGCGTCTGGAGGCGGTGGCAGCAAGCTCAGTGAAGTCGAGAGGTTGAGAGACGAGCTCCTGTTCGAGCGCAGACGTATCGACGAGGTGCTTCAGCGCGCCGAGGCGATCCTCGCTTCGGCTCGTGCCGGGAACACTATCGCCGAAGCAGCTGGACCTTCGACCAACGTTCTGCGCAACAGTCATGGTCCCTCGCGCGAGTCTCCCCACAGCGGTTCGACTCGAGGAAGTCCTCATGCCGACGTCCGCGCTGGCAGGGAGTCCAACGCTGCCGTTCAGGAGGAGATGGCCGAGGCAGCTTCGCGACGATCGCATCCTCACAGCAACAGCAGCTCTTCGAGCGAGAAGGACGAGCTCGAGTCGCCGCCTCCATCTGCGCACCACCAGTCGGCATCTCGTCCTGTGGTCGCTTCCACCGGCAGGCATCCAAGTTCTCGACGCAACAGCTTTGAGCAAAGGATGGCTTCGCTTCCGGTGATGGCTGCCGTGCCCTTGAAGCGCGGCTCACCTCCGAGCACTGCCGCGAATCTGGCCGACAGCAGGTCTCTGTCTGCAGCTCCTCAAGCCGGCCGCAAGGCGACTGCGTGGGGCATCGATGCGCGTTCCACACCTACGGCTCCAGCAGCGAAATCGGGCGAGAAGCGTGGCCGTGCCGACGAGATGGACGAGGACGACGATCACTGGAACTGGGACAATCTGTACGGCAAGGCCAAGCTGGAGAAAGCTGGCGATTGGCGCGGCTTTGCGCGACCGGTCGAGGACCGTCGAAGCCAGTCGAAAAGCAACGGTGCAGCTCGAACGGAAGCTTCGGCGCCGTCTGTTGCCGTAGCTAGGCTGCCTGTCGCCTCGAGCCCTGCCCAAGCCGTGAGCGCCCCGCGAACCTGAAAACATACTAATCCCCAAAAGGTATACAGCAGATAGCAGTCATCATGCGTCCAATACCACCATTTCTCAACACTTTATCACCACCTACTTGCTGTGTCCAGTTCGTGTCTCTCTTAAGTGTGACAGCTGGAGCAGTGACGTTGCACATTGTTCCAAGTAGGCGCAGACGAGGGAGATGGCGGGGATTGCGATCCGAACTTGACCCCGATCGATCGGGCACGCCTCTGAGAGTAAGGGAGTTCCAGGCTGGTAGACGGCGACCCTTTTGCCGCGAATTGAGCGTGAAATGCACGCGCTGCATTGATTCGGTAAGAAGGCAAAAGTGAGATCCCGGCTCGCGCGCAGCACAGCGGATTGCACGTCTGCCAGTGCACACAAATGACAGCACAGCACAGGACGATAGATTTGAGCGCGGTTCCCGCTTGCGGGGTCCCAGGTCTTGCGTTGGTGCTGTGCACCGCTCACAATTCTCGCTTATACCCACCGGGTCCAGGAAGCGTTGCGCGCTCGCCTCCCCGCTCCGCTACTGATCAACACCTTTGACCTACTCGTGCGAGGTTTGCTTTCTTCCTTTCCACCTCTTCATCCTCCTATCCATACCCCCTTCGTCAGAATCTTCGGTCCGACGACATCAGATACCTGCTCTCTTCGACATGTCTCTTTTCGCGAAGCGCGCAGTGGCCGGCAGCAGCCGTGCCCTCCCCACCATCAACAAGTCGGCTATCCTCGCCGCACGTGCGTCCCGAGCCTACTCCACGCCCGTCGAGAGCAACGGTGTCTCCTTTGGCCTCAGCGAGGATCAGGAAGCGTACCGTGACCTGGCACGCAAGTTTGCTCGCGAGGAGATCATCCCCAACGCCCGTCACCACGATCAGACCATGGAGTACCCGACCGAGATCCTCAAGAAGGGGTGGGAAGTCGGTCTTATGAACACGCACATTCCCGAGGAGTACGGTGGTCCCGGTCTCGGTCTCATGGAGTGCGCTCTGATCTCGGAAGAGCTCGCTTTCGGTTGCTCCGGTATCCAGACTGCGATGGAAGCCAACGGTCTCGCCGAAGCACCGCTGCTCGTATCCGCGTCGCACGAGATCAAGCAGAAGTACCTCGGCAGGATGACCGAGGAGCCTCTCATGGCAGCCTACTGCGTTACCGAGCCGGGTGCGGGTTCCGACGTGGCCAACATCGCCACCAAGGCCGAAAAGCAGGGCGACAAGTGGGTCATCAACGGAAGCAAGATGTGGATCACCAACGGTGGACACGCCAACTGGTACTTTGTGCTTGCCAAGACCGACCCTTCCGCCAAAGCTGCCAAGTCCATGACTGGTTTCGTCGTTGACGCAGATACTCCCGGCATCCACGTCGGAAAGAAGGAGATCAACATGGGTCAACGATGCTCCGACACGCGTCAGATTACGTTTGAAAACGTCGTCGTTCCCGAAGCCAACGTTCTCGGCAAACCCGGTGACGGTTTCAAGACTGCCATGGGAGCCTTTGACATCACGCGTCCGCTCGTGGCAGCCGGAGCCGTAGGTCTCGCCCAACGCGCCCTCCACGAAGCAGCCATGTACGCCCAGGAGCGCAAAACCATGGGCAAAGCCATCATCGACCACCAAGCCATCGCCTTCCTCCTCGCCGACATGCAGATGAACGTCGAAGCTGCCCGCAACCTCGTCTGGAAATCCAGCTGGGCCAAAGACCAAGGTCAGCGAAACAGCTTCTGGGCCTCCATGGCCAAATGCAGAGCCGGCGAAGCCGCCAACTTCAACGCCGACGGTGCTGTGCAGATCTTCGGCGGTCTCGGCTTCAACACCGAGAGCCCCGTGGAAAAGCTCTACCGAGACGCGAGGATCTTCAGGCTGTACGAGGGTACCGATCAGATCCAGAGGTTGATCATCTCGAGACACATCAAGGAGTTGTTCGCTCAGTGAAGGAAGCGTGTCTATGTAACTTTATAGAAGTGGACAAATTTTTGTCCAATGGCAGCTCACTTGAGATGATTTGTGCATGACACTCTGAAGAGAGAAAAGCTGCAGTCTATTGGGAATGAGACATTTCGAGCCGATACAAAGAGAACCTAGGAGTTTTGTGACATTTGTCACTGGAGCATGAGCTGCCTCACCGTCTCGGCGTCGTCTCCGTCACCGAGCGTGTACCTGACCTCGGACCTGCGGATACCGTTGAACGTAGACGCGGCGCAGATGGTGTACGCACCCATGTTCTCGTACACCAACCAATCGCCCACCTCCAGACCCTTGGGGAGGAGGACCAAGTCGCGCACGCAATCGATCGAGTCGCACGTCGGACCCCAAACGCTGCACGCCTGGAGCGTCTTGGCCTCGGCCTCCTCCGCCGAGTCGTGCACACCGACGCTCACGCCCGGAGACGCGACGCGCGGTTCGTACGCGTACTCGTGTCCCAACGTCAGCACCTTGGGATGCACAGTGACGTGGTCGAAGATGACGCAGTTGAACGAACCGTACAGCCCGTCGTTCTGGTAGTACATGACTTGGGGTTTGGTGGGAGCCGATGCTTCGGCGTCGGCGATGGCGGTGTTGGGCTCGCCTCGACGAGCGGCGATGATGTTGGTGGCGAGAGCGAAGGCGGAGTGGACGTAGAAACGACCGGGTTCCGCGATGATGCGCAGCCCGTTCGCCTTGCCGACCACCTCCTTGCCCCCGGGAGCAAAGTCCTCGTCCGGGAAGTATGCGTCGATTGCAGGTCCCAGGACCCCCGCGACCATCTCAAAGTTGTCATGACCAAAGCCACCTCCAACGTCCAACAGATCGAAGGTGTACCCCGCGTCCTTCCCCATCTTAAAGGCGCTCCGTGCGCGATACACAGCGTCACGGAACGAGTCGGGATCATAACATCCGGAACCCACATGGAAACTGACTCCCACCACATCCAGCTCCAACTCGCGCGCCCGCTCCAACAGACGAGGCACCGACGCCAACGGAGCGCCAAACTTGAGCCCCAACTGACACGCGCTCTTGGAATCGTCCGTCAGAATCCTCACCACGAGCTTGCAGCCCGGGTGGTAGCGCTTCATCTTGTCCAGCTCGTCCATGTTGTCGAACGTGGTCAGGCCGACGTTGTGCGCCGCGGCGTGACGCACAAAGCTGGCAGCCTTGCACGGGTTGGCGTAGATGATCCTGGCGGGGTTGATGCCGAGCTTGAGCACCGCTTCGATCTCGGCGTTGGAGGCGCAGTCGAAGCCGGTGCCGAGCGCAGCGAGGAGCTGCAAAACGTACGGATCCGGGTTGCACTTGACGGCGTAGAAAGGCACGATGCGCGGAAGAGCGCGCATCCATCGGAGGTGCTGGCGGTACACCTCGGAAAGGTCGGCGACGAAGAAGGCATTCTCTCCGTTGGCTTCACAGTCGTGAATGTCGATGTCTTTGAGGACACGCTTCAGTTGCGAGTCAAAATCGCCGCGGAAGATGGGCTTGTGGCCGTTGAACGGCTTGATGTAGTCGAGCTCATCGTCGAGAGGAGGCGTGTCGGCTCGCAGGCGCTGCTGGTGGGGCAGAGCGATGTAAGGAGCAGCCATCGGCGCGAAGGTCTTGCAGGAGCTGTCGATGGCGATCGACTGCTGCGGGTGACGAGATGGACCGGCGAGATTGATATCAGGAGGTGCCATAGTACAGCAGGTCATCGTGTGAGGAGCAAAAGTGAATGGCGAGCAAAGGCAAAGGAGAGAGAGAGTTGGCGGATGTGGGGAAAGATGAGGGTCAGCTTCGATACTCGAGGGCGATCCTTTTGACCGCAAACTGGAAGACGGAGGTGAAGGACAGCGACGTACCTAAAGCTTGGCGTTTCCGTTTGATAGAGTGACGGACTCGAGCCGGATCTGGCGCGACAGCGTTCGACTGGCAATCCGAAATTCAAGCGAAAGAGACTGTGAGTTGATGATCCGAGACAAGTGACCGGGAGGCGAGAGCAGACCGACACGTCAAAACACGGAGGCCAAGGATCACATCATCGCGATGCGAGGCACGAAGGCGGAGGAGGGTCGAGGGTACGAGGTGGGTGCAGGGGACCGATCAAAGATGGAGGGAGAAGCAGGATGGAGATAGACGAGTCAGTAGGCTGCTTCCAAGCGGGATGTGGAGCGACGAAGCTTGACGAGGTTCGAATGTCGATCAAGGGTGCAGGAGCGGCTATGACGAGGGATCGGCAACAAGTCAAGCGAGCATTCATCTGCGGAGAGGACCGCGGGTGTGGACGCGCCTTAACGATGCGTGTAGCTATGGACACGCTAGCGACATGGCAGCACTCGCAAATGAACGATCGTGGGCGCAGGGGCATCTACTGCACGCTCCTAACACCGGCGCCTGATGTTTGCATTACAGGAGTGCGACGGCAGCGGATGTGGCGAGTATCCCAGTGTTTTGGGCCCCGATGCGTTGCGCAACTTGACTTGGGAGCCAGGGTTGCGGGTGCGGATTTGAGGCTGTGAGCTACGAGCTACGAGAGAGGGTCCAGGGGAATTTTGTGCCGACGTTGGAGTTTTCGAAATAGTCGAAAAACAAATGGCACGGCGCGCCGCCGCCTGCTCCGCGCTAGCTCGAAATTGTGCGGACAACCCTGGGACCATGCTAGCTCGCCCGCTCGCTCGCTCGTCTCGATTATGCTTGACCAGGCCAACTGATCTGATGTACGCCAAGATGTCATAATAATGCCGGCTTGAAGGAACGGAGTGCGCCTGCGAAGCAGCCAAGAAGCAGCATTACGTCCACTTCGCCGCCTTGCAGATGCCATTTGCAGAGTGCAGCTGGGCGCGAGCAAACCTTGACGGACGGCATGATCGCTCACCGTCGTCGCTAAGCCATACACTCGCCGGGAGACCAGCTGCGATGGCTGTATGGTTGCTCCACAACTGCCAAGCGATGTGTGAAGTGTGCCGAGATCCGACAAGTGCAGCCTGAGCACATGATGAACCACAGGTCATGCAAGTCTCCTAGTCCTTGTTCGTCCCATGCTATGTGCCATATCGTGATTGATCCCTTGCAGATTCCGAAGACAAAGCCCGCGCCGGATCTGTAATGTTCTGCCAAAACTTACCTCTAAAGTCAAGATGTGTGCTTGAGCGAGCTCGGTCGTTGAGGATGGGTCGCCAGCTAGGATAGCCAGGCGGCCTTTTTCTACAAATGTTTGGGGGTGTCTTCGATGCAAGTTGCCGTGAAAGCGGTATTAGGGGGGTCGAGAGCTTCCTGTGAGGAAGTTTTTGGCCGCGGCCTTTAGGCGGAGGTCGACAACTTGACGAGGAATGGTGGAAGGATGGAGCAGATGCGTACGACCGCTCCGTGTGAGACGGTACGCAAAGTCAGAGGCTGATGTACCGTTAGTGAAAGACGGTTCACAGCTTGAACTGGAAGGTGTGCTCGTAACAAAGTAGAGTGAAGGTGATATGTAGGTAGGTGATGGGAAATGTCGATGAGGGGAAGATGAGAAGGTGATATGAAACTGCAAAAGATCAAACCTCGAAATCGCTCGGCTGACCTCCACGAGCGGATGCGAAACAAAGCCACGTTCAGAAACACTAAGAAGGGAGAAGCTTGCTTTGCTTGCCTCTCTCTCTCTGGACAGCAGCGAAAATCGAAATCAAAACTTGCAAAATTGCCATCTGCGAAGAATCGTCAAACACTCAGGCACAGACAGGCCGGAGCGACGAATTATGCGGCATGCCGGCACGCTTTTTAGCAGAGCGAAATTCGTGTCAGCACCGCAGCTCCGATGAAGTGGGCTCGCATGGCAACGTCATTCAAAATCGAGACCCACACGAGACGAATCTCGGACGGCTACTGCACTCGCAACACCAGTAATCAACATCAATGGTCATGGAAACTTCAACATCGTCTATAGAAACGGATCGGCACGACGGTATCGTTTCTCTCCAAGTCGAATGCCCGCCTGCTCATCGTCAGTGATGAGGAGAGCAAAAGGGTCAGCGCAGAGGTGTTGAGACCGCGTCGTGAGTCGTGAAGAAGCATCTGGTGGATGGAAGCCGATGTTCCCGATTTCCAAGAGATCTCGTACGACAGGGCTCACACTGTTTTTGGAACAACATGTAAGATCGGAGTGTGGACATATCTAGGATAATTTCACTTTCACGACTCGGGGAAATGAAGGTCTCGTCCTTGGCTTTGTCACCGCGCTAGCCGAGGGCGTTGAATCTCTGATTGACACTCAGCTTTCGAACAGGCCATGCCGCTCCCCTCTTCGACTTGAGTGACTTTCTCCTCATCGTGGCCATCACTGAAAAGTATACAGCTATCGTCACGATCGTCGAAGTGGTGGCAACGCAGGTCGGATCGAGAACCGTGATCGAGGGTCGAATCAGTCGGACGGTCTGGTTGGCTGGCTGAACCAAGACAACGCAGAGCTTGGGTATCAGTGGTGGCGAAACAGGACTCAATGTGATTGGAGAAGCGAAGATCAATTCGAATTTCAGGGTGGTTCTCGCATCCGCCCCAACGCTTTTTTTTGTTCTAGCTGGTCGCCACGCCGCCCTCGAGTTCACTGCACACACTCTCTCATTTCGTGCTGCAGAACCGAGTCGGCGACACGTCCACGTTCGAAAATTTCCAGGAAGAATTCACTTGTTGCAGTTTGACAGCGGACGTCCGAACAATAGATTGCTTTGGAAGTGCAAGGCGCACAGAGCTGCCTTGGCGCCTCTGCTCGTTAATCAGTGAGGGCCAGCTCTGCCAATGCGCAAGGGCTGGGCGACGCAGAGAGGGTCTCCTTCCCCACTTTGCACCTCCCTTGCTCAGTCGGCGACTGCGTGCTGCAGCTGTGAAATTTTAGAGTCGAGGGTCCGAGCTGCGAATCACACACAAGCTATTTCGGCAACCATGCCAAAAATTTGCCACGCCACCGCAATGGCGATAATCTTCTCTCCGACTTGGCAGCGAATGTGTTGGGTGGAAACCGATAATGTACTCAGTTCAATCCACTTCCTCCGCTCTCGCCCGCACAGTCCAAATTGACTGTCTCTTCTGCCCAATCGCCGTTGCCTCTGAAGCATCGCCTGTTCCGAAGTGTGTCTTCTTGTCCTCGCCGCAACGCTGCTAGCACGGATCGTATTAAGGGATCCTTTCACACTCTCATCTCTCGTTCACACCCTCACATCTTCCTCACCTTCCCTTCGTTTCCGACCCCTCCTTCGTATCTTCAACTCATTTTCTTGATCGACACACCGATTGGGTAGACATGTCGTCCGCCGTCGCAGCCAACGTCACCGCTGCTGGTCAGCGTGCTGGCAAGAAAGCAGCCGCCACAGCCAAGCCCAGCAAGACCGAAACCGTTCGATACTCGCACCGCAAGGCTGCCACCTACGATGAGAAGGACATCCCTACCTTTGACGTGCCCCAGTTCACCGTCAAGGACCTTCTTTCTGCTATCCCTGCTCACTGCTTCGAGCGCTCGGCTTTCAAGTCGTTCACATACGTCTTTGCCGACTTTGCCATGATCGCTGCTCTCGGCTACGCCGCCAGCTTCATCGACCCCACCGTCGCAAGCACCTTCTCCGGACTCAAGTCCAACGCCGTTTCGCCGTACGTGTCCCTCGGCGTCCAGCAGGCCGCCGTTCGATTCGCTGCCTGGTCTGCCTACTGGATCCTTCAGGGTATGGTCTTCACCGGTGTCTGGGTCATCGCCCACGAGTGCGGCCACCAGAGCTTCAGCACCAGCAAGACGCTCAACAACGCCGTCGGCTGGGTTCTCCATTCGGCTCTGCTCGTGCCCTACCACTCTTGGAGGATCTCGCACGCACGCCACCACGCCGCCACCGGTCACCTCACCCGTGACGAAGTGTTTGTCCCCCGCACTCGCCAGCAGCGCGGCCGCCTCCCCCTCCAGCCCGCCCCTCAGTCCGCCGACGACTCCAACGACGAGGACGCCGTCGAGAAGGAGGTTGGCGCCTCGGTCCAGGCTGATGAGACCTTCGGCGAGTGGCTCGCTGAGATCCTCGAGGATGCCCCTGCCTACAACCTGCTCTACATCTTCATCCAGCAGCTTCTCGGCTGGCCTCTGTACCTGCTCCGCAACGCTTCCGGCCAGCTCCACTACCCCAAGTTTACCAACCACTTCAACCCGGATGCTATCATCTTTGACAAGCGCCACCGCACGCAGATTGTCGTCTCCGACATCGGTATCGCCGCTACGCTCAGCGCCCTCACCGCTTGGGGAATGCTTTCCAAGGGCGGCTTCTCGGACGTCTTCCGATACTACGTCATCCCTTACTTGTGGTGCAACAACTGGCTGGTCATGATCACCTACCTCCAGCACACCGACCCTGCCCTTCCCCACTACAAGGCTGAGGCATGGACCTTCCCGCGTGGCGCTCTCTGCACCATCGACCGCAACTGGCTCGGTCCCGTCGGCCCTTACTTGTTCCACGGTATCGCCGAGACCCACGTGCTCCACCACGTCTCGAGCAAGATCCCTCACTACAACGCTTGGGAGGCCACCGAGGCGCTAAAGGAGCGTCTCGGTCACCACTACGTCAAGAGCACCGAGAACATCTTTGTCTCGCTCTGGAAGAGCATCAACACGTGCAAGTTTGTCGACGAGAACGACCAGGTCGCTTTCTACCGCACTGTTGACGGTGTTCCTCACCGCGTTATCTCTCCGGACAGCACCTACGCTTCCGACTCGGGCATCGCCATGTCTGAGTAAGGGCCTGCCTTGCGTGCTTGCATATGGAAGAGTTGTGCAACGCTTCACTTCACTTTGTAGCTTTCGTGCTTCTTTTGCTCGCATGACTTTGCTGATCAGGTCGACGTAGAAAGCATAGATTCTGTGTTGGTTTCTCAATCATTTCTAGATCGTCTCTTGACGAACATTCAATTGTAAATCCGTCTTTCCAAGCTCTTGATTCGGAACACGTCCTGTCCTGCCTGCGAAATCGCTATGAGTGTGAGATTGAGCTTCGACAGACCTCTGCACATGGTCATCGTTCCCGAATGTTCCAACGCGAAGAATTTGACTCTGGGGCAGACGTTGCGTTGCAGTACGCCATGTGCTTGTGGCCTCGAGTGCAAGGGAAAGAGCCGTCGGAGAACTCACCTGAGACGATTGATTATATCGGCCGAAACAGTCCCGCACTGCTCTCCTCCACACCAACACTTTCTTGGGCGGCCCGCACCCAGCTCCCTAAACTTTCGACCGTTGCATTACAAGCTTCTCACCACATCATCGGCCTTTTACCCACCACGATGCACACATCATAGCCGAAGGTATTCGCAGCGATGGCGACGGATCGACTGCGTCGGCGCATCCGCTCCATCTCTCCGGACACGCTCTCGACGCTCACCTCTTCGCAGCTGTGCATCGTCGGAACACCTCTACCGTCGCTGACGTCGCACAAGCGCGATGCGGACGAGCTGAAACCCATCTGGCAGCAGGAGGCACGCGATGAGCAGGGCAGACGTCGTTTTCACGGCGCCTTTACGGGTGGTTGGTCGGCTGGGTACTTCAACACTGTCGGAAGTAAAGAGGGTTGGACGCCGGGGAGTTTCACCTCGAGTAGGAAGGATAGGGCGGGGGGTAGGGCGAAGGAGAGCAGGGTGGAGGACTTTATGGATGAGGAGGATTTGGAGGACTGGAAGAACAATCAGCAGGTGAAGAGGGAGACCGCTGGTGGGGATGATAGGTTGGATCAGATGGCTGGGCTGAGGACGCAGGCAAACAGCGTGGGTCAGGAAGGTGGCTACGATAGTCGTGTTGGATTGCAGAGCGGTGAAGATGTCGGATATAGGCTGCTGAAGAGGATGGGCTGGAAGCCGGATCAAGCAATAGGTATCGGGTCCAAGAAGGCGAATGCTGCTAGTTCGGTAGCTAGCTCGTCGAATGTCAAGTTGGAAGACACGTACTCTCCACGAACCTCTCGACGAGGTCTCGGTGCGAAAGAGAAACCGACACTTGCACAGACTCTGTCTCGACAACACCAATCAGCACCAACCCCGTCTTTCCACTCCTTGACAGACACCGCAGATGCTTGGTCAGACGGTCACCCTCTACCCTCCAACTTCCACCTCGCCCGCCAACCCCCGCCTTCACCACCGCACTTCGAACCACCGCCGATACCCGAAGGCTGGCAACCCGATCCATCCCAACTCACATCCTTTTCCTCAAGACCCTCTCCGACTACGAAGACCCTCACCCCTGCTAGCAGAGCCGCCCTTCTCGGGGAAGCCAAAATCCCCGGCCCACCACCCAACATCGCCGCCTACCTCTCTGAAAAGGCTCGCGAGCATCTTACCTCCTCGTCCCACCTACCCCTCCCCTCCTCGGCCCTCCTCCCTCTCACCATCCCATGCATCGACCCCTCAACAGCCACACATGCTCTGTCCATCTCCTCCACAACTCCACCCTTCCCCGCCGACCCAGCAAAACAATCCCGATACATCGACTACCTCAACTCACAATGCTCACGCTCAACGCATCAACTTCAACCGCCACCAAACCTGACGCGATCCCGATACGCGATGGAGCTGGACGAATTCGCAAAGATCGCTAACATCAGACCGATGAGCTCCACCATCGCAAGCAGATTTACAAAGGCAAGCGCCGGTGCAATGGAGCACGAGTTGAAGGCGACCAGTGTCGTTGGTGGGCTCAGACAGCCTTTGCCATCTTCCGCGGTGGAAGAGGAGAAGCAGAACGTGGTGGCGGAAGTGGAGAAGGAAGTGTCGGTAGCGCAAAAGGCGGCCAAGATGGGTAACTTTGGTCATTTGACACGCAAGGTTGAAACATGGGCACCCGAGAGGCTGCTTTGCAAGCGGTTTGGTGTGCCTGAACCCGCGGTATCTCGCAAACGCAAGGAAGAGGAACGGACATCATCCCCTGTCCAAAAGCCGCACTTCGACGATGATCCAGATCCGTTCTACGGCTCAACGCAATCCTCCAAATCCAAGTCGCACGCCCCTCGCCCAGACCAGCACTGGGAAAGAAACAAGCAGCACTTGAGATCCTTAGCCGCTGGTCCAACACCGCTCTCGCTCGATGCGCAAGCTTCTTCTTCTTCTTCCAACAATACGCCACATATCCCTCCAGGAACGGAAGACATCGCACAGGAGGATGCGATCGGAATGGGTGATGACGAGAGGCAAGGTCGCGATACGTTGACATACGTAAAGCCTTCGATCGATGTGTACAAGGCTATCTTTGCTTCTGATGAAGAGGAGTCCTCAGGAGAAGATGACGGTGGGCGCGACAGAGCTGTGGCGAGGCCGAAACTACAGAATCCGGCCTCTGGATCGGGCGTTGTGTTTCAGGCCAGGTCCAAACGCAAAGACGTTGAAGACGAAGGGGATAAGCTGGCTGCTGCTGCAACGAATTCACCAATTGCAGCCGCGCAGGTCGACAAGAAACGAAAGAAAGATAAGGCGACCAAGAAAAAGTCGCTCCTGACTTTTGACCTGGAGGAAGACGATGGTAATGCATCACCAGCCGCCGCTGCGACACCGAAGGATCCGTCTTCAAAAGCAAAGACAAAGGCTCGAATGCGGGCTTCCGATCTGTTCTAACCTGTAAGCTTGGCCGACGGTACACGGAATTTGCACCTGCGATCGTGTTGTTGCGGCAAATTGATACCATTTGGGCTCGAGAGAATCAGGTTGTGGCGGCAGTAGGCTGCGCATCCGAAGCCTGACTGTGCCGGAGTTGAGGCGACCTGGTTCCGAGTCGAGGACAAGAGGACTTCGATTCGGCCAAAGGGATAACGCGATGAATTTCCGAGGGAAAGATCAACGTCGGAGCAACGATTGATGGCGACGACAGACGAGTCTCGCCATGGGCGGAATCTTTCTCGTCGTAAGTTCGTCCTTTGCACGGTGAGTCTATTGGAAAGAGATAGCTGTTGTCGATAAAGGTCGAAATCCAGTTGGGATCAAAGTGAGACTCTGACCAGACCTTAGTAACGAGATGAGCGCTTGGTCTGAACATCGGAGGAGGAGTGCGAATGGAGCCATACATGTCTGATGAATCGGGATCCGGGCCTTCCTGCTTTGATGCTTGCTCCTCCTTCTGTGCGCAGGAGGTCTGAGCTGAGAAGAAAGAAGCGCCGTTACTCTCGGTCGTGGAGGGTCGTGCTTCATCACCTTGATCGCTGCGTGATCCGGTGGAAGAAGCGCCAGACCTTCGTCTTCTTGAGGAGGCTTCCGGAGATGGCAGATTGAACGATAGGATGTTCTTGCCCTTGCTGACCAAGCTTCTCGCACGCTCCGGTATAGAATTGCTCGAAACTCTCCGATTCCGATTCTTTGTCGGCTTGAGGAGCATTGGGCGTTGACCTTTGTCGTCGAGGGTTGTGGCGTGTAGCGTGGCGATGAAGCCAATGCCATCCATAGCGATGAGACGTGGCTCGTGGAGACTTCAATAAGGCGATGGCTGTAACCTTGAGTCCGAGAAGGTGTCGCAAGCAAGGTGAATATCGAGCAAATTTGGCAGGGACTTGGGAAAGGCTCGACCGGGTGGCCTTATAGCCGCTGTCCAACTTCGGCTATTCGTTCAAGAGGTCCGAGAGTGGTGTCGTGAGAAGGTCAAGCGACGAGACTGTTCTTCTACACCAGCCACACTCTTTTGGCACAGATGTCGGTGTACTGAAGTGGGTTGTAAGAGTAGCGAGCGAGGCGTGTCCGAGCCCGGACGCTTCGGTCGTGTCCGTGGGCGAGAAAGTTCCCACTATGCCCGAGAGTGAAAATTGCATTGCTCCGATTCCTCGTCCGAACCGGAAGTAATATAATCCCATGTTCTGAGATACTGCTGTAGCCAGATCGTGGGAGTGGTGAGTTTCGTGGGAATCAGGCAAGAGAACAGGACTCGTTTTGATTCGTGGCGAGCACGGGGAGGTTGGGCCTCATTTCGGAGCCAAATCAGAGGCTAGACGTCTGTGCAGTGGAGTCTTTGACTTTTCGATCGTCACCAACCAGATATTTGAACAGTGGAGGTAGAGCCGGCACTGTTATTCTTCAACAGCAAAGCTTCCGAGACGGCGCAAGGACCTCTGTTCCGCATACGGTACCTGCACCGAAAGAAGTTTCCGCGCTGCGCAGCATCGAAGGAAGCTTGGCGACACGCCTTTGATCACGTGCGTGTGCTTCTTGGTGGGTTCCGAGATCGAGATCGGTGGAGCAGCACCGGCGGTGATGCAAAGCGACGTCGAAGGTGCAACGGTGAGAAAGAAGACTTGTCTCAGGATTTCTTGTCTGCGCAAGTAGACAGCACGCGACCCGCTAGCCGAGGCCGCACAGGTTCGGTACACCACTTTTGTGATTTCAGCGCTCTGGTTGATCAGGCGTCGATAGCTGTGAGAACAATGCATGAAGCAAGAGTCGCACTCAGACCATACAATTGAAGAGTCCACAGTGGCAGCGGACCGGCAGAAAGCACCGAGGCAAAGGACGTAACTAGTCAGATCACCCTTGGACGTCATAGGCTTTGGTGACATTGAACGCCGTTCGACGGGCGGAATTGTGAACAATCTCCTGTGCCGCGTCCAGCGGAATTTAGCCGTCACATTGTCTGGCACGGTTCCAACGGCGGAGATCAACATCCCGTACGCCTCGATGATCTTCGTAGCGCGGAACGGGAGTGATCTCCGATGCTCGACCATTCCCTGCACATTCAGAGGGTCGTAATGAGGCCGCCATTGTTGCCTCACTAAACTAGCACACGATTGAGCTGCATGTCTGCGCCGTTTTCAAGTGCCGCTCGAATAAGCGAGCAAAAAAGATCAACGATCTGCAGCATGCCCGCTGACCCTGAATTCAGTCTCGCACACGCAACACTCGCGACACACACACAAAACACATGCACGTCTCTACCACACCCTGCTCCCTGCAGCAGAAGAAATAAGCAACGGCGTAAGGGGGCACTACCCGCGAATCTGTTGCCCACCAAGCAGCTTTTGATGAAAGACGAACTCATTATGAAAGACGGACGAAGTCTACGTCGGAGTGCGGCGGGCTCTGGAAAATGTACGCCCAGATGGCGCTTTACAGCCTCAGATCGTCGGAAAGACAAAGAGAGTCTCATCACCGTCAAAGCTACTGTATTTGGGCCCCATGCACGATGCTTATGCTTGAGATAGCGATGTCCAAGAGGGCAGTAAGTCATCGCTTCGATCCACAAGTCACGGCCCAACGTCATAGCCGACAGAAGCGATCAGAGCGCTTCGCCCTCGCATACCCCGTCTTTGCATGTCGCCAACCTCTGCGGCCAAGTTTATATTCCAGCTTCGCTTCCTGTGACCCCTTCCCCTACATCACCATCAAGTCCTCCTCTGTATCATACTCGTGAACCGCAATCGACCGCCACCACTCTCCCTTCTGCCCTACAATTCGCCCAGCGGCTAGGAAGCTATTCGTGCCTCTTCGCGAATAGCCACCTCTTCTTGCCGCCTGCCTCGATGATTCTACAAGGACGGACATCATCTTTTGGCTTTCTCGACTAAGATGCAATTGTGCAAGAGGCCCAACACTCTGGATTCAAGCGCCCGCATAGCCGTCGAACAACTAAAGCAACAAGAGTCCTGCTACGACCATGTCATACTCAAGGCCACATCAGCCACGACAAACACAGCAAGCTCCTTTCAGCTGTTCCAGACTGGCGTAGGCGGACTCGATACACTACGTGCCAAGCTTCGCGGTCGTCACACCCAATTTGCTCTCTTGCGTGTCCAAGGGCGCATCTTGCTCATCGTTTCCCTCGGTCAAGACAATACCGGTCTCAAGCGCGCTCACGTCCTCATCCAAGGCAGAACACTCCAAGCATCCCTCGGAGCCGTGCTCTTCGCTACAATCAGCATATCCGCGATCTCTGAGCTGACTTCTGCTCTCGTCGGTTCCAAGCTGCAGCTCCAGGGCTTTGCTCATGTCGATGAGCCGAATACAAATCAAGACTTTCGAGCTTCTTGGGCCTCCACGTCAGCCGCAAGCATTGTCTCTCGTGCTCAACCAAGTGCACCCACGTCGCCCGAGGAGCTGGACCACGACACTACAAATTGGTCCCGTCTCGGCTCAGATCTGTCTGCTGCTCGGCGTGTTGCTGCTGATCTGCCCACTAGCATCAGCTCTGAATCCAATGTATTGGACTCATCCTCGCATTCAAGTCGCTCGACGCCGGCGGAGGTCGGCAGCAAAGGCTTGCTCATCGATCTCGAATCGGTCACTGGAACGCGAATGGGTCGTACTACTCTCTCTGTCCCTTCTGGAATGCCTGGGTCAAATGATAGGAGCCTGCCTGCATTTCCGATCGTTTCCGAGGCCTCTGAGGGTAGCGAAGGAGAACCACGTTTGTTGACCTCCTCATCAACGCAGCCTCACCTCGAAACCCCTGCGCTATTGCGTAAGAGCAGGGAACCAAGCCACCGCGACCGCCCACCAAGGTTGAGGATGAGCTCGTCCGAAGATCACAGGAAGCGTCTTTCCGACGAGCGTCAACGTGTTCGCGCCGACGAGTCCACCAAAGATGAAGTTATAAGAAGGCTTCGAGCTGACCAACAATGCTTGCCCAAATCGCCCTCGAACCGCACACCGCGCGCTGCGATCAGTCCACCGTTGGCCCCTCCACCTCCTTTCGCACCTCCTCTGGCTCCTCACTCGCCTTCGTCGGCTTCGCTTCGGTCTCGTGGCTCTTCTAGCCTTCACTCACCTCGCTTTCCACTGACACGGAAGCCTGAAGATGTTGATGATTCTGCTAGGACGTGGCCGACCAGCATGATGGCGACCATCATCACGGTCCCACCCACTCCCGTGACTCCTGGTCCACAGAGATTCGAACAGGCCCCTACAGCATCCGCGGACTGGCTTTCGGATCTGCCGAGAGTTTCAGAGAGCGGCGACAGTGTGCGTACCAGCATGCAAACCTTAAGCCTTTGGGAATACGCCGACAGTGTAACGCAGCACGACTCCTTTGCGCGCACGTCCAGCCTGGTACTTCCTGCATCCAAAGGCAAAGTCCTCTCTCATCTGAACGATGATCCTTCGGGGACTGCTACGCCGGTTCGAGCTCGCAGCAGATCGGCTTCTTCGGTGCTGACAGTGTCACCGGATAGATACGCGTTGGCATCGTCAAGCTCGAGAGGCAGTATCGACGCTCCTTCCATCTTCGACAAGGAGCTGCCATTGCCACCAGGAGAGCGCCAAGACGATCAAGGAGACCATTGGTTCGGCCCTGTGGGATCGCCGGATTCTGTCACACATCCGGCTGCGCCGTGGATTGGAACTGCCTCGTCGCCTCGCAGGCCACAAAAGAGCCGCGCCGGCAGTCCTGCGCACGAAGAGATGCAAGGTCTGCGCGAACAGCTCGCGCGGGCAGAGGAACGAGCGAGAGCAGCTGAGGAGTCCGCCAAGATGGCCGTGCTGGAGGCACAGAGCGAGAAACGTCGGCTTGCACAAGAGCTGGCCAAGGCGGAACAGGCTTCGACAGACAAGATGGAGGCTGAAGCTGTACGCCGGGCAAAGTGGGCCAAGGAGCAGGCGGCACGCAACCAGCTAGAAGCGTACGAGCGAAGCAAACTCGAAGCAGACGAGATGCGGCGACGCCGGGCCATCGAGGAGCAGCGACAGCTCGAATGCGATCGAGCAAACCGCATCAGGGAGGAGCGAGAATGGTGCCAGCAGGAGGCAGCACGCGTCAAGCGCGAATACGAGGTCAAGATTCAGGTTCTTGCTGAGCGTGAGGCCAAGCTCAAGGCGGAGGCTGAAGCAAAAGAGAGGCTTGAAAGGGAGCGCAGGGAGCAGGTCAAAGCAAGGGAAGCTGGACGACAGGAACGACTCGAACGACTGGCCTCTGCCTTGCGGGAGGCGGAAGGAGCACAGCCTGATGCAAAGACGGAACCGCTACTGACGGGATGGCTGAATTTGCAAGATGAAGGCGAAGTACACCGGAGGAGGCGCTGGTATCGAGTGATGGACAAGCAGCTGGCACTGTCCAAATCACCAACGGATCCGAATGTCTTGACGTCCATCCCGTTGGACCCAATACGTCTGCTCTCGATCAGCGACGGTCACGAGGACTCTCTCATGAGCCATGCTCTCTGCTTGGAAGTGCAGCAGGCGACCGAAATCGATACGAAGGTTGATGGTGCGGCGGAGATGATGACGAAGCGCACCTACATTATTTCCACAGATACCCTTGAAGCCAAGGAAGAGATCGAGCTCGTTGTTGAGGCTATTCGCGGCCTCTGACGGGTGAGCTCGCTTGCCTTGATGCATTCACATTCTTCAATCCATACGCAATCTACTCGCACATTATTCGTGGCAATCATCGCATAGATCACTGAAGCTTGATCGGCCGTACCTCTCGGCTCGAGGCAGCTGCAATCGTGTATAAGTGGAAGCCAGTCTGGGGTCACGTGATGCGACGCGACCCGAACGCGGTTGGTAGCGCGGCGCGTTAAGTGACAGCGCGCGAAAAGAGGGCTGATAACATATTTTGGGCCGCAATTCTGATGAGTTAAAAAAGGGCTGCACAGCTGATTGACAAGAAAGAACCGCTACTCCTTGCAGCCAGCACGGCGGGTAGATGAAGGTCTCGGATTTGCCGTCGGTCTGTGGCGAGCTTGAGTTGCCGAGCTGCTTTCGATCACATCTGCAGCTGGCCTGTCATCGGTTGCAGCAGAGCGTCTGTATCTTAGCGCTTAGCGAGGAGGAATTGCCAAAGGTGGAAAGGCATGCTTAAAACGATGCGCGCGGGATCAGCAGCTTGGCGTCATCCGGAACGTATCTTCCCGTGCTGGGTTGTCAAAGTCTTTTTACAATGATTCTGTCATAGGCATTCCTAGATATGGCCTCGGAATGCGAAGATCAAGGATCGACGCGAGCAACCGTCTTTGCGCCTCTTTAGCTCGAGTGGGAAAGTTGGCGAGCGAGCTTGCGCAGCGACTGAAGAATACCTTGGCGTGCGCAGCATTTCCCGCTCTCATCGCGAGCCGGCGAGCGGGTCGGGCTTGCAGCAGGGCGTATCCCCGAGTTGGGGCTTTGGAAGCGCTCAGGAGCTCACGACATGTTGGGCGTTGCAACGCTGACTAGACATCCTCGCCTTTCAAATTGGAGTTCGAGAAGCGGCCAGCTGGCATGGCCGGAGGACAACCTCTCCTTCCGTGATAGAGCCAGAGGATCGACGAGCTCTAGTTGAGCATTCTTAAGCGAGAGAGGCTGGAACGGGAACTCATGAAAAGATCGACGAGCAAGGCCGACAGCAAAAAGCAAGTCAAATATGCATGATTTTGTTGCCGGCTCGGAGTCCCCGCCCGCATTGTCGGGCACTCGGCCAGTCTTTTATTTCGAAGTCGACATGCCCTTCCCATCATCGCCGAGCGCTACAGAGAAACGACTCGCCAGCCTCTGTCCGTCTGTCTGTCGTTGGCGTGGCAGGGAAAGCTGGGCTCGGGCACGAAAATTGAAAGCCATCGCAGCCAGCGGCTTCTCGGTACTCCCTTGATGAATGCAGCCAGCAGACCATTCTACGCTCACCAGGCATGTATCTGCGGGCTCGCGGTAAAGCGGTCGGTCATAGAGCATGTGAGCCGCTGTCCTTCCCTGGCCTACCTTATGCAGTGTACTGGTCGCTGGGCGGATCTGTCAGAATCAGCGAGCGCGCACATGGCCTTTCGCGAGACTTCTGCTCGCCATACAAGTTCTGTCCGCCTCCGAAGCGCTATCCTTTCGAGCCCGCACGCAGCATGTTCTTGCAGCACATGACAGTAGATAGTAGAGGTGGTGCCGCCAAGTGAAGGATCGCCAGACTAAATGATTGCTTGAGATGGCCGCCAGAATGTCAGGTTGGGGATGGACCGACGAAGCTCGAGTCGCTTTCTCTCTCTCTCTCTTTCTCGCAAATCACGTCGAATTGCAGCTGCAGAATTTCGAAGCGCGATTGGGGACAGAGGGAAAAAATCTGAGGCAGCTGAGCGCTTTCTGGCTCCTTTTCGCCCCCCTCCGCCAGTCACGCGTCGGGTGTCAGCTGCTGCGTTGCTGTCTCGCCTCTGCTCTTGTGCGTCGGCTGCCTGGCTAGCCTCGTCCCCACCGCTTTCACTCTTCCTCGTCGCTTTCCATCCTCTCATCCTCCGTTCGTACTGTCACATCCTCGTCTTCCCTGCCCATCTCTCCCAACTCGTCGACGCCGATCACCCTCATCACTCTCCCTGCTTTGGTATACGCGGCACCTCCGAACGACATCGGATCACCTCCGATACGCGATCAATCTTGGTCAGTGCACGCGTTGACACAGCGTATCCTCGACAGCTTACAGCAGCAGCGACAACGACGCGGCCATCGCCTGTGCGAATACAGACACGGCGTTCTCCCCACGACATCGAGCCGCGCCTCTCGAACCTCCTCAATACCGCCATCAGCAAGACTAGCCGCTTTCGGCTTGTCGCGCTCTAAACGCGGCTCTTCACCATGACGACACCTTCGCACCCGCGATCGTTCGGCTCCTCCAACTATCCGACAGCCTCGTCTTCCTCGGATTACTCGCCCACATCCACCAGCACACCCTTTGCTACACCGGCCACGCGTGCCACCAGCATCGCTCCCAGCACCTTTTCGCGTTCGGGCCCCGGGAACCGCCGCGCCAAGTTCTCCATGAGCAATGCAGCCAACGAGTCGCCGCTTCAAGCTATCCACGCCAGCCCGACCCCCACTGGCTCCCGTTCTGCAACGCCTGCCAGCATGGAGGATCCTACCGCCAGGGACGACCCGGAATCCTCTTGTGCCGCTTCGACTTCCTTCACAGCGCGTCAGCCGGCTCGATCGGGCATTCGCGCTCGTCTCACAGCAGCTAGCGGGTCCAACAGTACCAGCTCGCCTCTGACATCGTCAGCGACGTCAAAGCCTACAACATCGGCCACGTCGACCGCAGCAACAAAGCTAAGCAGCGCTGCCGCCGGGACCATGGCAGGCGCGTCAGGCTCCTCTGCCACAGTAGGAGGCTCAGAAATGACCAAGGATGCCGAAGACTTCTTCGCCAGGGCACAAGCTATGGGTCTTCGCCTCACCCGCGAAGACTACGAGAGGACAAAGGCCGGCGTCGCTGCCTTCCTCAAAGCAGAGCGTCGTCCATTCTCGGCTACCCCAGCTCCTTCCGCGACGTCAACATCGGCGTCTTCGTCCAAGGCTGCTGACCGCAAGCCATCGACGAGCAGCCAAAGCACGTCGACTTCGACCAAGCCGGACGCTTCCGCCGACTCTGCTTCCGACGCTGAAAAGACGGCCGAGGTCAAGGCGGGACCCTCGCAACCTCGTCTTGCCGCTCCCTCTCCCCTCGTTCGTCCAGGTGCTTCGACGTGGGCTCGCAACGCGAGCAGCCCCGCGCTGTCCTTCTTCACTGCTGTCATCGAGCCAGAGGACTCTCCCGGATCGCCCAAGATTCACCCCAGCCTCGATCAGGTTGGCAACATGGAGGAACGACGTCGCCTCAAGCTCAAGAAGCACAAGCTGCGTCAGCGACGCGAACGCGAGCGTGCCATCCTCGCCGCAAATGCTGCATCCTCGTCTAGCAAGACATCGAACGACTTGCTCGCCACGCCCAACTCCACCGTCGCTCAATCCTCGCCGGGCTCGGGCTCAAGCTCTACCTTCCGAACTCCCCCCGCGAGGACCCACGGCAAGAAGGGCAGCTGCAGCAGCATCAAGTCGGCGACCCGAGTCGGCCTTGGCCTCGACCTGAATGGCAGCGATTCCACCACAAGCCCAGACCCGTCGACGCCACCCGAGGGATTGTCCAGTGGCTTCTCCGGTCGCCGCTCCCGCATCCGCACCGTGTCGTTCGAGTCTTCGCCCGTGATGCGTGTCAGTGACGAGGTGCGTGACTGTACGTCGCTCGAAGAGCTCAGCCGCCGCGCTTGGGTCAGCCCTCGAGGAACGTTGCGATTGCTCAGGTCGCCGGTCGAAGACGACGCCGTTTTCTGCAGTCCTGACGTCGATGTCGACGACTCGGGAGTTTGCTTTCCCGTCCTCGAACCGCCGCCCTCCTCTGCCGCTGGGGGTCTCAGCGGCGGTCTGGCTGCTGACGGTTGGGGCGCTGCGCATCGCAGGGCTCTTTCCGCTAGTTCTACAGGCACCTCGGCTCCTACGCATCTCGAAGGCCTCGACACCAAGATGAGCGGACTGAGCTTCCTCGACAGGATCATGTCCAAGCAGACTAGCCCTCGGCGCCTCTACAAGGCAGAGAAGCTGAGGCAGAAGGAGGCAGCCCAGCAAAAGGTGCTGGAAGAACAGGTGCAGGCCGAGCTGGCCGCACAGCACTTGGCTGAGGCCGCTGCGCGCGCCGAATACGATCAGAAGGAAGCCGTCAAGGCTGCTGCCGCCGCGGATGCCATCAAGGCTGCCAACCCGGACTACGCCTCGCTCGTGCTCAGCACCCCCAACGCAGGGAACAAGACACGCAAGTCGCCGGACTCCGTCCTTCGTGCCACCCCCTTGGAAACGTCTTCTTCCCGCGCGCTGCGCTGGACCACCATGGGAACAAGCCCAGGCCTGCATATGCGTATGACCACGCGCGAGCACTACGACTTCACCATGCACGGCATTTCGCCCAGCCAGCCTAGCTATGACTCTCTCGACACAATTTGCAACATCACCTCCACGCCTGGCCCCATCTCCTTCTCTGCTTGGGACGCCGAGCCGCTGTCGAGCTTGCGCAGGGGTTCCGATGCCAATCGCTCCAATGTGCGAGGCAGCTCGGCCGCCACACCTGCCGCCCACTTCTTGCTGGCCACCGACGAGCACCGACCCGAGCTCATTGGCGTCAGTCCATCCGTCGCCGGCTTCTTCCACGCGAGGCAGGCGAGTGCGCAGGCTTCTGCCAACTCTTCCCTCATGCGCTCTTCATCGCAGGGTGTCGCGGTCATGTCTCCGCTTTCGGGACGTCTGGTGTCGGGCGTCGCCAGCCGCATTGGCGACCTCGATTTCGACGCCGACGACGACATTGGCGTGCACCACGAAGATGCAGCCCCGAAAGGCTTCAACGCAAAGCGCGGCCTCTTGTTCGCCGTTCCAGGCGGCACCGCCCTCGACCCGCCGCCCGCTTCCCTTGCTGAAGCCGTCCAGCTCGACGACGACGCTCACAAGACTTTTGCCATGTCCACTTCGTCGCCGATGCGTTTCGGTCGATCCCTACGAGCAGGCACGGCCGGCGACGAGATGATCGGTGGTAAGCTGCCGTTCGCCAGCCCCCGCAGCGCCCTCGTCCGCGCTCAGAGCGGCACCGCTCTGGACTCTCGCCGCGAGCGTCTCCCTTCCGGCAACATTCGAGACTTTTTGGGCTCCGGACCTAGCAGCACCAGGCACAAGCGCGGCCTTTCGCGCAAGATCGACACCATCAGCCCAGCCGATGTCTTTGGCTCCAGCCTGCCTCGCACCGTCTCTGCGCCGTCCGTCGATACCAGGCAGCCGCTGCCCGAACCGACCAAGGCCGGCGTGCGCGATGCTTTTGCTGAGGAGTCCCTAGATGACAGCATCCTTGTCGCGCAGAATCGGAGCAAGAAGGGCAAGAAGGCGGTGGAGGCTCGTCGTGTTCAGAGCGACTCGCCGCCCTCTCCCAGCAAGCAGTTGGCAGATGCAGGCAAGGGGCTCGTCGTCGACTCGGGTGTGCTCATGCAGCCGCCTCATCAGCTGACCGGCGTCGCCGTCAACCTGATGACTACGCAAGCAGGAAGCGACCAGCCGGTGATGGCCCTGTTTGCCGGCAAGGGCGCAGAGCAGCTGCCCCTTCCGGGGACGATCCAGGCTGCTGATCTCTCGCAACCCTCATCGACGAAGAAGAGCAAGAAGGCCAAGGCCGCCGGTGGCTCTGGCACGGACTCGGGTTCGTTCAAGGTCATCGACCTTCCGTGCCAAGACTTTGAGCGCATGGCTCAAGCGGCTCCTTCGGTCCAGAACGGCGACGAGATCGGTTGGGACCAGCCCGATGGCAGCCGTCTGGTCAAGCTGGTATCGGAGGAGCTCAGGGCGGCGCTCGACGCGGGCACTCTGCTCGAGGAGCCAGCTGCGCGCTACTATCTGCTGCCGCCCGGCTTCGGACAGTCCAAGGCCAAGCCGAGCTCGGTCTCGTACGCCGGTCTGATCGGACAAGCGATCAAGTCATCCTCGGACATGCGCCTGTCGCTGTCGGAGGTGTACGACTGGATCAGCTCCACCTATCCTTTCTTCGAAAAGGGCGACCGCGGATGGCAGAACTCGATCCGTCACAACCTCAGTCTCAACAAGAGCTTTGTCAAGATCGAACGCGAGGCCAACATGCCCGGCAAAGGTGGATGGTGGGGCATCAAGCCCGGCCACGAGGATCGCTTCCAGAACGGCTTGTACAACGCTGTTCCGCAGAAGTTCGAGGCTGCCAAGGCTCGTCAGCAGAGCCAGGCGAACAAAGCCGCGGGCTCTCCTGATGCGGTCGAACGGGTGCTGAGCGTGGCGGATGTCGATGCGAGCTTGACCTCGTCGCAGGGCGGCGAAAGCGTGGATGGCAGCGCCAAGAAGCGCAACACCAAGCGCAAGAAGACGCAGGCGGGTGTCGTTGCCGAGAGCGGTGACGAGTCGGACAAGGAGAGCGGTCGAGCACCGTCGTCCAAGAAGGTTAAGATCCTCGCTCCGACAGCCGTGGCCGATCGCCTGCCGCTCCTCGAGACGCAGCCGCAGAACGGCGGTGCTTTGGCTGCCGGGATGGCGATCAACGGGCTGGATTCCATCACACCCATCCGCCCCCATGTCGGCTCGTCGGTCTACACCGGCAGCGTCGCCGGTAGCACCTACAGCAAGAGCATCCCCGGTCTGATCGACAGCGCTAGCAGTCCTCCGAGCAGTCCGTTGACGTTGATGCCGCCCCCGTCGATGCAGGCCACCGCCAATCACAGCGCGAGGAAGCGCAAGATGGCAGGCCAGGGCAATGGGCAGCTCGGCTACGGCACTGGCTTCTCTCCTTCCCTGTACGCTATGCGCGGCTCGGCGCTCGGCGGCGCGTTTGCCTTTTCCGGTGGTATGGACGATTCTTCGCGTGGTTCGCCATTGCGTCGACAGACCAAAGGCTCGACTGGCGACAACACGTCGAACGGCGTGACGTCTCCCAAGCGATTGTGGGCGATCAGTTCGCCCGTGTCGTCGATGCGCGGGCAAGGACAGAAGGGCCGCGGAGACGAAGGAGCCCGTTCACCCACCTCGACCGCTCGTGTAGCTGCAGCGTTGGCGCACTCGCCCATCCGAAGCTCGCCTCTGCGAAGCGGTGCAGCAGGTATGCTCTCGCCCAACTCGAGCGCCAGCCTGCAGATGCAGCTGGCCATGGGCGGTGGTGCCGGCCAGATGGGATTCAACGGCACCGGGTTTGGTGCTGGACTCGGGATGGGATCGGGACTGACGCCTGGACGCACGCCTGGCTCGTTGCGCTTCTCGAGCGGCATGTCGCCCGGCCGCCGAGGATTCGCAAGCCAAGGTCAGATGATGGGTATGAGTCTGGCCGGCGCAGCTCCGCAAAACATGCAGCAAGGTTGGTACCTGGACGATCCCTTCGAGATGCAGCAGGCCAACTTGCAACAGCAGCACCAGCACCAACAGATGGTGCAGCACCACCAGATTCACCCACAGCCTGGACACGGCGGTATGGATCCCCACTACGCTGGATTCGGCGGCATGGGCGAAGGACTGACCACTTCGCCGCTGCGTCAGGCTTGGAACAGCATCCAGGCCGCGGGCGGCATCCAGGCGTTTACCGGAGGCCACGCGTTCTCACAAGCTCGTCAGTGATGGTGAATCTGCGCTCGGATTTCAGACTCATAGCATTCCACGCACGTACTTTTATAATATCTCTTCTCAGCATCTCTAAGCAAACATGTACCATATCCACATCTCGTCGCGGTCTCGAATGCCATAGCTTGCTTTCCAAGCCCTCGATCCAGACCAGTCTGAGGTCTTTCTTGCATGACCGCTTTGATGATGGCCATGTGGGGTGTTGACGCGGCTCGACATATTGGACGTTGGCCGGCTGATGACTGATGAGCCGGAAGAGTCGACGCGCGGCAAAGGCGGCTAACGTTGCCCACTCGTCTAGAGCGCGAGAGGACCCTTGATTTCTTGGTTATCGTGGGATTTTGCCGAAACGTTGCGCTACGGGTTGCAGAAGCCCTGCAGCCCCGCAAACCCATGGACGGGTCCAAGTTCAGCCACGGCCCACAAAAAACGCAAAATGCAAACACGCCGACATTATTAATATTTAGATTAGGCGCCGAAGCCGTCAGTCATCACGCACAGACACAGCCGAGCGGGGTCATCGGAGGCTGGTCCGACTCGTTATTGTTGTCCTCACATCACTGATAAGCAGCTTTTTCTTGTCGCATGATCCGCCTCTTTGCCATCACGAAACACTGTTGCCAAGCGACAGTCAGCGAGTCACTCATTTGGACGGCAGTCGATAACTTGCAGGCTCGTCCAGCTGCAGCCACATCATGCGAACGATTGTTTCCTCCCAGCATATAAGGGCCTGCCTGGCCAGCCGCCCGGCTGGCTTCGCTCCCTCATCTGCACCTTTCTTCCTACCTCGCACTTCTGCCATTGCCTCGTCTACCTCTCGTCGTACCATCTCATCCACCACGACGACAAGAGTGCCGTTCCGTCCCACCATGCCAGCAGCCGACTTTGACGCCGCCGCGTTCGGCGAGACCCACATCACCAAGGGCATCGGCCGTCTCTCGAAGCACGTCTTCGAAGATGGTAAGGGCAGCTGGATCACCACGGACAAAGGTGTCAAGCTGCTCGATATGACTGCCGGTATCGGTGTGTGCAACTTGGGCCACTGCCACCCCAAGGTCACCGCCGCCGCAGCCAAACAATGTGGCAAGATCACCCACGCCCAAGTCAACATTGGCTTTTCAGCACCGCAGATCGAGCTCATCAAGAACCTCTTGCCCATCTTGCCGCATCCCTCGCTCGACACGCTCTTCTTCTGGAATTCGGGCGCCGAGGCAGTCGAGGCAGCCGTCAAGCTCGCACGTGCTGCCACCAAGAAGCAGAACATCATCGTCATGCAGGGATCCTACCACGGCCGAACAGCTGCGACCGCTGCGCTGACTCGATCCAAGACCATCTACGGCGAAGGCCACGGTCCTCTGATGCCGGGTGTGTTTGCCACCTCGTTCCCCTTCTACGCTCACTTTGGCCTGCCTGTCGATACCGACGTGGAGGAGCTGGTGCGTCAGTCGTTGCACCAGGTGAGGCTGACGCTTCAGCAGCAGACGGCTCCTTCGGATACCGCGGCGATCTTGATTGAGCCGGTCATCGGTGAGGGTGGATACGTGCCTGCGCCGGCTTCGTTCCTACATGGCTTGAGGCAGATCTGCGACGAGAACAACCTGCTGCTCATCTGCGACGAGGTCCAGTCTGGATTCGGTCGAACGGGAACCATGTTTGCCGTGGAGGAGTCGGGCGTGCGTCCTGATGTGCTCATCTTCGCCAAAGGAATCGCCAACGGCTTCCCTCTCTCGGGCATTGCATCGACCAACGAACTCATGTCGCGGCAGAAACCTGGCTCTATGGGTGGCACCTACGCCGGCAACGCCGTCGCGTGCGCTGCTGCATCGGCGGTGATCCAGGCGTTCAAGGACGAACACGTGCTCGACAATGTCGCCAAGCGATCCGAGCAGCTGGTGTCGTTCCTGCACTCGCTGCAGAAGGAGTCGAGGTACGGACATCTGATCGAAGACGTTCGTGGCCGCGGACTCATGATCGGAGTCCAGTTCGCCAACACGCCCACCACCGCCGACAGCGACAATGCGGCAGCGGCGACGGTCAAGAAGCCAGAGCAGATCGCTCCGAAGGTCGTGGCAGAGTGTCTGAAGCGCGATATGCTGCTGCTCAGCACATCTGTGTTTGATGTTCTAAGGTTCATCCCTGCGTTGAACATCAGCGAGGACGAGTTGGCACAGGCTTGTGGCATTTTCAAGGAGAGCTTTGAGGCTGCGGCTAAGGAGCTTGGTCATTGACTGTAGGCAGGTTGCCGACTCTTCTCAAATCATGATATAGTCACGATATCAATTCGGTTGCGGACGGGACCGTGCGGAAGGATGAAGCGTGTGATTGCAGTGTAAAGCTTAATTGATGATATCGAGCATCTCGCGAACGGTGAGTACTTTTTCGCGGATCTTTCCCAAGCTTGCACCTCTCTTTTTCTCCTCTTGATCGATCTTGCGCCAATCCTGGAACCCAACGACTTTGTTCGAGGATTCGCTTTGCAGCTTGTGCAGCAGATCCGCATCGAGTTGGTCGGCGTTGTTGGAGGTGTCAGGGGTGGGAGAGTGGAGGTCGCGGAGGATGAGGTCGGCTACCGAGTAGGCGTCCATCATGGTGGTGGCGATGACGCCCTGTGGGCCGCGGGCGAGCCAGCCGCTGACGTAGGCGCCGGGGAGAGGGGTGCGGGTGGAGGGGTCGATGATGCGGCCGGCGAGGTTGGGGACGATGCGACGGGTGCGGTCGAACGGTAGGTGAGTGAGTTGGCCGTTTTGCACGAGAGAGGTGGAGGGAGTGGGGGTCTGGGTGGAGAAGAGAGCTTCGCTTTGGTATCCGACAGAAGAGACGATCATGTCTGTTTCTGTGGTGACTGTCTCGCCGGTTGAGGCTGATGTGTTTGTAGATGTGGGATCGGTGGATGCGGATCCCCAAGCGGCTTTTCGTGGATCGGCAGCGTCCAAGTTACGTGCTGTGGGTTTTCCGCTCTGCAACGTCGTGACGTTCCACTCTACCCTCCCTACATTGTTGCTGCCATCGTCTTTGGGCGAGAATTTGGCAGGCGAACGGAAAAAGTTCAACCCCCACGTCTTGACTTGACCCTCGTCGACCTTAGTCTTACTTCCCTTGGCTAGCAAGCTCAAGAGACGCTTCTTGACCCGTACCTCGGAGGCGATCGCGCTGGCTCTCTCTGGAGTACTACCCGCTGATTTCTGCGCCAACTCCTCCAGCTGCACCAACGCCGAATCGAGCAAATGCTTTTCAGGGGCACGCAAAGCTATCCCTTCCAACGAAAGCATCTCCCTCACCTCCTTGTTGGTGAACGCCAACTGTGCCGGCCCTCGTCTGGCAAACACATCGACGTGTTTCACCTTGCACCTCGCCAGCTCGGCCAGCACAGGTTCGGGAACATCGGTCTCTTCCAACGCTGCCAACCCGGGCGCCTTGTTCGAAGTGACCCGTCCGGAGGAAGATTCCAAGAACGGTGTGGAGGAGCGTAGAACGATGCGTGCTATGTCGAGGGCGACGTTTCCGGCGCCTATGACTGTCATGTGGTGTTTGTTGGCGAGGTCCATGGAGGCACGCTGAGTTTCTATCGAAGGGTCGTGTGAAGCTGGATGACCGTTGTACCAGTTTACAAACTGCAAGGCAGAGTAGACGCCTTGCAGTTCGGCTGGCTGTGACCCTGGGATGCCCAAACCTCGAGCTGTAGATGCACCGTACGAAAACAAAATGTGCGTATAGTACCTCGACAGCAGCTCCAGCGGCACTTGGACCGCGTCCGGGTACGGTCTCTCCCCAGCCCCATCGGCGGAATGCACGACATTGACGTTTCCAGCAAATCTCAACCGAGGATCGGCAGAGACACTCTCGAACTTGTGCTCGACATTCTTCACGTCCGGGTGATCTGGTGCGACTCCATACCTGACCAAGCCATGCGGCACGGGTAGGCGGTCGAAGATGTCGATGTTCAGAGGTTGTGCGGTGGAAGTGTGGGTGGAAGAGTAAGGGATGCGAGAGAGGAGGCGGGATGCTGCGTAGAAGCCGGAGGGGCCTGCCCCGATGATGGCTACGCGTGCTTTGCGAGGCAGGGCCGAGACGAAGGAGGAAGAGGAAGAAGAAGGGTCGACGGCAGACCTCGTGAGGCGCGTGGCTCGCATGGTGGTAGATGCGGCCTGTCGCGGGATGGAGACGTCGGGCAAAGACGATGGTAGTACAGAGTAGGGTACGAGTGACTCGAGGATTCAACAGTGCGGCTTTCAAGGGTCCAAATCTTCTTGAGCTGCCAAAGTGGGAAGCAAGTCAGGGTGGAGGAGCGAATCGGGCAGGATCGTTGTTGGATCTCGTTCTGATTCGATCCCTTCCTTGACAGCTATGACGTCCAAGCCAAGCAAGCACGTTGTCTAGTGCACAACGCGTCTGAACGAGTGGAGGAACGACCCGCATGAGAGAGCGATCTTCCATTTTCTTTTTTTGGACTCCTCTGCTCGCCTTTCACGTTCCCACACAAACGAAGCTCTTCTCGCTTCGTCCGCATTCCAGCGTTCTTCAACACCATCATCTATCCCCAAAATGGTGTTCGACTACATTCCCAAATCGAGGGTCAAGAACCTCCACCTGTACAAGTACAGCGGAACTGACAAGTCGCTCGTGTCCAAGTACATCCTCGGCCCCTACTGGAACTGGCTCGTCACGCTCTTCCCCACCTCGGTCGCACCCAACACCATCACCCTCTCCGGTCTTTTGCTCGTGTTCATCAACTTTGCCACGCTAGCCTACGTCGACCCTGGTCTCGAATGCGCTACTCAGCTCAAGCTCGATAACACCGCGCACACCCTGGCTCTCAACTCGGCCTTCCCTTCCGACGCCAAGCTGCTTCCGGTTAACCCGCTGTTTTCCAACTTTGGCATCCCGGGTTCCGCAGCCAAGGTCGATTTCGCACCGAGGGCTGACTCGGCTTCCAGATGCTTGCCCCCTTGGGTGTTCTACACGTGGGCGCTGTGTTTGTTTGCCTACCAGAGCTTGGATGCCATCGATGGCAAGCAGGCTAGGCGTACCGGCATGGCTGGACCACTCGGTGAGATGTTCGATCACGGATGCGATGCGATCAACACCACGCTCGAATGTGTGCTCTGCTGCGCTGCTTTGAACCTCGGAAGATCCGTTTGGGCTCCCGCTTCCCTCGTCGCTACGCTCGCCAACTTTTACCTCACAACCTGGGAAGAGTTCCACACGGGAACGTTGTTCCTCTCCGCATTCAGCGGACCAGTCGAGGGTATCCTGATGATTGTCTTCATCTACGCGCTGACAGGATTCGTCGGCGGTCCGCTCTTCTGGGACCGTGGCATCCTCAATGTCACCGGTCTGGCAAAGCTCGACGTCGTCAAGGACAATCTCGGAAGTCGATTCAACCTGCCTCTCAACGACGCCTTTCTGGCGTTCGCGTGCTTCGGTCTGCTCTTCAACATTGCCGGCTCTTACTCCAACGTCGTAGCCGCACGCAAGTCGCGCAAGCAGTCCGCATTGACTCCTCTCCTCGGCCTAACGCCATTGGTGCTGCAGATCGCCGCCAACATCTATTGGATCCGAGCTAACCGCAACTTCATCCTCGCCGACTCTCGTGCTCTGCTCCCCTTCCTCTCTTACTGGGGCATCACCTTCGCCTACAACGTGGGCCTGCTCATCGTCGCACACGTCACCAAAGCGCCCTTCCCGTACTGGAACGCTGGCATCGTCTGGTCGGTGCTCATGGCGGTGGATGCGAATCTGCCGACGAGTTACGTTCAGGTCAACCCCGAGAGGCAGCTGCAGGTGATCTATGCTAGTCTGGTCGGCGCAGGTGCGTTGTATCTCTACTTCTGCTGGGATGTTATCACGACGATCACGGAGGAGCTGGGCATGGCTTGTTTTGTGGTCAAGCCGCCCACCAAGTTGAAGCCTCCCAAGAAGAGTCAGTAGATGGGGAGACGGGGAAGATAGAAAAACAGAGATACAACGATTCGTTGGCACCTGTGTGATTGTAGAGAAGGCAAGAGGTCATTTCACGCAGACACATGACTTCATTGAATGTAGAGGCGATGCAGTCTGTCGCATGCGTTGTCACAGTCCGATCCCAATCCGAAAGAGTGAGACTCGATTGCATTGTTCAAGCTAATCGACTGAACGGCTCTCGTCCTCGCCCTTCTACAGCAACGCCAAACCACCAGCCACAGCAGCAGACACTCCCAACCCCACCCCCAGCCCGCTCCTCACCCTCATCGCACCATTCGTACCACCACCACCAGCCGATGCCGTTCCAGCATCACTAGCCTGACTGTTGGTTCCATTTCCACCCGTATACCTCGGAGTCCGCTGAATGGTTCCCCCACTGCTCACAAACTCCGGAACGCCCACCGGCGGGCTATAACTCTGTCCCGCACTCGTCGTGTTGGTCACGCCGTCCCAACACCACTTCCTCAAACATCCCTCGCACACATCTGGCCTGCTGGTCCCGCTCCTCTGCAACCCCCTTTCGATCAGCGCACATCCCAAACACGTGCTCCAATCCGAATCTGCCCCACCCAACGTTGCTACCTCGACCGAATTGTCGATGACACCCTGCGCTTCCGCGTTCGAGTAGTCCATCTTGAACGTGGATGTGTTGGCGAGCGAGGTGTACGGGTAGGAGGGGAGGTAGATGACGATGGGAGTCGGGGTGTTGTTGAAGGCGGTGTTGGAGTTGGTGACGTTCTGGGTAGGATTGCAGCCGTAGAAGACGGGACGGGTGTTGAGACCGCGGTTGACGACGGTGTTGGTGTCGGGCATCTGCGGGAATGCGTAGCTTCGATAGTCTGGGTATTGGGCTCGAAGAGAGGTTTGGTAGAGGGCCGAGGAGTTGGGCCAGTTGGTTACGTCGGCGGAAGAGTCGATAGCGATGACTACGTCGAGATCTCTTGCGGGTTCGACCAGAGGCCACAGCGGAACGTTTTCGTTGTCCAAACCTCCATCCACCAGGGTGATGTTTCGCAGATCGGAGATCTCTACAGTGCCATCGCCACGATATCCATAGAAGGGGTTGGGTACCAGCGAAACGTCGTTCTGCTCCTTCGACACCGCCTGTGCTATCTCCTTCAGCGCACTGACGATCACACTATCGCTCGAACTAGAGACCAAATCCAAATACAATCCCGAGAACAACGTCGCCGAAGTACCCGTCACCCAAGCAACCGTCTGATAGCCACCCACACATTCACCGCTCGGCAAGCTGCTACTGCCATTGCTCAGACTCGAGCCCAAAATCTCGATAGGCACAAAGGCAGAGACGTTTGGGTTCCAACTTCCAAACTCGTACGGGTTGAACTCCCAGATGGTGGTGTTCCTCGGAATGATGAGCTCGCCCGGTTCCCGCTCGTCGGCGATGATGATGGGGAAGGGCATCGAGGCGTCGGTGAAGCTCGAGGTGTTCTTGACGTCGCTCCATTCGACGCTGTACTTGTTGCCGTAGGTAGAGCCGTTGAGGATCTTGGTGGCGATGGAAAGACCAAAGTAGTCCGTAAGGCTGGTTTGGTATCCTTCGGTGCGTTTTCCAGCTACGGCGGCTAGGATGGAGGCGTAGAACGAGACTTTTCCGTCCTCGGGTACGAGCAGGTTGGACTCGAGATCCCAGATGGAGTCTTTGAGGGATTGAGTGGTGGCCCAGTTGTTCATGCTTAGACTGGCGGTGGCCCACGAACCGCCGGAAAGTCCTGCGACGTACTCGGCCAGCTGCAGCAGTCCGCCCGTACCTCGGTTGTTGGCGGTGTCGTTGCGTCCGTCGAAGCCTTGCAGTGTTCCGGATCCGACCAACATGGCCCTCAGGCCACCACCACTGAGCGCGAATCCGAGCCGCGGCAATCGATCCGTCTGGCTTGTGTAGTTCTGCGCACCTCCAGGGAGAACCGAATCGAGCTTGGCTCGACTCAGCCAACTCTGCCAAGCGGCCGAAGTGCTGGATCTGCGTTTCGAGATAAAGTCGGCTTCGCCGGTGGAGAGCTGCTTCGTGTAGGCGGGGCGGATGAACCCGGGTGACTGTTGCGACGTCCGGTTGGGACAGGGCATGTTGGCGGGAGCGAAAGAGCCAGAGGGAGAGGCACGTTTGTGGAGCAGAGCATGTTGCTGCTGCTGCTGCTTGGAGTACTCGTAAGCGGTGCGTATTTCGAGGATAGCTTCGGCAAAGGCGAGCTTTTCGCTGCGGGGTAGTCGGCTGATGCGGGTGATCTCATCGGGTGTGAGTGCGGACGGGATCGAGGGTGAGGCGTGGATAGACGCAGCGGTGAGGACGAGGCTGAGCACTGCCGTGAGGTGGAGCAGCTTCATCCTGGCGGAAGATAAAGCACGCAATTGCTGAGTTGCGGAGACGGGAGGATGATGTTGAATGGAAGATTAGATGTGCGAGCAGTAAGCGGAGGCTTTCTTTATGTAGCACAAACCATTGTTCTGCAACGTCAGCCTTTTTCTTCGAGGGTCTTGACGAACTTCATAACCGTCGAATCTGTCCGGAGAATTAATTCCGCGAGGAGCAAAAAAAAAGGGTAAGCACAGCCGCGCAGGATGCATTGATCGCGCGACCATCTGCTGCATTACGGCAAGCACACGGTGCATCAGTAAGGGTCCTCGGATGTTGGTCGTGCCTGCTTGAACGCTTTCCTCCTCCGACTGCAGTCAGCAGCTCGGCTGAAGAGATTCCATTTAGATTCTGACATTCATGACCAGGTCGAGATGTGGGATCTCCGTCAAGAGATGCAGACGTGCTCCGGCGACTAGCAGCCGTCAACCCACCATGTTTACTGAAGCACACAGCCGACACTGCCAGGGCTGGACAACTGATCCTGCATCTACGGAATCTCACTCCGTTGCATGCCGCCGTCTTCACCGGGAGCTAGCTGTGTACGATTTTGACGCCACCGCGGACTTGTACGCGGCTTCTTTTTCCGACGATGATATGCAAATGGAATGCGGATCAGTGTCATGCACAGTTGGGCATGCATGAGCAAAGGCAGCATGAGGTCATTTCCGAAATTCTCGAATGGAGTAAAAATGTTAGACCGTGTCGTTCCGATGCCAAAGGCCAAAAACAGCGGAACCGATGAGGAAGCACATGGCTGATGTGGAATCGCTCGATCTACACTGATCAACTACCCAGCGCACGGGCGTTGAGCAGCAATCGAAATGTGACTGGAGCAGCACAGCACAGCCTAGCCTGCCATTTTCAGAACGCACACACCACCAGCAATCGTACTCCACACCCACATCGCTGTCTCTTCTTCTCTCTCCTCACCACTCTGGCTCCGTATCCTGTCACCGTCTTCGGCCCGCATCACATTCATCACATCGTCGAGGCTTGGACGGTCGTTGCGATCAGAACGACAGCATCGCATCACAGGCTAGTCCCGAGCACCTGCTTGCCCATCTCCATCTTTCCATCCACGCATTCGCATCAGGTCCTCCGGCGCATCCTCGCCGAAAAACGTCGCCCGCCATGTCTCGCTCCAACGTCATCGTCCTTGACAATGGTACCGGGTACACCAAGATGGGTTTCGCGGGCAACTCGGATCCATCCTTTGTCTTCCCCACCGCCATCGCAACGCGCACCACCGCCGCTGGCTCTTCTGGCGGTGCCGGGTCCCGCCCCAACGTCCCCTCCAAACCAGGCGGACTCTCCACCTCCTCCTCGCTCGCCTCAAAGCGCGGCATCGAAGACCTCGATTTCTTCATCGGAGACGAAGCCTATGCCAACGCCAAAACCTACCAAGTCGACCAACCCATCCGTCACGGTCTCATCGAAAACTGGGACCACATGGAACGCTTTTGGGAACAGTGCATCTTCAAATACCTCCGCGCCGAACCCGAGGATCACTACTTTATGCTCACCGAACCGCCTCTCAATCCACCCGAGAACCGCGAAAACACCGCCGAGATCATGTTCGAGTCGTTCAATATCAAGGGCTTGTACATTGCGGTGCAGGCTGTACTGGCGCTGGCGGCTTCGTGGACGAGCAACAAGGTGACCGATCGTACCTTGACGGGTACCGTGATCGATTCCGGTGATGGTGTGACGCACGTGATTCCCGTGGCGGAGGGCTATGTCATCGGTTCTGCCATCAAGCATATTCCGATCGCCGGTAGGGATATCACCTACTTTGTTCAACAGTTGCTGCGCGAACGCGGTGAAGCAGCCAACATCCCACCGGAGGATTCGAGGAGGGTGGCAGAGAAGATCAAGGAGGATTACTCGTACGTCTGCCAAGACATCGTCCGCGAGTTCCGACGATACGACGAGGACCCCTACAAGTACTTTGAAAGGTTCGAGGGCGAGCACACCGTCACCGGCCGAAAGTACTCGGTCGACGTCGGCTACGAGCGTTTCCTCGCACCCGAGATCTTCTTCAACCCGGAAATCGCCTCCTCCGACTTCCTCACTCCTCTCCCCGAGGTAGTCGACGGCGTCATCCAGCAGTCGCCCATCGACGTCCGTCGCGGCCTCTACAAGAACATCGTCCTCAGCGGTGGCAGCACCATGTTCCAGCACTTTGGTCAGAGGCTCAAGAAGGATCTCCGCAGCATTGTCGATAGGAGGTTGGCGGCGAGCGAAAGCGCCAGTGGAAGCCTGATGAGGAGCAGCGGGTTGGAGGTGAATGTCGTCAGCCACAAGATGCAGCGCTACGCCGTGTGGTACGGTGGAAGCCTGTTGGGCAGTCTGCCGGACTTCTACAGCTATTGCTACAACAAGCAGGATTACGAGGAGCACGGTCCGTCGATTGTTAGGAAGTTTAGTGTTTTTGGAAGTGTGTAGAGATTGCAATCGAGATGATTTGGGGTGTTGGACAAGTGAAGTGTGTGTGTGTGTGTGTGTGTGTGTGTGTGTGTGTGTGTGTGTGTGTGTGAGTGACGGTCACTCCCAGACGCGGATGCATCCGCTCCTGTCGCCCGCGACGATGCATCGGAACGGAGCCTCGATGACCAGTACATCGGTCACCGCGTCCTTGTGCGCTCTCGACATGTGCGCGTACATGGCCGTCTGATTCGCCAGCAGCGGCGACTTGAGTCGCGTGCCCCCATTTCCGGCCACCCTGACGACGTCGTCCGTACCATCGCTCGATTCGCCGAACCACATCGTATGCACCACCCTCGTCGGTGCTGTTCCGCCGATCGTGCGGAAATCCGACTTGGCATCGATCGCGACCATTGTGCCGCTGGCGGCGGTCGTCGATCGTTGCGAGTGCGAAGAAACGATGCGAGGCGGGACGCTCAACACCAGACTCTTTTCCGGTTTGCCTAGATCCCAGAACCGCAGTTGGGCGTCGGCGCCCGAAGTGATCATGTAGCCGCCCGGTCCGCTGCCGCCGTGACTGGAAGCAATCGGCGTCGACCCTGGTTCGTTGATCGACATGCGTTCGGTGCCACTTGTGAGTTTGGCCACGTCGAGCCATCCGCCGCCAGTCTCTGCGTGGATGGTTTCCGTGCCGTCTCTCGGCTCGCTGGGAGCATCCGAATTCGCGGGTTTGGATTGATTTGCAGACGGCGCGTTGGAAAGCGAGGAGCTGGTATAGCCCTCAAGACTGACAAAGAGAGCTTTGACGGCGCAACTCGGTACACGGGCTGCGGTGGTCAAAGTGCCGGGCCGAGTCTCGGAAGGGAACGGATCGACGGCTGCAGTCCTAATATGAGCGTCAGTCGACGCCTGCGCCTGCCTCTGCTGCTGCTGCTGTAGCAGCTTTTCGATGGCCGCCGCCGCTCCCGTCAGCATGGAATCATGCCCGCTCTTAACACGTGTCACCGTGCGGGTCGAATCGTTGCTATCCCCCAATTCGTTCCTTAGCGTATCGGCTCGAATATCCGCTCCTTCAAGAACCGGTCGCAGCTTGGTGCTTCGATGTTCTTTCTTCGCGTCCCCCACGGCAACCTCGTGCTGCGTCTCGAACGTCTCGACACGCATTCCACGATCAACGTCCCAAGTCTCCACCAGAACTTCAGGACAATGCACACCGTCCTCTCTGCCACCCGCTCCTCCCTCTCCGAATCTCTCGAACGCGATCAATACCCATCGTCCCCTCCCCTTGGACGGATGGATCGCAATCTTGTTGACCCGGTACATCATCTCACCACCCTCCTCGGGCCCGACCCTCCAAGCACGCAGCCGCAGACCAAATCGCAAGTCCCACAAGCAGACAACACCCGACAATGTCCCCACCAACAACCAGGTCTTCTTCCGATCGACGCAGAGGCACGTGATGGGTCCAAACTCAACCGGATTACGAAGCGTTTGGAGCACCTGCATCGTTCGCAGATCCAAGATGGTCAACCTGCTCAGCGTCGTACCCAAGATCAAATGCGACGATGTCTCGGTGTTGCTCTGGATCAGACACGTCGCGTATTCGTCCGGTGTGCTGAGTTGAAAGTTGGAGACGAGCTTCGGTCGGCCGTATCTGGGTACAGACGATGTCGATTGGATCATCTCGATCCTCCACACGTGCAGCGAGCCGTCGGTGGCTGTCGACGCGACACAATGGCTCGCTTCGATCGCGATGACGCCCGTGATAGCGCCTTTCTGCGCCGAATAGGTGGCCCGAGACTTTGAGGTGACATTCTTCTCCAGTCGAGCCGTATCCCATACTTTGAGTGTTCCATCCTGCGAGCCGGATACGAAGTATGCGTGGTCTGGTGAGAGGGCTAGACAGGTGATGGCGGCCGTGTGCTCGGTAAAGTAGGCAATAAGCCGTCCTTCAGGTCGACGCTTGCTTGCGCTCGAGCTTGGTGCTCGAGGAAGCGTCGGTGCACGATTCCACGGCCCGCCGCCTTTCCTTCGCGCGACGCCTGCGTGGATCTTGGGACCTAGCTCGGGTCGGTCGCGGAACGAATCCATGTAGACCGCTTCGAGGTGAGCACGAATGTAAGGGTCGTTGCCGTCGTAGGTGCTTGTGAACACCGAACTCGAGCCTCCGTCGACACCTGTCGCTGCTCCGAGCTTTCCCGCATCGCCAGCGCCCTGACCTCGCATCGTCGATGCACGCGACCCCGCCGGTGTGGGTCTCGACGAGCTGTGTGCGGTCGCTGCATGCTGAGCGCGCGCTCGCGCAGAAGCTTCGGTCATCGTACCCGTTGCCGTCAGCGACGTCGATGCCACGGCAGCGCTTGCCTTTCCAACGCCGAGTCGCGTCTGCGTCTGTTGGGACAGAGCGCTCGACGGGGCCGGTGCAGATCCCGAGCCAGCAGTGCCGCGTTGCTGGCTCTGCGCATGCTCTTCAGCAAGGCTCGAGAGACGCGAAGAGAATGCGGACGGCTGTGATTCTGCAGTGGTGCCTGCATTGATCCTTCGTCTGAGCTCTGCAATCAGACTGGTGTATGAGCTCTCGCTCGAGGTACGATGGCCCAGAAGCCTTCGTTTGGCGATTTGGGCCGAGAAGGAGGCGTCTTCCTGCGATCGGAAGGTGCCAGTGTAGGCGCTAGCTCCTTCCGAGGCAACGGACGCCGCCCGCTGCTCGATCTTGGTGCTGAAGAAGATGGTCTGCGGCGTGATGCCGTCCAGCGACTGCGGCTCGATGACCGCCTTCGGCTGCAAATGTCCGCCCTCAACGTTCGCACCGCTAGCGCCATTCGCTCCTCCGCCTGCTTCCCACTCAAGCTGGCCGGATGCAACCTTGGAGCCTTGCTTCGACAGACGTCGTATAATGCTGCGAAGCGCAACGAGCTTGATCTCATCGCCGTCGTCCATCCCCAGACTCCTCAGCTTATCACGAAAACGGTCGTCCTCGTCGCTGCGACCTCGTTCTGGCACGATCAGCTCGCGGCCGTTCTTACCGAGCAGAAGCCCGACGCCTTCCGTGGCGAGACCATTCTTGAGGCCGGCCGGATCCTTGCCTTCCGCCTGGCCTTTCCAAAAGACAGAATGAGATGCTTGAGAGGCCCATACAAGCGCAGCCGAATAGACAGCTCGAGGGATTGGGGGTCTGGCCAGGTCGAGCAAGGTGACTTCGATCAGATTTTGCACGTCCGCCCGCAAGAGCGGGCGAAGTGACGGGTAGAGTATCGACCAAACGTCGACGTCGTCCAATCTGGCCGCGGCGGCTGCGATGAAACCGGCAGATGCTTGTCGCAACCACAAATTCGGATGACAGAGGAAACCGATCGTCGTTTCCAGTAGGGTCAAGAGGCGACTGCGATCCAGCAAGTCACGTTCGGCCATGGTGCGCAGTCCGTTGATGACGCGATAGACCACATTCTCCTCCGAATCCGAGAGTGCTTGCGTCATCAACGGCAAAACGTACTCCTCCAGACTGCGATTGCCTGACACCTCGGCGACGTCGACAATGATGTCGAAGAAGGCTTCCCGGAGCAGCCAGTTACGATCATTGAGATATGTGATCATGTGGCTGAGCATGACGTCGTTGGTCTTTGCCATGCCGAAGAACCGGCACAAGGGTGCAATGCTGGAAAGGAGAGCACGCTTGACCGACGCAGACGGATCGGTGAGCAGAGTGACGATCATATCCTGCAGCAGCGCTTGCAAGCTTCGGAGCTGCTCGTCATAATTGGACTCGTTGGGCTGATCGTCGATGAAGCCGCCGTTGAGGTCGCTTTCCACCGCGAAGAGGCCCTCCGCTCTCATGGCTTGAGACATTTGCAAGAAGCGTTCTGCCGTCTCGGCCAGGGGCACGATCGATGCGGCAAATGTGCATCTGACCGGCGTAGAGGGATTGAGCCCGAATTGCTTGATATTGGGCACGACGTACTCGGGAAAGATGGACGCGTTGGAAGGAGTGACGATCTTGACCAGCATTAGAGTCTGCACGCAGCTGCGGATAGCGGCCATCTGAACCTGCGAGGAAGGGTCTTCGAAGAGGGATATGGCGAAAGGCAACACGCGATCGAGCTTGGTCTCGTCCGTGAGCCATCGAGTCGAGAGGTGGACGAGTAGCTCAAGCGCGTGGCACTTTGAGGATGGTCGAACACAATTGCGCACATTGGCGAGGATGACGGACAGCACCAGCTGCGCCGTGCCGTCAACTTGAGCTCCATCAGCCTCGAGCAAAGCTCGCTGCGGTGGTAGGCCAGGAATCGACAGATGGACCGGATAAACATCCTCGTGGTCTACTTTGCCTGGTTCGTCGGAGTTCGGCGCCTCGCCCTCTGTTCGATGCTGGTTGCTCGACTGGAACGCAGAACGTCCAAGGATGCCATCCAAGCGTGTTCCGGCCCTCGTCGATGATTTCGATGCAGATCCCTCATTCGCTGGATCGTCAAAGAATGGCACGATATCGGACCACTCTTCATAGAGCTTCTCGATGCGTTCGTCGCTCTCTGCTCGTTGTGCCTGTCGGCTTGATGCCTCAGATCGCATCGATGCGGCAGTGACGGATGCGTTGGAGGCACTGGCAGCGCTATCGACGGACGAAGCACCTGCGGTCGCATGGGCGTTGCTCGAGTTGGCTGGAGATGTCCGTTGCAGCTCGACAAGGTAGTCGTGGAAGAAATCCGGAACGGCAGAAGGGTACACGGTACCACGTCCTTGCTGTAAGTACTGCTCGAAGGTCTTGCGATCTGCAGGATTCAAAGCGATCATGCTCCTGACGAGCTCTCGGACCGCATCATCCTGAATTCCCGCGAGCATCGCGTCGATGTCGAAGATGCCTTCGCGGTACTTGAACAATTGACTGAGAGTGAATGTTGGTGCACCTTCGCGCCAGAGTTCAGCGATGACGCAGCCCATCGAAAAGACGTCCATAGCTTGTGTGACCTTGCCGCTCTGCCTTCCGAGACCGAGCAGATCCGCCTGGACGTTACCGAGACGGTCGAGCGCTTCGGCGTCGTTGGAAGTGAATGCCGCCATGGCTGGGGCGTATCTGGAGCCTGCCTCGTAGAACCGTTCTGGCGCCAGGTAGCATGTTCTGCGGCCAGAGGTGTCGAAGAAGAAGGAGAAGTCGGAAGGATCATCGAGCGGAAGGAAAGTCGGCTTGAAAGACGATGCGAAATCGGTAACGTAGATCATCAGGGAGGTGGTGACGAGGATGTTTTCGCACTTGAGGTCGCCGTGCGCGATGCCCCGGTCGTGAGCATCTCGCATCGCATGAAGCAGCTGGTATGTGATCCATCTCTTCTCGATGGCGCTGAGGAAAGGTCGAGTGCTGATTCTGTCGTACAAGTTGCTATGCAGCCATTGTCGGATGAGGTAGCCTGCGCGTTCGGTCTCCACCACTTTCTGATAGGTTAGGACGTTGGGCACGTCGGCCAAAGACTCGCGTTCGATGCGTATATGCTTGACGAGGCTCTTGAGGCTCATCGATGGATCCGGTTTGACGAAAGTCTTAACGACGATGGGTCCAAACTTGTGCCTGGCTCGCACAGCACGGAGGAAGCGAGAATTGCCGAGTCCTTTGTCATACTGGATGTCGTTACCCACTTCGGCGACGAGATTGCCGATGCCCGCCATTCTGGCATTCGAGTTGGAGTGTGTGTTGCCCATGCTGATCAGATGCCCGTGTCGCCTGCAGATTCCAGCAGGAATGCGTGATGAGATGGCTGCAGACGTGGGGATGCTGCCGAGAAGCAGACGTCGGATCACGGATGGTCGATGATCATGGCGTCAGAGCTGCAAGCAACGGGAGTGACAGTGACTCTGAGCAATGGCCGAGCAGACTAGGCCTCGATAGAACGGGAAGCGGAGAGAACAGAGAGGTGATGATAGAGAGTTGGTAACAGGAACACGAATGCAGCCGAATCACAATTCAGGGTCCTGATGGCGCGTGCATGTCCAAGGCGGCGGCTGCGACTGCGGGTATGGCGCGTGTGTCGGTTGCACTTTTCCTCCTGTGGAGGCTGGCAACGCCGCTTCTGATTCGAGACCTTTAGTACAAGCAGCGCGTCACACACAAACTTCACTCACGGGACGCTCTTGCTTGCCATGACTGGAAGCTGCGCTAGCACCATCAAAGGCAGACCTGCTCACTCGAACAAGTCCTTGAAAAAGATGTTTTGAATTGACTGCGAATGCTTTGGTCAAATCCAGTTGCTGGTGCTCGCCACGGATGGCCTACCCGAAGGACGGCCGCTCAGGCTGCTGCCGTTAGACAACACCGTCGTAGTTCGTTGAAAGGCCGGAGCGTACGATTTTTCTAGAGCCGGCTCCGTGGGGCTCAATTCGGCCACTTTCTGAAAGTCGAAGGGGATGCGTCCCGCCACGCGCTCTCGCCGAGTGAGGATGACTGGGTTCGCCTCTGCATCGAGCGCCGCTACCTGCGCACTCTCCGAGTGAGACGAGGTGACCGTGCTGTTGCCAGAGACGTAGTTGAGGTCGACACCCCGCATGATCTGCACCAGACGTCCCGTGAGCGCATCTCGCACCTCGACGAAGCGCGAATCGAATGCGAGCACATAGTTGCCAGAGAAGGCGACCTGCTTGGGGAAACCTTCCCACTCGATGATCTGTTCCAAGCGGGTCGGCTCGCCGAGACGGTCCACGTAACAGGCAAATGCATCATAGCAGAGCAGAAAGTCACCGTCCGCCGTCTTGTTCATCCCCAGCGGTTTCGCCGTCTCGACACGCTTCTGCAGCTGCTGCACGCGGACATCTTCGCGATTGGCGTGTACAAAGTCCGGGATGGTGCCTGGCAGCAGGCTGTCGAGATTCATGATCTCGAAACCTTTGGCGCAAATGATGCAGAGCTTCGACTTGAGGAACTGGATCGAATAGGCTTCCGAAGGGATGAAGAAGGTCTTGTAGATTCGGAACCAGTCGGAATTCTTTGAGTCTTTGCCAAACTTGCCAAAGAAGCTCGAGCCGGATTTGCCCTCGCTGCCGCGAGGCGCATTGAGCACCGGTTCGAGGGCTCGGAACACGCTCTCGTTGGCCTTCTTCTTCATGTAGATGAGCAGCGTGCGGTCCTTGAGCACGCCGACGTTGAAGAAGAGCACGTCTCGATTGCCGCTCAGCTTCTGTGGCGGGCGGAGCATCGAAGCGCTGCTGGCTGTCGTAGGCACGAGCGCCTCGAGGCTGTAGGAGATGAGCACCTTGTCGGCGAGAACCACAAATATGCCGAACGATTCGAGCACGGCGCATTGCGTAACGTGCTTCAGGTGCAACACCTTGCGTAGCGACTTCGGATCGCTTCGCAGGCCGATCCAGACTCCATCGGCGCATCCAACAGCCACCAGCCGCCGCCCGTCTGCAGTGACAAAGGGCACGGCGCATGAGACGCGTCCGTGAAAGACGCTCGCGTCGACTCCTGGCACGGGTTTGTCCGGTTCCAAGCTCATCGAGGGCGGTATGGCGAAGATGTCGTCGCTCAAGACGTGCTGGTCGAACACTTTATGGGAATCCTGGACCGCCGTGCGCAGACCGATCGCTTCGTCCAACTTGGCCTTCCACTGATCTCTCGCGGCTTTCGAAGGCGCGTACAGCGTGATCGGCTCGATCTTGCCGCCCAGATGCGAGATGGTCAGAGGCCAAAAGTCGCGGGCCTCTCGTTCGCGGCTGATGTGGAAATTGCTTAGTCCGATGGATCGCGAGATGGACGAGTCGGTAAGGCCGCTCACTTCGAGCATCTCGACGGGAATCGGCCTCTTTGCGAGCACAAAGCGAGCGCCCGCTGATGGCGACGAAGAAGCGACATTAGAGCCGTCATCGTCAGGACCTTCGGCGATGCGCTTCTGCTTGGTGACGATGAAATAGTTGTCAAAGAGGATTGCCATAAGCTCGGTCCAGTCGAAATCGAAGGCATCTGGCTTTCGCAGCACCCTGCCTTGGTGGATGAGCTGACGTTCCGGATTCAAGAGGTCCATATCGATGGCGTGCTTGTTCCTCTTGGACGACAGGTTGTAGGCGTACTCGCGGATCTTGACCTTGAGTTCGGCCGCCTCGACGCCCGCTTGAGACGTTTTGCACTGATCGTTGATAATATCGATGGCATTCTGCAGGCTATCGCGATCGTGATTGCCTTCCTCGGTCTTTTTGAGGATGGATTCGAGATGCAGATGGTACCTCTGCAAGCGTGCGGGTGGTCGGAAGAGGAAATTTTCGAGCGGATGTTTGTGTGCTGCTGGGTGGCGTCGGCACGCCTCTACAAACGCTTTGAAGCGTGGGTTGATCGTCATTTCGCGCTTGACTCTGCTGATGGCGAGAGGGTAGTTGACGAGATAAGCGGTGTAGGCATCTCCCCAGTCGAGCGAAGCACTTAAGAACAAGTCACCGATGGTCTGGACGATGGGGTTTTCCTCCCTCTGACGGATGTGCAGACGCTCCACTAAGGCGCGAATGTGAACCGCCAGCTCGCGATGATTGCCAAACACCTCGCGGATGAAGTCGTCGCGTTCCGGGCCGATGGGCAGCGGTGGAGGATCGCCGGCATCGCTTGGCCTCTGCAGCCCTTGTACAAAGAGGGAGTCGAGCAACTCGAGGTCTGCTAGGAATTCCTCCTCCTTCTGGATCGTTTCTAGGATTGCATTCTGCCGTGCGACTTCGGCAGGCGGGACACTCTTGAGCAATTCGGGCGGGACGATCTCTGCCCAAGCCTTCTTTTGCGTCTGGTCCGCGGAGAGACCGCGATCGAGGACACCTCCGATCGCGGCAGCTCTGCTCTCCATGTCCGTAACCGTCAGGCGCAACGGACTGGAGCCCGAATTTGGACAGGACGGACTGTAGCACGAGGATGATCTGCCAGGAACGCAGAGCGGACTGTAACACTGTGTGAGCGGTGTGAAGACGCCGTTGGGCAGATCGTCGAGATCCGTGACGCGCGCTGGTTTGCGACGCGGATCGCGCCCGGTCGCGCCTCCTCCGACGGACAGCTGCAGATTCGAGTCGAAGGCGGAGTTGTGATTGAGACCAGCCGCCCAGTCGTCGGGATCCTCTGAAGCAGAACCGACGTCCGCGAGACTGTCTTCGAGGAAAGTATAGACCATGTCGACGTCGTCCGTCAGCTCGTTCTCGCCCCAGTCAACCTCGTGGAAGAAGAGCTGGCTTTTGAGCGACTTGGCCAGAGAGAGGGCCACATGACGTAGATTGGACCGGTCGCCTGTGACCACGAGAGCATGCCGCGACCCTACCTCGTCTGAGCCGAGCAAGTCCTGCAGCGTCGAGACGACATCCTTGCCGGTGAAACTGTTGGGATAGTCGATGCTTCCCTTGATTTGAACCCCGCGCGGCACATTGGCACGCAGGAGGAGGGCCACCGTGGAGAGGAGAGACCATTCCAGCGCTCGGCGAGGGCGCCCGGAGCTCGAGGGCGCACTGGGCTGAAGGGCTCGCATGGCGGCGGAGCGTGGGCTATTGACAGGCTCCCACGCAAGCGAATCGAATCGCTCGTGGCCGTGTTTTGGAGCTTTATCGTCTGTCTTGTAGCTCGCGCTTCTTGGCTGCGCAGGTGGCCGCGACATGGGCTGGGAAGTTTGGCCGTAACTGGTCTGACGCTGAATGGAAGGTTGTGAGGCGAACCGTTGTGAGGGGATTCGCGCTGGCTCCTGATCCGGAGTTGAATGGTGTCCATACTGCGCCGCCGGCGAATTGGTCGGATAGCCTTTCCCTAACGAGTCGTTCTGGCGCGAAGGGATCGCGGAGTTAGGGATGGGCGGCAGCGGCTGACGATGAGATCTGCTTGGCTTGAGCGACAACTCGGAAGCCTCGCTTTGTGTGCGCTGACGGAAGGCGGCTCTATTTGGACTAGGGACTTCGCGCGAGTCCGGGTCATAGGCAGAATCGACCGTGTGCGTTTGGTTCGCGTACGTGTTTTGGAAGCTTCGTTGATCCGATTCGCCTCGATTGTGGGCTTGCGACCATGCCGATCGAGTGCTTTGTTGCGTGTATGACGGAGAACGGAAGGCCGACAGCGGCGAGGCAGTGGCAACATCCTTCGGAGGTGGCGAGAAGGACGTATCTAAGGATGCAGCGGTGGAGGGCAGCGGACGATGGCTGTAAGAGCTGTTGGGAGTGCCTTGCGTCGTCGAAGCTGGACTCCAAGATGGCGCAGAATACGTCGCGGACGAGACTGCACGAGCTTGATTATGTTGACCGGCAGAGGGAGTGACTGGGGGCGACCAAGCACTGGGTTGCGGGGAGTTCGAGTTGACGTACCCTTGCTGTACATACGAGTCGACTCCATTCCCCTGGGTCGAATAAGTGGGCGAAGCCGGTGCGTTGGTCGTGTTTCTAGACCCTGACGAGGCGGCTTGATATGGCTCGGGAGCGTATTCTGTCCGCTTGACAGCCGGGGTGACGGGAAGAGGACGGCCTTTGCGTTGTGATGGCTGATGGGCCGAGCGGACTCGATCAGGAGCAATGCTGGCGGAGGTATAGTCTGTGGAGCCGGACGCGTCGGAGGAGAAAGTATGGAAGCTCGACATCTGGTCGACCAGCGGAGTGCCCGCGTCATCCGTATACAAGCTGATGATGCCGCTAGCTGAAGACGATACTGGTCGGTCGTTGGGTTCGCTCACGGCACGATAGGAAGGGGCTGGATGTGTTCCTGCTGACGACGGCGGATCCGGCGGTCTTGAGGAGAGATCGTTTGCGTCGTTCCGATTGTAGCGGGCGGCTTCGTTCTGCCTCGCAGTCGAGCCTGCGGTGTATGACTGCTGAGCGTACGGGTATGCGCCGTTCTGAGAGTACTTCAGTGGTCGATCAACGTTGCTTTCGTAGCTGGACTGCGTCGATGCGTGGTGCGGGCGTTGTTGCTGTTGCTGGTAGTGGTCGTAGCTTGAGTCGCCCACGCTTTGGCCGGTGCCATCTCGAAGCTGCATGCGGCTCATTTGGTCCACTGCTGCTTGTGTGCGTCGTGCTGCTGAGCGAGGAGATGGCGCAGACGCCATGTGCTCTCCCTGATGTGCGTACGCATAGTTTGAAGGGCTATCCTGGGGCTCGTACTGCGAAGACGGACCGGTGGAGCTGTATGGAGAGCGAGGATCATATGCGCCGTACTGCGTGCGGGCATCCGTGTGATACGGGTCGGAAAGGTCTCCAGCTGCTCCATGCGCAAAATCGTACGAATGTGCTTGCTGCTGCGAAGGTGTGTCGTAGGCGCTACGGCCATATTGGTCGTAAGAGCGTTGGTTCGACATGTTTGCGATAGCCGACGAAGCAAGCGAGCCTGGCGTCCTCGCTTCTGGCACAGCCACGCTGCGGACAGCGTCCAACCTGCTGAGCAAGATAGATGGTGTGCTGATCACAAAGTCGGTCGGATGGCCAGACGCAATTCGCGCTGATAGTGGATCCGTGTCTGGTGGAGGTCGGTGGATCTAGCGAGCCATGGCGAGGAGCCGGTACAGGATCGCACCGGGCTGATTGAAGTTCGTCTGAGCAAATGACCGAACCTAGGAGCCAGGGAGCAAGTGTGCTAAGGATGACGGTGTTGGTGATAGAAAGGAAGGAGGCTCGTGCGTGGGAGTGCTTGAATGCACACTCTCCATCAGGGTCACCAGCCCATGATGCCGTTTCCTGTGCTGTGCTAGTTGTGCGGCCTCAACGTCGCGTTGACTGAAAATCTGTGAACTATGTCACAGCGGAGCAGTCTTACAATTCAACCTACCAAAAGCTAATCGGCCGCTGCTTCTGCTTTTTGCGACGCGAGCGAGCGAGCGCCTTTCAGCGTCGAGAATGATCTCGGCTTCCTTCCTGTCTCCACCGCGACAACCCTCTCCCGCCTCCGTTGTATCGGAGATCCCGCAATTCGAGCATGTCTGCTGCCACCGCCACAACATCCTCATCCTCTTCGTCTTGGCCGCTTCCTCCGATGAGCTACGAGCCGCGGCCAGCAGCCCCCGTCCGATCCTTGTTGCCAAAGAGGATCGACGTTGCGCAGCTCACTCCCAACAACCTCGGTCAGCTCCGAAAGCTCAACAGCGTTCTCTTTCCCGTGCAGTACTCGGAACGCTTCTACAAGGATGTTTTGCATCCCGACGCGGCCGAGATCTGCAAGCTGGGCCTCTTCAACGACGTGGCAGTAGGCACCATTTGCTGTCGCATCGAGCCGGTCTCGAACGACGTGGTCCGGATTTACATCATGACCCTTGGCGTCCTAGCGCCGTATCGACGTCTTGGCATCGCGTCGGCATTGCTGCAGCACGTCCTCGACCACGTCAGCCCAGGCAAGGAGATTCAGGTCATCGACAAAGATGCTCCCCTACCCAAACCAAAGAAGGACAAGAACGGCAAGGAGATCAAACCCGAACCTGTCAAGAAGAGCGTCAAGGTCGATTCCATTTATCTGCATGTACAGACCTCCAACGACGAAGCGCGAAGCTTCTACGAAAAGTTCGGCTTTGCCGTGGCAGAGACAATAGACAACTATTACCGCAGGATTCAGCCTGCAAGCGCTTGGGTCTTGCAGCTTCAGTAAATGGTTCTTCTTTGCTTCTTCTCTCGTCCTCTCACATCACAGTACCGCACAGGCATTCTGTACAATACAAATTCCACTATGCATGATTCCACTGTCCATTGATGCGAATGAGAACGCGGCAGAAACGGTGCAGGATGGTCGCTAGACCGAGCATTTCTCGAAAACGGACATTGGAAAGACGACCCGAAGCCCCTCAACGATCTTGACTCTCGAACTTCGAGCCTAGATGCGCTTCGCACCCTGCTTGCGGAGGAGCTTCTCGCGCTCTCGTTGCTTCTCCATCTGCTCTTCTCGTAGATCCTCCTCGCGCGCATGCTTCGAACTTCTCAGCTCTTCTTGCAATACCGAAGCTGCGTCCGCTTCCATATCGTCATCGCTGTCCACGACCCTGCTGGCGTACTTTTTGCGATCTTTGCCAAAGAGCTTCCAAATTTCGTCGCGATAGTTCTGGCTACCTCCGCCTCGGCCGTCGTCATCATCATCGTCATCGATCCCTTCGCTGTCATATTCGTCCGAATAGTCGTCCTCTTCGCCGTCATATTCGGCAGCAGATCGAGCAGGTGTTCCGCCGGCTCGCCGTCCATCGTAACCGGAGCTTCCCGCCGCTGCTCTCTTCTTCTCCTCTTGCTCCCGAATGAACCGATCTCGTGCGGTCTCCCTTCGCGGCGGAGCGACAGAGGGAGATGCTGTTGCCGGCGCGGGAGATGACTTGGATTCTGACTCGAATCGTCTTGACTTGCACGTGGTCTCGAAATCGGGCGAACGTCGGCGTGAGGCTGGGGCCGACTCTGGCGTCGATCTCGCCTTCTGGCTCAGTCGAGCTATAGCCTCAGGCCGAAGCGGAGCGCCAGGAAGAAAGTCGGCCGGATTGATCCCGCCCATAGCTCGTCCAGCCACAGCTTTCGATTCCACGGATTGTGAAGCAGATGACGGGCGGCTGGCGTGCCGAGAGTCGCTCTGCGTGTGGTTCGCAGGAGTGTGGTGCTGCGTCTTGTCCTTCCGCTGAGATGTGTTGCCTCGTCGCACGTCATCCGTCTTGTTCTCGTTGCTGTCGGAGCCGAACAGGTCGTCCGTGGAATCGTTGCCATCACCGTCCTCTTTGCGTAGCGCCGCACGTTCCCTTGCCTTCAGGTCGCTCCGCCGCTTCTCTTCCATCGCCTTTTGCCTTCGAGCCAAGGCGGCTTCACGTTCGAGCTCGGCCTGTGAGGGCCCGTCACTCCTTCCCTGCCCATTGGCCTCCTTGAGCTTTCTGAGGTCACGCTCGATCTCGTCGATGGTGCGTTGGTCGCGCTTCTTTGTGCCGAGTGCTACCAGCCCGTTGTCCTTGGCCATTTGCGCGCGGCCGGAAGGTCGAGCCGGTCTGTCAGCCTCGCCTGCTCCGATACTTGGGCTGTTCCTCGCCGAGCCTGAGCTCGCACCGATGCGTCCGATGGGAGGTAGCCTTGGAAGGGAGCCGAACTCCCTAGCTCGCTTGATGGCCTGCTTTTCTTCGCGAGTCATTGGAATTGCCTTCTTTCTGGAAGCGCTGGAGCTTGCGGATGACGGCTGACGCTCGGTCTTGTTTGGGCGGACCCTGTCTAAGCGGTTGCCGACAAAGTCATCTTCGTCGACCTTGCGTTTTTTTCTGGATGCATTGCCGCTTGCCGAGCTAGGCTTGAGCCGGTGGGAGAGATCGATCTTCTGGGTGGATCCTGACGCTTTGATGGATGCTGGCTTGGGAAGATTGGACGCTGCCTGCTTTGAGGTTGCCGCATTCAAGTCGCTTGCCTTCCTGTCCTGTTCGAGCTTGACAGCATGCTCCTTGCGCATCCTTTCGCGGGCTTCCTCCTCCTTCTGACGAGTCATACGCTGAACGAGGATCTTGCGCTCCCGTTCCTGCTGCGCTTTCTCTTGAGCCTCTCGTGCGGCCAATTTCGCCGCTGCTTCACGCTCTTTCCGCTCGCGCTCCTGGTTGAGTGTGGCTTGCTCTTCCTCCGCCTTCTTAAGCGCCATCTCTTTGAGTTTGGCGTAGCTCGACATGGTCGGTCTGAGCAAGTTTCACCCGACTCGAATGCGGATAAAGGTCCCCAGAATGTGTGCTGCTTGTTCGACCAGGCGACATATGCGGGCGACGGAAGAGCCCGCGCAGCACGTGGGCAGCTGGGATGTGATCAGGTACGAGCTAGCGGCATCGACACCGGCAAGAGCTCAGTCTCGCTATTCTTCCCCTCTGCGCGGCTACGCTTGACTCCTAGCAGCTGAAAGAGTAGCCGCAGTCTGTTCCGCTTCGTACCAGATAAGAAACGAGAGTGTTCGACGGGCTGAGATGACGAAGATGAAAGAGCGACGAGATCGAAGATCATCACCGTTGTCTCGCACCGAATCGAGCGGTAGAGACACCGAGCTGCTCTTTTATGTAGTTTTATTTTTATTCATTTTTGAATATGAGAAGGGATGACGAGGTGCATTCCTGGTCACGCGGCGTGACGGGAGTGCCGGGTGCTGGAGATGAAATTTCGGGTCTTGCACGCCTCGAGCCGTCACGCTTTGTTTTTTCTTTTTATTCAAAGTGTTGGTCTCGGAAGCGAAATGCTTTCGCTGGTTGATCGAGTACTACACTGTATATGAGGAAGCCAACATCCGACTCGATAGCAAGCAGCATCCATCTGCGCTACTGTTTCGAGTCACAGTCAGCACCTTCTGTCATCACCACGGGCATCATCAATTCGACAAATCATCCGACCGGCTCGCTTCCTACGCCATGCCATCCTCCAGCATGGCAGCGGTGGAGGCCACCTTGCAGACCAACGGGACCGAGAGCACTGCCAGACCACCCCTGTCCGTAGCATTGCATGTGCCCACCTCTGCGGTTGATCAGGTCAACTCAGCACAGGCCGCGCCGCTCTCGGGCAATCCGAATCGACGTTCTCACATTCAGCAGAATGTTCAGGCGCTCCCGACGCTTCCCGAAGCCTCCCACGCCAACGCGCTCAACACAGCCACAGGTCCGGCGCCCGCAGCGCTCGGCCTCACTGCAGACCTCGACGCCTCCACAGTAGCAGCACTCAGTGGGCTCAGTCCAGCGCAAAAGACGCTCGCCCTCTCGCGTTCACAGGGATACGACCTCATCGTCTTAGAACTCGCCAACGAGCGATGGAAGGAGCGATGGGAACGACTCTGCCTCGCAAATCCAAACGAGGTGCCCTCGTCATCAGCAGCGCAGCCTGCACAGCTGACTTCCGTTCCCATGGCTTCCGGGCCGGCAGCATTGCTGGCTCGCAGTAGCAGTCGACAGGGTCTCAACAGCTTCTCTGCTGGTGGAAGTAGGCAGTCCCCATCTCCATCTCCTGCCGCCAGCAGTGCAGGGCAGACGTTCGCTACCATCGCCCGCGAGGCCGAGGAATGGCGAGCGGCACCCGCATTCAAGCGTTCCGAAGTCAGTTTGACCAAGCTCGAAGAAACCGAAGGCGTCATTGCGCTCGCCAGCCAGTGGATCGAGCTCGACTCCCCCGACGAAGGCGTTCGTCTCGACTGCGAGCTGGCTCTTCGTCAGGAACTCGCTTACGCCTCTTACCTCGGCATCTCAAACGTCGTCATCCCCCCTCCGTCGTCGGACCCTGCTCGTCGCCCTTTCCTCGCCGATTACGCTCGTGCTATCAACTCTTGCCTGACCAGCGGAAGCGCAGAGACGGCCCCTGCCGGCTCGTGGATGAGCATCACCGTTCAGCTGCCAATCTCTTCGCCCTACATCCTCAACAAGATCCTCTCGCGTCAGAGCGCAAAGAATGGGTATGGGCTCACTGCATCCAACACTGCCGGCAGCACAGCCTCGGCGAGCTCGCAGGCGTCTCACGCCAGCGCGGCTTCGTCCGCAGCTCTGCTGCGAGCTGAAGACGATTGGGCTTGGGAGACATGGGAGCAGATCCGACAGCTCTGCTCCTACAACACCCGCCTTCAGGTTGCTCTGGATCTTGGTAGTCCGCTGCCTGCCCCTAGCATCCTGACACGCTGGATGGCAGAGCCCGTCAGCATGCTCTGGGTGCCCAGCGCTGCCTACCTCGCCAACGCCAAAGGCTTTCCCGTCCTTTCGAAAGCGTCTCAAGCCTTCTTCCGTTCCATGTTCCGGAAAAACCCGACCGTCGTGCTCAGCGGCGTACACAGCCCACCTCCAACGCACTCGCGAGGTGGTCCGCTGGCGTACCTGCAATACGTGCGACACTTGGAGAAGGCGACCCCACCGGACGGCGCAGTCGACTCGTTTGCACGCGGATACACTGACTGGCTACAAGCGCCACTTCAGCCCCTAATGGACAACTTGGAGGGCACAACGTACGAGGTGTTCGAGCGCGACCCAGTCAAGTATGCGCTGTACGAGGAGGCAGTGTACAAGGCACTGCTCGATCGGCCTGTCACTGCGAGCACGCTAATCTGGGTGTGCGGAGCTGGTAGAGGCCCGCTGGTGGACCGTTGCCTTAACGCAGCTGATCGAGCAGGACGAGCGGTGCGTCTCGTAGCATTGGAGAAGAATCCCAACGCGCTCGTCACTCTGCAGGAACGACAGGTGCTCGAGTGGGGCGATCAAGTGAGGGTGCAGTACGGCGACATGCGAAAGTTTGCTGTGCCGTCGAGCATGGCCGAGCGACCGGATATCGTGGTCAGCGAATTGCTGGGTAGCTTTGGCGACAACGAACTGTCGCCAGAATGCCTCGATGGAGCTATGCGCTTCCTCAAGCCAAATGGTATCTCGATCCCATCGTCCTACACGGCTTTCCTTTCGCCGCTGTCCTCGTCCAAGCTGCACACCGAGGTGCTCAACGGTTCGAACGCTGCTCTGACATCGGCGGTGCAAAAGGCATCTGAAACGCCCTACGTCGTCCTCTTTCAAAATGTCGCTCTGCTCGCGGCTCGCGGCGGCCGACTCAACTGGGAGCAGGTGCAAGAATCGTGGACGTTCGAACATCGCCCTTCTGCGATGACGCCGCTCGTGTACGATGAGAAAGGGCTGCCCGCCTCCAACGGCCACAACATCCGCTCAGCAAAACACACATTCCACATTCCTCAAGCCGGAACGTGTCACGGTCTCGCAGGGTACTTTGAAGCGCATCTCTACGACAATGTGACGCTCAGCATCCATCCCGATCCCGTAAGAGGATCGAAGGACATGCTAAGTTGGTTTCCGATCTACTTTCCCTTCCGTGAGCCGATGTATCTGCCAGCCAACTCGGAGTTGGAGGTTCACATGTGGCGACTCGCCTCGAGCGATCGCGTGTGGTACGAATGGTCCGCCGAGTCCTTCTTGCCCTTGTCGATCGGTACGCTCGAGATCGCGGCGAGATCGCAACAGCAGAGACCAGTGTCGTTGGATGCCAGCTCGTCGGTTGGCTCGAACGGCACAGCTGCCGATCAGCACAATTTCGCAAACGCACCGAACACGCCCAGGATTCCGAGCGTGTCGTTGTCACATCAAGCCGCCGAATCGACGCAGGGCGCGTTGCAGGCGAGCGCTCTACCACACACGCCGCCGACGAGGATCAAGATCGGTATGACCAGGCTGCATAACCCTGGCGGACGCAGCTCTTGGATCGGCTTGTGACCGCTCTGCCATCTCGTGCGTGATACGCCTCATCTTTGTCAGAGGACCGATTCATAGCTCTGAATTGTCACCCACCACACCCAGATGTTGCACCCTCGGCGTAGAAAACGATGTGTGAAGTGCGTGAAAGACTGCGAGTGCGGACAAGAACGATGCGAGAAATATCAACAGAATGGATACAACGGAGACAAAGAGTGTTTGATGGCTAGATATGGGACAAAATGCAGGCTAGGATGTTGCAGATCGATCCGATTCTGGAGATCGGAACGACTATGCGGACGAGTTCAAAGCAGCCGATGTGCGTCTCCACCAGCCTAGAGCGGCAACGCTGCCGGCCAGCGCAACACCGAGCAGAGCTGCTCCGCTGACAAAGTTGATGACTCCGGCCTCTTCCTGGCTTCGACTGGCCTTGCCACGATCCTTGCGACGCTTGTTCTTCTCCGCTCTGCGTGGTGCCTTTCCGCTGCGCTTGCGACCGAAATCGCTCGCGTCGGCATCTTTGAGCCAAGCAAGGCTGAACAGTCCACCCCTTGCGCTGGCTGAAGAGGCGGAGGATTGAGCAGCACGCATCCTCGAACGGCGTTGCGCTCGACGCCGCCCGGCTTCGCTGTCGCTGTCAAAGGCCAGCTCCCCACTTTGGCTGTCGCCAGCCAGACTACCCATCTCTTCGGCCTGCGCAAGCGCTTCGCGTTCTGCTTGACGATGAGCTTCGTGTTCGACGGCCAGTGCAAGAGCTTCGCGCCATTCGTCTGCGCTGATCTGAGCTTGCACATCGCCATCTAGTTGACAAGCTTCGCGAAGAAAGTAGAAGGCGGGCGGTTGGCTAGCTGAAGTATGGTTCGTCTGAATCACAAAGTCCGAGAAATCGGTGGAATCAGAACCGCCTTGACGGGCCGCATAGTCTGGCGATACCATCCTGCTCGTATCGGCTACAGTGGGGGAGTTGGGAGCTCGAGTGCCCTTCGCCGGGGACGCTGCATCGCCTTCGGCACCGCCGAAGGACAAGGAAGCTATGCTGGGAGTGCGGCTTGATGTCGGCGAGGTTGGCTTTCGGCCCGATATTCTCCGGGAAGTTGCTGATGTTAGCATCGCCCCGTGACCACCACCGACGAAAGGGCTTGTCAATTGACCATAGGGGAATGCCAAGGGTGAGCGATTGGATGCGAGGGACGGAAGATGCAGCCTTGCGTACGAGACGTAAAGTCGTGCGAGCGCCTTTGGTCCGCCAAGCGACGCGACGAGTCGTTGTCGATGCGACAGGTACGAATGAGATTGCAGCAGTTCACGCAGGGAATCTGCGATCACGTCAGCCGTCGGCGGTATCGCAGCTTTCTCACATTCGGATGCCGCGTCCACTGCATTGGCAAGTCGAAATTGTCGAGCCGTCTTGTCTTGAGCTGCTGCGCCGAAGGTCGCGGAGGGGAGCAAGGGTAGAAAGTCCTGTACGAGGCGTTCAGTCGCCAGACTGACATCTGCGGCTCTCCAGGCTCGGGCAAAATACTCAAAGGCATCGGGAATACCTGAAGGCGGATTACTGACTCGCTGAACTGCCACGCTCGTCGGTCTTTCCGCCGTGTAGCCGTTCGCAATTTGCAAGCCAATCAGCGAAAGTGTCGTAGGGTCCATATTGTATCTTGCTTGCACCTCGAGCTCCTTCCATGCCTCGACAACCTCGTCGCCTTCTTGGCGTTCCGTTTCGGTCTGCGCGGCGTTGGATGCGCCGATGTGCGCGTGATAGAGACCCATTGATGTTCCTGAGAGACTCGCGACTCGACTGCCGAGGACAGTGGCGCTCTCGTCACTGCCAATGGTGTTGATGCTGAGCGTGCTCGTGTTCGGCCCGTAGTCCTCGTCACTATCTATGCTCGTCCTTGAAGCCTCCTCGAGATGGGCGAGCGAGCTCGACAAAAGTGATGAGGGGTCGCTTCCGCTACGGATGGCAGCTAACACGCGATCGCCTCCTTCAAAGCCTCTGAGTGCCTCCTCGAGCGCCTGGTTGAGTTGAAGCTGGGCGGCGCTGCGCTGCTGTTGCTCGCGTTGGATATCGCGACGGTGAAGGATGCGATCGCGAATGAACGACTCGGTGATACACCCGTTACGAGGCAGCTCCGCCTGCAAAAGTCGGAACAAGTGTGCGGAGACAGCTGCATTTTGCAAAGGTGCGGGACCGATGACCAGCAAGGGCCAGATGCCCGTATCCACCTTGTCGAGATGAAGTGTGATTAGACGGACCTCGGGCGTTGCATTCAGGGGCGAGGTTTGCGGCGATTGTGGTGGCTCTACCGGCGAGCTCGGTGCCACGGAAGCAGCAGAAGCCAGATCGGAAATCGATTGCGACCTTCTCAGCTCCGAATGGGCTTCAGACTGGGCCGGTGGAGCGCCTCCTTTGCTTCCACGACGAAGATCGCCAGGATCGGACAGTACGATGCTCTGATCGAGACTGGCATCGGCCGAGTCTGAAGAGCCTCGATCGCTTGATCCGCTGGACCATCGAGTCGAAGGCGCAGCCGAACTTTGCGGAGGCAAGGAGGGGAGGGAGTGGGATAAGACCTCGTAGCTGGAGCCCGAGTGCAGCGAAACGAGGGAAGCCGACATGCTGGAGGTGGACGCTGGTGACGAATCGATACGAACGTGTGAGCCGGAAGAGACAGTCTCGGACGATCTCGCGTCGTTGGATTGGTGTGGCCGTGCTTGCGAACGGTGTGCATCCGAGGCTTCGGTCGAGCCCGAGCCAGAAGGGCTCGTGGTGGCCCGCGTGGAACGTGCGAAGGAGCGACTCCTTCGCTTGCGAGCTCGATCTCGATCTGCAATTCTCCATGTCGAGGTCTCGGTATTGACGCGACCGTAGAGCTTGGCATGGAGGATGGGTGGATGGTTGGGTAGAGCCGCAAAGACGTGATCGCTGGCTATGCGGATGTCGAGGTCGCTGGTAGGAACTGCCTGCGGTACCAGAAACAGGACGGTGGCCTGATCGTGGGATTGGTGGAACGTCCAGCCGTAGAGAGGATCGGTACCATTGCGCTTCGCCATAGTGAAGGTGGTGGCGTCGTTGCAGCAGCGCTGGTCTCGAGACCATGCATATGCAACCTCGGGCTCGATTGGACGTGTCTGCTACATCGGCTTTGCGACCTGAGCTTCGGGGCGGAATCCGTGACAGACTGCGTCGGAGTCGAGATAGGGGTGTGCGACGCGCAGAGCTAAGCGTTCCAGAGGGTGGCCGCTGTGGTGGTGGTGATGGTCTCAGCTGTCATCCAACAGCAGCAGCAACAGCAAGTATTTGGCGCGCTGCGCCATGCAGGGCCCCCGCGGTCATGCATTTGGAAAGCGTAGACTGTTCTGGTGCCTGACCGTGAATGCACCAAGCTAGCTCCAGTCTCAAGTCCAGGCGCTTAGACAGGGTCCAACCCAAAAAGTTGGCATAAAGCACAGAATGTCGTATGACTTAACAGACCGAAAAAGGACTTCTTCACCGTGGCGAAGAGTCTCGACGTGTTGTCGTATCGAGATGAGACGCGGTGCTGTAGTCAGATACTGCAAAGAGTAATAGAGCCGAGATGCGCCTGCTAGCAAGCGATGTCACTATCCGGACAACGCGAGCTAGCGGCATGCGAGGCGGCGTACGAAAGGATTCTCTATCGGAACGGTGCTCTAGCGTGCTACCATGAAAGCGAAGCGACAAAGTTGGTGGACTGCAAGGCAAGCGAGAGCAGGCCAACGCCGTTCGATACGGAACGGATCTGAGAAGCGATATCTGGAATCGCATGTGGGCTTTGACACGACGGAGAGCGTCGTGCCACTTTGGCAGCCGACTCATCAACAGTCGATTGGATCTTGCTGCAGGGAGAGCCCAACATTCGGTCGGACTTGCAAAGACTCGCTTGTTCCCCTTTTGGCGAATTGAGCGCCGCTGCTGGGTCACGGACCGCGAAATTGCCCAAGGCGAAGCGAAGGCAGTCGCCGTTGCTTCTCCCTTGGCCTTGCATCAAGCCTCGAATTCCACTTCCGTCCGTTCTGCTTGCGTGTAACCTGTTTGCGTGCGTCCGCTCGCGTCTACGCTTGGTTTTCCGACGGCGCGATTGTCAATTTAACGTCTCCTAGGCTGCTCTGCTTGCCCGTTGTTGCTGTTGCCAGCTTTCCCCTCCGCCAGCTTGATCACCACCATCATCCAGCATCGGTCAGGCGCTGTTGCTCGTGTGCAATAGGTCATTTCGACTACATTCTCATCGCCACACTCAGTGCCGCCGCACGCTCATCGCCGCACCGTGCCAATACTTTATCGCCTTGGCGCTACTGTTCACCCGGCCGCTACAGCCCTTCGGTGCTTTCGACCGCCCTCGTCTCCACCTACAACATGGCGAGCGCGCCGGCGAGACCGCCCCGCTACGGCGTCGAATCCGCCATGGACCAGTTTGGCGGCAGCGCCGCCGACAACAACTCCACCGCTTCGCACGGCTCTTCTAGTCGCTTCGCTCCTGCCGCCGGTACACGCTCCTCTTCGACGCCTGCACCAACGCCGATAGCGCTGGGCGAAGCTCTGACTCGTTCCGAAAACGACCCCGTGACCGCCCTCGACCAGGTCTTGGCTGAGCGAAACCAGTTCTGCCTGGACAATGCCAAGCTCTCTTCCGAAAACGTTCGCATTTGGAACCTCATGGGCCGAATCCGCAAAGAGAACGAGAACCTCAAGGCAAGATGTGCCGAGCTCGAGCGTGCTTCCGGCATCGCGCCCAGCAGCACCAAGACATCCAACCTCACCTCGGCAACCGGTGCTGTGCCCAGCTCTCCCGCCAGCGATCGAAGGAGGCTTCCCTTTGGCAACGAGGGCGGAAGATCGAGCCCTCTCAGCCCGCAGCGCCACGGTCGACAGAACTCTCGTACCGATCTCGAACAGCGTCTAGCTTCAATGGCCCCCGCAGCAGCCGCTTTCGGCACCCACCAAGCTGCATCAGATCAGCCTCAGCCGTCGATCGGAACACCCGCTGCCACGCACGAGCAAATCGCCACGCCCTCTTTCGCCAACGGTTCCAGCCATGCTTACGACAGTCCCATCTCCAGCGTCGATCAAGGACCCTCGCGCACCACCCAGCCAGTCGACACGGGCGCTGACCGGAGTGTTAGCAACGGCTCTCAAGCTTCCATCATGCAGCAGCGTGCAGCTGCACAGGCGCAGGCGCAGGCGCAGTCCATGTCCTTGGCCCATCCAGGTCACGGTGCAGACGAGCCCACCGATTCCTTGGCCAGCCAGGAGGATTTCGAAGCCATCGACCGCAGCTCGGCTTCAGGTACGGATGAGGGCCCTCACACAATCGGGATGACCCCGCAGACATCAGCCGCTCAAGATGCTCTCCGTGCGCTTCACCCTCCGAGCCAGACTCAGCCATCGGCCTCTGGCGTCGTCGCTTCCCCACACGTCGACAGGAGCGCAGAGCAAGAGAGGTCGCTGCTAGCATCGGGTCCCAACCGCAATCGAGCCGAAGTCACGCCCATGATGATCCCCTCCTCCACCAGCACGCGATCCCTTGTGTCCAAGGTCGTATCCGAGGACCGTCTCTCGCGTGGCCTCGGCTCGCGCAGATCCAAAGACGATGTCAAGAAGCGCGTTCTCGCCCCTCGGCTCGACTCGTCACTTCTGCGCGTAGCCAGTGTCAAGATCCAAGGAACCAACTATCGCGCGCCCGATCGCGGCAAAGAGTCCATCTCGTTCTTTATCACCGTCGACATCCTTCACCCGCCTGCCTCGTGGGGAATCAACAGCATGTCCTCTGGTGAACCTACGCCTCCCACGTCCTGGACCATCGAGAAGAGCTACACGGATATCGTCGGCCTCGATGCCAAGCTTCGCAGCAAGGTGGGCAAAAAGGCCGCCCAACGTCTCGCCCCTCTGCCCGACAAAGCGCTCTTCAAGGACCATGCGCCCGCAAAGGTGGATCAGCGCAAGGCACTGCTGGAGATCTACCTTCAAAGCCTCATGGTGCTCGAGCTGCCCGACAAGGATGAAGTCTGCACCTTCCTCTGCACCGACGTTGTGCCCAACCGCAACCGCGACCCAGCCTCGTGCAACAAGGAAGGCTTCCTCACCAAAAAGGGCCAAAATCTCGGCAGATGGGTCACCCGCTTCTACGTGCTGCGCAATTCGTATCTCAGCTACTTTGAAACGCGTGGCGGTCCCCACATCGGAAACATCAACATCAGAGAAGCTCAGATTGGTCGACAGCAGAAGAGTGCCTCGGCCAACGAGCAGGATGAGAATGCCTATCGTCACGCCTTCCTCATCCTCGAAAAGCGTGAAGCGAGCCACGACGAGCCGGCTCACATTGCTCGGCACGTCCTTTGCGCTGAGAGCGACGAGGAGCGCGACGACTGGGTCGATGTGCTGGTGCGTGCCATTGCTGAACTCGATGGCAACTCGGTCGATAACGCACCCGCATCTCCGACCCTGGCGATGAGCAAGATGTCCTTGTCTCAAAAGCCCTCCACGCCTAGCCGAGATGGCGGCTACAGCAGTCGTCTCCCCGATGCCACCTTCAGCCCATCTGCCGACACCTCCTCGCGCCCCTTCGCGACCGACACGGACCGAGCTGCCTCCGCCGGCCCGGACTCTAGCAGAAACCCCTCGGCGCGCTTGAACAGCCTCGACTCGACCGCCACTGGTAAGCAAGCTCCGTCGACCGCTGCCACCTCGTTACCGCAATCTGCCTCTCATCGCAGCTTCAACGAGCCTCGATCGCCGATCGCGAACCGAAACGTCGACTTGCAGGATGCTCCTGGTTCGCCTGGCCCTCGCAGAGACTCGCTCGGTCGTTCCAAAGCGGCCATCAGCGGGCCTATCAACGGCGCACCCATTCCCGCAGGCTACAAATTCGGTGCCAAGGACGACACGCCATCCGACAACAAGAAGGATGACAAGAAGCGATTCTGGCAAGGATTCCGCGCTTTTGGCGGCCATGACAAGCACAACAGGGAACCTAGACCCGTGTTCGGAGTGCCGCTGGCAGAGTCGATTGCGATCTCCAGCATCCATGAGGGCCTGGCATTGCCTTCCGTCGTGTACCGCTGCATCGAGTATCTGGAAAAGCGGAATGCCTTCTTGGAGGAAGGTATTTACCGTCTTTCTGGCTCATCGGCCGTCATCAAGACGCTCAAGGACCGATTCAACATGGAAGGCGATGTCGATCTGCTCACCGAGAACGACTTCTTCGATCCACACGCCATCGCTGGCTTGCTCAAGACCTTCTTGCGAGAGTTGCCCACCAGCGTCCTTACGCGCGAGCTTCACATGGACTTTATGCGAATCAACGAGCTCCAGGATCGGGTGGAACGTGTCAACGAGCTGGGCCATCTTGTTTCGCAGCTACCTCTGGCCAACTACTCGCTCCTGCGAACTCTGTGCAGCCACCTGATCAAGATCATCGAGCACTCGGACGTCAACAAAATGACCATGCGAAATGTCGGGATCGTCTTCAGTCCTACGCTAGCAATCGGTGCCGGCATCTTTGCGCTATTCTTGACAGAGTTCGACGCTGTTTTCGAGACTGATGCCAACGGCGAACCTGCTCCCAGGCGTCTCGAAGAAGAGGTGCCCGACATTGATCCGCTGGACCAAGGCGTCGCGGACGGCTCTCCCTTGCAGGACGCAAAGCGTCGAAACCGCAACTCGGTTCAATACCGCGACAGCCAGGCCGAACGGCTGCTGGGTCTCGAAGGACGCAGCCTTGCTCACCGAAGCGCGGATGATGACATGGAAGGTATCCCGGAGCCGATCCACGAGAGTTGGGTGGAGACCGCTGATGATGAACCCAACTACATCCGATATGCGGAGCAGGATGGAAATCAGCAGCAGCAGCAACAGCCCCTGGCGACCACAGGTTGAGGTTTTGGGTTTCCCGTACGCAGCCATTCACTTGTACCATTGAAATTTATACCAAATCGTTATTGTCATCGTTCACTGCAGTATTCTTGTGAACCACCGCAGCTTCTGTGATGCAGCGATTGGCTCGGAAACGTCCGGACCGCCGGGTGATGGCCAGAGACCTACAGTGTAGATGAGCGAGCTGTCGGGAGAAAGAAAGAATGTCAAGTCGAACGACTCTCCCACTCCACTTGTTGGCAGAAAAAGATGCGGGATGATGTCAACGTGAGTCTGTGCGAGCACGACGCTGTCTCAGCAACCTCCATCGCGATGCCTTCCAGCTATCCACCGTCACCACCACCCAGAACAAGCGACAGCGAAACAACGCTGTACTCCCAATCTCCACACGTACCCATCGATAAACGAGAAGCTCGTCGAAGGCTCAAAGCACAGCATCGCGCTGGTCAATACGCAGATCCGACTTGGGTTGTACTTTTCGTCCTCGCCTCAGCGATACTCTACTGGATCCTTCCTGTTCCGGGCATTTTCGAGTTCCTTTACCGCAAGAGACATACGTGTCGCTGTTCACCTGACGCTAACGCAGCCACCACCGTCGCTCTGAAACCAACGATGCCTTGGCAGAAACAGTTCACCCTCAGCTCCCGCAGCAAAGGCTGCCACCTCGTCACCAACGAGGTCATGCCTCACCTCGAGGAAGGCCTCAAGGGTGTCAAGATCGGCATGCTGACGCTGTTCATCCAGCACACATCTGCAGCGCTTACCTTGAACGAGAACTTTGACAAAGATGTTCGAGTGGACATGGATATGGTAGGTCTTCCTCTAACTGACGTTCAGGTCCGAGCTAGTCCCAATGATTGACATTTCGATTTACTTCTGCGTCGCCGCCGCTCGTGTTGTGATCGTACTGATAGGCTCTGGACAACGTGGTCCCCGAGAGTCTCAAATGGCGTCATGTTGTAAGTATACTTACCATTCATCGATCTTGCCTTTACCCTTACTGAAGAACTTGATTGATGCTGCTTTTTAAACAGGACGAGGGACCAGACGACTCTGTCTCGCACACAAAGACGAGTCTCATCGGTCCGTCGATCACCATTCCCATCACCGACGGACGACTCAACCTGGGAACGTGGCAAGGTATCACGCTTTGCGAATTCCGTCACATTGCCCACAGGAGGAAGATCGTGGCGACCATCCTTCCTTGAGGGTCGACAATCGGACGACTTGAATGAAGTTGACAAGCAGCCGTGACAAGATCCACCACGAGAGAGAGAGGTCACGAGGAGCAGAACGCTCGGTTGTGGTCTTCTGCCAGTCCGTGCATTCTTCGTTGTGTGGAAAGGCTCCGTGTATCTCTCTCTCTCTCTCTCTCTCTCTCTCTCTCTCTCTCTCTCTCTCTCTCTCTCTCTGGGGGTAGCTTTGTGAAACTTTGTCGTGCTGGCAAGCTCTGTAGATAGTCCTTTTTTCCCTTCTATCATCGTGTCAGACATTTCTCTGTTGCGCGTAAGGCTTGACTGAATGTGCCACTAAGAAGGACGCAGAGCGAGGACGCAGAGCGGACTACGGCTACTACAATCGTGTACAAAAGAGTCGACGCTTACAAGAAGCCGTCATATCGTCTTGAGGCCGATGTTCCTGCCGGATCGATCGCTAGACTGGACAGGCGGGGGTATAAGGCTTGTCAGTTACCGATCCATCTCCTCTTCACTTCAATCTGCTTTGCACACGTACTTGGCCGAGCATTTGCGCCATTTGCGAGGTCGATCCTCCTCCTGGTCGCAGTATGGCACCAACAAGTTTATCTGTTCGCATAGGCAAACCATGTTTTGGCGGAGAGCAAGACTTCGGAGTCTCTCCGTGAATGACGCATCGGTGAGATCGTATCGTGTCACCTCAAAAAAGGCATCGTCCGGGGACCAGTGCTCTTTCAAGCAAGCGATCATTGTCCTTTCGATCCCTTCCCTGTCCCAATTGCAGATGCCGTAGTGAACGAAGAGCTCCACTGCTCGAACCAGAAGCTTGAGACGCGAGTTCGCCCAGCAGTGTACGAAGAAGCTGTCGCGCAACGAGTTCACGAGAAGCTCGACTTCGTCCGCCGGCAGAGGCAGCCGAACTAGTCGTCCGCCGACATTGATCATGTCAAACAGAACCTGTGATTGGTCGGCAATATCGTTCGCGGAGCACTGGAAGGTGTTGCCGTCTCGCCCCATGAAATAGATCATGCCATTGTCGTCTTCCGTGGTCAGAGTCGGCATTGACACCAGAGATCCAGATTCCATCACGATGTCGATGCTGCCGTCGAAGCTGCTGACTGATTCGGTCTCTGGAGGGCTACCTAGTACCGCAACGTCATTGTTCAGCTCGTCTTCCCACAGATCGGCGCCGGTTCCATCTTCTCCCTGGGAATCGGGATGGCCACAAAAGTAGCTGTCGTCATCCCAGCTGGCAGCCAAGGCGGCTCTGTCAGGATCGTGTAGCGCAGGAAGCATTGTGACAAGAGCCTGTGAGCCTTAAGAGTAGTGGAAGCGATTGTACCGGATACTTATACAGTCTTGATGGCTGCAGACGAAGAAGATACCGTGCGGTTTCTGCTTCCTCGCATCGCGTTGGCGCGCTCGTGCTGTTGCAGTTCTGAGGCAGAGTCTTCCCCTTTTGCCAACGCAGAGAGGAGGAATGACTGTTCCGATGCTGCGGATCCGTGTTTCGACTCGCCGAATGAGGCCGAATGAGGAGGCGCGTAGGGAAGGCGACGCCAGTCAGGAAGCCTGTGACATTTTCGCCGCTTGGACCTCAGCTGTCACTAGCGAATCATTTGTTCTCTCTGTCACTGCCGTCATGAAAGGAGTGTGGCTATATGCACCGGTTGGCAAATTGCCATGACTGCTGTGGAGATCTGCACATTAATCAGCCAAACCCGTCAGCATCCTGATCCAGTTGCCCCACAACTCAATTTTCTCGGGTTCTTGTGCCTGCCAGTGTTGCTTCTCAATCACGTCCGCCGCATTACTGGACATCTCGACTTCTTGACTTCTTGAGGTCACTTGCGTCTGAGTGACAAGCTCATGCTCGACATGTGGCGCTGCCATCCTGTTTCGGCAGCTGTCCGGTGCTCAGTGGGTTGGCACGTCGAAAGCGAAAGTGAACGCCCAAATCAAGCTTGGCGGTTGCGATCTGGGCCTGTCGATTGATCATGGTAGTGCCGCAAGATCATGACTTCACTGTCGAGGCGGCGAAATGCAGCACGACTGCTGGATTGCTGTACTCGCGCTGGCATCCGTCGGTACGAATAGGCGACAGTGGCGACGCCAGGCAAGACCCTTCGAGAACAGAAAGCTCAGGGTCCAGCGACCGGCTAGCTTGCAGCTGCCTGCCAGAAGAGCCGGCCGCTGCTGCTCGATACCATGGCCAGTTTATTTCGTTTTTATTATAAAAAGAATATTTTTGAATAGCTTCGACTGGAGACAAGAAGCCGAAGCCCCAATCGGGTCCGATCCAACGCGTCCGTCTGACTGCAATTCTCCGCGTTGACCTCCACGACTTGTTTCCTGCAAAGCTAAGAAGTTTGAGTTTAGTTACTTCCAACTACGGATGTGTCACGATCTCATCATCCATCAAACAGTTCCCGCCGATTTGGATCTACGGCATTGCTCGCGCCGACGACCTTGACAGTATGGCTCGAACCAAAGGCATCACGCTCAAGGTCCGCAAAGCGGCTGAAGAAGCATCCACCCAACCAACAACGACCACGGCTGCATCAACGTCTGAAGCGCAGCCTCAGGCAGATGAGCCACTTGATGTAGCACACGATCAGCAGGACGAGGAGATGGTGACGGCCGAGAGCTCGCGTGGTGCTGCATCCTCGCGATCGAGGAGCGCACGACTGTCGCGGACGAGATCCCACGAAGAAGCTTTCGGAGCAGAGGCTTCCTCCAGTCGAGCCACTCCATCACGTCGCTCGCGTCGGCAACCGACCAAGCAAGAGGAGCAAGAGATCGATCAGGATGTCGAAATGAACTCATTGCAGCAGCCATCAGACCAGGAAGCAGGACAGAACGATGCTGAGGGAGACGTCGCCTCGACACCGCGCAGCCGTGCCACCCGCACTCGCATCAAATCGTCCACTACCCCTGTTCCGCAGGCGCAGGCCGCCGCCGCGTCCAGATCCGCACGTAGCCCTAGAAAGGCTCCAAGAGTGTCCGTGGTCGGCCGAAGAGGCTCAGGCCGCTCGAAAGGAACGCCAGCAGACGAAGAAGAGGCGTCCGAGCAACCTGGCGACGCTGCCGAGCAGCAGGAAGAAGATGGAGCGGATGATGATGCCAACATGCAAGACGCTGAAGATGGAGATGGACATGAAGGCGAAGATGATGCAGACGAAGATGCTGACGGCGACGGCGACGCCGACAATGACGACGAAGAGGGAGTCGATGAGGAAGGACGCAAGACCATCACTGTCAAGGGAACCAAATGGCGTCTCGAGGACGACAAAGAGGAGGTGATCCTTCCATCCGATCCCGAAGGAGATAAGAAAGTGGACGAGAAAGGTCGACTGCAGGGCGGTAGAACATACAAGGCGTACAACTTCACCTCGGACGAGCGGTCGGACCCGGAAAAGGTTTACATGCTGGCCATCGACGCCGCGCGCTCGGCGGGCTATCGAGATTCGCTCTACTTCTTCCGTCGCAACCCTCAAATCTTCAAGATTGAGCTCACTCAGGGCGAGAAGGAAAAGCTGATCGAGGATGGTCGTCTGAGCGGACAGCTCAGAACGCGTAACGTAACCATGGTCCCGGCTCGAAACGTGTACAAGCTGCATGGCGCTCGCTTCCTGAGCGGAGGCAAGGCCATCGTCGACGACTACTACGAAGCCGAGGCGCGCGCGTCAGGAGTCAAAGAAGGCAAAACGGTGGGTGGCATGTCGATGGAGGAACAGGAGAAGCGTCGAGAGGCCGAGCGCGAGCGAGAGCGTCCTAAGAAGAAGGCCGATGTCTTCAGCTACACGACGATTGATCCACAAGGTGATCCGGTCGTGACTCAATTCGGCGATGCTGGTCAAGCGCCGTGGGTCAGGGCCGGGAATTGGCAGTCGCGCAAAGCAGCGTTGCAGCGCATGGACATCACCGAGGAGAACTGGATGCTCGAGATGGCTCGCAGCGTGCGCGGCATGAATACCGAGCTCAATGAGACGCGCAAGGATCGACTCTCGGCCTTTCCCCGCTTCAACCGCTACCTTGACGTCGACGACGCGGTCGCACCCTCCGACGAGGTCAAGGAAGAGGTCGCTGATGGCGAAGCCGAGCCGGAGGACGATCCGGAGGCTCTCAACGACCTGCCGCCCTGGGAGCGCGAGAAGCTGCCCGTCGTCACGGCAGAGGAGCAGGAGGAGGAGACCGAGAAGCGTAAGGCGGCCTTGCAGGAGAGCCTCGATGCTGAGCGCCGTCGAGGCCCACCCATCGGTGTGTACGAGCCCAACACGCACCTTCCGCATTTCAGTGTGTTGACGCAGCCCACTCAAGCTGCCTTTGTCAAAGTCGCCCAACGACCGGCCCATATCGATGATCAAGCGGGCGCAAGAGGAGACCGACGCCCGATCCTCGGAGGCGACAAGCTCGGGTCGGGAGCATGGGGTATCGCGAGCCTTTCAGTCGAGTGCCTGCCACCAGCTCGATTGCCAGGTCACGTCGCCGTTCCTGCAGGCGGAGAAGGCACAGCACCGGCAACGATGCCGTCCGCATGAGCCCTTTGTATTCTTTGCACATCAGATCATCCATGCAAGCAGCCTTGCCTCGCCCATTATGGCATGAGACGGTCTGTTTGGCCCTGGCTGTCAGAGAGAGAGAGATCAACCTCGAACTTTGTTCGTGGATGCCTGTGCTTATATTTTTTTCTCGCCAGCTGAAAGGCTTGGGCTGCAAGCGAGTGGCTGCATGCAGGTGTTGGTCTCGGAGTGCGTGTGTTGTTCCTCTGCATTGTGTGATTTTGGTCCGCACCTCGGAAATTCCGCAGGATCGTGGGATCCCACGACTTGCTAGGTCGTCTCGCCGTCTTACGAAGCACTCTCTGGCTACTCAAAGGGCAGAGAAGACCGCATGATATTCGTGATCCTCGTCTGATCAGACTTTCGGAAGGACAGAGAGGACGGGTTGTTGGCGCCTTTGTGACGCAAAGATGCTGTTACTTGCTGAAGGAGTGCACGGCTCAGCCTCATGCACGCATGTGGGTCGACCTGCAAGGCATGCAGGGGAGGTGCGGGGAGGCATTGGAGGCTCGAGAGGCACGACCATCCCTCGGCGGCCCGCAGTTGTCAAGCAAACGATGCCCCGGCATAAGTCACTGCTCTCGATCATTCCCACGAAGATGGACATCCTCCCATCAGAGCTAGACGTACTCAGTAACTAAGAAACTCAATGGTACAGTGATTCCCCGAGGCAACCAGGACATTTCGCAGCTCAAGATGGCAGATGTAGACAAGGAGAACCTGCCTCTGTCCTCAGAGAGCGCGGCCAACTCAAAGCGCCCCTCGGCATCGAAGCCGGTCGACGACTCACCTAGTCCACTATCGACAAAGGAGCCGACAGAAATAGCAGCGCTCGCCTTTCCAGTAAGCGAGCCGGACCAGCATCCGGATGAGCTTGCTCGAGATGGCAAGACGCTACGCAAGAAGCGATCTGTCCTCTTCTATCCATCTGCTGGCCTAGCTTCCAAATCCAACCAACAGCCGTTCTCACGCAGCGCTGCGAAAAGAGACTCGATCATGGCGCTCGGCAGTATCGGTTATCTCCAGCACCTTTATACCAAGCAGGGAATAGCCAACCGAAAGCGACCGATGACGAAGGGAGCTATGACGCTTGCGATTGGAGCTGCGGGAGAAGCTATGGTGTCAGGGAGCGCTGGCAGCTCGAGTGCGGGGTCTCCAACAGCAGCAACGCCAACCGGGCAGTGGACGTCGAGTCAGATCACGGAGGAGGATGAGCAGTTTTCATCGCCTCCAAGCCCGGAGGCAGGAAGCTACACGAGACCAAAGTACCTCGATGTAGCAAAATCCTTGCAGGCAGACTCGCAAGCACTCCGAACACTACTGATCGCCGACTTGGATCGACTCTCGACCGTGTGGGATCTTTCCGACTGGATCGCCGAAAACGAAGCAGTCTCTGCCATCAGACAGATGCTGTCCGAAGGATCCGAGCTGAGTTCAGCTCGAACGACCGAACATGCTTCAGTGCATCTCCCAGACATGATCGATGCCACGACCAAGGCAATTCGGTCCGTACGCAGTTATGTTTTGTCGCTGCCGCAGCGCTCGAGAACTCCGGGCACAACGTCAAACGAGCCAAGCGGCAGAGATCGCTTCAAGCGCCAGTCCAGCTTCAGTGGCATCGTTCGCCCCGGTCAAACTTCATCACCGGTGTCAATGAATAGCAGTGAGAACTTGCATCAAGACGGGGCGCTAGGCGAGAGGTCGAGCAGCAGGCCCCGTCTCGGTAGACATCTGTCGGGCTCCCACGCTGAGGTGGACGAAGATGATCTCGGCAGCATCCGAAAATCTGCGCTTCAGATGCTTTCGGCGCTTCATGATATGGAAGAAAGGAACCGCACAGAGGTTCTGGGCTCCAGCGAAGGTGATGCATTGGACACGTCCGCAGGCGTAAATGCCGATCCGGACGAATCAAGAACCAGTGGTCTCGCAAAGTTCACATCAGGGGCGAGCTATCTGTATCGCTCGGATTTGACGCTCGCGGACCTGGCAGCAGAGCGTGGGATCCTACAGAGCTATTTGGAGACCGCCGACTCAGTCATCTCTGCATTGGCAGTCTCTCGCCATGGTATGCGTCGTCGATCGAGCGCAGACGTCAAGGGTCCAAGGAAAGCTGGCGTGTCGATCACGCTAACATCTCCAGCACCATCTATCCGTGTCGACAGTGCTCCTACGGACGCGTCCTCGGACTCGGCCTGGATCGATGAAGGTCTCAGTCCCGCTGAGCGTATCGCTGAATTCATGATAGATCATTGCGAGAATCTGACCGGTTTCACGCGACGAGTGGAGCGTTTGCAGGTCGCTCGAGGCGATCTTGAAGCATTCTTGCCCCTTCTTTCCGACGGCTACCTTCTCTGTCAGGCCTTCAACGAGGCTGTTCGCCGATCCGACAAACCCTGGGGCTACATCTCCCCTCGCGAAATGCACGATCTAGAAGCGGAAGAAGCCGCGCTTTCGCACAAAGAGTCTCTGCGTATCAGGGATGCGAAGCAAGCCGAATCGCTCAACTTTCAGACGCGACGTCAGGGCGGTGCAAGCGAAGACGGTCCCAACGCCAACGATGAACAGAGCAGCAGCATCAGTGTCGAGAACGTCAATCGGCCTGGGTGGACGTTTCGCAGAACGGAGAATCTGCGCTTGTGGGCAACAGCGCTCAAATTGCGATACCAGATTCAAACCACCGCTACTCGAGCCAGCATCACAAAACCGAATGAGATCAGCGGTCCTACTTACAGAAGCCTGGGATTGGGAAAATTGTCGCTGCACGGTCGAAGGGTCGCTTCGGAATCTCACGTGGTCTCTTCTACCAGCTCGAAGATGATCGATTTCGATCCGAGCAGAACAGCACGTAGGGACCCGGGTTGGCAGCAGGCTCTCACCATTCTGCTGCTAGCGTGGATCGATGCGGTAGCACAGGAACAGTGCCTGGTGTGAACTTTTGGTCTGCAGCGGTGTGACAGAATCGTCGGCAGAGAAGCCGAGCTTCATTCAAAGTCAAGCAGCACGATTCGTCACTGAAGGGAAGGGAATGTTGCTTTCGTGACGCTTTTACAAATACATGTGTGAACCTGGACTCAGGATCGATGGTGTGCAAAGAGGAGAGATTAAAGAAGAGGTGAGGATAGATATAAAAGAGGCCAAGGCGAAAGAGAGGTATGGCAGGTTTCCAGGTGACTGGGACCATCTTTGGTGACGTTGAAAGCGGTCCCGAGTCGTCCACTTTAGAGGGGGGAGTTGAAGGCCATGGAAAGGGAGCCGTCGACTTCGTCCTTGACCTGATGTGGGTAGACGTTGTTGGAGCTCGTGTTGCTGGTCGAGAAGACGTTGAAGCTGTTGAAGGTGTTGTTGAGCTCTGTGACGGGAGAGAGCAGCGGCAGAGTGGAAGACCAAGCTTCTTGCGACAAGTGAGAGCTTTGATTGCCACTGCTGCTGTTCGCCGAGACAGGCGAGAGCGCAAAGGGTGAAATCTCTCGAGACGTTTTGCCGCCTTTGATCGCGGACGCAAAGTACGAGTGTTCCAAGGAGGGAACTTCGGTTCTGAGCGATGCGGTATCAGTGTTGCTGCAAGACGAGGCCGCGCTGACTTCTTCGGTTCCTGGCTCAGCTTTGCTGCCAACGAGACCGGTGGTCAGTGCGGGAGGTGGTGACAAAGGACCAAGCGAAAGGAGACCGTCCGAGTTGGAGGGTGTGGTTGGCACGTTGGGCGGCGCGTAGTCAGAGGTGCTTGCAGGCTGCGAAGGGGCCATGTCGCTTGCGGGATGGAAGCCGCTCCACGAAGCCATCGAGGCGGGCAATTGCGACTGGACGTGCGCGTTCCATGCCAGAATGCCTGTGGTGTCTGGCACGAGAAGCTCCTCGGCGAGCTGCTTGGTGTCCAGCTTGGCCTTCTCCGCTCGTTTGTCGGCAACCTTCTGGATGAGCGAAGCCGCAGCGACCTCTGCCACCGAGGGTCTCCTGAAAGCATCAGCGGTCCCTACAGGGAGATGAATCGAGCTACGTCTTCGCAATGAGGCAACTGGCAGTTCCAACGAGAACGTATCGAGCGTGGGGAAGGGAATGCTGGCAAAGTCAAAGTGCCCGTGAGGTGCGGGAAGGTCGATGGGTCGGACGTGTGCCGACGTCGGAACTACGGTGGGGACACCCAGCATGTCGACCATGCCCAGGTCAAAGTCTGCCTCGGTGGCACTTGCACGGCCAGAGGGAGCAACGGGCATCGAGACAGATGTGCTCAGGCCCATGAGATCGAGGATCTGATGTGACGCCATCATCTGTTCGTGCTCGGAAGGGTCAGTGGAGGCTCCCGGCGTTGCAAGACCGAAGAAAGGTGCTGAGCCGGGGAGCGGCATCAGAGGTGCTGATAGGGGTCCTACATAGTCGGTGGGGGCTGGCACAAACACGTGGGGCTGCACCGGAGAAGCCGCCACCGAAGGGTAGAAACGATAAGCTTGTGAAGGCGTGGGAGGTTGCGAGACAGACGCTTGCTGAAAGGCCGGATCAGGGAGCGTGGAAGTCAAGGACCCGACACTGTGCTGCAATGTGGCTGCTCGTGTGTCGGAGATGCCACGACGTCGGCGTGGACCGAATTGCGAATCGACGCCTTGACCGCCCAGACTCGGATCCGCCGTCGCGAGGAAGAGAGGCTGCATGCCAGGATGAGTGAAGTCGTTGTAGTGGTGGAGCGATGATGATGGCATGCCGAGTGTGGTGGCAGGATGCAACATGGACAAAGGCGACTGACCGGCGAAGATGCCCAGTGACGCGACACGCGCAGCCTTCTTCTCCTTGTTGCGACGCTTGCGCTCACGAGACATGAGATTCTCGTACTCGGTCACAGCCTCGTACTCGCACTCCCTGCGCAGACGCACGCAGGTGGCACAGGCAGGCTGGGCACCATCACACTTGATCTTTCTGTCGAGATGATCGAAGACGGAAAGGAGCAATGTCAAGAGGAGTCAGCACATGTGTCGGTTTGACCAGAACAAGAATCTCGAAAGTGGTCCGTTCTAGTTGCGAGGACTTACCTGTGTCGACAGTGAATGCAGGCCATGTTGATGCGTGCCCTTGTCTTGCCTTTGCCATCTTGGCTGTCAGTAGGCGACCCCTTATCGAAAAGCTGCTGTTCCGAAAGCGTTTTCTCCGAAGTGCGCTTTCTCGCCAGTACCGGGCGTGAGGGATGTTGGGTGTCATATGGCGACATCATGACGGATCGCGCGTGGCAACTTCGGGACGAATGAAGCTGAGTCCGCTGAGGAGATGAGAGTGAACGTGCTAACAAGGCCAAAGAGAGGTCCGCGTTAAGAAGTCACGTTATTGCTGCTGGTACCGACCGGTATGGTGTGCTGCTGACGTAGTCGAGGGCGATGACTACGGTACCGAAAAGCGTGACGAAAGAAGATCTCGTAGAGAAGTGAGTCGTGGTCTTTTGCCGTCTGTGTGGCACAGGCGTAGGGAAGGCGAGATGAGAGGCGGAGGTAGGTAGGTGGTGGTATAGGCAAAGAAGGAAGGATGCAGAAGGTGGCGCAAGCAAGTGTGGCGGAGTCAAAGGGATATATACAAAGTTGCTCAGAGCAGTCGGGACAGGGTTTTGATTGCCAATTGTGGGCGTCAAAGAGCGAGCCGAAGATTCTGCAGACCGTAAATGAAGATTCCGAACAAGGACGGCCCAACCGTGATAGGGAGCGGGACCCTGGGGGCCAAAGGCAGCAGAGACAATGTACCGATCGGTGTCCGGAAGGACCACACCTTTACCTGGGTATGTTTGCTCGACGGACAGCGATCAATTCAATGAGAGCAAGCGAGCAAGAGATCCTATTTGATTGTGGTTTCTTCGCTCTCGTTGGCAAACGCTTCGTTTGCAGGCAGTCGGGCAAAGGCAAGCTGAGCTCGCGGATGTGGTCCGAGGAGGAGGAGGACTGCACAGGCAGGCAAAGTAGCTGATAGCTCAGAGCCAATAGGCGGCGAGCGGCCGCAAGCTCCCATTTCAAGCACCGATTATGCGGACGCAGGGACCAAAGCAAAGCCAAGGCAAAACCTAAATCCGAGTCCGCTCGCAGCGCCAGACGAAGTTCGGAAAAAAAGGACGCTCAATTTTTCCATGCAACCTCGATCCTCCACGCTCTTGCTCCCTGCTCGTGATCAGCTCCTGTTGCAGCTTATCATGTGATGTGAGACGGGAGAAAATGTTGCGCGTGAACAGCGTCGTGCTGAGGTTGGAATGCCGGTATCCCATGGGATGGCGGATTCGGCCACCAAACGCATGTGATTCCGTTGGCGTTGGGAGAAACATCTAGAACTGCCGAGGAAGGCGACATGCCAACAAAATTGCAACTAAGAGCAGTCGCGAGACTGCAGGTTGGCTCGGATGATCGAGTGATTCACCAAGCCGTGCTCTATCTCGATGAAGTGGGGGTGCACGCAAGCGAGAAGAGCGGCGGCGCCCATTCAAGTCGGCTTCCTTAGATGCACTAGTCAGGCGAAGCGAGGTTGCTCAAAGGCGGAAGCGAGGCAGCGCACCAGGGTACGTGCGGTTGCCTCTGTGCGTCCTTGCGTTGGGGGTGGTACTGCACCTTCAGCTGCCATCTTGGGTGTGGACGCGCAATCTGTCACGAGGTAGATCAGCTGTATGCGCATCCAAGGCTCAGCGTGCCCAAAAAAACCCTCCGCGAAACTACGAGCGAGAGCAGTGCTGTCTAGGGTCCGACGAATTCTGCAGCTCAAACCATCGAGGTAAGGCCACCAACCCAGGTCTGAAACTGGGTATGCACGGACTAAATGGAGCATCCGAACATTTTTACAAAGTCACAGGGAAGAAAGAGTCAGATCAATCTCTTCCCCAGAGCTTCGATGTTGATCATGACCGTTCAGAACCAGGTCGACGAGGTCGACGAAGCATTCTGGCCGGCACTGTCTGTCCTCTGCAAATATGGCTGGAAACCGCGAATGGATGCCATATTGATTGGAGAGCCAAGGCAGCGGTATTGGAGCGTGTGTCGTTAGCGTCCACGAGGCGGCACGAGGGATCGTTCCTGTGCCGCTGAAAGCCTCGATCTGGTTCACACGTGTGAAGACGAGGGCCTGCAGCTGTGACACAGCGGGCAGCAGAGCCATGGGTGTGACGCGTAGAGGTTTTTCTCGAATAAGTTACTTTTTATTTATCTGTTTGTTTTCTTTGCGATCCAGACGAGGCCGAAAGACAGATCACGATCCTTCGCCACGCATGTCTCGTCGTCTCACTGCTAATGTCAGTGCGCCGACGCACCCGTTCCGGCATGTCTGGTGAAGTTGAAGGTCAACGAAAAATCCTATGAGGCATCGAAGGAACGTGGATAAGGCGGACTAAGGACGAAAGACTACCGTCGGAACCCCCCACTCAGTCTGGCGACGAGGCTGAACCGAGCAAAGATTTTTTTTCTGGTTGGCCTGTGGCAGGTCAAATTGGAGTGCGCATTCTCTTGGTGTATCATCTGGAGCGTGCTCTCCGCTTATGCAGAGAGGATAAGTGGGGGCTTCGCTAAACCAATGACAGGCTCAACAATGCAAGGCGACAATCCTGGATAGATTGAATTGCTCGGCGATTGACCGTGCTCGCCGTCTCCCAAAATTGCCTCATGCGCAGCGAATGCCACCCACAGAAATTGGAATCATGCAAGCGGCAAGGCGACCACTTCGCCGTATCTCCGTCTAGCATGCTTGCCGTCGCCTGTGATGTTTCAACCTCCAGCGTGGACTTCGGAGCATGAGCAAGCAGCGTTCTCCATCTCAAGCCAGAAACAGCTCGGCAGCTTCCGCCCGTCGGTGATCCGACTCTCGTTTACAGTGGAAGCGAGGACAGGAAAAGCGACGGTGCACGCCGAGCCCTCTAAAAAACAAAGCTTTAATTTCACTTTATTAATATTTGTTGAATGCTGTTCCGAAACCCTGACGATAGCGGCAGTACGCGATGTCTACTCTGCACTAGGTTAGCAGCCTCGGAAATACAAGCGAGGCCAATCGGCGAACATGACCCTTACCAGCAATCGGGTTACTCTCCCTGCTATCATCACGCCACTTGTGACAGTCGACATGATACTTGCAGCTCTTGGAGATTTCTGCGCGTCCTGCGAATACGACTCATCTGATCAAGCATCGGATCAAGAATCAGCTACGGCGGACAGAGCTTCGAGACGCGGGCCACTCTCAGCGCAGGAAACAGCGACTCCGACAAGGGAAGAGGGGCAACCGTCGGTGGCCTTTTTGACCGACGCAGGAGGAGACTGGGACGGAGACGCCTGCAAACTGCGTCGAAACCCATTCCTGGTGGATGCAGGCGACACAGTCTCGGAAATGTTTATCAAGAATGTAGCGACAGGCCGAAGATGACTCAGGTGTAAAGCGACATGCAGGAGGGCGTGATTCGGTCGGATCCGAGGAAACTTGTCTCATGAGAAAGGAGGACTTGGCGACGAGCGACGCCGTCCCCTGGCTGAGCGGGACATGTAAGCCGGTGCACGCAGCTTGTCCAAGCTGGGAATCTGTATTGTCCTCGTGTCTTCCTCACCAGACTGCAATCTCCGGACAGTACTCAGGAACGCATGAAATGAAGCGTTCTTCAGCTTGTTATTATTAATAATAATGTTGATAGAACGCGCTGGTTCCCATCGGAAATCGGAAAAAAGTTCATTTTCATCTCCCGCTCAGGAACAGCGCGGCGGACTTGAAGAGAACTCCTTGGGACCCTGGCTGCGAAGCTGCTATTGCCTGGTCCATCGCCGATGCAACGAAGGAGATTTCTAACGACGAGTTTTGATCTATCGAGAGGCCCAGCAAAGTCTCCAGCCAGTAGGCATTTCTGCTGGAAGAGCGAAGAAGCAAGATTTGGTTCGCGCTTTCGGCAGCCGAGGCCGCTCTATTCGTCACTGCGCCCGCTAAGACGCCGAGATTTTCATTGTTTCGCGTACCATCACGGCTGTATCAGCAATGACAACATCAACGGTGATTCGGGACCGAATCTTGAAGTGTCAACGGGACAACTACGTGCATTGATCGAAATCCGGCAACCCGGTACAAAGCTTACAAACAGAAGAAGTAGGAGCGTCTAGTTTACGAATAGCAGAGGTACTCTGTCGGCGGCGTTGTCCGGTAGACGTTGGAAGGACCGGAATGTGCTCGCAAAAGTCTCGAATTTCTGCCGGGTGCCATGTGTGACGGTTTCCAGATCTCGGGTCGTGTTCGGCCCAATACCGGGATGGCCTATCATCGTGCCTGTAAAAGGGCAAGGAGAAAAGAAAACTTCCTTATCCACGTTCTACACAGGGGGAACGGTGACTCAGTGTAACGGCGCCAATCTGGCCAAGATGCACGAAAAACGCGCAGAAGCTGGCCAGACCTAGACCTTTCCTGACGAACATTTGCCACGCGTCGCCACGCTTTTGCCGCCCACGTTTGCCACGCGTGACAAGATAATCCTGTCCAATCGTTGGTCGGTGCTGCACGTACTGCAGCTTGAGCCGACCGTTTCATTTCCAGGGTCCAGACTCTCCTCACCGTATCTCTCTTTCCAGCGAGGGAAAACGCTTGCTAAATGCGCGTGGCCTTCACCTATGATCACACATTGTATGTGGCATCAATAGCGGATTTTGCGTCACTACTGTAGCTGCGATAGCACGCACGGAGAAGGGCGAACGCTGGTCCTGAAGACGTTGAACTTGTGCCAAATGTGGTCAATCGCCTGTCTTGCAACTTTATCGACCTACCGAATCCTGTTCAACAGTGCTTGAACCTAGCTGCACTCGCCACGCTGGCATCCGCCTCAAATGAAGAAAGCGCGCGCGGAGATTAGACGTCGAGATAGCGGGCCAAGTGTCAGTGGCGTCATGTCAGGCACATGCTAGCCACATTTCCGTTCAATCTACATCATCAAGTTGTCGGAGGAGGGCCATTCGGATCTACAATGTGCCAGGGTTTGAAGACCCGAATTTCGAGGCGGAGCTGATTTTAGAGCTTGGTCGAGCTTAGTTGCTCAGGCACCTACCTTTCTGCTCGCTTGGTTCGGTGACCAAACGGCCTCCCATTCAGCAATCGGTTTCCAGCTCCGCCGCTTGGAGGTCATTGTCTTGATGAGCCGTAGACCAGAATCTAGGTGGGTGGCTAGGAGTGGGGGGACGCACCCTTATCTCGTTCGTCGTTTGCGATGTCCACTCAGGCTTAAAACTTCCACGGTCCAGGTGCCATAAGGTCGCAGATGTCGCATAGCCTCGGCAACGGGGCTGGGGTCTAACAAACTTTTTCACGCGCATGTGTTTTCCGGCCCGCCATCTCGCTCGCCAGTGGTGCCATTCCCGCTGATCTGCTTTTTGACGTCCGGATCGCCACCTGCTGTATCAAACGTAATCACAACAAAGACATTGTGGACTGTGGCGCACAAATTGCCATGGGAGGATCCGTTTGGGCTGCGAACAATGAGCGACATCTCATTTTGTACTTGAATATCGCCTACGTTGACTGTACCGTCTTGTGAATCTGCCTTTTGGGCTCGGTATCGTCGCTGATGGTGTCCTTTTTTCTAACGCTCTGCTTTTGTCGGGCTTTGCAGGTTGACTGGCTGCCGGCTTCATGCTCGTTCATCGTGCGTTAAGCTGAATGTTGAACGATGCAGCGGTGCTGCGTCGAATTGTCTGGGGTCTTGATTTCGTCTGAACCGACTTCTCCGTCGCCGCCCGAGGTGGGGAGCTACAGCTTAGCCGCCAATGGAGATCGGCTCCGACCTAGTTGCCTATTGCCCCGCCTCGCCAACAAAAAGGCTATCGGACGGCGTCCCTTGCCCTCACATCAGCTTCTGGCTTCACGGCCGCACGAACACGACGCTCCATGCAATGCCTCACCCGACGAGGCAGGCAGCGCAGGTTGGTAAGTCCACACAACCCTGTCTGGTACGAGACAACCATGGAAGGTGTGTCCCGCGCTCTCCGCCATGGCCTCAAAAGAAATGACTTCATGCAGGTCCGGTACAGATGCCAGCGTCGCAGGGTCTTGTCAGCAGCCTGAGACATGCGCAATGCAAGCCTAGCTGAGACCTCTCGAGTCGCTCGCTAGCCGAGCCGACGGAAGGTGGTCTCAGATCGTGTTTGAAGTCTCTGCGGCACGGTGAACTTCGTCCATGACGGTCATTGAGTCAGCGAAGTACCACTCCACTGGGCTTGACTTTAATCGTTGCGTTCTGTCCAACCCTCGGAACCCATCTTTTGTAAGTCTCATGGCAGGTAAGGTGGCAGTTTATTGTAAAACGAAAAGCCGGAAAGGCTGGGAAAATCAACATTCGGGACAGTTCGTTGCTGACGTTGCTCTGCTCGCTCCGAGATCGGAATGAGCTTCCATTCTTGGCAAAGTCTCTGAAGCAAGCCTTGCTTTTTGCTGGGAGGGACCTGCTCGCCGTGTGTTCCATGCAGTAATACCAAGGACTTATCTCGCTATACCTGGCCATTCCGTTGGGAACAGAGATGAATCGAGCATCACTGCACTCTTGCTCGGCTTTTTCGACGCTGTCGTCACCCCAATCTATAGGCGACACTTGCTTGTCACATCGTCGGTACGCATGGCGCGGAGTAAAACACATGCACGGACTAACGCGCACGACCCAGCTGTTGTAATATCCGGCGGAGCTTGAACAGTGTACAAATTCTCAGCTGGGTTCCAATCGACTATACCCTGGGGTTGCAGGACTTTCAACTTTTTTGCCACGTTTACCCTGGGCAAAGCTGTTGCACGTCGAAACAATTGCCATCCGTTCTTTTGTCTCACGCAAGCGAGGTCTCAGGAAGCGCACAATTGCGCCTCGAAACACGGATGAACATCGTCCCGGTCGCTTGATGGTTGGTGAGCGTCAGCCCGTGGTCGGCCACTCGTTCGTCGGATCCGAAGCAGTGCCTAGGGAATAGAGCACTGTCTTTCACCGATGACCAGCAACGGGCATTCAAATTCGCTTCTCAACCTCCGTGAGGCATCTGTTTGGCGCCTCTCCGTCCCACGGTCTACCGAGGGTTTAGTGGACCTTGAATGTAGCTGAAGCCTTCCGTTCCTGACATCCTTATCTCAAAATCTTGAGGGCTGAACCGATGCAGACTCCCGCGAGTTGGCGAGACTACTGCCGGCCGGCTGAGAAACACATCGGTCCTGATCGATGACTATCCATGGCCCATCCAATGAGGCGGCTCCCACCTCAGGGCAGTTCGAAGGCGAGAATGATCGCAGACGCAACTGCAAACAGAATCACGAGAATCGACTCTTCTCTCGCTAGAATTACCGGGTCGCATCGGAGCACAGCGCCGCTTGGGTACCATTTCAGGGGCAAATTGCCAATTAAGGCAAGCTCCGCTCGACACGTTGGTTCCGAGAAGGAGAGCAATCAACTTTGTCTCCATCAAATGAGCTTGCTGTCACCGAGCTGTCCAATTGACACTTCCGAGCGGAGTCAAGGTAGACTGATTTGTGAATTACATTGAATGCTTCAATCCGCGCTTGAATATGCGAAACGATTGGTGCTTGAACTGCGAAGGACTTGTCGATCAGCTAGAGGGTTCAAGAAGCAGAGGCCGGTGCCAAATTGTCGGGCAGCTGAGAGTTGGCGCAAAGCTCTGTCGCTACGGATCGGTCCTTGCTGACGCCCCGTTGGACGGCATGACAGTGCGCGATGATTTCCGGCGTTGCCGTTCGAGGTCGCCCTCTATGCCTACTACAAATCAGAACCTTGAACGGGCTTTGCAATGCGAATCGCAGGGCGGCTTCTCGTGAAGCGCGAGAGGTCGAATAGACTCTGTCGAAATGATCGTTCAGGGGCAAGACGCTGTTATCGCCACTGAGCGGCAGCGAGGTTCAACCAGGCAGCTCAAGGCGGTCGCACGATGGATCAGCTGACGTCTGTCGGAAGGATCGTTCCGGTTTGTCAGGACATCACGTCTCTGCCAGACTCACACCGTTGGTCAAAGGCACGCGATGGCAGATCTCGCCGTCACAAAAGCTTCTGAGCGCAAGTTTGGGAATGCTGATGTTCGGCATCGAGTCAGGGAAAGAAACGAGAGAGGAGGTCGACATGAACAAGCTAGTGGTGGAACAGACGTAGGTTGGTCCTGACGACAACGATGCCGTATTTGTTGGCGGTAGCGACGCAGGCGTCGTCCATGACGGATCCGCCAGGCGCGACAATGTAGCTGGTGCCACTCCTCTTGGCCCTGTGGACGTTGTCAGGGAAGGGGAAGAAGGCATCACTTGCGCAGACGACGCCATTGAGCTTTTCGGCGTGCTCCTTGCGCTCCTCTGCGCTGAGTGCGGTGGGGACCTCGTCGAAGATGGCCTCCCACTCCGCCTTCTCCTCATCAGAAAGATTTTCGGTACCCTCGACAAAGAGATCAATGGCGTTGGACTTCTCAGGACGCTTGGTGCCCTTCTTGAACGGCAAGCTGAGCACACGAGGGTGTTGACGCAACCAGAAGTTGTCGGTCTTGCTACCTGCCAATCTGGTGCAGTGGATGCGTGACTGCTGACCCGCTCCGAGACCGATGACCATGCCGTTCTTAGCATAGCAGACCGAGTTGCTTTGTGTGTACTTGAGCGCCAATGTGGCGACCATCAAGTCGAGCTGTGTGCCCTCGGGAACGGTCTTGTTCTCGGAGACGATGTTGGTGAAGAGGTCCTTGGTGATCTTGACATCGTTGCGGCGCTGTTGCAGCTCGACGCCGTAAACAGTGCGGGTCTCGATGTCCGAAGGCTGGAACTGGGGGTCGATCTCAAGAACGCAGTACTTGCCACCCTTCTTCTTGGACAGAATTTCAAGCGCCTCAGGCTCGTATGAGGGTGCGATGACACCATCGCTGACCTCGCGCGAAATGATCTTGGCGGTCTGAACATCGACGGGGTGCGAAAGACCGATGAAATCACCGAAGGATGACATGCGGTCGGCACCACGAGCACGAGCGTATGCAGTGGCAAGACCCGAGAGTTTGCCGAGGTCGTCGACGAAGAAAGCCTTGGCCTCCACGTCCGAGAGAGGGACGCCGACGGCGGCACCTGCGGGCGAGACGTGCTTGAAGCTGGCAGCAGCGGGCAGGCCGGTAGCCTCGGCGAGCTCACGCACGAGGGCCCATGCATTGAGCGAGTCGAGGAAGTTGATGTAGCCTGGCGACCCGCAGAGAGCCTTGACGGGCATCTGGCCGGCAGTGACGAAGGCCTGCGCTGGCTTTTGGTGAGGGTTGGCGCCGTATCGGAGGGGGAGTTGTTGAACAACATCGGTCGACTTGGATGCTAGACTTGCGTACTGCTGGCGGTAGTAGTTGCTGATGGCCTCGTCATAGTGGGCGGTCTGAGAGAATGCCTTGACGGCCAGCACGTTGCGGTTGGCCTTGGCAGCCTCGGCATCCTTCGATGCGTAGTTGTCGAGGAACTTGTTGTAGTCTTTGGGATCCGAGAGCACCCAAACGCGCTCGTGGTTCTTGGCAGCGGCACGGAGGAGAGTGACGCCACCGATGTCGACCTCCTCGGTAGCCTGAGCGATGCTAGGCTTGGGCTCCTTAGCAATGGTCTCTTCGAAAGGGTACAGGTTGCAGACGACTACGTCGATGGGCTCGATGCTCTGTGCCTTGAGGTCCTCGACGTCGGAAGACTTGCCGGTCTGGGCAAGAATACCACCGTGCACGGCAGGGTGAAGCGTCTTGACACGGCCTCCGAGCATCTCGGGAGCCTTTGTGATGTCGGAAACATCTCCGATGGGCAGACCAGCTTCGCGGACGAGCTTAGCGGTACCTCCCGAACCGAGCAGACGAACACCGAGGGCGTGGAGACCCTTGGCGAGGTCGAGCAGACCCGTCTTGTCATAGACCGACAGGATAGCGATAGGCTGCGAGGTAGACATGTTTGTTGGCTGTCTGCGATGGTACAGGGTGGTGAGCGAGGAGAGAGAGGTCGTGGTTGTGACTTTACGGAAAGATGCCGAAGCGTGGAGGCGTCAAATTTCGCCCGTGCGAAGGGAAAAAGCTTCGCGTTGATTTCTTCCCGCACCGTGAAGGTTGACTCGCATCTGATGTCGGAACAACCGCGAAAAAAAATGTTGGAGATGGCCAATCACAGCAAAGATTTGCAAAGCTTTGCATTCGGATTGGCCTGTCACCAACGTCTTTGCATCTCTCCCTGCGAGCGCAAACATGATCTGAAGCTTCTCTTGACTTTCCTTCCTACCTCGACTTCATCAGTCGACGTAGGCTCGGGCGCAAGAGAGTCTGGAGCAGACACGAAGGCTGCTGCTACCGGATGTCCTGCAGAATTTCGATGCCTCGATAAGTTCTCGTCTTTTCTCTGTATTATTATTGTGCTCGATAAAAACACTTTTCCTGACACGAAAATTCAAAGTGCCACAGCGATAATGCTGCTTGTCACGATTACGTAATTGCTTTACCTGTCTGAACGAGAAAAGCAGCCATGCAACTGGAGCGACCTCTTTTAGTGCCTGAAGCCACCGAGATTGCGATTCGACTTGTTGGTGATCAGTTTGAAATGAATTCTGTTGAGCACGCCTTTGCTCAATGGTGCGAGCTACTCCAAGACCCCGCGAGATGCATGGAATGTCCCCACTCGCACGAAGTGCAGCACTCGACGATCTCCCTGCGATTCGGCACGGTACATGCTTGCCGACGAAGCTGTCCCGGCGTGAGATATGAAATCGGGTTCCGGAGTCGTATAATTAACACCGACTAGATCCGTACCAAAACCAGATGCATCGGGCTGCGAGCTGAGCTCAACTCACAAGTCCGGCCAAAACGGACAATCGCCACGAGGTAGGTTGAGAAGTGCGAGACAGGCCACAGAGACCATGCTTTGGCGCATCCCACCGGCGTCCAGGACTGACCACATAAAATCGAGGGTGTGTCTCAGACCAATCGCCTAAAATCCAATGCGACACCACACTATTGGCCCGCTTGTCGTTTTGAAAATTCGCGGGATCGAAGGATTTTTGACGTGTACGGTAGCTTCTCTCACCAAACAATCTTGTTTTCGTTGTCGCAGATGTGAAATGGAGGAATGTTTGAGATCACGGGATTCGAAGTTCGAAAGGTGTGCCTTGGGTCCCGAACCCAGAGCAGTTAGCCCGCCACCTGAGCCGTCGACCATGAAGGGCGCGGGCACAGGTTTTACCTTTGAACCTGTCATCAACGGTGATGGGCCGAAAGACATCGACAAAGTATGGTTATCGACCCCACACTAGCAAGCGCCGATGAACAGCTTTGGCAGCGGAAATTGTTGGCATCGACGGCAGCACGAGATGTTGAATGCGGCTTGAAGCATGATGGAAATGCCGGCGACCTCGAGGTCCGATGGGCGCAAGATCACTTTACAGCCTCAATACAATCACAGCAGGTTCTCACAGAACCAGACACGTTGCTTGTTGCCAGAAAAAGAAAGTCTGCCGCTGGTGCGCTGAACGCTGATCAGGAACATGAACCACGGCTCTGGCGCCTTTGGATAGCTTTCCAAAAGGGAAGGTTCGGTTGCATCTACTGTTTCAAGCGGTAATTCAGATCAGACTTCAAATTTGAATTTGAATAGAGTGCCGCCCGACGGCCGCGACCGGCGCACCGCCGTTTTGCGCCCGCGGTGGCCGGACGGCACGGGCCGAGGTCCACTCAATCTTGTAAACAAAGTTGTTGACTCGCTTCGAGCTCGGTTGCAGCCATGATAGGATCTTCCGTGTGATCTGCAACGCCTACCAGACAGCTTCACTCGGCGGGCTGGGCACTTTTCCTTTTACCAAGCGATTCTGTTGACATTTGTAGTCGCTGCACACAAAGGCTTTTGATGCATGCTGCTCCTAACCGTATGGCCAACCAAAGAAAGACTCCCTGCTGCACGGCGCCGCATGAGATTCAACCGCCGATCCATGCGTGTACTTGCACTCGAGTCCGCTTCGCATGTCCGTGCCGGCCACCGTCTCTCGCTGACTGACGCTTTGCAGAGATGTTTGCAGCGGCAAGAGACGATCATGACACGGACATCAGAGGCGCTTGCATGAGCGGCGTCATGATGGGATGCGACGCTCGCCAGAATGTTCCGCTTCTCGCCTGTCTGTACGCGGGCCGTCTCTGTTGGCAGGCCATCGTTAGTTGGCGCCAGAACCGTCGATGCCAGTGGGTGAAAGGGACAGACGGAACATTCTCAGGTCCTGCGGTACTGCGCCCTAGGGGTTGGACGGAAGTAAACATCTCTGCAGTAGTCTGCTCGGATCGAATTCGGCTCAGGAACCCTTCCCTCGTTTCATCCTTCTGGAAAAGCCCCTCGTCTGTTGGCCGCCGGCCCATCGACGCCGCTGCACTTTCGACTCTCGTCGAGTCTTTGTTTCGACATTGTGAAATGTAGCTTCCGACGATTGACTGGTCTTGTGTGAGAGCAGGCAGCGAAGAAAGCGTCGCAAAGGGAAAGATGGTCGCACACCTGGAGTTTGGCGGGAGCACCCCACTTTGAGTAGATCGTGGCCAAGCACTTTCCAGGGTTCCACCTACCTGAGACATTTCGACGGCCAATGCTCTGTTTCTTCTTGTTTCAACAATCCCTCCCTCCTATCCTCACACGTTCTCCTCTACAGTCCCACTTCCCTTCCTATCGGAACGCCCGTCCCCGTCTTTTACCGCTCGCTTCTTCCTGAATTAAGCCTCCGACTGATCACCACCCTCGTTTTCCTCCATCACCAACCCCGTTTCTCGACTTCGTCTTCTCATCGCAACTCTACACTGGCTTCTAACCCTCCTCTCGCCCTGCCAATCCTCCCTTTCACTACCCTTGCGATCTGAGAAGGCTGGTTCTTCCAATATATATCGCATCTCCATCGCATCCTACACTCCTTCCAACTTTCCGCTGTCAACACCACTCTCTCTTCTCGACATCGTCTTTCTGTCACAATGAAGTTCACCACCGCCCTCTTCACCCTCCTTTCCGCGTCTGCGGCCATCGCCGCCGCTATCGACACCAACGAGTCTGGTCTTGAGGTTCTTGGCGAGCGATCGTTCGAGCGCAAGGCTCGCCACGTCGAGGCTGCCGCCCGCTCTGTCGGAGGCGAGCTCGAGGAGCGCGACTGGGTTGCCAAGAACGGCAAGGTCACCTGGTACGGCGGTAACCAGCTGAACAACCCCGCCTGCGGCGGTCCTACCCCCAACGACAACTCGGCAATCGTCGCTGTCAAGGCGAACGGTGGTTACGGCAAGTGCGGCGAGTGGGTCCACCTGCACTACAACGGCAAGATGGTGGCGGCAAAGATCGTCGACTACTGCGCTTCGTGCGAGTGGGGACATTTCGATGCATCCCGCGGGGTCTTCAAGCAGCTTGCACCTCTCGATCAAGGCGTTCTCACTGGCGTCCACTTCAAGCTGATCACCAACAACTAAGATCGTCAGCTCGATAATTCAGAACCGACGCTGCGGTTCGCGTCAACCGCATCTGCTTCATCAAATTGAAACGAGTTCTTCATTTGACCTGGCAGGTCCCACTCCCTCATCGCCCACCTTCCGGTGCCTCTCTTACGCCCTCCGGTTCGGCGGCGCTCTGCATCTCTCGCTCTTGCACATCCACAATCCGGGTCCCCTTCCATCCAAGTCGTAGTTATTTCGCAACGGATCTTCACAGCCTCCCGCTTCAAGTAACCGTCAACACGCTCGCTATACCAATCCTCTTCTTCGGGCATCGCAACCTTGCAGCCCCGGCTTCACACCTGCTTTCATTTCTCTTGCTCTGCTTCTTGTTGTTCTGCTTTGCGCGCGCGCCAGTGTTGTCCAAAGGCGTCACACTGGACGTCTTGCTGCGCCACGTTCTCCCGGGGAGAACGTTTTTCTTTTATAGTTCAAGTCACGCTTCGTCTCAAGTTTTGGCTTCTTTGCAATAGACGTCTTTGGTTACGATCACGAGCGTATCTGATGACAATTCTTGTTTAAGGTGTGTGCTTGAATGAAATGAAGTGAGTCTGTGAATGCTTATGCGTAATGTTTGAATGGATGCAGAGAGATGCTGTGAAAGATGCTGGATTTAGTGGGAGGTAAGGTCATCTGTCTTCGTCTCCAAAGTCACTGGAATGGATCGAGTTGCCACAGTCGCATCGTTCGCGATGCAAATGCTCGTCTGTGGCCGAGCCATCTACGTGATGGGAGCTTCTTGACTGAGGTTGTGCTCGATGTCGGCCCTCTGTGTTCCAATCAGATCCATGCCCACAGTCACCACGGTGACTGTGATCGTGATCGTGGTCGTGACAGCAACAGTCGTCGGATCCGCTGACGCTGCTACGATCGTGATGACACGTGTGACCGTGGTCGTGCTCGTGCTCGTGATCATGATCGTGATGACAGCCATTGACATGGGTCTTGTTACTGGCTTTCTTCTGAAGCGCAGCTTGGGCCTTGCTCTTGACCTTGCTCTTCTTCTCGACCAACTTTTTGCGGTTGCGGCAGGCCCGCAACATGAGCGGAGTCTCGCCGTAGTACAGCTCGTACTCGCAAAACACGCAGATCCAGTCGTCGTCGGTGAAAAGAGCAGATCCGGACCCGTGCGGACGACCGTGACCATTTGCATGCCCGTGCTTGCAAGCTGTGTCGCGCTTCCTCGACGGGGTTTTTTGTGCTGCTGTGCGGCGACTGGCCGGCGCTCTGTCGCCGTTCACTGACGCCGGGGTAGATGTCGAGTTCGGCGAAGCTGTCGTGCTTTGTTGCTGACCCCGATGCGTCGTGAGCGTCCGGCTACGAGCTTCGGATCCTGTTGCAAGCGATGGTGCCTTCTGGTCCTTGACACTCCGGGAGACCAGACGTGATTCTGCATTGCTCGTACGGAGAACGTCGTCAGCTTGTCGAAGGCTCGATCCGCCATGCACCAGGGACGGTGAACGATAGGCGTGTCGATGAGACTGGTCTGTGACACGGAGGTCTCCACGATCGTTGCCATTCCTCGGAGGTGAAGATCGGGCGGAGCGGAGTGCAGCAGGCGAGAGACCGTTTGCACCAGGGCGCACGTTTCCTTCTTCTACCGTATTGGAGGGATGTCGTGTAGCCGCATCGAGCTGGGAGCGCAACTCACGAAGGCGGAGCGTCACAGCGGAGGACATTCGAAAGTCGAAACTCGACGTCGGTGCAGAAATCTTCTGCTGTGACACTGTCACGTCGTTGTCTGCTGCTGCGCCTTCGGATGCTGTAGAGAGCTGACCTCCCTTAGCCTGAATCGCTGCTGGAGGACTCGGCTTCACACTTGGCGGACGTTCGAGGCTTTCGCTAGGAGATGACGAGCGCTGCTTTGCATCATTCGTGACGATCCGACCATTTGGCGATGACGACGCAGGTCTCGATGAGCTTTTGACAGGTATGTTAGGCGATCCTTCAGAGGCAGCTGCGGCTCTTGCGCGTATCTCAGCTATGGTGAGTGGTCTGACAGACGAGTTGCCGCCTCGAATAGCTTGTGCTCTCTTGCCGGCTTTGGAGACACGTTTCGGCGGAGCTTTTCTCTCCGGAGAACCCGCGTCTCTCTTGTCTACGTCGTGCAAAGCGTTTGCCTCTTGCCGCGTCTGAACCTCTTGCTGGGTTCTCAGCTGCTGCTGCCACCGATCAAGCCTTCTGCGGCCAAAGATGGGAGCTAGACGGGCTCTGATGCGTTTCCGAAGAATCGATGTATGCCGCTCGCCGCTCGTCTGTCTGAACGGAAGTCGGACGAAAGTGTGAGGTTGAACCGAAGCCGGTTTGGAAGGAACGAAGCCGGCTTGTGGATGCTTGTCGGCGACAGCGACGGATGACTGAAGAGGCAGGTTATGTGACATGTTGGTCTTGTCAACAAGTGCACGACTTTGAGATTTGATTAGGTCGCCTGCAGCCAAGTCGTTGGAATGGGATGAAGGAGTGCTGTCGACGTGAGGATGCTCTGTGAAGCAACGATCGCCATTGCTAAGGGAAGGCAAGCCGGAATTGCTGAAACGACTGCTTTTCCGCTTCTTCTTGTTGCCAAGATGCACGGTGCGGCAGGTATCAAAGTCGAGGTATTCGCCATCGTCGTCCGAGGCGATGTTGGTGTGATGATGAGAGTGATTGCTGTCGCTGTCCTCGTCGTGCGCAGAGCTGGGATGCTCATGTTCGTGCTGACTGGAACGCTGAGTGGCCGTCGTCCGCCTGCTGGTGCCGACAGACCTGGAGGTGGTGCCAGGGTCCCGCGCCATGAGCGGAAGAGACAGAAGGTTGCATCTTGACAGTTGCTCTCGGGTCGCCTGTTGACTATATAGCAGGATGAACTGAGCCGCGCGTTGACGGTAGTGAAAGCCTTCGTCGATCAAGTGGGGAGGCAGTGACGGGAAGCGAAAGGGCGTTTCCATTTTGGAAGGTGAAACTTTCTGGATGATTGCCTCGTCTTGCCGGAAGGACGTGGCAGAAGCATCTGAATCTAAAGTCTGGCCCTCGGTCGAAACTTGCAGCTGCTGAAAGTAATGTGCAAGCGCCGATGGGGCCTGCGAGTTCCTAGAAGCTGAGATGGGTATCGGGTCGGGCTGAGGAGACGGCTCGACCTCCGAGCACGATGTCTTCACAGCTGTCCCTCCTGCGTCCGACCGTGGAACATGCGAATGATTCCAAGCACTTGTTCTGGCTGATAGCGAGGCGATGGTTGCATCCGACAATAAGGATTTCTTCGGCATTCCTCGGATGGGGCGTCGAAGTGTGCCTGGCGCTGGGAAAATCCCGTTTGCTGATGAAGGCGTTGTGCCATTGTTGGAAACAAAGTCGCGAGAAGTACCGCTGAAGTCGGAGCAGGGATCTATTGCAGGCACGAGCGTTGGAGGCGCAACGCTTTCGAAGGACATGAATCGACGAAAGACTTCGGGTGTGATATCGAACGGCCGGCATGTGGAGTAGTCCGGGGCAGGCGTCGCTGTGATCGCTGAAGGGGAGACATGATGGCGATCGAGATGGCCATTGCGCTGCACAGCGACTTGATCGGAGCGAGGCATGGATGAGAAGCACCGCCGAACGCTCTCGAGAGAGCGTAGCCAACCGACCTCTTTACGATTCGGCGACGGAGTGGTGGAGCTTTATACCAATAGAGTCATGGTTCCGGCGACGTTGTCCTGCAGCCGTCCAGAGTTCTTCGTAACAGCAGCAAGAATCGATCCTGAAAGAGTGTACAGGGTAGAGAACGAAAATCGAGGTCGTTGCAGCACGAGTCCGGGGTGTTCGTAAAAGCCTCGGTCGATCCGTTCCTCCGATGATGATGAAATGTTGAGATGCTGAGACGAGATGCCGTGCGATGCTATGCGAAAGAGAACGAGTCAGGAAACATGACAGGAGCGAATGTCAACGACAAGGCAGTGCTGTACATTGTATGCAAGACTCACAAGAATCAGTCACCCACACGCTGCTCCAAGAAGGACACACGCTGCTCACCCGACTTACACCTGGTTGCCTCTCTCTCTTTTATCACAGTTTGACGTGGAAACTTTTCGGGCAGGTTCGCCAGACAAAATTTCCGATTGAGTCCCTTTGTGCTCGACACTCGGGTTTGGCCGACATCCGAATCTACATGTTCTCCTCTGGCTGCAAGCACAGCTACCGCACCTCGTTCTCTTCGGGTTCAGAACGCGCTCCAAATCCTTTCTTCAAGCGTGATGCCAGCTCACGGCAGTTCGCGAGGTGTCGGGTTCAGTCCGAAGATGTTGCGTGACCGGCAGAAGAAATCGCCGATGTGATGAAAGACCAAGAAGCAAAAAAAGTTCGAGAGTGGAGGATCGGAAGAGATCTTGGACCCTTGATTCTCTCTGACCTCCGCAGGCTACCATTCGTTCAGTTTTACCGCGCCGTGTCTTCCCGAGTGTTAGCAAAAACGCGGGAGAGGCTTTGCCCAATGCGGCAGGTGCGTTGATCAGGCTGAGACCGGCGCTCGGTGGATTGACGATGGCGTACAGCGGAACGAGCTTCATGTTGAGCGGTTAAAACAATGAGATGTCGGAAGCCTGAGAGGGCGCTCTGCGAGACGATCGAGAAACACGATTCGCGGGTTGAGTTGACAATGCTGTAGCAAATTCACTAAGCGAAGCACCATGGTTCTATCTCGACACACACCTGCTGATGCTGACAAATGCCATTGAGAGTCGGATTAGCATCCGCGATGCGCATCTATCTCGGCAACCCGCCAATCTGACTGTACGACCCACCCGCACCACCCACCCTCTCCTTCAGCTGACCTGCTACCCTCCTGAGCTGCAACTTGGTCTGCTCGACCCCACCCAGCTTCCACACACCCACGCCTGCTGCTACGCCCGCCAAAATGAGCAGCAGGAAGAAGAACGATCCGCCGTTGTTGGGTTCGCCGGACGTGGCGGATCCTCCTGAAGAAGCGTCTTTCGAGGAGGCTTCAATGAGAGAGGTTGTTGATGCGCCCGCCACCGCCACCGCGGCTGCGGAGGTTGGAGTCGTTGCAAGTGAATCTTGCTGCGGATCGACGATGGGATTGCGGAAGGTGGCACACGGAGAAGAGAAGAAGAGCAAGATGTATATTTCAATAAATGCTGTTCTTTCTGACATATTTTCAAGAGAGGGCGGGGAGAAACGATCTGAGCCCGAGCCCGACCAACGAAGACCTTTTCCAGTCGTGCAGTTGGGCGTCAAGGCGACCAGTTCCGGCTTCGTTGGAGCCTCGAGCTCCGATGTTGAGGGTGTTTAGAGTTCGTCCTTCACCTTTTCATCAGCGGACAATTCACCCGAGTCCTTAACGATCACATCTGCCACCGGCTTGTCGCCGTAGCCCTTAGGGACGTTCTCGATGTACTTGACTACGTCCATACCCTCCACGATCCTGCCGAACACCACGTGTCTGCCGTCCAACCAGCTCGTCTTGACTGTGCAAATGAAGAACTGGGCACCGTTGGTGTTGGGACCGGCGTTGGCCATCGACAGTACACCCGGGCCGGTATGCTTGAGCTTGAAGTTCTCGTCATCAAACTTTCCACCGTAGATAGAGTAACCGCCTCGACCGTCTCCACGTTCGAAATCGCCACCTTGGATCATAAAGTTGCTGATGACACGGTGGAACTTGGAGCCCTTGTAACCGAAGCCCTTCTCACCAGTGGCCAGAGCTCGGAAGTTCTCGGCGGTCTTGGGCACGTCGTTCCCGTACAGACCGAGTACGATTCGTCCGACATCCTTGTTGTCGTGCGAGATGTCGAAGTACACCTTGGTGGTGACCACAGGCTCGGTGGTAGAAGCCGAGGTGTAAGGCATTGTGACGAGGAGCACTGCTAGCGCTGCGACTAGAGTCAAGAGTGTTGTGAGTGAGAGAATGGACTTCATCTTGAATGAACGAAGAGGAGATTTGAGATCTCCTTTTTATGCGACGAGGGCAGAGGGACAAGTGGGGACGAAGGGACGAAGGATGTGACAAGGTTGCGAGATGAAATATGAAGTCGACCTTCGCCTTCTGGCGAGAGAGCGACGTGGCCACCGTGCGCGAGAAGGCAAAGTGAACCGGCAAAGTGAGACTGTGCAACCCTCGCCGGTAACTGACAAATTGCAGGAGCGGGACACTTTTCCTTTTCCGAGGCTAGACTTGCCTCCGCCATTGTCTCTCGGGCGGCACTTTACTGCCTGGCTGCCATTGTTAGATTGTAAAATCACTGCAGGCTCGACCACCCTCGACAATGCTCAAACTAGCATCGACAGCACACACTGCCCACACCAACGGAAGTATGCCTTCCTTGTGCAAAGACTGTTATTGCGATGCTGGTTTGGGACGAACGATCACCTTCGCCGATCAAGCATCCGACTCGTCAGCGCTGCTGCTCTCATATATCCCCCTATCATCCTCATCCAGCGCCGTCTCTTCATCCAGATCCCCGAAATCCTGACTTCGATCGTCCCAGCTGTGTTTGCTCTTTCCGTGCCAAGTCCTCAACCTCTGGTGGATCGGAGACGAACCAAAGCTTGGTCTGTGCGACCGCTTCTCGGGTCCGTTTCCATTTCCGTTCCCATTCCTGCGAACACCCTCGGACTGCACCGCTGCAGAGAAGAAAGGGATCTGACTCGAACCGCGCACTTGATCTTCGTCCACCGCTGCCTCTGCCTCGTTCGCCGAGCCTCGATCCTGTTCCTGCGATCGATCGAGCCATTCGCGAACCGCACGATCGGGTTCTTCCTCCTGTGGCTGATCTCCCTCGGCACGAGACTCGGCGTTGTGCGAGTCGATCAAGTATCGCGAATACGTCGGGTACGGCTTGGGTCGAGAAGCCGAACCACCCTTTGCTTTCGCTCCACCGTCTTCGTGAATATGACCAACACTGTCCGGCGTACCAATGGCCGAACTGACAAGCCCATCCCTCCGCGCCGATCCAGCGACCTTTGTTAATCCCAGCACCTCCTTGCTCATGAAGAAATCGTCGTTGTCCGTATCGCTCGGCAACGACGTTGCACTCCTCGGACCAGCTTGCGGTCGCGAAACGCTCTCGCCGCTCGTCCTAGATGCCCCATCGATCGCGGCCAAAGGCTGGACATTGTTGCTGACCGGAGACCGCTCGACTTTGCCGTTGCTGGCTCGTGAAGCTTTTCGGCAAGCCTTTCTTCCTTGCTCGATCGCCCTCTCAAGCCGAACTCTGTTTTCGATCATGTGCAGCTTGGGGAAGGTCACACTCTTACCCACGCTCATCATTCGTGACAACTCCTTTCGATCTGGGTCAGACAGGATGCGCACCCAGTCCCAGGCTCTTGTCTTTGGCAGGATGGTGACGGCACCACCAAACCTCTGCAAGAACACACTCGACCAATCCTGACCTAGAATAGCCGGAAGCAGATCGAGGTCGCGCAGGATCTTGAAGTTCATCGAAAGGTTGAGCTTGAGGATACGCTCGGACGCGGAGAGGATGAATCCGCCGCGCCAGCCTTTGCCCTTACGGTGCGCTGTCGGTCGACCGGGAGAGCCTTTCGAGCCGAAATGGAAGAGGTGGACGTGAGGGTTGACCTGACTGACGATCGGGTAGTTGACGTTGAAAAAAGCATGCAAGTCTTGCAGCGGGATGTCGACGCGAAGAGATCCATCCTTGAAGCGATGGCCCCAGTTCCAAGGTACGATCTCGTCGCTACCTCTTCGCTTCTGCATCAGACACACAGGGTTGAGGATACCCGGAACAGCGGCCGATGCCAGCAGACTGCTCCAGATGACGCAGTCGGGTGCAGTGACGTAGTTGAGCAGTTTCACAGGCGAGTGACGGTCGGCCGGGATGACCGAGATGCAGAGCACCTTGCCTGTGCGCTCATACGCCTCTTTGAAGGTCATGCTTCCCATGGTGAAGAAGCTCGCCTTTTCGGCCCACTTAACCGTGTCGAATCGCGCTCCCGTAGTCCACGCTCGTCGGGCCCAAACCGAGATGGGCTCCTCGCACGCTGTGATGCGGTCCGCTAACGCAGGGACGAGCATTTCCCGCAGCTCTTGGTCGGTCCTCGTGCAAGTCAGTGCAGCGATGAGACCACCAGCAGAGGTTCCGGTCACCACCTTTGGAAGCAGATTGGCATCGAGCAGAGCTCGTACGACACCAATGTGGTAATAGCCAAAGCTGGCGCCGCCCGAGAGGCAGAGTGCGCTACGACCGAGGTTTTTGCTGACGGTGCGGTAGAAGCTGCGCTTGGTCTCCAACGGCACCTTGTCCGTGTTCTCGATGTATGCTAGCGCTGTCTCGATCTCTGCCAAGTAGCTCTCCACCAAGTACTTTGTGCCGAAGTAGGTCTCGGAGTAGAGACGAAAGTTTTCCGTACCAGCAAAGTTGTTTCGCAAACAAAGGTCGAGAACGCCGAGCAGATTTTCAGCATCGTCCTTCTCACGGAAGTTCTTGAGCGAGGTCTTGACCTTCTTGACCAGGATCCAATCGTAAAATCCACTACCGTCTTCGGTCTTCCATTTTTCGTAGCCGAGAAAGTCGTCCTGCTCGAGCGCAGCTTCCTTCCATTCCGTGTAGTTGGAAGCTGAGCGCATGCGTTTGCGCAATTGGCCCTTCTTGCCTCGCCATGCTACCGAATATTCGATGACATTCACAAGCTGACGCACGAGAACGTACAGCAGGAATTCGAGGCTGATGATGACGAAGACGCCGACGAGAAGTGGCCACCGCAGCGTGTGAAAGACGAAGCCTTCTCTGGTGCCCGAGTCCACAGCGCGGCCCTTCCTGCTCTTGCGCGAGACCTTTTCATTGATGGGCGCAAAATCAGAGGCGGCGGCAATCCTGCCTACTTTGCGAGGATTGGAGGCACGAGTACCGGATGGAGCGGTCATGGCTGGTGACTTTGGCTCTGAAACGGCAGCTGCTGGGGCAGCAGCGGCAGCCGACTGGCCAATCTCTGTAGGAGACTTGGCCGCATTACCGTACCCGAACACGCTCCAAGAGGACGAGCCTGTGATGTGGGAGGACGAAGTAGGTTGGTACTCCTGCTGTCCGAGATCCGTGGCTAGCGCTGTTCGGAAAGCTTCCATGTGGTCCGGATCGGCATACTCTTCCGTGAGGAGCGGATCCAGCTCCTCTTCGGGCGTCCGTGGGAACAGGGAGGGCGAAAGAATGTTGCCAAGACTGCGTCGACGTTTGGACGCTGTCTTGACGTGAGATCTGTCCGAAAACGATCCGCTTGGTGGCACCGTGCGACTTCGAGGAGCCGGTGCCGATGGATCTGCCGGAGGTGGGGAAGATGAAGAGGATGCAACTGCGTTTGGCGCCAGGTCGTTGACGATCGACAGCGAGGCCGGATTCGGCTGCTGACGACGCCTGAAGATAGACGCCATGGTGCTACAAGGTATTCAAGAGATTTCGATACAGAGTCAAATCGTGCTCCGAGTGCGGGAAAGGCATCAACCACGTTGCGCGTACAGGAGCGATGTCGAGGTGCACTTTCGGGGATGATCTGGGTGTTGGCTCTAGAGTGGTGTGGTTTGATTGAACAAAAGCATGTCCGCCGATCTGCTAATCTTGATGCTTTGGAGGTCGTGTATGCTGCGAAACGTGGATAGTGGAAAGGATGGTGTCGTGGAGGTGTAGGATGTGGAGAGGGAGGAGCGGATGAGCGAGGTAGAACGAACCGGCTTCCCCAACAAAGCGCATAAGCTGCATCCGTGTCATGCTATGGTTCCTGCACACGCTGCAGCGCGACTGCGTCATCGGCACCTTTTTGACGCTTTCAACGACTGTGCGACCCGCATTCTCTGGGAGTCTGATCGGGATGTTGATCGGGCGGTGCTCCACAATCAATTTGTGTGGAAAAGTTCGCCTCGACTTTTTTTCGTGGACCCTGGAAGTATCTCGATTGAGCTTTTGTGTTCTGCTTCCTCCTTCATCATCTTCCACATTGCCTGCCAGAACCACGACTTCTTTCACTCTGCCCTCTACTGACAATGCCGAAGGACAACAAAGGTAAAGCTGCCGTACGAGGCGCAGATTCGATGGACTCCGCCTCGCGGACTGGCTCCAAGCCATATCACAAGCGGTCTGCGACTTCCACCTCCAATGGCTCCTCATCCACGTCCAAGAAGCAACGCTTCGAGAAGCCACAAACATCGAATCCCGGTCCACCTGGCGCATCCAAGATCAAAGCTTCGATCCGACAAACGAAGCGTCTGTTGGCCAAACCCAACCTAGCGCCCGGCACCAAGATCGAAGCTGAGCGTCGACTCAAGTCACTCGAGTCTGATCTGGAGGTAGCGTCTCGCAAACAAGTCGAAAAGTCTCGCGCGTCTCGTTATCATCGTGTAAAGTTCGTCGAGAGGCAAAAGCTGGTTCGGCGGATCGCGAGGTGCAAACGAAATTTGGCGCGGTTGGAAAGCGGCAAGTCTGCCCAAGGGTCGGATTCGGAAGGCGAAGCTAGCGATGACGATGATGCGGGATACGGGAAGCAGAAGGCAAAGGAGTCCAAGATGTCCAAGGAGGAGCTAGAAACTCTGCTGGAATGGCTGAGAGAGCTCTTGCAATATGTGGTTCAGTATCCTGCCGATCTGAGGTACGTGGCGCTCTTCCCCAACGCAGAAGAGGGACCGAGTCCACCCGATGCAAAGGAGAAGGACAAGAGCAGGCAAATGGCGTATCAGCATTTGCAGACGGTCAAGAAGGCGATCAAGGACGGGCAGATCAGCCAGGACGTAGAAGTCGAGCTGAGTAGCAAGGGTCGGACCTTGAGGAAGCTGGCGAGCAGCAGTAACGGTACGGGCAAAGCAACTTCGCAGGCCACCAGCAAGCAAAAGACGGACAAGAAGTCCGACAAGACAACAAGTAACAAGCGGGAACACGAGATGCCGAGCAGCGACGACGATGCGTCCGAGGCGGGTGGTGTCAAAGGCGACGACTTCTTCGCTCAGGATTCTGAGGACGAATAGGAACGCATGCCGACTCAATGCCACACATTCTACACAGGTCCCATACCTCACAGTCCATGTTGCGATCTCTGTGATCTGCGTCTTGAACCACCGCGCTGCTCGTCTACAGATTTGGTCGTTCGGCGTGTTCCTTGATCTGACTCTCCCTGAGCTGAGCCTCCAATGCACGAATGGCCTCTCTATCTGCTCTGATCCCCTCTGGACTCTTTCCCGAGCTGTTCCTCCTCTTTGCCCACTGCAGCCTCGCAGGTGACTGACTGGCAGCACGACTGTCTGCTTTCTGACCTTCCTCCGTCGCTGCCGATCCATCGCTCGTCAGGACCATCTCGTTGATGTGTACCAGATTCTTCTTGGCCCTGTGAACCTCCCCCTCTTCTCCCAAATCATCGAATGCCGCATCGCGCTCCTTCCTCCTTGCGACGGGATCCCAAAACTCGTGCACCTCCGTTTTCACTCCGTACGCCTGGGGTAGGATCTCGATCAACTGACCCTCCCTTACCTGGATGCTCGGGATCTCGTGAGGCTGCAAGCCTTGCAGGTAGGCGATGAGACACCGCAGGACCGAGGACTGACCGATGATGAGCACATCGTTTCGTGTTCGTTCTAGTTCGAAGATGATCGGCTCCAAGCGAACCGACAGGTCGTGGTACGATTCGGCGCGTGGGAAACGGTGCGAGTAGGGCTCGCGCACCTTGCGTTCGTACTCGTCTGGGAAGCGCCGCTTCACTTCATCGACGGTCATTCCATCGACGATGCCCGGGTTCATCTCGCTCAACTGAGAGCGTTCGATCACCTTGTATCCCGCCTCGGCGAGCGGATAGGCGGTGTGCGATGACCTACGGCGTTGCGAGGTCCAAACTTCAAACGCCTTGCTATCTTGCTCCATGAAGCTATCCTTGCTCGCTTTGCCTCCGCCCGTGCCTGCCCCTAGCGGCTCGAGACCGGCTTTCTTCCTTCGCACGTTGACCATGTGATGCGCCAGCTCGTCGGCATAATCCCATCCGAGCGAAGAAAGATCCGCATCGGCCTTGTACAGGTGCTCCACCAGAGCCTCGCCCGCTCGAGCGAGGTAGATGGTTCGATGTCGATTGTGAATGTTCATGAGGAAGAACACGATACGCGATTGGAGGTAGCCTTGTATGTTGTTCACCACCACCTGCTCTCCGACGTTGATGAGCTTGATGTACGGGAAGCTCGGATTTTCGATCGGCTCGTAAGTTTTTTCGTGTCCGGCGATGCGCTCGTAGTAGTTCTGCATGGCTCTCTCGGGGTCCCAATCGGTGTAATCAGGACTGCTCAGCTTGACGCTTCGAACGTTGGCCTCGACCACCTTGGGATCGGTACAGATGCTCTCCAAGAACATGACGTGTACTCCAAGCTTGCCATACTTCTCTCGAATTGCATATCTCCTACTCTGAATCGAGTTGTTGGCGTCGTACACTACGACCTGTCCGCCTTGGTTGAAGAAGAAGTCGATGACAGTATCGTCGAATTCGTCGAGGATGCGCCGTCGCAGCTTTTCGGTATCTTCACTCTTGGGACCAGTGACAAAGTAGTCGGATGGAATCTTGTCGGCTCCACCGAGAACTTTTCGGCGGTGATCGCCGAGCGAGAACACGCCTGATTTGACGCCAAGCCATGTGAGGTATCGTTCGATGGCGTGGGAAAGATGCGTTTTGCCTCGTGCGGGAAGTCCGACGGTTGCGATGAGGATTTTACCGGCGTGGTACAGTTGACCCGACGCGGTCGTGTAGAGCGGCGCCGCCATGGTTGCGCACGGTCAACGATTTCGATGATGCGCTCGGATTCGTGTAGCGAGTCAAAGGATGAGGAAGGGAGCGACGGTCGAGCTGGTGGTCAAGGAATGATAAACGCCGCGCACAGGCCGGCCGCAGACAGATTGTGGAGAAAGCGACTTTTACGGGGGTCTCGACGCGGAATTTTCCCGCCTTTCAAGCGTTAGATCCTCAAGCTGAACTCGGAGACAGCTTCGTACAAACCTCAACTCAACCTGCACAAACTCCCTCATTCCCCGGTGATCAATCTCGGTCATGTCGATGATTCAAGCTGTGACGGCCCGTTACGCGCGTCGTCGTACAACGAGGAAGGGAACGGATACACTGTGAAAGATAAAAAATGGAGCGAAATGAGCGGTCCGGGTATATGAGGGAGAGAGCCGCGCCAGCGCAGCTTTAAAAATGATGCGAAGCGCTAAAGACGTCCATAAGCTTGCGATTGTCTGCAGCTCGTGCCTGAATGTACGCATCTAGATCCTCGTAACTGCGATCCCCGTTATAGCTTTCGAGCCACCTGCCTTCCCGGAACAGTTCGAGCGACGGGTAGGCGTCGATGTTGTGTCGCACGCACAGATCGCCTTGAGCGATGCAATTGACGCGAGCAATGTGGAAGTTGGAAGAGTCTTCGAGGTGTCGATTATCATCTGCTAGGTCGTGAAAGGTGGGTGCGAACCTCTTACAGTGTCCACAGTGTGGGGAGTAGAACTCGATGAGCCAAGCGCCGTTGTCGACCGAGCGGGTGAAGTTGCCTTCGGTCAAGGATAAAACAGATGGATCGTACGAAGGAAGTGGTCCTGCCACGACGAGTAACGCTGCGAGCAGCAGAGTGGCGATGGCTCTGAGCCAGCGCAAGGAGGACAGCATGTTGACCAGATCCAGAGAGCGATTGGGGAGGGTATGGAGTCGGTGTGTATCGGAGAGATAGGCGCTCGTAAAGTCAGTTATGGGCGACCAGCAGGACAGACCCGTCGTCTAGATGTGGTAGGAAAGAGGCGACCGTTCGGCGCGAAATCCGTAGATCTTTAGAAATTGCACGCCGTAACGTTGAAACGACCGTGGCTGCGCGTAAAAAGTTGACACGAATGTGGGTGGTTGCTACGATCAAAGCTCGAGTCGGGACACAGGAGGCAAGATCGGCCAGTCGAGGACGTACAAAGATGGTGTGCGAATGAGAAGTATTCCGAGAAGGCTGAGAGCTGCTAGTTGGCTGCCCACATAGGCTGCAAAGTAAGGTCGAGGAAGTCCATGGTTTTGCCAGGATAGCGTCAAACGGAGTCAGACGCGACGAATGCCAAGACCGACGAAAAAGTCACAGAAGCAACACATGCTTCATCCTGATCCGGATGCTTCTCAGCATGTGGTCTGCAGATCCTGTCTCGATTCTGTAGTCCCTGACATCCGTCGATGCCGAACAGGCGATCCCAGCGTCTGGTGGGAGCTGCAGGAACCTGGCTAGATGCAAGGGGTCAAAGCGACAAGCTCTGACAAAATCGATCAAGGAATTCTGTTAGACCCACACCGTCAGGAAGATCGGATTTCGGTCGGCCCAAACCAACACCGACGCTTGACGTTGAAAAATGAACCTTTGGCTGAGCTGCGGACTGCTTTCAGTTGTGACTTGCGTGGGTCCCTTCATCTTCCAGCGTCAGAGTGATTGATCGGATCGGGCCCGACAGACTTACTCTTACTGAGCCTCGACCAGCTGCAACCTTTCCTTGGTCCCTCTCTCATCACGAACGACTCCCCTCTCTCCCTTCTCCCACAATCCCTCCGGAACTTCATTTCACCCTTATCCTTTCACTTGTCTCCTGCTTCGCAAAACCCGCGCATCAGCAACGCTGACCTCACCTTCAGCCCAGTCACCTCGCCCCCCTTCGTAGGCTCATCCGAATCAATTCTCAAGGATCCACCACACCGATTCGATCACGCATCGCACCTTCTTTGCGCACTCTGCGAAGATTAGCTGTGTCCGTCTCATTCGTTTCGGTTTGTCCTTGCAGTGCGCTTCCAACATTTCAGCACATCGAATCCCAGCCTCCACGTCGGTTTCGATCACAAGACCCAAGACTGCACGGTTCATCGAACGCATACACTTTGCAGTTCGGCCCCTCGATTTGATCACCGCTTTGTTCAGGGATCACAGCTCGTATGGCCTTTCAGGACGCCTGCATCCGATCATAGTCCCGGTATCTTTGCATCTCGGTTCGACTTCCTCCTTTCAAGGCGGCTTCGTTGCGATATCTTTCAGCTTTGCGGAGTTGCTGCACACAAACTCGGTCACGAGAGGGCGGAGCGAGTAGCAGCAAGTCGGTGAGATCGCCATTCGCTCGCCTACGTCTCAAGTCAACATCATGTCGGCCTGGTCTTCTTCCACAGGCAAGGCGCAGCTGTCGTATGCCGACCGACTTCGCCAAGCTTCCAAGTCAAATCCAACCCCAAAGCAAGAGCCCGCGCAGACCCCATCTGGGTTTGCTACTCGTGCTGTGCAACAGAACGCAACCAAGGCTGCTCCTACCTCTGCCTCCACGTCGCTGAGCGCTGCCGCCTCTCAGCCTAGAAGGCTATCCAATGCTTCCTTGACGGGTGCTGCCCCTGCCTCCGGCAGCGCGGCGAGAGCAGCCGCGGGTCCGTCAGAGGTCAAGAGTGGTGGTGCTGCTGAGGATGCTAGCTCTACGACCCAGGCAAGCAGTGGCCCTACAGTCAACGTATGGGAGACTCGTCGCAAGCAGCTCGCAGAGCGCGAGGCTGAAAAGGAGCGTGAGCGTCGAGCGGGACCTTCACCGCAAAAGCAGGCAGCATCACCGGCTGCTGCAACACCGAATGCTGGAAGCGCGAGTCACAAGTCAGGACAGAATCCTGCAGGGCCCAAGAAGGCCAACGAGCGCCATTCAAAGGGCTCATCCACCTCCAGCCAATCCGACCGAAAGGCTGTCAAATCGGGAAACCAGGCTTCAAGCCGTGCGCCAAACTCGGCGTCAATATCTTCGACCTCGACCAGAGCGACAACGAGTCTGCCGACGGCCCCGGTATCGAACAGTTCAAGTGCAACCTTACCCAAGTCTCTACCTACCGCATCCAGAATTGAGGCTGCTGAAGCACGCCCCGCTGAAGGAGCTCAACCGGCAAACAAAGAAGCTCAGCATTCTGCTCCCGCTCAGGCAGCGCAGGTGCCAAGCTCGAGCAGCAAGGTGCACACGACAGAGACAGATGCAAAATTCAAAGGTACGAAAGATCCTTCGACGCAGAACCAAGATGTCGACACTTCTTCCCGCTCGCAAACCGCAGTAGCTCAAGTGTCGCCATCTGAAGTGCCGTCCGTCGAGACTGGTTCTGTGCCGACTGCAGTCCCGGAAGAAATTCCAGGAAGCCCTGCTACGGTCGCTTCGGCCATCGAGGAGGTGCTCAAGAACGGTGGTGCTCATGGTGCCCAGACCGAAGACGACGATGCATGGCTCGCCAGGATCCATCTTTTGAACGGCGGTCAAAACATGCCCAACTTTGGTGGCTTCGGAGCCAACGGCGTACCAGCGCTCAACGAAGAGGCCGAGTCACAAGCTGCCAAGAAGGCAGAACGCGCTGTGGCGGCTGCATGGGGCGCTGGAAAGAGTGTATGGAACAAGTCGCATCAGAGCAGCCAGCAGCCGTCCGCCCCAAACGACAGCAAGGAGACGAATGTTGCGTCGTCTGCAGGAGCTGACGTCCAGGACGAAGCTGCTGGGACCGCCCGTGACGATTCCGACGTCAAGGACAAGGAGGCCGACATCCTTTCAACAAATGCAGCGGCTTCCAACGGTATTCCCAGCAAGAGCACCGAGGTACGCGGACAGGAGACTCCCAAGGGGACGACTTCTGGGGAAAAGACAAACGACGCTGATGCATCGTCATCCAAGAGACTGACTAGCCCGAAACCTGGAGCTCCTGCACAACCGCCAAAGTCCGGGAAGCGTGCGGCGAAATCGAAAGTCGCGGGTTTGCCATCATTCGAAGATGTCAACAATTGGCCTAGCCCGCTCGACGCCGGCAAGAAGCCTGCAGATAAAACCAAGGCAGCAGCGGCTGGTTCCGGAGACGCGGACAAAGCGGAACAAAACAAAGCAGGACAGTCCAAGACACCAAAGAGCTTGTATGAAACGCTCGACGAGTTGCAAGTTAGACTTGCACCCGGCGTCAACCCGCAGCCGTCTGGAAGCGTCGCAGGCGCGAGAAAGGGCAAGCAACAGTGGGTGCCGATCTTGCCAGAGATTACGCACACATCAGCGCCCGCGTCAGGCGGCAAGCCGAACCGGCCCGCGTCCGATGCTAGGACGCCAAAGGCAGGGCAAAAGCAGCAGCATTCGCAGCAACAGCAGCAGCGCAAGGAAGGCAATAGGAGCGGTCAGGCACAACAGTCGTCTCAAACTGGCAAGAAGGATGGCGGCCAGAAGCAGAAGGTTGCTCGAGGCGAGGGTAGGGCGCTGGCGAGGGATGGAACGGCGGATGCTGCGGCAGGCGCGAAAGCGGGAGAGTTGCAGAGTGGCAGTGGCAAGATCGGTGGCGGGGTCAAATCGAACGCAGCGTCGCAAGGCCAGGCCGCTTCTGTGCAGCAAACCAACAAAGCGGAGCAGACTCAGGCTATTGCCAGTGACGAGTCGGAACCTGCTGGCGCCGAGCCGCAGCCAACAGCATCTTCCGCCACATCTCCGTCTGCCTTAGATTCATCGTCCAAGCATCCGCAGCCGCAGCAATCGACACGCACCAACGTCCGTCCACAGCCCAATGGCACCTCTACGTCGTCGCTGCAGCCACACCCCAATGGTGCGAGACCTTCCAAGAGCTCCGCATCTTCTGGTGCTGGTACCCCCGCCACCAACCGCAGTTCTCCGCGCGGATCGGTGGTTTCCTCGCCGAAAGCGCATCCTCTCCCGCGGCCTGCGCCACAGCCAACCCAAGACCTCTCAACGCCGTACGCCGCTCCCACGCCGCCCATGTACTACGGACCCTCCGGGGTCGCTACACCCATGCTGTCTACCTCACAGCCAGCGCCATATCCATCTTGGCTGCCGTACAACAACGCGCACACCCGACCATTCTTGTTCGACAGCACGGCGCAGACGGGTGCATCGCTTCCATCGGGCGTGCTGGGGCAATTGTTGGCGCAGATCGAGTTTTACTTTTCTCAGCGTAATCTGGAGGGGGATTTCTTCTTGAGGCAGAAGATGGATGAGGAGGGGTGGGTGGAGATCGGGGTGGTGACGGGGTTCAAGCGCGTGAAGGGGATTGTAGGGGAGGGGGATGAGGGGGGGATGGTGAGGGATGCGTTGGGGTGGAGCAAGGTGTTGGATGTGGATGCGGGGAGGGGGAGGGTGAGGAGGAGGTACGGCTGGGAGTTGTATACGATGAAGGCGTCAGGTGGAGGCGAGGATGCGGCGGACGCAAGGGGGAAAGACGACGAGGAGGACGACGAGGCGTTGGGCGTCGTCAGTGCTTCAGGTTTCGGTGGCAAGCTCGAGGTATAACTAGCATTGCATATCCCGCGATCACGCTCCATCAGGTCATATCTCTTCCGAGCAACATCTCGCACTTTTGGTCTCGTATCTGCATCTCCATCTCGGCATTCATTTTTACACGCTTTTCGTTGACGAATCTCTTCATGCTGGCCAACCGACACACTTGCGATCCGCCTGTGAGACTGGTATCGACTCAAAGGAAAGAGAGACAGAGTGTTTTGTGTTGCATGCGAGAGTGGAAATCGAGTGTTACAACGGGCTTAAAAGATTCTGATCACGTCGGCCAACAGGCTATCGAGGCTATCGTCGATATCGCCCAACTGTCGGTTGATGCCACTGTAGGCTTCCCTCAGCTTCTTGTCCTCTACGAAAGGCATGTTGGGAGCGAACAGTCCTCCTGGTTCGGGTTTCAGTGCGTCCCTTTCGTCTTCCAACAGAGCCTGCAATCTGACGGCGTGGGAGGAGAGTTTGCTTCCGGGACGTGAGCCGGATCCGCCACTGATGCTTCCGGTGCCGCCAAAGAGCGCCGATTGGTTGAGGATGGGTGAAGTGGCAGAGCTGATGGACGACATGGAGGCGTGAGTGAGTAGACGTCTGCGCGGATCGCGACGTGCAGCAGCGTCGACAATGGTGTAGAGGTGGGAGAGCGAGGCGTCGTCCGCGCCAAACGAGAGCGCTGCGACCGAAGGGTAGGTGGAAGGTGTCACGGAGCGTGAGCCGGCACCGGGGCTGGGCGCCGAGGCGGATCGTAGACCAGTCGGCTGACGATTCGGAACAAAGTTCGAGAGCGGAGTGAGCATCGTGCCCGTGGTATTGGTCGCATGGGTGGCGGCGGAGCTCGTTCCGATGGTGAGGGGGCTAGATGTATCGCGAGAGTTGGAAAATTCGGATCCGACAGAGTGTTGCTTGTTGTGGGCCACCGCTGCTGTCGCACCTGCCGTCGCCATTCCCGCCACCACCGTTGCCGCTGCTCCCGCTCCTACTGCTCCAGCCACCACCGCCGCTGCCACTCCTGCTCCGACCGCCCCTGCTCTGCTAGTCGACGCGGCATCAGCTGCCGAGTTCGAGCGCACGCCATTGGGCGTCAACTCTCTGGACGGAACAGCAGTCGAAGACATGGTCGGCGTCTGTACACGATCGAGGACAGCATTGATCTTTTCCTCGACCTTGGCATCCGACTGCGGACTCGCTCGCAACAGCGTATCCAGCAAGTCTCCCTGTACACCCGGTGCGCCCGCCTGCTTACGTTGCTTCCCAAGGGCGAGCGGAGCTACACCTCCTTCGATCTCGTCCGGAGACCGCACCTCGAAGTTGACCTCGTCCAAGCTGAGCGGGCTGTTGGCACCGGAAGAACTTCGGGCGGAAGCATAGTCATCGGTCGTGAGATCGCTTTGCATCCTCCTGGTACCGTACGGCGGTCGTTCGGCGTCTCTGGGACTGAGACCCGTGTCGGCAGAAGAGGTCGCGCGAGTGTCGTGCGACGACTGCATTTGATCCTTCATGACTTCCTCAATGATCGAACTGATATCTCGTTCTTGTCCGTCGACGGGGACGTAAGAGTATCGGAACTTGTTCGAAGAGCCCAATTTCGAAGACCGAATGCGAGCTTGATTGGTCAAGACGACATCGACACCTTGTTGCGCGTTGCGCTGTGCCCCCAGCACTGCGGCGTTGCGCTCGGCTGCTGCTGCGCGTTGAGCTGCGATGATCTCCTGAGGCGTTTTGCCCTGGTTCGGCTTGGCTTGATTGGCTTGCGTAGCGTCTCTGGACCCGCCAAGTCGAGGGCTTGCGAGCGGCTGCGTCTGACGCGTCTCTTGTACTGCGGCAAGCACATTGTCGGTTGGGCTGTGCGCTCTTGCGCCCACCGTGTTGGCCATCTGTTTTGGCCTGGGTCCCGAGTGAGCGTGCGTGATCTGACGAAGGACAAAGACAGGATCGTGCGCACCGACGTCGTCCGAGGCGCCCAGCAAGGCGGCTGCATCGATGCTGCGACGCTTGCCGTCCGTGGATCTGCGATTGCCGATTCCCAGCTTGAAGGAAGGCGGCGATGGGTACGCCTCCAGCACCTTGCTGGTCGGCGCCAACGCGCGCTCACCATCGGCGGCCTGCACGGCAAGGCCGTACTTGACGTGGAGCCTGCTCTTGCGTCTCGAGGGACGATCCTCGACGTCGTCACCGCCCTCGACGACGCCTTCCGCGATACCGAAGCGATCGAGACCCTCTTCGACCACCTCGGCCACCGTTGTGTTTCGTGGAAAGGTGAGGATCTTTTCGCGGAAGCGATTCTGGGACGCCGACTCCGCCAGAGCATCCGGACGACCGGCCATTCGCTGTCGAAGAGTCGCGGCAGGAATGAGCGCATTCGACTGCGGGTCAAATACGATCCCTTCCGGCAGATCCGAAGAGTAGATGATGAGCCGCAGGGCGAAGCGAGCAGTGGCGCTCTGCACTGTTTCGCTCGTCTCTCCGGTGAGCAGGGAAGAGTGGCTGCTAGGAGCGTTCTCGTCACCGACCAGGCTCAACGATGTCGGATTGCTGTTGTCCTGCGACACGGAGAGGTCGGACACGTTGGCGGACCGATTCGAGACGTCTGCCGTGTGATTGCCGCTGAGATCGACATAGCCTTGGAGTCGATCGCGTCTGCTGATGTAGAACTTGACGGCGTGGTCGTCGCTAAAGTCGTTGCCGAGTCGGGCGATGGCGGGATGCGTGCTGAGGTTCGAGTTGATGGACGAGATGGAGCCGACGCTGGATCGCTTGACGCTGGGCACAGTGACCTGGCCTTGCTGGAGTATTTCGGTGAGCGTGTTGAAGAGCTCGAGAGGGTGTTCGTCCTCGTCCAACGGTCGCTCATCACCTTCGAGGCGCTTTATGGTCAAGACGTACTGGTCCGCGTCGTGCAGATCGACGCCGAAGCGCTGCAACGCTTGACGTTGTAGATCGATCGAGCGAGTGCTATCGTTGAGCAGCACCGTCTTGAAGGTCGAGTCCGAATCGACACCGTCGCCTGCAAACACGCGAAGCACGCTGAGCATGGGCGTCGATCCCGATGGACCGATCAGCGAACCGGGACGCTGTGGCATGCGTTTCTTGTCCTCGAGACCAGCCGAATTGGGCGCATGAGACGAGTCGACGCTGCTGTTTTGTGGGGATAGGAACTGTCTGACGTACGCCTCCTGGGTGGCTCGGTCGCGCTCCTGAACTGCGCGGCCCATGCCAATGCTCTGACCGGGCTGAAGACCCGCGTTGGCGGCCTGTACGATAGGATTGAAAGAAGACACACTGGCAGCCGGGCTGCTATGGCCACGTGCATTGGCACTGACAAAGGCGTCCTCGGAGCTGATGCCCAAATTGGGTTCCTTGTCGTCAAAGTTGCCACTCTTGCGATCCTTCTTGTCTTTTCTTGAGAAGAGGCTGAAAACGCCGGAGCGTTTCTTTCCCGCCTTGTCGTCGCTCGTGTCGTAGCTGTCGTTGCCCTTGCTGGTACGACTACTCTTGCGCCTGTCCTTGTCTGACAAGGAGGAAGCGTCGGCGGCAATGATGGTTGAGTTGGCGCTGGCGTCGGAACTGGCACGCTCGCGCTGAATCTGCGATGGAAGGAAGCCGCCGCTGCTGCTGGAACTGCTGTTCCTATTCATAGCGGCCGACGTGGGAAGGCCTCCGCTGCCGGAGCTGCTTGTGCGATTCATGGCGATCGAAGTGGGTCGGCCAGTGGAGTCATAGATGACCGAGCCGTTCGAAGTGACGCTGGAGATGGAACGCTCTGCCGAAGTGGTGCGCATGTGCTCGCCCGGAACGCGACCAGGTGCCAGTGAGCCATAGTTTGGGCCGGCAGCCGAGAGCTGCTGTGAAGACGTCGAGGACCGACCGTTTGCGTACATGGGCGAATCAGCGCTGTTCTGGTTCTGAGAAACAAATTGTTGCAGCCCGGAAGCCTGCGGAGCTGGTTGCTGATATGGAGCGCCATTTCCACGTTGGGCTTGGTCGGCGGACGTTTGCGGTGGACCGGCAGGTGCCCTTGCGTACTGTTGCGCGTAAGGGTGCGACATGATCTGCTGTTGGGCCTCAGCTGCTTGCTGCTGGATGGATCTGGTTTGCTGGTCCTGTGGACCTCTGGAAAGCAAAGCGTCTTGCTGTCGCTGTTGAACGCGCTCTGCCTCCTGTGCGTCCCACTCCATGCCATCGTCGGGTTCCATCTTATTGAAGCCGATGTTCTCATGGTGACGAGCCTGAGCATCCCTGCGCTGGTCGTCGCTGTCATCGTACTCTGCTTGCTCTTGATCGTGCTCGTCTTCGTCGTCGTCGTATTCGGCATCGGGATCCTCCTCATACTCCAAGTCGTGCTCTTCGCCCTCTTCGTCGTAGTCGGAGTACTCGTCGCCGCTGTGTTCGAGATAGGTGGAAGGGCCAAAGACGACGCCTCGCTTGGTTCGCTTCTGCTGGTTACTCAGAGGTGCTGGAGCACCCTGTGCCCGGCGTGAGAGTGCGGAAAGCTTGCCCGAATGCATCGAGACACCGGCGGTGCCAGTAGCGTTTCTCGCCTTGACGAGATGGCTGGTGAAGATCCTTTCGGGGACTTGTATGTGGTCGTCGTCGGTAGCCGAGGTGAGGTCGACGTTCCTGTGCTTGTTGAGACGCGCGAGACGCTCGAAGGGAGTCTCGATGTTCTCGGCGGGGATGTAGCCGACCTCTTGGGTGCGGAGGACACGCACGAGCCACCAATAGCTGTTGCTGTCGTCGAGCAATGTGAGGCTGTTGCCCTTGTGGACGGTGGCCTGACCCTCGACGGTGGCGACAAAGTTGTGCAAGGCGTATACGAGGTCAAAGTCGATGTTTTCGTCTGGGATGGAAGGGCTAGAACTGAGGTCGGATTCATCGTCTTCGATCTCGTCGGCGTCGTCGTCGTCGTCGTCGTCGTAGACCATTTCGTCGTGTATGCCGTCGGCCATCTGGTGGTGGTGATAGTGCTGATCCTGTGCATACTCGTCGTGACCGTAAGCGTCGACACTGTCGCGCTGACTGTGGTTGGAGGCGTCTGTCATGGCGTTGGGATCTTGTTGTCGAAGCCTGGCGTGTGCTGGTGAGTGGGAATCGTCTCGTGTGGCAAGAGCGCCGGAGCTGGAGCTGCCAGCCTTGAGTCTGCTGGTTGCGGCTGCGTAAAGGTCTTGACCGTCTTCGTCGCTGCTGAAGCCGCCGTTGTCGGGCTGGTGTTCGAAGTCATCGTGAGCGTATGCTTGGTCGTGGTTGGGGTTGTAGTCAGACTGCGGCCCGAAGGTGGAGGCGTGTATTTGGTTGTTGATCTTGTTGTTGACCGCGTTCTGGTGCGAGCGTGGAGTGGTGCTCGTGCCCGAACCGCCGATGGAGCCAAGACCGGAGGAGCCGAGATTGACGTCTAGCGTCAAGGCGGGCTTGGCCTGTGCGGCGACAGACGGCGCTGCCATGTTAGCTCGCTTGCTGTGACTGTATTGGATGTGCGTTGCTAGCGGCTGCCTGAGTGGAAAGATAGGCGTGCTGTGCTGGCTAGGCGGGGGTCGACCGACGGTCGGGTTTGGCAGACGTCGAGTGCTGGACGGGCTGATTCAGATGCGGAAGCGTTGCGGTGCGATGCTGCGCGTGCTGCTCAAGAGGCTATGCGGCGAGAAACAGGCAACATGAGACGATCGTGTTGCTTCCAGAGATAGGTGAGCGAGCGGAAGCTGACACGGGGCTGGAGATGTATGGATGTCCAGAGTCGCGAGGTGCGGCGTAAACGCAGAAGGATCCGAGGTCCTTCCGACGAGCTCTAAAGACGCGTGCTTGGATGCGATAGAGGGGAATCGTGGGGCCCTCTAATACTCCTTCCTGTGTAGATCTTGAGCGTGGAAGGAACAAGGACGGATGGAGAGCCTTAGCAGGTCGGAATGACTTGTGCGATGAACGAGGTACGAAACAAGCGATTCGGCCAAGTCGAGTGGACCAGACCAGTGCAGCGGGCGTAGCGTCGGCAAAGCGTGCGTTCTGCTGTTCTGGCTGTCGGTCTGTCTGTGAGAGCGCCTCCGCCTTGACAGGCTGCAGCCGACGCCAATTGAAAAATATATGCTTCGCAACAGAAAAACACAGAGGTCTAGTGCCCAAGAGATCCAGACCGAGGTCGAAGCAGCCAGACAGCGAGCCAGCGTTGCGACTTGCAAATTCACGCGAGAACCAAAAAAAAGGAAGGCAAAATCCAGGGGCCATCGACCAAGCACCAAGATGCGACGCGCTGCCTCTCGACTTCGCGCCGACAGCTGCCAGCCAGCCTGACAGCCACTCCTGAACGTAATCGAGATTTTGTTGCCACGTTCCGAGATCCTCATCGGCGATTGAATTTTGGCTGCATCTTGCTTTGTTCTTCCTAACTCTAAGGGTCCACAGCGCTCATGCCAACAACCTCACCCATCGACCACCGTCCTGGCCGCTCCCAACGCGGCGACATGAAGCTCGCCATACAAGGTTGCAGTCACGGGGAGCTCGATGCCATCTACGCCTCCCTCCTCCGCACCGAACGCGAGCAATCCCTCCAAATCGACGCCCTCCTCCTCTGCGGTGACTTTCAGGCGATCCGCAACCACGCCGATCTGCACGCCCTCGCCGTACCTCAAAAGTACCGCCAGCTCGGCGACTTCCACTCGTACTACTCTGGCGAGAAGGTCGCTCCTATCCTCACATTAGTGATCGGCGGTAATCATGAGGCGAGCAACTACATGCACGAGCTGTACCATGGAGGCTGGTTGGCTCCCAATATTTACTTTCTGGGCGCTGCTGGTGTCGTAGAGCTCAACGGTCTGGTTGTGGCGGGGATATCGGGCATATACAAGGGAAATGATTATCGCAAAGGGAGATTTGAGATGCTGCCTTACGATGCAAGCACGATCAGGAGCTGCTATCATACCAGAGAGTTTGATGTGGTCAGGCTCAAGGCGTTGAAGGATGAGCAAGTGGATATCGTGCTGTCGCACGACTGGCCAAATACGATCGAACAGTGGGGCGATACACAGGCATTGATACGGAAGAAGCCCTTCTTCAAGGACGAGATACAGACAAAGACGTTAGGTTCGCCTCCGTTGATGGAACTCTTGCAATGCCTGAAGCCCACATTCTGGTTTTCAGCGCATCTGCACGTCAAGTTCGCTGCTCTGTTTCACCATGATCAGACAGCTTCAGCAGCAGAGCCTTCGACCGTGGTAGCTCCAAAGACGAATGCTAACCCAGAAGCCCTCGACATTGACCTGGATTCGGATGTCGACGACGACGCAGTGCCGCAGTCTCCACCAGCACCCTCCACCAGCACCAACATCACCACCAACAGCACCCTCAACAACCCGGGCGCAACCACCCGCTTCCTCGCACTGCACAAATGCCTTCCTCAAACACATTTCCTCCAAATCATCGACCATCCTTCCCCACACGACGTCCAACTCGAATCGCGCAAATCCGCCCTCAACTATACCCAGCGCATCCCGCCCACGTTGCGGTACAACAAGCGATGGCTCGCCACCACACGCGCCTACCACCCGCACTTTTCCCTGCAGTATCGTCAATCTGACCTGCCCAACCCTGGCTCCACCTCGCTTTCCGAGAGGATTCGGGAAGAAGAAGAGTGGATCGAGCAGAACTTGCTCTCTCAAGCAACGACACGTAATGGCGGGAAGCGCAAGCAGGACGAGTTGGATGGATCGAGAGCGTGCAGCCCCGACAAGGAGGGGGAGGAAGATGATGCGGGCGGGTTGGATGTGTATCGGGTACAGCGGTTCGTGCGTACTGCTCCGGCACCGTTTGAACCGGGAGGATTGAGTCAGGCGCCTCCGGCGTGGTACACGAATCCTCAGACCGAAGCGTTCTGTGGCTTTTTGGGTATCGAGAACAAGATCAATCCGAGACCGGGTTTCTTCCCACCGACCACTTCTCAGATGCACGCGCAGCAGCCGTTCCAAGCACCGTACGACGTGCTACAAGCTGCTGTCGATGGTCAAGATCTTTCAGGGCAACATGACCAGGAGGAGACGACGGATCCAAACGCACTCGCCATCGACATGGACGATCTCGATAGCGATTGTGCCGATGCCACCACACAGGCAGCTGACGACAATCACACACAACATCAGCCTGACGAGAGGCAAGCAGTGCTCACTCTATCCGACGACGACGACGAGCTGAATGCTCGATGGAAAGAAGGCACTGGCTGATTATGCGCTCTCTGACTCAATTCTTCAACACATGCTTCACAGCCGCAGTGTGTTTTGTCAAAGTGTGAGAGGTTGTTTGATTTTTTGCATTTTGCCCTTCGCGGGACGTTTCAGAGCGACTGGTAACTCTGCAACAGCGGCTCTACTTTCCTCACCAACAATCCGCTCTGACTTCTGTCGACCGTCTCCATCAGCCTGTACAGCGTTCTGACCGGATCCAACCCTTTTCCGTGTGCATCCTTGAAGCCACCTTGACCGCGTACAGCGACGTAGCTGAGTGTGGATCGGAGGTTGCGCCTCAGAGCGGCTGATCGTTGAGACTGGGAGATGTGTTTTGCACCACTCTGCGATGGAGTAGAGGAAGAGGAGATGGATCGTTGAGCGGAGGACGTTAGTAGGGAAACAAGGTTGTCCGTTCGGGTGAAGATGTTGGTGAGGAGAGGGTTGGATCTGCTCTTGGAACGGGATTGATCCAGGTGGAAGGTCTGGATGTACGCTCTCGTGACGTACGAGAGCAGCACCGGATCGATCGACGCCGTCGCCGACAGGTTGGTCGATAGCGAGGCCAGGAGACACATCCTATCGATGATGGAGAGTTGGGCTCTAGCCAGCGGCATGTCCAACTCGTGGTGTTCCGCGATCGCTTCCGCCTTTCCCTCTTCACCCTCACCCTCCCCACCCCCGATCACCCCCAACAAATCCACTTCCTGGACTGGACACCCTTCCACCTCCGCACTCTGCAGAATCTCCTCCCTGTTTCTCCTCCCCAATTTCCTAACCAATCCCTCCTGAACCACCATCAGACTCTCCATGTCGTACTCCAGCCCGAACCTGTATCTGTCCAAGAAGGCATTCAACGCTACTTCCGGAAGTCTTTTGGATGAAGCTCGAAAAGCGAGGCGCCAGCCGCTTTCCACCCCGAGGCTGCCCACACGATCGCGGTAAATCGAAGCGAGGTCGAGAAGCTCTGCGAACTCGGCGGGGGTGTCAGCGTTGGATGCGAGGAAACGCCATTTGACGAGGCTGGGGAATTGACCTCGATCGAGCATCTCCCATTCGAGCGAGGCGCGATATTCGGAGAGCGCGAGCGCAAAGTCGGCTCTCGAGATCGAAGATGCTACGGCGCTGGTCGATGAGGAGGAGGAGGCCGGGGAGGTGGACGAGACGCCGCCAAAGAGATCGTCGTCGTCGTCGTTCTGTTGTTCTTCGAAAGCGTCTTCTTCTTCGATGACGTTCTTCTTGGCCTTCTTCTTCTGCGAAACGCTGCTACTGCTGAATGCGCGCGGCGCTGAAATAGCAGGAGTCTGATAGGAGAGACCGGATCGGAAGGTTTGAGCAGACACTCGTAGCGGTGTCGACGACTGTGAAGCGACGATATTGCGCCCAGCGCAGCGCAACATTGTTCTGGCAAAGTTGTGCGACCGCATTGCGAGCTTCTCCTGGGGAATTGTTGTCTCAGATGAGTTGTGATCGCTTTCCGATATGCAGCGAGTATAAGAGGGAACTGATGTCGTGTCGCTACTGCCGGACGATGTCGGAGAATCAGGTAATGATAAGTGTCGAGAAGAAATATCATGGGAAAACGAAAGAAATGTGCTTTCGCTGCTTTTTCTTCTTGGGCCTCTGCCAGCGTCACGTGGATCTGCGAATTGGTGGCACAGCTCCACCCGATACACACGCGCCCGATCGCAGTCCGATTCGCACAACTACAACTTGGCGTTGGCTTGCCATCACAAACCACACACTGGCAGCACTGACAGCTAGTCTACCAAAAACATACCGAATCCATGATATTGAAAAGAGACAAGAAACTATGTGATGAATGATCTGGGAACATATAAAAAGAACGAAAGGCCAGAACATGGCGAGACTCATACAACGACCTCGTCGTCTTCCGACGTACCCTCTTCAGTGACCATTGCCGTTCGGCGCACCGCTGTGGTTGCTCAACGCCGCATCCGCACGATCCAGATCGGCGCTCGAGAGGAACTTTCCACCGCCCAAACCGGGAGTGCTCGCACCGCTCATGCTGCCCACCGACGTTCCACGTGCACGACCCGCCTTCATCACCAGCGGGAAGCGGTACGCCGCCTCCTCCTCGTCGTCCGATCCGTGCTGGCTCATGGTCTTCCAGAACTGCTGGTGACCGCGGTAGTCCGAGGTCGACAGGCCCTGCAGCTCCTCGGTGAGCGTACCGAACTCGCCGGGCGTCCTGGCGCCGGTGCCGAAGCGCGGCGAACCGGGCATCGAGAGCGGTGGAGGCATCTTGCCGTCGTGGTGGATGTCGTCAAAGTAGCTCTCGATGGTGTCGTCCTCGTCGAACGAGTCGGGGTAGGCACGTCGCAACGCGAGCTGTCGCGCTTTGGCGTATTCGAGACCCAGTCGCTTCCAGTCGAGCAGCTCGGACAGTCGCTCGGTGCGGTTTCGCTGGTTGATGCGTTGTCGGCGCGTCTTTTGGCTGAAGCTGAACATCTGGTCGGTGAGCTGGTTGACAGAGTCTTCGACGCTCTTCATTCGTCGATCGACAATGTAGATACCGTAGTCTTCGCCGCGCTCGATCGTGTCCTCCATGAAGCAGCCGAATCCAGACAGGTTGGTGGTGATGGATGGCACGCCCATCACGGTGCACTCGGCTGGCGTGTATCCCCACGGTTCGTAGTACGAAGGGAACACGCCCAAGTGGCAACCTCGAACAAACTCTTCGTAGTCTAGACCGAGGATCGGGTTGTTAGCGTTGAGGAATTCGGGGTGGAAGATGACCTTGACGCGGTCGCTGGTGCGGTTGAACAGCTGCACGCGGCGAATCTGGTTGAGGATCGGGTCGTTGTCGTCGTCCTGCATGTTGTGCGTCACGACAGGTGGAAGCGAGTTGCGCTTGAGAGCAAAGATGCGCTTCTTGAGCGCGATCTTATCCGCGTCCGAGAGCAGCGTCGCTGGGTCGATCACATCTGATCCGCTCTCGCCCTGGTATCGCGCCATCTTCTCGAACAGACGCTCTCCGACGCGGGCTTGGATCTGCTCGACCGTATCGCGCAGCTGCTTGGTGACCGCCTGACCTTTGAGCGCCTCGATGGTGTACGAGTTGGTGGCAGCCGGCATGATGATGAAGGCGACCACGGTAGTCTTGGATCCGCTTTTTTGCAGCTTGTAGTTGAGACGAGCGAGCGACTCGATGAACATGTCGACACCCTTGTTGCGGTACTCGTATCGACCTGCGGTGAAAAAGTAGAGCGTGTTTTCCAGGTCGAAATCGTAGTGTCCGTAGAAGTGGCCCTTGACGAACTCGTTGATTTTGGCTTTCGAGACGGCGTGAAGGTTCTGGAACTCGTGCATGGCAGAGAACTTGACCACGTTGAGACCGTTGGGGAGCACACCGTCCGGCTTGCGTTTGAGGAGATGCTCGGACTCGTAGGCGGTGATGTGGCTGACCGTGGTGAAGACGTCGGCACAGTGAGCAGCGGCACGCTCGACGCAGTATCTGTGGTAGATACCACGCTTGCCCGCCTCGTGGTCGACGTCAAAGTATTGGAGGTTGTTGTAAAAGTCGACGCTGCCGGCACATAGGTATCGGCCCAGAAGGGTGGCATGGGTGGTGAAGATGGTGGTGACGTCGATGTGACGCTTCCTGCAGAGGGGGATGGCGAGACCTGCCTGCCACTCGTGGAAATGAGCAATGATGGCACGCTTGCGCTCGCGGCTGGAGAACTCGCCGAGGAACCATGCAACAAGATAACCAAAGACAAGCGTCTCGTTTGTCTCGTGGTCGTTTGGCGGAGTGGGGATACCGGCGAGGTTCCAAAGGTCACCCTTCCACTCGTCCATGCGGTGGTACATGCTCGAGGTGTCAAAGAGGAGCACGCGTGGTGCACGCTCGATGAGCCAGCGGCCGTAGAGGAACTTGACGCCGGCATCGCGCATGCTGTCGAGCGTCTGCTTTAGGAGAGGGTCCTCGGGCTCGAGCGCCTCGACCTCCATGGGAGCCGTCTTGTACGAGAGCGGGCCGATGAGCGTGTAGCGCTCGCCATACTCCTGGTGTGTGACGGGAGCCTTGGTCTTGATGACGGTGTAGATACCGCCGACCTTGTTGGCTACCTCCCATGCTGCCTCGAAGAGGAGCGGGTTGTGGACGTCCCTCTTGGGGTTGGAAGCTGCCATGGTGTGAGAAGGTGGCTGCTACCTCGTTGTGTCCGATGTGTCAACGGTGGTGCGGATCGACTGTTCTGCCACGAGCGGGGCAGAAAACAACTTCGATGATCGTGCAAGGAAGAGCGACGATGGCGGACGACAGCCGAAGTAAGGAAGAGGCGAGGAGGATATACGAGAGATGGAGGGGTTATGGCAAGCAAGTATGATCAGTGGCGGATAGAAAGGTGGATTCGGTGCGAAGACCGAACAGCTGATGCGGTCGGGGCACAGAGAGTCTGGTGGACAAGCAGCGGATAGCCGTGCGAAGGTTGACTGAGTTACAGCTCAAGCTGTGCGGTGAGGTGACCGGGCGGCGTACTGCCCTTGTAAGCGAGAAGGCCGCATCGCAAATCCCAGCGCAATCACTCCGCTTTTTTTCTGATGACTGACGTTGACACCCTCCAAAGACAAACTTGCCCGATTTGCGAGTGTCGAATCCCGTCCTGATCAAAGGACGATAACGTCGGGCAAACGACAGTGAGACACCAGCATTCGGCTAGAGTCCGGATCCCTCGACAAGAGCGAGCTACACAGTGGCAAGCACAACGGAGCGGACGAGACTGCAGCGGACCGACCGAGACATGGAGTGTCGGCGGGCGGCGTCAGAGCGGTCAGGCGAAGAAACAAAGCGGGGCCACGGACCACCCGCCAAGTGCGAGAATTCGAGGCAAGCGAGGCGACGAAAATTGAGTGGAGAAGAAGAGCCTCGAGAGCCAGGAGCCCATCACGCCAATGAGGAAGCCCGCCCGGTGGAGAGGAAAAGCGCTCCTTTGAACGCATTTGGGGAAAACAAGTTCCGCTGAGTACACAGTAGTAGGGTCTGGATTTCGACTTGGAGACTCCGCTTGCAGAGTAAGAGAAGTCGCAGTGTGTCGACGCACCGGCAAATTCTCTCTGCGCATTTGGGCTGCAGCTGTCGCCACGGGGCCAATCAGAGCGTGGGGGAAGGTGGAAAAAATCCCGCAACAAAACTCGCTCGTGCGTCGGTCGATCTCCATCGTGCAGGTTTTGAGTTTGCTCCGTGTCTCGTGCCTCCCTCGTCCATTTTTGACCTGTACAATTCCTCCGCAACGACAGACAGTCTGTGTGGGGAGAAATGATCCCCTGCTCTCCACATCAAGCTAGTAGTACGATTGATTTCTTTCCACAAGTCGTATGTTCCATCAACGCTGGCTCTTGTGCGGCAAAGACATCAGTCATCTTACCTCCGCATTTGGCTCATTGTCGGCTGGCACGGTCGTCCGGACGAGAACAGATATCGATAGATCAAGACAGCGACATCGATAGAACAAGAATACACGATGCGGCGTCAAAGTTCGAACTCTGTGCAACGTGGTTCGAACCTCTGTCGTTGGTGGAATTTGCCGTCTTTGAACTGAATCGGGTCACCCGTTTATTGATTTGCCACGGAATTTCCAGCACGGGGGCGACGGGGAATTGTCAAACTCGCACAATGACAATCGATCGGCTTTGCTGCTTCGAAACCTTGATGATCTGTCACAGTTTGATTCTTGACAGCCGCTCAGAAGGAACGCCATCAGCTTTTGGCTAGCTGCCTTGGTCGCATACGGAGCGTCTATCGAGACCAATCAGCCGAAATGGAAATCGTCTTGCAGACGGCAGATAAAATTCCAGACTGCCTGCAGCCTGATGCAGCGATCGCCTAGAACGCGCTTCCAATCAGACGCTGCCTCTCCGCATGCCGAACGAATCGGATCGCATCGGTGCCTGTCGCTCTTCGCTTACTGTGACTCGGTGCGGTGGGCAAATGTAACGCTGCGAATTTGCGCCACACCGGCGATTTCTGATATGCCTTCGGAGCAAGATGTCAAGGGAGTCCAAGTGCAGAAGGAAGCGTTCCGTGTGTCGTGACCCGCCACGGCTCTTTGCGGTCTGCCCTCGCCGACATTGGAGCAAAGTCTAACAGCATTCCGTTACTAATTCTGGAATGTTAGAACGCATACACTACCGGGAATTCTTTTTTCGGCTCGAGAGCGCAGCGTTTGCCACAGATGTCTTAGCCGGCTAGATTCGAGACCCTGCTCGCGTCCGGCTCCACGTCGTGCCGCGGCGCTTGCCCCAAGCTAACTTGCGCAGTCCCCGCCGTTACCCCACAAAATTTAGCGCGCAGTCAGACGAGCTGTCCAGCGGCCCTGCACCGCTTATCGTGTGCTCTGGCCACTCCCCCCCCACTTTATGTCTCCATCCACACGCAAGCCTGTTTTCTTTCACACTACCATCCACTGATCAGCGATATTCGAATACTCGATCCAAAGTCGAATCTTCATCGCCATCAGCCTCGCAGCCTGCCAAAAGCGTCGTACACAGACAATCACAAACTACACGAAATCGGATCCCACCACCACGTCAGCTCTCTCATAATGCAGTCACTCCTCACTCGTCAACGAACCCTCTTTGCTGCTTCTGCCGCCTTTGTTGTGGCGTCCGTTTCCGTTCTTTCGGCGAGAAGAAGCGCTCACGTCGCTAGCAGGACTGCAGGCGGTCGCATCGTTTGCCCCGAAAGGAGCGGTGGCGGAATCTAAACGACCATAAGCGGCATAGCAGCGCTCGTCATGGTGTTGCTTTCGGAAACGTCGCAAGGCCATTCCGCAGAGCCATTCCGCGCGCTTCACAACTTTTCAATCCAAAGCATCCAGGATTCCCTAGTTCCGCTCGGCCACAACTCCTCGTTCACATTGTTGCGTCGTATCACCCTCCCCAACTCCCAGCCGGTTCCTTGCGCTCGCGTAGACAGCCTCGCACGCACTCACTCTCTCGTCATCTCTCAATTCACCAACGCATGGTTTCTCACTGTACATCACTGTCCTCGCTCCAGTCTCTGTCAAATGCAATATCATAAGATTGAATCAAATCAAGCAAAACAAAAGTCTCATCATCACACCATCGCCAGAATCGCCTCCACCGCCAACGCCGTCGTCTCCAACCCATGAAACTCCGCAATCGTCTTTAGACTCTTCAACCTCTTCAGCGTATCCTTCCTCGTGACCATCAGCCCGAAGCTGCCGCTGCAATCGCAATGGGGTTGCAAGTTGGACTGTTTGAGGGCGCCGCACTTGTTGCACCTGAGATCTTGCAGATGGAAGCTTTCCAGGTAGGCGTTTGCCATGCCAACGAGACGCATTTCGAGCGATTCCATGTTGTACGGGAACTGACACTTGCCGCACTTCCATTTCGGCTCTCCCTGCTGCGACGTGGTGGGGGGCATGAGATCGGCATCTCTGCACAGGTCGAGCGTTCGATCGTCGTTGCAGAACGTGCAGATGACGAGCGGCAGTTTGAACGGTTCGCACGGATTGCGGAATTCGGCCTCGGTGGAGAACTCGCGTACGTTGATCATGTCGAGCAGGTTCCGTTTGAGGATCATCACCTCGTTCGAGTGTTCCTTGGCGAGCGACAGCACCGCCGTGGTCGTCTTGATGAATTCCAGCAGCGGGTTCGACAGCGTCAGCCACGATCCGGGTAGCACAGGGAACGACCACACCCGTCGATGTTCCGTGGTGAGCATGTCGATGTACTCTTCGTCTTCATCGCGCGCTACAGCGGCGTTGATCTCGTCAGACGACGTCTGCATCGCTGTCTTGAGTTCCGAGAGATGCTTGAGAAGCTTGCGCGTCATCGTGTGGTTGATCAGATCCGTCGTAAACTTGGTCGCCGCTGGCAATGTCGACACCGCATCGTCTTTGCCGCCGGCAGACTTGTCCGCATCGCCATGAGGACTGACCGCGTTGGCAGGAGTATTGGGCTCCAACACAGCACGAAGCGGCGTCCGCTCGTGCTCTCCAGCTAGCGCCGCCCGACGCTTGTACTCGTACAAGCTGTAGATGAACGAACCCACCGCCACCGAAAACTTCTCCTGCGCCGCCACCGGCAAGAACGTCTGGATGTTCCAGTTCATCTCCACGTTGAACGTCGCCGCCGCCACCTCCCGTCCACCACCCTCCTGCTCCTCCGCAGGCGCAACCAACGATTCGGCATCAGCGATCACACCACCAAAGTTGGCCGTATCCATCCAGAGCAGGTACTCCCAGTAATGAATGATGTCCAATTGAACGTGCTTGAACAGCTCCCTACTCGTCACCGCCGTCAACAGGTACTTCGAGTACGCCATCGCATTCGCAGCTGTCGGCTTGCTCGTAAGCAAGAACAGCCGGTTGAACGATGCATAGACGATCGAAGCACCCAACCTCTTGAACTCGGCCAGCAACTGCAGCAGCGTCTTCTTCATCAATCCGAACAAGAATCGCTGAAGCGCCGGCTCGAAAAGCGCCGAGCTATCCGACGACGCCCACCTCCAAAAGTTGTCCGACAGGAGCGAAGCGTACGTGGTGCGGTTGCGTCGCTTCGTCGTGTACCACGTCTTGACCATTCCCTTGACAGCTGCGAACACGGCAGAGGTGAGCACAGAGTCGCCCAAGATGGTGGAGCTTTCGACGGTACCTCTGGAGTACTCGTCGAGGTTGTGCGAGGCGCCTTCGAAGGCCAATCCCGACGTGCTGCCTTCCATCTCGTTGACGCTACCAGACTGAAGCACCGAATCGACGGCCAGGTCGACCAGGCCGACTTCGAGGCAGACGGTCGAGTAGGCACCCGCATGGCTGATCTCGAGCGACTCCTGCTCGTCCCATCTCGACTGAGCATGAATGTCCTGCTCCCTGCCTCCCAGATCCGGCTGCGGATGGGGCGACCACCACAGCACCATGTCCTGCTTGACCAACCGGCGCGCGAAATCGATGTCTGCGCCAAAAATCGTAAAGTCCTTCTCCATATTGCACACCGGCAGATCAAAGTGGCTCGCGAGCTCGATCCAACCTCGAATCCAATTGGACGCTCGCAGGTAGCACTGTAGCATCCTACGTGCCGAATAGAGCTGCCAACCGAGCGCTGGCAAGTCATCCTCCAGCGCGGCTGCTGCGATCCTGATGACGGGGAACTCGGCAACACTCGGGATCCGCGATTCGTAGTACGATTGGTCCTTGGACGTGCACAGCGCCAGCATGGCCGATCCTTGCTTCACCGACTTGAGCGTAGCCAGATCCTTGGTGATCGCCTTGAAAGCACGCGCGGTCGAGGTGTGAACGCGCACATCGACCCGCATCGTGTCGCTGTACTCAAAGACTCCGCTTCCCTCTTCCAGCTTCCCACGCTTGCGCATGTGTGCGACACGATCCGCATACATGGTCTCGACGTTGGGCACCTGTCGCAACCCAGCACTGTCGACAATGTGCATCTTGATCTCGCCTTCGGGGCTGAAGAGGCTGATGACGTGACGGCCATCCCTCTGCGCATGGTATAGGTAGAAGTAGCGCATGCCTGCACCACCATACAGATACTTGTGGCTGGGAGAAATGTCGACGGAGGTCGGTGCCGAAAGATCTTGCAGGCGGAATCCAGTGTCGAGCGCTCGGCTCAGCTTCTGCGCCTGCGCGTTGCGACCGTAGACGCAGGTGGAGCCGAGCTGGATGAGCGCCCGCACGTCGAGGGGTAGCTGCTTTTCGTACACACCTTGGACGTTCGGATGGTGGATGAGGTTGCTGAAGTGAGACTCTTGCTCCTGGTACACATCTTCATCCACCGTGATGTGGTAGAGGTGTCGACAAGGCGTGTCTCGCGGAAGCGTCTTGACAAGTCTCTCGGCTTTGTAGACGCCGGGCAGGAAGACAGATTCGCTAGGCTGACTCTTGAAGTTGACGTAGAACTGACGTGGCACCTTGAGCTTGAGCGACTGGAGATGTTGATCGATCGAGATCCACATTCGGTATTCTCCTGGACGCGACGTCGGGCAGATCTGCACAACGTCCCAGACAGCAGTGGCCATGTTTGCGGATCGCTTCGAGAAGAGCGAGCCGACGGTACCTTTGGCACCAAAAGCGTCAGCGCCACCGCTAGCCCTCGCCTTTCGCTCCTTCGCTCTCTGCAACCGCTGCCTTCGCCACTTCTTCTTCATGACCGCCACCCATCCAGAGTAGTCGACGGTCATGTCTGGCGCCACCTCCTCTACTTCGGGCTCGATCTCTACGATGGTCGCGGCAGGCACCGCTGTTACCGGCTTGGTGGTGGTGCTGGCCTCGGTGGAAGTCGCCTTGGCAGCTGGACGGAAGACGTCGGTCAACTTTCTCTGCTTGAACTTGTCCTCGCGCGCAGCTACACGTTTGAAGAGCCAGTCTGGGTGACGGACCCTTGGCACGGGATTGGACACCTTCTGCATCGCCGCTGGGATGGTGATGAGCTTCTGGATCACACCGCCAAAGCGCTCGATGTAGTAGTTCCAATCGAGGATGTTGCGGATGTCAAAGTCGGTGATCGAGTTGTCACGTAAGAACTTCTTCAGGTAGTGCTGCTTGACCGAAGGCTCGGCGTTGAAGAGCGCCACAGGCACGGCGCGCTCCGTCACGGGAGCTCCGAACGGCTTTGCGCTGATGATGAACTTACAAGCGAGGCCCTTGTCTTTGATCATCTGGGCACCGAGGAACTCGGCCAGGCGCTTGGCTGTGGTGATGGCGGTCGACTTTTGGCTACCGTATTCCTGCAGCGTCTTGGACATGGACTTGTTTTCGGCAATCAAGTCGATCAGCTCCTCGTCGTGCAACGTCGATCCTTTGCTGTAGAGCACGTCGAGCCACTGGTTGGCGACTTTGGCGACGGCAGCGTAGCATTCATCGAGCGTTGTACCGAGCAAAAACTTCTCGAAAATCTGCTTTTGGAAATCCTTGATGAGCTGCAACTCTCCTCGACGCTTGACCTCGAAACCTTTCAGCTCGGCCAGCGAGCCGTCCGGGTTGAACACGGCGTATCGCTTCTTGAGCAACTTGTCTTCCTCTTTGGAAGATGGCAAGATCATCGCCTTGTAAGGTCCGTCGAGTTCGAAAAAGATCGAGTTCTCACTGCGCACCTCGTATCTGCCTGTCTGCTTGTCGACGAGCTCGTGGTACTGGTGGTTGGTGAACTTCTCGTGGACGAGGTGGTTGAGCATGGTGCAGGGATACGAGATGCCGAATTTCTTGCCGCCCTTGACCTTGAAGTTGAAGTTTTCGGGAAAGACGCCGGGCAGCATGCACCAGATACCGTCGGTGTCGAGCTCGAGCGGACGTCCGATCCGCTCGACCAGCTCCTTGGCCATCTGGATGATGGATGCACCCGTAAGACAAGTGATTCCGGCCATCTCCATCGAATACCAACGCGCACCCTTTCGCATCACATAGCCGTAGAAGGAGTTCAAGATACACTTGTGGGCGAGCTGCAGCGAGTCGTAGAGCACGATCATCTTTTTGGCTTCGATGGTGTCGTTGAGCGAGTCAGCCTTGTCGAGGTTCTTCTTCCACGTCTTGTGAAGTCCCTTGTACTCGTATCGACGATCACGGAAGTCTCGCACTGTGTTGATGTAGAAGGGATTCTCGCGTTGGCAGATGACAGCCTCGCGGATGACCGTCTTGGACTCGTGCGTCTTTCGGTACACCTTGCGTGAGTAGTCTCCGAGACGCTTGTGGAGCAATGCCGTACGTTCGTTCTGCTCGAGGTCGTCAAAGGTGCGACGGGAGAGGTGGGCTGCCTTGGGAGGGAAGGTCTCGTTGGCAAGCGCGTTGCGGATCATGTTGACTTCATCGCGTTTTGCTGGAAAGTACTCTCCTCGCCACGCCCAGTCCATGCGCTTGTCGCACTTCATGCCCGGTCTGTTGTAGTCGCAGGTGGCGCACATGGCTTCGCTGACCATGGAATCCGGCTGAAGCCGGTAGCTAAGCATGATGTTGGGATACATGGCGGCGACGTCGAGATGGTAGATGAGCGGGCAGTCCTTGCGGATGGGTTGATCGCGCATCACCTCGAGCATGGCGCGGATCTCGGCTTTGACCTCGTCGTAGTTCTCGATGTCTTCCAGAGCGAGCTTGCCCTCTTCTCGGATGCTGAATTGCAGCGCTGCATCGAGATCATCGATCAGCTGCTGGATCGCTGCAGGGTCTACGCGGAAGTCGGTCTCGATGTCGGAACGGAAGACGCCGGCTTCAAGCGCTTCGACGTGTCCGCCGACGTAGGTCTCGGACTCGAGAAGGTGGCCCTTGTAGGTGTTGCCGACGGGATCCTCGTGACGATTTGGCATGATGATATTACCCTTGTACGCTTGAACCATGAGGAGCGTCTCACACAGGGTGCCCGAGCCTTTACGCAGCACCTCGTCCGGATTGAGTGGGATGATGTTGCAAAGCGAAAAAATGAATGGGTGGACGTACTTCATGTAGAGGTAGTAGGTGGCGACGGCGTCGGATACCGAGTACTGCGCCAGCGTCTGAGGCTGTTCGATCGCGTACGGCGTCATGAGTTCTGGATCGAGCTCCATCGGGTCGTAGCCGAGCTTGGCCACGGTGACAGCCTTGAGACCCTGCGAGCCCTGCGGAAGGTACGAGTCACGCTGCACCCACCTGAAACAGTCGAGATGAGCGGCTGCGCGTGACTTGTATTCGTTGTCAGAGTCCTTTGCGAAGCCGATCTCGTTCATCATGTTGAGACCGTGGGCGCGTGCTCGTGCGTCGATGAAGGGGAAATCGAAAAGGTCACCGTTGTAGGTGGCTACAACGGTGGGAGCGGCGTCGCGGAAGTGCTCAAAGAATCGCTTGAGGAGCTCAAATTCGTCCCTTTCGTTGAAGATGATAAAGGGACCTTCGTACTCGTCTTTGGGGGTATATTCGAAGTTGTCAATGTCTTCCGAGACGATCTCGCGATTGGTGATGAGGTAACCTTGGCCGTCGATCATGTACGAGATCATCATAATCGCATCGGTCTCTGCGTCGGGGAATTTGAGCGGCTGCTTTGTGGTCTCGATGTCAAAGGCCATGACGACGGGATCGGCACGCTTGACACGGTCGTGGACCATGCTGAGGCTGACGATGCCGTCCTCGAAGCTGACGTCGTACCAGAGACCCACGCGGATGTCCTGGTCGATGGCGACGCGCAGGTAGTATGGGATGTCGTACTCTCTGATGTCGACAAGACACTCGGCAGGATCGAGGGCGCTGGCTGCGGCTCGCTTACGGCCTCCTGTCCATCCGTCTTCACCAACGAGACCGTCGGCTTGGCCGTGGGATTCCATCTCGATCTCGACGGATGCGCTCGCGGCGGCCGCGGAGGCGGCGCTAAGCACGTCGGCGTAGGTGTCGACGGCCGAAAGCTTCTTTTGAGCCGCTTTTGCGAGGGGCAAGAGCTCCTTACGAACCGAGAGGAGATCCTGAACGTTGAGAAAGGTGAGCCTGACATAGAGACGCTGGTGGCCGAGCAGATGGTTGGGTAGCTTGAGATCCTCCTTGCGTTCGCGCTGTATTGATTGGATGAGGCCCTCGAATCTGCGTCTGAGCCACTCCTCGACGGAGCTCTCTGTACCTGGTCTGCATCCGACGAGAAAATATGGTTGATAGAGGACGGTTGCCTTGAACATGCTGGCGTCGTCTTCGATGAAGTAAAAGTCGACACCGCTTTTGCCGGTAGGGTGGTCTGGGTCGCGAAGGAGGGTGGGGTGCATGTTGACGAGCCATGCTTGCCTCGTCTCACCCTGCTCAAGGCGATGGAAGCCGAGCCTTTCGTCGATCTCGTCTCGTTCCTTGACTTCTTGGAAGCGCTCCTCGACGGCAGTGCCGTCCTCGACACCCTTTACGAGCTGTGCTGCCGCATTTGCGATGGCTTTTTCGGTTGCGCTTTTGAAGGAACCGGATCTAGGTCCACCGCCTCGCTTGCGAAACGTGCCGCGCGAGCGGACGTTGGATCCGCGGCTTGTGAGGCCAAACGTGTTGGGCATTGTGTGGTTGGTGATGTAGTCCCCGCCGAGCGCGAATCGGTGGATGTGGTGGAAACGATGCTGGAGATGACGATGTTAGTCTACGAAAGCCTGGCTTGTGGGTGATAAGTACTTCTCGCTACGATCTGAGTGAATATCTAGGTGGGTATGATTGTGAAAACTGAGATGCGAATGCAAAGGTGATGCTGAAACGGGTTGCCTGGTCCTGCAGATCCTTCCTGGGCTGGGTTCGGAGGACAATAGTGACGATGCTTGATAGTGTTGCTGAAGAGAACAGAATATGCCGAGCCGGGAAGCAATAAGGGAAGGGGTGACTACAATGATGATGGGGAGAGACGAAAGCTGAGCGTGGTCGTTGTAGACAGTGATAGGTAGCGCCGTGCTGCTCTCACGCCTGGCTCAGCTCTTGGCTACACGGAATGATTCAACACCAACACCCGAAATTTTGAAACACGATGCAAGTCGGCAAAGCGCCCACGACGCGTCGCTCTGGTGTGTTGACAGAAGTGCAGATGTTCTTGCGTTTGGCGTTGAGTGGCACCGTGAACGCGTCTTTACCGCAAGAGTCACACTGTTAGATCGCATCCTTTTTGAGGGGTTTTGGAGGTTTTTGAACGGGCCACGGCCTATTTATCAATTTCAGCCGCCGACGACGAACGTTGATAGAAGATAGCCTCGCAAGGGTCCTTGCAGTTTTAGGCCATCAAGATCCGAGATGAGGTCAAGGTTCGCTCAAGCGACCGGTCTCGGGTCTCGCCAACGCCGAGAAGCAACAAGAACTTTCCAACGGCCAGATCAGGCTGCAAGCGCTTTCACGGCGAAAAATTTTCGGCAGTGAAGGAGCTCTCAAGATGGTCAATTGCCAGATGGGATTCGGAATGTGCCGAAACACAGCTGCAGCTGTTGTCAGATGACCGCACTTTTCCGAGAAAAAAGCGACGAGGAGGAAGAAGTGAGTCAAAAGCGAAGAGCAACACTCGTCATTTCCGGTTACCTTCCTTGTGATGTTCCTCTTAGCCGTTTCGTAATCGCTTTCCACAGACTCAGCTTTGCACCTATACTCGTCGGATTCCTCCGATCCACCATCAACGACGTGATCGCAGTCTCAAGCCATGTCGAGCTCAGGTGAAGCGCTCGTCCTCTGCCTCTATGCAGGAGGCACCATCGGCATGGTCCGCAAGGACGCCTCTTCGGGGTTCGCCCCCTACCCCTCCTTCCTCACTGAAACGCTGCGCAGTCAATCACGCTTCCACGATCCGCACGGCGACTCCATCTTCTCCTGGTCCGACTCGGTCGATCGATACAAGGCTTGGAGCGACGCCTTCACTCGACCAGGCTCGGGTGCCTCCACTCCTCTGCATGCGAATGGCAACGGCAACGGAGACAGCAGCTTGCTACCGAACGAGCAAGATATTGCCAAGGCAATCGCAGAGAAGCGTGTTTCGACCCTAGATGCCAACGGCACTCCTATGCCCAGCAAGAAGCGCAAGAATGAGCACGAGCCCATCGCCAATTCTGGCTCTCTGACGCCTTCGACGCAGGCTCATCTGAATCATCTGTATGCGGATACCGCTTCTCGGTCTCCCTCAGGTGCAAGTTCATCTGCAGCACCTTCCTTCGGTCATCCCGTACTGGTCCGATCTTCGGCACCAAAGGGTACCTCTACCCATCACGCCCTCTCCTCGAGCCTTTCCGCAGACGGTAATCACCTCGAGCTACAACTCCCCACACTCATCACACCCCGAGGTGGTGCCAACGGCAAGCGCGTCCGCTATGCCGTCCTCGAATACGACCCTCTCCTCGACTCCTCGGAGATGGATATCCCCGACTGGATCCGCCTCGCATCCGACATATCGCTCAATTATCAAAACTTTGATGCGTTCATCGTGCTCCACGGCACAGACACCATGGCCTACACCGCTTCAGCGCTCAGCATGCTTCTCGAAAACCTTGGCAAATCCGTCATCGTCACGGGAGCCCAGGTGCCTCTCTCCGAGCTTCGCAATGATGCGATCGAGAATGTGTTGGGAGCACTCATGTTGGCGGGATCCTACATCATTCCTGAAGTCGGACTGTACTTTGCTTCTACGCTGTACAGGGGAAACAGAACGAGCAAGGTGTCGAACAATGCGTTGGCAGCGTTCGATTCGCCCAACATGGCGCCACTGGCCAGAGTCGGGATCAACATCGACGTAGCGTGGAACCTGGTCGAGCGTTCGAGAACAGTCAAGAGCTTCCGTGCGCACGACCGCATGTCTCCCAACGTAGCTGTGCTCCGACTCTTTCCCGGATTGCCTACGAGCACCGTCAAGAACTTCCTCTCTCCGCCGCTCGAAGGTGTCATCCTCGAATCGTACGGTGCGGGAAACGCTCCGTCGCGGCAGGATCTGCTCGACGTGTTTAAGGAAGCTTCCGATCGAGGTCTGGTCATTGTCAACATCACGCAGTGCGTTCAAGGCGAGGTGTCGGCGATCTATGCTGTCGGAAAGAAGTTGGAAGCGGTTGGCGTGGTAGCGGGCGGCGATATGACGCCCGAGTGCGCTCTGGCGAAGTTGTCGTATCTGTTGGCGAAGGGGCTGGAGCCGGAAGAGATCAGAGAGTTGATGGGGAGACCGTTGAGGGGTGAACTGACGAGTAGCAGGAGCAGCCATTCCGTTGTGCCGCAAGAGTTGACGCCGGCGGGGGTGGGACCGATCAAGGCGGATGTCAAGACGTTGTTGGCGCACATCCTGCAGAATCCGCACAAGGTGCAGTCTTCGACGGGCGGGGAGGGGGTGGAGAGGGATGCGGGCACACACGGTGTCGCTTCGGCAGCAGGTTGGGATAGCTCATCCGCCGAAGTGTCTGCTGCGACACTCGCCGTCCTACCCTACCTGATCTACGAGGCGGCGTCCACCAACTCACCCACCTTGCTCTCGTGGCATCTGTTCGCCCTCTCGCAACTCGAAGCCATCCCTACGATTTCGATCGACGAAGAGCACTTCCACCCATCCACGCTACCCCCTTCCTCCACCGCCAATACGGGCGACAGCGCGTCGACCTCGCACTCCGTGGAGAAGTCCTCGACGACACCGCTGGAGAAGCTTCAGCCGCTCCACATCGCCGCTGCTAAGGGCTTCACCAAGATCGTCGAGCAGCTGCTGCAGGCAGGGTGCAGCGTTCACGCGAGGGAGAGGGCGAGTGGTCACAGCCCGTTGTATCTGGCGTGCAAGAACGGGATGATGGCGACGGTGAGGTTGTTGCGGGATGCGGGTGCGCATTTGAAGGAGGATGAGGTGAGGTTGGCCAAGGTCATGGTGGGGGAGAAGGAGGGGGAGGGGAGAGGGATCTGGGAGTTGGCGGGTATTGAGTTTGCGTAGATTCAAAAAACCATGCAGTTGTCGCTGGACGTTTGCATTCATTACAGTGATTCCTTACAAAGCACTGCCAATATCACGAACATCATCCTTCTGGTCACTTTGCGAGCCGCTACTCCTTGGCGAGCTTCAAAATGCTAGCGTTACCCACCACTGCCACGCCCTCCCTACCCTTGCCCTCATCCAACTTGAACCCTTCACCGGGGGTCACACCCAACCCCTTATTCTTCAGCTCGTCCGTACCCATTGTCGCGGCCCTCACCATGGCTTTTGCCACATACCTTACGTCAGCCTGTACGCTATCGCTTGCGATGGCCAACAGACCTACGAAAGGAGCGGAGAGTTTTTCGAGGATCCTCGTTCCTGGACGTTCGGCATTTGCTAGGTAACCGGGTTTAAAGATGATGGTGTTCGCGAAGGTGGAGGCGAGACCTTGTTCGGTGAGACCTTTGCTTTTGAGGTAAGGGAAGGGGGAGGAAGATGAAGAGCCGGAGGAGGAGCAGTAGAGGAGAGTTTGGTTGGAAGAAGGTTTGTGGAGCGCGCGTGCGGTGGAGAGGACGTATTCTCGGTCGATGAGTTCGAACGCTAACATGCTGCCCGCTGCCGCGCGCGTGGTTCCCATGGTGATGAAGATCGAGCTGGCAGTAGGTGCGGTGGTGAGTTTGGAGAGTTCGGTGGAGGAGCCAGAGTGGATGGCGTCGAAGTCCACTAGGATCTCGCTGAACGTGACGTTGGGCGAGACAGGCGGCGGCGAAGGATGCGGTCGACGCGCAAAGGATAGAACGGTCGAGTAGGGAGACTCGGGCCCAACGAGCTGCGAGAGCAGGTGCTTTCCAACCGCTCCAGATGCACCCAGACTGAGGGCATACGAAAGAAAGTAACGGTCAGCTCTTATCAGACCCGTTGAACGTGCGGGACGCTATCGCATGACTCACATGACGGCTGTGCCCTCACCACCAGCTTTGGCTGCAGCGACCGATGACATGTTGCTTGAGCGGTATCGTGTGATCGACCAAGCGAAAAAGAATGATTGCAGAGAGCAGCAACGAACGCAGTCGGGAGCTGTTGCGATAAAATGATGGTGTGTTGAGAGCACGAGCGATCCACCACCGTCAGGCTCAGCTGCAGGGTCAGTCAGCCCAACGCAACCGCGCGCCTCCCTGTCGCTTGGCCCGCGCTAAGACCATCAAAACGTGTGAAAGAAGCCGATTTCACCGCGGACCGCGGCATTTGCCCCAACCCTCTTCTCCTCACACCGCCTTACAATGGACAATCACACATACACACCACAGACTGATCAAGAAGCGTCGAATAATGACCTGTTCGATTACTGCGCTCCGCCACGCATCACGGCTCGAGAGCCCAGCACCATGCCCGGCTGACTAGCCTTATCAGCCGAGCTGTGTGCACGTGAACTCTGCTAACCCGAGATCATGGAAAAAGCGGGCCACAAGAATCGCCTAAACAATAGCACATGGAAACCACAAGAAGAAGAAAGTATACACTGTGAGACGGCAAAAGGAAGAAAAGTGAAGACCCATGGGAGACAACGGAATGTATGAATGCTGCTTGTTCTGTTTGGAAAGATTTTGATCGTGTGTCACATAGAAGAGACGGTTGTGCGTCCGCAGGCGCGTCTACTTCTTCAAAGTACCCATGACACGAGCGGGAGTAGCCATCTCGATGTGGAAGTCGTCGGCGGGGTGACGGTAGAGACCGGCCTTGAGGCGCTTCTGGTCGATGTGGTGGCCGATGAAGCCGATCGAGCGACCCAAAGTGAAGATGCCGTTGAGGAAACCGTAGCTGAGGTAGTCGCGGGCCTCCTCGATGGTGAAGGCGCCCGAGTCACGCAGCAAATCGACGAAGCAGACGGCGAGGCATCCGTCGACGTTGAGGATGAGCGTGTCCTTCTTGGCGGTGGTCACCTTCTCGACGGCGAGCGCGTAGTCGAGCATCTTGTGCGAAGGGAAGTTGCCGAGCACAAACTCCTTGACCACCTGCACACGGTAGTCGGGGTTGGAGACCGACTTGATCTTGTGGCCGATACCGGGGATGAGCTTGTTGCCCTTGCGCATGCTGTCGACAAACTCTCGTGCGGTCATGCCGCGGTCGTAAGCGTTGGAGAACTCGGTAGCGGCGTCGTCAAGGGCACCACCGAAGCGGTCACCGATGGTGAGCAGACCAGAGACGAGCGACGAGATGAGGTCCTTACCGGCACGCGAGGTGATGATGGTGTTCATGGCACCCGACACGGCCGGACCGTGGTCGGCGGTGAGCATGAGAGCCATCTCGATGAACTTGGTGCAGTAGTCGGGGAGACGACGCTTGAACCAGAGCAGGGAGATGACGCCACCGATGCCCATACCGGACTCGAAGACCTCGGAGATCTTGACACCCGAGTACATGAGCTCGGATCCACGCTCGTCCGAGATGGTCGAGATGAAAGCGGCGGGCTTTCGCACCATGCCGAGTTCCTGTGCCCACTTGTAGTCGACGGGGATCGCAGGAGCAGGGCGCTCGGGCTTGGGCTGGATGGAGCCAGAGGCGATGAGCTTGTTGTAGACCTCACGGATGACAGTGGGCAGGTCCTCGAAAGTGTCGGGAACGATAAAGCCGGCAGCCTTCATGGCGGCGTTCTTGGCCGAGGCGGTCTCCATGTCGCTGTTGGCCATGGAACCGGCGTGACCGAACTGCACCTCGGTGGTGAACATCTTGGCGCAGGTACCGATGGCCCAGGCAACGATGGGCTTCTTGATGGTGCCCTTCTTGACGGCCTCGATGACGCGGTACTCCTCGATACCACCGACCTCGCCGAGGAGGACGAGCATCTTGCACTCGGGGTCCTGCTCGTATCGGAGCAAGTGGTCGATGAAGGTGGTGCCGGGGTATCGGTCACCGCCGATGGCGATACCTTCGTAGGTACCGTTGGTGGTCATCGAGAGAATGTTGTTGAGCTCGTTCGACATACCACCAGACTTGGAGACGTAGCCGACCGAACCGGGGCGGTAGAGCTTGGACGAGAGGATGTTGTCCATCATACCACCCGAGTTGCCGATGCGGAAGCATCCAGGCTTGATACCGCCGACGGTGGCGGGGCCAATGATGAGCACACCAGCCTTCTCGGCGCGGTGAAGGATCTCACGTGCGTGACGCTCGGGAACACCCTCGGCGATCAGGGCAAGAGCACGGATCTGAGGGCAGGCGAGCACCTCGAGGGTCGACGAGTAGACGGATCGGCTCGAGGCGAAGTTGACGACGACGTCAGCGTCAGGGTGCTTGGCGACAGCCTCCTTGATGCTGGTGTAGACGGGAAGCAGGGTCTCCTTGGTACCCCAGTAGAACTTCTGGATGTGGTGACCACCGAAGGGGTAGATCATGGCAGCAACCGAAGGCGTCTTGCGGCCGCACGAGAAGTCAAAGTCGAGCATGCCCTGGATGGCACGGGGCTGCAGACCAAAGACGAGCGAGCGGGTGTTGGCGTCGAAGGGACGGTAGGCGGGGCGCTCGCCGGTGGCGGAGCCGGCGCCAAAGTGGACGATCTGGTCCTGGGGCTGGACGCGCTCACCAGTGGCGTGGTCGACAGTGCCGATGGCCTTGTCCTCGGCCTTGTTGCCGTTGGCAGCGGGGCGGTTGGGGGTGGCAGCGCCCGAGGGGAGGGCGTTCTGCTGCTGCGAGGCGAGGGTGACCTCCTCGAAGGTCTTCTTGCCAAGGGCGAGGGGGACAATGTCGGTGATGTGCGTCTCGGGACCGAACACCTGGATCTCGACACCGAGGTCCTCACCGAGCAGGCGCATAGCCTTGAGACCCTCCTGGTAGTTGGGACCACCACGACGCACAAAGATGCGCACACCGTGCTTGGCGAGGCTCAACTTGTACTCCTTGAGGGCGCGGATGATACCCTTGAAAGTGGAGGCGACGTTGGTGAAGTTGGCGATACCACCGCCGATGATGAGGAGCTTGCCCTGGGCGTTGACCTCGCCACGGGTCATGAGGTCGAGCAGCGTCTTGGCGTACTCGAAGGTCTGGCCCTCGGAGGGAGCACCCGAGTACTCACCGTAGTTGGCGAGCTCGTGGGCGTAGCCGTGAGCGGCGATGGCATCCGAGTAGACGACGGAGGCACCACCACCAGCGACCATGGTCCAGATGCGACCGGTAGGGTTAAGCACGGTGAGCTTGAGCGAGGCACCGGTACCGGCGTCGAGCTTGGCGATGTAGGCCTCCTCCTTGGTCAAGTCACGACCGAAGGGAGCGGGCCAGTACATGGGCGGGCCGCGGTCCTCGCCAGTGCTGGAAGAGGCGCCGGCAGCGGCACCCATGTAGATGGAGGGGTCACGAGCGATGGCCCACTTGGGACCGCAGATGAAGTCGGCGGTCTGGTCGAGCTTGGCAGCCATATCGAGGTAGGCGATCTGGCCGTCGTCGGTGGCGACAAGAGGGTTGATCTCGAGGTAGGCGAAGTGGAGGTCGACGTAGACCGAGTAGAGGCGGATCAAGAAATCAGTGAGGACCTCGCGCTTGGCAGGGGCGACACCACCCAGGAGGGCGCTGGTCCACTGCTCGCGCTTGGGGAAGGGAGCGGAAGGGTCGGCGGGGATGAGAAGCTTGAGAGCCTTGGCGTCGACATCACCGACGTCGACACCACCCTCGTGGGTAAAGAGGATCCAGTCACCCTCTCGCGCCGAGTTGATGCAGACGTAGAACTCGGTGTCAGCAGGGTGAGGGCAGAAGGGCTCGACGATGAAGTTGTTGAGGGTACCGGTCACGGACTCGACCTTTTGCGCCTTGCCGGCACGCTCCTGGATCCAGGTCTTGGCATCAGCCCAGTCGCAGTTGAGCTTGAGGAGGCCGGCCTTTCCTCGACGCTTGATGAGCTGGTCTGGCTTGGCGACGAGCTTGGTGTTCTGCACCCACGCTGGGAGCTGCGAGGCGTCTGTGATGGAGTTTGTGGTGGGGTCCCACGAGATCTGGGCGACCTTGGGCGCAGGAGCGACAAAGTCGGCGTTGACCTTGAGGTCGGCGTGGGCCAGAGGCGAGCGAGGCAACCAGTAGTTGACCAAGAGCTTGGCGTCGAACTCGCGGATAGCTGTGGGTACAAAGGCGTGGCAAAGAGGAGTCAAAAGGTGTCAGTGCACTGCCTGAAAGAAGCTCTGCCGCCGCAGCTCTATTGCAAAAAAAGGACTACGAAGCGCCTCTTGAGGTTCGGAGCCGTCTCGAAACGAAAAGAGCCCCCAACCTCGCCCAATAAGCGCGATCTTCAGGAGATCCACGCTTTCGCAAAGGGCACCAGAAACACCGTTTCCTTGGCCAAAAAACACTTACCTTTGGAAGACATGACAGGCGATCGAAATCAGAGGTATATGCAAAGATCGGACTTGAACGTTTTCGAGAAGCTATGACGTTTCGAGAGTGGTCGTTAGCGCGATTCGAAGGAAGGAAGCGATGTACGGCGACGAAGAGTAAAGGCTAGATACTCGAGGACGACGACGGACGCTTAGTGAGGATGATCGACGGACCAATCAGAAAGTGCAAGTGTGGGTGAAGGATGAGGGTTGAACAAGTGTTACGACAGCAGCGGAAGGGGATGAGGATGGAGATGGAGATGGAGTAGGGAGAAGAGGATGTCGAGCGCAAGATGCGAATATACCAGGCGAGAATTTCCTGCGCACAGGCACTTTGTTGCGAAAAGGGTCTGACCGTTGCCTGTTGTCACTTGACCAGACGTCAATCAGACTGAGACTGCGAGACGCCTTCTCTGAATGCCTCGAGCCAGCTTGGGATTCCGAAACACTCGAGCCAGCTTTCTAGCGTGTTCACTCGAGTTTGACAACCGAGCCTGGCCCAACAAGAACGACATGCACCAAAAAAACGCACTCGACCTGTTCCCGAAATCCAACCAGAAACACGCGAAATATTTGGACAAAGCGCAGCGCATAGCGTGTTGAACCAGAATGTGTTGGTCTACGCTGATTTTCGCTCAACGGTGAAATGCAGGGAAGATTTGCTTCGGCGCTCGTGTAGGTTGCTGCTTTCTTCTGCATCCGTAGATTTTCATAATTTTAGAGTTGATTGTGCAGTGGTGACCTGGCTACGCACCCCCGTCGGGTCCAACAACTCGTTACCAGCCCCAAGCTGGCACTTGCTGCGCCTCGAGGGATCGAAATCGTTTAGAAATTTGAATTGATTATTTCTTTTAAATATTCACACAAGCAGCTTTCAGCTTTTGGTTCTCGTTCAGAGAAGACGTAAGAAGGATTGGCCTGACGGAGGACTTCGTCGCGTGGAAGTGCTTCCAGAGCCGTCTTTTTAGCCGGTGCACTGAGCAAAAGCACAGCCGCCCGTCGTTTGATCATGTGGAACGGCGGATCGATTGGTTTCCTGGTCCCAAATTTCGTTTGCCTCCTGGACAGGCCCTTCACGGAAACCAGTTGGAACGCAGCCTCGTTACCCTGTGTCAACATTCGACGTCGACCCCTAAGAAAGCATGACCGTATGCTCCTGTGCATGCAGGGCTTCCGGTCGTAAATGTCGTGCTGACTCGAGCGTGCTGGCGAAAGTGGGCCTACAAGCCGTTGCGATACAGAGCCATTGAATAGATGCTGGCTTCGCAGCTCCCCAACGAATCAACGAATGAGAATCACCCGATCGACATCCGCTTCACGGGAGAGTCTCGGGCGACGATCTGCGCCACTTGCGTCTCGCCGGTCAAACACAATACACCGCGAGCCAAGGTGGCCTGATCTTCCCGAAATGTGACTGCCTGCTGTACTTGTTCGTGCCATGCAGGGCGATGCCGTGCCGTGATTTGATATGTTGTTGCTGCCATTCATCTGCATGACAGTGCCAACGTCCAGCGAAACTTACCCACGCCTTTTCGGACGAGTCCGTAGCGTCGCAGTGCAGCAGGTACCACTGACGCATCGCTGTTCATACACAGGAACCACACCTCTCTGCTGAAAAAAGACCATCAGAAGTACAAGTGCTTTGCATAGCATTCACAAGGCACCTCGTGTCGCAACCGGACTATCCGAAAGCGTCCGGCATATCTCAGTAAGCGAAGGTGCTACCTGACAGCCGTGCTATTCCTGAAAGACCAACCAAGCGAGCCAGCGGTGTCTATTCTCGGTGGACGCGAAATTCCCTGATCTTTTTCTCGGGTTCCTTCTCGGCAGAGGTGTCACGGACAGAGTTGGGATCTTCCTCGCAGATGCCCATTTTGGGCTGTTTTAAATAAATTTGATTTATATCTTTATTTTATCGCTTTTTGGGGGATCGTGACCACCGATTTCGGGGCTCCTACAAGCTACTACCTACAGTAAACGCTCTCTTCCACGTAGCTAGCTACGATCGTATGGAGAGAGAAGCTACGAATGTAAGATCATGATTCGTGACTCGAGGTCTCTGCCTCTCATACTGTCACAGTTCGCGCCTTCCGGGAGTCTGAATCGCGAGCTTTGGAGGCTAGAGCGGCGAGAAGATGCTCATTTTGGGGTGTTGTTGCTCGTTTAGACCCTGCAGCGCGATACGCTCCGTTTCATCTTCAAGCTCTTGGCCGCGTGTATAGCTACCAGGAATATCGATGTGCATATCGATTTAGAAATCTTCGGTCCTTTTTTTCGTTTGCGATCAACGTTTGTTACACCGTCAACTTCGTCGACGACCTCCAATTTAGGATTCGGAAGTCGGACCTGTCAAACAGCGTGTGCGTCGTCAGAAGATCATGGTGGGGAGAACAACACTTTCTAGCCTCCACTGACACCAGCTCGTCGTCACCATCACGCAGCACTCACCCCCTGCAACCTCAGTATGATGTCCTCTCGCGAAGGACCAACAGCCTCTGCTCCGCCCAAGATAACCATCACACCTCTACCCTCCTCGCTCCCATCCCCGATCCCAACCTCCACAATCACCCTTACCATCTCTGGTCATCCTACCACCGTGATTGCGCAGTCCTTCGTCGATCGAATCTTCATCACCGTCACGCAGCTTTCCAAATTTGGATGCCTATATCAAGCTTCGACCGCCCCCAACCCTTCCTCTACCCTCCTCGATTCTGATCCTTCCGCTACAGACTCAATTCTACCACCACCACTGCCGACAACGTCGATCACAAAACTCGTCGGTACAGAACCGAGTCCTTCCCACACAGCGCTTTACCAGCTGTACGTCGCACAGATCGCAAGCATCGTCACCAGCACCGCAAGCAAGCAGGATGCCAGACCCCTGGTGGTCAGTCTTGCGTTAAAACCAACTGCCAGTGCCCAGCTAGGGGTCAAAGATGCGGTCGTGCGGAATGATGATGATGATGAAGTGGACTCGTTGATGTCGAGCGAGGAAGAGAGGAAGAGGTATATGGGTGTCATGGATGCTGTGAAACAGTGTAGAGTCTGGTAAGAAGAGCAGCACAGAGCACACTTGGGGAGACGGTGAGGGCGACAGTGGTTTGCTATCATGTGACATTCGAGAGGAATCTACAGCTTCAAAAGACTGAGCGTCGAGTTCGACTGGTGCCCGTCGCAGGTGGATCTCGTCTCCTCCTCGTCGAGGTGCTCCTACCAAACCCAGCGAAATTCCCGTCGTCATCCTCCTCACCGTCATCGCTGTCATCCCCACCAACATCGTCATCCACCAGCATCGTCGTCGAGCTCCTCCCCGCCGGACCCCTCCTTTTGCGACTCGCAGAACCACCCGCACTCTCGATCTCATCATCGCTGTCTTGCACCAGCGCCGTCGCCGCCCTCTTCTTCCCTCGAGCAAGCGGTCTCTGCGATCTTCCCCCATGCCGGCGTTCCAACATCCTGGTCATGTCGGCCTCGTCTTCGGAATCCATGGAATCGAGACCGTCCAGGCCCAGATCGACGGCTGTTTCTTCGACAGATGCCGGGTCCAGAGCAACCCGCGTCCGACCTCTGCTTCGAGACGATCCGATGGTCTCGCTTTCATCCTCCGATAGGATGATCTGTCTGGCTGCGGTGCGTGATCTCGCCCCACGTGCAGCGTTGGCACTGGTCGCGGATGGACCCGACTGCTGCTCCTCCCAGTACGCTTGGCCCAGACCGTAGTCGTTGCTTTCCGGCAGCACCAGCGATATACGAGGCCTCGCGTGCGATGCAGCCGGCCCAGCTGCTGTCCCGCTCGACGCAGTCGCAGCTTTCGGGCGGAATTTTTTAAAGTTTGGAACGTCCTGACCCACTCCCCGTCGTGACGCCAGCTCCTCGTGTACCACCTTCTTCCTCAACAGAGGCACGAAATCCACTTGGACAAAGTTGCCCCTCACGTGTATCCTCAGCTCTTCCTCAGCCATCTGCTTGAATGCTTCGTAGTCCTCATCGATCGCACCTTCGTTCGAACCTTGCTGCTGCTGCTCCCGCCCCACGCGTCCGCTTCGAGGCCCGAGGAACTTGTCCATCGAACCCGATTGTGTTCCAGGCTTGGCGATCTGAAGCCGGTTGAATTCGACGTCGAAGTCGTCCATCTTTTTGCCTTTGGCGCGCTGCGTGTTGATTGCTTGCAGGAATTGAGGCTCCGAGTCGGGTTGTGCACCGTTGGAGAGGCCGCTGACGTTGTCGGCTGGGTCGGCACGGATGATGCGTGTCGGTTGTGAGTGAGGTTGGACAGCACTAGGTTGATCATCTTGATCGGCATCGGCGTCACCTGTGCGGACTCGTTTGGACGCTGGACTTCGAAGACCATCTGCATCGGCTGTGATGCCGGATGCCTCTTTCTGTTGCGCAGATTTCCTCTTGTGACCGGCGCCGTCATCGGCAGGAGCCGCGTCCCTCGCCTGACTCGCTTCTGGCGCCTGCGTCTGCGCGCGGTCTTCTTCGTCCAGATTCATCCGGTACCGTCTGCTCTTCGGCACAGACGAACCAATCGCAGCATCCGCAAGACTACCGACGGAAAAGGAGCCAGACTCTGCATCAGCATCAATAGCAGTGCTACCGTCGGGACGAAGCAACGCATCAAAAACGTCGGACCGTCGCGCGTTGGCCCGGCTTGCACCAGTGCGCCTCGTCAAACCACTACGCTCGGCTCGCGTAAGCTGAGAAGAAGAGATATGGTTAGCGTTCGGCATAGATGTGTCATCTTGGAGACGATGCTCTGCGTGGGCAAGGTCTTGCGCAACCTCTTCGACATCTTGGATAGGCTTGCGTGTGCGACGTGTGAGAGGTCTCCTGGAAGGCTCGCGTGACGTGGCGGAGGGCTCTGTGCTGGGCGCAGGTGCTTGCTCGGCTTCACGTGTCATGGTGTTGGCTGCGCTTGTTTCGTTGCGTGGTATCGCGGCCGGTGGAGGTGGCGGAGATACATTGGTGGTGAGAGGCTCGATCTCGGTCGCATCCGCGGCGGTTCCTGCTTCGGTACTAGTTTGAGCTGGCACTTCTGCGGCCGCAGGAGCAGTAGCCTCTGGCTCTTCTTGACCGTCCGTCATATTTGGAATGACATTGAGATGAGCGCGAACGTCGGCCGAAAAGATGGCATTCGTGATGGCGTGAAATCCGGTTGGCATGGCGATGCGGAGATTGGTGCACGCTACCGTACATGCATCCTTCCAGGCCTCATTGTCATGCACCGCTCCGACCAGCACCACCAAACCTTCGTCCGGCGCTTCGCTGCGCGCTTTGCTGCCACTGTTGCGCCAGTACGAGAGTGCGCTGTTCTTGTACGGCATCAGCAGCTGCGCAAAGTCTGCTTTGGTCCGCAAATTCTCTGCCTGCGGATTGTGCGTAAAGACGTGAGCGCCGGCAACAGAGAGGATGCTTTTGTAGATGGACACTTCCGAGTCTTCATTGGGAAGAGCGAACAGGACGCAGGTGGTACCTTTGAGCATGTAGGTGCGGCGTTCTTGAGGCAGCAATTTTTGCTGTAGATCCGGCACATCGCTGAGCTCTTGCTGGTCAAAGGACGGCTGGTATGCGACTAAGTCAAGCTCGTCGAACGACGTCTCGAGCGAGTCTGGGTCGTGACGAGGTAGAGCTGCGCGTCGGAAGAGCTCTTGGAAATAGTCGATGGCGACGATGGGTCGCGCTTGGAGGAGCGCACACAGCACCGATTCGGTGGGCTTGACCTGCGCGAGACAGAGGTGAGTATAGCCATCTCGCCAGCGAGATTTTGCAGACGATAGATGGATGCCAAGCTCTCCAGCGGGTTTGCGAAGCGGCGAGATGGCGGTCTCCTTGACCCTTGCTGCGAAGCAGACAGATATCGGCTTCCACACTAGCCGCAAAGAGATGGTGGTTGTGAGGGCAAAGGAGTCGCCATCTTGCAGGGCATGCTCCTGGTCAGCGGGCACCTGCACCTCTGTCGGTTCAGAGGTCGACAATCGGCGAGGTGCGCTTGGCTGCTGAGTCACGCCAAACGTCTTTCTGCTCTTGTTGGCTTCGAAGCGTATTGTGACTCGGGGACGAAGGTCAACGTCGTCGTGAACGGCCGACGGATTTGAGGTGTCTGCAGGTAGAGTAGTGACACTTTCTGCTGAAGCTACAGTGATGTGGCAGGATGTCCGCGAGACAAACTTGCTATCGATGACGATGTCGGCTGGGATCTTGCGTCCGAGGGTATATGTCTGACCGTACTTGAGGACCTTGCTGAGCTCCTGGCGGCTGTCTTCGGCAAAGCGGCCTTGAAGGAGCCACATGAGGCTCGATTCAAATTTTGGGGCTTTAGTCGGTAGAGAAGGGTGATCATTGCCGCTTCGTAGCGGTGTGTGATGGCAGTGACGAGCGAGAAGAAACTCAGCCTTGGCAAGTGCGTGTGGTGTTGTGTGTTACTTTTTCTTCTTTCCTGCAGGGTTCGGCCTGAGAAGATGTGGAGAAACAGTCTGCATCTCGTCCCGATTTAGTATGTTTGTGACCGATTCGAATAGCCGCTCGAGCCAGCGTGTGTGCGTGTGATTCGAATTTAAGAGTCGCAATTCCCACGTTGAAATTATTGGTGTGCTGCTGTGTTGTTTGCCCAGCCAATTTCGAGACTGGTGTCCCGCGCCATCAACACTCAACTCTGGCGCTTAGCTCCCACTGCGATTCCTTCCAGAACTCGTCCACGATCTATCATCTTCCCCCCTCAACCTCGTTGCTTTGTGGCCGACTGGTGTCTGTATCGCTCGATATCCTGGCATAGCGACACTCGTAGTAGCACCATCGCCACGGAGCACATCCTTCTCACCGCCCACCATGTACAACCATCACTCTCAACATCGACACGGCTCGGGCTCTCGCTCCTCCTCCTCCGCCACCGATGCACCTCAAGGCGCTCTCGGAGCGCTTGCCGACTGGGCCGCTCGCAACCTCGATCCCGAATCGCTCTCCTCACCCGTTTCGGTCTACATCGAACGCTGCTGTCACCCTTCCCTCTCCTCACCCAATCTCGCGCTCAACTTGGAGCTCGCCGACTACGTCAACACCAAGAAAGCAAACACTCCGCGAGAAGCTGCCTTCGAGACCGTCCGCAAAATCAACTCTCGCAATCCTCACGTCGGTATGCTCGGGTTAGCGCTCTTGGATATCCTCGTCAAGAACTGCGGTTACCCGTTTCACCTTCAAGTTGCGACCAAGGAGTTCCTCAACGAGATGGTCAAACGGTTTCCAGAACGACCCCCGGTCTTCCCGTCGCCGGTGCAGAGTAAGATCCTCGAGCTCATTCACGAGTGGAAGCTCACGCTGTGCGTCACCAGCAAACACCGGGAAGATCTGGTCCACATCCGCGACATGCACCGTCTCCTGACCTACAAGGGGTACAGATTCCCCAACGTCGATTCCAGAGCCGCTAGCGTTATGAATTCGGACAACAACCTCAAATCGCCAGAGGAGCTCGAAGAGGAGGATCGCGCTGCCCAGGGTGCAAAGCTGCAAGAGCTCATCCGAAGAGGTACACCCAAGGATCTGGCTCAAGCTCAAGAGTTGATGAAGATCATGTCCGGTGCCGAACCGGAGAACAAACCCGACTACCGCAAGCAAACTAGGAGAGAGTTGGACAAGGTACAGAGCAGGGCGATCCTGCTGAACGACATGCTGGACAATGCCAAGGAAGGGGAGAGATTCGTGGGCGGAGACGCGTACGACCAGATCGCGAGCCATTTGAGAAGCGTCCAGCCGAGAATTCAGAAGTGGATCGGCGACGTGGAGGAAGGCAGCGGAGGAGGCGAAGCAGCGGACAACATGGACAGGTTGTTGCTCGTCAACGATCTGATCAACCAGGTGATCGAGAGGTACAAGCAGTTTACCAAGGGCAACTTTGATGCGAAGGTGACGATCGATCCGAGCATCGATCCTAGCAAGGGAGGCGCTGATGCGGTGCCGACCGCCAAGATCAGCGATCTGATCAGTTTCGATGATGACGACGGCAAGACGAACACGCAGAAGACAGAAGGTGGGAGCATCATGGACGATTTTGCTTCGTTGACGTTCGATGACGCTCCGGGCGCGAAAGCTGCGTCGTCGTCGTCAGCGGCGGCGCCGACAACTGGGCTCGGTGGGCTGCCGGCGGATCTGTTCAGCAACGACAGCGGGTCATCCACCCCGCGATCCGCCAATGCTGCCACAGCCAACCCAGCGTCGGGGCTGGGCAACTGGGGTGCATTGCAGTTGCCGACGACGGCGACGTCGACTTCCACCTCTCCGCGCATCCCACCAGCCGCTCCTGCTGCTGCTCAGCAAACCAACCAAGGCCTGCTCGATATGCCCGCCCTGACGCCTTCCTCCAACACCGCGTCCCGCTCGACCAACGGCTCAGCTCAGCAAAAGCAGCAGCAGCAGCAGCAACAGAAACCAAAGTCCAACGATCCATTCGCTGATCTCGACGCCATGTTCAAGTAGTCGGCACTCTTGCGGTTCGTGCTTTCAACGAAATGCCAATCTCAAGTTGTGATCGCTTGGCAGTTTCAAAAAGTCGAATGATGAGCACACGCCTGTGGATGTGGCTGTGTCAGATTGTAAGGAAGCTGTGCTGAGAGACTAGTCGAATACAATGGCGGAATCGGCGTTGGCTCCGTCCTGCTGAAGCTTTTGCTTCTTGTCCGGGGTGACGGCAGAGCTTGATTGTAGAGTCGTCTGATCCGGAGAGCCTTCTTCGTCGGGACGAGATCGCTTTGTACCCGCCACTGTCTTGCTGGCTACTGACGCTGCAGCAGTCGCTTTGGCAGGTACATCTGCCTCAGCCACCTCTGCAACGATATCGTCGTCGTCGCTATCGTCCTCATCCGCTTTTGACTCGACATACCTCGGCTGCGGCTTCTTGACATCCTTCGCTGCAATCTTGATCTTCTCCCCGCTCTCCGTCCCGCCAACGGAAATGACAACATTGACCGCCTGCAACCTCTGATCCTCATCCGTAATGGTCAGGATCGAACCTTGCTGCAAACCCATCTCGGTCAAACTCTTCTCCAGGTTATCCTCGAAATCGGGATCAGCCAAGATCCTCGCTCCGTCGTACACCACCAAATCCTCCTCGTCCATTCCCAAAGCCTCCTTCGCCACTCTGTCCACAACATCTGCCAACGTCACCTCCGTCAAACTGCTGACCTCGATCGGAATATACACATCCTGACAAACACCGCATTTCGGATTAGGCTGAGCAGGAGGAAACCCGGAAATGTATCGGTCCGATCCGCGCGTCAGCGTGATGAAGCGCGTCTTGTCCCACTTGCCGCTCAAAATGTGCAGGGCTTGGAGGACGAGCATGCCGGCGATGATGGCGTTGGTCGAGGCGATGGCGGGGATGATGTTGCCCGCCATCTGCTTGACCTGGAAGCGCGTCTTGCGGTCGATGTGGTAGACGATCGAGCGCAAGTTGGAAGTGCAAGTGACGAAATCGAGCGCGTCGTCGTCGTCCTTGTCGAACGAGAGCGGATTGGAGAGGTCCGCTGCCGCGCGAACCGCAAGTGCGGATGTGCTCGAGAGGAAGAGTTCCACATTGTCCTGCAAGCTGAGCGTGCGTTGGTCCTTGAGCGTAGAGGCGTTTTGCGGAGGCTGAGACTTTGTTGCTGCGTCGGCTGAAGGACCCGCATCAGCTTGGATGGCGGGAGCGCCTTCTGGCTGCGCATTCTCGCTTCCTGCCGCAGAGACACCGTTGACAGCATCCTGAAAGACGAGCGGAACGGGCTTGACGGGGCGATGGGTCCACATCTCTTCCATGCCGAGCAGACGCTCGATATCGTTCTTGTACACCTTGTTGAAGATTCTCTCTACAACACTGCGAACACGCTGCTGATCACCTTGCTTGGCTGCCTCGACCAAGGCGGCTCGAATGTCGCGCATCTCGCGGGCCTCTTTACGCAGGCTGTCGATCTCCTGTGCATCTTCACCATCCGCCACCGCCTTGTCGAGTTCGTCTTCCTCGGTTTCATCATCAGCGCCGAACAGCTGCGTGAAGAGCCAGCTTTTGGCCCACACGATGCAGTGGATCGGTGTTGAAGGTGTGGAGCGGATCGTGCATACGGGAAAAGTCTTGGGTGTTTCTTTAGGCTGGCAATCGTAGCATTCGGTAAGACCGGGCCTGATCGGCTGCACCTGCCCTCGGAAGCCTGTGGTACCGCTTTCAAGGAGCGGAACTCCAGAAGCAACGCACATCTTGTTGACCCATCGTCTCGCATCAAGATTGTCGAGCGCGTTCAGGACGAGGTCGAAGCCCTGGAAGTATGAAACACCGAAACGAGGCTCCTTGATGTTGGCATGATGGGCGACGATGTTTACAAGCGGGTTGAAGGAGGATGCAGTCTGCTTCGCCACGATCGACTTGGGCTTCTTGATGTGCTGCTTTTGAAAGAGAAACTGACGGTTGAGGTTGGAGAGGTCGATAGTGTCGAGGTCGATGATCTCGATGTTGCCAAAGCCGGTGAGCACGAGATTTTTGAGGAGTTCGCAGCCGATCCCTCCGGCGCCAACGACGAGGATCTTGGCTGTGTTTGTTTGAAGAAACGCTTCCTTGCCTAGGATGGCCTCGGCCAGAGCGTAGCGTGCGGGTTGAGCAGCGGTGCCGTTCTGTGTGGAGGATGAGGCTATTGACGCCATGGTGTACGGCCGCGCTTGTGTGGTGAGCGGGAAAGACGGATGAGAGCCTTCGGGAGATTGAGATCGAAGCGGTCGAAGGATGCGGCAGATCAGATGGTGGTATGAAGGGGAGAAGATGCTATGTGTGTTGGTGACGGGAAAGGCCAGTGCGGGAAGACCTCTCAAGAAGAAAGCGATTTTCAGAGTAGAGCTGAGTCTCTTTCAATGATTCTGCTAGGGTTGTTGCAATAGCTCAATTGCAACCGTGATTCTGATACGATGCGTAAATTGAAACAGACTGCCTTGCTCAGCGTCGTGTTTCGAAGTTCGCGCGTGCGCCAGTCAAAGTGGAGGATGAAGAGCAACACACAAAGCTTTCTTGCTATTCATTTGGTAGCATCCGCACTCAGTTACCAAACGTGATGGTACGAAGAAAATCTCATCACAGACTGACAGACTCCGTCCGCTCTGAGCAGGAGCGATCCCTTTGGAATCATGCAATTCGATGAGCTCTGCGACAAGTGGGGGAATCTAAGCCATTTCGACGTCTTCCGTCTTGGAAGCCGTTTGAGCGGGTTGCGCTTCGCTTGTGACAGCCACGGTTGCATCAGGTTTGGACGAAGAAGGCGAGTTCATGAAGGCTTCGAGTTCGGCGTCCAAGTCGGCTGCAGTAACGGGTTTGCGCTTCTCGCGCCTGGGTGGCGCATTCCGCGTTCGTCCCGCCTGTTGTCCTGCCGTGGTAGCATTCGTCTCGCGTCGTCCGCCGTTGCGACCGCCATTGCGGACCGGACCAAGGCGATCGGCAAAGCGACTCCCTGCACCTGCTGCTTCTGCTTCTCCATCGTCGTTCATTCTCGACGACAGGCCGAAGCGGGACAAGAGTGAGCGTTGCGGATCCTGAACACCTTTTGATCGTTCCGCGCGCATCTCCTGGGTGATGCTGATGACTTGGCCTTTAGCTTTTGCGCCGTCGAACTCGTTCTTGGCCTGCAAGGCATGGTTCGGGTTCTCATAGATGACAACAGCCTTTCCGGTAGATCGATCGCTACGATCATACTACAGAGGAGATGAACAAACGAGTCGGATCAGCTACTGTTGCACGACAAGGTTTCCGCAAGGCCAAGGAGTCCTACTTACTCTGATGTAGGCTTTGGTGACGGGACCGATAGAGCCAAAGAGATCCTTCAGGTCACGCTCGGTAACCTCGTAGTGCAGGTTTTCGATGGTGAGCTTGCCGGTGGGGTTGACTTCGTTCACTTCCGATTTGTCCTGCGGGAAAAACATGGGTGCACGAGAAGAGCCGTTGCGGGGTCCACGACGCGAGCCAGCATCTTGCTGGTATCGATCGTGCTTCCATGCTCCATCGCTGTCCGCTGCGGAAGACCGGTGCGAGCGCTGCAGAGCAGGATAGTGTGATTAGGTGCAATCAGGCGCGTTGGTGAGGGTCAGTGATCGTAGCTCGCGTACGCGTGATGCATCGCGAAGGACAGCGTGAGACGCGTGATGGTGGAACGCACATTGTAGGGGGAGTTGCGGCTAGAAGCGCCCGAAGTTCGCAAGCCCCGGATGGAGTCGGACAGAGGCTGGTGGAGTCTATCCATTCTGACGATGAGTATGGGCGATCGTTGGTGGTTGCGAGCAGACGTTCGAGAGCGGTCCGAAAGCACAAGACTCGAAGCGACCTGTTGGAGATTGTGGACCCTGCTTCTGATCGAAGATGCACCCGATGGACCGAAACACCAAGGTTCAAGATGTTATGTCGGCATCAGCTCACTCCTCCTCGGAGCGAAAATCCGTCAATCTCGCCAAACTGCCACGCGAGCAACATCGACTTTTGAGACCTGGACTGGCCACACCGAAGCGCTAATTCGGCCCCAGCGCCATCGCCTTCGTTGGTTCGCGGACTCGGACTGGAGACGTGTCGCGTGATGTTAGGTCACGACCTTTGCAAACCGTAGGCACAGCCGACGTGGATGAGAGGATTGCATCCAAGCGGGGTCAGAGCGGAACTAGAACGACGGGGCAAGACGATCAAAGCGAGCGGACATGCGAGGAGCGGTGGGTCTCGATTCCTGGCTCTTTTCGGCACGGCCGCTAGGAACGGCACAAAGTCTCGATTTTATGCATTTGAACCATCGCCTCGAGGTGAAAAAGGGCAATTTGAAATGCATCGAGGAAGGACGCTGCAGGAGAAGAGTGGATTCAAATTTTTCGACGCGAGAGCAGAGACGGAGAAAGTCGTCGATGACGAACCTCAAGAAGAAAAAGAACACAAACTGGCTCTTGGGCTGCTTTTCTCTTTTTTACAGTAGACGACCGGTACAGAAGTCACACACACACACACACACACACACACGAACACGCAAAAGTCGTCTCGGCTCTCTTGGTTCGGCACACCTCAGTTTGCTCTTCCTTCCTCATTTCTTGCTTCCCGTCACCATCCATTCGAACAAAACGCATCTCGCCTTCATCGAAAGCAGACTTCTACCTACCATCCAAAGCTCGCATCAAAGCTTTCTGCAAATCTCTCCAACCACAAACGCCCACAGCCGGCTCCCCACCAATCTACTCCTGTCGTCATCAGGAGCTAGCAACCCTGTTGAACCTCATCCGATCCTCTTTCTTCCATGCCGTCAGACGATTCAGACGATAGTAGTGGTAATAATAGATCCTATATACACTTTTCGTCACCATTCACCTCTAGTCCTCAACGCACCTCTCCGCTGCTGACATCCTCTCCAGCAACCCAAACGATCCTCGTTCCCCTTCCCAAGGCTCCCGACCCGCCCCCTCCTCGCTCTCGCTGTTCACAGATTCAACATCACCTACGCCTCCCTTACTCCAGCGCCATTAACCTCCTCACCTCCGCCCCACTCTACCTTCACCACCAGCCGAGATGACACCCGCCATCGACCTCGAAGCTACTGCTAACCGTCTCGACTCTTACACTCCAGCTGCTTTCCACATGGAGCACCACCACCACCACAAAGACACCGCCGACCTCCTCATGGAGGCCAAGGAAGCTCAGCGCATCAAGACGCTCGAGATCATGGATGCTCGTGCAGAGCTCCTTCGCGCCAAGCTCAGCGATGACGCTTCCAGCGTCACCACCGCCGTCGACTCCAACAGCGGCAGCCCCGAAAAGGTCGTCGACGACTTCCACGACCCTTGCGGTCCCTTTGAAGGACCCGAGAAGCTTCTCGAGCTCTGGTTTGCCGAGGAGCCCTCGGATGTCAGCGCCTGTCGATGGTCCGACCCTGACGCTCGACCCGACCACTTTGGCCTTCGTTCCGTGCCCAAGGCCGTTTGGGAGACTATGCTCGACATTGTCAAGTGCAAAGTCCTCAGTGTCATCCAAGGCTCTCACGTCGACGCCTATCTTCTCAGCGAGTCCTCCATGTTTGTCTTCCCGCACAAGCTCATCCTCAAGACCTGTGGTACTACCACCCTCTTGCTCGGCCTCGAGAAGCTTCTGACCATTGCTGCAAAGGCGCTCGCCGGTCTCAACACCGCCGCCACTTTTGCCAAGCTCTCGACCCCCGAATCCGAAGACGCGGACGACAACGACGAGGCCTCCACCGCCATGTCCGACTCGAGCTTCATTCAGGAACGTCAGCTCGGCAGCATCGTGAAGCACGCCTTCTACAGCCGAAAGAGCTTCATGTTCCCCGAGCGTCAGAAGGGTCCTCACCGCGACTGGATGCTCGAGGTTGCCGTCCTTGACCGCTTCTTCGATCACGGCTCGGCTTACACCGTCGGCAAGATGAACGGCGACCATTGGCTCCTTTGGATGGGTTGCGAGGGCGCACGTGAAGCCGAGGTTTCGAGTGTCGTCGAGCGACCTCTGACCTTGCCTGCACCCTGCGTCGAGGACCAGACGCTCGAGATCCTCATGACCCACCTCTCCTCTGCCTCGTGCGCCCGCTTCGTCTTCGACGAAGAGCTTCCGCACCCCACCGTCGCAGAGTGCTTCCCACGCAAGCAGCTCACCGCTGCCGAGGCTTCGGCTCCCGCGTCGTCGCTCGACAAGGGTCACGCTCTCGGTCTCGCTCTGTCGAACAAACTCGGCCTCACCGAACTCTTCCCGGACACGGAAATCGACGCATTCGCTTTCGAGCCCTGTGGTTACTCTGCCAACGCCGTCATGCCTCGCGGCGGCAAAAACGACAATGCAGGCTACTGGACCATCCACGTCACGCCCGAAGAGGACTCGTCCTACGCTTCGTTCGAGACGAACGTGGCTCTGTGCTCCAACAGCCCTGCTGCCGACGCTCTGGACGAGACTACGCTGCAGCTGCCCACCAACCTGCCTTCGTTGGTGAGGCGTGTCGTCGACATTTTCGAGCCGGGCAAGATGTCCGTCACGCTGTTCGTCTCTACTTCCGAGCAGGAGGAGGAGCAGGTGGGAAGCGACAAGGCGGTCCTGACCAACGAGGACATCCTACACGCTCTCTCCATCAAAGGCTACAAGAGGACCGACAGGATCGCTTACGAATTTGAGAGGTACAACCTCGTCTTTGTTTCGTTTGAGAAGAGACGTTCCCGCTGATCTACCGTCTGCGGCCATTCCAACGATCTAGAGCGTCGATAGTGCGACCTTTTTCCCCTTTTCCGGACTCGAGCCGCTTCGCTTCACCGTTTTTGTTCCGGCCGTTTCTTCTTCTTTCGACCCAACACTGTCACGCTTTGCTTGTTCCATGTTCGCTTCTTTATGTTATTTTCATATGCCTCATATCTACTCGCCTACCTGCGTGTGCTGTTACAAAAGACGATTGTGAACGAGAATGCCGGCAAACTCATCCAGCCCGACACTGGCGCCGGTGATTCCCTGTGCGGCAGCAGCGCCCTTGATCGCCGCATTGGACTTTGCCTCTCCACCATCCTCCGTTGCGGGGGCGAAGAGTTTGGCACCCTCTTCGATCATCTCCTCGATCTCCTTTGGTGGGAGTTTGTCTCCTAAGGATGAGAGGATTGTGGTGAGTTCCGTGGTTCCGATTCTGCGTTGTGCGAGGGGAAGGGTAGAGGAGGATGAGGAAGAGGAAGAGGGGGTGAGACGATCGAGGAGAAGTTGGAAGAGGGTGGATGCGGTGTCGCGTTGAAGCGGGTTGAGATGGGTGGTGGAGCGGATGGTGGGGGCGTTGCGGGAACGACGTTGACGTTTGGGAGTGTGTTCTGAGTCAGAGTCGATGGGGGAGGGTGGAGTTGCGGGGTTACGACGACGTCGACGCCTGGAATCGTGGATGGACGCTTCATCCTCGCTCGTCAGATCCGAGCCTGTATCCAAGGCTTTGTTTCCACGTCGCCGAGAAGACACCTCGAAATCTTCCTCTGAATCATCCCCGTCATCGACGATGAAACCTCCGCCTCCATCGGCATCCTCCTGCGCGATCTCTGCCGCTTTCCTTCGCCCTCGAACGGCAGCCCTCCGACTAGGTCTTCGACGACCACCGCTCTCTTCCTCCTCCTCATCCTCTTGGCTTCGTTTCGCATTGCGGCTCTGGAGCTCGTCGAGCAGTACTAATGCGACTTGCTGAAACTCTTGCCTGCCAACCACCTTTTCAGGTTTGGCGCCTGGTGCGAGTCTTCGACGGGATGCAGAGGAGGGCGTGTAGGCTGTCTCGGCGAAGAGGGAAAGCACGGACGGATCGCTGGAATCGAGACCGAGGTTCGAAAGCGCCTCGGGTATAGCACTGAGTGGGATCGTTGCAGGTCTCGTGATGGATGGGGACGACGTCGATGCTTCGTCTCGATCTTGGTCTTCCGGCATGAAACCAGCTCCGTGAGCTACTTCGTCGTCGTCCTCGTCGTCGACGATGAACCCTCCACCGCCATCGTCATCGTCATCCACAACGAAGCCGCCGCCTCCTCCAGTGTCGTTGGTTTCTGCAATGAAGCCTCCCGCCGTGCCGTTGGCGCTTGAGCTCCTGCCAGCCTGGCCTCTGGACGCACCTGCTGTCAGTGATGGTCGAGAGTACGGGTTCGGTAGCGTGCTCGGATCGTCGCCTGCTTCGATGCGGCTCGTCCGATAGGCGTCGTCGAAAGATGCATCTATGTCATCCATATTGGTGTCGGCTGAAGGTAGGTGATTGTAGATGGTGAGGTGACTTAAGGTAGAAAGGTCGGGAAGAAGGCTGAGTCGTGCAGCTGTAACGCAACAGTGCCAAGTGGAGGTGCTAAAATATGATCAGCTGTTACGTCGAAGCCGGCTCCTTCACTTGAAAGATTTCCGCACGAGTTGGAGTGAGCTGAGAAGACACAACGAAAAAGTCGCACAAAAGTGTTGCTTCCTTTCTGACTCCTCTATCGACACTCTCGCATCAACACATCCCTCTGCAGACCAAGGTCGCTGCCATCGCCAGCCATGACAGCTACAAAGCCGGCCGCATTGGGCGGCCCCGCCGTCTCGGCTCCCAGACTCACCCATCAAGCCCCCTTCGAAACCATCATCAAGGACAAACCCTCCCAAAAACTCATCATCAGCCTCTCCCTCCGTCTTCGGCGAGGTCAGATTTCCGGCCCGGAAGCTGTCTCCGAAGCGACCGCAAAGGCTCTTCGCAGCGTCGTCTCCTCGGCCAAATACAACTCGATGCAGGAGCTCATCGACATCATCAAAGCTGCAGGAAGGCACCTGCAGCTCTCGCAGCCGGCGGAGCAGTCGATCGGCAACATCACGAGGAGGATTGTTCATTTGCTGAGGGAGGAGGCGAAGGCTGCGCTATTGGAAGCACACGAGAAGGAGATGGAGAGTGGAAGAAGGACTGGCGGCTCGGGGAGCGGCCTGGGAAGTTTGAGCAACTCGATCTCTGATTTGCAGCTTGTGAACGCTTTCAGTGGCGCGACTGGTGGTGCTGGTAGTGGTCCAGCGGGAAGTGCGATCCCGGCTCATGTGGCTCCGACGAGTGCGTCAAACTCGGCTTCGAGCTCGTCAAATTCCGTCCCTCAGATCCACAACAATCACGGTCACAGGAGTACCTCGCACTCGCAATTCCCTTCGGGCTCCTCCTCCACCGGCGCAGCTCACTCACCCCTCACTCGTCCAGGACCACATCCGCTACGAGGCGCATCGGAATCATCTCACCTCAGTGGTTCATCAGCGTTCGTCCACGGCAACTTCTCGATCTCGGATCTCGTGGCTGCCGGTGCGATGGCCACCGCCGCTACATCCACCGGTTCCAGCCTGACACACACACCCGCAGACGGAAGCTATGCATCGACCCCTCACGCCTCGCTCTCGCGCAAAGGCTCAGGTGTGTTCGACTCGAGCTTTGCGCAGCTCTCGCAGCACATGTCCGGTGTTTCACTTACCGAGGATGCGGCGGGGGAGGCGGAGGCCGAGCAAGCGATGCACAGCGTTGGAGGGGACACCACTCGGGCAGACGACGAATCCTCCAACTCTGACGACTCTGAACCGGCTACCGATGATGAGCAAGATGACGAGTTGTCCGCGCAGGATGCCACCTCGCTGATCACCGGTAAGAAGTCCGCCGGCGCCTACTTCCTCAAACCCCTCCTGATCCAAGCCATCCAAGATCTCATCGACGAACTCGAAACCGTCGACGACAACATCTCCAAAGTCTCCCGAGATCACATCCACTCCGGCGAAGTCATCCTCACACTCGGATCCTCCGCCACCGTTGAAAACTTCTTCTCCGCTGCAGCCAAAGATCGGAAATTCACCGTCATCGTACCGGAGACCGCACCGTCGTACTCGGGTCACTCGCTCGCACGATCCCTCACTGCATCCGGTATCTCGGTGCTGCTCATCCCTGACAGCTCCATCTTCGCTGTTATGCCTCGTGTTTCCAAAGTCGTTCTCGGAGCCCACGCTGTACTCGCCAACGGTGGATTGATCGCCTCTTCCGGTGCCTACGCTACCTCTCTCGCAGCTCAACAACACTCTACACCCGTAATGATCTTGACAGGAGTATACAAGATCTGCCCCGAATGGTCGGGCATTCAAAACTTTTCTTCGGCTACCAGCGCAGGTGCCCTAGGCCCAGCTGCACTGCTCGACTACGCAACCAGCAGCAGCATCGTCGAACGCGTAGAAGTCGTCAGCAACGCCTTCGATTACGTACCCCCTCATCTGGTGGATGTCTTCATCACGAATGTTGGTGAACATCCCCCGAGCTATGTTTACCGCTTGGTGAAGGAGAATTATCACCAGGACGATATCGTGCTTTAGAGGCAAAAGGGAGGGAATCACGGCCAGGCGGTGGAGCCAAGCACAAGCTTATCATCAGGACCGATACCTTGCCGCACAACACACCGCAGTTCGTACGTTTTTGTTAGCGAAAGACAACGATGTTTGTATTTATACCGACAAATGCAAGACGAGTAGCGACAGTGATAGAAGGATCCGCGACCCTTTCGATCGGCGTGTGAAATGATGCAGAGCTCGGGCTAAAACGTTTCCCTAGCGCCCGTTTGTGGCGATACAGAGCCGCTTCTTGTCGGGATTGGAGGTCGTGGTGGGCGCATCGAGTCGGCCACAGAAGTAGCGGGGACCGAGGGCGCTGGGAAGGCTGTTGTGGTGACATCCTCGGTTGCGGTCATCTTGGCATCGGCCATTGGTGACGTTTGCATGTTTGCGTCAAGACCGTCAGCCGCGTTTTCGCTTCTCGGGCTCAGCAGTGCTTCCTCTCTCAACTGACCGCTCGACTTCCTTTCCAGCGATTCCGGGACGGTTAGTGCCGCTGGCGACGAGTCCCGAGCGCTTTGAGGTGCATCCAATCTTGTATCAGCACGTTTGGAGGCTTCCATCGAGTCAGCCGCTGTCTCCGCCGCTGCAATGGAGGCAGGTGCAGGCTCGATCGAGTCCCTCCATCTCGACGCACCGTCAACTGCTGTCCGAGCCCGCTCGCCGGCCGAAACCTCCGACAATCCCGACTTCCTATACGGCAACGGCACCGCCGGAGCACGCGGGGAAGGACTTCTCGAACCCCTCTGCGGTGGGAAAGTCACGCTCAACCTGCTCGCATCCACCTGCAACCCCTCCGCCTCTTTTTCGGTATCACCTCCGTGCGAACCGGACGGAATCTTCTCGTGCTCCAAGAACGAGTCCGACACAGCCTCGGCTTCCAGCATATCCACCAGTGCGCTGCTATGAAGTCCCAACGGCATCGCGACCTCGTCTAGCTCGTGCAGATCCTGCGGCCGACTCAGGATGTATTCCGAGTTGGTCGCCGCTTCGTTACCCGGTGTCGCAGCCAGGATCCTCTGCAGATCCGAGTAGAATTCCAGCCTGGGCAGACCCGCTCGTTTCCAGCCACCGAGACGCGAGCCGAATGCACCGCCTGCTCCACCGCCCATCTCTGCTGCGTCACCATGGATGTGAGCGGGGGACAGCTCGATCGGATAGGCCCGCAATGAGTGGTCGCGGTAGATGTGGTCCGGATGAAGCTTCTCGTGCACTGCCAGAAGTAGCCGGATGAGCGCAGCTCGATTGCTCTGAAACTCGAAGAGCAGCAACACCTCGTCCAGCTTGCGTTCCAGTACGTCCCAGACATCGGATGCGTCGGGGGTCGGGACAGAAGCTCGCCATTTCGCGCGGACTCGCTCGGCTCGCTGACGGTACCGGAACGAGCTGCCTCCGCTCATATGCGGTATCTCGACAGCCGGAGAAGCAGGTCTCGCTGGAACGCTTGGATCGGCTCCAAAGTCTGTTTGAGCTGTCAGCAAGCCCAATGCGGCCAGATCTTCTCGTCGAGCTGTCTCCATCAGCTGGTCGAGCGACGTCACGCCAAGCCATAGTCTCCACAGATGCATTCGTTGCCGATCGACCTTGCACGCGCGGAGCACGCGCAACACACGGGCAAAGTTGATCTCGACCAGCGCTTCTCGTGTGAGTTCGTGGCCCTCGGCAGGGCTCTGGGCGAACGGTTCCAACAACCGTGACGAGCTGGTGCCCTTCATCGTACCGTCCTGCCGGACAAGGCCTTCGGCGCTTTCAGACGCTGGCATGAGCCCGTCAAACCGCAGGCTCTTGGATGCGCCTGCGAAGCTCGAGGGAATGGGAGGATGAGCGTTCGCACCATGGCTGTTTGGCGTCGCTCCACCCTTGCGATGGACAGCGGCCAGTTGGCGCTGCTGGAACTTGCGCTCAAGCGTCCTCAACGTCGTTGCAGCGAATGCCATGTCCTCGTCCTGCAATCTGTGCTTGACGAAATGCCAGCTGATGAAAGGATTGCGTGCGTCGACCTTGTTGATCTTGAGCATCGCCCATTTGTACGAAGTCTGACCGGCGCTGAGTCCGGTAGGTGCTCGAGACATCTTTGCCTCCCGATCCATTGCGATAATGCTAGGCAGTAGGCTCTTGAGCTCACGGATCGTGCCAGTGAATTCTCTGGCATGCTTACGTGCCTTGCGTCTGATTCGTGGGTCTTTACTTCTGGCAGGGTGCGAGCCGTTGGCCATGTGACCCGGAAGTCGACGCGGTAGGAACGCCGACGGACGACCATTGGCAGGCGTGTACAGCATCGGATCGTCTTCACTGGAGGAAGAGTCGGACTCATCCGAATCGGCCAGCGAGCTCTCGCCTTGGGGCTCCTCGTCGGACTGTCCAAGTTTGACGCCACTCTTGACGAGTGGTTGCGACGATCTGTCCGCAGCGTCAGGTGCGGTCAGCTCTTGACCCGGCGAAGCAGCTGTTCCGGGAGTGGCCAGCGCTTCGCTGGGTTTGGCGGGGCCGGTCAGAGGCCTGCGACGGCGAAGGCGGATCCATCGTCGACGACGAACAAAGGTCCAGGCATCGGGCGATCCCGTCCACTTGCTGGACCGAGCGCGCGCCGAACGCCTGATGGCTTCGAATCCGCCGTCCTCCTTTGTGCTCTCCTTCTCTTGACGCTTCTTCTCCTTTTCGGCGAGACGTGCATTCATCTCCCGAATACCATCGGCGCCCGTCTTGGGCATGCCCACCCTACCATGGGGAAAGTGGACGTTGGGCCAGAAGCGTCGACCAAAGTTGCCGCTGTACTGCCATCCTGCTTCATCCACGTCGCCAGTCATGTCAATGTACCACTCGCTGTATGCCCATTCCCACGAAGGATCTGGCAGCTGCGCATTTGCAATATTGTAAGCCGACCTTTTGCCGCTGGAAGAGGTCCAAGGGGAAGGGTCCCATTGGAAGAGGGTCCTGGGGCTAAACTTCGGAATGCCAAACACGAGCAAGCCGCGTTGATTCTCGTAGAGGACATCGAACTCGTACTTGACTCTGTGTGCATCCGAAGGCGCCTCTTGTTGAGCATGCTTGGCCAACATGGAGTCAAGCTCGGCGTCCGGGTCAGCATGGCGAGCTTCTTCGTCGGCAGCCCGCTCGATTGCGGCCATCTCAGCCTCCCATCTCCGCTGACGGCGACGCTTGATGACGTTGGGCGCGTGCAGATACTTGCGAATGCTGTTGCGCGAGCTCAAAATGGAGCGATCGATCACACTTGTCTTGCGGTAGAGGCTGCCACCGTCGCCATCCTGGATGGCTTCGTCATCATCGTCGATCGTCATCGAACTTCTCCGGCTGCTGGCGATAGTAGCGACGGATTCGCGTCTTTGGCCGAAGTGATTGCTGTTGCGCGACATGGATGGCGTGATGGTCGAAAAGGGAGTCATGCCACCTGCGCTCTGCGCCGAGGTGCTGCGTGGTAGATCGCTGGTCTGCAGCGAAAGCTGACCAGGATGAGGCGAATAGCGGTCCATGGCGCGACGATTGCGGCTCTGGTTTGTAGCGTAGTGGATTCCCTTTGAGACACGCGTCGACACCTTGTGGCCCAGCTGGCCGAATTTGCCGTGCAAGTGGATCAGGTCGTCGATTGGCTCGCCGTTGGCTTTCCTGCGCCGAATCTCGCGACGAATGAGCTTCTTGCGACGCTTGAGCTCTTCCTTTGTGATCGTCTCGCCGTGTTCGAGGCTCAACGAATTGAGATGAAGCATGTTGTCTCCCTCCTCATCATCCGAATTGGAGGCCAGCGCACTGTCGTCGAGCTCGTCATCGCTAGAGGCGGAGGAGGCGGAGGAGACGGATGCTGGTGAGGGCACGCCAAGGGGCTGATTATCGTCGTGAGCTTCAGGCTCGTCGTGCATCGGCCCACCCGTGATGCTAGAGGAAGAGTCGCCGTATTGCTTGCTCGAGTCGACGGCCAGGCCTGGAATGTGAGTGGAGCTGCTCGGCGGTGTCGAGACATTGCTGTGAGGTGATGGATTGTTCAGGCTCCTGGCGAAAGGTATCGCCAAACGTCCCGCCGAGGACCGAGCCGACTCCTCAGCAACATCGTGCGACTGCCCTTCTTCGTCAACGACTAGCAACTCGGGCCCCGTATTCGGTCGAATCCGTGACTTTGGTCGATCCGGTGCGTAATGGTTGTCGATCGAGGCACGAGAAGGGAGTTCGGCAGTCGGGGAGGAGCTGACATTCTTGAGTCCGACATCCGCCGGCGGTTCAGCGGAAGGAGCGCGGAAGCGTCTTGCCAAGGAGCTGCCTGGTCTACTGATGGAGAAGCGAGAGGGCGCCTCTTCGATGCGTGGAGAAGCGTCGGGCGACTCGGGGTGGCCGCGAAAGCGACCTTTTGCTCGCGATGCAGCGCCGACGACCCTAGTGACGACTGGATTGCCCGTGATCATGAGCTTCACCTCTCCCGTGTTGTCCCGTCCCTCTTCGATCTCCTTATAGGTGTCGTCGCCGCTCTCTTCGTCCGACGAGAGTCCATGCCTGCGCCTTCGTTGACGTTGCTTATTACGACCAAATGCTTTGGAGACCAAAGTGATACCGGTGGATTTGGCCCAGTTCTGCCGAGTTTGCTGGGCTTTGGCGATGCGGTCGAGCTTGTCTCGAGCCGCTTGGGCATGCTCATCCGGCGCTCGCTTTGGCAGCTGTCGTTGACCATCTTTGGAGCCGGAGGCATTGCTGCTTCCTCCAGCCGGTGTGGTGCTGTCGTGAGAAGAGCGCGTGTCTTGGAGCACCAGTCTATCCTCGGGAAGTGGATGCAGTGCTGTCGGTCTCACCGTTGTGACAGGCTGGCGCGGCGAGGATGAAGACGCTGTAGCAGCGAAGGAAGACGGACCAGAATCGCTCTCCATGGTGGACATGCTGCGATTGGCTATGTGAGCCCAGTCAGGTGTATGCGGTTCTGCCAGTTGATCTACGCATGGTGCTGCAAGGCGGATTGCATAGGTTGTGCCGAGGCTACGTGGCTTAATGGTGTTGCGAGGTCGAGGTGCGAGAATCAGACCATCGTTCACAGTTGATGCAGCTGAAGCTCAGCCCGGCAATCGACTTTCCAAACGTCACAAACAGCGATTCGGTTGCTGCGGGTGTGCAACCAACGTGCAGCTGCAGGGCTCGGTGTGTTTATGCAGCGAAACAGCTCCACTTGGCTTGAATCCGGACTCAATTCCACTTTTGGCCAAGTCGAAGTTTAGTCAAAAAGCACATCCAAATGCAGCGAGCGCCCCTGAGATCGACACAGCACAGCTGCAGACCGCAGCCACAACAACTCACACTGGCCAACCTTGACAATTTTTGAGACCCCATTTCCCAGATCAATTCTTTCTAGAAGCTCACATTCACATTCACATCCACTGAAGTCACGGTCAACAGCCCCTTCAAACAGCAGCCTGTCACGACCATACGTATTACATCAGAATCCCAACTCAGTTATACAGAGACGGCTCAGCACCTCGTGCGATGCTCGCTGCTCGAGATAAAAGCAAAATGGCGGCTTCATCTATCTACGCGCCGGGGCGCCCGGGTTCATGTTGAACGGAGTCGGGCTGGGTGCGCTGTAGGTGTCGTCGCGGTCCACCAACGGTCGACCGCCATGAACGGTGCCCATCTCATCCACGTGGCCCCACACCTTGAACGATTCCTCGCCACGCGCGTCGTCGCCCTTGGCTGCCGTTGCCCTGCTCTGACCGCTCGAGACACCGGCGTGCGACGCCCCGCGAGTGCTTTGCGTCTCGGCGGCGCGCGGTGCGGCGTTGCTACGAACACCGAAGAGCGTGTCGTCCTCGATGCTGCGGCCCGCCTGCTTGGGCTGGTTGAATGACGAGACGGTCGAGCTGGTCCAGCCAGAGTTGTCGTTCTGGCTTCCCCCTCCACCGTTGCGGCTGTTGCTCGACACGGAGTACTTGGCTGCAGAAGAGAGCATCGACCCTGCGACATCGTCGCCGCCGTCATCCGACTCGCTGTCGGAGGACTCGTCGTCGTCGTCATCTTCATCATCGTCGTCGTCGAGTGGAAGCACGCCAGCCGTTTTGAGATTGAGACCACCAAAGCGGTGCTGCACCTCGGACGAGGAGAGCCCCGGTGCATCGGCGGCATTGAGCTCGAGGCCCTCGTCCGCATCCATCAACATGGCAGCCGAGCTGGCGTTGGCAGATGGCGCATTGCTGCTGTTTGGTGTATCTTCCTGTGACAGACTCGGACCACGCTTGGTGAGCGTCGGTGGTGTAGGGATCGAGTTTCGTCGCCGTCCCGCACCGCTCTGACGATCGCGCTGCTTGGCCTCTTTGCGTCCCATCCTGAGCGGCGTAGCTACCGGCTGCTTGCGAGAGCTCGCCGCGTGCTCTGCCGCTGCCTGAACAGCTCTGTTTTTGCTGGCGCTTTTCGGCCATGCCCTAGCTGCAGGGCTCGAGGCGCCGACACTGCGAAGCAGATCGTCCACCATCATCTTAGCCGCTTCTTTGGCGGGTGTCTGCGCATACCGGCTCTGCGGTACCGAGAATTGCATTGTCACGGGAGGCGACATGCCAGCAGGCCATCCGAGCGAGTCCTTGTCTGACGAGTCCGAATCCCACTCGCCATCTTCTTCGCCCTGTGCATCCTTCTTGGAAGCTCCGCCTCGCTTGCTGCTCGAAGATGTCTTGGACGATTTGGTGCCCTTGATCTTGGACGTGAGCGGTGTCTTGCGCAAATCAACGATTCCGTCCCACATGCGCACGCTTGGCGGGGCGAACGGGTTCGATTTGGACTGCGAGCTTCGAGGGGTGGCCTGGATCTTGGTGTAGCTCAGACGGCCCTTGTTCCGCTTATGCTCCGAGTCGAGCACCTTGTTGAGCAGCGCGCCTTTCTTGGGTGTCGATGATGTCTTCATGCGGCCAGCCGAGGTGGCCGAAGACTTGAACTGCGGAAGATCGTGTACCGACGACGCGTTGGAGCTGTCAGGGTCGATGGAGCGTCCGCCCCGGCCGGTGTGCGTAGAGCCGAGGTTTTCGATACCTTGTGCCAGAGCAGCACGGTCGCGCTCGGTATTTGCCGTGCCAAAGGACGGCTTGACCTTGCCCGAGGAAACGAAGCTGCTTTGATCCATGCTCGGGTCGGACGTGCCCCTTCCGAGGCCGGTGGTGATGTCGCGACGCAGACGCTCGAACGGCGACTCGGCGGGGTCGAACATGTTTTCTTGGTCTTCGCGATCGCGCGGCTTCTGCTGCTTACGCTGCGCAGCCTCTCGTCGTGCGGCGGCCGCCATGGATGCGTTGCTGAAGCGAGGAGGCGATGCTGCGCGTGCACGATCCGCGGGCGCTTGTTCGACGCTTTCGTCTGCGGCGTCGTGGAGATCGTCGTCGCCATCTCCTGAGACGATGGACGCGTCCATCTCGTTGTAGATGATGGAGCCCGTCTCGGATCGTGGACTTCTTCCATCGTCGTCGCTAGTGAAGGTGGCATTCTCGCGCGAGTCGTTGCCACTCTGGGTGACGTCGCCGCCCTGCGAGTTGGCGTCGAACTCGCCTTCGTTCTGAACGTGGGCTGTAAGCGAGACGTTGGCCGACACTTCGTAGAACGTCTTCCAGAATTTGGCGCCTTGCCATACGCGCGCACTAGCAACGCCGTATTCTTTGACTGCCGGAAGGATGCGCGACGTGACAATCTGATGCGCAGTCGCAAAGTTTTGGTCAATCTCTTGAAGGGTCAATGTGATGGCCTGATCGAGCTGCATGATCTGCTCCGTGACCGATTGCTGTTGTGTTGGCATAGCTGCATTGTGCCCCATGGCCGCAGGATGTAGCGACTGGCGTGGATGCAGCGACATGTTGAAATCCTGTTCGCTGCCAAGAGCTGTTGTGATGGTTTGAGTGCCGAAAGCAAAGAATGAATCTGGGTGCGATTGTGTCTAGCACAGGCGATTCGAATCTGTGATGAGCTGTTTGCCGTGCTATCGGGGCGTAGTGATCGCCTGTTGTGGCGAATGGGCGCGACGGCGGAGAGAAAGGTAAGAGGTGGATGATGGTCGAGAGGAAGTAAGATGAGTGAGTGTCGCCCGTGGCCCGATTTGATCGACCGAACAGCAAAGAGAAACAAGACGAGCTTCGCGGAGTGTGTGTTTTCCTACCGCAATCCGAAATCAGACGCGCTTTACACTCGTTGGCACTGCATCAGTGTGAATTTTCAGAGCAACACTTTTTCGAGACGCGTCGTGCGATCCTTGGCCAAATAACACTTTTCGCAGTCTGTCGGTTTGTGCGTCTGAGCCTTTTGCCCTCTCCGCGCGCGCGCGATCTGACAAGCTGTCTCTGATCACGCTCTCTGACACAAGCACACCGCTGACATGTCCTTCTCTGCCGTGCGTCCTCGACTGAGTCAGAGCCTCGTCCTCTTCAGCCTCACGGTGAAACACACGCTATCAGTGATTAGCTGCAGGTCGACCTGGAATAGGCCTTTTCGTTGAGAACAGACATTGAATGTGACAAGGCGAGGTCGATTGATACAAAAGACGATGCGAAAGAACGACGAACAGGGAAAACCAAACAATTGCGTACGACATGAACGAGTAGACGAGACATGAGAAGACGGTAGAAGCGGACAAGTACGGGACAAACACACTCACTAGAGAGATGGAAAGAGAGAGGGAAAAGGCGAGGAAGCAGCTTGGCATCAAGGCTCAAACCTCGACTGCCTCCTCGCTGACATCACCGAAGGTCGCCGTGGCTGCCAGCACACATCGCAGAACAGATTTCATCGTGACGACGCGCCGGGGCATGCCGTTCTGCATCACCTCGCCAAAAAAGCCAGAGACGAGCCTGTTGCCAAATGGAGACGTGGGCGAGTCCGACGACGAGACACTGGAGCCAGGCGACATGGTGCTCGGTGTCCACGAACCTTGCCCTCGGAACGCCGCCTGGGCGCCAAAGTACCTCATCGACTCATCCGTCGTGAACTGCGCGAGCGACAGCGATCGAGGTCGATGGCTGCGTGGCCCCGACGGCGTGCGGAGGAAAGCGGGCACGGTGGTACCCGTGCTCTTGACCGGCAGAGAGTTGACTGACGAGGAGAGGGGCTGATCTTGCTTGGGGCTTGGCCTGGGTTCGCCCGCCGCGTCAAGGGCGCTGCCACATGGTGCAAAGTTGGCCAAAGACGGGCGTGACGTCTCACTAGCAACCACACCGAAAGCACCGCGCGGCGCTGTCCAATACTGCGTCGACGATCGTCGATGCTTCTGCGCTGGAGCTGGCGTGAAACTGACGGACCGGCTGAGCGGCATGGCATCTGCATCGAGAGAGAACGTCGGAAGCTCCTTGCCAGGTGAGGTCGAGATGCAAGAGAGAGGTGGAGTCACGACGACGCGCGGCTCGTCCAGGACGAAAACGCCGCCAACATCACTAGCGAGCAACAGTGCAGCAGCTCTGCCGATGGTGGACGAATTGCTGACGGAAACGGCTGGGTGTGCATCCTTTCCGTCAGTGCCTTGCGGATGGCGCGATCGGAGATCTTTGACGAGCGACGTCAGCGGAGTAGTGAGGATCTTGCGCGACGAAGACCTTAGAATCTCCTGAGAGATCTCGCGACAAGAGATGGGCGAGACGAGACCGCCCAGCGGATCGGTGACCGCGAGCACAGAGAGCTGTTCGGCTTGCATCCGCACCAGCGCATCGACGGTGCTCTTGTCTCCAGAGATGATTGCGGCCGGCTGCTGCAGCGCGGACGGTGATAGGGTGTCGAGCGTATTGGAAAAGATGAAAGCCAAAGCTCCACCCTTCTCTGCTTCGACGGCGAGAAAGGCGACGACATCGGCTGCTGTCAAGATGCCGCACACGGCACCATTTCGGTCGTTCCGAAGGTCTGAAACCACCAAGCAATTGACGTCGTCCTTGCTCAGCTCGCGAAGAATGTCTTGAAGCGAGCAATCGAGCGACACATGTCGAAGCTTGTTCTTTCGCGAAAGGTCCGAGACCAGACCGGCGGCGACAGGTCTTTGGGACGAGATGCAGCTACGGATGGTCTCGATCTGATCATCCAAATGGTGTTGCTGCGCCGATGGCGGCAAGCGGAAGCAAGAAGAAGCCGTGCTTGGGGAAGCGGGCGGGGAGCCAAGACCGTGTAATGCACTGTTGTAAGAGGTATGGACATCTTTGGTACGGTGCGGTCCAAACACGGCAGCGAAGAACGCAGCGAGGTCTTCGAGGCTGAGGAGCCCCGCACAGTCCGTTCTTTGGAGCTTGCCAACACAATCCGATGTGTCATCAGTTCCGCCGGTGCTCTTCAAAAGGATCCATGTCTCGGCATCGTCGGCCTCGGCGAGGCGTTCTCCAGCCGCCTCGATGCTTACATGCTCCGGCAAGACCACCAGGCGCGAGCGAGAATCGATTCCGCGTGAAAGGACATCTTGAGCTGAGAAGCACTCTAGCCTCTGCTGGAGTTCGAGATCAGCGAAAGGGTCTTGTCGGGCAAAAGAGGGGGCAGAGAGGGCAGAAGGGTGCAGGCTGATGGCAAGGTCAGAGCCGCCGACGGAGCTGCTGCGGAAGTGCGATCGCGACAAGCGGCCAGACGAAGACGAAGTCGGGATTGAGATCGGTCTCGTTTGGGATAGCGCCATCGTCGTCGTCAACGGGTAGGCCAGCCCTCGAAAGAATGGAACTGGAGTGTAAGGGCAACTGGGATTCGAGTGAAGGCTTATGAGGCAGCGCCTCTGTGTGCATGTCGAATATTATTGGTAGCAGGATGATCCGAAGGGAGAAGGGAGCCCGCCTATTCTTCCAGTCAACATGTGCGACTTCACCTTTGTAGCCGGGGTTGGCCGACGGCCTGTCGAAGTCGCTGCAGACGAGGGGAAGAGCGAAGAAGCTCGATGGTGTAAGAGTAGGACGTAGAACGATACGGCGGCCTGTATGCAAGAGATGTTCGAAAGCAGTAATGGCGATGGTGGTCGAGGACAGGATGGGTAGATGATGACAGCAAGGACAAGCTGCGAGTCTTCTCCTTGGCGCCTAAAGGGAGGGGTTGCTGCTCGCTGCACACCTTATAGCAGAAAAGAATAATCTTCCGCAGAGGGAATGAACATCCTGAACAGGGATGGCAGCACAAGGTCTCGCAGCAGAAGATAGGCCGGCCCTGAGAGTCCACAGCGCTGAGCCGAATCAGGATCAGCTGCTGCAAGCTAGCAACCGAACACAAGATCAAAGTGTCACTTCCAAACTCCGTCAGCGCTGTGTCCCACGAGAAGCGCCCACATCTTAGCTTGTGATTCACATCGTGCTCGAACCCATCCGCAGACGTCGTTGACCCGGATTCGCTGACTCCAACTCGAGATGACCAGCCTGAATAATTGGTCGTCAGGGTGTTGACAGAGGTCAGATGGTCACTCTTCTCAGTGCTACTTTTTGCTTCCATGCAGAGCAGACGCAGGGCTCGTGCACCCTGCGTGCAGGACTCGACGTTGCCGAAATGTGAAAAACTTGGTGCAGCAACGGACCTTCAAACCGCGGTACAAAAGCAGAACGAAAGTGAAACAGAGAGCAGAGGCCAAAGCTCAGCACTGACAAAGTGCCTGGTTGGGCCCAGACCACAACTCTGATTTGCCCCGCATTCTCAAATGTCATCTGCATCCGCCCTTTCGCGTGGGAACTTGCGATTCCTCACTGCTCTGTGTAACAGGACAGCTGTCGGATGTCGTGGGTTCCTTTTCCCAAACGCTCACCACGAAATGGGCGTTGACCTGGACTCGACCTGGGTCCTGCGTGTTGGTCTTGTGCAACTTGTCGCCGCCTTGAAGAGGTGTGCTGCCGTGCGACATTGCATCTCTCGCCAGCCACTGCTCAAAGCTGAAGTTGAACGATGAGGCGCCGGTGGGTTGCTCAACTCTCCTGAGAATAAGCGATCTTGCGTGGCAACGAGAGAGGGCCTGTAGACGGCTCGTGTGAGGTGGGATTAACGACTTCTGTTCTCGGCCAAATGCAGTTCGGATCGCTGTTGTACACCGGTCAATCGTGAATCCATCTCGCCAAGCATCCGTCGGACGTGCTAACTTAACTTGGTCATGCATCGGCAGAACCGCAGCTGGACTCGATGCACTCGACGCAGGCCGTCGTTGGCTCCCATCTCGGACATGTCCTCGAATTCTACGAGCCGCGTTCGTCCATGTAGCCGAGATGGGGCTTGCGCCACTAGAAGAGCCAATTCAAGCCAGAAAGGGCATCGTCGGAATCTCGGGCTAATGCACCACTGCAGTGCAGTCGCGTCTGTTCTAAAAGGGCAAGCGGCGCCCTCGTACCCGTCACAGACCGAGGTTACGCTCTGGTATCGACGTCGTGGCTTCAGATTTTTGACCATGTTCAATCGTCTCGTTGCGGTCTAACACGTCTGATAAAAAGGACGTGTTTCGTCAGCCCGTTTTCCGAGTCTGTTTCTTTTGTGAGTGACTCTGCCATGTCAATTTATTTGCGCCTTGCAGTGCGGATATTTCCACAGGGAAGCCTGGGCGGAAGAAGCGACCAAAAAAAGTTTAAACTACTTTGGTTGCTTCTTCCGGATCGGCTCCAATCAGAAGCGTCTCTGATAGCGACCTCCAAACAATCTTTCCGACGTCCGTCGTCGCTTCTCCACACTGGCACTCGCAAGGTCGTCATCCGCTCACCATCGAAAAGCTCAGCTCGTCGTCAACATGGAACAACGCGTCGTTGGTGTGCTCGGAGCTGGCCAGCTCGGCCGCATGTTTGTCGAGGCCGCCGCTCGACTCAACGTGCAGGTCAAGCTGCTCGACGTCGGCGACACTGCTCCCGCCAAGCAGATCAACTACCTTCCCGGTCCCGACGGAAAGTCGCAGCACATCGACGGTAGCTTCGCCGATCCTGAAAAGATCCGCCAGCTCGCTTCGCAGGTGGACGTGCTCACCATCGAGATCGAGCACGTAGACGCTACCCAGCTTCAAAAGGTGCTCGACGACAAGCTGGTGGATGCCGTGCATCCGCTGCCCTCCACCATCGCACTGATCCAGGACAAGTACCTGCAGAAGGTGCACCTCGCCAGCAAGGGTCTTCCCCTCGCCGAGTACGTCGCCGTCGGTCCCGTAGACATGTCGAAGGCTACGGATGCTGCGCAGGCACGATCTGCACAGGTCGAGTCCGTCGCCAAGATCGGCGCAGAGTTCGGCTTCCCGCTGATGCTCAAGTCGAGGACGCAGGCGTACGACGGAAAGGGCAACTATGTGGTGCGATCTGCTGACGAGGCTGCTGCTGCCGTTGCCGCGCTGGGCGATGGCAAGCGCGGCCTCTACGCCGAAAAGTGGGCGCCGTTCGAGCGCGAGGTGGCCGTCATGGTGGTGCGCAGCGCAACCGGCGAAGTGCGCGCTTACCCTGCCGTCGAGACGGTGCACAAGAACAGCATCTGCCACACCGTCTTTGCACCGCTGCGTACCGCCGATCCGGGTGTCGAGGCGCGCGCACGAAAGATTGCCGAACAAGCCGTCGCGACGTTCGGTGGAGCCGGCGTCTTTGGCGTCGAGATGTTCCTCATGCCCAACGGGGAGCTTCTCATCAACGAGATTGCCCCTCGTCCACACAACTCGGGCCACTACACCATCGAAGCCGCCGACACGAGTCAGTACGAGAACCACGTGCGTGCCATCCTTGGTCTGCCGTTGGGCAGCACCGCACTCAAGGTGCCCTCGGCCGCCATGATCAACATCCTCGGCCTGGCCGACTCGGACAAGGACAACGAGGCGGTGGCCAAGACGCTGGTGCCTGCCGTCGTCAGCCTCGACGTTCCAGGGACGACGTGCCACCTGTACGGCAAAGCAGGCTGTCGCAAGGGCAGGAAGATTGGTCACATCACCATTGTCGGACAGAGCGACGCTCAGGTGCGATCGCGCTTGCACGTCATCGAAGAGGCGCTGGACAAGGCGACGGAGCTCGCTGAGAAAGGTGGCAGGCTTCCTTCCGAGCTGACGTTGCCTGGCGTCGTCGCTCTCAACGCATCTTCGGCCGCTTCGTCGTCGACTTCACAGACGCAAAAGGGCTCGTCGCCCAAATCAGCCGCCGACTTTTCGCATCCTCAACCGTTGGTGGGCATCATCATGGGATCGGATAGCGACTTGCCGGTCATGATGGCAGCTGCCGAGATCCTCAAGAAGTTCGACGTGCCTTTCGAGCTTACCATTGTCAGCGCGCACAGGACGCCGGACCGCATGCGCACGTACGCCCGCAGCGCACCGGCACGTGGTCTGCGCGCCATCATCGCGGGTGCCGGCGGCGCGGCTCACCTGCCCGGCATGGTGGCCGCCCAGACGGCGCTGCCGGTCATCGGAGTACCCGTCAAGGGCAGCACGCTGGACGGCGTCGACTCGCTGCACAGCATCGTCCAGATGCCGCGCGGCATTCCCGTAGCCACCGTCGCCATCAACAACAGCACCAACGCGGCGCTCTTGGCGATTCGCATCCTGGCGGCGGCCGACCCGACCTACCTGGACAAGATGCAAAGGTACATGGAAGAGATGGAGAACGAGGTGAACGGCAAGATCGAGCGCCTGGCTCACGATGCATGGGATTACACGCTGAAGAAGTAGGCTCTCTCGTTGTATAAGAACTCGAAGTCATAGATGTGTTCGCGTTACGACTTAGGTTCGTAATTGACTGTGAGGCTGCAACGAAGTTCAGGGTCGATGCCAAGACAGTAGAAATGACGCGCCAAGCCGAACGTTCACGTTTACTGATAGTCTCGCTCGGCAAGTCGGCCGTTCCGTTCTCCCGGGCCAGACGTTACGAAGGCCGAGTTGACAGGGCAGCTAGCTACTTGGTCGTCAGACTCGGAGCGCTGCAAAGGATTCGATGCAACAGCAGTGGCCAGTGATGTGAGAAGAATGGCAAAGCGCAATGCTGTGACTTATCGTGCGATGGCCAACTGTGCTAGACTTGGACGCAATCTATGCAAGTCTCTTCCCGCCGTCATAGGTTTCAGGGTCCAGTATCCAGTTTTCGGTGTCCGATTGGAAGAGGATACGCAAGAACGAAATTCTCCCACGGCGTTTAGCCCCTTTTCCTGCGCCGGTATTCAAACAAAAACCAGTTCGAACTCGACATGTTCGCTACGGGGCTGCTTGCTCGCTTGGTGTTTCGTGTGAAGATAGCGCGGGGACCTCGGTTGTGGATTCAAAGTTTGAACTGGCGTCACCTGTCATTGTGACCTCAGAGTGTGATCCTGATGGAAACCCAAGATCACACCAAGCCACGTCCGTTGGCACCGGCACGAAGATCGAGAACTTTTGACGCCCACCATGCTTCATGCGCGTTGCATTCGCCGTGGTCATTCATTGTCATCCCACAGCATCGCAGGCACATTACCTTGCTTGCGCGTGGCTGTCTGTGGTGTACGGTCAGGCATTGCCAAGTCTATGGCGGGATGGTCAAAAAGCAACGCCACCCGGTGACGGTACGGAGCATCGTCGTGCGAATTCTTGGCTGCGAGCCACCTGCACGTGTGCCGTGCCATTCGGGTTGCTACGTAGGAGCAAGGATGTCTGAAAGCCGCAGACGGCACCCAACGGCGAATGACTCATGGCGCCGAAAGCGATGCTTCACTGTGGCCGTGGGATTTGGGATAGGGACAGGGACGTGTGGCCATCACTCGTTGGTGTGCCTTGCTCTTGGCTGTCAACGTCACGTTGCTCGCCGACGGAAAGGGACAGCTCGCGTGCCAGCCTGCTTGCTCGAGAGGTGATGGTCTCGCATCTCTGCCGTCCAGCTCTCGGACTCGGCTGTGGTGCAATTTTTGAACATTTCCCGCTTTTCTCATGCTCTCGCCTGGTCCCATCTCGAAAATTGGGCGCAGTTTCCTTTTCGAGGAAGTGGGCTTGGATTTCAACGCCAGCCCACTAACGTTACTACTCAGCGACAGAGAACAGTTCAGCCTAAAGATAGACCAGCCAATTTGTCAAAAAAAAAGAAAGGGAAAAAAAGACAGGCACGCAGGATTTGGCTGCTTCCAAGCGAGCCCGGCCTTGCAGCGAGTCCATGTCAAACAACCTTTGCTCTCTCTCGGAGACGGCTTGAAGCGGAGCGCCGAATTCGATTTGGCCGTACAGTCCGCGTGCCGGTCTTTGGGTTGGGTGTGTTAGCCAATCATACCGCCTGTCGCCCACTTCTCCGCAATGCAAATGCAAATGCAACCAGCTGCAGGTGACAAAGATTGTGATGGCGGCGCTTTGTGATCATCGCTGAACGCCTGACAGCAGTGGCAGCGGGAGGGTGCTCAGCGAAGCGGACCATGAACGCAATACGAGCTTGAGGATGGACGTTCAAACGGCTGGCTGGCTGGCTGGCTACTGTAGCTTTGGCTAGCGTCCCCGCCAAGTTGGATTGTACCGCGGTGCAGGCGCGAATTGCCGTCAGACGCCGCACTCCAATCCTTGTCTCAGATGAGCTGCCATTTGGCTCGCGTACCCTCAAGTGCCTCGCCTCGCCTCTCCTCTTGCGCCTCTTGCCTCTATCTCAGCACGTCCAGCTGTGTGACATCTCCCGTATCCTCATTCCATCAACCACGTCGTCTGATCTGGTCTCCTCACCACATGCAGCAGCCGTGATCCCGTCGCTACCACGACCTGCTCCCATTCCTCCCTCCATCCGTCGCATTCCAGTCTCGCTGCAGTGAGCACCGTCAGTCGCTGGTCGCAGCCAACCAGCCCTACACCCACCTCTGGCTCAACCACAGCGCCTCTGCCGACTTGATATCCGTCGTCTGTCCCGGTGGTTCGGTACCCCTTGACGATACCATCGCCATCCGCTGATATCTACCACATTCCCGTTCCGAACCCCTTGGAGCATGCAGCTACCGTCATACCGAATCCTTCTTTGACGTCTTCTATTCTGCACCCGCGCCTTTAGCGAGAGAACACCGATCAGCTTTGGCTCACCCCGACTACAGCCTGCATCAATCCCGCGTACCCCACATCCCGAAAAGCGTACCGCGCGTCATCGTCGTTACCCACATCAGCTGCTCATCTCGCCTGCACATCGCCTCAATTCAGACGCCCTTCTGCGAGTCGAGCCAATCGTTCCTGCAACAAACCTTGTTCAGCGCACCCCACTTCATTTCGACCGCGCCTTCCTCACTCTGTCAGCGAACCGTCTGTAGCTCTGTGTTTCACCGCGCAGACAATCCGACAACGCTTTCTCGCCACGCGCTACGCCCTGCATCGCCGTCTACGACTCTCACGACACGTCTCGCTCGGTCAACAGCCCTCTGTCCATTTGACTTAAAACTCGGCCGCTTCACAATACCTGCCCCGGTAACGACCACCTTGCCCTTTTCATCACCGTTGAACGACGTTGTCCTGATCGGTCGAACTATCGTCGCCTTTACGACCTGTGTCACCACTCAAATTCGCCTTAACGCGTTCATCCCCAGCTTTGTCCATCTTGCGCCATGCCGCAGCTCGCCAGCCATGTACAGGTCTCGTTGCATCCCCTAGCTTCCCGTCACGGTGCCACCTCATCCACGCTCGTGTCCGTGTCACCACAACAACATCCTCGCGACGAGCCATCAGCTCGCGACGATGGTCAGGGAACGCCACGCTTGCATCGCTCTTCCCCCGAGCAACAGTGGTCGCGACCTCCACGTTCGCCCTCGCCCACGTCTCTGCCCCAGCCCGCTCGGTCGTCCAGCTCCAAACCGCCAAGCTACGGCATCCTTCACGCCGACCTCGAGCAGTATCCCGTCATCTACGACGAACCTGTCCCCTCCGCTAGCAGCAGCAACAGCAGCGACGACAGCAGCAGTAGTGGTAGCGAGGACGAGCATGATGACGATGGCGACGACACTTTTGACGATGCGTTCACCCACAACAGCCGCAGACACTCTCCCGCCCTTCCACGCCGTCGGTCTCCCTCCAAGCGCAAGCTTGCCGCTCCCATCCGTGCCATGTCGGCAGAGCAGCTCGCGCTCTTGCATCAACAATACGTTGCGCAAGACGTGCCGCACAGTGTCGTCTTCCCTTACCTCCACGGCGTCGACGGTACCATCCCTGCCCAGAATCATTTCTTCGGCGCTCCTATGAGCGGACAACACACACCGTCGTACCGAGGCCTCACCATTCTTCGTGCCGATATGCCATCGCGTCAAGAGATCGAGCAATTGTACGCTTCCAGAGCCACTCAGCCTCAAGGCAGAACTCGTGCTCACACTTTCTCTAGCGTCACCACACAATCATCCGGCAGCTCTCCCGACACCGACGACGAGTCGGCGCGCTTCGAGCCAAGCTGGACCAACGCGTTCAAGAGCCCGTCGGGCCTCGCCGATCCCGTGCCCATCTCGACCGCATCCACCACATCTGTTTCGCCATCGACCACTTCCACCGTGTCGTCCCAGTTTTCCAGACCCTCGCTCTTTTCGGTCGCGTCCGAGAGCTACAGTTCGGGCTCCCGCACCAGCGTCTCGACCGTCAGCGACATGACCGATGACGACGCTCATTCGCCTACCAAGCACCTTGGTCCCAATGGCAATGCTTCTGGCGAGTTCGAAAAGCAGCCGCGTCGGTCGTTGCTCAACTCGACCGTCTTCCCCTCCGAGATCATCAAGCCGCCCACCCTCTGCCGCACCATGTATGGTCGCAACATCTATGACGACCTCTCAGAGCCCGGTTATCGCGACCAATACGCTGCGGACCACGTTCGCAGGACCGGGGCCAGCTTCGTCAATCCCCCGCAAGCGTCTGGCGTTAGTCTGCGCAACTTCAAGATCCAGTGCGCCAAGTACGCCACCATCTCCGACGTTGTCATCTATTGCCCCTTCGGCTACCACCCGGGCGTCCTCACGCTCGCAAAGTGGGTCAGAGAAGCGCAAGCGTCTCTGCGCAAGGAGCGTCTCTCTCGCGGTTGGGGCGGCTTGCAGTACAACGTTTTTGTCGTCACCGAGCCCTTTGAGGTCTTTGAGGAACGTTTCCCATTGCTCGTCACGGTCGACAGCAACGGTTTCGACCGCAACCGCGTCGATTTCGTCGATCGCGAGCGCGACGAGATGGAGAGGATGACGCACGCTACCGAAATCCACGACAATGTCTGGCTCGGCTGCACCGCCGATGCGCCCGGCCTTGTCAAATCAGGTCCTTGGCAAGAGAGCAGCGGCGAGGACAGCGCGCCCATCACACCAGACGAGCAGGCTAACCCGAACTGCTTCTCGGTCTGCATCAGTTGCGAAGAAGAGCGCTCCTCGAATTCCAGCGCCTGCACCTCCGAAGTGCTGCGCAACGCTGCTCAGTACCTCGACTCGGTCGATGCCTCGATGCGAGTCGACAACGATACCGACAAGCTCCTCGACAGTCTCCATCGAGACCACCTCTTCCATCTCAATGGAAGCCCCGTCGGCGAGTCCGTCTACGATGGCTTCCGCAAGCAGGAGTCGCGCGACGGATCCATCGTGCTCGGTCCCAACGGCTGGACACCCAAGCCGCGATCTGTTCCCGTCCACACAGACGCCTCTGCCTCGCCGTTCGTGCAAGCCAAGAGCTCGAGCGCCAGTCTGAGGCAGCGCAGCGATCTTCTGCGTCTCGACGCCGGCGCCATCGTGCAGCTGGATTACCAGACTGGCAGCGCCGGAGCTCCGCGCACGCACAGCTGGCAGGACAAGATGGCCAAGAAGATCGTCGACCTGTGCATCTGGATCCAACAGCAAGCATCGCCTCCACGTCCGCAGCACGCAGTTCGCGATGCTCCTCCTGCCTTCAACTCGATCTCCTCGACGCTTCGAACCTTCCGTGACGCAGCCAGATCGCCCACCCGCTCCTTTTCGCCCAATCATGGCCGCGAACGCGAACGCGCTTCGCACCCTCGAGTCGAGGAACGCAGCCTTGCTGTACGTCGACCTAGGCGAGTGCTGCTTCATTGCCCGGACGGATATACCGAGACATCGGTGTTGGCGCTTTCCTACCTCATGTACGCTCGCGAGCTGAGCTTGCCGGAGGCGTACCTCGACCTTCAATTGCGAGCCGATCGTTCGTTCTTCGTGTACCCTGCCGACGTTGTTTTGCTCGAGACGGTGGATCGACTGCTGCAGCAGACGCGCGTCGCACGCAGCCAAAGCATGCCTGACCTCACGGACGTCAGCGTTGACGTGCGCAGAAGTCGCCATACCGTGTCCAAGTCGTTTAGCGGCTCGTTGATCGCAGACAGCCGCCAAACCGAGGTGCGCCGCTTGTCTTTGTCTACCACAGCGCAAGGCGGTCTGCCTACCACCGAGATGGCAGGCGGCATATGCCGAACCTCGACGCCGACACCAACCAAGTATCGCAGCGGTGTCACCGAGATCGATGCCTCGGACTCGGTGGAGAAGCACGATTGGTTCGACAAGTCTCGCTTCGACGGCTCATTCCCGTCGCGTATCCTGCCGTTCCTGTACCTTGGCAACCTCGATCACGCATCCAACGTCGACATGCTTCGTGTGTTGGGTATCACGCATCTGGTATCGGTGGGTGAGACTGCTCTGGAACCTCCGGCACACATCTCTGCGAAGGTGAATCCTTCGCGCAAAGAGCACGGACGCAGTCGCTACCAGCGAGCCTCCGCGAAAGCAGCTCTATCCGAAGATCCGACGACGGTGCCATCCTGCACGTACCGATCGCAGGATATCAACGTGCTCAACGTGCGCAATGTGTCGGACGATGGCATCGACTCTTTGAGGGGCACGATGCGCGAGGCGGTGCAGTTCATCGAGGCTGCGCGTCTCTCTGGCGGCAAGACGCTGGTGCACTGCCGTGTCGGCGTAAGCCGCAGCACGACCATGGTGCTGGCGTACGTCATGGCTCACCTTGACCTGGGCCTGGTAGAGAGCTACCTGCTGGTGCGCAGCCGTAGGCTCAACATTGTCATCCAGCCGCATCTGCTCTTCCTGTGGGAGCTGCGAGGGTGGGAGTCGTTCCTGCACCGAGCCAAGCAGGCGCAGATCCAGCTGCTGCGCGGACGCGTCGGGTCTCCAGACCTGGTGAGAGGTGAGCTTCCTCGCGAAGCTTCTCACAAGCTCTCGGTGCTCTCGATCCGCGGCAGTTCGAATCGCAGCGATTCGAACTCGGGCTCGTACAGGTCTGCACGCTCGTCGCCTGCCGGGTCGCCCGTGGCGACGAGCACGACTCGGATGGCCAATGCCGATGAGACCTCGGCCGCCACGGCGGAATGGAGCGACGAGCATCTGGCTGGCGTCGAGATCGGTGCAGGTGCCGGAAGCGTGCACGGATTCGACATGGCACACTCTGCCATGATGCCGTTCGGGTCCGGCAGTCCGACAGGACTGCCTTACAGTGCTTCACGCTTGACGTGGGGCCACCTGGCGCGTGAGATTGCCGACCTCAACTCGCGCTACTTTGTGTAGGAGAAGCTCAACAAGCACGCTCCGGCTGGTCTCCCGGTCTGCCACTCGACGAAAGCGCATTGGTCGAGACCGAAGCAAAGGTCTATGACCGTTCCCTATCGCCATTCGCGACTGGATTCCCGGCTCTCATCTCACTTCCACGGAATCTCGCGTTCTCAAGGCTGGTCCGCACTTCTCTTTCATCGACGGGTCCGGACCTTGTCGATGTTTCTTGTAATGGGTCGCGATCGCTACTTGCATCGCATTTGTTTTGTCCTGTTTGTCACCGCTGTTCATGGTTTTGTTCCCCGTTTCGTATTGTTGTTGCACCCAACTTGTTCTTGTTTATGTCGTTTATCTTTGTTGATTCGCTCTTGCAGTATTGTTTAGCCTCAGTTCCTCTTCAATTTGTTTTCGTCACGCTGTCCATCTTGCAATTCCGATCCGTTCTAGTCCGACATTGACGCTTGTGCAGACACACGCAGCTGTACGCGAGTCATTTGGAGGATCTCTGTCGATCGGAAAATATAAAAGACGGAACGTCACAAGCCTACAGTGAAAAAAACAGATGCTTGAGGATGAGTTGGACAAGGCAGCTGATGCAGGAGATGCAAGAAACGTGGACCCTCATGGCAATGCAGGAATTGGCACCATCGCGCTCTATGGTGAGATCAACGGTGGTTCGGGTCGACGCAATGACGAGGCGAGATTGACTCGAACGATCAAAGCGGGCAACGACGCTCGCCAATCGAAAGAAAGGAAAAGAAACGGGAAGCCTGATTGCTTCTGCAAACCAACTCAGACAGCACGTCAAACGACCTGTCATTTTGAATTTTTGACAAAAATATCAAAGATAAAAGCTGAATCTGAAGTGTTGGTCTAGCCACGCGCAGCAGGCGTGCATCTTTTTCTGGCGGGGACCTTTGAAATCCGTCCCGCTGCTGATGGGTTGCGAGCGGTGTAATTTGCCGATGCCACTCTTTCGGAACTGCAGCAGAGCACGGCACGACAGCGAACCACTCGACTCTTTCCCGCAGTGTCACGGCGTTGATTGCCATTCCGCTCGAGCCGTGTGAAACAAGTGTCACAGCCCAAAAAGCTCATTCGTCACTTCATATCCATCATAACGCTCAACGGGACGAAGCAAGATCTGCTTTCTTTCCACCACACCACCGCCCAAGGCACCACAACAGCACCTGCTGCAGCACTTCTCATCGACAGGCGTGCTCACGAGACAGCTCACAGATTCGACTTGGCATCCTACAAGGCTACTGTTGGACTTCGTACCCATCCTGTGGCAGACACTCGAACGTCATTCTCTCCAATTGCAGATACAGCAGCATACATATTGGGCGTAGCTGCGACCCACCATAGCCACCCGACAGCATCGGCTTCCCTTCCTCCCACACCATGTCCGAGCAAGATGACGTCGCCTCCGTCTCGGCCTCTCAAAAGTCGACACACGCCACATCCGCCATGGGAGACATTGCCAAAGATGGTCTCTCACCTGACCACCTTGAATCGCTGTATACCGATCTGCCAGCCGACGCCACGGCACTCAAAGCTATCGTAGGCACCATGAGGCTCGAGCTGACCAAGAAGCAGCAATCAATTCTCGAACTCAAGGAAGAGATAGATCAAGTCAAAGCGTCCCATTCAGTCGTTTTGCAGCGATCTGCAGAGTGGCAGGACGAACTTGAAACGCTGAGATTACGTGTGCCCCAGCTGGAGGAGGAGCTGCGCACCGAAAAGCAGGCAAGAGAAGCAGAGTCGGACCGCGTCAAAGACCTTCGTATCCGAGCAGAAGAGAGTCGTCGCGCCATCATGAGGCTTCAAGGTGAACAGTCCGACGCGCGTGCAAAAGCGAAGATCGACAACCGCCGCAGCTGGGTACCTGCGGCTACCAATCCACCGCCTCAGAGGGACGAGCAGGAAGAGGCCGAGCTAAAGAAGTCCAAGCGCGCGAGCTTGATCTTCGGTCCCAACGCTCTCAATCTCAATACCTCTAGACCTCCCAGCAGCACGGGTCACGTTCCTGGTCATCGTCGCACAGCTAGTGGCAGCCGAAGCGTATCTGGTGCGTCCAAGGGCGAGGGCGAAGAGTCCGAAGAGCCGCTAAGCCCTACCTTTGCCAATGGTCTGCGTGGATTGCGACTGTCGGGAACCGCAGGCACCAACGGCACATTCGGCTCGCTCCTTGCGCCTGTCGCTCCACCGGGCGCCGACGACAATGGAGGATCGGCTCCCAACTCACGTCGAAGCTCTTGGCTCAGCGAGTCTGGCAGGTCGCCCCGGCTCGCTCCAGCCGACTTGCCAGACTCGACCGACGTGCCATTCACATCCGGATCTCGTCTCTCGGTCCCTGCAGCCGGACCAGCTGGACACCGCTCAGCCATGCTCAGCTCGCCCGCGCTTTCCCAGGGCGCTGCCAGCTCCGTCGGTGTCGGCTCGCCCATCATGGAAGACAACGAGGAGGATGAGTCCAATCCCAGCATCGCTGCAACCGTCTCGAAAGCTTTACCGAACCTGCCTTCGCGAGACTCTTCGATCAACTTCCAAGCACACGATCGCGAGCTGCGTGCGAAGGAGGTGCAGATCGAGCGATTGACGCGCGAGATGCTCGAGATGCGCTTGACCATGGATGAAGCCATCGAGGCTAGAAAGGCGAGCGAAGCGTGTCTCAAGGCGCTGCGTGATTTCATTGCGAGCCACGATGCAGAGGCGGATGCCGACGGACGGCACATGGCGGATGACGCGGATCGAATCGTGCAGGGGACCAGCGTTGGTGCTGGCCTCTTGAAAGGAGTCAAGCTGCCGCCGTTGCCCACGGACAACATCGACGATGACGAGGAAGCTGCGCATCTGAGCCCTCAAAAGACAGCGGCGGGAGGTAGCGCTGCTGGTGGGTGGGGGATGAAGCTACCCACGCTGATGCGAAAGGCTACTTCGGCTAGCTCCAACGCGCCAACGCCGTCGGATGAAGCCCGTGCTGGGCTGTCACCAGAGCCGGTAGGCGGATCGGCTGCATCACCGTCTTCTGCCGACGGCAGCTCCGCCACAAAATCGATCGGCTCGAGCTTTGCCGGATTCAGCAACCTCCTCAACCGCACCGCCACCGGCACCACTCCCCACAGCGAGGCTTCCCAGCCAACGACATCGCCGCTATCGGAAAACGTAGTCGGATCGCCCACCGCCGAGGACGGAGGCTCGGGAAGCGCCTTCAAAGGGTTCGGCTGGTTCAAGCGGACTTCCGTGCTGGGCACTGGCCTTCCCGCATCCTCCACAGCAGCACCCCAAGCGGAATCACTTGTCGAGGAGAAAGTGCTCTCACCCCCCTTCCGCTCGCTCGACCACGACCAGCTCTCCATCTCACGTCAGAGCGTCATCTCCCCTCCCTCCGAGCAGCAACCACGCCTCTCCACCGCCATGACACCCAACCTGAGCAACGGACCTTCCAGCTCGACCTCCCAGTCCTCGATCCGCACACCCAGCGCCAGCGGCTCCAACAGCAACGCCCTCGCCATGGCGGCACGCTTCGGCGACGACGACGAGGCGAGAAGGGCGGCCGAGAGCGTGCAGAGCAGGGAGCTGGGCATGTCGGATCGTGCGCAGAGGGCGGCGAGCAAGACGGAGCAGGTGGAGCATTTGACCGATGTGCTGCCGTCGTTTGATTGAGCATATGTGTATCTGTACATGGGTTGCAATGTTAGGGGTGATGATGCCGAAAAGGACGTCAAGGTTTGCGAAATGTGAGGGGTTGAGATGAGCTGACAGCGCGTTGTGGTCGGGTGAACAGCTACCGTTGCTCGTCCTGCGTATCGAGCCAATCCGTAACGTGCTCCAACTCCGACCTTGTCCACTGTACGGCGCTGTTCAAGAGCGTCATTTGTCCGTCTCTGTAGCGTTTTACGTTGAGCCATAGCGAAGGTCTGATGGAAGTCTCTGGTGATTCGGGTTCGATCCTGGGGCAACTTGGGAGTTGGTTGAGAGACTTGTAGGTGGGGGTCGGTATCGATTCAAAGTGTTTTTGGCTGATGCGGAAGGCCTTTCGTTTGGCGAGGAGGAGCGATTCGAGCAGCTCCAGCACTTGACCGTACACTTCCACCTCGTCTTCCCTTGCTGGAGCATCGTCTTGCCGTACTACGTGCTCGAGTTCGTCGAGTAGACTTGGACATGGACAGGAAGCTTTTACGAACCCTCCTTCCGCGGCTTCTGTGTCCGATTCTGGTGCGTGCAACACCCAATAGTGCGTCCTACCATGCTCGCCACTACCCCCGACCTTCAATGCCAGCGTATCTTCCTCTCCACCTTCCACGGTAAACCCATACCCGCTCAGGAACTCCTCGTTGCTCTTCCCGCCGTAGTTGTTCCACACCTGCGTTGCTCCTTCCACCTCGTAGTTCAACGTCATCTCCACCATTCCTTTTTCTTCGGTCGGAGTGTGAGACCAAGTCACGGGTTTCGCGCGCGAGTGGTTGAATGTATCGTAGCCGGGGATGAGGATGGGTGTTGGATCCTGGACGTTGATGAGACGAGGTGGGAAGGAACGCGAGGTGAAGGCTGATTCCGACCAGCGCCATAGTTCGAGTGCTTGGTGGTAGGTATGTTGCATCAACGAATCGGCCTGCAGGGCTTCTGGATCGATGGAAGCGAACACGCTGCAGAGATGTCTCGAGAATGAGGAGTGGGAAGGGGAGAGATGCGGGAGTAACAGAGTAGTTGCTCGAGTGTAGTCCTTTATCGTTTCGAGTAAGCGACGTTCGGTGGATCCAACGAGCGGCGTGTTGGAGAGCAAAGCCAGCTCAGCGCTCGAGAAGTGCAGCGGAGTCTCGATCACTCGAGGTATATGCTCGACATACGGGAGGTGTGCAAACACTTTTTCCAACGCTTCATCCTTCGCCGAAGAAAGGTACTCTAGTGCAATACGGCTAAGGACCAGATACAGAAGAATCCAGTCCGCGCTGGGTAGCGCCTCGTACTCCAGCTGCAGACCCGATCCCAAGCTGCGAGCGAGCTGTTGGATTTGATCAAAGGCCGATGTGGAGGTGATGCATAGCTCGGAAGGGACTCGAATGACGGTGGTATCGCGAGGCAAGGGTGAGGAGGTGTAGAAGGACAGGCCTGTCAGAGGGTCATTGTGCAGATACAAGTCGGGATGCAGTTGGATTCCGACGATGCAGAACCATTGGATCAAGGGATGTTGTGGCTGTTCCATCCTCGCCGGCGTGGATCTCTGTGAGGATGCTCGTTGCGGTGTAAGGAGGAGCAGGAGCAGAAGCACCGAAAGTGATTTCCAGAAGAAGAAAGCAAAAAGCTTTGTGGTTTCGGCTAATTCTTCGGTGCTTTGTGGAGGAGAAACCCGCAGCTGAGTCCGAGTGGACCCTTCATTTGACACTTTGCGGGTCGACCTTGCGGATGCTCTTCCCTTCATTTCCTCACTTCCTCACATTCTCTGCTCGACAGACCAACATCTTCCCACAACATGGCGGGCAAGGATCCCATCATCATCTCTGACTCTGACTCCGACACTCTCAGCGAGTCGGAAAGGCCACCTCAGCCTCGAGTGGTGCAAGCAAAGCCCCTCGAGCTCAACAACCAGTCTCAAGCCAGCCAGAGTCAGCATGAGCATCCATCAACGCCGCTGCTCGCCAGCCAGGCGTCGACGCAAACAGAAAGCTCGAGTAGAGCTGGAAATATTACTGGCACTTCCTCAGCCAGCTTGCTCTCGCTACTTCCCGATCGACGGCAGTTGGAGCTGGAACGCAAAGAGAGAGCGAGGAAGAGGAGAAGAGAGCAAAACTTACCCAGCTCTTCGAGCGACGAGGATGCCAAGGTTGAGACAAAACGTAGCAAAAATGGTATTGCTTCCATCCCTAGTAGCTCAGACCAATCAGTTCCATCCACGTCGATATATGTCAACGAGCCATCATCCTCCAAAGCAAGGCAAATCTCATCAACGCCTACCACGTCCTCCTCGCATTCGCGCGCAACCGATCCCATCACACCTTCCAGCAGATTCTGGACCGGTACCGTCAAGCATAGCTTCAATCGATACGCCGCTCACAACGTCTCTGGTGTGACCATTTCCCAGATGCTGCTCCCCGCGACCGCTTCCAGCCGTAACTCGCTTCAGCTAGCCGTGCTTGCGACCTACGACCTGCGCATGGATTGGCTCTACTCACACTTTCCCCGAGGTCTACCCGGCGGTGTCACGCTTGTCCTTCCACCGCCAAAGGAAGACTATCGCTACGACAGGGATGTCGCTCGACCCGGCTTGCATAAGAGCGAGATCTTTGGAGGTGAATTCGCCAGGTGTCCTGGATGGCAGATTTGCGTGCCTAACAAGCCAAAAGGTGGATGGCTGACGCAGCACATGAAGTTTCTGGTCTTGGTGCATGACACGTTTTGTAGGGTGGCGATTCTGTCGGGAAATCTGAACGGTATTGATTGGGAGAGGATCGAGAACACGGCGTTTATCCAGGACTTCCCTCTGCTATCGGCAGGTACCAACACGGCCGGGTCCAGTAGCAGTAACAGTAGCGGTGGGAAGAACGACTTCAAATCGCAGCTCATCCGAGTTCTCCGTTCGCTCAGCATGCCTCCTTCTCACGCGGTGTACGCAGCGCTGGACAAGTACGACTTCTCGTCGGCCACAAGAGCACGCATCGTAGCCAGCTGGCCAGAGGCTTCCAGCCTCACCGACTGGGATCGCATCGAGACGCAAGGTCTCGGTAGACTCGGCAAGGTGGTCCGAGATCTGGGGATCAAGCAGAGAGTCGAGGTGGAATGTCAGGGATCCAGTTTGACGAATCACGATGTCAAGTGGATCGAGCACTTTCACGTGCTGGCAAGTGGTATCGAGCCGAGAGGCAAATTGCCGTTCAAGGGGAAGAGCAACGATGAGCATCCCGAGTATGCGAGGCTGGTGAGGAAAGGCTTGCCTCCGGTCAAGGTGGTTTTCCCGAGTCACAGGTATGTCGAAGAGAGGGCGGTGGAAGGGCCGATGGGTGCGCTGAGCTTTTTTGGTAAAGCTGACGGATGGGCGACTTCACCGTGAGTATCCAGAGACGAACAATGTCCCTCAGGAAGAGTCCACGATGACTGATGTTCGATATTGGGTGCGAAACAGCATCAAGGCGCTCTACCACAGCCCACAAAGCAGGAGGGGCGATATAATGATTCACGCCAAGTCGATACTCGCCCTCACAGCCGCGGGAAAATGCGTCGTCGACAAAGCTTTCCTCGATGCCAGCGATGAGTACATCTCCGGCAACAAAGGGGCACCGCCGCCGAAAGGAACATGGTCAGGTCCCAAAGACGCCGAAGAGCCCGTAGGATGGACCTACCTCGGCAGCTCCAACTTCACCCGTGCCGCTCACGGCAACATCACCGGTACAACGGCCAAGCCCACCATGAGCAGCATGAACTGGGAACTGTGAGTTTCTCGCCGCAGCACACTTGAACACCTCTTGCAATTGCAGTCATGATGACAGAAGCTGACCACTGACGAGGGTTTTCAGAGGAGTGGTGATGCCGATCTACGCTAGCGAGGTGGAGATGATGGGCGTGGAGGCCGAGTGCTTGAGACCGGTGGTGTATCATCGGCCGTTGCAGGCGTATGCGAGCGAGGATGGGCCCTGGGTAAGTTGACGAGTGGCGATTCGAGAAAAGCAGTAGAGGAACGAGAAGCTGACTGTACCATGTGGCTTTGACGATTGGGTGGTGACAGGATAACTCTTCGGTCAGGGCGCTCATCTGACCGCTCGAAGGTGTCGCAGCGGGGCAAGACGGACTCACGATCCACCTCAATCAAGCGGCTGTTACGAACGAAAAGTGATGCTGCGTGTGTGTGTGTGTGTAATAAAAGTTGCAAGGGTGTTGCGAAAATGCGAGCGTCTCTCTAGACTGACAACTTGGCGACCCCATTCGTCGGCGGCTCCGCTTCGTCCTCGTCCTCCGAGATCCCCCTCTGCTCGTCCTCCTCCTGCCTCCCCTGCTCCCAATCCTTCATGTACTGGTTGAGATCGAACTCGTCCTCGTCATCATCGTCATCCGCATCCTCGACGAACATGTCCGGATTCAAGCTGAACATCTCCCTTCCGCTCAACCCGGCCATCTTGTTGGCCGCCGCCTGCGCCTCCTTCTTCTTCTTGAGCATCTCCTGCTCGGCTTGTTTTTTGTCCATCCTCTCCTTTTTCCATTTGGCGAAGGATTCGGCGGTCACGGGGGTGAGGTTGGAGCCGAGCTTGTGACGTTCTGTTTCGAGGAAGTCTTCGAGTGAGATCTCGTTGGCCTTTTCGAGGGCTTCGAGCTCCTTCTTCTGGGTTTTGAGGATGAAGCCGGGTGGGAGGCGGTGACGGTACATGCATTTTTCGCCGCCGTTGGGGCATTCCCAGAACCAGCCGTACTTGCCGTCTTCGACGGCCTGCAGGAAGAACTTGCACACCTTGTCCGTGGTGGATTTCGGATTGCCGTGTTTCGACAGGATGACCGAGTTGAGCTTTGCATCGTCCCATTTGTCCATTGTGTCGAGCTTCTTGTCTTCGTCTTCGTCGCGCATGTCGACGTAGAGGTCCTTCTTTTCCGTCTTGCGTCCGGCGTCGTTCGAGTGCGCGTACTTGCACTTGTTGCCCTTGTCGCATCGTCCCGCTTTCCAGAACGCACACGTCACCGTCTTCGGATCCACTCCGAACGGCACTTTGGGCTGCACGATCGAAAACATCGGATCCGCTGCTCGCTCTTTCAGTGCTTGTGCCGCTGCCTTCTTCTCTTGCTCCTTTTGCTTTTCCTTGGCTAGTTGCTCTTTGGATTTGCCCGCGACTTTCTGTTGCTGTTGGATGAGTGCGACGGTCTTTTGTCCCTTGCCTCCCTTTTTGTTCTTCATGCCGAAGGTTTTGTCGACGGACACCTTGGAGCCGCCGCCCTGCTTGTCTTTGCCTTTTGGTGGCATGATGGGCAAACTGTGCTGGGCGAAAGGATGCTAAGTATGGCCCGGGAAAGTGTTGGGTGGTTGCCAGAGCTGTGCAGGCGCTGTAAACTGAGATGCCCGATGCCGTTACAGCTAAATGGCCCTCTCGACGGTCTGCACAGTGGTCGAGGAGTCGGATCGATGCTAATGATTCGTTTCGCCTAGTGTGGCTAAGCCTGCGTAATCGACGCCAGAGACGCTTTTTTTCTCTGCTTTAGAGCCGATCGTTACGGTGTTGTTGGATGTGTCTAGGTATGCGCTTCGACGAGGACGATGTGTTGCAAGTGTAAGACGTCGAGGTGATTGTACAACATCAAGAAGGACGTTTCAGCTCAGCATCTCGAAAAAGTCGTGTGCCAAAATTGCAAAGCTTCTGGAAAACTTGGAGGCCACCACATTTCAAAAGGGGATCACCTCCAACTTTGTAATCTCGATTTGAAAAAACTTGTACTTCAAACTACAGATCGGGTAATGTTCAGCCCGATAAGTCTATTCGGTCATTCTGCAGCTCGCTTTTTTGGAATCACCGTTTGAAGATCCACAAGGCCGTTACGGGTGTACATTCGAGCCACAGTCACGAACAAGGTCAAGATAAAGGCGCACAACCATTGCATGTCAAAAGCGATCCTAGAAAGTGCGACGGAGGCTGTGTGATCTTCGAGAGGATCGATGTTAAGCAAACCCGTGGAGCGAACGACAAAGTGCGAAATGTAGGAGCGCGGGAATTGAACAAGAATGTCCGTAGTAGATCGTGCTGGGTAAAGATTGTCTATGGGTGGGCCGAGCCGTCGTCATTGTCGAGCTCGGACATGGGCCCCAGATGAGGCGCTGGCGAGCCCTGTCGCGAGGGTGTTCGTGTTGCAGGAGCCAACAGGCCAGTTTCGGTGGCCGCCAAGTCTGCGACCGAGTGAGCGCGGCTCATCGAAGCCGAAAACAGACCAGGTCGAGTCTGCGTATTACGCTCGCTCAGAGGCGAACTGGGCCCGCTGGCAGGAACAGCGCCGCTCACCAGGCCGCCGCTGCCGCCAGGTGTAGTGAGACCGGATCGAGTCGACAGCGTCGCCGAGGTGAGACGATGACCCAAGACGGGCGTGGGTGCTCGGCTGGACGTGCGCGATGCTGGTCGTGAAATCGAAGTGCCGGTGGTGATGCCGGTAAACGTAGGCGAAGTGGGACGCGACACTCGCACCATCGTAGGTGTGGCTGCGCCTCTTCTCGCTGCGATGCGAGCACCGTGACCGAGCGTACCGTCGGTACCGGCGGTGTCGCGGCTCAAAGGCAGACTCGAGTTGCGCTTCTTTGATCTTGCCGCACGTCGCGGGAAGAGTGACGGGAAAGTCGAGGACATGGCGAGCGCAACGCGACGCACTGGCCAACCCAGAGCACCCACAACACCCGTGCCGGCCCGCTTTCGCGACGACGACGTCCTGGTGCCTCTCCCTGCCGACCCGCTCGATGCGCCGCTGCTCTCTTCCGAGCTGCCCTCGGAGCTGAAGCCGAACTCGGCTTCCATCGTGGGGCTGTAGTCCTTGCCGTCCGCTCGCTTGCCCAGATTGGACCAGAAGCCGCGCTTGGAGGCATCGCCGCCCGCTTCCTCCATGCTTGCCAGCACATAGTCGCCGCGGCCGTTGCGCTTCGAGCTGCAAAAGCCGCCAAGAGTGCCCACGGGAGGTGGTAGCATATCCTTGATGGCTGCACGCCTTCTGGTGGCTCTTGGTCCACGACCGCGAGTGCAGATGCAAGTGACGAGAAGCAGCAGGAACACAGCCACCATGATGATCAGCGAGATAGGGCTAGCATGTCTGCTTGCGCTTCCCAGAGCGGGTGGAAATGCTGACCCTTCGCCCGTGGTGGGCCATTTGGGGCGGAACGGGTCCCACTTGCCCAGCTTCGAATTGGAGATGGCGAGCTCGTCAAAAGGAGACGGAAGCGATCCTGGCGCTGGCGGGATGTCACGACTAGCCTCGAGAACGGCCTTGCCCAAGGTCCAGCTGACCGAGAAGCCATCGATGTCGTTGACGCTCTGGAAAAGGTTCTTCTGCTCACCCTTGCCTTGCGCTTCATCGGCGTGATCGGTGCCGTCGCCTGCGCCCTTGTGGTCGACGATACGTGGGATTCCGATACCTTCGTGCAGCACAGTGACCATCCAAGCGGCCTTGAAGCACTGCGTCTGCAATCGGCTGAGTTGAACTTCCGGTCCGAAGAGGTCTCCTGCGTCGAGATGCTGTTTCAGCTCGGCCCAAGGCTTTTCGCAAAAGTCGACGGCAGCCTTTTGGAAGTCGACAAAGTCGTAGACACCGCCAAGACCAAAGACATCTTGAGAGCTGAACCAGTATTCCGAGACGCCGATGAAGTGATTGACGCTAAAGTCGATCTTGGGCACGTGGACACCGTGGAACAAGCAAGGTGGCTTGTCGCAGACGGCCTCCTTGTCCAGGAGAGGATGCATCGACTCGAGGCATGCTGTGAAGTTTCCAGCACCCATAAGCGAGACGTCTGGCTTGCCTTCGACCTGAGCGAGCTGCAGACCGTTAGGCAAACAAGGATCCGACAGGGGCTGCTTAGGTTCCTGTGCCTTGACAGCATCGGAGCGAAGCAAATCGATGTACCGCTGCCGCGCCTGATTGGTACCGTAACCGAGAAAGGTGGTGACAAAGACTTTGTGCGAAACTTCGGTGCCATCGAGCATCCGGAGCGGTACGGTGGTGAGATCGGCTTCGGCGGCGGCACCTTCACCTTGAAGCGCTTTCTTGCTGGGTTCGAACGCGATCTGTGTGCTGGCACCTCCCATATCGAGGAAGCCAAAGGTGGACTTGCCTTCCATAATGTCGGTCTCGCCATCGAGCGACGGCTTCTTGCCGCGAATGTGGAAGCCATCCATGAGGTAGTTGACCGAGATCCAACCGAGCAAGCCTTCCTCTTCGCCGCTGATGACCTGGACGTGCTCGTCACAACCTCCACCGTCGAGACTGAAATTTGTGTGTTCGCGGATGTAGCGACAGGTCTCGCCGAGCACTGCTTGGCGCTGCTGATCGGGAAGCAGACGCATACCTGCTGTGGCCATGACGTAGATGGGCGTCTCGGCCCACGCAGAGGGAGGAACAATCTTTTCGGCATGGTCGAGCAGCCCTTTGAGATAGTTGCCGACATCGGCCGGGTGGTCACCGAACGACGATAGCCCTGGCTCGACTTTGTGGCTCCATTCTACACCCGAGTTCTCCCACGTGCCCTTCTCCACCTTGGGCAGGACCTTAGCGCCCAGACCTTTGCTGGCTCGCTGTGCACGCTCGATCTTGGGATCTTTCCAAGAGTAGACCTGCATCCGAGAGCCTGAGGAGCCAGCATCGACGAGAACGGCATACTTTCGGCCTTCAAGCCAGGAGGGAGGTGCGTCGAGCTGTGCTACGCCGGGAGCAGCGTGTTTGAGCGGCGACTCATTTGGCTTTGTTTTTGCCGTCTTGGCTGCTGCATTCCAGGTGTAAGCATCCACAACGTTTTCGCGTCGTGATATGGGAAGAGAAGATGGCGGCTGCTGCGTCTGCTGCCTGCGTCTCTGTTGTTGCTGCAAAGATTGTGCGTACTGTCGTTTCTGCCGCTGTTTAACGGGAGAATTGAATGTGTATGCGCCGTACGGCTGAGACGACGGTCCCTGTATTGGGTAGCTCATTGTTGCAGAGCGAGGGGAAGGATGGCGAGAGCCAGACTAGACGGCAGCGACCAAGAACGCCGCGAGCTGAACCGAACGGGTTGCTTTCACTGCTGCATGTATTTGTTGCTGGCGGGATCCAAGGGGGTGGTGAGGATGGAGGTGGCGGACCGCGTCTCGTCGTTGGCACGCCAAAAAGTCGGAGCGCGATGTCGCGATGCCGCCAGAATGGTATGTCGCTGCTTCGACAGTGATCGGAGAACGACGCGGTGGATGACGTTGCAAGAAAAGGCAGATGGAGAGATGATGCGGCGGGAGGGAGGAAGAGGGATGGGCGAACCAACGACAGAACGATGTGGACCAGATGGGAGGATAGCCAACTCTTCTCAAGCATTTCCAATCCTACGTCCTAGACAGGCGCCGCACAGCAGATGCAGCGCAACAGCAACGACACGGAGGCGGGAAACAATTCAAAGATAAAGATATCAATAAATAAAACAATAAAATGGACGCCGAGCCGTGCCTCCAGGTTGGATTCGTTGAGAGTGGCGGTGACTGCGACTGGGGTGCGTGCGTCGTCGGGTCAGTAGAGTGCAGCGCCAGCCACACTCGAATTTGGCCCCTCCTCTGGAACCACAAGAGGGGTAAAGCGCAGAAGCTGGTCTCGCCTTGAGTAAAAATTCAAAATCCCAGATTTTCCGAGACAAATCTCCATCAAAACATCGAGAAGATTCAGGAGGCACAGACGCGGCGAGAAAATACCCGCACCATCACATGCGGTGCGGTCGGCAACGCTCCGAGACAGAAAAGGCCGTTGCAACGACTTGCCGTCGGCACAAATTGAGCCAGTCGAAGTCGCAAGCCGATTTCTGTCGACAAGTGAGGCTGCAGAGAAGCTGTGTCGAAACCCCACGTTTGTTGGACAGCTTGGAGACCAGACAACTCCGAGGTATATTGTGAACGTGGGGGCTTTCGTTCGTTGCAGAGCGTGTTCGCGCACCGCTCCCACGACCGCCCCTTCCTTCGAGCACCGCAGCCAGTCAATTGGCCGCCGCCTCCGCCGCCTGCTTTGGTGATAGATTTGCGGCTCGGCCGGTCTACAGTTCAGCATGAAAATGTCGACACAAGTCAGCACTTTAGTTGATTGCTCGGCAGCAACGAGCAAGCAAAGCAAAGTAGAGAAGCGGCGACGACGAACTGGTCAATCTGGGGTAGGCTCCTCATCCAAGAGAGAGGGCAAAGTCGATTTCTCGAGACAACGAACAAATTGAAATTTAATCATGCCACGAGAAGTTCAGATTCGCTGCTCTGTGACCTGCCAGAGAGACATCACCTCTGGAGCACGCAACGGCACAATCTGCAGTGCAATTCCGCTGCAAAGAGTGTCTCTGTGTGCCTCGCAGCTCCGAGGCGAGGCTAGTTTTTCCAACTCCGCTGGCCCATCGTGCTTAGGGTATCGTGTTCGTGCCACGAACTTGGCTCGCTGTTGCCCGCTCATCTGGTTCCCAACTTGCCCGCTGTGGCATGTTTCACTAAAGGTAACCATCTACTTCTGCTTGGAGCAGCATCGGCAAGCTCCACAGATGGCCGGCTGGGTCGTCGCCGTGATAGCACCTTGACTTGAATAGGTCAATCGCTCCTGCTAGCTCGAAGAACTGGAGCTTCAGGAGACGCTGCGCCAATTCCAAGTAAGCGAGCCGAATTGATACGCGGATTGCGTCGTTGTTGTTCGCGATCCACCCAGCCGTGGTACTCGAACATCGCAGCCGAGGTGCGGGCACAACAAGTCGCCAGCCCCCGTTATTCGCCGAAGTCCTTTCTGCTACAGGAACGTGGCTTGCCCCACCCTGATGCACATGTCAGATCTGAGCTCGCACAACGTGAAAGTCATCCCAAGCCCGCGTCGATCCATGCGTACTTCAATCAGTCGGATCGAATAGCGGAGGACAGCTTGGCCTCGGCGTCTTATCGCTGTGAGTGGAGTTCAGCGCACGCCATTGTGCTCGAACAAGGGTAGGGGCACGTGCCGATTCTGTGCGCCTCCGACAACGTATCTCTGACCTGTCTCTGTATGCTGGACCTCACCCCACCTTGTTTGTGTCTCTTGTGGAGAGATGATATGGATCGGCGGAGTGCATCTCTCCATACCGAACCATGACAACATGACGAAATCAGCAAAGACCGAAGACTGCTCCGCTCAGCTCAAAGATCTCCCCGCATAGTCGACTGTACAACTGCCTTGATCTGTGTCCTGCTGTTGCCCTTGTCGGTCGTAATTGTATGTTATCATGCTTTCTTTGACGAATATCTCAACGCAAGTTGGGGTGCAGATAAACTTGTTACGAGGAGTTCTCGGGATGGGCGTTCAAATCCCGGGGGGAAGATGACGTCGTTGTTTGTGCACACATGAAATCTGCAGAGCAATCAATCGGGTCACAGTTTAACCTTGATCGCGATGGTCCGACTTGGAGGTGTTTGCTTTGTCTGAATCAACCGAACGGAAGAGCTCACTGCATCAGCCGACATGTCCTGTCGTCAAACCAAACACACGGGTTGCTGTCGGAAAACTCAAGCTTGTTCCCTCCTGCTGGACAACCCGCATCAATCAAACGACCGTGATCTGCGATCTGAAACCGACGCAAGTGGTCGATCTCTGCCGAGAGCTGACCTCTATCCACGATAAGAAGTTCCGAGCTCAGAAGCACCATTGTTCCGGGTCAGGCTAATGCCTGACGATGCAGAAGGAGACCCCTATTTGAGTCGCAGATACCCACCTCGCACCCTCTTTTGCAGCTTCAAACCCTGTACAGGTAAGGCGCCCGCTGACGATCAAACAACATTCGAGTGTCGTGGAAGTGCTTCGATGCACAGACAGAGGTACGTTCGTCGCATATACCATGAGGTCCCCAAGACTGTGGTTTCTAGGGTTTGGACCCTCTTGGAGGGCAAGGGCCAAAAGAGGGTTGCGTGCTTTGCTGCAACGCTGCAGCTCGCTGCACACTGATCTTCGCCCCTACTATGGCGGTCACCACCACACGACAGGTGCGAAGATGCAAGCGGAGTTGCGACTCTGTTCGGCGAGCTCATGGCTGAGGTTCAGATCTGCCGAAGTTGAGTCCACTGCTGCTGCTGCTGTGCAGCGCTCCTTTGACGTGCATTGAATTTAGCCGAATGGTGTGTTTGTGGCAGTAAAGAACGAACTGGTCGAGCTTTTGGGTCGTTGATTCAAATAGCTTCAACCTGAACAGCACAATTTCTATCGAAGATCCGCAACCTTTTCAATGTCCATTTGAAATTGCCAATGATTAATACGGAGCTAAGGGAAGAACCCCTGAAAGTGACCACCACAGACAGAGAAAAAGCATCAGCCAGAGACACGCACAAACACACACACACACACACACACACACACACACACACACACACACAC